TCAAACTAATTGACAGCCGGATGCTCGAGCAGTTGGACTTGACTTGGTCCGTGCACCTCGAATCAACCGACCAATCAGCGGCGGCCCATCAAGCAGTTCGACTCGAACTGCTTGGGGCACCGAGTTCGACTCGGATCGATTTCTTGTCGGCCGCTTGGCCCGTGCGTCACCGTCGCCAGAAACACACCTTCTGACCTTGAATCGTCGATGCACGACCAACCGTATGTCTACGGGGAAAATGGACGGCGGATTTGATATTGCCGCACTCGTTTTGGTCAATCTACGTGCGCGCAGCCACTTTTGCCCATCGTTTTCCCTATCAAAAAGTCGAACTGATTGACGGGCTCAATCCTCCACCAGTTCGACCAATCAGCGGCGGCCCATCAAGCAGTTCGACTCGAACTGCTTGGGGCACCAAGTTTGACTGGGGTCGACTTCTTATCAGCCGCTTGGCCCGTGTATCACCATCACCAAAAACACACCTTCTGACCTTTGAATCGTCGATGCACAACCAACCGTACGTCTACGGGGCAAATGGACAGCGGATTCGATATTGCCACACTCGATTTGGTCAATCTACGTGCGCGTAGCCACTTTTGCTCATCGTTTTCCCTATCAAAAAGTCGAACTGATTGACGGGCTCAATCCTCACCCAATTCGACCAATCAGCGGTGGCCCATCAAGCAGTTCGACTCGAACTGCTTGGGGCACCGAGTCCGACTCAGGTCAGCTTCTTGTCGGCCGCTTGGCCCGTGCATCACCATCACCAAAAACACACCTTCTGACCTTTGAATCGTCGATGCACAACCAACCGTACGTCTACGGAGCAAATGGACGGTGGATTCGATATTGCCGCACTCGATTTAGTCAATCTACATGCACGCAGCCACTTTTGCCCATCGTTTTCCCTATCAAAAAGTCGAACTGATTGACGGGCTCAATCCTCCACCAGTTCGACCAATCAGCGGCGGCCCATCAAGCAGTTCGACTCGAACTGGTTGGGGCACCGAGTTCGACTCGGATTGACTCCTTGTCGGCCGCTTGGCCCGTGCGTCACCGTCGCCAGAAACACACCTTCTGGCCTTGAATCGTCAATGCACAACCAACCATACGTCTACGGGGCAAATGGACGGCGGATTCGATATTGCCGCACTCGATTTGGTCAATCTACGTGCGCGCAGCCACTTTTGCCTATCGTTTTCCCTTTCAAAAAGTCGAACTGATTGACGGGCTCAATCCTCCACCAGTTCGACCAATCAGCGGCGGCCCATCAAGCAGTTCGACTCGAACTGCTTGGGGCACCAAGTTCGACTCGGATCGACTTCTTGTCAGCCGCTTGGCCCGTGAGTCGGCCGCTTGGCCCGTGCGTCACCATCGCCAAAAAACACACCTTCTGACCTAAATCGTCAATGCACGACCAACCATACATCTACGGGGCAAATGGACGGCGGATTCGAGATCGGCATGCTTGGTTTAGTCATTCTACGTGCGTGCAGCGGATTTTGCCCGTCGTTTTTCCGGTGAAAAAGTCGAACTGGTTGACAGCAAATCTTGAACCAGTTCGACTCAAATTCGTCCGTGCACGGGTTTTGGGCGACCAATCAGCGGGCGCGCATCAAGCAGTTCGACTCGAACTGGGTGTGGCATAACAGCCAGATAGAGAAGAGCCGCCCAGAACCCCGGGCCTATCAGAAGCCGCCTCGAGGACCCGTCCACCAAACTGGCCCTCAAGAGAGGAGAGAAGAGAATGTTTTTTAATATATTGAGCAGCTCAGAGAGAGAGAGAGAGAGAAAGAGAGATTGACAATAGGTTTTGAAGAGAGAAGAGAGAAGAAGAAGAAGGAAGAGAAGCCACCATGGCCACCGCCACCAGAAGGCAGAGTGAATTGCTTCTATTCTTCCGTTCCAGTCTTTCCACAAAAGACTCTCTCGTATACCTCCTTATGTGGCAATTACATGACGTATTCCAGTGGCGAAGATTACGCATCGTAGGTTCCAGCACCTTCTAGGCCATTCCATCTGACACAAACTCGCCTCCGTCACATCATATGTGACGTCAAGAGAATTGAACCTGTTGATCTTGCCTTCTTAAAGAAAACTACGTGAGTCATCTCGATATCAATGGAAAACGATAGAATTTCTATAGTTTCTATAAAGCAACCCATCCTCCCGGACCCTTCTGGTGTCAAGCTAGGAAAAAGAAATAAAGAGGATGAAGTAGAGATAGCTAAAAGGTACTGTACTAAACATCTTGCGAAAAGCCAATTGTAAAGACTCGTCCAGATGAACAGCCGATGGACATCATCCGCCCGTGGACGGCAGAACAGGACGGGCGGTATTCTGGTGATAGCCATATTACATTCCGGCCATTACAATTAATCCAATTTTGGCCGTGCCCCCAATTATATCTATTACTCGCTAGATTATCTTCCGAGAGGGCGAATGACTGAACCCAATTGCTGTGGCCTTCTAGCGTTTGCAGGCATTGCCCTGAGGCGGGATCCCAGATCTTGATGGTATTGTCGCCTGAACCCGATGCGAGCTGCTGGCCATCTGGTGAGAAGGCGACTGAATATACTAAGGATCTGTGGCCTTCTAGCGTTTGCAGGCATTGCCCTGAGGCGGGATCCCAGATCTTGATGGTATTGTCGCCTGAACCCGATGCGAGCTGCTGGCCATCTGGTGAGAAGGCGACTGAATATACTAAGGATCTGTGGCCTTCTAGCGTTTGCAGGCATTGCCCTGAGGCGGGATCCCAGATCTTGATGGTATTGTCGCCTGAACCCGATGCGAGCTGCTGGCCATCTGGTGAGAAGGCGACTGAATATACTAAGGATCTGTGGCCTTCTAGCGTTTGCAGGCATTGCCCTGAGGCGGGATCCCAGATCTTGATGGTATTGTCGCCTGAACCCGATGCGAGCTGCTGGCCATCTGGTGAGAAGGCGACTGAATATACTAAGGATCTGTGGCCTTCTAGCGTTTGCAGGCATTGCCCTGAGGCGGGATCCCAGATCTTGATGGTATTGTCGCCTGAACCAGATGCGAGCTGCTGGCCATCTGGTGAGAAGGCAACTGACCGAACCCAGTCACTGTGGCCTTCTAGCGTTTGCAGGCATTGCCCTGAGGCGGGATCCCAGATCTTGATGGTTTTGTCGCCTGAACCCGATGCGAGCTGCTGGCCATCTGGTGAGAAGGCAACTGACTGAACCCAATTGCTGTGGCCTTCTAGCGTTTGCAGGCATTGCCCTAAGGCGGGATCCCAGATCTTGATGGTTTTGTCGCCTGAACCCGATGCGAGCTGCTGGCCATCTGGTGAGAAGGCAACTGACTGAACCCAATTGCTGTGGCCTTCTAGCGTTTGCAGGCATTGCCCTAAGGCGGGATCCCAGATCTTGATGGTTTTGTCGCCTGAACCCGATGCGAGCTGCTGGCCATCTGGTGAGAAGGCAACTGAATATACTAAGGTACTGTGGCCTTCTAGCGTTTGCAGGCATGCATTCCAGTCCGCTTCTACTATTGGCTTCGTACTGATCCAGCTAGGTTCTTCCGCCTTAAATTTCTTTTTCACTAGACTGGAAGCTGGTGCAAATATGAGGGCTGATATGTACGCTTGGAGAGGAGCTTGCTCGATTATCCATCTGTTGGAGAGAGCGAACCGATGTGCATCTCGAACAAAAGCCGTTAGCTGCCTCTGATCAGCATGTTCCTGCATCTCTATTAGTATAGTTCTCTGACGGTAGTAAGTTATACATACGAGTAGGAGCTTAAGCTGTCTTATGGCAATGACACCCTCCGACATAGCTTGGAGTAAGCTAAGAGCTTCGAGCCAGTAAAGGTACTTCTGCTCAAGGAAGGTCTGGATCGCATCCAGTATATCGTTTTGCGGCACGTCCTTATCGGAAATTGAGTTGTAGAAATGGTCAACCCAGAAAACGCAGGAGTACCGTACTGTGACTAGTGGGTCTGGAGATGGCGTTTGAACCTCGTCGATTGGGAATCCCGGTATACTTAAGCCGTATATGTCGCGTTGCAAGACCGTAGACATTGCAGTGAGCGACCTCGAGAAGATGATGTGGTTGATATCTTTTTCCCCAAGGGGGAAGACCCAGTTGAAAGCCTCTCGAGAAGCTTGGTGCGCGGCCTTTCCCTGTAGAAAGTCTTTAGCGGATTGGTGGATGAAATGAACAATTTGTCCCCGAAGGGTTAGGAATGAGCCGCAGATCCTGATAACTTCTTCTAGGGGCTTTAGATCATCTGAAATGTCGTCTGGTATCTTGATAAAAGTACACTCTAGATTATCCGAAATGTCGTCCGGCATGTCGATGAGAGTGGAATCCAGATCATCCGAAATGTCGTCCGGCATCTCGATAAGTATAGTTAGTTCCCTAAGGCTGATAGGTCGGCGAACAATCGTAATGATGGCGAGAATTTGCTTGCAGAGGTCTGCATCTTCGGAGCAACGAATCTGTTCCATCATTCGCTCATATAGGGAATTTAACCCCGGGGGAAATGAGTGTAATTTTGCCCGGGTATGCCGCTTCTGAACCTCGTTCGCAAGTGCTTGACAGACCAAGGCCACCCAGAGAAATGTGCCGTTCGCATGAGAAGAGAGATAGGCCTGCACAGCCTTCTTCATTGTACTATTGTACTGTTTCCGGCGAGATAAATCGAGAACTTTGTGGCGGATGTATGTGTTGACGGCAGTGGCGACGGATTCGGCATTAAGCTCGAGGCTTAGCTTGGCATTCTGCGCCGCCATCGCCAAATGTTCCTCAATCTGCGGCCAGTTGCGACTTGAGACTATCCACTTGACACGAGGAGATACACATGACATTTGGGCGACCAGGTCGAGAAGCCGCAGCAGGTCAGTGACGCACTCGTCAAGCGCGTCGATGATCAAATAAGTCGTCCTTAATCCCGGATCTTGCAGCATAGCGGTGAAGATCTCTCGCAAGACAACCCACGCGTTCGTGTCCTCAAATGCTCTTTTGCCAGCGACATTATACTGTCCCGTACATGTGAGATGAGGGCTGGTTGTTCGCTGACAAGGAGGTAGATTAAGCCGCGAAGGACGGAGGTGGCGTTGTTGATACGTAAGTCGGTAGCCTGGCAGAAGAAGAATGACAGAAGGCAGGATGGGGTAGACATCTTTAGTTCGTCTATAATGCCGCAGAGCAACATAGTCTTGCCCTTACCGGGGTCACCTTTTATCCAGAGGAGCCGGCTTTCTTCGCCGTCGCGCCATTGTTGGAATTCGACGTTGCTGAGAACCCAGCGGTACGCGTCTTTCAGGAGTCCACCCTTTGCGGTTTCGATACGCCCCTTGTCGTGGCGGGGGTCAGTGACACGTAAGTCGGCCAGACAGCGGGTGTCGGCCTCATCCAACGTTGGTTCACTCCTTGAAACTTTAATAATCTCCTCTCGCAGCCGTCGAAATGCTTTATCTTCTCCTTCGCCGTACAGAAGTGGCAGCTGGACGTCGAAGATGCCGAAAAGCGAGTATGCCCTATCTTCTTCGCGTGTTGTATTGCGTTTCTCAATCCATGCCATTCGGTTATGGACACTGAAATCAGACAGACGGCCGCATCGGAGGGCCTCGAAAGGAATCCCCGTCATGTTATGAATAACTCGCTCCAGAGACCTCTTGTCTCCAAGACGCAATTCCTCTTTGGAGAAGAATTCGACTGATCCCGGAGCAATGAGCTCTTGGAGAGTCCACCCGCGGGTGAACCACCTACTCGCTCGAAAAGTCGCTTCCCAGACGGAGTTATCGTCAATGCCAAGAACAGGGGTCGAGACGTCCACCAAATAGGCGTAGCATTTAGCCGCATTACGGTACCACCGAAACATAGAGTTGATCGCCTCCTGTAGCTCGGCACTGCTTGACTTGTCGATGCAGCATGTGTCGACCCAAAAGAACTTCAACCCATCTCGAGAAGCCTGATCTCCGCAAAACTGAATCTTAGCATAGCCAGCCTTGTTCTTCCCTGTACCGTTCATCAAGTCGCTGAAGAGGACCTCTTCGTTACCCCATGTGTGCGAAAGTATCGCGTACGGCGGAATTTTGTCGATAAGATCCTCTGTTAGGCGGATCACGCCTGTGTCGTCGCGTTCCAGCAGGCGCATCGCCCAAAGACTGCCGAGCTCTCAGTAGCTATTGATATGGATGTTCGTCGGCACAAAGGGGGAGCGGACGGACGGTAGGACGGCTCAAGGGTTCGCTGGATCTGTGGGTAGAACAATCAGTAGCTGAGGCTGAGAAAGCTGCCTAATGCTAGACAAGAACTACCTACCGTGGAAAACTGTCGTAGTACTTAGCACGAAATCTCGATTGGGGGGTTGAAGCTCGAAGATCGCTGCTGCTGTTGTCACTCAGGTCCAGGAGTTTCGATGCCCAAATCACAACCCCGCACGTCAGGCGTCTGATTGCGTGGCGCCTGAACGGCTGGCGCCGGCTGTGCACACTCGAAAGCATCGTGATTGGTACAGTGGGCGGCGAAAAGTTCTGATCTGCCAAGAAGTACCACGCTAACCTAACCAGGCAATCAAAGCCCCTCAGTACTTGGTATACCTGTCAGAAGCACTGCACACTGCACTGCACACTGGATTCGGTGGAAAAGATGGAGTTCAAAGTGATTTTCATTCAGATCTCTCCTCCTCCCGTGCTCTTTGGCTTAGTCAGAGAACCTCTATTATAGTTATGAATGGTGGCAAACAGTAGTCGTTGCTAGCTGAACTGACTACGTAAAGTTCAGTTTGCATGAGCTCTTTTTCAGCTCGCATAAGCACTTTTTCAGCTTGGTTGACGACACCACTTGGTGTTCTGGCACGCAGTGCCAGAACCCCCTTCTTTCTGACACACTTCCTCAGATTCAACAGTGCTTGGATCTGGCCTTATTAGTTTGTAGTTTCAGACCTTTCCTTCAGTGTTGGCTCTGTGACTCCTATTTGCTGGAGGAATCGTAGATGGAGTGGGAAGCTTAGGGCCTTAGTCAGGCCGTCAGCTACCATACTGCTTGAAGGAATGTGTAGACGACTTTGATTGCTCTGCGGCTAACTTCCTGACGAAGCCAATGGTTGTGAATGTCCACATGCCGGAGTTTTGTCTGCAAGGTTGCCACTTCTGCAGTGACTAACCGTATTGTTTGTTTGTTGTCACACTGGATAGTGATGTGGTGCTTGCCTAGTTGTATAGTTAATTCCGCGAGTAGTCGGCTTATAAAGAGGCCTTCTTTCGTGGCTTGTGCCAGAGCTAAGAGCTCCGCTTCCGCAGTAGAAGTGGTGACAGTGTTTTGCTTATTAGCCCTCCAGCCCACAAGCCCACCAAACAGCTTCATAGTATAAGCTTGTGAGCTTTTCCGATCAATGGAGTTGTCCGCAAAAGAGGCATCGCTAGCTATAACAAAGTCGTCTTCACCCCCTAACTATAAGGCCAGTTTTCGAGTGTTATGTAGGTAGTGGAGTACTTGTTCAGCTGCTTTGTGATGCTCTAGCCCAGGTTTAGTGTTGAATCTGACTAGCCGGGAAGCTGCAAAGCCAATGTCTGGCCTGGTGATCACTGCGGCGTATAGAATTGATCCAGTCTTCCGCTGGAAAGCCGTGATAGAATGAGGTTCGGCCTTGCCACCGTATGGCAGTAATTCTGTCGTAGCCATTGGTACCTTGGTCTTCGTAGTAGGTTGTGTAGTAGCCAGAGTGGCGATTTTGTCGAAGTAGGCTGTCTGGGAGAGCCAAATCAAGCGCTTGTCTCTATCCCTTTGGACTTCAATGCCCAAGAACCATTGTAGGTCATTTCCACCTGTCAATTGGTGTCGCTCCCTTAGTTATGATACTAGGAACTGAGATGTAGCCGTTGTCACGGCCGGCTTGAAATGAGGGCGGAACTCCTCTATTGGGCGCTATAGACGAAGATTCTAAACTAAAGGGAAAAGGGAAAAGAAGCTCAAAATCCTCCCCTTGCACGACAGGTGCAGACAGCTGACCAGATTTGGGTAGCGGTCCGTGCACACCATAACCACGTGACCCACATCACAACCCACTTCCCCTGCGCCCCGCCCAGGCCTTGGAAGCTTTCTTTCCTTTTTCCTTCTTTAGCTTTAGATTCTACGAATACAGCAACCACATTGCAGCCCTGCCTCTCTACAGTTGACCGTGCGGTGACAATCTAAAGCTCAATCTCGCTAATCGCCTGGGAAGGCAATTGAAAAGAATATCCCACCAGAAAAACCAGAACCGAATCGCGGGATCGCTACTCGAGGTGTGCGACCGCCCGACCGAAGAACGAATACAGCACTCCAAGCGGGGCACTGTAGGGCGAACGGCAGGCAAGATGCCCGCCAACGACGATTTGCAACTGCAGGCAGTCCTGCAGGATGCCGTGAATGAGACCAACTTCGACCGCGAAGCCTTTGCAAGAACTCACCAGCGTGAGAAGTCCGATACTGCGTTATCCGCATTGGCCAAGCAGATCGAGATGACAGCCATATCTACAAAAGTGCTTGGAAACACCACGACGCTTACTGCAGGCCGATCTCTCTCCCCTGTTGATGACCGAGTGGACATTCGCGACTTCACAACACGGATCACTGGCGAAGTTGACAGTGCCAAATTTACAATGACCAGCGAAGACATCGATAAAGATCTTCAGGAGAAGCTTTCCGACCTGGCTGTCCTCCATGTTCGCCGAAACAAAGAGGGTCCTGGCCTGCCCTTTGGTCCCTGGCTAGGCCCTGACCAGATCACCTTTGAAGGAACCATGGACGTCAAGGATTTCGAGAGCCAGTCCAACAACCACCCAGATGAGCATTTTCAGGAGTTCAAGCTCCGCACCTTGCTGGCACACTCTTGGTACGATCAGATGTCTCAGCTATACAGTATCGCTCGACACCAGTCAACCATTATCAGCAATATCAAGCAATGGGCCTTATTGGGACTGGCACAGGCCACTCGCTCTGCCACTGTAGCAGCAGAAGCCGCAGAGTTCTCCCCGGCACCCCGCCCTAGCATTGAAAACCCCGTCGACGATGCCAATAACGCGATTATCACGAGCCTGAATGATGTTATAGCCAACAAGGATGAGATCATACAGAAGATGCAAGATAAAATCGACCTCTTGAGTCGCACCATCGCCGACAACGCTGCTAGCAGATCACCACGTGGTGCAACCCCTTTCTCCACCACTGATAGCACTACTCGTCGTAGCGCCAAGATCTCCGACCCCCCCCCTGTTCTACAATGATAAGGACAAGGACACGATCACGTTCAACGCCTGGATCCGGCAGATTGAGAACAAGCTGGACGTCAACTCTGATTACTATGAGAGCGACCGCGCTCGACAGTCGTATATCGAGTTCAGATTAGCGGGCAAGGCCTCGTACCAGTTGGAACCGTACCTCGAGGACGCCCACCCAAACCAGATTAAGACCTCAGAAGCCCTCCTGACCTGGCTGAAGAATGAGTTCCGTAATGTGAACCGGGCCGAAGAAGCTACCGACGGAGGCTCGTCGGCTCCCTCGGTTGCGAACGAAGGATCGGAAAACTAAATACCCTGGGGCAATTGGACTCTCTCCCAGGGGAAGTGTCGACGTGTAACATTACGACTATAGGAGAAGAGAAGACTGGAGTGGGGTTACTAGCCAGATACCTGGGTGGCTCTGCATTCACTGTTAGCTGTGAGATAGCGAGCAATGGACTTTCTTTGACTACGGATGATGTTTTAGTCGATACGGGAGCAAACGAACATATCTTCGTGAGCCGTGACTTCGCAAGAAAGATACAACGGTTACTTCATATCAAATCCATTACGGATGCCGCCCCGAGACTGGTAGGCGGGTACGATAACAAGTCTCAACAGATCATCGAGGAGCTACTAGAAGTCAACCTGGTCGTCCAGCACAGGACGATTAGGGACGAACACTTGATTATCGTGGACTGCGTTCACGACCTGATGATTGGCCGGAAGTGGCTCGACTACCACGACGTACTAGCTGACGCACGACGCCGTCGTCTACTATTCCCCGAGGAATGGGAACTTGACCCAAGCTGGTGGACCACCGTTCCGTTAGACCAGTCGGAGCCTGGGCCCCTTAATCCAGATTATCAGGAAGATGCCCAGAGAAGAGAACTGGCCATAGAAAAGGAAGATAAACGCCGGCGTGACGGAAGACTTGTACGCGCACGGATCGATGAGTTGGAACGGCAGGAGTCCGCCGGATTCACGGTGGAGGACCCACGTACGCCGGAGTTATGGCGATGCCATTATTCCACCCAACACTACTACAACGGCCAGCTCGACGGCTGACTGGCGATCGTAGAGACCGGGAGCTGAACCTTATGGAACGACAGCTCCATGCCCCCGACCCTCTGAAGCAAGCACCACCACCTGCGAAGAAGAGGGACCCATTCCCAGAACATGATGCGCAGGGCTTGTACCGCATGCAACGTGACGGCATAGGCTGGTATAAGGAGAGGCCCATCGAGATGGCAGTACTAAACGAAGCTGCCTTCAAACTAGCCTCTAAGGGCGAGCAGGTCGACGTAATGACACTACACGAACTCGACAAGCGTATATCGGAATTGAAAGAACTAAGGAACGGCTCCGACGGACTGGATGAAGACGATGAGAAGCTACGGGAGCGAGTGTTGAGCGAGCTCCCTTCGCCATACCACGACTTCCTTGATGTATTCAGCAGAGTCCAATCTGATATCCTGGCGCCAAGACGAGGTCTGGTAGACCATAGGATCCGATTGTTACCAGAGAAAGAACCGGAAGACCTCGATTATAGTCCCCTCTACAAAATGTCACTGGAGGAGCTTGAGGCTTGTAAGGAGTATATCACAGGGGCTTTGAAGAAGGGCTTCATACAGACTAGCGGATCGCCCTGGGCGGCACCTATCTTATTCACCCGCAAGCAGAACGGCGGGTTGCGGTTTTGCGTTGACTACCGCAAGCTCAATGCAATGACCGTAAAGGACCGCATGCCGCTTCCACTAATTGATGAAACCTTCAGCCGCCTCGGAAAGGCGAGGATCTTCACGAAAATCGATATCCGACAGGCATTCCACTGCATACGGATACATCCAGACGACGAGCAACTGACGACTTTCCGGACCCGGTACGGCACATATAGCTATAAAGTTATGCCGTTCGGATTGAAAAACGGACCAGCTACCTTTCAACGGTTCATTAATGACTGCTTACTCGGCTACCTAGACGACTTTTGCAGCGCTTACTTGGACGATATCCTAATCTACTCTGCGACCGAGGAAGAACATACCAAGCACGTTCAACTGGTATTGCAACGGTTGAGGGAAGCTGGGCTCCAAGCAGATATCGAGAAGTGCGAATTCCACGTACGGGAAACCAAATATCTCGGGTTTATTATCGGAGTAGATGGGGTATCCGTAGACCCAGCAAAGACGGACATCGTCAGGGATTGGCTGGAACCAGACACATTGAAAGGAGTGCAATCATTCCTCGGGTCCTGCAACTTCTACCGGCGATTTGTGAAGGGGTATAGCAGCATAGCCAAGCCGCTAACAGCCTTAGCCAAAAAAGGCGAGGGATTTAGATGGACGGACGAATGCCAGATCGCATTCGACGAGCTTAAGGCACGACTGTTGTCAGCACCCGTGCTAAAATACTTCGAGTACGGAAGAGAAACCCGGGTGGAAACTGACGCATCGGGAGGGGTGGCGGCAGGCGTACTGAGCCAGAAGTACGAGGATGGATGGCACCCGGTAGCCTTCTTTTCTGAGATGATGAAGGGAGCAGAGCTCAACTACTTTATCCATCATAAGGAACTGCTAGCTATTATGAGGGCCTTACAGCACTAGCGTAGCGAACTAATCGGACTCCAAACCGAGCAGCCGTTTATCGTCTTTTCCGATAACGATGCGCTGAAATACTTTACTACGAAGAAGCTGCTTAATATTAGGCAGGCAGGATGGGCCGAGGAACTGGCCGACTTTCACTTCCGTATCGAATACCGGCCAGGCGTCCTCAACGCTGCGGCCGACGCGTTGACAAGACGTACGCATGAGCTCAAGACCCAGAAAGAGCGCCAAATGGCCCATCGAACCGTACAGATGTTCCAAGAACAAGCAGACGGCAGCTTAATCATGTCCCTAGACTGTGGGACCTTTTTGCAAGAAATTGCACAAGTCCTAGCCATGATTAAGGCAGTGGAGAGCGATGAGTCGAGAGAAAGCTGGAAGCAGGAAATTGAACTCTCAACTCTGAAGGGACCTCCGGAGATCTCCGGCCACGAGCTAGTCGACCAATTACTGGAAACCAACAAGATTAGCGAGTCCTTATTAATCTACCGGGAGAGAGCATTACTGGAAGAAGAGACCAAGCTCTCGATTACCCAGGGGGGGTTACTCCTGAGAGAAGGAAAGCTGGTGATCCCTGATGAGAAGAACCTACGGACTAGGGTTATAGACGATGTCCACTCTAGGCTCGCTACAGCCCACCCCGGCCGGAATAAAACCAGGAGGCTCGTGAGAGAGTACTATTGGTGGGCCGGAATGGGAGCAGATATCGACAGATTCGTGGCAAACTGTAAATGCAAAGCGGCGAAAACACCACACGATAAAACCCCCGGTCTATTACACCCAATACCGCCTCCCCTACGGGTATGGAAGTCTCTGGTTGTGGACTTTAAGGAGATGCCGAAGGACCGAGACGGGTTCGATAACCTATTTACGGTAATCGATCTTGGAGGATGTGGTGGGTGTGTTTTTCGCGAGTAGCGGAGTAGATGAGGATATCGTCGAGGTAGACGATACAGAAGACATCTACCAGGCCAGCCAAGGCCCGGTTAATGTAAGCCTGGAAGAACGGACAGGGAGAAAGTCCGCGAACTTATACGTATGAGCAATCGCTGGGCTGCCCTTCCTGGGAGGTACCCACTCTTGCTAACCACTTTCACAGATGTGGCTGAAAGAATAATGTACGTCTTATCTCTTCCAATCTGCTACCGCTCCATGACGCTTATTCCCTCGAAGTAACCAAAGACGTATTACAAACCATAACCTTAAAGCTCTCGCCGAAGAGATCTGTCGGGTCTGTCCAACTGCATTGATTGTAGCCTCGGATTATGTGGCGAAGGATGCGGAGTTAGCTGTCAGATCGGGCCCAGCATATGACCCAGGACGAGCACAAGAGGTGTTAGGGCAAGTGAAAAAGATGTTGACTTGACTAGAATGCGGAACAACATCTTGTGTAGCTGTAGAGATGGCAGACGTGACAATCACACTTAATTAATGGCCAGGGCTTGACGGTATGGGAGTAGTGACTTGCCCGCGATGTCATAGCAAGTGTAGCACTTAGGTACTGTGATGCAGTCCACAGACTTCCAAGTCTAGCTATTCGCAGTTACTTCTACCAACCAGGCAGGCGGCGCCTTGGTCTCTCTTCGAATTCCTGAGACGATTAGCCTTTTATCTTAAATTTTGATGATAGCCTTACCTTCACAGATGCGAAGAACTGCGTAACCGCAGCTTCACCACCGAGCTGCTCCACCTCGCCTTCCTCCACTCTAGCTTTGACGAGCTTCGCCACAGCGAGGACGTATTTCGGCGCGCTCCGCCTCATGTCTTCGTTGGTAATGGCCGAGTTCTTTATCTGAGCAAGCACGACTTGCATCCAGCGCCTGATGTCTGACCACTGAAGGACGTGGCCACCAAGCGCCAGCGTTTGATGCTGGCGCACCCGGAACACACAGTGAATCGTCCCCGGCATGAAGAAGACAGACTGGCCGGGCTTGAGGACAATATATCTCCAGCGGCCACCTGTAAAGTGGTGGGGGTCAGCCGTCCACGAATTTCGCTCCTCCTCCGTCGGACAAGACATCCAGCCGAACCCGATCGACCCTTCCTGGGCAGTGATCCACGTAGCAAAGCCGTGACTGTCCATGTGCGGCGCCGTGTTGTGGCCCCCTTCCGACAACAGGACTCAGTTCCCAGCCAAGTCTAACAGTCTCGTCCCAATCGAGGCGTTGCCTGTAAGCCATGTACCTGCTGACGAGTTCGGCGGCCAAGATAAAGCTGACAAAATTCACAGCGGTATTAACCCTCTTCAATAGTTTGTCAGCACCTATTACTCGCTAATGAGAACAAGAGTATGTGCTATTAGCATACACTTACGTTGTATAAGTTGTATAAACGATCCATGGCGAGGGGGAGACAAGGGAACGATATTGCGTAGGGTGCAAAGACGGTGACGGTTGACGGAGATATCTGGTTCTGTCCTTGATATGCCGCCTTATATGTTTTCAAAGTGCCAACTCATCACCTGCCTGACTCCAATCTACAAGTCATATTGACCAGCCAAGGCAACCCGAAGCTCGTTGTCGCAACTCGGAGTCTTTCCAAACTGCGAACTGGGCTGCCATTGGTGCACATGAGAAAGCACCCACATAACTATCTGCATAAAACTTTAGTCCAGCCAATGAGAGAGTAGACAACCCTATGATTCACTTGAGTCGCTAGGTAGTGTTACACAGCAGCAAATCAAGGCATGCACCAGCCCAAGGTGCCAAAGCCCCCCTTGTTAAGTACCTTTGAAGCCTGACGGGCTGCCGCAGGCTGAGTGTTCTCTTGACATAGACAATGGCATTCATCCTCATCAAAACGGCCCCTTTAGAACCAAAGTAGACAAATGGTACACACTGACCTGACAATGCCCGTCGACCTTGAACAGCACGGTTTCTTCAGTCAAGGGTCGCCCCACAAGTCATGGGAATCGAAGAAGGACACCATCCGAAGACTGTACATCGAAGAAGCCCGGCCATTATGGGAAGTACATGAGATAATGATGAAGGAACACGATTTCAAAGCCTCGTGAGTATTGGGGCTCTTGCGGGCTTTCCTTGTACCATTGCGTGTCATCCTCGCTCCGCGCTGACCCACATCCTTTAGTATTCAGCAGTACAAAACTCGATTCAAACAATGGGGTCCGCCTTTTCCCAAAAACAAGACACGAACAAGGGCCCACGAGCAAGTCCCCATTCCTTCAGGCTCCGCGAGAAGAACGAGACCCAGGAGAATTACTACCAGGCTGGAACATCAGCGCTCAGTAGCAACCTCCGGAGATGCCAGACTGGTCATACTCTTGCCCAAATCGCCTCGCACACCAGCAGTGGAGCTCGCCTTGCGCTCAGCGGGCAACTATACACAGGGGCTGCTCAACGACTTCACTTGGGATAACTTCACGATAACATCCCAGGCCGGAAGGTGTGATTTCGCAGCACAGTGGCAAGAGATTGTGGACCAGTGCTGGGGTGCCACAGAGCTGGTGCTGCGGAAGGAGTTGCCCGATGGCTTTAACGCATTGCAGCAGATGTGCGCGAAGCTGAGTGACGTGGTCCGATTTGTCAGCCCGGCGATGATGGTCAAGTTGTGGAGGCTGTGTTACCGACTCTACAAGACATGCTCCAAAATGGGCGACGGTGATTTTCGACTCCTCCGTGAGTTTCTCAGATACATCAGAGAACTCATGGGTCACCATCATGGGAACCACCCGCTTTGCCTGGCGCTGGACGCGATATCTACGGCTCCTGGAGGTGAGCTACGCGACACTCTGAGAGTGTTCTATCTCATCACAATCCGGGCCATGGAGTCCCGATTGGGACAGCATCACTCCGTCGTTCTAAATATGTGGTCCAACTACTTGAAATACTGGGAGGGAGATGGCTTGGACAGCGCGAGCTTCATCCAGGGGTACCAAGCGCTCCTCGGCACTTCCGAGTCCGAGTTTGGGGTGATAGTAGAAAGCACCGTCACGGTGCTCCACGGCTTCATGTACGCCGCATACTACAACCTGAAAGACAAAGCTCTCAACAAACACCTCGCTTTAGAGCTGCACAGCAGGGTACCGCAAATGCCTTGCCTTCAGGGAGTTCCTTGGTGGAGTGTGCCTACGCAAGGATTTGCCCTTGCAGCAAAACTGCTTGCCACACTGAGCCTTGAAGAAGGGCAAATCGAAGCCTCGTGGTCGTTCATAGAAAATGCTGTCAATCGGTTGAGCCAAGGGGATGGGGAATGTCAAACGAGATCACGTATGCTGAAAGGGATTCTGGATGGCTGGCAAAGAGAACAGCTGCGGCACACACAATTGCCACACAGACTTTCACAATCAGTGGCAGTGGCTTCGGAGGACGCTGTTTGATTCTGGTGGAGATGGTTCAGTTTGCATTTGGCAACCCTGACTTCCAGAGCGGGCTCATGTTGACCCCGGCTACCATTCACTGGCAATAAAGTACTGGGCAAAGCCCCTTGATGAAACATCCGCTCTTTATTTAGCTGTGCCAACTCCTCTGTATCAGGGTAATTCCAATATCTGGGCTCAGCGACAATCTTGCTCTCGCTTGGCCTGTTGAGGGCAAGTCTATCCTGAAAAACACCCAAAAGACTCGAGATCTTTGAGGCGGCCCTGTCCTCCAAGAGACACCGGCAAGGCTTCCTCCGGATATTTATCTCGGACCACAAGTGGAAAGATGGCCAGCCGACCGAAGAGGAGGCCTTGATGATGCTGAAAGGGGGACGACAGTGCCATCCCTGTGCCTGCCGTCTTCATGTTCGTCCCCGGGATGCCTGTCGTTGTGAACCAGAACACCCACCAGGGCCTGAAGCTAGTCAACGGTGCCAGCTACACTGCGCTCAACGTCATTCTCGACAAAGCACACCCGGGCCACCGCGTTAATGCCGACACCATTATCCACTTCAGCCCACCGGCAGGTATTTTGCTAACGTCTGACACAACTAAAGACCTCCACTTCGTTAATTAGGGGCCTTCTGGGAGATGCGCAGCTTTGCACTGCTGTTACTGAATTGTTCAGCTCTCTTCTAATAAGCGTGTTATCCCAGTTCAATGGTGTCGCTGGGCCCAAAGCCGGGCTAGTGGCCTCCAAATCACCCGTGGAAGGGATAGAAGCTGGCCGGCTCCGAGGAAACCTTACCCGTCTGCGTAGACCCCTAAACTCCCAGACTATCGTCCGACATCGGCATCTTACTCATAGCACCGGGCAGCTCGCCTGTTGTTGAGGGTGGTGACAAGGGAGAAACCCGTCTTGACTGGATCTGTACGACCTTGCCTGAAGTTAGTAAAAACCGCGGATGTGGGACGTAGCTACGAGCCGGCACTGGAGCACTCACCCTGGGCAGAAGACCGAGGAAGCCTTGATAAGCTACACGGTGCAGGCTTGAATTCTAGCTACTGGGACAGGACTCCATATATAGGATCCGCGTGCCTTCGTGGCGCGGAGCCCCAGTGAATACAGTTCGAAACAGAGTGAGGCGATGTGGACGTAGAGAAGTGACTGTAGGCTAAAATAATTGGACGATAGATATAAAGACAAGTGCTGTTTGGAAGGGAGGGGGGAGTGCGTCAGCAGATGAACAGGGTAATGCAACGACCAAGGTGAGTGTTTGTAGATGGTTAGCCCACGATGGAGGGCGCAAGGCGTACTGGACAAAATTGCGTGGAGGGAGTAGAAGCGGCGAAAGACAGGCAGACCACCAGGGTACCTTGTCGCACGTCGCTAGCATCACCGTTGCTCCGGCGCCAGGAAGGCATGGAATATGACGATGCTGGCCTGAACGACACAGCGGGCGCGAACCCCGAAAGTGGGCCAGGCGACGGTTGGAAGAGGGAAGCCGTACAAGAAAAACCGAATCACGAAAGAGAGGGGAAGCAGGAGGCAAGAAACCCACGGAAGGGCAGCACAATACGAGACGGAGTTAGCTTACCAGGTCGCGCGTCGTCGCCAGTCGTACGCGCCTAACAAGGTAGAAAGCTACGGAAAGTGAGGCTGCTGTCCAGAAGAGAGGTAGAGAGATTGAAGTAAGGTGGGTAGGCTGGTCCAAGGTAGAGGCGCAGTTGGAAGAGGAAGGCCGTATACAAAAGAGAGGAAGACGTAGCCACGAAAGCGACAAACGGCGAAGCAAAATACAAGACGCCGTAGGCTTACACATTCACTGCACTCATACACTTTGAGTGGCATTCCGATTTGACTGTATTACCCGTGCGATAGGAGCTTGCCCTTTGTTCTATCTTCATAATTACCAACCCCAGCATCCTGTGGAGCCCGTGCTCCCTTACAGACAGACGACCCTGACAGTCGAGTGGTTTGTAATACATTGGGCTAAAGTTAGGAAGGTGGAATACCGGGTACATTTCATAAGTCGCCTTAAGGGCGAGGATAAATAGGTATTAGAGAAACACATAAGCTGTAAGCTAGTCAAGAAACGCGAGCCTAGGAGGAAGGTGAAACGAGGAAAGAGAAGGAGCTAAAGGTCTAAAGTTATAACGATTTTCATCTTTTTTATAGCCACTGGTATAACTATTCTTAAAAGGATAGTAGATAGAGCTCGAGGACTACTAGAGAATAGAGCAAGGAAGAATCGTCACGATGTTGTCTCCAGACCTTATCTACGAGGGGTGTCTCCATCACATCTAAGGAAGTGGCCGGGTGTTCTAGCAACAAGTCGGAGGGCTGCCTCCTTATTAGTATATGCTGTAGCACGGCCAGAAGCTCCAACTATCCTAGCTATTGCAATGCCACATATTAAAAAGGCATCCACAAGCAAGGCTGGGGAGTGGGGGGGGGGGGGATTGCAGAAGGGTCGGTAGGGCAGATGGGACTGTATGTATAACTGCATTTGACGACATCAAGGTGGACATCGTCCGTAATAGAATTGCAAGACTCTCTTGCAACCCAGGCCCGCCCTTTGATGCCGAGCTCGTAAGTTCGGAGAACATGCTATGACGGCTGATTTATGTGGTTAGTTGACGCATTCATGCTCTGCCGGCTCTCCTTTTCGCCAACATCTCCCGACTGTGTAGCTTCCTGCTGTCTGTTGTCAAGAATAGCAGATGGACATGTGGATTCAGTCAACGCCCTCCGTGCTCCGCGGGGGTCATGTTCACCCTTTGAATCGACAATTGAGGGTAGGTGACAAAAATAATGGATTGCACAGGATTCGAACCTATCACCTCCCGGACACGCCACACGTTGAATGCTGCAGGCTCGGGGCATTCAACATGTCGCACGCATGCCGATTGAGCTACCACTGCGCCAGCAACCCTAAGATGGAAGAGGAACAAGGAAAGCGAATAAAAGAAGGCTTGGCGAGGACGTTGGCCACGGAGGGGGGCATAGTTGTAAGGAAAGAGCTCCCCAACACGGCCACACACAAGCTCCTTCCCTCAATCTAGACCCATAACCTGAGCATCCCAGCACACTCGCGCTTCTCATCCTGTTCCGTTGCCTGCCTCTTTCTCAAACTCTTCAATCACACAGCAGCCATCCCCAGTTGTCACAGCGACCACGGTTCTTCTACTGCCTTCAGGTCTCTTGACCTAGCCTGACCCAGTGCACGCTCGCCCTGTGGCTATCTCTGTCTCCGTCTTCGTATGTTGGTTCCCTTCTACCTACCGTCCTTTCGGCCCCCTGGCACTAATCTCGCAATCATTTAGCAATTGCGCAGTTATTAACCTGCTCGAGCGTCTCAATAATGGCGGCTCCATTTCCCAACGTATGGGTCTACCCTCCGTTCTAACATTTGCTCGAGGCGCTGGTACTAAAAATCTCACTCTAGGCTACGGCATCTCAGCTGCGCTCCCTTGCGCGCACTGCTTATAAGCAGTGCGAAGAACTCGAGCCTTTTACCGCCGAGTCGATGGCCGCGGGCGCTGCCATCCTGAACCACCAGTTCCGTGACCAGCTAGTGTACTTCGGCATCCTCGAAGCTCTAACCCTGGATCTCGCCTCACATCCTATCCCTTCCACCGCGGAGAAGGCTGTTATCTTCCACCGAGGCACCGGCGACATTTGGATCGCGGTATATGCGCAGAAGGGTGAGCGCTTGGTCTTGGTATATGACGGTATTGGAGGTGGGAGTGAATGGAGGCTTTGAGCTAGCCCGAGCTACACGGATAGAGGGTTACAGAGCCACGCTCCCTGCAAAGCTTGAGCAAGATCCGTGGTTCAAGAAGGACTTGGTCGTTTATGACGGAGGTATCTATACGACCTGCATGCCGAGCGCTTCCGGCTCTTTCTCGTTGACTTGGGCAGAGTGGCGTGCGCAGGATTGGCCGATCGGTCTTACGAATCAAGACCAGTATGAGTCTGGATGGATTTGGTGGCCCACAGCGGATAGGTATAAGAATCCCAAGCCCCAGGAACCATCGGACATACCCTGGGTGGATATCATCAGGCGAAGATTCAAGCGCGTCTCTAGTGATGGGAAGCTGTCATCTGTGGAGGGACTACACTAAATAGGACGAAGGTGGCTGTGGAGTCTATTGGAGTTCATAAGCAACGACTAGGGAGATGATAGCCGGCATCTGATTCACATCCCGTATTTAACACGACCGGAGATAGCTCAGCTATAAAAGCACACAGTTAAAATCACCACTAGTCTTTAGCACTCAACCTTAGATCTTGTCGTGGGCAGGGCGTTCTTTTCCAGGTTTACACGTATCAGATGGGAATTGATTGGAGCCGGCTCTTAAATATCTCCTTTGACTGCTACCTTGGCAAGCTGTACAATCATCGACTGGCAATACAGTGTGAAGTTCTTCTCTACTGCTCTGATAAAGGCCGCTTCATGAGAAACGTGTCCCTGTTTCTCTATTGTCAACAATTCTGTGCCAATGTAATTCCACTGGTCAAAGTTCTGCCCCCTTCTGGCCTGTTGCAACGAACACATATCCAGAACAGCACCCAAAAGAATGACTCGAGGTCGTGCATGAACGAGTGTTGCTCGCCGAGAAGTATTCCAATAGCCATAAAATCCCTTGTACCAGTCTTTCCCCTTACCCCCGAGGCCCTAATACGCTGCTCCTTAATGCCAAAATCCATGAATCCGCAATTAGCCTTATTAATTATGAGATTGTTAATAAAGATGTCTCTGTGAAGAAGCCTGGCTTTATGTAGCAATAGCTTGTATCCTTCAATACAATTGGCCAGCGCGAGAATAGATTCCTCCAAGAGCTCGCCTTGTAGATAGGTTCCCAGTAGTCGCTAAGAATAACACGCCGATGCAACTCGATCTACCAGCGCATTGATACTAGATTTAGTCCTTATGTTAGCTCCGCCGGGGGTGAGGTGGGGGTAGGCTCTCTCTCTCCGTCCAGCCGGAGGCGCTCGTAGGGGCCCTCCTCCGAGGGAGGAGTGGACGGCTATTGTCTCTTTCCTTTCTTCGTCCGCGGTGGTAGGGTAGGTGGATTCGCAGGCTAGGCAGCGCCCCTAATAGCCTTGATTTCTTCCTTAGTGGGCTTTACAACTTTCCCGTTCTCGATCCGGGGTCAGGCGATGCAGGATCTGTCTGTAGGGGAGTGCTCTCCGTCAGGGTGGCCAATGAATAAAAAATATTTGATTGGCCAAAAATAAATATTCGATTTGATGACTAATTGAATATTTTTCGAATATTTGAAATATTTGTCATCCTACCCCGCAGTTATTCCTCACCCCACCTCCTGACCCCTCCATCAAATGCCTCATTCACCATTATCACCACCACCACCATCACCACCATTACCACCACTACCACCATTACCACCACCACCACAATGTCTTCCATTATATCTGACGATTCTTTGGCCTCTGGCCGCTCAAGCCAAATTGCGAGGGACCACGCCCGGCCACCTCGAGAAGATGAGCCAACACATGAGGGCAAAAATCTGATGTTTTATTGCAAATATTGCCCTGATTTTGGAGCCCAAAACACCTCAAACTTCAAAAACCACCTTCAATCCAAGCATCAAATTATCATCAAGACCTCTCGAGCAGTCAATACACCAAGCAACCTTGCTTTACAAAATCTATACGACCAAGCGCTTACCACCAACCAAACCTCAGAGCTAGATGCTCTGATTCTTACGAAATCTATCAATAAAAGGGTGATTACCGAAGCAATTGTCACTCTTATTGTCACTCACAACCTCTCCTTCCGAATAATCGAAAGCCTAGAGTTCCACACCTTCTGCAAAGCCCTCAATCCAGCACTTACCAACGAGATTATCTCATCGCATTCTGGAATCAGAAATCAGATTGAAAAGTCCTGGCTTTACCATAAGGACATTGTTCGAAAGAAACTTCAGTCAGCATTATCGAAGATCCATATCTCCCTCGATGTTTGGACTTCTCCGAACAAAAAACTATTCCTTGGAATTTGTGCTCATTTTGTGGACCGGGAGAGTGAGAAACTTTCTAAAGCACTGATTGCCCTTCCTTCAATTCCTTCACATCACGCCCAAGTTCAATGTACAGTGTTATTCTCTGTCCTTGAAGATTTTGGGATATATCAACAACTTGGCACAATCATCAGCGATAACGCCTTTACAAACGACAAACTATGTGACCTACTTAGCTCTATTCTTCAAGAAAAAGAACTGAGTTGGGTAGCGGCAGATAATCGGATTCGATGCAACGGCCATATCATCAACTTGGCAGTTCAAGCTTTTCTTTTCCAGGAGTTGGAAGATTTAAATGAAGAAGATGAAGATTTCCCAGAGAAGCAAAAAGTTACCTTTCGCAGTTTTGGCCCTCTTGGCAAACTTCATAATATTGTTGTTCACTCCCGTAGCTCTCCTTCTCGAATTCGTCAATTTAAAGACCTTGCTAATCGGGGTATTCCTCTTGATAATAGTACAAGATGGAATAGTTGGTATGAGATGTTGAGAGTTGCTGTTGAGAAAGAATCTGCAATAGATTCTTATTTAAAGTTATGGTATCAAGATCTTCAACATGATTTCTTATCTCCACAGGATTGGGAAACTCTTCGTTTGGTACTTTCTTTTCTGAAGCCATTTTACCGTGCAACAAAGGCAACTGAGGGAGATCTTGCTACCATTGACCGAGTTCTTTTCAATATGGACATTCTGGTTCAACATTTTAAAAAGAGCCTTCTTACTTTTCAATCTGATTCTTTCTTTTCTTCTCGGATTCAGAAAAGCTGGGAAGTCTTTGATAAATATTATCTAAAGACAGAGGACTCTCCTTATTATGTGGCAGCTATTATTCTTCATCCTTCACGTCGGACTTTATATCTCAAACATAACTGGGAAAAAAAGTGGGTTCGGCCAGCCATCCAGGCAGTTAAAAAACTGTGGGATGACTTTAAAGAGCAAGATTTCATTCCGTCAACTCCATTGCTTCCAGAACTAACAGAAGATCTTGATGACGATTACGACATCTTTGCTCGGAATCTTCAGAATTTTCCACAGCCACAAAGCAAAGATGACTTCGAAGAATACATATCAGAGCCTGCAATTCCAATCGACAAATCACCACTCACTTGGTGGTTAGATACACAGCAGCGGAAACGGTGGCCTCAGCTTTCACAATTCGCAATCAATATGCTATCAATTCCAGCAATGAGTGCAGAGCCTGAACGAGTTTTTTCAGGGACTCGTCGTACAATATCTTGGGAGCGGATGAGATTGGGCGAGACTACTGTTGAGATACTTGAGTGTTTGAAGCATTGGAAAAGGTCAAGGTTGATTGAACAGATTCGGATTGAGGAGGATACTGATCGGCAATAAGCGAGATTAAATATTTCAAATATTTCCAATCGAATATTCGATTGCTTAGTCATATTTATTCGATTCGAAATCGAATATTTTTTGCCCACCCTGTTGGCAAAGGTAGATTGAAGATTGGCTATCGCATGAATAAAAACGGTACCCTATTAATAGTCTACTTAGCATTATGGAAAAGTAAACTGAAAAGCCAAGATGGAGAAGTACTCACAATCATGCCTGCGTCCGGAATGAACGAGTAATTACCTCCACTAACTTCTGCGATAGATTTTAAGAGACCGGATTTTAAATTATAGCCAAATCCAACCGTATGGATGGTTGGTAGCAAGTTCGTTTTACGTAATTGGGAAACATATCCCTGAGGAGGGCACCTATAGTACGGAATAAAATTATGTAAGAGAAGGCAGGTACGCCTGATCAAGGTGGTCACAATAGAGGCAACAAGTAGGTCGAGCAAGGACTGGTATTGGCGTCAGACTTCAACCTGGCCCTCGCAAAGGAAGGTGGGCGAGGGCCGTGGCTTATATACATGCTCAGGGCTTTGTGTGCTTTGTGGCAACTGGCAGTGGCTCTGCTAGTTGGTGACAGGTGTGGGTATGTGTGTTTCCTTACAAAAAATCCTCCTAGGACGCCAAGATGCCCCTAACATTCCAAACATCAGACCATCACATCCTCATTTAGACCCATCCAACTTTGCTAATCCGCTGCAAACTTCAACATGCGAAGTTTTCGCCGCAATCTCCATCCTCTCGTGTCTAGATGCCATTGTTTCAGTTAGCCCCGCCGTCGGCCACGACGCTAATACTGAGGCTACTGAGCTGCAGGAGCGGGCGAGCTGCAACTACAATGTTGGATGCTATTGTGATGTCCAGATACAAGGCCAGGTTAGTAGTTTTACATATATAGATTGAGAGCTGCAAGCTTGAGCTACGAGTAAAGCTGACTAACATCTTTAGTACTGCGGCTGGTGCGACCAAGTCGACATCGGTAGCGCGCCTATCACCGACATCTTTGAGTGCAACCCGGACGGTAACTGTTGCAGCTACGGTCCTGCGACTAAGTGTAAAAACAAAAATACTGCTCGAGGGTTTTGCGCCGCTTAATTTTTGATGGTTGAGACCCTGTGCTGGACATCGGCCTTCTGCCAGCGCTTTGCAGCGTGCGGCTTTGCAGCCTCCGTTGGCTAAGCAGTGTGCGAAAACCTCCTCTGTACGAATACTGGGCACGGTGGTCTGAATGCTGGGCCAATCAGAGCTTGCTCCACTTCGACTTAGGCTTCCTGCCCGGTGGTGGCGTTGGTGTATTACAGGCCCGGGAATGATAACGGATGGTGCTAACGTACCCGCTAAATTTTCAGATACCTTTCTTTCGTGTTCAATCCCGCCACCACCGTTGCTCAACCGCTCCTTCGATCCAATTGGCAGTGTTACTTATCTCCCAGTCATATCTGCAGTTCTGTTCTGTCGGCAGATCATAACTTGGGCTTTGTCAGCAACTCGGACCACTAGAAACAGCAGCCAGACGCAGCCAAAATGCAGCACAACCCCGCACAGGACCACCACTTCAGCAGAGGCATGCTAGTCTCCCCCACGCAGTACATATCCTTGCAATCTGTCAGCGATTGGAAACGCAAAGCCTGTTAAGCCTTTTCCATTGCTGAATCAGGCCAGATGTGCATCCATTGGGCTGCGCCATACTCCAAGACTGGAGTGAATCGCTTCTTCTCTTCGCAACTACGTTCAGACTCATTGCATATTCCACTCACCACTACCTGGGCTGACTGTTTGCACTAGAAACAACGTCTATACGATTACAAAATGCGATCCCAGCTCCTCCAACGCCTGGCTAAGGTCAAGGCGAAAGTTAGCTTCGCGAAAACAAGCGAGGACGGGGGAGGCATCCCCAGCGGCCAAGGGGGGGGTACTAGTAGCATTTCGCTCCCACCAACTCCCGCCACGTTTTTAAAGAACGATAACGACATGGCCCATGGAATCCATGACCCAGACACCGTCGTCAGCAACATTGCACGCGCGTCGCCCACTCCTCCAGCACGACTTTGGGAATCCGCCTACGCCAAGCTTCTCGCCAATCCCGAGCTCGCCTCGCTCGTTGAAACATTTCAACAGCGGCTAGGCGAGTATGGCGAGATCAATCCAGTGACTACAGACACGACGGCGCTCGAGGCAAGTGAAGTGGACGCGGCGACACGACAGCTGCTACGAACCCAGCAACTTGCCCACGCCAAGCTTGAACGACTCTCAGACACATATCTCTCATTCCAAGTTGGACAGAGGAAGATTGTCGTTCGAGAACAGGTCTCCAAGGTGGTGAAATTCGTGTTAAAGTTCAAGGATGTGATTTCTTCAGCCATCTCAGCGGAGCCGCATGCTGGGCTGGCCTGGGCCGGTATTTTAGTGATCCTCCCTGTAAGTGCCGACAACAACTTAACACATCAGGTTTAGCTACTAACAGGTTTGCCTCACTGCTAAGATGTTGGAAAATATATCCAAGCAAGATGAGGACGCCTTGGCAGGCGTGGAGCTACTTTCGTTGTGGCTTGTGCGATATCGTCTGATCGAGGACGAAGTTATAAGTTCCACTGATAAGCCCTACGGGCGGCAGAATGAAGAGGCTGTCACGACAAAACTCGAGACGCAAATTATTGAGCTCTATTCCGACATATACGCTTATCTTATGAGGGTCGTCGTCGAGTACACCCGTGCCAAGCCCATCATGATGATGAGTAAGGCTGTCTGCCGGTACGATTGGGTGCAAATGGTAAAAGAGATGAAGAATAAGGAGGAAGAAATATGGAAAAGCCACGCCATCCTATCTTCCATAGCTGTGAAACAGAGCCTTGAGACTCTGGCGGTTAGCAACGATGCACTGAAGGATCTCATGCAGGCTACTGTGGCGACGGTCAATGTAAGCGAGCCCATGGTCTATTTACATAGAGGTGCTGACCAGGCTGCCTCAGGCATCGTATGACTTCAGCCTGCTTACTTCCATCCAATCGGCAGATCAAGCCTTATTCGACTCTCGAGAGGTCCGCAAACAAGGCAAATGCCTCCCCGGAACCCAATGCGCCACACTTGATGCCATCGGAGATTGGTTGGACGACCCGGATAGCGAAGTCATATTTTGGTTGCATGGGATGGCCGGTACCGGGAAGACTAGTATTACTCGCACGGTTGCCGACGCGCTTGACGAAGGAGTACCTTTTCGACCTCTTGGGTCCATGCCTCGGATGGCTGTTCTAGGGGCGAGCTTCTTTTTCCGCCTAACTAACGAGAGAATGGATCCTGTGGAAATACTGTTTTTCACCACACTCGCCAGCAGCCTGGCCCAGCGGACACCGCTGCTCCAGGAGCATGTCATCCGAGCCATCAGCGAGGAGCGCCGTTTCGCTGGCAAGGACCCCTCCTTCCAGATGGACCATCTTATTCTCAGGCCACTCTTATCGCTAAGCAGCAAAACAGAAGGCCAGATGCTGGTCCCGGTACGACTGGTGATAGTCGTTGACGCCCTGGACGAGTGCAGCGATGACGTTGAGGCTCAGAGAATCATCGAAATACTTGGGAAGCTCAGAGAGTTGGATGGCCATATTCAAGTTCGGGTCTTGATCATCAGCCGCCCAGAGCAACACATCAAAGACGCCATTACGGACCAGGGTGCCCGCTTCTTAACTCTAACCAAGGTTCCCCCCTCGGGTCCAGGAGATGGGGGCAAGGATGATATTACGGTATTCCTCGAGCATGAGCGACGTCGGATCGCTAAGAGCCGCAAGCTCCGACCTAACTGGCTCTGCGACGAAGATATCGCTCAACTCCGAGAGATGGCCAATGGCCTATTTATTCACGCCGCAACTGCTTGCCGCTTCTTGGATTGCCGACTTGAGCCCGAGTCACGCCGGGAGCGACTTAGTAGTGTTCTTTCAGGTGGTTTGGGGGACGGCACGCCACAAGCTAGCCTCGACATCATTTACCGCCAAGTCCTTGGCTTTCGCACAAAGGATCTTCGTACAGAAGCTGAAAAGCAACGTGCGTTTCGAGACCTCCGGCGTATTCTAGGCACTGTCGTGGTCGTGTTCGAACCAATCACAAAACCGGCACTCGTCAGTTTCTCTTCAGACGATCAAGGAGCTATGTTCTCGGATGAATGGCAAGAAGCGGTACGGTTTGCTCTCGACTACCTTCATTCCGTCCTCCATGTTCCTCACAGTAACTCCAGACCTCTGGAACTCGTCCACTTGTCATTTCGCGACTTCCTCCTCGACGAAGAGAGGGCAGAACACGACTTTTTCATTGCTGAGTTCACAGCCCACGAATATATCCTTTCGAAATGTCTCTCGGTGCTCCGACTTGAGCTTTTTCAGGATATGTGTAAGCTTCAAAACCTAGGAACTCTGACTTCCGATCTATCTCCGAGCCAGGTCAAGAAGCATTTATCAACGCCACTTCGATACGCCTCTAGCTATTGGGCTCAACACTTGGCCAACCTGTCCAAGTCACAGCGTTGGGCTGTGGGGCTACACGACGAAGGCGAGATTTACAAGTTCTTGACGACACAATTTCTCTACTGGCTTGAAGCTTTGTGCCTGATCGCCAAACCTGGGACCCCAATCCGCGCCATAAACCTTGTACTCGACTTGATTGATGTAAGTACAACCCCGCCAGTCGATTGCTCTTGGAGAAGCAATATCAATTTACCGCTCCAACTGACCATGGTTTCCAGCCCATCACCTCACCCAAATTAGCCTCTCTTCTCGAGGATGCTAAGCGGTTTGTCATGAGCAACCAATGGATCATCGAGAACGCTCCGCTCCAAATATACATCTCGGCGCTCATCTTCAGCCCCGCTCGAAGCCTTATCAGAACCCAGTTCTCAGGTCTTATTCCCGAGTGGATACAGCAAATGCCCAAAGTTGAGGAGCAGTGGAGCCCCGAGCTCTACGCCGTCGAGCTTGTTACACGGTACATCAAAACTCTCACATTCTCCCACGATGGCAAGTTGTTGGGGGTTACAGCTCTGCATCAAAGGGTTGAGGTATGGGATTCTCGTACAGGGACCATACAAGCGACATTTGAGGAATCTGGTTTCGCGCCCACTCGGATTGCATTTTCTCCCCATGACTCGGTTCTCGCATTGTGGTCCGCGGACGGTTCTATCAAGTTGTGGCATCACCCGACAGGCGGGAAACTTGAGATTGAGCCAGCATTCAGCGGGGGTAACAAGAACCGTGACAAAATGCTTGCGTTTACGGCGGACGGGAAAACGCTGATAGCGTTGACGCACCAGGGCGGTCCCGTGAGAAGATGGTCTTTGGCATGTCAACGCCCGGGGGCTCTTTGGCCCCTTGTGTCGACAGTGGTTCAAGACGATCGCCTACAGGATCTGGGGCAGATTGTCCCTACCGAAGGGATTCTGCGCCCCTCGGTTTGGGATATCCAAGATCGCGCGCCATCCTCGAGGGGACGCGATACATCTAGCATATACGTACGAGATGCGGCATTCTCAGCCCGCAACGAGGTGCTCGTGTTTGGTTGGAAAGACGATTCGGACAAGACGGACGACCAACTTGAAGGGATCGTTCTTTGGTCGGAAAAGTCGCAACGCACTATCCGCACTTTCAACCATTTCTGTGACCCGTTCGCAATCTCGAAAGATGGAAATTTCGGTGCCTCCTTCTCTTCTCACACATCTCTAGACAGCTGGGAGCTGAGTGTTTGGGATGTGCAAACGGGCAATGTATTGACAACAATGCCTTTGGTTCTTGGCCAACTGCCAGATACGATTGCCGTGTCACACATACCGGGAGATGGAATCAAGCTTTTTACTTGTTGGTCTAACGGAGCATCCAACCGCGGCAGGTTCTTTTATTTCGACTTGGCTTCAGCCTCGCCATTGACACCTTCCTGGGACCTCCCTACCATCATCACGGATCCCGGTGGTCCTGGCATCGAAGTCTCTGGGGACTCACAATACCTAGCAACGGTAATCGGCGATGCCGTCCAGGTGTGGGACCTGCAGGCTATATTGTCCATGAAGCGCGAGGAGACTAGCTTGTCTCCGAGCTCAAACATAGAGTCCGTTAGTCTCCTCTCGGATGACCGGGTGGGCATCATCTCTTGGACCTATACAGGCATATCATATGCTATCTGGGATATCTCGACCGGATCCTGTTCCGAAACACATTACACCTGGGGGAACCCCTTTATGGGCCCCACATCGAAGCCGATCTTCTCTCTAGACGGCCAGCTTGTGGCTCTGCAGAAAGGGAACTTTGGGGAGGAGCATATTGTTGTCTCGAACACAAACATGACACAAGTCTATGCTAGCTTTGACTTGGATGGCGAGGTTTGGTTTTCTGATGATAGCCAGGTCCTCGCAATTTTGGGTAGTGGGAGGAGAAACATCCGCTTTTTCCGGAGAGAGGGGTGGGAAAATAAGGTGACGCTCACGATTGACAAACATGAGACATTGGTTTACGTCTCCTTGTCCCCCACGGCCGACTTTGCGATCGTCGTGGTGAACATCGGCGAAGAAGGGGGGGAAGACCAAGAAGTTGGGGGAGCCCTGCGCTTATATAACTTGGCCACCGGCAATCTCCTCGCAGCCTCCGTGGTTGGTCGCCAGGTGGAGACAAAGAATATGTGGCTTAAAGGTGTTTTAAAAAGCCCGAACATTGCATTTTCATCTTCGGGGAACAAATTTGCATTCCAGCCGGCTTGGAATTTCTATATGGATCGGAGTTTACAGCCAGACTGGGAGAAGGTCAGCGACATAACCAAGCTCACGATGGTCGACACGTCATCGGGGCAGATCAGGGACGTGAATATACCGAGACCACTGTCGGAAATTTTAGGGGAATCGCTTTTCAAACACACATCAACGGTCGTATTCAGCAAAGACGGCAGTCGTGTCGCAAGTCTTCTTAGTTTTTGCCCTGGACGTGCACATATCGCGGTCATTGACCCTAGAACTGGCCAACAGATCCAAACAGTTCTGGCAGACTCTCATATCAACAATCTAGCCATCTCAACAACCGGATTGGTTGCTGGCGTATCTCCCAGAGGCTATGAACAGAAAATCACAGTCATTAGTCTTTGGGATGAGAGATCTGGAGGGAAAATAGGAAGTTACGAGATTGACGCCATACCAAAGGGAATTCAATTTGACAGCGAGTCAGGCTGCCTAGTTGATCTCATTGGCCGCTTGCCACTCCCGAGATCGGACGATCACGCCATCGAACCCGATGGCGTTACCAAGGACAATCATTTCTGTCTCCATGTCACGGATGAGTGGATTTCACAGGGATTTGAGAGGTTGATCTGGCTTCCTATGAGATTTAGACCGTCTTCGAACCGTGACGCTGTTCAGGTCAGCGGGGAGAGAGTGGTGATTGGAGCGAGTGGGAAGTTGATCTGCATGGAGTTAGATCTCGCGAAGTGGCGCTAGAAGGCTGTATCAAACTTCAATATCTGTAAATTAGTCTAGGCTAGGTGGAACTTGGTGAGGACTGTCAAGCTGCCTTTCATTGACTAGTTTTACCTTTCAATTTCGCCTTGCATGAGCTTTGGCCAACAAAATTAGGTCAATAGTGGTTCTAAACCATCGAATATTGGAGCTCAGCCACAGCTCGAGCCGTGGCAATGCCACCCTGAAGTTTTCCGTACACCCCAGTCAGCAATCAGTCCGGGGCGTTCACGGTGCTTACAAATATGAATAGCGCTGCCCGTTCTCGCAGTAGTGCGTACACTACAAGATTACGTAGTGCAGCTACAAGACCTTGATTAGAGCGCTAAGGGAAGGCTTTGCTGGTGCGCCGGCACACAGTCCTCCTGACCCAAAACTCTGTATGGTCGTTTATTTCCCTGACGTCAACATCTCGGTTGATTTCATAATGTCAACGCAAACTGCGAACCAGTATAGCCCCAATTCTCATTCAACTACATACCCTCCATTCCGGGAGATAAAAATGCCAACTCTCGGTCGTAACAGCCGTCATCTTTTTCAGGGATGCTGTCGAATGCGTTAAATCCATCAATTCTTTCTCGATCCGTCGACATGAGGATGAAATTTGTTACAAGCTTTGTGCAGATGTTTTGTGTTGTGAACTCCCAGACTTTCCCAAACTCATCCTGGGAAATGCCGACTATATCTCCATCGTAGTTAGGATCCTCATTTCGGCGGCTGACAAAGTGTCGCAGAGTTAGGTTGATAATCCCACTAAAATCGATACCATAGGAGAAGTTGAGATATTCGCAGGCTGTATCAGCAACCACTGAAGGGTCGGAGGAAACTGTGAGAAACTTGTTGGGGACATGGAAATAAAGAATCAGGTTCTTTGCCGGTTCCGGTGGAGGGATGGAGGGACCGTTGATAAGCTCCAATTCGCCCCTTTCACGTAGGGAGGTTGTCATCCCCTCCGTAGGGACGAACTCGATTTTATCACCGACAAGTGTAAATACTCCCGACGTAGGCATAGTGATATGTGCAATGTTGTAGGGCTAAGGTCGTGTGGAAGTAGGAAACGTTGCAAGAGGGATGATTATTCTATTCTTTCTGGCAATCTTGCGGCGAGACCCTCTTATATATACGCTTGCGCACAGGCCCTGGAAACCTACAGGGCTTCTGAAAAGGCTGTCGGTTTCGCCTTTGGCGACCTCTGAAGAAGCTCCTGCAATGCATTACATACGTCCTGGTAGATGATTTCTAAGAAAAGTAGCTATGAACCCTGAAGCCTCACTGAGCCAGGGACTCTATAGTAGCTGGATGTAATAGTACCTGGGTAAAGCACTCCCATGCACCGGTGTGCCTCAGCTACCCAGGGGGTTGCCCATTAAACGGATGATGCATGAAAACCTTTTCAGAATAAAGCAGTAGATGCTAGAAGCAACCGGAATCTGCTGAGCATCTACTAGGATAGCTACGGCGACGATACTATACCAGCTACAAATAATGGGCTTCAACCACTGTAGATAAATTGACATCCTTTGAATCCCTTGAAATCTGGCACACTTTGCTTATCTGCCTACTGGTATTTAGTCACCGATATCTCCCCCTCCCCTCTCCCGGCTGGCCTCCAGCGTTGTTCAGCTTCCAATGACTCCTCGGCTGCCTCCTGAAATCAAGACTCCGCTTCTTGGGCGGCTTGATATCAAAAGACTCCGGAAAAGCCTCGAGCTGCCCAGGTTCGGACTTTAAGAACAGTACAGAATGTTTCCTAGCTGTTATACCCTGGCAAGAGTTCCGGACTGTGTAAGGCACGTGAAAGGTGGTGGACACACACACACATAACGGGTGTGCAAACAAAGTGAACAAGTGTAAGCAAGTCACGGAGATCGTGAGCAGTCAAAGGATGCTCCAGTGCAACAACGCAAAGCAGTGTTAACAGTGCAGTGTTATTATCGTTACTGAAGAGCGACAAAAAGAAAAACTGGACTGGTGTCGTAAGGGCTTGTGAATATATGTATTTGTCCTGCCGAACGGCCGACTGAATGAACCCGAATCTCGAGTCCATCAACTCGGCCGGCGTCGTGGACCCGAACCTCGGGTCCTGAGCTTCGGTCGTGTTCTAATTGGCTGTCCTGGGATCTACTTACGCTGGATGCCTCAGGTTAGAGGGTGGCCCATTTCATGGGTCGTGACATCCCAGAGGAGCAAGACTGCTTTCGCCATAACTATCCCAGTTGCCCTCAACATCCTTATCCTCCTCATAATCTGCACTATAGCCTTCTTCAATAGCATCTAGTGACAACTTCCTGAGGGGTGCAATCTCGGCCACGTTCGCGCTATGCTCTATTCACGAGCGATACGTACTTACGTACGTCTTATACTCTCTCCGCAGTCGTCAATTAGTCTTAGCGAACCACAAACGAGTAGTTAGCAGCCGTGGTGTATATATGCCCTATATGTCACAACCTTCAGTTCGTTGGCTTTAGTTACCGACCCTTTGATTCTGTCCTCATGCAATAGGATAAACCCGGTATATATTGTAAAGCTGATATTTCCACAGCTGGGAACATAGTCTAAATATGACCTTGCCAAAAAAAAAAAAATAAATAAAACTCAAAACACAATTTTTGCTTCTACGGAAACTTTAAACTTGAAAAAAAAACTAAAGAACGGATTCAAAAAATGCCGTTAACTTAACAACGGTTGCTGTAGTAATACCATTCCGCTCCATAAACAATGAGTTGTTTCCGCCACTCTTCCTCCCCAAATTCTTATAAAATAAGCTTCTTGCATTCTTCGACCGCTTCTTGCCCTCGAATTCGGCTTATATTGTCTCTAGTTGGCTTCCAAACGTACTCGCAGGTAATAGATCCATTGGCTTCACGTCTGATGTTTCCGATGTTTTGAATGTTCCAAATCAGATCTTTCCTTGTAGCAGCTGTCACGACCAGGGCAAGGCATTGAGGTGAACTCAGTCCATTGGGTGCTATCGACGAAGATTCTAAACTGAGGAAGGAAAGAAGGAAAAGTCCAACAACGCGTCGCGTGCTCGCGAATAAGTTTTCATCTATCAGTGGGGTAGGTGGGGCCTCGAGGCGGCTTCTGATAGGCCCGGGGTTCTGGGCGGCTCTGGCTGCTTGAGGGCCAGTTTGGTGGACGGGTCCTCACAGAGTGCAGTGAATGTGTATTGCTTGCTTGAAGAACCAAGCAAGAACTATCTAAGACCGTGGCTACGGTCGTCGTATATATCTATCTAAGGTGAGCCAATTAGGATCCTCAGTGTCTACGCCCTGCGGGTCCAGGGCGCTCTGCTCACAGAGCGCAGGAGCCCCACGGAGCGCCTGCCCTGTCCGCCCTGTTGTGTGACGAACCTGGTTCGTACTGGACCAGCTGCAGGAGGCGGGTGCCTCAGGCAAGACTGGGGACCCCGCTCGTCGCTGAGCCAATCAGACGGTGCCCGGTGCCAAGAGGGCTCTTGGCACCAGGCAAACGGAAGGACGGCCAATCAGAGGTGGCCCGGTGCCAAGAAGGGTCTTGGCACCAGGCAAATGGCCCGGCACGCTAGCAGTGCCCGGTGCCAGGCAGCTCCTTCCTGCCGGGCAAGTAAGAGCTGTGCTCTCACTGGCCCGCCATAATTAAATAAATACGATGACCGTGTCCACGGTCTTAGATAGTTCTTGCTTGGTTCTTCAAGCAAGCAATACACATTCACTGCACTCATACACTTTGAGTGGCATTCCGATTTGACTGTATTACCCGTGCGATAGGAGCTTGCCCTTTGTTCTATCTTCATAATTACCAACCCCAGCATTCTGTGGAGCCCGTGCCCCCTTACAGACAGACGACCCTGACAGTCGAGTGGTTTGTAATACGTTGCTTGCTTCCCTCTTTGGTACTGATTGAACAAAGTGCTCGTCGCACAACGACAACCTGGCTACGCCTGGGGAGGACACGGTCCTGCCAGACACCCAGCCAGAAGGAGAACCCGGTTCGTCAAGCAGTGACGAGTCTGACGTTAGTAGCATCGCTGGATCCATCCAGCCTGAGGACACGGAGATCAGAGACGCAGACGCGGCTCCACCCCAGGATAACGCCAGTGACGAGGGAGTCACGGACCTCGCGCAGCAACTCGGACCCCTCTCGTTGAACGACAACATGGCGACCAACGCACAGCTGGTGGCGGAAGTCACCCAGTTGAAAACGGATCTGGCGGAGGCCGGAAACAGGATTTGTGGCCTAGAAGCGGCCAAGGCACCTCCCCAGAAGAAGCTGAAGATCCCCCACCCTGAGCTCTACGATGGAGACAAAGACAAGTTCGAAACATGGAAAGATTCGGTGCTTTCCTATACGGCGTACAACACCGATGAGTTGCCGTACCACAAAGATGAGGTAACGTACCTCGGTACTAGACTTGTGGGAAAAGCGGCCACTTGGTTCGAACCCTACCAGAAGGCGCTAGCGCTACAGCCGGCAGACAGAAACCCGGAAATCCACGCCATCATCCAGAGGGGAGTTAAGGAGGTTCTTGCACGAATGGGAGAATTCTTCGCGGACCGTCACATCCAACGGAAGACGGAGGAACAAGTCAAAAAGTTGAGGCAGACTCGCTCAGTGGCTGAATATGCAGTGGACTTCCAGACCTGCATGTTGCACCTCGACTGGTCGGTTCAGGGGCAACTGCTTGCGTTCTACGATGGTCTCAAGGACCACGTCAAGGATGAGCTTTGCAAAACGCCTCGCCCAGAGACACTGAGGGAGTACATCGACGCGGCAATCAACATTGACGACAGGTGGTTCCAGCGAGAGAATGAAAAGCGCAGAGAGAAAAAGGAGGGACGCTCGGCAAGAGGCTACTACGGCAGTCAGGGCAACAAAGCCAATGACAAGAAAAAAAAGGCACACTCCAAGCACCTCGTACGGCACTCACCCAGGACCGATGGATGAGAGCGTTGGCGCAATCTCTCAGGCACAGCACAGGAACCAGGACCAGGGACAGCGCCCACCACGCGACAAGAAGAACGACACTTGCAATAACTGTGGCAAAACAGGCCACTGGGCTAGAGATTGCCGACAGCCCAAGAAGCAGGGACAAGGAAAACCCCCGAACGACAGGAGGGCACGCTTCAACGATTCCCAGGCCATTGGAATGGTACTGGAAGACGCCAACGATTCTCAGACCATTGGAATGGTGCTGGAAGATATCGACGAGGAAGAGAGTCTACCGGACTACGGAACCGCGGCACTTGCCCACGAACTCGAGGAAGCCTGGGGACCGGAAGTCCCGCAGGTCCCGGAGTCGACGGACAGAAGGAGCGACCGCGGAACCGGATCGGAAGACGAACCAGAGACCGAATCGGAAAACGAGGAGGGTCCAGGTCAACGGACCTTCAGCTCACGCAAGGAGGAAAGACTGGCCGGACAAGCGGCCACTCGGCAAGAGATCAAGGGCATCAGGCACTTCCTCGGGAAACTGAAGGAAAGACAAGACCAAATGGTCGCGCTGATCGACAGCGGCAGGCAGTCGTCGCAAGGGCGACAGCTCGCCTTTGACGAACTGACCAGAGTCACCCTTCAGAAAACTGAGCTCTTGGAGCAGCTCAATGTCGAGACTGAAGAGTTTGAGGACGAGCCAGCACCGCCTGAAAGCTGGATCAACCCTGAAGAGCGAGAAGAGATCTGGTGTGCCAAGAGGGCCCTCGAGGATACCAGAATCGGGGAAGCATTCCTGGACCTCGCCGAAATCGAGGAAGCAGAAGAAGATGAGGAACCCGGAGACGCACACCAGCTACACCCCACGCATCCTAAACACCAGGAAGTGGACTAGGCGAGCTGCGTTCACGATACTTGCCGGACACATCTTTCGCCAAAATGGCTCTACAACCACTTCCCGACAAGGAAGTCAGGACAGGCGATTCCCAGGGTATACCGACATATACCTACCTGGCATACACGGGTCGGCACGGCTACGAAAGACCACCAGGAGGAGGCGGAGATCGTGATCGAACCCCTCTCACCTAAACCTTGCCGAGAAGGCAAAACCAACTGGAGGACTTGTCGACAGGCAAGCTGCCAAGTCCACCAGAGGCAGAAGCTTGAGGACTGGCACAAAAGAAGGACCCAGCACCTCACCCACTCCAGAAACAGGAGGCTCAACAAGACGCACCGTTCGTGGTCTTCGGTTGAATACCGCCTGGAGGCAGAGACGATGAGGAGGATCGAGCCAGAAGAATCCGCCTATCGAAGCCACGAAGAACGGCTCGTTAGGTTCCTCCATCGTCAGTACGAGAAGCGTTTGGGAAACGACTCGCGGGCCTCCAGCAGGCCCAAAGGAAGCGAGTAAAACCCACACTTCAACGGACCGATACCGAAGATTGGAGGCATCTTACGGTCGGGTCCTCAGAAAGCCCTCAACAACGGCCTTACCCGGATGAACAGAGCATCGGCAGGGTAGAGGCAGACGCACGATTCCCACGTGGGCTACACGTTCAGGCCCAGTGCGAATGGAGGACGAAGAATCCTCAGGAGCCAGTCATATTCCTAGCGAAGATCGACGGCGGGAGTGACAGGAACGTCATCTCGGAAGACCTTGCTACGAGGCTCAGAATCCCATGGAGAACGAAGGCAGTACCGTTACGACTACGGACCTTTGAGGGAGAGCTTATGAGGCACAACGGGGGGCGTTGTACGAGAGAAACCCAAGAACTCTTGATCACGGTCGATGGACAATCTCTCAACGTCGTTTTCGACATCCTACCCTTGAGTAAGCAGGTTGATATACTGCTAGGGGACCCTTGGATGGAAGAATATAACCCCGAAATTTGGTGGAAGAAGGGCGAGAAGTTCCTCACCAGCCGCCAAGAGCACAGCCGAGGCTCGGGACGCCGAACTCGAGGAGAAAACCGCCAAGGTAACGGCGAAGGGCCACCCAAGAACACGGGTAGGAGCCAAGATCGCCTTGCAGGCCAACGCAGGGATCGAGAACGGTCGACTGAGCAAGAGGAAGAGCAAGAAGAGAGGTTCATTATGCTCATCCACGCTAGCGAGCCAGATGAGGACGACTTGAGCAAGACACCGGATGAGTTCAAGGGCGTACCACACGAATACTTGAAGTACGACATCTTCAGAGAAAAGATGAGGGACGAATTACCCTCACATGGTCCATTTGACCACGAGATCAACCTCAAGGAGGGTGCAAGACTCAGGAAGCACAAGATCTACCATATGACCCCACAGCAAGATGAGGCTATGAAGGAATACCTGGATGAGAACCTGCCCAAAGGTTTCATCAGGCGTTCACAGTCACCAGTGGCGTATCCAGTGATCTTCGTGCCGAAGAAGCATGGAAAACTACGCATGGTTGTGGACTATCGTTCACTAAACGAAGAGACGATCAAGAATCGTTACCCGCTTCCGTTGATTACCGAGATGAGAGATCGGCTTTCCGGAGCTCAGTGGTTTACGAAACTTGACCTACCTTTTGCGTTTGGCCACATCAGGATCAAGAAAGGAGATGAGTGGAAGACGGCTTTTCGAACGAGACACGGCCACTTTGAGTACCAAGTGATGCCGATGGGCCTGACCAACGCTCCAGCATCGTTTCAGGAGATGATTGACCATACTTTACGGCAAGCGATAGACGACTTCGCTATGGTCTACGTCGACGATATCTTGGTCTATAGCAAGACCCTCAAGGAGCACAAAAAGCACGTGCATCAGGTGCTGAAAGCTCTTGCGGGAAAGGGACTCTCGGTTAACCACCAGAAGAGCGAGTTCCACACGCAGAAGACGACTTTTCTGGGATTTGAGATATCCCCAGGGGAAGTTCGAATCGACCCAGCAAAGATAGCGGCAGTCAGAGACTGGCCCGCACCAGAGAACCCCACAGACGTCAAGTCCTTTATTGGATTTGTAGGGTTCTGCCGGATGTTCATTAAGGGATTCGCGGCTATCGCGCGACCGCTTCATGAACTCACCACCAAAGATACCCCTTGGGTATGGGAGGAAAGGCACCAGCAAGCCTTCGACTTGCTTAGGCAGAGGATGATCGAGGAGCCTGTTCTGAAGCTCCCCGATTTCAGCAAGCCTTTTGAAGTCGAAACGGACGCTTCAGACTACGCTCTGGGAGCGGTACTCAAGCAGAAGCATGACGGCCACAAGCACCCAGTCGCCTACATCTCTAAGGCTCTCCACGGCGCCGAGCAGAGATGGCAGATTCACGATAAGGAGCTAAAGTCGATCATTTACGCTTTCGAGGACTGGCAGCCATACCTCAGTGGAACGGAACACCCGGTATAGGTGTACACCGACCATCAGAACCTCCAGCAATGGGCCAAGAAGCAGAAACTCAGCGGCAGACAGACACGTTAGGCAGAGTTTCTCGCGCCATTCAACTTCGAGATCCACCACATCAAAGGCACAGAGAACGCCAGGGCGGATGCTCTTAGCCGGAGACCAGACCACCGGGTTAAAGGCGAGCAAGTGGAATCTCCGCCGCTCTTTGAGAAAGACGGAGATGTGCTGCGCCACCCGATCGAGGACTGGTACGATTGTTGCATGGTCTATAGAGTAGATTGGGCCAACGAAAAGGAATACCAGTTCCAGGTCACTACTCCAGAGGAAGAAGAAGACCTTCCGTTCGGTACTGCTACCGACGGTCTAGGCAAAGTCTGGTACGGAAACAAGATGTACGTCCACCCGGACGTCCAGGCGGAAATGATCAGGGAGCATCATAGCGCTAGGCTCAACGGACATCTTGGGCAAGCAAAGACGCTCGCCAGAATCCAGCAGTGGTACGACTTCCCCAAGATCAGAACACGGGTGAAGGAAGTACTAGAAGAATGCGAGGAGTGCAACAAGAGCAAGGCAAAACGGCACATGCCGTACGGACTCTTGGAACCACTGCCAGTCGCCGAAGATCCATTCAGTTCAATCACAATGGACTTCATCACCAAACTACCACCCTCGAAGGACCCAGTCACGGACGTGGTCTACGACGCGGTTTGGGTAGTTGTGGATAGGTTTACGAAGTATTCGTACTTCGTACCCTTCAAAGAGACTTGGGATACCGCACGGTTCGCCAAGGTCTTTTGGAAGCACATCGGGTCAAAGCACGGTTGGCCAAGAGAGATCGTCACAGACCGAGACAAGCTGTTCGTCTCCAAGTTCTGGAAGAGTCTTACGGAAGAAATGATGACGAGAGGCAAACCTTCGACATCACACCACCCGCAAACCAATGGGCAGACAGAGCGGCTCAACCAAATCCTGGAAACTTACCTCAGGATCTACGTCAACTTTGAACAAGATGACTGGGTTGACCTCTTACCAAGCGCAGAGTTCAGTTACAACACCGCGGTTCTGGAGGCTACCGGAACCACACCCTTCTTCAACCTTTTCAAGCACGATGCGGATCTTAGGCAGGGACCACCTGCGGAAGCACCAAGCGCGCCCCGTGCAAGAGTGGTTGCAGATCGGGTCAAGGAACTCCACGTTTACCTCCAGGGGAGACTCGAGTTAGTACGCCAGCACATGAAGGAGTACTACGACAGACACAGGCTCGAGGGACCTCGCCTAGAGGAGGGGGATAAAGTTTATCTCTCTACGAAATTTTTGGCGACAAAACGGCCAAGTAAGAAGCTGGACTTCAAGAGAATTGGACCGTTCAAGATTGAGAGAAAGGTTGCGACTTCCAACTACGCACTTTCACTACCTAGCTCGATGAAGCTGAGGACCAACGTCTTTCACATTTCGCTTTTGGAACCAGCACCCAAGAATGCACGGCTGGAAGAGGATGTCGAAGTCGAGGACTTCGAAGAAGAATACGACGTCGAGCGAATCCTGGATTCACGACTCGTACGAGGAGAACTTCAGTATCTCATTAAGTGGCTTGACTGTGGAAATGAGGAGAACTCGTGGGAACCAGTTTCACTATTGAGTTGCCCAGAAAAGATCCAAGAATTCCACCAGCAAAATCCAGATCGGCCCAGAGAGCCTGCGAAGGCAGTCCCGAGACGCCGAGCGCGGCACATCCGACAAGGAGGAAGGACCCGCGGTTAGCCAGCTGCGAAGGATGCAGGTTGCGCTGCAGGCGACTCCAGGAAAGAAGCGATGTCGGCCTCCACCGCGGCCTCCATCGCGGCCCAGTCAATGGAAGCAGGTAGGGAAGGGGACTTGGCGTCGCCAGAAGCTGCGACGGAAGCCTGGGCCTCCAACCGTTCCTCCTCCTCCAGTTCCGCAATCGCGGCGTCCTCGTGTAGGTATACCTTCGCCATCTTGGATTGGAAGGCAGCGCGTCGTCGTTGGTGACGACGACGCAGGGCGGCAGCATCCTTTCGGTACATGGCCGCGTCCGCGAGCAGCTGCGCAGCCTTCTCATCAAGGGCAGTGGCCCTCTCTTCTTCTTCTTCAAGATCCGCGTACTCGTTCTGAAGAGCACGGTCTGGGAAGACCGTTGTCAGCTAGGACCTTCAGGATCGCAAAAAGGGGAGCGCACAGTCGGGGCCGTCGAGGCCACACTGGAGATTGCCAACCCGGACACATTCAGCGCAGCGCTTCGAGCCAGGAGAAGCGTGGCAAGCCGTTTTCTTTTCGCGGCAACGCGGACAGGAGGGCATGGCGACGGGTCCTTGCCAAAGGCTCTGAATACGCTTACGGCGACGAAGGGTGCTCTTCGCGATAGTTCTAGTTGGGGGTTTGTTCATGGTCAGCGGTGCGCGCGATGCGTGTTGTAAGGGAAAGGAACGCCTACTTCAGGCTTCTGGTCGCTGACCATTGTTGGCTTCGGGACGAAGCCTGAAAGGAGGGGCATCGTGTTACGATCCTGGCTCAAGTCTGCAGGAGGCGCTGGAAGCCGACTGCTGATTGGCCAGCACTGGCGGGCAGGGCGGGCCCCACATGAGCTCGGTGCGGCCAGTCAGGCGGCGCTCAGTTCGTTTGGGTGCCAAGACTGGGAAGGCCCACTGAGCAGAAAGAACAGCCAATCGGGAAAGTGCTCAGTTACCATTGAGAGCTCAGTCGTCCTTGTAGACTGAGCGCCCCGGAGGCACTGAGCACTGTAAGGGAGAACTCTGATTGGTTGCGCAATTAGATAAATACGATGACCGTACCCACGGTCTTAGATAGTTTTTGCTTGGTTCTTCAAGCAAGCAATACACATTCACTGCACTCATACACTTTGAGTGGCATTCCGATTTGACTGTATTACCCGTGTGTCACGAATCCCTGTTCGTACTGGTTGGGAAGCAGGGCAGGGGTGGCTGGACCCGCCTCGGCTAGTCACGTTAAAGGAGGGGCTTGGACCCACAGTTGCTCTGTTCGGTGGAGAACAGAGCAGAAGGACCCGCATTTGCTCTGCACGGTGGAGTACAGAGCAACAGTTTGGTTGGCTGCTCTGTAGCTCTGTCGGAGAGCAACAGAGCAATGCTCTGTAGCTCTGTCAGAGAGCAACAGAGCAACGCTCCAATTGGCCCAGCTTAGATAGATATATACGATGACCGTGGCACCGGTCTTAGGTAGTTCTTGCTTGGTTCTTCAAGCAAGCAATACACATTCACTGCACTCATACACTTTGAGTGGCATTCCGATTTGACTGTATTACCCGTGCGATAGGAGCTTGCCCTTTGTTCTATCTTTATAATTACCGACCCCAGCATTCTGTGGAGCCCGTGCTCCCTTACAGACAGACGACCCGAACAGTCGAGTGGTTTGTAATACTACTCCATTGTTGTTATGATCCTGGTTCAAAGGTGCAGTAGGCGTTGCCCGCTCGCGACAGATTGGCTGGAGTGGCATTTAGGGCGGGGCTCTCGGCGAAGTGGATGCAGCCAATCAGGGAACGCTCAGTATGATCAGTACGCCCAGTCGGCTCAGTTGGCCTTGGAGCGCACTGAGCATACGGAGCGCACTGAGCACATAGGATAAGGATTCTAATTGGTTGTCATAGTTCTATATAGGAGCTGGCAGAACGCTCCCCCTGGGAGAACGGTTCTGCAGCTATCAATGCATCTGGGTAAGCATACATTGGTTGTGTGTTGAAAGCCTGTCTTTCGCAATCTGTGCACGATACTCCTTGTCTCCTGTCATCTCCTACCTGCCGTCCAGACCCCCCACAATCCTAGGCCGGGCCTAGCTCCGTGGACCTGTTGTCCAGATTGTAACAATTGTTGCAGGCCTCTCTGGCCTCTGTAGCCTGTTGGCCAAAGGCCTGTTGGACCCAGTTGTTGTTGGTTGAGTGCCACTCTTTAGTGGCACTGTCCCTGAAAGTCACTACAACATCTCCACTAGGGAGTGATCTGGCAGCTATAGCTCCTTGTTGGGTAGAGGCTTGGTTGACGGCTTAGGTGACTTCTTGTGGCGTTCTTTTGGCTAGGGCTTGTGACGGCGGTCAACAGCAGCTAGGAAGAATGTCGCTAGTATTGCTATACCATTGTCTAAGGATTCTAAGATAAGGAAAAGAAAGGAAGAAATTCTACAAAGGTGTGATCCCGGGCGCGGGGAAGTGGTGGTTGTGCCAATCGCGCACGGACCAATAGAGTTCGCGCCCCACTAGGGCCCCAGTCCCGATTGGGGATAGTGCCGGGTAGCGTCATGGCGGGGTTCGGTGCAGCTGGGCGCCAACCGTGACAGGGCTACCGGCATGTTGTGGCCCCTAGTTAGGATTTCCTGGGCTAGTCGGGAGGGGATAACCTTTTTCCGGGGGTTCTGGCTAGGTAGGTTCAGGGGATTCGGGGGGTTGAAGTCCTCTGATAACCAAGGTCGCTTCCTTCCGTGTCGCGAAGCCAGAGTCACAGAAAAAGTAGGCTAGCATTTTTCTGTTCGTTTTGGAGAAAGCTGTCGACAGCTCCTCGGTAAGGTATATGGCCATGGTCGATTTCCCAGTCTCTGGATTCCCATGGAGCCATAGGACATGGGTCGTCTCGCTCTCCTGGCCCGCTGTCTGGCCGGAACCAAGCCAGGCAGTGAGCTCTTCCGTGCGGAGTATCCACTCGCAGGTTCTGAGAGCACGGTCTCCTTTCTTCCGCTTCAATGCGTTCTTGTCCTCGAGCAGATTAGTTACGAAGAGGTCGCGTAGACAGTCATTGAGCTTCTCCGTCCTAGCACCTTGGCAGTCCATTAGCAGCAGGCTTACAAATGTAAGCAAGACCATACTCCGTACCTATGGTCACATTCCCAGTCACCTTGATATCCCCACTTCCACTGTTTTGGAGTCCGTATCTATCGAAGAAAGATGGAGTAGTATCCGCCGCTATTATGGGTCGCTTTGAGGGTCTGTTTTCTGCCAGAGATTCCTCGGTAACCCGGCGCTTGTTGGATTTGGCATCCATGAGTGGTTTTCCTCGAGCTCTTCGCAGCAGTCAAGTACAAAGACGTTAGGTCATTGAGAATTCTGAAGGAAAGGCTGAACGGGATCGAGTGTTGGGCGCCAATTGAAACTGCGGGGCATTTCCTACGGTGGCGCACAGACCACATACAGTGTGCACAGACCACATCAGTTCTCCACTTTTTACGCCGGCTGGAACTCTCGTGGAATGGGATGCTCGGTTTTAATTTTTACCCATCAACTACAGCAACTGCTATCCTGTGCGTCATTGTTAGCGTCAATCTCTCTGGGGTCCTGAAGCTTAGATCACCCCCGAACCAACTCGTACAAAATGAGATTACTAAGATGGAAGGTAGACGAGCTACGTCAGCCCAACCGAGAAACACCGTGCCCTAACCAGGCGTGCAGAGCGTGTCCAGTCGCTTGGCTACGAAGCCTACAGTCTCGGTATCGTGTGCGCGCTAGAATTCGAGATGAGCGCTGTCCGCTACATGCTGGACAAAGAACATGCCCGTTTGCCCAGAAAGCTAGGCGACTCGACTCTGTATGTCCTCGGAGAGCTCAGCGGCCACAACGTGGTCCTTGCCAGCCTTCCCGGCAGCCAGGGGAAGGGCGCGGCAGTGGCGGTGGCAAAGGATATGGCGCGTACGTTTCCGTCGATCGAGCTTCGGTTAATGGTCGGTATCGGAGGAGGCGTGCCGAGCGGAAAGAATGACATTCACTTGGGCGACGTTGTGATGAGTGTGCCCGACGGCGAGCATGGTGGCGTGGTTCAGTACGATCTGGGCAGGAACACGGACGACGGCTTCGTCATGAAAGGATTCCTTTGGCCGCCACCCGAGATTTTGAGGAGTGCTGTGGGAATTATGCGGTCCGACCACAGGGTTTCGCAAAACAAGATCCCTGAGTTCCTGTCGGCCATGTTTCAGAAAAGCGACGACCTTCGCGTCTCGTACCAGCGGCCTGTAGAGCCGGATGAGCTCTTCCAGTTAGAATATCGTCATGTCCCCAACCAAGCCACCTGTCAGCTCTGCGACAAGATAAAACGGGTCTAGCGTCCGCTGCGTGAACCGACCCCCAAGATTCATTATGGGCTTATTGCGTCTGGAGACCAAGTCATGCGGAGCGCCCCGAACGCGGCCGAAATGGATAGGAGGGTTGTTGGCGATGTCCTGTGTTTCGAGATGGAGGCGGCGGGCATGGCGACCCAGTACTCGTGCATCGCCGTCCGGGGCGTCTCGGATTACGCAGACTCACACAAGAACGACGCCTAGCAGCATTATGCTGCGGCTGCGGCTGCGGGGTGCGCTAAGGAGCTCCTTTCGTATGTGGACCTGCCGCAGCCTTCCACGACGATAGCAACCGTCGGTCAGCATGGATTCGACTCGTCTATGGGCAATGGTCCAGCTGCGCAACACATCTTCCGCGGCCAGGGCGTTCAAAACTCGGGGTCTGGCAATGTCTCCATAGGGAAGAACCTGAACATCGGCAGGATTGATTCATGGTGAAGGGACTCAGACTTTCAGCTATCTGGCATGCCGTTATCTACATCCTGTCGCGGGAATGGCTGGAAGTGATGACCAAGTACTCTCATTTCCAAGCCTGTCAAGGTAGGCTGCCACATCCCTGGTCGCAGCGCTACTGCCACGCAGACTGCGGCGTTCGCGCACGTTGACGAACTCTCCTGGGCGAAACTCGAACCCATCTAACAGATTCGTCAACAGCGCCTTGTTGGGTCGGCAATGTTTCCCTTTCGGCAAAGGGAGAAAGATTAGATAGCACGGGCCATAAACCCCGCCACAATTCCGCCGCGAATGAGGGAAATAACAAGGACCCATCCAGCGACACCGCCTTTGCCGTTCTGCCATGACATCAGGGCCGTGCGTTCTTGTGCAAGCAATCGGCAAGCCGAGAACAACCTCGCATCACGACTTCCGGTCACGTAGACGCCAGAACGCCGGTTGCGGAAGCGAATCGCGCGTGCGACACCACAGGCCAGCATTGGGACGACGTCGTCGGCACGGTTTTAGCTGGGAGGCGGACGCTTTCTGGGGTGCTGTAACCACACACTTCACGTTATCTGGCCAGTTAATCGCTCACGATCTGTTACACCTTTTTCACGCCGCCGCGCCGCCGGGCTAAAGATGAGGCTATGCTTATTTGTTATGATAGTTGGAGCCCATCCCCCTCCCCTTCTTTTTTTAACTACATGGACTGACAACTAGCACCTCTTCGTAGTACGAACGTTCACCTTGAGAAGCGCGAAGACGACGGTTATCCCGGCATACCGCGACGGCCGACCCGACACGGTACGAGACTCAAAGCCACGACTAGCTCGGGTGGGCTGGCGATCACGGGCCTAATACAAGTGGATACTGCGACTGAAGAGCCGGAGGGGAACCGCTCGCGACGGCGATCTCGACGTCATCTGCGGCAAGCGCCAGGCGTGACTGTATCATCAGACCTGTTATCACCCCAGCCGGGAAGAATGGCCACACACCAAGTCATCCGCCAGCAACGGCCGGTAGGTCATGCCGTTCAACGACGACGCTAAACGTTGGGGGGGGGGGACCACAATCATGGCCCAGTTCTCGTCCCAGCCAAATTTTGGTCAACCGCTGCCGGCCACACCGGTACGGCTTCGTTCTTATGCCACCTGCTTCTCGGTCTCGGCGGCTTTTACTAGACGATGCGACGGAACTTGTACGCTACACGGTGGCGCTGGCGCAGCTTTTGATGTGCGATCGAGGTGCCCCCAAGGCCAGTTGGAAGTATCGAGGCTCTGGCGGCGCTCACCATACTGCGAAGCAGATTAGTTCTTGAGGGTCAAAGTCGCAAAGGCAAGCTACGGCCTACACAATGGTTAGCCGGCATGAGCCAGGCAGGCAAGAGCGAGGGCCTCGATATCAGCATCACCATGGACAACCAGCTCCTAGAGCAGCTCTTCATCTCCCGAGTGCGCCCAGGCCGCCGACTTCGCAAGCAAACTCGGCCCGCCCCAGATCGGCTCCAAAAAGACAAGCGGCGGCAGCAGCAACAATGAATTCTTGGTCACGCCGTGGCATCCTCACCAGAGTCTGGTAAACGATTGACGATATCTCGTCCTCTGAGCCGTACGGCGTCATGAAACCCAGTCAAGCGCCATTGGGTGAGCCGAGACGTTAGCGATTGAAGCCGACGCCAAAGTCGACGAGAGCGACAAGCTCAAGGAGCTCGAGAAGAACTTTGACAAGTGCTAGGCAGCCGTCGTTAAACTTGTTAAACAATCACAGGAACCTAAACTGATAGCTCATTTTAGAGTTGTCCGGTTGAATCCATTCCACTTGTCGTCGCCCGCCAAACCATTCCACTAGTTATCATCCTTCTTAACGTCGTTATCATCCGAGACATCTTGGTCCCACTGGATATCGACATCGCCATCTTCATCGCTAGATAACTCAACCCTAATTTCCCTCCGCGGATGGCAGCTTCCCAGTACGAGAAACGCACTTAAATCTTCGCTTGATAACATCCTTCCAGGATATTTCTGAGGGTTCCTGAGGCTCGGGATCCTCGTACCCATCCGCGGGGGGCCACCAAACCCATCCAGCCTCATACTGATCTTGATTTGTAGGATAGACCGGCCAACCCTACGCCACTCCGCCCAAGTCAACGAGCAAAAACCAGAAGCACTCGTCATGCAGCTAGTATAGATACCTCCATCACCAACGACCCAGTCCTTCTCGAACCACGGATCTTGCTCAAGCTTGGCTCTGTAGTCCTTCATCCGTGCAGCTCGAGCTGGCCCGAAGCCTCCATTCACTCCTACCTCTCCAATACCGTCATATGCCAAGACTAGGCGCTCGCCCTTCTGCGCATATACCGCGATCCAAATGCCGTCGGCACCTCGGTGGAAGATAGCAGCCTTCTCCGCGGTAGAAAGAATGGGATGTGAGGCAAGATCTAGGGTAATTGAGGGGATAGCTGCTAGGTGGTTGAGGAGTTTGAGAAATAGGCACGCAATGGAACAGGATGAGCAGGGCGAGTGTGCTAGGATGCTCATATTTTGGGTTTAGTTGAGGGAAGGAGCTTGCTCGTGTGCTACGGTCTCGTGCCTGCCATAAATAGATGTCTAGATTGAAGGAAAGAGCTTACTCCTGTAGTGAAGGACTCGTGCCTGCCATAGAAACATGCAATGAAGTGTGAGGGTCAGGGTTAGAAGGACAGCCAGGCACCAGAGGGAAAGGTCGCAGGTATACTAATGCACAGCACGGCGTCTCCGGTCGTCTTGGTGCCGATCCAGGGCTAAGCAGCGGCAATCTCGTATCTGTATGAAGTTCTAGAGAACACAATTGACTTTAAGTCAGCTTCTGGCTACTAACAGCTCCTGAAAAATCATGTCATCGACTGTGCAATGGGCATTAGGAACGTAAGCGTCTCTTTGAGAAAGAACTAACAAATAGAACTAACTCTTAGATGGAACCGCTAGCTAACAATCGACTCGTATCGCAACTCCAGGTTTCTTATGGCAGCCTTATAGGTGGAGCGCATTCGTGCCCGGACAGCGTCAAAGGCGTGAACTACGCCCTTACAAGTATGCCAACGGGGTGGTGTCTCGAACCAACGCGTGGTTTGGAGCTAATTGCGGTCGGTAACGATTGGGATGATGAGAAACAGATGGCTGTATATCTTGACGAATCACTGAGCGGAGCCGAAATTGGGGCCGACAAAGCAATCAAGTACCCGGAGTCCATAATGTCTTTACTCTCCTAGCTCGCTAATGAAGACAAACACTAAGACTCTGTCCGCTTAGACAGGCTTAAATAGACTTCTCATACCTAAGCAACTCCTCTAGCCTTTCCGTCTTGCGAACTATTGTCGGCTTCCTAATAGATCCGGACCTTTGCTCAACCAAAGCATCGCAGTGTATTAGATGAACAGTAACGCCACAGCCTCGACTGAAATTGTGCGGTTAGAATCACGTGAGCCATGCGCGCGGAGCTCATTTTGTTATACACGACCTTTCCTTCATGATATTATCAAATCCCTGACTATTGTTAGTCCACTCATTACTCTGCTCATTACAGACGTGACAGCTAACTCACCTTCAGTAAGGAGAAGAACTTGGCAGTTGTGTCTCGATCACCTGCCCCACCCGCTCTTCCCGCTCGGATTCGGTTTTCTAGAAGCTCTTTGACGATGTAAACGTACTTTGAAGCGCTAGTTTGCATATCCTCGTTCGTGATTTCCGGGGTTTTCATCTGAGCGACGACCACTTCAAGCCAACGACCGATTCCAGACCACTGAAGTATATGGCCACCTAGCGCGAACGTCTGTTCCCCTTGTACCCGAAAGACAAAGTGGATGGTGCCGGAGGGAAAAAATACTGTATGCCCAGGTGAAAGGACGACGTATCTCCAATCTCCTCCTATAAAGTTATGTGGATCGGACATCCACGCCTCTTCTTCCTGCTGACTTGGTCGGGACATCCACCCGAAGCCCACATGCCCTTCCTGAACCGTAATCCAGGTCGAGTAACCGTGGCTATCCATATGCGGTGCCGTATTATGGCCCCCTTCTGACAGGAGCGCCCAGTCTGTAACATTACGCCAAGTGTTCCAATCTTGAGCGGGCGCCGCTATCCTTTCGGCACTGTTGCCCATCAGAACTGCATCGCATATTCGAAGGAGAAGCTGACAATTCTCTCCTTCCAGGAAAGATGGCAGGGCTGAAGGTATCGGGCTTTGAAGGTCGAGAAGATTCCAGGGGTTATTTGTCAACCGCTGCAGAAGGAACCGGTCTCGGACATCCAGAAGTGTTTTCCTTTCGCAAGATGCCTTATGTAGGGGGTGAGAGGGTATTTGAACAGACACGGTTCGATTAAGCCCGATATCTTCCATACGGTTGAAGAACTGTGAAACTGGGCGGTCCTTTCCCCTCCATCGAAATGGCTGTTGACTTTGCGTGAAGATCGGTATGTCCACTCGCCCAAACTCGGCCTGTTGGAATGCCTCCTCTCCGTTGAGGAAGTATGCTTCCCCACGTATTGGTGGTTTGCTCTTTTGGAGAATTTGGGCGACTAAATCGTTTGTTCTCCTACCCCACGAGTCGAGACCGTCCTCTGCAGATTGGAATTCTTCTAGCACTCGCTGGCGGTAGGCTTCGTCGCGAATTGGATCTTGTGTTGGGCAGCACCCTTGGTTCAAGGCAGTGGGTAGAGAGTTCTGAATCTGTGCCGGGTCATTAAGCCGAAGCCTTTTTAGGGGGGTATTGTCAAGGATGTCCGGAAGCGAAGTGCGGCGCCGTCGGAGATGGGACCCTTCGTCAGGGCTAAACATTCGAAATCCCTCCTTGGCCTCCAATGGCCGTTCAAAGGGCTCCGCGTTGGTTGCTATCTCTGCGAACTTCTTAAGATGTGCATGACACATATCCTGAAAGCGAATGTGAGGCGACGTGAATGTTAGCAGCCGCCGGAACCCATGGAAATCTGATTTGTCTAGTGTGGCTAGGAGTGATGGTGGTATTTGAGGCGGACAGCATCGCTCCTTGGGCAACTTTATTGTATTTGGCAGCCTAGTTTGACGAATTGTGGGCTTGGAGTTCCTTGGTGGCACTTCGTAGTAATCTGGTTTTTCCTTTTGCGGGCGGAGCCGTGCAGCAGCTGTGGCATTTATGTTAGGTTGGGGACTACCATCATTGCAGCTTTCTGTAGCGCTGCCGCTCGCATGGCCATTAATTAGCCTTTCTTGTAAGGAGGGAGTCTGCTTGGATGGTATGTTTCCAGGAATAGGGTAGTCCTCGGCGTTACTATCGCCAGGCAGGGTCATGTTGGTCAGTCCAGGTGTAGAATCCCTGAAGAGAATTTCTGCAACAAGGGAATCTGGTGGCGAACTTAAGGGTGTTGATAATCGGTGGGTCTTAGGAGAGGTAAGGTCAACATTGTTAAGTGGCTCTGTGGTGCTAGTATCCTTGTCGTTCTTGTTGGTGGATAGCTTGCTGGATTCCGTGTCTACCGGAGTCGTATCGATGATCTCTCCAGTGACAGTGTCTGAATCCACTGGGTCCGCTCCTGCCAAAGGTTCAAACGGGCGCCGAACCATAAGCCCAAATCGATCGAAAATGAAGCCGAGAGGAAGATCTTCAGAAGTGAGGTCTACGAACGGTAGCTGGACCTCACTAGGGTCGCCATCTTTGATAAATGGGGCTTCGTCCCTCCAAGTAGCCAGGTTCTGCAAATCCACTGGCTCAATGGGGTTCACCCCTGCCCTGACACCACGACGCCCCGGTATCTGAAACCGTCGAAGGAGCAGTTGGTTTAGCTTCCGCACACCGTTCTCCCGGGTATGCAATTTCACCGCCGCTGAGAACTTGTTGCAGTAGTTCTGCCCCTTGCCGGCCAACTGGTAATGCTGGACGAAATCCTTGCCCCACTGTAGGCTAACCATCTTCAAGGGTGGGAGGAGTTTGGATATGGCGTCGGATCCAACCGCGGCAGCCCCTACAAATCGGTCCCACTTTGCTGCGCCGTCCCCTGTCACTATTCTCCCCGGCGGAGTCGCTAGCGGGCGTGCACGCTCTTTCCTTCCTCTGTACGAGGTGCATTCGACCGACATGACATTTTCGAAGGCAGTTAGCCGGAGGATGAACCCATCGTTTTCCTCCAGCAGCTCATCTCGCTTTTGCATACACTTGCCGAATTTCTGTGTGTCGGTTTCACAGAGGCGGATTTCTTGGCGAAATGTCTCGACCAGCTTGGCTTCGCTGCGGGGTAAGAGAAGCTCAACTTCGTATTCCGCGCTTGGAACATCGGATGAGACAGGTGCCGTTGAGGCGTCTCGGGCCGTAGCCTCGGGCTCCATACGTAGGTCGCGTTCAGGCATAGTGGATATTGTACACTAGTATTGACGAGTGATCGTCGCAAAGCTATCCTGGGCGCTAAATGAGGCTGCGCTAGGCATTTAACTGTCGAACCTAGCAACGCCCGACCTAACCCCGCGGTCGACCCACAGCGACTCGTCAGAATTCTAACGAGTCACTGTGGGTCTTGTATGTGCGTCCTGATTGGCTGACAAATGAAAATGGGAGACAGCAGGGTGAATCTCCGCATCACCCAGTCACGTGCGGCATGTCTTTTTAGCTGCCCGGCAAGAGCCTCACAATTGAGAAATATTTATTCCGAACTGCCCTGTATGTTCCAGAAAAGTTAGACCTAGTGCTTCACTCACTTTAGCTAGTTATAAGCCCCGACCACAGTGGCTTGCGCTGAAGCCCATCTTTATCCTTTGGCCAAATTATCCTCACGGGCATTGCACATTCTAGATAAACCCCCTGAAAACCTAACTATAGACCGTCATCAGCACCTCTGCAAATCACCAGAATCGCGCTTCTGAAGGCTCACCTAGGGGACGATCGCTCATATACCTCTATCGAGATCGTGGGGAATCCTCGCTGTGACCTGACGTATTTTGTTAGTACTGATGTTAGCGCCTGAAGATTCCACAAGATCATGACCCCTCCAAGCTCGCATGTGGCAAATGCGGGACATTGGAGAAGATTACGTCGTACAGGCTATTTACCTGGGATTGTGGGTACTCTTAGGGTCATGTACCTGGGAGAGGTCTTGTGCAGTGGCTTGTGTGTGTAGAACGCTGGTGTCATAGAAAATGAGAGGTATTTGGTACATCGAAGATCAAAAGCTTGAGCATGAGTGGCTTTGCGCCTTTGCCTGTGGTGAGTTTCACTAGCTGAACCCAAATCCCCTTTGTGTGGGGCCCGAGACTCTTGCGTGTCCCCGCTCCCCCAAAGGTCCCCTATGCAACAAGCCATTGGGCCGTGGGGTGCTCGCGGTGGGCGGGATCGCCCGTGCAGTAAAATTGGCTACACATCCACCACGCTCGGAGTTGGCACTCTGGCCTGCGGCTCGTTACATCCTAGGGAGAGAGCTCGTGCAGAATCTCTCATGCGAGACATGAGCCGAGCCGCTCGTTGCGGCGCACGATGACGCTGGAGACCAGGAATTGGGGTTTGCGCGAGACCCGGTTCTTGTCCCTGGGCCAAGTTTTGGTTCCCAAATGCATTTCACGCGCGGCGTGCCTTGGGAGACGACGCCCAAACAGGCCTCAACTTGCAAAATGCCAAAGGCCCTGACATCAAGAATATTCGCGGTAGTGGTGAGTGGGGAGCGGGAACACGGCACGATTCATGTGAAGTAGAGGAACTTGGGCGAGGAGTGGTGGGGTTGAGTCGTTGAAGTCGTTGAAGGCGGTAGATGTATCGAGTTGCGGCTTGCCGGCAATGAGGGGGTTCTGGGCAGTAATTCGTGGAGTTGCGCGCGATGTCGCAGTCTTAAAAGAGAGGTTTTTTTGCGGTCGAGATCGTCGGCGCGGAGCGAAAGTTCAAGTCGCAGAAAGAAGTTGCTCATCTCAAGGATGCCAATAACATATTTAGGAATACGAGGGCTTCATGGCTCGCCGCTTCATAAACGATGTTTTTGTCAACGGTCACATGTCAGGCCATCATGACAAATCTCAAGCATCGCCTGATGCGCGCCTCGTCCACACCCCCTCACCACGCCTTACACATCGCCACCATGTACAGCGCGATCTCCACCGTCTTGTCGTTGGCCTCGGCAATCTGTAGTTACCGCACCGTTTGCGTCTCCGCCTCGGCGTGCCACCCCGCGTAGAGCAGCGCGCCGCAGAGCAACACTAGTGTTGGATTCACCAGGGTACCGGTACTGGACTCAACAGGGCGTGGCTGCACGCCGAAAACTGGTGGTTCAAGTGATGGATTGTAGATGTCTGTTCTTCTCTCTCTAGCTTTCTGGCAGTGCCAGAAAGCCCGTTCTTATACTACTATTGTGGTGGCGAAGTTGGTGGCAAAGTCTCTATCTAGAACCTTCGAGGCCCTTCTGCTTGACAAATTCCAACAACTAGTCTTCAGGTGCGGCTCGCCGTGTGTGCAGATAGTGGAGGCGATACGCCGCTCGGAAGGTGATGAGTTCAGTAAGTGTGTTAGCCGGGCATTGAAGCTCAGCGTCCCGCTTCTTTGTCTTGTCCCTGAGGCGGTAGCGACGCAGGCTCGGGAGGGCGCATTGTCAAGTATCGAGGATGGCCGAGCTTTGTGGGACTCTTCAGGACCAAAACTTGGCACAAAGGCAGTGTAGACTTCGACGTAAGAGATAGGCTCCTAATAGAAAGATACCGGAGCAGAAGAGTAAATTCCGGCGCGGTCAAAGGCTGCAGATTCCTGCGGCCTATGCACAAAGGCGGTCAGGCTAGCCCGTGTCTTTCCAGGATCCACGGACGCCGCCGTGTTTGAAGACTTGGTTGACCAGCTGGTCAGAGCCAGAGAATTTTCTTGTCACAGATAATGCACCATCCACTACTTCAACAGAGTGGAGCAGTTATGTAAAGAGGTCGGTATAAAGCTGATGTTTCTGGCACCTTCTCGCCCGATACTAATCCAATTGAAGGGTTCTTCGCTGAGGTCAAAGAACCCACAATGTGCTGTGCCGTGACAACCCCCCCGGTCGAAAAAGCTTCGTCCCGAAGCTTTGGAAAGAGGTAGAAAAATCCGAACTTCCGTTGTTCTTTATCCTTTTCCTCGTATGATCCGGTTCGATTTCCTTGTCGCCGTCACGTTCGTGGTTGCCGCGGAGTTGTCATCTTTGTGCGGTGGGTCAAAGACATCCCTTTCAGCCGCTTTGAGCCATGCTTCGAGGCGCTTTGGAGGGCCGGCTTTGTTCGGGTTCTCGTCGTGATAGTGCTTTATGTGCTTTGCTGAGTTCTTGAACGACCCCGCGTCGTACCATGTCTCGTCAGGATCCCATCCTTTCCAATCCGCTTGATATTGTAGTTTGCCGCGGTAGATTCTTGATGATAAGATCTTGGAGACTTCCCATTCTTCGTAATCTCCCGAGAACTCGCCTGGTGGGCATTCCGCCTCTTGTCCCGGTAGTGGATTGCCCGGGTACTTCCGTAGTCGGTCGGCGTGGAATACGTTTGATCCCTTTCATGACTCCGGAACGCGTAGTTCGTATGCGTCACCTTCGGTTTTGCTGATGATTTCGTAGTATTGGCTAGTAAGCGGGAAGTCTAGCTTGTCGCTGGGCCTATCTGTTGATTGGCCTTTTTTCTTGATAATAAAGACTCTATCGCCCACTCCGAAGTCGGGTATACGGCGATGACGGTTCGCCTCCCTTGCGTATCGCTCCATGTTCTTCTTGATAACCTCACGCGCAAAGTCAACGTACTCTTGTATAGTCTTGGCGGTTTGTTGCGCGTCCCTTCTGTTGAGTCGTTCCCTTGCCGGTAACTCTAAGAGAGATGTACGTGATTCCCAGTCAAATGTCAAGGGCATCTCGAATTCGAATTGCACCTCGTGCGGGGACAATCCTGATAGCGAGTCGTGAGGAGAGATGGCCTGCACCGCGTCCATAGGTAGTATCGCGTCTGACCAGTTATCCTGAAAGTGGTTGACGAATGGTCGGAGTCTCTGGTCGACGTACTCGTTCATGATTTCTGCTTGCCCCGCGGTCTGTTTGTGTCCTGCTGATGACAACGTCCACTTGATGCCCAGGATTTTTGATATCCCGTCGGTGAAGTCGGCAATGAACTGGGGACCTCTATCGCTCACAATCTCTTTCGGGAGGCCGTGTATCCTGAATGGCCCTTCGTAGTACATGTGGGCCGCTTGGCGAGCCGTTGCTGTCTTGAGACAAGGAATGGTCCAAGGGGTCTTTGAGAGTCGGTCGATCATTATCAGGGCATTATCGAAACCCTTCTTATCCTTTGGAAACTCTTTAAAATCCATTGCCAGGCTATACCACTTTCTCATCGGTATTGGTAGAGGATGTAGTAACCCAGGCGTCTTGTCTCTGAGAACCTTGGAGGCTCTGCACATAATACAGTTCGCGACGAAGGTATTAATATCTCTCGTCAATCCTGACCACCAGAACTGTGCCATTACCTTCTGGCGGGCCTTGTTCCTTCCTGGGTGTGCTGCGGTTATCCTTGCGTGACACTCATTGATAACGGCCGTTCGTAAGTTATCCTTAGCCGGGACTACGAGTCTTCCGTGCCGTAGGAGGAGTCCGTTTAGTAGTGAGTAACCGTTAAGGTCCTTCTTCCCTTGTTCGCGCTGGATCTCGAGCTCGTCGTCTTCTCGGTTCGCTGCCAAGACTGCGTCCATAAGAACGTACCCTGATAGAGTTGGTGGCTCAAGATCGGTTTGGTCTAGTATGGAGATGCTAGATATGTTCCCGAAGAAGGCTTGTCCCTGTTCGACGGTCTGAAACATTTGAAGGGTACGTTGCGCCTCCTTCTTGGCATTCTGGGTCTTTAGGTCTTCAGTCTTTCTAGAAAGAGCATCCGCAGCCTGGTTTTCCTTGCCTGGTCGATAGGTAATTGGACGGCGCAAAGCCATTTGTTAATTATGACGCGTGCGTCGTGGCGCGTCGAGAAGTTGCGCCGCCTGCATAATGTTAGATCAGATCGTGGTAGGGCGGCACGGCCGGCGTCGACCCATACTAGTCGGGGCACAACCCCACTTGGCGTCCCCGGTCTTCCAAAAGCTGCTGTACGTAGGGCGGGAAAGCGCTCCTATCGCATTTGCCACACCGCTACGGTACAGTAGGGAACGACCGCGAGTACGTACGCCGACAAGTCCGCGCCGTCTGCGTAAAGGTCCGTTCCATCAGAAACGGAGGGCTGTGTCGTTAACGATCCGGGCATATTCAAGCCGGTCCAGAGGTGCGCGCAGCTTTCGACGACCTTTGCACAGCGATCTCGCGACGACAAAGGAAGCACGTTACTACCATTCATTCATGGCACGGCCGTGGTTCTCACTTCGCCCATTCACAGCCACCAAGCTGGCTCAGCTCCAACCCGGTCCGTAGAACTATTCAATTCACTTTTATTAATGCTATCTCCGTCACTATAGGAATAAGCATCTGCTATATACCTAGCGTGGGTATCTTGTTCTACTAAAAACTCTATCCTATCCGGGTAGAGAAAAGGTAGCCTTCGTTGCTGTGTTCCTCCTTCCTAAGCTTTACCCGAGCTTCTATACTTCTCACGTAGCACACCCCCCAGAACTCCCTTCAGGACTGCGGGTTCTTGTCCTTCCGCTTGGACAGTCACTTCTTAGTTAGGAGTACCTTCCTCCTGGCTCTCCTGGGTTTCTACTACACCGAGCAGCCTGGACAGTTCCTTAGTATCGACCATAATCTACATTCCGTTGCCTAAATCCGCGTTGAGTTCCTTCAACTTTGCCTACTTCTCATTAGTCCTTCAGTACCCGTCTAAGAAAGTTTCCGGGTTGTCTACGACTTTATTACTCGACCACCCCGAGGTGACACAGTCGAAGATGTGTCCTCTAGCCCTCGGGAGGCCGCATATACATATTCTTTGTCTTGTCTGGTCTTTCCACTTACTCCGTAGAGTTCCTCATAGGCCCGATCTTTCCTCAAGGAGAGTAGTAAACACCACTCTAGGAAGGTCAACCTCTCCTGGTTTCTGTCGTGTTTTTCTTGCTCCTAGCCGGCCAGGTCTGCCAGAACCTAGGGGTGTAGTTCTTTGGTTTCTGTCTGACCCATATCTCCTCTGCCGCCCTTTGGCACTCCTCCTCCAGGTCTGCAGTTTTCCAGGAGCGGCCTAGGTCTACCGGGGAGGGAGACGCTTGTCACTTTTTGGGGTTTTGTTGTAGGTGTCGCACTTTTTCGCGTCGTTTCTCACTGGTTGAGCGTGGCACTTGCACTGTTGGACCTTTCTCAGGCACTCAGTGCACCACTCGACATTGACCCTGCTTTTCATGACCTCGCATGTCTTGTGCCTGGGTTGTCGAAAATTTTCGAACCGGAAGTCTGCAGATGGAGCACCCATATCAAAGATTCTCTTTAGACAATCATAAGGAGATATAGATCTCCAGCAGCTCGTTCAAACGCTCTGCAGCGTTGCCACCTTAATAACCCGTCACGATTCCTACGCCTTGTTCGATCTACAGTAATACCACGGTTAGCCGGGCTCGCAACCTGCCGGGGGGCAACTTGGGATGGAGAATTGGCGCAAGATAGCTCACTACGTATCCTGAACCGAACCAGGAGACGCACTGTAGATTCGACACGGCCCTGCCTTTGCACTGCTTTTCTGCTGAAAAGGTCTGCCTGCCACTGACACTGTCCGTTCTCAGTAGCTTACGACATCGGCGACCACCACTCATACCGGCTCTGAAGATCTCTGATGAAGGTGCACAGTCCACTTGCCCCACCGCGGGGTAGGATCCGAATGTTACGTCCCCACAACAGACCACCGGAGTGATCTCTCACCATAAGAGAGAAAACTGTTACTACGCGGATAGAACTGCAAGTTAATCACGGGATGCTAAGAGGGCGTTGAATCACCATTGGATAGAGAATTTCATTTAGTTGTCTACGCTTATAAACCGAAACAGCTATGTAATTCAAATCTGATTAACGTGCGTGATAAGCGAGCGGTGAGGATAAGCGAGCGGTGATTTTTCTAGCGTGACGCGACCTTCCACCCTCTTTCACCAATTCTACCACCAATTCGCCATGGATTCGCTTCCGGCCAAATCTAGAATTATTCTAGCCCTCAAAGCTATCAAAGACAACCCAAAGCTCAAACTTCAACGCGTAGCTAAAATCTACAACATACCACCAACAACCCTTACCGCCCGACGCGACGGCCGGCCTGCACGACGCGATATTCCAGCCAATTCACGCATGCTTACGGATTTAGAAGAGAATACGATTATTCAGTACATTACTGAGCTATGTGCACGCGCATTCCACCCTCAGCTTTGTTACGTGGAAGATATGGCCAACCGACTGTTACGCGAACGTGACGCGTCCCCTGTCGGCAAACGCTGGGCTCACAACTTCGTCAAACGCCAGCCAGAGCTCCAGACGCGTTTTTCGCGTAAATACGACTACCAGAGGGCTAAATGCGAAGATCCAAAGATTATTCGCGAGTGGTTTGCCCTTGTGTATAACACTAAGGCCAAGTACGGCATCCTTGACGAAGATACGTATAATTTCGATGAGACTGGCTTTATGATTGGCATTATCACCCCCACTATGGTAGTTACTACCTCAGATAGCCGTGGCAGGGTTAAACAGGCCCAGCCTGGCAATCGAGAGTGGGCTACAGTCATCTAGGGGGTGAATTCTCTTGGCTGGGCCATCTCACCATTTATCATCTTGGCTGGGCAATATCACCTTGCCAACTGGTATCAAGAATGCAACCTTCCGGCCACCTGGCGTATTGCAACAACTGACAATGGCTGGACTACAAATGAGAAAGGCATGGATTGGATTCGGCATTTCGATCTGCACACAGCGTCTCGTACAAAGGGCAAATATCGGCTTCTAATCCTTGACGGCCACGATAGCCACCACTCCGAAGAATTCGAGGCTTACTGCCAGGAACACAACATTATTACGCTCTGTATGCCTCTACACTCTTCACACCTACTTCAGCCATTAGATGTTGGCTGTTTTTCGCCATTAAAGAAGGCATATGGCCACCAGATCGAGCAGTTGATGCAGATGAGCATTACACACATCAGCAAGCTGGAATTTCTCTGTGCGTTTAGAGAAGCCTTTTTTACTTCGATTACAGAAAAAAACATCCAGGGGGCTTTGCCGGAGCTGGCCTTGTGCCGTACGACCCAGAGAGGGTAATATCTAAGCTGGATATACGTATTCAGACCCCAACACCCCCACCAGCCCCAAGCCCAACCACACTACCTTGGGTCTCCCAAACGCCACATAACCCTCGAGAGGCCACCTCACAGTCAACACTTATTAAAACGCGAATTTCCAACCATCAGGGCAGCTCTCCAACCTCAATGCTTACTGCTGTGGATCGACTAGCCAAAGGTACAATGGCTGTGATGCACGAGGTGGCTCTTCTACGTACTGAGGTCTCGGCATTACGAAAGGCCAATGAGGAGCTCAGTGAGCGACGGAGGGCTAAAAAACACGTGTACGGCTTGGAGGCTCACTTACTGTACAAGAGGCACAGGATCTACTAGATCAGAAGGCTGTAGGTGAGCAGGTGGCCCAGGAAATACGACAAAGTGGTGGTGGTACAAGGGGGTCTCGTACGAAGATTCGGTGTTGTGGTGTGTGTGGCAAGCCTGGCCATAATGCGCGCACTTGCCAGGAGGCTGCAGAATCGTCTGATTCATCTGTTTCTGATTCAGTTATTGTTATTTCCTAGTGTTGTGGTTGTGTAATTCAGGATTATTGTGGTTAGGCAATAGAAAAGTCACCGCTCGCTTATCCTCACCGCTCTCTTATCACGCACGTTATATAATCCCTATAATATTAGTAAGCATGAAAGAAAGCGATCGAAGACTCTGGAAAACGCAAGAATATAACGACGTACTATATAGTAACTCGGGCTCCCAGACCCTTCCTATAGCACGCTGTGAAAGAAAAATATAAGAGTAGAGCGAATGTAGTTGTGAAACCATCCGCACGGTTATAAGTTACGATATTTTTCTGTAAGACAGCCTGCAAGGTTCCTCCTACTCCTTACCGTAGACGGATGGTCGCGGCCGAGCACCTTCTCTCTGAGCTCCAGCGCCTGCCGGTGCATCTGCTCGGCCTCTTCGTACTTGCCCTGGCTCTCGAGTACATTCCCAAGGTTGTTCATGCTAGTGAGCGTAAAGGGATGCTCGCGGCCGAGCACCGTCTCGTAAAGCTTCAGCGCCTGCCGGTGCATCTGCTCGGCCTCTTCGTACTTCCCCTGGCTCTCGAGTACAAGCCCAAGGTTGTTCATGCTAGTGAGCGTATCGGGATGCTCGCGGCCGAGCACCTTCTCTCTGAGCTCTAGCGCCTGCCGGTGCATCTGCTCGGCCTCTTCGTACTTGCCATGGCTCTTGAGTACAAGCCCAAGGTTGTTCATGCTAGTGAGCGTAGAGGGATGCTCGCGGCCGAGCACCTTCTCTCTGAGCTCCAGCGCTTGCCGGTGCATCTGCTCGGCCTCTTCGTACTTGCCCTGGCTCTTGAGTACAAACCCAAGGTTGTTCATGCTAGTGAGCGTAGAGGGATGCTCGCGGCCGAGCACCTTCTCTCTTAGCTCCAGCGCCTGCCGGTGCATCTGCTCGGCCTCTTCGTACTTGCCCTGGCTCTCGAGTACACTCCCAAGGTTGTTCATACTAGCGAGCGTATCTGGATGCTCGCGGCCAAGCACCTTCTCGTAAAGCTCTAGCGCCTGCCGGTGCATCTGCTCGGCCTCTTCGTACTTGCCCTGGCTCTCGAGTACACTCCCAAGGTTGTTCATGCTAGTGAGCGTAGAGGGATGCTCGCGGCCGAGCACCTTCTCTCTGAGCTCTAGCGCCTGCCGGTGCATCTGCTCGGCCTCTTCGTACTTCCCCTGGCTCTCGAGTACAAGCCCAAGGTTGTTCATGCTAGTGAGCGTATCGGGATGCTCGCGGCCGAGCAACTTCTCTTTAAGCTCCAGCGCCTGCCGGTGCATCTGCTCGGCCTCTTCGTACTTCCCCTGGCTCTCGAGTACAAGCCCAAGGTTGTTCATGCTAGTGAGCGTATCGGGATGCTCGCGGCCGAGCACCTTCTCTTTAAGCTCCAGCGCCTGCCGGTGCATCTGCTCGGCCTCTTCGTACTTGCCCTGGCTCTCGAGTACACTCCCAAGGTTGTTCATGCTAGTGAGCGTAAAGGGATGCTCGCGGCCGAGCACCTTCTCGCTGAGCTCTAGCGCCTGCCAGTGCATCTGCTCAGCCTCTTTGTACTTAGCTATCTGATAATAGCTCCCAGCTATATTAAAAAGGAGATCAGATTCAGCCTCTTTATCGGTACAATAACCCGGAGACTCCGAGATAATCTGCATATGTGGTAGATACTTCATCCAGATCTCTCGATTTTCGTGTTTTGGGAAGGGGAATGTCATAGCGAGCCGTTGAATTACATTAGTTATGCTTTCCGTTAGCTCTCCTTTTTCCTCTAACCAGTTCCGCATCGCTAACCGAACAAGTCGGTGAATGTCGAATGACTCTTTTCCCCGCGGGATGATGAATGCATACGCCTTTAAGGTGCCAATCGCTTCGTCTACTTCCAGTTCATCTTCTGCTGGCGGCAGCAATGAGAAGGGGATGTCTTTTTCGTTGAGGAAGCAGATGAATCGCAAATACCGTGCAGCAGTCGGATTGTCTCGCGTAATATGCTCGAAGGAAATTAGCCAGGTAGTAGCTATAGGATTTTTGATGTTTTCGTACCGGGCCTGGTCGTTAAAGTCCTTGCTGAGTAGTCGGATCAAGGTCTTATTACTCGAGCGGCAGCGATCAAGGTATATAGCCGCTGACATGCCTATCTCTGCCATGTATGCTGATGCCTGTCTGATTGCAAGAGGCAAGTTGTCTAGGAAGTCTACTAGGCGCCGTATGCTCTCAGTATTGTCAATTTGGTTTCCTCGGCCATGTTGTAACAGCTCTATTGCTTCAGTCTGGTTCATTTGCGCCAAAGTAATGATATTTTTCTGGTCAAATCGGGCTGCGACTTTGTGGTTTCGCGTCGTGAGAAGTATTGAGCCATTGCGACTAAATGGGAGATAGTTGGCAAATCCTGGTGACCCTCGACTACCAAAGACCAGCTCTATGTCATCGGCATTGTCAACGATGAGGAGCCAACTGTCTGAGCTTTCTCCTAGGGCCCTCTTTACAAGCGACTTAGCATCTGCGTCATCGTCATCGATCCCTCTTATTCCCAGCTTTTGACCGATGTTGCGGTAGGCGTTCTCGAAGCTTATTGTATCAACGGCAGGCACCCAGAAAATGGAGCAGTCTGTGTGATCGCGGCACACCCGGTAAGCTGCCTCGAGAGCCACTTGAGTCTTGCCAACGCCACCGAGGCCTTCGATGATAGTACGCTGGCAATTATCCTTGTTCGTATTTGGAGGGATACGCTGGAGGAGTTGCTCTAGGATGGAGTGACGTCCGACGAAGCCTTCGTTTCGACCGAGCGGGACCATAAAATGGCGTCTTAGTAGCGCTTGAAGATGTTCAGTATCCTCTCTTCTAGTGATATAATATAATGTACGTACCTCGGTTTTCGTCTGTTTTTGGATAGAATTCCAACAACGCCTTCATGGTAGATGCTGCCGTCGCCGCCGCGTAGTCCTGCCACCGCTTGTTTTTGTGGCTGTCCGCATAGTCGCAGACACCCTTGATAATAATGCAAGGGATCTCATCCCAAACTCCAGCACCTTCCATCTCGAATGCGAGGAGGCCGTGCTCCTTAGCAATCCTGTCACGGTCTTCACCGGACTTGACTACTGTATCGGCTGACCCGATGCGCCCGAAGAATACAAGGGGAGCAGGGGACTCCGGGTCATGCTCGCGTTTCCTCGTCACCAGAAAAGTATCGCTACAGCTGAGTTCGTCGCACGTCTGCGTACGGGACTGCTCGCAGGTATTTTGTGGGTCCATACATTGAGAGCAATTGGTCGGAACCTGGTGTTTGTGCCGGTAGCGCGACTGGTAGAGCTTGTCAAGCGCGGCTCCGGGAAACTGGTATTTCGCTGACTGACTCGGACGACCAGCACTTCGTAGTTCTTGAAGAATGACTGCGATACGCCTCTGAAAGTCCTCGCGACGGTGATTGGTCTCCAATATACTTAGTAAGTTGCGGACTGTCTTAGGGGGGTTGATGATGTCTTTCACGGTGTTGTTTGTTTGGAACCCGTCAGGATACAGTTTGCCCAAATCGTACTGGACAACCGATCCGGCAAGAACCACATCTCCCAGCAAAATCTCCTCGTTGGCGTTAGGACGGGGTATGCCGCCACAGATGCCTATTAGGAGGGCGAGCTCCAGGTTCGGATAGCTTGACCGGACGCTGGCCGCAGCACTAGCCGCACTGGCTTTCCCCATATTCGGAAGGAGGACGAGGACAATGCTGATATCATCAATACGTCCGGTTCTGTAAGTATAAGGGTCCCCCGAAGCCCGCCCGTACGGATCGCCATTTTTATCCCAGAACTCGTCGACGAGGAGGCTGACCGCATTATATTCGAGGGGCAATGCGCAGACTATGGCGAAACGGAAGCCAGCGCGGCTTGCCGGCCGGGTGGCCATCGTTGTGAGTGGAATATTGGAGTCACTACCTAAAAAGTTCGTAGAATCTCCGGTTTCTAGAACATGACTAACGAGTTTCTCTCGCAAGGGGTAGCTAGAATTTTACGATGATCAAGCAAATGGGCGGCCAGCCCAAGGCATCCGTTCGGCACAGCATGCTCGCGGGTAAGGCTCTCGAAGCGCGCACGTGCCGAGCGGGGTTGCCACCCAGCGCGGTTTCCGCGCGGTTTCCGTACGGCTGAGCATCGCGGCGGGCGAAATCGCAGATTGTTGCCGACACACCAACATTGCAGTGCAGCTCCCATCGGCCGAGGCATGCGGGATCAATCCACAGAGGAAGAGCCATCCGAGAGAGGATGCAGGGCTGCGAGATGTAAGGTGGGCACGAAAAGGAAACCCGACCCGGCATTTGGAGACCCGTTGCCCGCGAAGAGAGCACGATTGGCACAGGCTGGAACTCAACAACCAGGCACTGAGGACGAGGAAGCAGAGCAAGCGGCCAAGGTATAACAGCATTCTCACTTACGGGACAATAACTAATGAGCGTGCTTGGACAGACTGCCTTGCAACACAAGCTATTCCTCCGATTCACGACTGTCGTCATACCACGGGAGCAGGTCCGCGCGGCCGGCTGTCCAAGACTACGGGGCTTTCTCTATCGGCTACGCAATGGACAGCAGACGGAACTCGACTTCCAACGGCTCTGTCGTTACCCCTATAACCAGACAGCCCAGCCTTCTTTCGCCGACGGATTGAGAGCGATCACGCCTCTAAACCTGGATAGATAGGACCTGAATATGGCAGCTGTTATGCAATGGGCACGCGCCCATGGCAAGCACATCTCCATTTTCATCGCAAAACACGACACAGAAGCAGGGAAGCAGCTTAGTGTAGAGGAGTTGAGCAATGTGCTCCGCCACGGGGACGACTCTCAGCTTCCAACTCCTGGCTTGTTCTTCTACGCACAAGGGATGCCAGTACGACCGCCTGGACTTCACCCGGGCATAGCATATGCAGGTAATAAATGAAAGATATCCTTCATTCAGGTATACCAATTTCACGCTCTCCCCGATCGTAGCTTAACGCCATGAACGCTTTCTATATGATTCCTAAAATGGTCCATTAATGATTCCTAAAATGGTCCAAGTGCCTCAGCTTCACCCCCTCCTCCTTACACTTAGGATGCTTGCAGAAGATCAGATTCTCGCGCTCCATTTCCTCCATTTCCCTCAAATGCTCGCGGCCGAAATGGTCAATCGCTTACCTTGGCCGAGATCGCCAAGATTTCTAATAGCTTAGTCCATAATCCTAGTAATCCAGCCTAGAAGATATTATAACTATATGGTATCCGAGCCCTCGCTGAGCTCTCGCTGAGCCAATTGACTATGGCCCGTGCCACCCCCCCCCCCCCCCCCCCTCCCCGGCCTATCGTATTCTGGGATCTCCACACCGAGCCACCACACAAATGCGGCCTAGATCCCGGTATCTCCACCCACTCGGCTGATTGCGCAGCTGAGTTGGGTCTAGGACGCTGGCGCTACAGCGCTTCCCAGTTAGACAGGCCGCTGTAACTAGCCTAGCTTGGCTGATCGAGCTGCTATGGCTCCTGTTGACTGGCTTGCCCCCGGGGCATGCCGGCGAGTTGGCTGCTCGACTGCGTATAAGACCTCTCGCTCCCTCTCTCTCTCTGCAGCCGGCCGGCCGGCTGTAGAGCTAGCCAGCTAGCCTCTTGCGCATCCTATCGATCAATTGACCTCTTCTTGATCATGGCTCGCAAGCGACAGAGGGTGCCGGCCGCGCAGCCGGCTACAGCTACGGCTGCGGCTGGCGGCCAGAGTGGGGATGTAATTACGGTTGGCGGCCTACCCCCTGTCCTGGGCTTGGGACGCGTGCAACGCGACGCACTCAACAACGCAGAGCTCGCGCCAACGCGCAGAGCATCCTCTCCGTGATCCACGGCATGCGGCCGAAGAATACGACCTCCACGTACGAGCCAAAGCAGCGGGAATTCCAAGAGTTCTGTAGGCTGCAGCAGTATTACGATGGGGACACCGTCACAGAAGACAAGCTCCTCTACTTCCTCACCAAGAGCGTCACCAGCCGGCCGTTGCGAGCCAAGAGCCGGAAGGCGGCCGCGGACACTCCACAAGAAGAGACACGGCTAGCCTGGCGGTCGGTCCGCAGCTATATCACAGCAATCACGGACCTCTACCGCACACAAAAGGCACGCGGTATGAACATCCACCCGTCTCCACGCGAAGACAACGTCTGGGACTACCTCAAGTCTTTGCAGCGGCGCGATGCCGAGCAGGCCAAGACCAGCTATACGGACAAAGGCTCTGACACTCTGCTGGATGGCTATACGGAGCTGGAATTCGAGACGATATGCCACAAGCTGTGGGCACATACGGCCACCGGCCCAGCCGGAGCCACCTGCGGACCCTTGTCGACCTGCTTCTTGGCCACTATATGCTTACACGTGGAGGCGACCGGAGGGCCTTAGAGCTATCCGATCTATTTACCTTTGAGTTCCCAGACGAAGGCCCTACTCCCTGCATGCCGCTAATCATGACGACGCGGGCCGGGAAGACCAACCAGCATGGCCGGCTCGAGACAGCCGGGGCCCTGCGGAACCGCAAGCCGCTGATCTGTGTGTTGAGCGGCCTCGCATTTTACCTCCTTTTCCGCTGGGACCTTACGGAGGAGCCGTTCCCAGACTTCAGCCAGCGGCCAGCGTGGTACGACATCCGCCTGATAACGAGCAGCAGTACGGGCCGCACGGCAGGTCTATCCTACAACTCGCAACGGGAGTGGGCGGCCCGGGCCCTCTCGTATGCCGGGATCAGCTCCCAAAAGAAGACACATATCGGCCGCAGCTCGGGAGCGAAGGTGGCCGAGTTGAAGGGTGTTAGCGAGGATCAGATCCGCCGGGCCGGCCGTTGGAACCAAGAGCAGATGATCGGCTGTTACCTTAACTCCCTGCCCCGTACGTTTATGCGCACTATGGCCGGCCACCCTCCGCAGATGGGATGCTTCGAGGTCCGCAGGGCCGGCGTGGCGCCGCCGGCCGACCTCCTTTCCATGATCTGGCCGCAGTTGGACCAGTGGCAAGGCCGGTTTGGCCTAGGGCCTGGTCAAATCAACGATCTGGCCGCCACGGGCTTTACCAACCTCCTTTTCTACCTCCGTGGGGTAGTCCTACAAGACTCGGCCATTTTGATGGATAAGTTCCCCGACAGCCCGGTCTGGAGCCACCCAGTATTCCAACACCCGGCGTATAAGCCATTCGCCCAGCAGGTGGCTGCTTTTGTGCAGGAAGAAGAGCGGCCCAGCCAGCTGGCTGTGTTGACCCAGGCGCTTCCAGTCCTATCAGACTACTTAAAATCAATCGATGCTCGCAACGAGGCCCGGGTCCTAGAGCTTACAGCAGAGCTCCGAGCCACTAAAATGCAGCTTATCGAGGTCCAGTCGCAGCAGACAGCTCAGCTCCACAATTTCCTTTCTGCCGGCCTTACAGTCCATATACAAGCAGCCGCTCCACAGCCAGTCCTGGCCGAAGTGGGCCGACGGGCTGGCCATCTGGGTAGCCAACTCGGTAGCCAACCAGCCGGGCCCAGAGCTGGCCCAGACGAAGAGAGCCAGTACGGCTCTGCTGTCAGCCGCCTTTGCAGCCCGGCTCCCATAGTCAGCTGGCTACCGGCCGAAGAAAAGGAGGAACCGCCGCCACAGTACCGCATGAGCCGTACGGTCAGAACGGTGGCAGACCTTTGGCGTGAGTGGACTGTTGGCCTCCAGGGCGGGCCGGCCGTGGCTACTCTTGATCGGAGATGGGGGAACCGGTGGCGGGCCGGCCGGCAGACTGAACTGCAGTGGTATTCTCTACGGTCCGAAGTTGTTAAGGAAGTCCAGCGGATCGTACGAGCCCAGCGTACGAGCGAGGAAGCCGCCGTCCTTATAGTTCATCTTCAACAGCAGCAAATAGGCTGCTCCATTGACAAGTTCTGTAAGCAGCTGCGGGCCAGCCGGAAGGCAAGTGTAAGGAAAAGGACACCCCAAACACCAACTGCGCGCACAGGGTGCGCGCCCACCACTTGTCACCAACTGGCTAGAACACTGCCAGCTGGCATACGCTACGCCGTGGCGCCACGACCGCAGACTGATGCCCGGGCCGAACCCCTGAGCAGGTATATAAACAATGGCCCTCGCCCATCTTCCTTTGCGAGGGCCAGGTTGAAGTCTTACACCAATACAAGTCATTGCTCCCCTACCTTCTTGCCTGCATTGTGACCACCTTGATCAGGCGTACCTACCTTCTCTTACAGGTCGACTTGGACCTTCCTTCTCTTTCGGCCTCTTGTGCGTTCTAGGCTTTTTTCTGCAGCCTCCAATTGATGCGCCGTATTGGCTAGTTGGAAAACCACGTAATCGAAGGCTTTTGCGGCCTTGCGTATGAAAAGTCGGTCGTTGGCAGTCCGTTTCTGGCCGGCTAGAAAAACCTGCTCCTGAATACGGAAATCCTTCGGCTTTTTAGGGGTAAACCATATAGGCCGGCCCTCCGAATTCTTATTTAGAATGGGGCTATGGACCTCTTGAAGGTCTATAGAAACCGTAGAGGTCAGTTGACCAACGTCGCCGTTAGAATTCTTAATAACAAGGCCGTTGCTTAGGGGCTTCCTGAGGCTGACCGGCCAGAGGCCTGTAGCTTTCCAGCCGGCTTTGATATTAGATTCAGTCATTCCATAGACCCTGGCTTGCCGGTAGCATTCTAGGAAGGCCCTCTTTTCAGCAACAGTGCCTTCGTCGAAGCCGGAAACAACCTCGTTATGCTTGGCCCTGTACCGGGCTTTTAGAGGGCCGAAAACCGATAAATCCAGGGGCTGGAGAACGTGGGAGGTGTGGGCTGGTAGAAATAACAATTGTACGTTATTAGAAAAGGCTAGCCACATGAATTCTTCGGTGGTATGACTACCGTGGCCATCTGAAATAAGGAGGCGCTTCTCCGAGGGGGTAGCTGGCCGAGTCTCTGGAAGAAAGATATTGCGGAGCCATGCGACGGCAGTATCATCGTCAGACCAGCCGTTTTCAGTGGGTTTCCACTTCCAGCCCTTAAATGGCTGTAAATTGCGTGGATACCATTGTTGTTGAAGGCTTCCACCTTTGAAAATGACGACTGGGTTCAAATACCAGCCGTCAGCGGAAATACATTCGATAATCGAGGTCCAAATTCGGTCTCCTTTCTTCTTTTTCTGGAATTTCTTTCTTTCCTTAGATCCAACAACCAGGCCGTTATCTCCAATGCCAGAAGCAATGCCAGTTTCATCCATATTATACCTATGCTTGGCTGGAATAGCCTCCACGCCTGGAGGCTTCAAATAGTCAAACCAAGGCCGGATAACGGCCTCACAGGCTCGATCAGCACGGTTTGCATGGATTCCCCGAGGCCTAATTGTAGAAATAGATGGATTTCTAGCCAAAAACCGGCTAGTCCAGCGTTTTCCGAGGGTCTCGTTATCTTCGAGCATTCTTCTAGCTAGTTTCCGAATTTGGGCGTGGGTTGGAGGGTGACCGAGCGACCCTTGGAATAGAATCCATTCGGTTAAGCGTTCTTCCATAGCCGGAGAAAGCTTTTGATTAAGAATTTGGGCCTTGGAGGCTGGCTCGGAACCACGAACCCGATTAAAGAGAGTAGTAGGGGGGATGCCGTGATTTTCAGCAGAGCTACGGAGTAAGCCGGTTTCTGCATACTCTGCCAGCGCATTCTGCAAATCCAACTAAGTATATCGCTTCATCTTTCATTTCTCAATTGAATGGAGAAAAGAAGATAAGTATTGAAGCAGAATTGGTCGAGTTGCAAGCGATTGAAATAGGTGAGTTGGGTGGCGAGCGGCAAGTCCTTGATGACAAACCTTGTTCCAAATCCAGGGGTGTTCCATAAGCAGACCACCTGACTTATATCAAAGTCAATTTCAACCTAATTCCCCTTCAACATTGTGACACATACTTGAAACCCACTATATGTACTTGAAACCCACTATTTAATCAACGCCCAAACTCACTAAAAGCATACTTGACCTGCCAACTCGCCATGATAATTACACTTATCAAAACGCCAGACGTTCTTCAGTCTCTCCATCTTCAACTCTGCATCTCATAGTCATAGTAGCATACGTAGGTACTTTGCGTTGTGGGGTCCCTGATAGCCACTCGGCGGCACCTCTCTATTTCTTCAGCGCAGTACAAAAAAACAACCCCTCCTTCTTACGTCTGGCCACTTCTGCGCAGTCCTCCCTTCTTGCAAAGTCATGACAGCAAACAAGCTAAACGACCCGCGTATAGGGGAAGATGTCCTCTGTTATGGAGGGTTGAGCCGGAGAGTATGTTATCTAAATCACTGGGAAAGCGGGAAGGGCTGCACAGCTAACTGCAGGTTAATACAGCATCTCTATGACCAGAACTTGCGCCATTTTCTTTGGGATCAGGTGCTGTTGGTATGACAAGGTCAATCAATATAGTAGTACTATATGAAAGGAGGGTGGGTGGTTCTAGTGGTTATATTCGTCTATGTTCTATATCTATGTAAAAGGTCACGAACTACGGGGACAGGATGCGGGCGCGTTTGGCGATGCTTCGTAGTCACGTGTACCCCGCGCGCTGAACATTTCCCACTGTTTTCCACTGTCGACCAATTATAGCTTAGCAGCCGCATGAGCATGATTAATCGGTAATTCCCATAGGTGCATCCAAAATCAGAGAAACAATACCGACAGAAGCGTTACGAAGGCTGCGTACCATAGAAATTAACCACTGAAACGTTTGTGTAGCAAACCGAGCTCCCGGAACCCAGCTATCTCGATTGGATTAGCGGCACCTACACCACCACCGTTCCGGTCTTGCGAAATGAACCGGAAAGCCAGTATTTTAGCAATCGCGAGATATTGATCCCCGTCACTCTCCGCCTCGACTTCTCCGCGGATACAGAACAGATGGTGCGGTGGACCATCGACGCGCGCCCCTCCAAGATGAAATACCCCTCAAAGGAGCGCCTCCTTAACCTCGCATACCCGGGTCTCCATACCGGATGCTCCAAGGTTAAGGATCTCGGGTCATTTGACTCGATCTGCGAAGTAACCTGGGAGACACCAATGTTCTCTCCATACATCCGCATTGAAACTGCCAATCGCAGCGGCCAGCGTGAGGCTGTACAGCCTGTCGTAATGGAGTGCTGACTGGTAATGAGAACATCTTGGACCTTTGCCACGAAGGAATATAGAAGCCGTATCCCCGGTTACTTCGAGAGCGTTTATCTCGGCAGTCGCGGCATCGGCCACTATGTCCCCGTGCTGGAGCGTATTCTCCGAGACATGAGCCGAGTTCTCGTGGTCGGGCTGGTCTCACGAAGTTCTTTCAAATTCTAGCGTCGACATCGAACACGCGCGAGCCACCGTGGGTCGATCGACCGGATAGCGACTGGGTCAACGACTTAGAGACCGAGGCGGCGGAACTTTTAACTGTGGGCGAGTAGCTCGCGTTTGAGCAAGTGGGCCATTTTGGTGAGCTACGCATGTCGTCTTCACATCTATGAGGGCCCGTGGGCAGGCGAGAACTGGCGGGATTACGTCGATATGTCGACTTAATGTTGCGGATCCAAAGCCAACTCGTTGGGTTGTCACTAGAGTCCCCCATATACGAGTGATAGTATAGTTAGGTTGCCTATCGTATCAACTCATACAATGTAGAAATACTCAACACGGGGTGATTGGAACGGACTCGGGTCGTCAATAGGAAAAATACTTTGGGCAACATTTGCCAGCCCAAGGTTTTACAACAATCAGGATATAGACGGTTATTGCCACGTTAGACAGATACAGAGGAGTAACTCGGAAGAATACCTAGGTAGCTTTTAGAAGATGCATTGCCTACATCACAATATCCTCGTTATCCTCATCTAGGCTATCTGCCTTAATGTGATTTCTTATACTATACAATTGTCTAACTCGCTGCGTTTCGTCTTTATTAGCGTCGTCGTCGTCGCTACTAATATCGATAACCTTAACTTTACCCTACCCAGCTTCACCTATAAACGTAATATCCTATGGTAACGACGAGCCCTGGAGGGAGACGGCGTCTGATATATAGGTATCGATGTATTGAGAGGGGTGGCTAAGGTCGGAAGGTGGGACTACGTCCCCAACCTCCTTGCTCTTCTCCACCCTCTTCGATATCCTCTTCACCCTCCCCCCCAGGAGCCTGTCCAATATATAGTCGTTGACCTTATGGCCGTGAGCAAGCCAGAATCTGATTATGGGTATAGGTGGACGCGAGCCTTGGTACTGGACGGGATGATACTCGCGATAGGCGTCCACGAGCAGATAAGAGAGATCTAACCCTGATCTGATCTTGGAGAAGTCTTAACGCTAGTCGATATCGTATCCAGCCTCATCCGGATTGTAAGTGAAGGCAGGTACGCCTAATCAAGTGTCACGGCAGGTGCCAGACAGGTGGTAAGAGCTGGCACACCCCGACCAGACATTCTGGTTTAGGATGTGGTCAGTGCATAACCTCACCAACTCAACCTATTTCTCTGCGCCCTGCGCAGCCTTTGGAACTTTCTTTTCTTTTTCTTTCCTTAGCTTTAGATTCTACGAATACAGCGACCATATTGCAGCCCTGTCTCAAATTAGTTGACTGTGCGGTGACATCAAGGTGGTCACAATGAAGGTTCTGAAGAGAGCGAGCAATGACTGGTATTGGTAAGACTTCAACTTGGCCCTCGTAAAGGAAGGGGCGAGGGCCACTGCTTATATATATGAAAGAGTGCAGGGCGGGCCATTGACAAAGGAGTGAGGTCTTGGCCCGCTCGGTACGCGTGTGAGTTGGTCGTGTGTGTGGGTTGGGGTTCTTTCCTTACAACGAACTGGTTCTCATCTTGCGATCGGATCAGGTGATGAACTACCTTCTCTAACCGTGGTGAGCTTGTTCAGGCCCTTTTAGAAGGTGGTAAAGATATCCCTTAGTATTTGAGTGTCCAAGACCCAGTTGTCTAGGTATGGAGTAAGCTCCGTTCGTGTAGAGTTTCGGCTTGTGCGCGACGATTGAGAGCCCGAGGAACTTTCATTAATAGGGATTGTGTCACGCGCATTCACAGGGCAACGGAAATGAAGCATTTGATGCAGGTAGGTAAGGCTTGAATTGTCTGAAAAGGTCTAATCTCTTGTTTCCTTTGGCAGGGCCAAAAGTCTCTTTTTTATAGTTATGAATAGTGGCAAAAGCTGGTGGCGAAGAATCACATAGCAACTTCTAGATCTTTCTTGCTCACTAATCCCAATATTGTGACAGATTGCGCTCAGCTGATCCTGCAATGCCCGAATAGTGTTTTTGGGGCTTTCGCGATCCAACGGATCGTTAGATTCTGTCGTATGAAGTCTGAAGGTTGCCTGAGTTCTTGGATTTTTGCTGATCCATTTGGCGTGTAAGTGGTCGTGGTGTACAACGCTAGTCGCGGTATGCGCACGATAATTATGGGAAAATAGTACAAAGATTCTCAACGCATAGATCAAGAGATCCAGCGGGAGAATTGCTTTGATCGTATGAATACAGGTCAAACCTGTTAAATAGGCACCATTGTTAGCACGTGGGAAAGTTGGTGGTAATTGCGATAGTTGTTCCTAGCTATGGTACGTGTCGTCGATCTTATAATCGACCTTGACACTGGTCATGTGATCAAATGATCACATGTGCTAGGTACACCCACTCCGCTCAACCATCAGCGCTCCAACACAATCGCTTCCATAATCACTTCCACAATCACTTCCACAATTACTTCCACAGCCTTCCCACAAGCACTGACCCGGGCCCTCGGCCGTTCGCCCTCGACCGGGAGTCCCGAGCATCGTGACGCGGGACCCTAGGACCCCCATAATTAGTCGACCCCAAACAAGGGTGCCCCACCACCCGTAATTACCGCCGTAATCGCGGCGGTCTACGGTTACGTTGAGTCATCGATAAAATGCGAGGTAGTCCGATTACCTAGGCAGCAGCGTATTATATGGGCGAAATCACGGACGCGGGGACTTTGAACTTCCCGAGCTAGATATATTTAATTCTCCCAACTCGCTACTTGGAGCTTTCGCATCGTCCCCCTTGAGGAAAACTCCCACAACGAAAGATGGATGCACCAGCTATCGCGATCATTGGCGGCGGACCTTGCGGACTAACGCTCGCCCGGCTTCTAGAATGTAAGGGCATTGACTATCTCGTGTTTGAGCGCGACGCCAGTGAGTATTCCAATCGCTCAGGGGGCAGCCTCGACATCCACGGCGAGACTGGACAACAAGCACTCGACGAAGCGGGCTTACTCGATGAGTTCAAACGTCACGCTAGATACGACGATACCTCGTTCACCCTTTCCGACAAGCTTGGTAAAAGGCTCATCCACACCGGCCAGGGGCGTGATGCTCCTGAAATTGACCGCGTCGAGTTGCGGCAGTTGCTGCTGGACGCCATACCAAAGGAAAAGATTAGATGGGGCCACACCCTAACCGGCGCTACTATTGGTCATGGCAATAACCCGTCCCTCGAGTTCTCCAACGGCGTTGTGCTCTCTGGGTTCAAACTAGTCGTTGGTGCGGATGGCGCGTGGAGCAAAGTGCGCTCGGTGGTAGGATCCCCCAAATCAGTCGCGTGCACGGTACTACGCCCACCAATGCTAACCTCAGTTACAGTTCACAGATGCAACCCCCAAGTACTCGGGGAAAACAAACCTAGAATCGAGCATTGACAAGGAAAGCCCCATCTACGATATAACCGCCAGCAAAGCCGGGCCCGGAACCCATGTGGCCATCGGCTCGGGAAAGTTAATCGTCACCCAGCGGCAAGGCAACGGCTCTTACAGGAACTATTTCGGAATTCCCATCTCTGAGGACTTCTTTCGTAACAGCGCCATGGACATTTCAGGAACCGAAACTATACGGGACCTGCTGCTCTCGAATTTCTATGCAGACTGGTCAGATGAGTACCAAAATCTCATTCGGCACGCGACCAGATTCCGTGCCTGGCCACTTTACACACTTTCTGTCAAGGACATGGGCTGGAAGTCTGTTCCAGGCTTCACGCTTGCCGGCGATGCCGCCCATCTTGCAATCCCCAATGGCGAGGGAGTCAATCTTGCAATGACTGACTCACTGAAGTTGGCATTCAAGATTGCCGAGCATGGCACCGATAATCTAGCTCAGGCGGTCCAAGAATACGAGGCTGACATGTTTCCTCGCGCAGTTGGCACGATCTCTGAAGGCAAGGCCATGCTGGATATCATGTATGCAGAAGATCCGCAGTCCTTCTTGCAGCTCCTGAGCGGGTAGATGGCGTGCTTCTCGAAGCGGTGTCCACCAGATGAAGACAGCTCCCCACTTTGTATTACCATTACATGTACCATTAGGCTTATCTATCTACCAATTCCACCCTCGTTATTTCCACTCTAGGCTAACAAGCAAGTAAGCTTAGCCCGTTCACGGATTGAGATATCTACTAGTGAGTCCAAGCTGCAGCAGAAGCCATTTCGTCCATCTCTTTAATTTAGTAGTCATGAATGTCAATGTGGCATTCTCGCTCTAACTGTAGACCTCGATGAGGGAGTAAGGATTTTTACACAGATTCTTATTTATCATTAAATGGGATCTTTGCGTCGTAGACGATGACACATCTAGTCTATGGTCCACAATTCCCCCTTCTGCTGGGCTTCCTTTACGAGCTGGTTATAAATTGCCAGTTTCTGTTCGTACTCTTGAACGAGGTCCTCTTCGCGCTTTGTGGCATCACTGCCCCCGAATGCTTTCACGGCAGCGTAATAAACATCTGCCAGTGCCTTGCAGATGCTTTGGAGGCCCACAGTGCCGCATTGGTAGTAAAGACTTTGATGAAGTAAGCAAGCGGCCCAAGACGTCTTTGGAGTTTTTTTTTTTAGTTTTTTTTTTTAGCTGGACTTGTTGGGGCCACCTACTCGCTTTTGAAGTTCGTGTCAATCTTTGCTTTGGCGGCTTTGGTGAAACGACTCTGTGCACGGTAGTTGTTGTACCCAAAGTCATGGCGATTGCAGGCCGGGACAAAGGGGAACCCGAAAGGGTTATCCGGCGAATCAGTGCAACCATCCGAGGACCAGTCGAGGGTTGACGGGTCTCGAGCGTTGCGCTTGGCAATGAAGGCGGGCAGCGTGATGCTGAATAGATACTGGTCCGTGATTGTGTTGGCACTCTGTCGACTCTCAACCAAGGAAGCGGTATCGCTGCCAGCGGCTGCTGGGAGGCCCAGGACAGCGGGAGCGAGCGAGACCAGAAGCGGAATCAACTTCATCTTGCCTTCGTCATCCAGGAGCAGGAAGTGACGATCGAGGTTCCTAATATAGAGGATGTCGCTTCAGGTCGTTTGGAATCTGAATTTCGCAAAGCCAAATAAGTGGGAGCCCCGGTGCTATTTATGCCCCGACTGCACATACGCCTTGAGATGCAGCCTTACTCTTTGGCCAAAGTTACTTTGTTTCCCGGCCTGTCTCCAGGTCTGCAGCACGTTTCTGACTGTTACCTGCCAGAAGCGGAAATGCTCTCCGCCTCCAACATACATGGCGATGCGATGCCGCGCTCGGCGTCTCTTTCTTACCCCCCCTAGTCTTTGCAGTCGGGCGACCGAACTCGAGGCGATGGTACTCTACATCGCTCTCTGGTGTGGAGGCATACGCCGTACCAGATAGGTTTAACCGGATTGGCATTGCACGTGCGAGAGAGCCCAGCCATTCAAGTTACCACGAGCAGGAAACTATGCTTTTGTTTGGTAGCATTGGATCATCATGCGCGCGTGATGCGGGGTCGGTTGGGAAGTGCCCTGGTTTAGAAGATGTTTAGGCCCTGGAGTGGCACATGCTATTACATGGCGTCTATGTTGTGGCAAAGCGAGACAGATATTGGCTGCTCAGGTCCATATCCATTTCCGCTGCAAGGAACAGACTCGGGTCGTATTAGGTGGCGAATATGCAATGTCCAATGTCAGATAAAGTGGCTGTAGCTGTGAACAAATAACATCTGCCAAGTACCTGGGGTATGTTGCGCGTCCATTTTTGTGCAGCGTCTGTGGTTCCCGCCGTCGGTAATCTTGGTTTAAACCTAATTCCAATTAGTTCTAGATTGATTGCCACGGAGCAACCTTCTGTCTCATCCTCGGTTAGAACGTCCAACAGGATGGTGGATGGCTGGTGAGTCTGTTAACCTGTAAATGCTTCGGACTTTTGAACACGAGGAGTAAAACCTGATCCGCGACAATGTCAGCGCACATTGTAGACGCGAAGCTGACAATAAACCTGTGGCTCTCCAGTACATGCAAATAATTGCTTACCGGTACCGTTTAATTATTTCGTCGTTGCCGAATCTTGTCAGGTGGTGAGATGCCAAACTGTTGCTGCGGTAGGCAGCGTGATGTAGCGGTACAACAGTCTTCAGACCGTGAGATGGTGAGCACGGAGTCGGGACCTAGCGCCTCCGCCCCCACCACCCGGCAATGGAACCCCACCTACGCAGGACGTACTCAACCTTTGAAGTGGCGGGGTAATTATTATGTAAGGTATTGGGTGGTGATGGATGAGCCGAGGGCCATCCGTTGGAGGAACAGGATCAAGGACAGCACAATGTCAACTCGCAGCTCGCAACTCGTCCAAGTCCAGACAATCTTTAGGTCTACCTCAACTTCTCCACCCATCATCCATCCCCTCTGCAGATCCATTCCCCGCACTTTTCAGTGTCCCGTCTGCGGTGTTGGCGCCGGACGGGCCGCCAACTTCGGCAAGTGCGGATCCACCTTGCGCCATAAGCGAGCTTGCGGGCGCTCAGCACGAAACCCCACTACTGCACTAAGGGATTCCAGCCCGTGGAAGCTGGGGAGCCTTAGCTCGTTTCCACTGGCAAACCCCCGTGACCGCGCACAGAGCCACAGAGGGTCCCAGTTTGGTCAAGCGCGGTTGGCTTCCGCTGGGTGCTGGAGGTTGGGGCGTGTCTCAATTCCATGCTTTGCATCTTTGGCGCACCGGGCATTCATGCAGGGACGATGGGACGATGGACGCCAACGCCGACGCCGACGCCGACAGAGCCACGCATTCGGGCAACGACGACTACTATGACTTGGGGGCGTTTGACCGCAGGGTGACGACCAGCAGCCGAGACGGGCAGAAATGGTTCAACCGCGGGCTCGTGTGGGCCTACGCCTTCAACCACGGCGAGTCGGTGCGCTGCTTCGAACGGGCCGCCGCCCTCGACCCCGCCTGCGTCATGGCCAGCTGGGGAATCGCCTTCTCGCTCGGCCCCAACTACAACAAGCCTTGGGGCGTCTTTGACGACGACGAGCTGGTCGCCATTGTCGACAGGTCGCGCCGCGCCCTCGCCCGCGCCGCCGACAATGCCTCGTCGGCCGCCCCCGTCGAGCAGGCCCTCGTTGCCGCCCTCCAGCACCGCTATCCCCACGGCAATGCAACCCCGGCCAAGGGCTATGTCTGGAACCGCGAATACGCAGCTGCCATGGAGGCCGTCCACCGCACCTTCCCCGACGACCCCGATGTCTCCGCTCTCTACGTCGATGCCATCATGAACCTCACCCCGTGGCAGCTCTGGGACCTGCGCACAGGCGAGCCCGCCAAAGGCGCCCGCACCCTCGAGGCCAAAGCCGCGCTGGAGCGCGGCCTGTCCCGTGACCCTCTCCACCCCGGCCTGTTGCACCTGTACATCCACCTCATGGAGATGTCTCGCCGCCCCGAGCTGGCCATGGCTGCCGCCGACAACCTCAGGGGCCTCGTCCCCGACGCCGGCCACCTCAACCACATGCCCACCCATCTCGACATCCTCTGCGGCGACTACCGGCGCGCCATCGCCTCCAACCTCCGGGCCATCGCTGCCGACGAGAGGTTTGTCGCCCGGGACGGGCCCATGAACTTCTACAGCCTCTACCGCTGCCACGACTACCATTTTTGCATCTACGCTGCCATGTTCGCCGGCCAGTTCGCCGTTGCCCTTGAGACGGCCTCCCGCCTCGAAGCCACTCTGCCCGAGACGTTGCTCCGCGTCGAGTCCCCGCCCATGGCCGACTGGCTCGAGGGCTTCCTCGCAATGCGCGTCCATGTCTTGATCCGCTTTGGCCGGTGGCAAGACATTGCGGACCTTGAAGTTCCCGCAGATCCAGACCTCTACTGCACAACCACGGCCATGGCCCATTACGCCAAGGGCGTTGCATCGGCTGTCACGGGGCAGATCGACGACGCCGACCGCCAATGCGCCCTTTTCCACAAAGCGGTGGAGAGAGTCCCATCGTCTCGGACCGTGTTCAATAACACATGCGTCGACATCCTGGCCATTGCGGCGGCCATGCTCGATGGTGAGCTCGAGTACCGCCGTGGAAACGTAGAGCTCGGCTTCGGCCACCTTCGCCGCGCCATCGACCTCGACGATTCCTTGCCCTATGACGAGCCGTGGGGTTGGATGCAACCGACCCGCCATGCCTATGGCGCTCTCTTACTAGAGCAGGGACGGGTTGAGGAGGCAGCAGCCGTATATTGCGCCGATCTTGGTTTTGACGACGCTTTGCCCCGCGCACTGCAGCACCGGAATAATGTCTGGGCCCTTCACGGCTACCATGAATGTCTTACCAAACTTGGCCGCGATGCCGAAGCTCGCATTGTTGACACCCACCTCCAGCTGGCCGTTGCGGTGGCAGATGTTCCCATAAAGTCTTCCTGCTTTTGCCGGAGCAACTTGTAGCCACGGCGGCAAGCTTGCTAAACAATGCATCCAAGGCAAATGCCCACACACCCAGGGATATAAGCAGGTAGATTCCGCAATTCGACCGCATCTGCAAGTGAAGTCTGTGGATACCACAAGTTTCAGACCAAACAGAACAGGCATATCGAACAATTGGGTTATCCTGCTTGGCTATTCTCATTCGGTTGGCAGCGGGACGCGCCGGCTTCATTCAAAAGGGCTTGTGCTGGAACTTAGCTTTTGAACGATGTGTAATCAATACCTCTCACCAGCTGTTTTGAACGGAACAGTTGAACCTACGCCTCCGCCATCGCCAGATCCATCCCTCCCCGTGGCTTCATACTTCCCAATCAATTCAACCACGGCGCAATCCAGCCCCTAGGTACTATTTTGTTCGCCCAGTTAGAGAAAGCCCAGTCAACCGTTTTAGATCTTAAAAGTTCTGGGGGCTTGCTCAGAGCCAAGTTTTTGTGAAACCATGCTTGCAGTCTTCTCTCCCCTAGGTGACATCTCCGTCCTTTTCGGCCAAACACGCCTTGATGTGTTACCCTGTTTCCTTTGGTGTACATACTTGGTCAAGAGAAAAGCACTTCGCTTTGGCAACATGTTAAGGACCGGCAGCCATGAGTCAGCCCTTCCCCCGAGAACCGTAGCGACTGTCACTTCGACACGCGCACAGCAAACAATAAGCTATCCCGTCGTACAAGCTGCGTCGCGAGACCCCCGACGACGTGGCAACTGTCGACTGCGCCACTTCTTCCTCGACATATAACGAACAGCGTCTTGCAATAAGTATGTGCGAGTTACAGCCTCCAACCCTCGGCAGTTTTGCCCTCTGGCGCTGGTAACCGCTAGGCCCCTACGATACTGTCCGCGAGCAGCAGGGATTGTTCCATGACGCGTTTTCGGTGCCCACCGAAACGGGAGAGCAAGTGACGCTGATCTGTTCGTTAGGAGAGTGCACGTGGCCGATGTACGGATTGCTGGCGATTTGTGGCGGTGTGACTAACCAAGTGGCAATGTCACGATGAGAGACTTCTCGACGACCTGCATGCCTCGACTGCAAAAATACCAGAAATTATGTCCAAAACCGCCCTCAACACTGCAGAGACCATAGGTCACTCGACAAACCCAGCGGCGCGTTCAACCAATCGGTCAGTGACTTGATGCTGAGCGACAGTTATCTCGCTTACTCAGACGAGCTGATGAACAACTCGGTGGCATTCGATCTTTCCAAGCTTGGGTACATCTTTCCAAGCCTGGGTACATCTTTCCAAGCTTGGGTACATCTTTCCAAGCTTGGGTACATCTTTCCAAGCTTGGGTACCTGGAAGTCGCCTTTTGGTGGTGTACCAAGACATTCTTGACGAGTAGTCACGGCCAGTAACCCATTCGACAGTCGAGGTGGGAACTCGCTCCTAGCTTAAGGGGTCCGCCGAAACCTTAACTTGAAGTGGGCTTCGGACTTTTACACTGCTGGGAATTGTTAAGTGACGTGTGGTGCGCGAGAGGCGCGGCTCGAGGCAACGCCCGGTGACAATTCCGATAAAAAGGATGCAGAGTACACGATACAAGTTTGGACTGAACGAACAGCGTCGACGCTCATTGCCACCACTATGCAGGACCCGGTGTTGGTAGACAGCAGCCGGGGTTTTATCGCATCGAAGGAGGGGGGTTACCAAGACGTTTTTTGCCCTGTCTTAGGAGACTTCTAGTCGAAATAGCTGCCGCCGCCTAAGAAGTAGCTCGCCAACATACGTGATGTTAACACTGATACGGGTCGGTCCTTGACCACCCTGTGCGTCCTATTCTCGTCCGTCGTGAGTAGAGGGCGGTTATTTTTACCAAGTAGATAACTAAGACCTTACTTGTAACATAGCCAGGATCCGGCAAGGCTCAACAAGGCTTGGAGAGGGAAACGCTACCGCGGTCGGGACTGGGGCGGTTCTCACTAGGGGTGGATGGCACTGCTTACAGCGCAGCTCGTCTTGACGGTAATGTTCCTGGCCACGACGATCGGCCTTGGCCACGCTCTGCGCCCTCGACAAGTCAACACGCCAGTATATTGAGGACACCAACGACATGGCCATAACACCGCAGAAGGCCAAGTTGCTTGGGATCAGGGTGGTTAGTGGTAGTTCCGGGATCGCGCTGTGGCTCGGCACGCGCAATATACCGAGGCCTGAGACATGGCAACCGTTCCGAGAGCAATGGCGGAGGAGCCGGAAAACTGATCGGGACTGCGCCCTGCGGACGCAATCCTGCAGCAAGAGCCAGAGACCTGGGTGTAACCGGTGTTCTACACTCTACAGTGATATTAGTAAATTGCAAAACCAGCGTGGACATTGATTATCCCGGGCCCGGAGATAGCAACTCGGCGACCAAGGACCCGAAAAGGGGCCCAGCGGCCCTCGTCAGTGATTGATTAAGTGCCGATGTGGCAGTGTCTCCAACTCTCTCGGTCTGTTGTTTCGTCCTTCGCGTCTTGTCGTTTCGTCCTTCGCGTCTTGTCTTGTGTCGCGAAGACCCTTGAGGCTCACAGAATCATCAATATCTCGGATGGCTCGGGGCTTACGCACATATATTGGGTCGATTGGTCGTCTATTTCTGCGGAACTGAGCAGGCCTAAGGGTAGACATATCTATTTTAAGTTTGAAAAGATAATTATTAGACTAACTGTTGCAAACTCCGAAATACCTATCTACTATTATTGTAAGTAATTACCTATGGGAAGAACTTGATGACCTTCTAGGCTCGGCTCGGCTCGGCTCGACTCGGCTCGGCTCGGCTCGGCTGGGCTGGGCTCGGCTGGGCTGGGCTCGGCTGGACACGAATTATCTGGATAAGGGCTAGGTCGGATGAAACACCGAAAGCGCGAAATCCGACTAAGGCAGCCACGCCAGCAAATCCCAATTGACCTTTGGGTCTGCCCCGCAATTGAATTGACCTGTCAAAAGTCCTTCATTCCCTCCCTTGCACGCCGCTTGGCGGTCAGCAGCGCCGCTTGTTGGCTGCAACGGAGCCGGCAAGACGTCGAGGACAAGCGAGTGGGTTCAGAGTGGGTTCAGAGTGGGTTCAGAATTAGAATACATACCTAGCTTCGAGGCTGATGTGTCGCGTCAGAGGCGCATTTCCACAATGCAACAAGGCATCTCAAAGTTCCTGGAATTTGAATTGGTGTTGGAGCCAGGCGGCCGGCGTGGGAAGAAAAAAAAAAAGAAAAGAAAAAGCACCGCCGCCGCCGCCCTCAGGTTCTCATCCTGTCTGGCTCGCGTCTTTCGGTGTTCCGAGCGCTTTATCGGCAACGACTTGCTGGTCCAATGCGGTTGGCGGAAATTGCCTGGCATGGCTCCTGGCCAGGGTTTCTTTGCTGATTTAGCGTGGGTTGCTCCCACCTTTCCCGATTTCCCATGCTCACTCACATCAGCTCAAAGTCGAATTCCCGTCCCCTGCACCGCATGGACCGCACCCGCGCCGCGCCGCCCAGCACACACAGACACACCCCGGATCGCGGATGCTGAGGTTTTGCCACTCATGATCGCCCCAACTCCCCCGCACCACGTTTTGCAACCTTCTTCATTCTGAAGCAGCCCCTAACCGCTTCTGGGCTTGCCCATTTTGCAGCCAGGCCATGCGTGGCCAGCCACCGGGTCATTTCCCTTCCTTCCAATCTTGGCACCATTCGTCTCAACTCTCACTAATCCAATTCTCGCCCACCGCCTCCTCTCTACTACCACAGACCGACCTGCTGCTCTGACACGAACGGCAGCGGCTGCAGCGGCGGCAGCAGTGGAAACACAGCATCATGGCATCTGACCCGGCACATGCGCCGAGGACGAGAGTCTCGGACAACGACAGCCCCGAGTTTTCGGACGCGCCCACCGCCACCACGCTAGCCGATGGCGATGAGGAGCGCCCAGCCGACAAGGAGCGCCCAGCCGAAAAGGAGCTGGAACGCGGTCCCGACGACCCCAAGGCGCCCGCCAACACACGAGCACCACCACCGCCAGCATCCCCGACCGCGACGACAAAACCAGCACCCGCGGCGACAAAACCAGCACCCGCATCGCCGCCACTGGCACCGCAGAATGGAGGCACCCTGGCCTGGATCCAGGTCGCCGCCAGCTGGTCCATCTTCTTCAACACGTGGGGCATGCTGAACACGTTTGGCGTCTTCCAGACCTACTACGAGACCGGCGAGCTGTTCCAGGAATCCTCATCCAACATCTCCTGGATTGGCTCCATCCAGGCCTACCTCCTGCTGGTCCTCGGCCTGGTCTCGGGCCCCATCTACGACCGCGGCTATTTCAGGGCCCTGCTGCTCTCCGGCTCCTTCCTCGTCGTCTTCGGCTTCATGATGCTCAGCATCTGCACCACATACTGGCAGGCTCTGCTGGCCCAGGGCTTCTGCGTCGGCATTGGCGCTGGCTTGATCTTCACTCCGTCGCTGGCCGTCTTGCCCGCTTACTTCTCCACCCGCCTGGGCTTGGCCTTTGGCGTGGCTGCGTCGGGCTCGTCGCTCGGCGGAGTCATCTACCCAATTATCTTTTACAAGCTGCTCGGCCAGGTCGGCTTCCCCTGGGCCGTTCGCACCATCGGCTTCATCGCCCTGGCCACTCTCATCGTACCCGTCCTGTTCATGCGTATGGGCGTCAAGCCCCCCAAACCACGCGCTGTTTTGGACTGGTCTGCCTTCACTGACTGGCCTTTTGCCCTGTTCACTTTCTTCTGCGCCATCGGCTTCCTTGGCCTCTACGTCATGATCTTCTACATGTCGTACTTCGGATTTGCCACCGGCATTGCGAGCGCCGAGCTCTCCTTTTATATCGTCCCCATCCTCAACGCCGCCTCTTCGCTTGGTCGGACCCTTCCCAACGCATTGTCAGACAAGACTGGGCCCCTCAATTGTTTGTCTCCCCCCCTGCCATCCGTCATCCATCCTTTGCGTGCAGATTTGACTGACGATGCACTTCGTTTTTAGTGCTGGTCCCGGGCGCCTTGATCTGCGGAGTTCTTTGCTTCGCCATGATCGGTGTCAAGTCTTTAGGTGCCCTCGTCGTTGTGGCCCTCCTTTACGGATTCTTCTCAGGCGTATTCATCGCCTTGCCTCCCGTGGCCCTGTTTCAGTTGACTCAAGATAAGAGCAAATATGGCACGAGATTGGGGATGGGCTTCGCTTTTCTTGGATTTGGTGTCCTGGCGGGTGGACCGGGCGGCGGCCGCGTTTTAGGAACTGATTTCTCCGACCAGCATTGGACCAAGCTCTGGTCCTATGGAGGTTCTGCGTCGGTCGGTACGTCCCTTTTGCTATGCGCCCTTAGATTCTGGTTGTCTAAGGGCAAACTTTGGGTCAAGATATGATTGACGGCATCTATGCAGCTTGCCTGCGTCGTTTTGAAGGGTTATTATACGCTCAAGTTTGGGAAATAGACAAACCGCATTGCATAGAGCCGTCACAGAAGTCCTAGAGACTCCCGCGGCCATAGGGGACATTCAACGAAGCATTGAACTTAATAATAATATAAAACCATTCAATTTTATGTTTTGTCTCAACCTATCTCGCAGTTAATTCGCCGCGTATATCTAGAGATGTGATCCGAGAACAAATACGGCAGTTACGTCACCCGTGAAGCAGGACACGCGCCAAGATTAGTCGGCCAATGCCTTGCACAATTAACGCCAGCATTATTGATGGGCTTGTTATAAACCATCATCTCTTTGATAACTCGTAACTTATGGCCGTATTACCTCTGTTATTATCTTGCCTGGAGCGGAAATATAGCCTCTATATCGCATATCCTCTAGTGAAACGTCTCTTCTATTATTTTGCATGCAAGCCACCAGCTACCCACAATCGGTCGTGAGATGCGGCACAATCGAAACTCATCCGATGTTAACTCCCATCTAATTATAACTCCCGCAGTCCTCAAGTGGACCCAATTAGACCCAGCAGAACAATAGGAATAGACTGTTCGGCGCTCACATGTGCCTATTGTACGAGAACAACAGAAGCTGCATACGCGAACAACAGAAGCTGCACATGAACAATAGGTCGCATCTTGGTCCCCTCCATTTCGACCCTCATCAATAGTACATGCAGCGTGCAATGCAGCGCGCTCCGCTTCTCTCGCCACACAACCGCATATATTCTCACCAACATTCCGGGCACCAATATTCAACCACCATCTCTCAACCATCATCTCTCACCCGTCATCTCTCAACCATCATCTCTCTACCAATCTGCTAGACGAAGATTTGCAGTCCTGCAACATTCTTTCGACTACCTGCTTTCGCACATCATCGATCTTCAATTATCGCCCAGGTCCCTATCATCCTGCTCAGTCTCGACAACCAGTTATCACATATTAGTCGCCCTCGTCTACCATTCGTCACCTATTTTTTGTCGTCCTCGTATCAACCAAAAGGAATATGTATTCCAACAATCAGGGATTCGCCAGAGGCCAGATGTACCGCCCCGGGACGGACCAGTCTCATTGCGCCAATGCCTATGATGGCAGTGCCTACTTGAACGAAGGCCGAGAAATGGCCATGCGGGCTGACCGTACTTTCTTGTTTCCTGCGGCACAAAATCGAAGCGACATCCAGCACGAACGACCGGTCGCGGCACCACACGCATCCAATTATATCCAGGATGCCAGCGAGGAGGCGCGTCCTGCAAGAGTCCCTCGTTACCGCGCACCGACCGCAGGTTGCCCCACGGGCATCCAGTCATACTCAAGACACCGGAGAGGAGGAAACTTTGGCTCGTGTGCTGCGAGAGTCTATTACTACCGCGCACCAACCACAGGTTGCGGCAGAGGCATCCAGTGGTATTCAGGATGCTGGAGAGGATGAGGTTTTGGCTCGTGTGCTACGAGAGTCTCTCGTCAGCGCAACAGACGAGGATGTTTCTCGCGCCCGACGCGCCCATGCTGACGCTGTCAAGCGGGCGATGGCTGAGGAGCGTGCGCGTGCTGAGGCCCGAGAGATTGCCGAAGCAATCAAGCTCAGTCTCGGTAGCGAAGAGCGCCGCCGTGAGGCCGAGGAAAACATTCGGCTGGTTGAGCGAGCGATGGCCGAGGAACATGCTCGTTCCGATTTTTCTCATGCAAATTATGCAACAACTCTCTAGCAAGCAAATGATCTTGCTGACAGAACTATCCAGCAAGCACGAGCAAGCACGCGATCTTGCTGCTCGCACATTTGAAACCCTGGCCAGGCCTCTACCAAGCCACGGCAGCAACTTGAACCAAGCGCCACCCAGCCAGCATCGACACGTTCGGTTTGCAGACGAATTGGGATATGAAGCGTGCCCCCCTGCAATTGGTCGTCCGCAAAATACCACAAAGGCGAGCGGCGTATCAGGTGCCTCTGATTGGCCGAGGCAATTGGATACTCGCTATTATGGTCCGGTTCCTCCCTTATTCTCTTGCCCGACGATCAGGACCTCATATCAACACCCTTCGGTGGAGGCGGTACGTGATACGCCAACTTCAGAACACCAGTGGCGAGGTCAACCGGTCGGTCCCGCGTCCCGTTATCCCCAGCGACAGCCGCTTCCGCTACACAACGATGGTTTTCGACCAACGGCTACTATCGCGAGCACCCATGAAGAACCACATGAGCCATTGCAAGAGCTGCATGACCTAGCGGCCGTAGTCTGGTAACATAGTCACTGGGGCTGCCGGGGTTAGCTAGGGGAGGGATACTAGCTATGTTGAGGCGGGTTACTTGGCTGCTTTCGATGTTTCCTATATAGTGTAACTAGTTATTATTCACTGTATAACTAATACCTCATTATACCAACGTACCTCATGTGATATGCGATAAATATCTGCCTGCGAAGTAATAATATAATTGTAATCTAATGGAAAGTAGTAATTAAACTCTTTTGCACTGTGATATTCTCCATTGTTATCGTATGTAGATACCCGGAAACTCTTTTGCACTGTGATATTCTCCATCGTTATCGTATGCAGATACCCGGCCCCGATTGTAAATGTCTATGCCGGAAAGTAACGCTTCTGGGTCCGGGCATGCTCTTCCAAATGAACCCTCGTTCCATGTCCTTTGAGACATTAGATTTGGAACGACGAAGCACAGCATGGCAATGATAACGATCTGCAATACATCTTTGTAACACTGTACCTAGCTCCCGGAGTGCCCGGCGCCCCGAAGTGGCCGACTGATTGAGTCATTGGGAAGCGCCCACCGGCTCGCTGTGCCCATCACTTGAACCTTGGGACGTGGAAGAGGTTTTATCTCTAACCAACCGGAGATTATATTCCGTATTAAAAGTGGCCCGAATACATCGGAGGTACATAAAAAACGCCACCAAACACAACCGCGTTGACGCGCTTGAAGTTGGTGGCGCTAGGACCATGTCAAGTATATGAAAAGTCTTCTCCTAACCCTAGGTAAAAAGCCATTCCATGTTCCACGGTTCAGGTAATTAAGGTTGGAGCTATGTCTCTGCCACATTATAAGAGAAGACATGGCGGCCGCCGCCCGCGTCACTGACGAACACCGATCGAACCCGCAGAGCTCGCGTATAGCTGGACCCAGTACCTCATTAGAGGCCACGAACTACATCGATCTATCAAGCCTCAAGATACCTCGGGCCCACAGAACGACGTTCGGACTAATTATCCTGGTTACAAGACGGGACTCGCAGCGGGGAAATAGCAGCGAAAATGCTCTCAGTGCCAGTCCAAGGCCCAGCTAGGGAGCGCGCGAATACATCGCCATGTGCCGGCATCGTAGGGGCCGGCATTGCCGGGCTCAGTGCGGCCATTGCCCTGCGTCGCGCTGGATGGGACGTCGAAATATTCGAGCGATCGCAATTCAAGAATGAGATTGGCGCCGCCATCAGCCTCCCTTCCAATGCCGCTCGAGTCCTCGACCACTGGCAGTTCGACCTGCAGAAGGCAGCTCCCGTCCCGAACCAATCCGTCAGGCTGGTGTCGGCTGACCAGCTGGCCACCATTTCGCAAGAGGATTACCCCGACATCGCCGCCCAGCTGGGACACGCCTGCTGGAGTTTCCACAGAGTTGACCTTCATCGCGGCCTGAGGGACCTCGCCACAGATCCGGCGGTGCAGGACGGCACTTTTGGCTGCTCCGTCGAGATCAGACTGGGCTGTGAGGCTGTGGGAGTTGACTGCAATCTGGGCAAGATCCAGCTGGCCGATGGGCGGGCGGTGGTGAAAGATCTTGTCGTCATTGCCGATGGAGCTCACGTAATTTCGCCCCCTCCGTTCTCACGAACCAGACACCTGAATAACATCTTGTCTAGAGCCGCTTGGTTGGCAGCTTGATTGGACACGAACCACAGCTACAAGTCGCAGGGCGTTCCATTTACCGCTGGCTCGTTCCAATGAGCGACGTGCTGGCACATTCCGAGGCCCGCAAGCTCTACGTGGATGAGCTACCCGGATTTCTGAATCTGCAAGACCCTGCCAAGGGTGTCTTCTGGATCAGCTACACGTGCCGTGGCGGCGATATTCTAAACAACGCCGTGGTCCACCGCACTCAGGCCGGCGAGGGCGACCAGGACCTGTGGCACTCGCCGGTATCCAAGGAGCAAGTGCTCTCCGTGCTCTCCAACTTCCACCCGTCAGCAAAGAGCATCGTGAATATGGCCAGCGAGGACGGCATCAAGGCCCATCATTTGTTTACACGCCCCCCGCTGGCCAGCTTCGTGCGCGGCCGGGCCGTGGTAGTGGGCGACGCTGCACATGCCATGCTGCCTACGCATGCGGCTGGCGGTGCCATTGCCGTCGAGTCGGCCGCCACTCTCGAGGTCCTCTTCAAAGGGGTGGACGGGGCGGACGAGGCAGTGGTGAGCCAGCGTCTACAGCTGTTCGACAAGTTGCGCATCCCTCGATGCAACCTCACCATGCTGGTGTCCAACGCTGGTCCGCAGGCGCTCGACAACCCGAGTGTCATCAAGGAGGTACGGCGCTTCTACTCTGGCCCTCTGCCAGAGCAAGGCTCCCAGCCATGGGGTGCCCAGTTTAGAGAGCTTCTCTTCCACCACGACGAGTACCGCGCGGCCGAGTTGGCGCTGGCGGAGGCTCCGCTTCTAGAAAACGGCGGAGCCTAGGTAGGGAGCTGCGCGATTGTCGGGTAAGTTGGGAGGTAATTATTAGGAATTGGGCTAAGGTCACGGTTTATGAGATATTAAGGCTCTTTTCGGGGCCTCCAACCCCATTCATGCCATTATAAATAACCCGATGGACGTATAGTGTGGGGTTTCTGCTTGCGAGACTTTTTCGATGCGGAGAAGGGTGCAGAATTAATGGGGGGACGCCTGGAAGAATGAGCGCGTTTCTGGCGCCAAGGGGAACCAGGGACTGCAAGTCGTGGTGACGTGGCGAGGAGATGATTGAATATATATCCTATACCAGCACCTGCAGATAGTGGCGCCATTGAACCCCTTCTGCCGTGACATTACAACTATGCCCGTGATCGTCTACTCACCTGATGGCCGGTAGGAATTGAGCTCTCTGACTTGTGGCTCGCTGCGCCTTGTTTGTGGCTCGCTGCGCCTTGTTACGGTGACGACATAGTACCACAGAGCTCTAACGATGCTACAGATAATTATTACCTCCCGAGCCTCACTCACATGGCCGTCCATGGCCGTCCATTCTGCAGCCGATGTGGTAGCTGAGAGGCACCCCAATTACGGTGCATACGAGAGTCCGGCAGCTCGGCAGCTCGTGGCGGGCTTGTCAGCTAATATGAGTCCTTTGGGCCTTGATACACGCTGCTCCCCCAGGGCCCAGCGTGGCCGAATCTCCCTACCGAGGCCAGTTTTGAGTGCCGAAGAAGCCTCATCACGGCTCCACGGTACGGGGCTTTCTCGGGTTACCGCCAAGGTGGTTTTCCCTGCAGTGGCACGGGATGACTCCCGCCGTTCCTGCAGCAGTTTGCACAAGTCGGTAAAATCGGCAGCCGGTTAATTTAGCCTCATTCAGAAATATCTTCATATCGCACATTGGATGCTCCGGATAGTGCCCGCCGCTACCTTTGTGAATTTTTAGATTACAGCCAGGCCAGCTTGGCAGAGCCAGCATGGCAGAGCCCTTCCCACCACTGTCGTCGTAATCGAACCCTTCTCTGCTGGTCCGCAATGTACAGCCGGGACCGGATCTGGGGAGCGAGGATGTGGGGGGAATGCCAGGTCATAACATGTCGTCACGTCCTCAAATTGGTGCCAACTCCCCGTCTCAGGGACCTGCATCTCCTCTGCTTCTCTGGCTTAGTTACTGTGTGACTGTCGATGCCCGCACAGACTGGAGGCCACACCAATTGATGCGGCTGACGACTCGACGCACGATGAGGACCACGTACATTGGACTGGCTGTAGCCCTGTGCTGGTCTGGCGTTCTCGGCGCTCAACCGGCCAAGGGACAAGATGGCGTGGAAGGCTTGCCAGGCGGCGTGACGGCCGGCCACAGACGCGTTCCTGCTACCGGGCGTCAGCACCAGGGCGCCGGGAGCAACTCGGCTCACAACAAGTCCAGGAACGGCGAGCGCCTGGCGAGGCTTGAGCTGCGGCAGAGCGGAGCGCAGTGCGGTAGCGGAATTGGCAGCTGCCCTAGCGATCTGTGCTGCTCCGACTATGGCTTCTGTGGAGATACTATCGATCACTGCTATCCGCTTTTCGGCTGCCAGGCCCAGTACGGAACTTGTGGGTGGCCGAGGACGGCACCGCAGCCGACAACAACGGCCGCCCCGCCGCCGCCGCCGCCGCCGCCGCCACCCACGTCGACGACCTCGTCAACGTCAACAACTCCGCCGCCGCCGCCGCCGCCGCCGCCGCCCACGACCAGCAGCACATCGACCACGCCGACTTCGGTTTATACGCCACCTCCGCCGCCTCCGTCATCAACCTCGACGCCGGTTCGTACTTCGTCTGCAGGCCCAGTGCCAACTGGCTCAGGATCTGGCGTCACCACCAATGGCATGTGCGGCAACGGGACCTTGTGCATTGGGAGCCCCAACTACGGGCCGTGCTGCTCGCAGTTCTTCTGGTGCGGCTCGTCTCTGGACTTCTGCGGCGCGGGCTGCCAAAGCCAGTTTGGTGCCTGTTTCGGCGTGCCTGGCCAGCCTGGCCCTCCTGCGTCCAACGTGACGACGACTTACGCTCCACCGCCCGTCACCACGACTTCGACGACGTCGACAACAATCAGGATCACCACGACCAGTACGACCAGCACCAGCACCAGCACCAGCACCACGCCGCCGCCTCCGCCACCGCCACCTTCGACAACATCGACCACGGCACAACCCACGCCGACCGTGGTGATCCCGCCTGGACTGCGCTCTAGCACCGACGGCACTTGTGGCAGCGGCGTGACATGCCTTGGGTCAACCTTTGGGCGATGCTGCAGCCAGTTTGGCTACTGCGGCGACGGTGATCAGTTCTGCCCGTACATTGTGGGCTGTCAGAGCGACTTTGGCTACTGCGACCCTCCCACTAATTAAACGCTGGGGCTAAACTGCGGCATCCTGCATGTAATTAGCCTCTAGAGTATGCTAGCCTGTCCAAATAAGGTAATTAGCGAGAAGGAGAAAGAGTCAGGAAGGGGTCGGGCATGTTGGAAACAGGTTATTAATTGGCTGGCGAGTAGGATCCTTCTTAGATGTTGTCTAACAACCTACCTTACCCATCATCTACCTTCCGCTCTGAACAATGGATCTATTCGACAACGAGGCAAGGGCAAAGCAGTGTGTGTGGTTCTGAATGTTTGTGGTTCTGGATGTGTGTGGTTCTGGATGTGTGTGGTTCTGGATGTGTGTGGTTCTGGATGTGTGTGGTTCTGGATGTGTGTGGTTCTCGATATGTGTGGTTCTGGAGGTGGGTGAGGTTTAATTCATTTTCGTTTTCGTTTCCGCCTCGTTTTCGACAACGAGGGTTAGGGTAGGTTAATTTAGTTCGAGTTTAAAATTGCGCGCCAAGACTTGCTCTGTCCGAGACCACGCTGAAACTTGTGGGGTCTGGGAATTTGGTAACCCCGACGGGCTGTCGGTGCCCACGGCCATCTCGCGACAGCTTGCACACCCGACCCGAAGCATCCCGTGGGCCATCTGGCCGTTCCGACAAAAGCACCTCACCATACCTACCTGATCGATTGAGCAGCAGAACAGCGCCTACCCTAGGTAGCCAGCCTAGCGCGAGCATCGTCCCTCCTGCACGACTGGCGTCCAGCGGCGGGTAGCGGCCAGCGACCGTTGATCGGATTGAGTTTCGACAACCGACAACCCCGCATCCCCAGCCCCAAGCAACTGAAGCACTGAAGCAGCCAAGCAACTGAAGCACTGAAGCAGCCAAGCAACTGAAGCAACTGCAGCGACTGAAGCAACCAAGCAACCAAGCAGCCAAGCAACCAAGCAACAAGCAAGCAGCCGTCCTGCGCACACAGCCAGCCTGTCAACGCTCCACGCTCGAGCGCCTTCCCTCTCCCATATTTCCACAATGTCTGGCATCGATGCTCCCGAAATCGTCGACGCGTACAATGCGGTGCGGTCGGAGAAGGACGAAACCAATTGGCTGCTGATCTCGGATGCCGGGCCCAAAGGCAACCAGCTCGTACTGTCGCAAACCGGCACCGGTGGCCTGTCGGAACTCGCAGAACTCCTAGACGACACCCAGGTCCAGTATGCCTACGTGCGCGTCGAGTACGCCAACGACGCCGAGAGCACGCGCGTCAAGTTTGCCCTCGTCATCTGGATAGGCGAGCAGACAAGAGTGATGCGCAAAGCCCGCGTCAGCATCGAGAGCGGCGACGTCAAGCAGATCCTCTCCCATTCAAGCATCCAAGTCGAGACGGGCGACAAGGACGACCTCAACGAGGAAGACATCGTAGACCGACTACGCAAGGCCGGCGGCGCCGACTACAATGGCGGGAGGGGGTGACGGCTGCTGTGGCGCCATTGCTGGGTAGAAATCCCGCATTGGACAAACCAAATAAGAAGAAATAAGAAGCTGTTGGACACGGGAAGTTTACAATTACATCTTTCAGAAGAATTACTAGCGCAATGGCTCGATGCGCTGCGGTGCGTCCCATCCAACTAGCATTGCCACTTTTACCTCGCTCACCCCTTCCCTCGTAACGCTCGCCTTGACCTTTTGCCCGCGACTGCCGCTTGGGTGTGGCCAACATTCCGCATCCCGTGATATTCCCGCGCCCTACGGAGTAGTCGTTTCGGTTTCCTCTCCAGCACATCGGCCTACGTACATGTCACCTTTGGTAAACAAGGTCAATTCTTCTCATGGGGCCACGACCACCACACAACCACTGGGCTAAGTACACGCAAAGTTCACTGACCTATTTCGCTCCCGGGATCTACATCCAGGCTGCGCCCAATTGGCCGTGGTAGCATGATCGCAGGTTTGGTGGATTTCTCTTCGTGTGTTTGCGCCTGGTGGCCTGTATCATCCCACTCCCTTCGGCCAACCAGACACGAGAGGTCTCGGGAGCTTGCATGGACGTGTCTCAGACGTGAAGACGACCGGCTAACTCGCCATGTATGGATGACGAGGTCCCACGCCAAAGGTGGTCACATCCTCGCAGAACCACCGACGGAAACCAGTACATCATGCAGTCCATCTTCAGACCTTGACGGCGGGCGGAACAGCGGCCATTTTTGGGGCTGAATGTGGCATATGCCGACACATGGATGCCGCCACCCGACGCTAAGAACATCGTGGTTGCACCAAATGTTGCACCAAATGATGCAGCTGCGACCATCATTCCCACTCTTGATGGCCGATAATTAGTGTCGCACGACCAGCCCGAATATCGACGGCAGCCTCAGGCGCGGTTTCAGGCCAATCAAGGCAACTCGCCGGTGAAAGGGGACGGCTATGCATTGTTGCGTGGCGACTCATCTGCCTTGGCTTCGTTTACTTGCGGCTGGATTTCTAAGCAGAGGTCTGTAAGCAAAGTCGGAAGTGAAAGCCCGTGGGTACGGAGTATATAAGTTCTGGAGCCGCCAGCGCGAGTCGAGCGGGGGCTCTTGTCGAAACGGAACCTCGACCTGAGATTATCGTCAGTCGAATTGTCAATCGAATTGCCGCACCTTGTTCTTGACCCGTTGTTGCCCAAGGCTGTTCAGCATCAGCGTCTCCGAATTCATATGGCGCGTTTCTTCGTCACCGGATCGTCAGATGGCCTGGGATTGGCGACAGCGAAGCACCTGGTCGCACAGGGCCGCCAGGTCGTGCTGCACGCGCGCAACGCAGACCGCGCCAGAGACGCGACAGCTGGATGCCCCAGGTGCGACGCAGTGTTGGTGGCCGACTTGACCAGCATCGACGAGACGAAGCAGCTGGCCGCCTAGGCGGCCGGCACGGGCCGTACGACGCCGTGCTGCACGACGCCGGCCTGTTCGTCGGATTTGAGACCGCGCCTGGCAAGTCGGGGCTGCCGAGCCTCTTCACAGTCGACACGCTCGCGCCGTACATGCGCACATGCCTGATGGCTCGCCCAAAGAGGCTGGTGTTTATCTCGTCGCCGTTGCACTCTGGCGGGCAGCACAACTTGGGCGGCACCGAGGGCGGCCGCGACATCCGAGACTCGCACTACGGGGACAGCAAGGTGCACGTCATGATGCTCACCAAGGCGTCTGCGCGTCGCTGGCCCGACGTGCAGTGCTCCACTGCCGCTCCGGGATGGGTACCAACCAAGGTGGGCGGCGAATCGGCACCCGATCGTCTGGAGGATGCCGTCGACACCTTTGCGATGGTTGCGCTGGATGAGGGGCCGTCACCATCGCAAAGGTGTCGACGGCATCCTCCAAAGGGCAGGAGCGGGGAGCTATTTCGAATACTTCAAGGAGCAGAAGCCGATAGCGGTGGCTGGAGACGTGGCACTGCAGGACCAGTTGCTGGCCGAGTTGAGCCGAAGAAGCGGTGTTCCTGTGCCCGAGGAACAATAGGGAGGTTGCGGGCTGGATGGAGGGTTCCGCAGCTCGGCGGTGGACCGCTTGTGTGCGCCCGTCACCGGCGCACCCGCGCCTAGGTTTGGTTGACGTGGACAATAGAATGGGGCTGGCTGGGTGCTCCTCCTGTCTCGGCTGCGCGTCACGCGTGGGTCGCTCGGCCAGCTCCGGTGTTCCAACGCCCTCGTCGGCTGTTTGGCCAGCACTGGCATTTGGAGGTCAGACAAAGAGTCACATCGCCGGTCGGGCGTTTTCTCCGAATCCTCACTGCACCGATTCGGACGACACGAATGCGGTGCTTGCTGCCTGCTGTTGATTGATTAGCAGCAGAAGGTACCATGTTGCTGCACATAGGATCGCGGCAAACAAGGAATTTTAATTGAATCTCCTGGATCCAGAAGCTTCCAGTGTCGCGGCAGCAGCGGTCACGTTGCAGCCAATTGGCGATGGTTGGCCGGAGCGGGCTTTCGGATGTCGGTGGCCGAAAAATAAAAATGCAGTCAGATTGGGAATTATTTGAAAGGTACTAGCCAAAAGGTGTCAGCCAGCCACGAAATCATCAGCTTGCCTTTGGTAGCCCTATTGGGCCCCGTCAGCCAGCCTGCAGATGCAAATGTGCAGCTGATGAATGGCTAGTTCGTCTGCTAGTTCGGAGCGTCGATCAGGTTCGGGAGGACTAGTGCACAACTGTGCACAGAACTCCCCCACCCAGGCGTGGCCTAGCAGAGACTGGAGTCTAGAGACTAGAGACTAGAGACTGGAGACTGGAGCATGGCGCATGGCGCACGGGGTTGTGTGACCAGGCATGGACGGGGCCGGCCTGACTATGGGGAAACTTGCAGAACGGTTGCTTACACTAATTCCAGACGGCATAACAACGGCCAGCTTGGGAAGGACAGCCACAAGCTGCGGCCCAGCTTCCGCGTGCAGTTGCTGCAAGAGGTTTTGGGGGGGGGAGAAAAGAGGTCAGCTCGTCCAGACTGAAAGAACTAGTCCCGACAACTTTGTCGCGGAAGCACCGACATTCGCGTATAAGAAGGTGGGAAGACGGCCTCTTTGTTCGGCCCTCACCCCCACCCCCGAGTCAACTCGAGCTCCAGACAAGTCTTTGGAGTACGGAACGAATAAAAGGCAGCCCAGTTCTCGGAAGCGAACCAAGCCCTCGGGACTGTTGGCCCTGGCCGAACTTGTCCATCTCCACAATCCCACAGCCCACTTTAAGCTTACGGATTCCCTTCCGTCCCTTCTCATAGCCCGCCGCAGCCCAACTCCGAACTGCGCCCGCCACGCGAAACGATCACTCGGGCCTCGACGCCGCTGACCTGCGTTTCGGCTGCCAGCAACTGTTGGATTTCAGGCTGCCAACACGTGGAGATCTCAACCGCCGGGAACCCGCGTCCAGCGCATTCGAGCACGTCAACCCGGATTCAAAAGAAGGCAACAAGTCGACAAAATGCGGCCGCCCAACTTCCGCTTCCCTTCCTTCGCCTCTGCCGCTCCGGCTTCTTCCCATGACAAGACTTCGCCGACCCTCCCAATGCTCTCGCTGCCTACCACCGCACGCAATAACATAGTGGCGGCCCTGGGCGAGTTTGTGGGCACCTTCCTGTTCCTCTTCTTTGCCTTTGCCGGCACCCAGGTTGCCAACACGCCGCCGCCGTCCCCACCTCCGGCCGGTGTTGTGGCGCCCTCTAACCAGGTCTCTCTCATCTTCATCTCCCTCGCCTTCGGCACCAGTCTGACTGCCAATGTCTGGGCATTTTACCGCGTCACCGGCGGTTTGTTCAACCCGGCTGTAAGTCTCGTCCTGCACCTGCATCCTTTGCTGTGCTTCCAAGCGTCTCGGGGCCGATGCAAGCCCTCTTTGCTGTCACGGGAGGCTGCATCTCATCTGCGTGTGCCACCTCGGGATCTGGAGACGGAAGCAGACGAGAAAGGGGTCATGACTCCTGAGTCGTCGATAATATTGACATCGCGACACTTGACTAGGCAGTTAACTGACTTGTGCAACTTGATTAGGTGACGCTCTCGCTGGTCCTCGTCGGTGGCCTCCCCGCAGTACGCGCCCTCCTTGTGGTCCCGGCCCAGCTCCTTGGCGGGATTGCTGCCGCCGGCGTCGTCTCGGCATTGCTTCCTGGCCCTATGGCTGTGGAAACGACACTGGGCGGCGGCGCGAGCGTCGTCCAGGGTCTGTTTATTGAAATGTTCCTCACGGCCGAGCTGGTGTTTGTTATCATTATGCTGGCCGCCGAGAAGCACAAGTCGACATATTTAGCACCCGTGGCCATTGGCATCTCGTTCTTCCTGGCCGAGCTGGTTGGTCAGTGCACCCATCCCTTTTTTTCCCCGCCCCCTTTGTGATAGCCACCGTGCACTAACCCCCGCACAGGTGTCTACTACACCGGCGGCTCCCTCAACCCGGCTCGCTCGCTGGGCCCGGCCACCGTGAACCGCAGCTTCCCGGGCTATTTCTGGATCTACTGGGTTGGTCCGCTGCTGGGCTCGTTGCTCGCATCGGCCTTCTACACGCTGCTCAAGTTCCTCCGCTGGAAAGAGGTCAACCCGGGCCAAGACTGGAACGACTCGGAGAAGCTCGAGTCGGAGAGACGTCTCGCCGAGGGCCGCGACGTTGTCGAAGCGTCGGCCGACAAGAGGAGCGGGAGCAGCGGCCGGGCCGATCCCCATTGAGATGCATGCACACACAGAGCTGCTGACAGGCTATTCATGGTTCAAGGTCTACGGTTCAAGAACCCCTGCCCGCCCCCCCCCCCCCCCCTTTTTTTTTAGTTGTGGAGTCCTTCACGCCAGGTGAAAGTTTCGTTTGTTCCTCTTTGTGGTGCGAATTGAGGGCGTCACGGTTTGTCTGTTTTCGGGCTTTGGGATTTGAACATAATTGTTTCTTTCTGGTGATACCTTGGTGCGAGTTGTACATATTTCTATAATCAGGAGTTTGCCTGTGCAGAAGACTGAATTGGTGGACAGGGCTGATATCCCCAAAACATTGCAAGTTCTGATGTTTTCTTTCATCCCTTGATCCGCGTGGCATGCTTGTGACACAGGGTGCCGGGTGCAGAGTCAATCACGTTTGTACACGGGCCGCCCTCTTCGTACGGCATGTTAAGAGATCAACTGCTATTGTTATTTCGTGGCCCAGTCACCTGATGTGCTTGGTTGATCCAGCGCAGCCGCCGCGTAGCGTAGTGAAAGCCCTAGGTTGAACATTACATCCTTTGTCGGGCCAGACTCTAATGGTATTGCAAAGAGTCAGTGACAACCTTTGACTCCACGCTTGTTTGGCTGGCAGTTGGGCACTCAAAAATCCAACTCGACAGAGACTGAATGTGACTAGGAGTCTGGGGGCAAATATCACACGGCATTGGGTTACGATGCCATTTTGAACAAGTCTCCTGGTTTCCACAAACGTGAGTAATCAGCGGCTGCCAAACTGCGCTGGAGCTGGGGGGAGGTCGTATAAGCTCAATAATTCTCAACTTCGCTCTCATCGTCGACACCCCCTGTCAAACGTTCTCCAAATGCTAGGTTGCCCGACTTGGCGGGACTTGGCGCGTCGCTGGCCGTGTCGGGAATTCTCCCGTTCAGCACTGTGCTATTATCACCTTCCGTGGTTGAGCATGTTTGCTTCTTATGCGACGATGGCTCTTGGGAAGGAGCCCCGGACACGCACGGTACTTCCAACCTCATGTGCTTCCAGCCTCATCTCGAGAGGCACGTGTTCTTGACTATCCGCGCGACCGACGCCGACCAGACCATGTCGCGGGCCCAAAAACTTGCCATCTGCGTGAAAGGCCCCACGACTCGGAGGCCTGCTAGGTCGCGGACGAGGGCGGCGTGGGGACAGACATGCATTGCTGCGTGGATGAGGAGTGGAGGAAGTGTGTGACAGACCTGGTCTGAAAATGCGGCCACCGTGTTGGACGTTGGTATAGAATCAAAAAGAGAAGGGGGGAGGGGGAGGGGGTCAGACAAAAGGGATAGAACAAAAATGTGGCAAAGCTTAAGAGCAAGGGTAAACCGGAGGCAAGTGAGTGAAGTTGTGTGTGTGTGTGTGTGCCGGTCGGCCACGAAGGGGAGGAGGACGAAAGGGGTGTTTTCGGGGTTTCTGGGGTTGGCTTAATACACGCACGATTCAGGGTGGCCCCACAAGTCAATCGGTGACGGTGGTGAACAAGGTACTTAAAGTAAGCAAGTCATTTCCCGCCTGGCTGCCAAGTTCGTGTTGGCACAGGTTGAGAGCGCAGCAAAGTCACATTGAAACACTACATTCTTGGCGTCGACAGACGGACCAAAACAACTTCTTAGTTCTGCGGAATAAGAGTCGAAACAGGCGCCGTCCCCAAGTTACCGACGGGGAATGGTGTTGGATTTATACCAAGCGTCGGCTGTCAAGGTGCTTAGGGTTACCTCGGCCGACTGTGCAGCGTGTCGGATCGGATGTGGCCTTTTTGCTCGTCGAGGATCCGCCTGTGCCGCGCCCGGCTTGAGAACAGGCCAACAAATCTGACAGACGACACACGTGCCGGGATGAAGACCGTGAGGCACGGATTGAGGAGGATGCCGGATTGATCAGGGACCGGCGCAGTGTTTGGTGTTGCCAACAGACTTTGAACCCCTGCACCCACGCTGCATGCTGGCCCCAACAACAGTGGGAGGAAGGGGAGCGCAGCGCAGCGCAGCGCATTGCAGTGCAGAGGGCGGAGAGAGAGAAACAAAGGAACAATTGTTGGTCAAAAAAGCTGGCCGTCCAAGCTTGCTTGGATGCTGCATTTCAAGGACAAAAACTTCTCAAGAAATTACTCCTTTTTGGCGGTAGTGATGCAGCGTGTGTGGTGCAGCGTGTGTGGTGCAGAGTGTGTGGCTGGTGTTGTTTTTGGCGTGGCTGCAACAGGGAGGAAGGCCTGTTGCTGGGTCTTGGGGTTGATCCCTGGGTGCTGCAGGCGAACCTGGCAATTGAGATCTGTAGAGTGAGCCTCTATTATTATCTCATGTGTTACGTAGCTACTTTCTGAATAGAGTCTACGAATAGCAGATCATCTTTTTTTTTTCCCACTTGGGCTGCATATTAAAATAGTCACGGACCCAATCGATGTTTCGAGGCATGACATTGAAGATCTCGCCGCTAATTTCCGTCGACACCTGACTGCACTTGCGTTGGGGGGTTGTGGGGCATGCGATTATCGATCATCTCCATGTTGGGAATGGGGTTAGCGCGGGCCACCAGCTACCCGACAGTCCCGACACCGTCTCGGGACATCAGGCGCCTCAATCCCGGGACATCAGGTGCCTCAATCCCAGGACATAGGCGCCTCAATCCCGGGAATTCTGCACCGTGACCAAGGTAGTCTCGTTTCTATGCGCATCTCAGACAGGTGCAGCTACACCAAGCGAGAATCGGAGAAAGGAGCAACACACGATATTAATATTGCCCGTCTCCAGCCAGCCGAGATTGAGATGGCTATTATGCGCACACCACGGATACGGTACGGGCTGACTTTGTTTCGTGCTCGGAATTCGCACTCGAAAACGGAGCAACTCAGCGGCCAGCCCGTGCACCACGCGAGTGAATCTCGTGACGATCTAGACTGATGATCGGTGACACTGCGACTGCCGATCCCTGGGGCTAGTTACGCAGGAGGTTAGCACGGCACGCACAACACTAACAAGCCCACCGCGTCTTTCACGATATCGACAGTAAATGAGCATGGACGGCATGGTGCAAGTCGGGGTTGCAGCCTTGATCCTGAAGAGGGGTTCCCGCGCACCTGGTGTCTCCAGCATGTCCCGAGTCTTGTGCCATCCCATCGGCTCTGGGCATCTTAAGGGCAGAAGCTCTCGTCGCGCACCTTGAATGGACGGCTTGCTGAATGGACGGCTTGCAGTTTCCATCGTGTCGACTACAGCCTACACCCCCAAGCCAAGCCATCATGCTATTTCTGCAACCGCTACTCGGCTTCGCGGCCGCGTGTGCCTCGCTGGCGCGGGCGGTCGAGTTGACTGGCTATGAGTACATCGTGGTCGGTTCCGGGGCTGGCGGCGGACCGCTCGCAGCCCGGCTCGCCCTGGCCGGACACAAGACACTGCTCATCGAAGCCGGCGACGACCAGGGCGCCAACTTCAACTATACCGTCCCGGCCTACAACGCGCGCATGTCCGAGGACGAGCACGTTTCGTGGGATTTCTTCGTGCGCCGCTATGCCGACGATGTCCGCCAGGCCCGCGACTGGAAAACCAGCTACGACACGCCGGACGGGGCCGTCTACACGGGCCTTGAGCCGCCCAAGGGGTCGACCATGAAGGGGGTGCTGTACCCGCGGGCTGCAACCCTCGGCGGCTGCACTGCCCACAACGCCCTGATCGCCGTCTACCCACACCAGTCCGACTTCCAGTACATCGCAAGCCTGACTGGCGACGACTCGTGGTCGCCGGCCAACATGCGGAAGTACTTTGTCCGTCTCGAGAACAAGCGCTATCTCTCGGGCCTGCCCAAGGGCCACGGCTACGACGGTTGGTTGACGACCGAGACGGCGCCTCTGACCATTCCACTGAAGGATCCCCAGCTCCTGTCGGTGCTGCTGGGCGGTGCCTTTGCCCTCGGCAACATCACCAACCAGGTGCTCAACATTGGCACCCTGCTCGCCGGCGATCTCAATGCCGACTCGCTGCTGCGCGACCGGACGCCAGCTTACTATCAGATCCCCGCCAGCACCGACAACGGCGCCCGCACCGGCAGCCGGGAGATTGTCGTCGCGGTGCGTGATGCCCGGAACCCCGACGGCACCAAGAGGTATCCTCTCGACGTGCGCCTCAACTGCCACGTCACCAGGGTTGTCTTTGACGAGTCTGTGAGACCCCCGCGTGCAACCGCCGTCGAGTTTCTCGACGGCGCCCACCTCTATCGAGCAAGCCCGCGGAGCCAAGGGGCCAGCAGCAAGAGAAGCAGGGGCACTCCTGGGTCCGCCACGGCCTCGCGTGAAATCATCATCGCCGGCGGCGCATACAACTCGCCCCAGATTCTGAAGCTTTCGGGGATTGGCCCGGCCGCCGAGCTGGCCCGCTTCGGCATCAAAGTCGTTGCCGACCTTGCCGGCGTCGGCACGAACCTGCAGGACCACTACGAGACGGCCGTCTTGGCCAAGGCGCCCCGGGACTGGCCGGCACTAGCCGGCTGCACCTGGGAGTTCGACGGCATGCCCGACCCGTGTCTCGAGAGGTGGCAGCACCCGGTGCTCGGGGACCGCGGCACCTACGTGGCGGGAGGGCTCGTTGCCTCGATGCTGTACAAGTCGTCGGTCACGACCGACGACAGCTACGACGTTTTTGTGTTTGGCGGACCCGTCCACTTCGTGGGCTACTACCCCGGCTATAGCATCGAGGCCACCGCCGAGCACGACTGGTGGACATGGGCCATTCTCAAGGCTCACCCTCGCAACACGGCCGGCCGCGTGGCTCTGCGCTCGGCCGATCCGCTTGACGTGCCCGAGATCTTGTACAACTACTTCGACTCGGGTTCGGGCGACTACCAGAAGGACCTGCAGGCCATCTCCGAGGCCATCGGCCTCGCGCGAGACGCCCTGCGCCGCCAGCCAGTCGAGACAAGCGAGCTTCTCCCGGGCGCCGACAAGAACACGCAGGCCGAGATTGACCAGTATATCAAGGACGGGTCATGGGGCCATCATGCAAGCTGCACCTGCCCCATTGGCGCCGACGGAGACCCGATGGCGGTGCTTGACTCGCGGTTCCGCGTGAGAAAGGTGCAGGGGCTGAGGGTGGTTGACGCGTCTGTCTTCCCGCGAATCCCAGGCACCTTCACGGCCGTGTCGACCTACATGGTGGCCGAGAAGGCAGCCGACGACATTCTGGCAGGGCTGGCAGGGCTGGCAGGGCTGAAGAGATAATTGGCCCGCCACGAAGCCAGTAGACGAAGCCAGGAGATGGCATGAAACATGGTGTGAAAGAGAGGTGTACTTGGAGCGTCGCTGGCCAACCTGTTATTTATTCGTGCCTAATTATCTTGCCTCTCAAGCATCTTGCCTCTCAAGCATCTTGCCTCTCAAGCATCTTGCCTCTCAAACATCTTTTCGTCCGTCGCAAGCTTCGCAGCTTGGCACGCCACAGTCGTCGAGTCTGGCATGTCGATGACCGCATCGTGCCTACTTTGTTTCGCCGCATTAGAAAGCGAGGTAGATCATATAATTTGTGGCTAGGCAGGGCCAGACCATATTGTTTGCAGTGACCGAGGTTCCCGGCAATTAACACTTTGAGGACTTCGAGCACAACGCCTTAATTTCGCAGTCAGGTAGGTCAACACTATCAACATGTGATGGGCCCCAAAACGGCACGCCTTGCGAGGACGGGGTACTACTTCCCGAGTACCGAATTGTGTAACAACCGATGACGGAGTTCCCCGCTTCCGTAGTCCTCGCCCTGACAAAGCACCAAGCTCTGTTTGCGGGGCTCGGGCTTTGTCGGGCTTTGTCGAGTCCTCGACTGCACCGTACAGGAATCAATCTTGAACTTGAGGCATCAGCATCGGGCCCAGCTGTCGCCCTGTCGGGGTTCATCGCTTTGGCAATAATTGCTCAGAAACCTAACCATCATCAGCCAGGTAGCAAAACGCGTTTCGGGATGCCTCCTCCGGGCCAGCTCAGGTGCAGTACTCCCAAGTCGGCAAAAGCCCTGTCGTTAACACGCCATAGACGCTGGCTTAGAGCTAAGTACATGAGGTGAAATAGTGCTAACTACATGAGGTGAAATAGCACAGAGAATCTCGCGGCCAAACTGGCCGTCGAGGGGCCCGCCAAGCACGAGCCGGCTAGGCGCCGTGTCAGGGGCCTCGCGCAAGGCCAGTGGGTGTTTGACACGCTAAATGCCGAGTACGTTTGGGAGCATCTGTACTGTATGTAAATGACAGCTCTGCTTGCGTTCTACATGAGCTGATGGCAGTGTGTGCCTCGGCCAATAGATCCGCTTTTTTACATCCCTCTGGTCGACATCGAAAGCGGCCCGGGAAACATCGCTTGGTCCGACGCCCCCGACAGCAGAGGCTTCTGCAGCGGGACCATATCAGTTGCCCAAAAGATGATTGAAGTCGTTCGCCTCGACCGTGGTCCGCTCAAGGGTCTGGTTAAAATCCCCGTCAACAGTCTCGGTAAGTCCCACAGCTCTTCTCTGTGTCCCTGAGTCCCAACTCCCCGGGTCCCGGCCCAGGAGATCCACAGGCGTGAGGCCTATCATTAACTATGCGTGACCGCTGGCACAGACGCTTGGTTCGTTGAGGACGAGAAACTCGTGGGCCCGCACCCCAAGGACCCATACAAACGAATCGAGTGTCTTCCTTCGACCCGCGAGGTGCTCGTCCAGGTGGCCGGGGTCACTGTCGCGCGGAGCACGCACAGCGTGTTCCTATTCGAGACGGGCCTGCGCACGCGTTACTACCTTTCTCCTACATCCATTCTTGACTGGAGCATGCTCACCCCGAGTACCACGACCAGCTTCTGCCCGTACAAGGGCCAGGCAAGCTACTACCATGTCAAAGTGCCTGCGGGAGAGAACACGGTCACGGTTGAAGATGCCATCTGGTACTATACTTACCCCACGGTGGAGTCTGCACAGATTCAGAATCGCCTATGTTTCTATAACGAAAAGGTTGATATCTGGCTTGACGGAGTCAAGGAGGATAGGCAAGGCACGACGGCAACGAATTAGGTTCAGACAGCATGCTTGAATCGCCACAGCGAGTATTAGGTCTGTTGCGGCCTAATTATGGAATCAGGGATCGTGTAGAGACACCACCGAAACCAATGCAAACTGTCGTCATGTTTAAGCTGTTGCTTTATGCAACTGTGGCAGGGGTTGTGCGTGGTTGCGTGCCATGAGTCTCCAACGGTCACGCCCAATCTTAACCGAGGCGGTTCGACGGCGGCAGATACTAACAGTGCCGCAGATGACGCAATTACCATCAGCGCGCCCAGATTGGCCATGCCTTGCATTAACTCCATTAGGGGTAGAGTAGGTCCGAGAGGTGTTTGCGAATTAGGAAGTCACAAAGTTCATTGGCCCGTCGCTCCGGAAAGCCCGCATCTCAAGCGCTCTCAAGCGCTCAAGTCCCGAGGCCATCTGGTTGCTTGGAACGGAACAGACGGAGCAAGTTACATCGGGCTACATATCACGCCCAGTTTGGGCTGCATATCACGCCCAGTTTGGGCTGCATATCACGCCCAGTTTGGGCTGCATATCACGCCCAGTTTTATCGTTCCTCTTCTATATAAGAATGAAAAAATGTCGGCTCAGGGAAGGACATAATCTTGTCATTGTTCTCTTCATCCGGGAGCTGACACGGGTCGTCTGTTCGTCTTGAGCGCATTTTTCGCCCGCCTCGGAATACGCCTCGAAATACGCAGTCGAAAATGGCCGCTTCAGAAATCCTGCCGAGTCACAAGGCTCTATACCTCGGTGCGAATGGCGACATCGCGATCTTGGACATGGGGCCTGGCTCCCCATATACGCCGCAAAACAGCCAGAGCTTGGTGCGCGTCCGGTACTCAGGCATCAATCCCGGCGACGTCCGCCACTTCTGGATGGGAATGAACTCGTTCGTCATGGGCTACGACTTTTCCGGGACCGTCGTTGACTCGGGGCCCAGCTCCCCGTTTTCCCCCGGCGACGAGGTACTGGGCATGACGTTTCCCGGGCATCAGCGTGCCATGCATGCGGGCGCCCACCAAGCCTTCCTGCTGGCCGATCCATACATGACGTGGCGTCGGCCTGCCGACCTCCAAGCACGCTGGGCTGCAAGTATGGCCACAGCAGCGCAGACGGCCGCCGACGCCCTCTTCAACTGTCTTGGCTTCGGGCTCGAGGCGGCTGGAGTCGACGGAAACAGCACACGCGGCCAGGCACTGCTGATATGGGGGGGCTCTAGCTCTGTGGGCTGGGCGGCACTGCACCTGGCACGTGCGGCTGGCTTTGAGGCCGTCTTTGTGACGGCCTCGCCGGCGAACCACGAGGCGCTGCGAGCAGCAGGGGCCGCACGCTGCTTCGACTACCACAGCCCGGCAGTCGTGCACGACATTAGACGGGCGGCAGAAGACCTGGCACTCCCTCTCTACGCCGTCTTCGACGCTGTTGGAGCGGGCCTAGGCATCTTCGAACCGCCAAGGGCCCGAGTCCAAGACTTCAGCAGAAGCAGCCCAGCCGTTGCAAAGCTCTGTCTTGCAGATGGCGCCCTGGCCAGGGGAGAGGCTCGGCTGTGTTGTGCGCTCCCGGTGGCGCAGGACGCAGACTGGACCTTTGCCCTGTTCTCGAGGAAGGGGGACATGCAAGAGACACAGCACCCGGGGTGGTGGCAGCGACAGGACAAGGTCGTCAGCTGGCTCATCGACAATCACGAGTCGGCGTGGAGGCCGCTGCCCAAGATATCCGTGGTGGATACCGCGGAGGGTGCTGTAGTCGCTCTCGGGGACGCGTTCGATGGGAAGCTGAGCATGCAGAAGGTGTTGATGCAGCATCCTCTCAGGTGACAACAGCGAAGCACCGAGATACCAGATGCGAGATGTTGCTGTCAGGTGCCTGGCCAAGTTCTGCTATTTCCGGCAAGGAAATGGCCGATTAATTTAGTAACTGGGTCGGTAGGAATTAACGCGTGACGCATATTCGAGCATTTACCTAGATGTCTACCTCACCTACCTAGGTACCTACATAAGTAGGTAACTTCCGTGGTTTGTATGTACCTCGTGATTTGTCATAATCTCTCTTTGCTCTACGACCTTGCTTGGGTTCTATCTGCCGGCCTATTGGCTCGAGACCTCGGAGCTCTGTAGTTGCCCCTTTTGGCCCTTGGGCCCACCTGGACTGCGCATGACTCACTCCCCGTCATATTTTAGCTGTTGTGCCTGGGTAGGCAGGTAATCAACTCGGGACAAATCAATTCTCTCCCCATTTCATTTTGAATAAAAAATCCAATCCTTCCTCCAGAGTCCAGACTCTATACCTGCATCGAAGTTCAACCGAGTGTAAAGATATCCAACCGCACCAGACCAGTTCTGTCCATTAAATCCGTTATGCCTCTCTACATCCGCCCCGCCGTCGAGAGCGACATGGCAGCAGTTGGCCGCATCGCGACTGACGCCTTCAAGGACACGCTCTCGACCGTTTTGTTCCCCGCCCACCTCCGCCCCGCCGACCAGCCAGACTTGGACGAGCAGCCGGCATGGCGGGCGGCGAGGACCTGGCGGCGCATGGGCGAGGGCATGCCAACCATGGTCGCTGTCGACACAATCGACGGCCACGAGACAGTCGTCGCCTTCGCCCAGTGGGACAAGCCACATGTCGCCGGCACGGCACCCCCGACCATGGAATCTAAAAGAGACGGAGACCCAATCACGCTCGATAAAACAGCCCTAGCCGCCATCTATGTGATCATGGAGGCCGAGACGGAGCGGTTGATTGGGCCAACCGCACATTACGACTTGTGGTGTTCGTCATTTTCTACCTCGGTTCCCCATCAACCAACTGCGGTCCCTGACCAATCTGCATGTTGTCATTATGGCACTGTTATCTCGCCGTAGCTGACACTTTTCTCTCTCCGCAGACCTCTTGATCTTGACCGTGGATCCTCGCCACCACCGCCGAGGCATTGGCAAGATGCTCGTGCGGTGGGGGCTGGAGCAAGCAGCTGCCGAGAAAAAAGGCGTGTTTCTTTCCGCCAGCCCGGCCGGCAAACCCATGTACCAGTCTCTCGGGTTCCGCGACCTAGGGGCATTTGAGATGCTTGGACTCCCACACTACACCATGCTATGGGAGCCAGAGAACGAGAAATAGTTGGCTGTTCCCACAGGTTGCCAAATTTAGTTGGCTGTTCCCACAGGTTGCCAAATTTAGTTAACTGTTGAACACTTGGCAGTGAGCGGTTCGGCGATGTTGCCATCCCGGAAGGAAAATAGATAAAATAACAAATTCAAGGTTGGGAAAGGGATTTGAGAATATGGATCAACGATGCTTGAGATCAACCCCAAACCCAGACGCTCTACCGTTATAGAAGCATGTTATTTCGTGTTAATTGTCGCCATTTTGCACAGGAGGAATATCTAACTGCAAGAGCGATTGAAATAGTGGACTACATTCTCACTCTTGGTCGTTTACACCCACATTACACTCCACTCGTCCAATATCAAGCCTCACCTGAATAGCTTTCAAGGATCATCGGGTATGGTGTAGCGGTAACATCGCTGACTCTCACTCAGCAGCTCGGGGCTCGACTCCCCGTACTCGAATTATGCAGCCTGAACTCTATTTGACAGGGTGCCCGAAGATTTCATTCTGGGTGCGTGGTCAGATTTCTTCTTTTCACTCATCATGTCACCAATACGATCACTACCTAGCTGGCCCACCCATTTCTGGGTGTTCATGTCGGCGACAACTCGCCATCAGTTTGTGGGTAGGACAACTCGCCATCAGTTTGTGGGTAGGACAACTCGCCATCAATTTGTGGGTAGGATTGACTACACCTGATGTGTTGTGCTGAGAGGGGTACGACCAATGGAAGTAGAGGTCCAAAGCTGATCAACATGGTCAGCTCGCTCGCAGTTGTTGACCTTTCGAGGCCGCTGCGACAGTAATGCTTGGCGCTTTCTTGTGTTTCCCAACCAGTGTTTCGGGAATTCGATTGCGGGAATTCGATTGCGGGATTGGGAATTTGCGGGAGGGCCCTCAGGCATGTCGCACACCAGAGCTCCGCCGCAAAAGCAACCCGACGGCAGATATAATTTTGATCAGGCCTTGTTTCAGCCGATCAGCCACCGGAGAATTCCATCAAAAGTCCGGCGGGAACAGGAACGGGGCCGGCACCCTAGGCCCCAGAAAGGTCGATCGCTGCTGCGTGTGGGCATGTGATGAATGTGATGAAACATCTTTTTTTGAAATAAAAATTAAAAAATTAAAGAACCCTAAATAAATAAATAAATAATAATAATAATAAACCGTTTGGGGTAACCATTCCGTACCTAGTTCTTGGCATGTCCAGGGAGATCCCAAGCCTTTTTTTTTTAGTTTCACTTTCCCTTCCCCCTCACCCAATTCCCCGCACTAGTCGTCACCCCACTCAGTGCGCCAAAGGCAGGGGATGCAGTCAGCATCCCAACCAAGTTCAGCCACAGTTACACATTCACAGAGCTCCCGGACCGTCGGGCCGGTAATTTTACACAGCCTTGGGAATCCCCGAGAGAATGCCCGAGTGGCGCTCTGAGACGTTTTTCGTCGGCTTAAATCTGAGCGAATGTGGGAGAGCGCGCGGGGTTGAAGTCAGGAAGGGGGATTTTAAGACTAGTCTAGGGTGGGTGGGGGACAGGTTTGTTGCACTACAGAGACAGCTACCCCTGTTCCATCCCGCAGACCCGGTTCTTGTGTCGCCCGGAAGCGGGCCCGGGGATCTTCGTGGCGTTCGGACGGCAGGACGCGTTATGCGTTGTCCCTTGGACCCATCGCCCATCGATGTCCAGTCTGCCTGTCTAGGTACTTGCAAAAATGGAGTTGCAAGCAAGCTGTTGAACGTGCAGCAAGCTGTTGAACGTGCAGCAAGCTGTTGAACGTGCCGCAACAGCGACGGGAATTTTCACACTAGGCTCATTTTCTTGCTGATAGTTGAGTTACCTTACCTTGGTTGCCACCATTGGCGTGGGGGCAGAACACGCGTCGACACGTCGATACCCAAAACCTCAAATTGTGCCGGGAAAAGCAGGCATCGGGGCATTGGCTCGAGGCATTTGGGCGCCGTCAACGGCGGCGTGTGATTCACAGGATACGGAACAACTGAACAGCTCTCTTTTGCCACCCATTGCATTAGTTCCAGGTTGTTGGTGCGTGCTCGACGCACCTCAGGTGCGCCCGACCATTTCTGTGCCGCCCGGCCTGTGTCCCTCCCTGTGTTATACACGTATGGCTCGCTCCAGCGGCAAATCATGGACGAGATAAGGACGATTGCAAGCAGCGTGGATGGCGAGGTCGACGGCGAGGTGCTGGGAATGCCACTCCAGCGTGCAATGGAGTGGCGAAAGAGAGGCACAATATATCATTTTGTTTCAAGTTGCCGCGTTCAATCCTTTGGTGCTTCCCAACGGCTCCACAAAACTTTGTGCATCTGAGCCCTCGCGGCCTTCGCCGCGGCCTTGCGGCACCGGCATCGCTCGGATTGGGATGGGTGTCTGTGGGGATCAGACCGCTACTGACTACAGCGAATGCAATGATGCTCGACAAATTTATTTTTGCTGGGAAGCTGTTTCGGCTTCGGTCATATCCACTGTTCAGGGCCACCGGCAGGCCTTGTCTACTTGCGTTATTTATCGGCTGGCGTAGGAAATAGCTGCTCTGTACCTAGGCAATTGTGGCATCTCTCTAGTGATAGATAGGTTGTGGTGTGCCCGTGTGTCGGCTCGGCACAAGACTTGCATTGGTAGTGGTGAGTGCAACTCTACAAGGCACCTCGGCGGCCCATTAAGCCATTCAAAAATAAACATCCATAGATGCACAAGTCTCCAGTAACTTGTGCCCCCGGATTCGAGCCAAACACTCGCTCTGCCGTTCTGGCAGATGCGATGGGGAGTGGGGCCGGAACGGCGAAGGGGCGGCAACGCCGATCCATGCCGCAACGCGTATGAATGTATGTATTTATGTATAGTATGGTACTAGACATAACAATGCATACTTTTAGTGGTTGCACACCGCAAAAATGAAGTGCGCAAATCATGGCCCTTGCAATAGCTCGCTTGCGCACCCGAATATTATGGAAGCAAATAAGATTCGAGTGTGTACGTATCAACAATTCCTTGAGCTGAGGGTGTTTGGAATGTGGAATCTATTAAACCCCAGTCTACCTTGGTTATATGGGCGAACGGTTGCGAGTTTGTCCCCGCGATTTTAAAACCTGTAAATTATTAAACCGTAGTACGGTATCCTCCGTAAGAATACGGAGTATTCTTCTCCCGTGTATAGTGCCTGCATGTACTATAGTAGGTTGGGAAAGGCGAGAAATCCGCACTTTACTATGGTACCAAAGTAACTGCTCAAGTACTCAAACCTGCCTCAAAGTTCTGTGGCACGTAATTACCTAAATGCATGGATTTCTTCGCCCTGGCAGGGTTATTATCAACCTTGGCGTTTAATGTATGTTTCCAGGATTCGTCGTCATTGACTTGCCCCTACTATGTGAACGGCCTGAAGAAACGTGGTTCAGGATGCCCAATCGGTTGTTGTCGCCCGGTGGTCTGTGCTGAAGGACGGAAGGTGCGGTCCTCCCCTCCCCCCCCCCCCATCCGAATCAACAGGTGAAGGGCAATGCAAACTTTAAGAGATTTTGGGTTCGAGAAATCTGCTAAATGGAGATGGAGAAACAAACCTTGGGACATTCCATTTTTCCATGTGTTTTTCCTGTTTCAAGGTTTGGCCAAGACAAAAATCGACGACTGGGCTGGAGCTGTTCTCTTCACAAGTCATCTCTTGTCTGCGAGCGGAGTTTATAGCGGGGTTTTACAAAAGGTTAGCGGGCTTTCTTTCAGGTCCCCGTCATCCATGGCCCCGTCATCCATGGCCCCCATCCCATTCTCGACCCCGAAGGTCCATGGTCTTGACGGGTCTCTAGGGCGATGGGCTTGGGGTTTTGCAACTTGGGTCGCAGGAGGTGCCCCCCCGGAGGTTGTCGCCAGCAAATTGATAATTGACAGGTCACGGAGGCATCGCGAACGGCGCGGAAAAGTTCCGTACGTGGGCACAAATACGGATACATGTAAAGAATAAAGTTGGGGCGATTGGACCTGGCGGTCCGTGCGCCAGACTACCACATTAGTCCAGGGACGGAGCTTTACAGCGCTGAACCCCAGGCCTGCATAGCCCTGCCCTCCACGACCGGGCCAGTGTTCCAGACTCGCCGAGCGTCCCAACGAGCGGCTTGGCCCGATCTTGCCAGTGAGCGAGGTACCTCCACGCCTGCCTTACGTTGTACCTACCTCGCAGGTAACCGACCCGATGTGGGAGCCCTTTTCTCGTCTCGTCTTGTCTCTTGGCTGGCAATTCGACGTTTCTAGCTGTCGGCAAATCCCGATTGCGGGACAATCTCAAACCCGCTTTACGTAAGACGCCTACCAAGGTAGGTAGGTACCTACCTTGGGTACTTGGCATGTACTGTACATGGTGTACTTGACGGATCCCTTGTGTACTTCGTCCGAACATGTACGCCAGCAACTCATCCGTCGTCCCCAATCAGCCAAGAGCAAGACGGCCCTCAGATATAAAGTAAGGTGTCTCTACACTACGGTATCAGCCCTACTGTATCAGCGATTGCATCAACCTCCAAGCTCCGCAACGAGTCCAACCGAGTCTGGGTCTACAATTGTACAAACACGCTGGTTCTGCAATTGTACAAACACGCCTCAGGTCAACCTTCTGTCAGCTATTCTGCTGCCTAGGCTCCGAAGCAATGCATGCACATGCACCTTTTCCGTCGACACTAGCTTCTCGCACTAAAAGAGACCTGGGATCAGCCTTCACTGCCAATCCTTTATTGGCAGGGGGCAGGTGGTAATTACCTCCATACCTCTGGTAAGTAGTACCCGGCTCTTAGTAGTGCAATGCACAATGCAGTGAAAAGCTGGAGCCCAGTTTGCTGGAGTCCAGGTTGCTGGAGTCCAGTTTGCTGGAGTGCCAAGGCACCAGCTCATAGAGATTGACCCGCTAGTTGTGTTATGCATGGCATAGATGGTCCCACACACACTACCTGGTTGATGAACAAACGCTTTCGCCTGAGCTCACCCCAGATCTGTGGCTTGGCTCTCTCTGGTGGGCGAGCTGACGCCATGGGAGGGGCGATTAAGGTAAAGGAGGCAGTCACCTACCTACGCGTACCTTACCTACTACCTACGTACTCAGGTACATAAGTATGTATTGGAGGTACTTCAGCACTTACTTCAGCACGTACGGAGTACATGCACATCAACTACGAAGATGGGCAGAGTGGCCAATGGTGCAGCCACCAAGGTCTGCAGGGCCATCCATGGATCCAATCCTGCCAGCCCACTCTGGCCGCCCACATATCGGCAACGACACCATAATAATGGGTCCTGTCAATCTGGAATCCACCATCTTGGCATGACCGGCAATACATAATGCTAAAAACTCCGGAGGCCAGGGCAGCCCTGGAGACTGGAAGACGAGGTCGCCCTCTGGCCTGGCATTGAGGCCCAGCAACCCACAAGTTCCCTTCAGCCCTACCCACTGCTCTGCCCCCCCTGCCTCCTGCCCCCCCTGCCCCCTGCCCCCGCCGCCCTGCCCCCTGCCCACTGCTCACTGCCCTGCCCACTGCCCACTGCCTCTGCCCACTGCCCTGCCCACTGCCCTACCCACCCTCGCCGCTGCCAGCCCGGCAAGGGGCACACGCTCCCCCAAATACCATTGGATCAGCCGCCGCGTGAACCGTGGATCGTCGACCGCGGCTCGTGGGCCGCCGACCGTCGAGGGCAGACGGCACCAGAAGCCGCCTCGCCTTCCCCATCCCCGGCTTGACATGCACCACAGGTGAACAATGTCAATGTGCCATAGGAAGAGCCCGCGCCCCCCTCACCTCGAAGGGCGGTGCAATTTCTTGCCTTCGTAGACTAGCCGCCGCTGTCGTCTCGTCTGTCGGTGCTCGACGCCGGACGCCGGACATGAGACGGACCTCGCCATTTGTCTCTGCACACAAGAGGTTCAGCCAAACGCTGCTCGGGGACCTTTCTTTGGCCGCTCCACTTCCATCTGGTCCCCAGTCTCGAGTCTCGAGCCCCGAATGCCGAGTCCCCGACACATAATAACAAGACCAAACCGCCGTCTCACCGCACCGTCGGCCTCGGACTTTTCACACACCTTTTGCGTCTTACAATGGTCCGATCAAAGCCCATCCAAACTACCAAGTGGGGCACGGCATGCACCCAGTGTGCCTCGGCAAAAGCAAAATGCTCGCGGCAGTATAGCTCTACCGGGTCCAAGTGCGACAGGTATGCAGTCGGACATCTATTTGCCGTCGGCCCCTTGATGCCTGCCCAGGGCCATGCCAACATGATCAACTGACGCAATCCGAACAGATGCGATCGTCTGCTGAAGCAATGTACGAGCCAGGTCCACCGCCCACGCAAGTTGAGGTCGTCCAAATCATCACAGTACGTCTTAGAACTCCTCCTCCCCGAGCTCCCGCGCAGGCAGCTATCATCCACAAGACACTAATCACCTACCCTTGGCAGCCGGAACGCCGGTGATGCCGCTGATGAGACGGCCAGGAGGTCTTCTGAATCGAGGAACTCGGCATCGGACCCTTCATGTGCTTCCCGTGTCGATACATGTAGTCCCATGTCTCGCAACTCGTGCATCCAAGGCCGCCCCTTGATTGTTCGCCCGCCCGCCACACAGGCCCGCGGCGATAGCGAGACAGAATCCGTACCTGTCTCCGAGACCTACCTCTCCTTCGCGCCGCCAAATTGCTACGGCCAGCCTCAGAACTCCCTCTGTCCAGGCCCCGTCGACGTGGACGACAATCTCTTGGCAATGTTCCGCAATGAGTTGATGTCACAGTATCCCTTTGTCGTCGTCCCGGACCACGAGCACTCTGATGCCTTCAAGAGAGACAGGCCATTTCTGATGTCGGCCATTCGCATGGTTGCCAGCTTCAGGAGCATGGAATCAATGCGGGGGCAAATGTCCCAGCTCATGACCTACCTTTCCGACCACATGCTTCTCCGGGCCGAGCGGTCGCTAGACTTGCTCATGGGCATCGTTGTCATTCTCGGGTGGTACCACTACCACTGTTTGAGGCACAGTCAGCTGAACAATCTCCTGAGCCTGGCCGAGTCGCTAGTTGCCGACCTCGACTTGATGAGGGGACACGTCAACCAAGACCAAGTGGTCGAGGACGACCACCTTCTGGAAGGGAAAAGGGCCGCGCTGGGCGTGTGGTATTTGCGGTCATCGTACGTCTGCGCCCGCCCCATCACTCCCCTCGTCTTAATTGTACCCCGGTTAACCCTCGGCAATCGCAGCGCGGCCATCTACTACCAACAACTCAATCCGATGCCCTTCACAGCGCAGCTCAAGCAGCATCTGTCTCTCCTCGAGGAAGCCGGCGACCATGACCTAGACCAGCTGCTAGCACACTTGATCAAGATTCAGCTGCTTACTCAGCAAATTGTTGATCTCAACAATGCCCGCTTGGATGACGGTGGCGACAATGGTTACTACATCAACGTTCTAGGCAACGAAGAAGGAAGGAGGGCTTCGACAAAGGCCATGTTGTCGGCATCGCAGGATTCTCTGAACAGGATTATTCAAGATCTGCCTCAAAGTTTCAGAGGCAACGGTGAGTGTTTTCAAAGGCTCTTGATAACCAAGTCGACTCGAGCTGACACATGTTGTCTGTCAATTGCGCAGCATTGATTACGACGCATCTCAACACGGCCGTTCTATGTGTTCACCAGAGTCTTGATGCCGCATCCTCAGGATCGAGCTACACCAAGGCTTGGTTCGAGGGGTGGCTCTCTTCCATCCCCGCCTCGGATTACTACACGCTGCCCACACCCATCATCTTCCAGCTCATATACGCGGTGAGAACATTAACCAAGAGTGGCAGGGAAAGTGTCCTGCGAACTACGGAACCGGGCGTTAGCGACCCCGGGTCTCGCCCGTCATCACAGGCTCGCGGACATCAACTGGTCAGATCCTCAGCGGCGATCGCCCCGGGATCGGCCCCCAGCCCCCAGCCAGAACAATACGACGCGGCCTGGGAAGTTTCGGAACCTGCCGAGTCGGGCGCTGACTGGGTGGCCGCATTGGGCTTGACAGGACTCGGCATGGTTGAGGTTCTTGTGGCCATGGGCGAGCGGTGCGGCGAGGCCAGCGGCCTATTGAACACCAACGCTTCCGAGGTCGGTGCGTGGGACAACAATTTCTGGGACGTTTGCGGGAAAAACATAGGCATTCCCAGTGGACCATTCACTCAATGGACGGACCGATTTGAGGGCGTTATCACCACTACATGCAGCTCAGCATCGGGTAGCCCGGCGCCGCCTTCGCTCTGTGGCAGCGACGACGCAGCTCACGATTTCGACACTGACAGCCGACGCATGCCACATGCTACAAACAACAGCACCCCAGCTAGCGAGATTGCAGCAGTGGCTGCTGTCCCGTCCCAGATTGATTACGACTACGAATACAAGTATTCCAGTCCCGGGCCCGGGCCCGCCGTCAGCGTGAGCGTGAGCGTGACACCTCCGCTCAGCGAAGGCACAGCAATAGACCTTCTACAACACCAAAGCCCAGAGGTACAGCCTCTAGGGCCGGCTGCCGCGGACTTGGGCATACAGGACCACATGAATCATATACAGCAGGATCATCACTACGACCACTGGGCAACAGCGCCTCATGTTCAGTGGAGCACAGCTAGCATATCTATATGGCCTGCTTCTCAGCCAGTTCCCGATGCGGGCAGTGAGCGTATCGATACGCAGATCTGGTTCGACGCTGCCAACGATTCCAACTCGAACGCCCAGCTACAGATGGATAGTATGCAGAGGGGGTGGAACAGCCAGATGGCGCTCACCTCGACGCCGGCAGACCATCATCAGTTCCCCCTCCCCTACGGAGGACCTGCCTAGGCAGGTAGGTAGTGAAAAAGCACACCCGTGCAGGTTGCTAGGTAAGCACATGGCGCCTAGAGTCAGAATGTACGATGTAATGTATTGTTGATTTTGGTCCCTTCCTCGTCACGCGGTCATGATTCAAGGAACCGCGGCATTGGCGAGGGTAAATTCGCATAGGGAGCTCAAAATGGGAAAGGTATGGATGCGTTTCTGGAGTATACGGCGATTAGTTCAAATCTGCAACTTATATACAGCTATTAATACCCACCCACAGTTATAATAATAATTACTACATCTCTGAATCGTGGGTCCGGTGCTTTTGATAGCCCGGTAGTTATTACCTTCTTGCAATCATGAAGTAGCTCTCGCTATTCCCAAGGCCAATCAAAGTTAGCGTCGAAATGTGGTTGCATCCATATTCACCTCAACGATGAGCAAATAATGACAGAGTTGCCCACCCACAGAGTCCTCAACATCATCTCCGGGGATCTAACTAGGCACTCAACTACGAGATCCAAAATAGCCGTCCCGGGGTGTGTTTATAAGGGGCAATAAGCGCGCATGTGGCCCACCTTGTCCCAATCATTGCGGTATTGGTGGTTAAGAGGCTAGGCATTCTTCACACGACGTGCGTTCTTTACTTCGGTTCGTGATTTTTAGAGGCTCTTTAACTCCTATCAATAACACTGCCTTACTTGCTGATGTCGCTGAACGGCGTGATGTTGCATTCGTGGTTATGAAAATACTTACGGTCATAAATATCATCACAATTCAAATCAAAAAATAATTACACAACTCCTTGACACAGTAAAGTCATAGCGTCATTAAACCCCTACGCCCCACATGTTAATTCCGTCTCAAATTAACTTGAGAACATCGCATTTAGACGCTTCTTTTTTGCGTACCCTATTGAAAACGTTCCCTTGCACGAGTCAAGTCCTTAGGTGGAAAGTGGTCGGTGAGGATGTCTGGCAGTTACGGGGCAGCTGGTTGTGCAGAATTCGACGACGACGAAGGTGAAGACGACGTGTTGGCCGCACGGCCAGGAGGCCGGAACGAGCGCTCGGGTCGAACAATACCCACGGCGGGTCGGCGGAACCGCCACGGATCGGGCGGTGTTCCCCCCGTGGTCGACGACCTCTTGGAGCCCCCTCTCCTCGGCGGGCCAATCACCCTCGTGATCTCCCGGTCGTGTCTCGGATTGAACCAGACATACAAAACATGAAGGAGCTGGCCACCGGCCACTATCAACGGGATCAGCTGGCTAGTTGTCGACAAGTCGCTCACGCCGTTTAGGTTGTTCCACTGGATGGTGAGCCCGATAGCAACGACGACAACGCTCAAGACGGTCAAGTTGGAAGCATTCTGCAGGAACTGGAGTTCCCTTCTCCAAGGGTAACTAGAATGAAGAAGATCACAACGGTTAAAGAGCTGAAGGCCAGATTTTGGGAGGTGGACAAGCGACGCACTCTTCATCCTGGCCCTCAAGCCGGTCCAGTTGTCTGTCAAACTTTCGCTCTCTCTTTCGAATCCACCGCGGCGGTATGAAGCAGCCAATGCTCAACGCCAGAGACAGAGTGGCGGAGATTAGCAGCCCAATGACAAAGACCAGATTCACCGCGACAAACAAGCCGGCGTGGAGCGGGACCTTGGTGAAGAAGAAGCCATACTCGTCGCAAGTGGGATCCCGAGGCAGCGTGTTGATTCCGGTAGACCAGAACCAAATCTGGAACGAGGTAGCTGCGAGGAGCAGGACGAGATTCAGTGCCCGAAAAAGCGAAGTCGTAGGCACCACGGGCCACCGCGACGGGTCCCAGAAGGGGTTCCACACCGTGACCAGTCGCCAGAGGTAGACGGGCAAGTAGCAATAGTACGAGCCGTAGGTAAGCAGGAGCATGATGTAAGTGTCGATAGGCCGTATGGTGTTCCAAGACGCCTGCAAGATCAGCGCCAGAAACGCCGCGCTGACGAAGAAGGAGTGGACCAGCCGGAGGCCCGGCACTTCGCTCTTGGCCATCCACGCTGCGATGACAATGCCAAACCACTGCAAGTAGAAGCCCATCCGGACCCCGAGACCGTACATGTCAGGGTTGCCGCCATAGTTGCATGCCATTTTGCTCTGGTCGACTTTACGGAGTGCTTTGCTCAGAGCTTGGAGACGCTTCGTGGGCCAGGGACCAAAGGTGAGGTGGACGCCATCTCAAGTCCACCTTACTGCAAGTCATCCGGGACCGAGGTGGGGAAAGCACGCAATGATATTGGGAAACGGGACGGCAGCGGCACCGTGGTCTGTTCGGTCCAGGCTCATGCAGTCAGGGTCCAGGACCAATGCCATCGATGAATTGCCTTCCTTCGGGAAAACCGCTACATTTACTTATCGCTGCTGCGTGAATGGTTGCACTGCACCATGCAATCTGCTCACCCTCATATAATTAGCCTAATAAGACAGGCTGACGAGGTCGGACAACACCCCGCCCAGACTGTCAGTTCTTCCGCAGCGCATTGTGAAAGGTGTCCAATTGGCGATCAGTATCGCAAAATATATAAAGGAAGCAAGACAACGCGTTGATAAGAGGAAGTAGGATTCTTACTATCTAGCTAAGGTAGCCAAGTTATAAATAATTAAGTAAAGCAATATTCAGCATTCGTTCGCTCCGGCTCAAGGGGTATCACTTCATGAGGACATCAAAGCCGGGTCAAAATCCACCCCTATTCACAAGCGCAAAGATAAGCAGAACGAGGGTATTTCATCTTAAGTCGCCTAAAACAACGAGAAAGGAGACGTTTTCCAATGCCGAACAAACGGACGGTGCGAACCACCCGGTCTATGTGGCGACGCCTTGTACTCACGAGGCCGAGATCTCCTCCTTGATCGCAACCTTTTCTGGGGGCGTCGTGTTGCCAGAGGTCTTTTCCTCGACAATCGCCTGCTGCGCGTGGATCGTCTTCGGGTGGCTCTTGCCCGAGAGGTCGAGGTAAATGCTCTTGAAAGTATGCACGAGAGTCTTGCGGCCCTCGAAAACAGGGAACAAGCCGACGCCGATGAAAGAAGCAAAGATCCAAATAATACCGACAGCGACCCAGCCAGTAAAGAAGGGCTTGCTGAAGATGTAGCCCGAGCCATACAGCGGCATGGGCCAGAGGACGAGCAAGATGAGGGTCTGCGACGAATCTCCAAGTCAGCTGGCGTTTCTGGGACAAGGGACATGGCCGGAGTGGCCGGGAGCCTTAGACCAGAGACGGTGTACTTACCATGACGACAGTCGTTGTTTTGCTGATCTTGCCCGCACGTCTCAGCTTCGTCTGCTCCTCCGCAAAGGCCGCCGAGTCTTCGTCTACAGCACCAGGAATCACTTCGATGTCAATGCCAGCGGCATCGGCAAGTTCGTGATCATCGCCCTTGCGAATCGCCATCATGGACTTCCAGTCATACTTGTCCACGCCGAAGATTAGGGTGAAGATGGGGACCAAGACAACGGGAGACAGCAGCGCCGCGACATTGCCTGCCAACATGGGGTTGTTGGAGCCCGTGCACAGGACGCCTAGGTCGTTGCACTCTTTCTTTGCCGTGACCAACCAGGCAATGAGCGCCACTGCGAGGCCGATGATGGGGGAGAGCCCTGCAGCCCACTTATTCTGCCCAGACCAGATGAGAGTAAGCGTCGCAGGAAGAACGGCGGACGAGATAATAACACCCATCATGACGTAGAGGTAGCCCATCGAGATGCCGGCATACCACAGGCCGACCGAGAAGGTGGCGATGAAGAGGGCATACGAGACGACAATGACGTGGCTCATATAGATCAGGCGCTTGCCGCTAGCGGCGGGGTTGAAGTAGGTGCGGTACAGATCGTAAGTGCAAATGGAGCTGACGGCGATCAACTCGCTCGAGGTGGCGCTGGTGACGGCCATGAAGATGATGAGAAGAGTTGCAATGGCACCACCCTTGCCAAGGAGCGCGACAGCGGCGTAGGGAAGTACCAGACCGGCGCTCACGTCGGCGTCGGCCATGCGGTCGGGATAGGTGGGAAAGCTGGGATTGCTCTCGAGTGCCAGGGCAGAGAGACCCATAGTGGTGGCGGTGAGCCAGGGGATGGCAAACCAGCAGAGGCCGCCGAGGATGTAGCCCGGAAGGGCGTGTACCGGAGAGGCGGCAATCGCCTTGTTGTAGTATCCGTTGTCCAGGAAGACGGTTCCAAAGTTACCAACAATGTTGATGACGAAAAAAATGGCTCCCTCGCGAGATTGCATGGTCAGGTAGCTCCCGTCCTTGTTGCCATCGACCGGGTGGCGGGCGGCGGCATCGACCAAGAGGTCGTACACTTTGCTCGGGGAGCCCAGGGTGTCGGACGTGGAATAGGCGGTCAGGGAAAACAAGATAATAATGATCAGGAGAATGAAGGTATGGATCCAATCGGTCAGAATAGTGGCCTTGAGACCTCCGACCAGCGTGTATGCGACAACGCCAACGGGGAGAAGGTAGACTAAGGCGGTTGATCAGCTTGGAAGCCCGGCCAACTAGGGGGGGGGGGACAAGGTACTCACTCGCAGCAATCGTGTGCATACCGGTCAGGGCATTGACAGTGGCGGAGCCGCCGACGATAAGCATCAGCGACACGAGAATGTTGGTGACGAGCCCAAAGACCATGAAGACGATGTGAGGGAAGGTTCCGTATCGAGCCTTGATGACCTCGAGAAAGGTGTGTGCGTTGGGGGCACGCCTCTTCAGCTCAATGGCGAGAGTTGCGAAGAGCAAGATCTGGACGGTGGCGCCAGAGGCATACCAAAAGGGGCCCGAAACACCATATCGGTAGCAGATACCGGAGCTCTGGAGCAGGGTGGCGGCCCAAGTCCACGACGAGACGACAGCAGACCCGACGAGGCCGGACTTGACAGTGCGGCCGGCCGTGTTGAACATTTCGGACGTCTGGAGCTCGCGGTTGTAGCGGCGCAATATGAAGGTGACGAGAATCATGCCTGGCCAGAAAGAATAATGTCAGTCAGTCCATTTCGGTCCTGGCATGACGCAAAGCCCCATCTCCGTCTCACGGGACCGTCACTTACCCAGCGCGAAAGCCGCGCCGAGGCCGAGCACGATGCCATAGCCGACCCCTTGATCCAAGGCCGGAGTGAGGGCCATGTTGGGAAATCTCGAGAGTAAAGGCGTAGGTGATGGTGGAGAAACAAGTCAGGCCGGCAAGAACGCAGGACACTGGAGACGAGGGAGAAATCTGCGCGGGCCGGTCCCGGCGGCCCTGGGAGTGAATATATATGGGTTGAGATGGTGGCAAGGCGAGCTTCGAGTTCTGTCCTTGGTGCCAAGCAGCTCAATTGTAAGCTTTGTCGGCGGCGTGGGGAGCTTGGAGCTACCCTTGTATCGGACAAGTGCCATTCTCCAAGACTTAGCCCCTGGTTCATGTCCAGCGAGAAAAACCGACCACATCTTGGGCTCCCCCACCCAAGCAGCAAGCAACCTGGCAGAAACTACCAAGCATCCATGCCAAGCACGGCTCCCGCATGTGCGTGTGCGCTCTCACAACAACGAGCGCCCAAGCAGGCAGCCAGCAGGCAAGGACGGGCGACCCACAGGAATTCCCCGGTTCCCCGTCTGGGCTGTGTTGGGTGCACTTCCTTCCAGTTCAAAGTTCGCTTCCATTCTCCATTCTTGTGGAGCACGGCACTGCGTCCCTTCCTCAACCGGCTCAGGTATCCGTTGTCCATATTGGAAGGTGCGATCGTCGGTGCACATGACTGCCCTCAGCCAGCTGCTGTGTACCTACTGGGTATGTACAGGCATTAGCAATGGGTTTCTTCCATCCCAAATCTGCGTTGATCCTACCTAGGACGTGGAATGAAAGAAAAGGCTGGGCGACGATGCCTACCAGTGGAGTCGAGACTCGAACCCTCCCGATAGCATCGCTAGAGCTATCCCGTCGTAGCTTCTCTTCAAGATGTCTTAGCTTCCATGAAGCTGGCTCCATCCAACGCTCGAAACGGAAACGGTGTAGTCGGGAAGAGGACCCCGCTACCGGCGCCACAAGCATTGGCGTGCAGGCCAGAGATAAGGCGTTTCAATCTGTCATAGGTTTTAGAGTCCAGCCCCCTGTTCCCCAACCCCGCACTGGCCAACGATGCAGCGGGCTGGAGAGCGAATGAGGGGCAGTTCACCCGCTGAAAGCTTCAAAGTCAAGCCCATCTACAATTCTCCATCGCCATTGCTCCTGTCATGCCAAGAATTGTCAAAGATAAGTGGACCATAATAGGTAGGAGAGTCGAGACTACAGTGCGTTCCTCCTCTTAGCTCGAGCTTACAACTCCCTATGGACGGGTACTATATGCTTAACGCCTCAATTTTGTCCGTGGTAGGTGCCTAGCTACCTAGGTCCAATTCGGTGGTCCGGAAGGCCTGATGCATTATCTCACGGCGATTAAGTGGTTAGTAACAATGACACGGAGCCTACGAATGGACCTCAAGCCAACCACTACAGCTTGATGTGAATCTTGCTCGGACAGCGATGGGATAGCTTACTCGACAAAATCAACGAGCCAGTCACTGTCGAGGAATGCTCAAATTGTGTGTAGATAAGGAGTACATCCGGAACTGAATGGGTTTAGCTGTTTGCGACTGTCTTCGAATGCATCCAATGCGGCCGGGTGCGGGAATTAATCCCTGCGGAGTGCCGTGGGAGGCGCCGTTTTGTTGACTCAGAGTGCTGATTGGGCTAGATATATAGCGGCCCGTCCAGAGCGCTACACTACATAGTTCGCAGTCAGATCTCGCCAAAGATAAGGTGACACCGCGCGAGACAAGTGCATGCTGGAAGCTCAGACCAGCAGAGATTCGAGGGTGGGATTTGATCTTGTTCCAGTTGGAAGATGCGGGATGTCGAGCCTAGAGTCATCAGAATCAGCCCCGTACATAATCAGATTAGCGACAGGATTCGAATCTCATTGGCTTGGTCCTTCTTGGCTCCCTGGTCTAGGGGGCGGGGGCGGCCGATTCTTCGATTTCACGGTGTGCCGGGAGCCGTAGGTAGTGCTCTGAAATTTTCGGCATCCCACAGATAGCCGCGATGCTAAAATCGGCCTGGCCCAAGAGCTGCGGTACAATTCGAGGCGCGGATACGGAAAAGACAACCAAAATCCCTAGCTTTGACCAAACAGCAACCGCCCATGATGTTTCAATTTTGATATGCCGACTTCACTTCGCGCACCTAAATGAATGACAACCAATAGCGGCTATCAATTAGTATTTAAAATAGCAAGACTTTGAGGCAATTTTGGGGTTTATTGTACAGAATATTTGCTGTTATTTCGTTGACTTGATGTTAGTAATCCCTGCATTGCCCGCCCACCCCGGACAAGCTGCATATCAGTCTTTCTGAGACAGGTCACTGGCTCAAGTGAAGGGAACTCAAAAGGCGTTTTCACTACGCCTTTGACCGTTGCCCATTCGTTAGGATAATGCACAGCGGGCGTGGTGATCCTTCTAGAAAGCCAACACCTTCGCTAGTCAAAAAACAGTGACTTGGCGGGGGTTCCCCTTTGCGGAAGAAGCAAACATTAGCGAGTGCTTGATGTCAGTCGTGTGACTTGAGGCATGAACGAAGTACATGTGCCGGGTGCTGTCCCCCGCGACGCGGTCCAGCCGCACCGCGCTTCGCTTCGTGACCTCCACGCCAAGAGAATATTGCCCCCCCCCTGTTCCGAATCCCGACATCGCATATATACGTACACGCTTGGAGTGGATGGACCAACACGCTTGATTAGATTCAAAACGGAGCCAGTTCCTGGGCCCTTATCTTCGCCCTCCACCTCTTCCAGCGAAAGGGGTGGGTCTAGAACCTTGGACGTGTCCACCATCGAGTTTGCCATGGGGAAATATTTGTTCAGGCTCGACCCTTTCATGACCAGCAGGTAGATCATGCCCGTTTTTGGGATTCATACATATGGGGTGCGTCTTGTATCGAATTGATCAGCTTGGCTCAGATACCTAGCCAAGTCGAGCCAACAGAAGAAATATCCTTGTCGTATGGACATCTCAGCTCCATATCTTAATTACCTTGGTCTACCATTATATCACTCTCTTGTCCAGCAGCACCTCAGCTACTGTTCAGCCCCGCAGCGTGGCATGCTTTGCGACCCCATGGCTGTATTTCGATTCTCTATTTTCCATGTAATCTTCCGCGCTTACTCTAACGGCGCAATCATGTCTCATCCCAATGCAAGCCGGGTAGCCTTCCGTCTAGGATTCATTTGATCTAGTCAGCTTCATTACGTTCCGATACTTGTCCCCTCCTCAAAGCTTGTGTCTTTTCTTTACTATCTGTTAGAGACTGTACAGAGACACTTTTCTCAATCTCATGACCTCTTCATAAACCCTTAACACACTCACCGGCGATGAACATTGAAAACGAATTTGCATAGGCTTAAATTCGTTGTCCTTCGAGTTCTAGACGGATCCTCTGCGGGATATTGATTTGACCCTGAACATACCAAGCTATCTCTCGTAGATCCGCGTAGAGCCATATCACGTATGCTTTTAGCTGGCTGTCGTTCAACAAGGTAATTCTATAAATTTAAAATTATTTAGCGAATAATAGCAGGCGATTTTTATACGAGTAGGATGCTTTATATTATATTATTGGGTATATTAATGGGGCTCCCCACTTTAACTAGTCGCAAGGGAATGTCTTAACATTTATTTGCACAACGTGAAACGGATGGCGTTTTTCATACAAGAGTTGAGATGCTCGCCAAGTATTTGTGTGTCTTTCCAGTGTTCATCACAGTCGCCTGCATAAAGAGGTGTAATGCCATAGTATCATAATTTATAATTGCAAGTGGAACACGGCCCTATATTCATGGGTGGCTCCAAAAATGTTCGTCCGTTACGCGGTACCTGGTAACCACGACGGCTTTCTCGCAAAGCTCTGTTGTGCCATTGTCATTGCATCACGGTGGAAGGCCATTAATTGGTTACTTCTGCAAGGCTGGCAATAGGTAGGTTGCTCTGGTCATTATTTTGAGAAACTAGGGACATCTCACTGCGGGATAAGATTGGGCCCAGGAGTATCCAAACATTCCCAATGCAGCCTAAAACACAACTGCTAAGGTAGGAGGATATTGAGCAAGACGTCAAAGATAGCAAAGTCGAAAAGCCGGCTTAGCAACCTGACGAAGGGAGATTGAAGTATATTGCTGATATGGTGATGCTGACTGCGACGCCCAAGGTGGAGGGCCATGTTCAGGATGAGTAAAAAGCGTAATGAAAGATTGAATAGCTTGAGTAGTCGTTGCTATCTTCTTTGCCGTATTCCTTTGCCCGTTGATAGATAGATATCGTGATCAGGCAGGTACTCAAAGTATAAGTACTACGGGGTACGGTAACTAGCAAGAACTAGGAAATAATGAAGAAAAGTTGTGAGAACCAGGGTCAAAAGTGCTTATAAGGCCTCAGGGATGCAAGAATCGCCGCATTGTCACGCGACCACGTTGCCGCTGAGGAAGTAGGTTGTGCTTCTTTGATGCCGGGGACGGGCAAAATGAGCGCCGTGATAGGGCTGGGGAAGCCCCACAGCGCATGCTCCCCCCCGGAATTCGTGGTTGTCAGGCACGTGGGTCCAGTTGGAAGCTCCAGCGCAAGCTCCAGGCACCCAACGTCCCAGCGCGTGCCCTCCGATTGGGCACAGACAATTTGCCAAGACTGCCCGACGACGGAAGGAGCAGTCGTTGGGTTTCCTGTTGTCGGACCTTTGCTGCCATCTGCAATTCCATCATCCTTTCTGTTTCTGCCAGCAGTGCGTTCCTGTTGCTTCGCGCTTGCTTTCTTCATTTTGCTTGTGCTCTTTGCATTATTTGCGGCGTTGCCGGTGGAGAGCGAGAGTCGACGCATTGTCTCGGTAGTCGAGCAACGGTCGCAGGTCGAGTGCGGCAGAAAGCGAACCGCTAGCCGCCTCCCGACGTCCTCCCATGATCGGCGACAGCCTGAACGTAGGCTGAGCCTCTAAAACACGGCAGTCGACACAGCAGTTGCCCGGTTTCGAGTTAGCTTCCACAACACACGATTGAAGCGTCTTTCTCCGACATCGAAGCCTCGGGTGCCTTGAGCACGACTAGCACGAAGCCCAAGAGAACAAACGAGGCGACAGCCACGGAGCAACACGACTCTCCCCACAATGCCCCGAAACCTCGATCCGAGTAAAGAAGGGCTGCTGCGCTCCCACTATGACGAGGCTGCGCGGCAGTCCTTTGAAGACGATGGCCACGACTCCGAGTTGGACCTTGATGCGACCGAGTTCCTTGACCGCGCTTCCCCCCCCTCCGCCGAGCCCAAGAGCTTCTTCGGCCCACGCGACAGTCCTGTCCAGCGATGGTCTGCCTTGCGGCGGGCCACAGGCCGGAGACGGTGCTGCCTGGTCCTCCTCACGTGCATGTTGGGACTGTGGCTCCTGATAGGCATTGGAGGGGGCGTCGTATACAAGGTGTTCCAGAAAGAGCCGCCGTACGGCCAGTCTCCGCCGTGGTACCCTGCTCCCAAAGGCGGCATAGCACGTACTTGGGCCGCGAGCTACGAGAAGGCAGCCAAAATGGTAGAGAGGATGACTCTCGCCGAGAAAGTCAACGTCACTACGGGCACGGGCTGGCAGATGGGGCTGGCGGTGGGCACCAACGCCCCTGCAGTATATGTCGGGTTCCCCCAGCTGCAGCTGCAGGATGGCCCCTTGGGTATCCGCTTCGCCGACAACATTACAGCCTTCCCTGCCGGCATCACGGTCGGGGCTACGTGGAATCGCAAGCTCATGTATGCCCGCGGGAAGGCGCACGCCAACGAGGCGCACAGAAAGGGAATAAACGTGCTGTTGGGGCCCTGTGTTGGCCCCCTCGGCCGTATGCCTGCTGGGGGGCGGAACTGGGAAGGGTTTGGGGCGGATCCGTATCTGCAGGGAATTGCCGGTGCCGAGACAGTCAAGGGCATCCAGAGCGAGGGGGTCATGGCCACCATCAAGCACTTTGTTGCCAACGAGCAGGAGCACTTTCGCCAACCCTGGGAGTGGGGTCTGCCGCACGCAGTCAGCTCCAACATGGACGATCGCACTCTGCACGAGCTTTATGCCTGGCCGTTTGGCGACGCCGTGAAGGCGGGCGTGGCGTCGGTCATGTGCTCGTACAACCAAGTCAACAACTCGTACTCTTGCGGAAACAGCAAACTTCTCAATGGCATTCTCAAGGACGAGCTTGGTTTCCAAGGCTTCGTCATGAGCGACTGGTTGGCGCAACGGTCGGGCGTCTCGACGGCGCTCGCGGGGCTTGACATGACAATGCCCGGCGACGGGCTCGATTGGGCAAAGGGCAAGTCGCTATGGGGCCCCGAGCTGTCCAGGGCTGTCCTCAACGGCAGTGTCCCCCTTGAGCGGCTGAACGACATGGTCACCCGCATCGTTGCCGCATGGTACCAGCTTGGCCAGGATGACGAGATCAAGTTCCCCCGCAAGCCTCCCAACTTCTCGTCGTGGACCAATGATCGCCTGGGCTTCCTCGCACATGGTAGCCCCAGCACTCAGGATCTAGTTGAAGTCAACAAGTTTCTAGACGTGCAATCCAACCATTCCAGCATTGCTCGCCAGGTGGCCGCTGAAGGAACCGTGCTTCTCAAGAACGACAACTTGCTCCCCATCAGCCCCCGGGGCTTGGGGGATGCAAACCTCAAGAGGCGCCGGGACGTTGTTGAACGCGCGACGGGCAAGCGCCACACCGGAAAGTTCAAGGTCGGTGTCTTTGGCGAAGACGCTGGCCCGGGAAGCGGGCCCAACCACTGCAAGGATCGTGGCTGCAACCAGGGAACTCTGGGCTCCGGCTGGGGCTCGGGAGCCGTCGAGTTTCCCTATCTGGTCACGCCCATTGAGACGCTGCGCAGCCGCTTTGACAAGTCCGAGGTTGAACTGCACGAGTACCTCAGCAACAAATTGCCCATGGCAGGCTCGGACCAGGCCGCTCTCAACGATCTGGAACTGTGCATCGTGTTTGCCAATGCCGATTCCGGTGAAGGTTTCACAAAATGGAACGATGTAAGCGGCGACCGGCCGAATCTGAATCTCCAAAAGGGTGGTGACGACCTCATTCTTGATGTTGCATCCAAATGTGGCTCGGGGCACGGCCAGGTCGTTGTCGTCATTCACGCTGTCGGCCCTGTCCTGGTAGAAAAGTGGATCGAGCTGCCAAATGTCAATGCTGTACTGCTCGCCAATTTGCCCGGCGAAGAATCTGGAAACGCTCTCGCTGACGTCCTCTTCGGCGACATCAACCCATCCGGCCATTTGCCCTACACCATTGGCAAGTCACTCAAAGACTACGGGAAGGGCGGGCAGGTCCTGTACCGGCCCAAAGGCGCTATACCTCAACAAGACTTCACTGAAGGCCTGTACATTGACTATCGCTACTTTGACAAGCACAGCATCGAACCACGGTTCGACTTTGGGTTCGGCCTCAGCTACACTACATTTGAAGTAAAAAATGCGCAGGTCACTCCCCTGAAGAGCAAATCACCACTACCTGCGTCTCGTCCGACCCCAGCTGCCAAACCGCCAACCTACTCAGACCAGATTCCCCCGGCAAGTGAGGTCTTGTTCCCGGCTGGCCTACGTGCATTGGAGAGATACGTCTACCCATACCTCAAATCAGTAGACGCCATCGTCACGGGCCCTTACCCGTATCCGGATGGCTACGAGACGAAGCAGCCACTGAGCGGAGCGGGCGGCGACGAAGGCGGTAATCCAGACCTCTGGGAGACGTATGTGAGTGTTGCTGTGGACGTGGAGAATGTCGGGCCACGCGCCGGCTCTGCCGTCCCCCAGCTGTACCTCGTCTATCCTGCTCGGGAGGGGGTCGACTTCCCAGTTCGGGTGTTACGGGGGTTCGACAAGATCTATCTTCGTCCGGGCGAGTCGCGCACGGTTGACTTCAACATTACCAGAAGAGACCTCAGCTATTGGGACGTCCAGAAACAAAATTGGGTCATGGTGACGGAAGGAGAATATCAGTTTCAGGTTGGCCAGAGCTCGAGAGATTTGACTGCCGTGGGAATATGGTAAACAATCATGACGGAATCTAATTATTCCAAGTATTTGGGGGTTCAAGGTTATTTGAGTTTGGATACAGGCTGTTTTGGTCAGGCATTAGCATGCAGGCGAGGAGTTGCTACCAAGTTTTCTATTTTTGTTTTCGTGACTGAATAATTGCCGGGTTACGGATATTTCACCTAGTTCTATTCACCTTCGTACCTTATTCTTACCTACCTGACGAGTGATCCCCCACCCAACTAACCCACAATACCTTATTGAAAGACACCACCACGAAATCCCCAGAAGCTGCGATTTGCTATACTATCGGCCATGCTGCCAGTGAAGTGTTTAATGCCTATTTAGTTGGGCTGTACCTTGACCCTCTGTCCCTGTAATCAACCTACTTCAACGCCTGCTAGAGCCCACCCATTGAAAACAAGGGAGCCATTTTATTCTCAAGTCCACTGGGTAGTTGTGCATGGATGGTGTTAAAATATCTGGGCCCTAGAGTGGCGAGCACCAATAGGTTTGTTACAAATGCTCGCTTTTTCTACCTCAGAAGCCCAGCGTCTAACATTCCTCCAGCTTGAATAACTTATGAAAGCTTTTAGAACTCGGCTGGTTGTGATTTGAGTCATCAAGGGCAAATTTTATTCAAGAGCTAGTTTCTTAATACTCTACCTCAAATAATAACACCGTTTTCCATCTACCTACCTACAGTAAGGAAATGCAAGACGTAGTCAAGTATCGTTATTTTAGCAGTAGATAGGTTACCCGTGTGAGAGTAAGTTGAAGGGTTTAGACTCTATTGAGACAACCTTTCTTTTCTTCTTTTTGAAGCAGCACATTGATTTGATGAATTTGTTCGTGTTTTTCCGAATACTGATACCGATGTGGTTTAATCTGTAAGCACACCGAGTCGCTCGGGTACCTAGGTAAGAATGTAGCCAATCCGCCCCAATCGTTGGACTCCTTGTCCGGGGACCATGAAAGTAAGGTCTCGTTGCCTTATGATGATAGTTGGTGGAAATTACGACAATCTTGGCTGCGCAAGTAAGGTAGTTGGCCTCTCGCTTCTTGGCAAAGCTGTCGCAGCCGTCGAGGTTTGAGTTCACGGCGGGCTGTAAGCTGACGGGAAGTGCACCATTGCCACGTGCCGCCCGCCCACTCGAAACTATTCCAGAGTCGGCACCGGCACATCTTGTCGTGGCCTCCGTTGTGCGTATATTACGAAGCCGTGAGCGGCAGTGGGCGGGCGGGCGGGCGCATTTTCTCTGGGTTGCCAAGCCACACGGCTCGAGGTGAGATGCATGCAAAGGAACGAGCTGGTTGTCATCCGCGTTTTGGGAAAGGGGAGGGTGGTAAGACAAGCAACCAAAGGGCCGGCGGCAATTCCTTAAGCAATTGATTAGATGTCTGAAGATTGGTGGTGCAAGAGCGTTGGTGATGCAAGAGCATTCTACTGACAAATGAAATTAATAAGCCTTCACACCATCGATTGGTTTCTTGCAGGACATGAAAGAACGAGGCTGTTGTTTGTCGGTTTGGCGATGGGTCGTATCCCGGGGCTGTCTCATTGGCTCCCAGGCTGTGAGACTCTGCAGGGGGGAGTCACTGGAAGGCGGGAGGGCGGGAGAGCTGAAAAGACTTGATGCCCACCATCTTCTCGAGCATCTGGTTCTGGCTAGTGGTAGATGCACTGCCTTGTCAGTTCGGGCATCATGGCGTCCCGCCTTTCTCGGGCCAAACTCGGAGGCACGAATTCGACTCGGTCTTGCTGCTTCCGCTGCTTGTCAGGGGACGGGAGGCGACGTTGCCAACCCTAACCCGGCCCCTGGCGATGCTCTAGCGCAGTGGACACATCGCGAAAAACGGCCGCTATGAATCAATCCACAAACGGGCATACACGGGCGAAAAAAAGTCAGAAATTTTCGACAAAGAGTTTCGTGCGAGAAGAGCAGACGGGCCACAGTCGGAAACGGGAAGCAACTTCCAGGGCGATACTGCAGTTACGAAAATGGCCGACGAACACATTCTCACGCTGTCGTGCCCGGACAAGCCGGGCATCGTGCACGCCGTCACGGGGGTCTTCGCAGACCAGGAACTCAACATCCTCGATCTGCAGCAGTTTTCCGATCCGACGACGGAAAAATTCTTTATGCGCGTGCACTTCGGCCCCACGTCGACGCCGTCGACGGAGCACCTCCGCGGGCCCTTTGACGCGCTGGCGGCGACGTATGCCATGGCCTACGACATCCGGCCCGTCGCGCAGAAGGCGCGCGTGCTCATCATGGTGTCCAAGATCGGGCACTGCCTCAACGATCTGCTGTTTCGCGCAAAGACGGGCCAGCTGCCCGTCGACATCCCCGTCATCGTCTCCAACCACAACGACTTTGCCCCGCTCGCCGCCAGCTACGGCATCGAGTTCCACCACCTGCCCGTCACCCGCGACACCAAGGCCGCCCAGGAGGCCCAGGTGCTCGAGCTCGTCCGCCAGCACGACGTCGAGCTCGTCGTCCTGGCCCGCTACATGCAGGTCCTGAGCCCCACCCTGTGCTCCGCCATGTCGGGTCGCATCATCAACATCCACCACAGCTTCCTGCCCTCGTTCAAGGGTGCCAAGCCCTACCACCAAGCCTACGACCGCGGCGTCAAGATCATTGGCGCCTCTGCCCACTTCGTCACGGCCGACCTCGACGAGGGCCCCATCATTGAGCAGCGCGTCGCCCGTGTCGACCACAGCATGAGCGCCAAGGCCCTTGTCGACGAGGGGTCTAATGTCGAGAGCCAGGTCCTCGCCGCCGCCGTCAAGTGGTATGCCGAGCGCCGCGTCTTTCTCAATGGCACTCGGACTGTTATCTTCTAGACCCAGTGTCCGTCCATGGTAATGCCAAGGGTGCCTACTCTGCGAAGACAGCCCGAATCGAGCCAAGTCGAAAAGGCATTCATGTCGTGGAAGCAAGGTAGGTCCGCAGCAGGTTCTGAACCTGGCCATTGGCGAGGTAGAATTAAAAGTAAAACAATTAGATAAGGTATCATTATATATCGCTTCAACACCTTGAACAGAGGCTCTCGTGGGGGCAATTTCCAAAATCTGATGTGGCGATACATCGGCGTTGAAAACATCAGTCCGACTCCGAACCTAGGCTCAAGCGGCAGCCAGTGGACGACAGGAAACGCCGATGACGCAATTGGCGCATTTCCAGGTGAGGTTAGGCGAGGGTAGGGATGGCGAAACCGCCGAGACCAAATGGGCCAGCTGGGAAATTCCTTTTTTCCCCGCGAGAGAAGAAGGATTGACAATAGGAGTGACAACCGAGAAGATAAATAAGCACGGGAGCTCCGATCTCGCCCCTGAAATTGTTTTGTGAAATAAAAGCAAACGGATCAAATTGGTCGCCTCAAACATCCCCTTCAGTCCTCTGCTGAAACTTCCCAATTCGATTTCCGTGCCTGCCTGCCTCCTGCCTGCCTCCTGCCTGCCTCCTGCCTGCCTCCTGCTCCCTGCCCGGCCCCACGTGGAAGCAAGCAGCACAACAGCGTCGCACAGCGCCTGTGGACCCCGCGCTGAGCCGACAAGGAACCTTCCATTGACCCCGCTGCACCAATGGCAACCCAACCAGCTGTTGAAGCTTTGGCTTTGGACTCGACGTCGAGCTCGTCTAACAGGGACATCGCCACGCCAAACTCACAGCACCACACAGCGGCGCACCGAGACGCCGCCGCCATCCCTGGTCATGATGCTAGTGACGCGAGGCACTGGCTGTCGCTGGCGCGGTTGCGCGATGACATCTCCCTGAGCTACGCTGACCTGCCGGTGCTGGCCTGCTGCATGGTCTCTGGGCTTTGCGACAGTGTCGCATTCAACGCGACGGGCACCTTCGCGTCGATGCAAACCGGTACCGTCTCCCTCTTCGACCGCTTTGTTCCTACCTGTTCTCATTTCACTCCATTCCAATCCATTCCAATCCATTTCGTCCTGTCCCGCCACGTCCAGTTCCGTCTTGTGGTTCGAACTGACACAATCGTGACAACCACGTTAGGAAACACCATCTTCCTGGCGCTCGGCGCATCTGGCCTCCCTGCGAACGCGCCCCTTCTGTGGCTCCGAGCCCTCGTTTCCATCGTGGCCTTCTGGGCCGGCTGCCTCATCTTCTCCAAAAGCCGCCATCTACACCCGCAACGCAAGGCAACGCTGTCCATATCGTTCCTCGTCCAGGCCGCCTTCGTGTTTGCCGCCGCCGCGCTGTCGCAAACTCGCGCTGTACCCGCCTTTGGCCGTGCCCTGCTCGAGACGACGCTCGACGACGCACAAGAGGCCGCGCGAAACGTTGACGAAGACAATCCCCTCGCCCTTCTGCCGCTCGCCCTCTTGGCCTTCCAGTTCGGCGGCCAGATCGTCGTGTCCCGCCTGCTCGGCTTCAACGAGGTGCCCACCAATGTGCTTACCAGCCTCTACTGCGACCTGCTGAGCGACCCTCTGCTCCTCGCCCGTCTCGACAAGAACCCGAAGCGCAACCGCCGTCTCGCCGCCATCGTGCTGCTAGTTGCTGGCGGTGTCGTTGGGGGCTGGCTTCAGCGCAGCCGCGCCGGCATGAGCTCCGCCCTGTGGCTCGCTGGCTCCATAAAGTTCGTCATCGCCATCGCGTGGATAGGTTGGAGGAGCAAGGCTGTTCCGGTCTCTGTTTCCCAGGAGAAGGAAAAACAGATTGTGGGCGGCCAGGTATGACTGGACGGCGGCATGAACTGTGATAGCACTACATTGGGCCAGAGCTGCTTTGGCGTATGATGGCGTGAATTTTTGTTCCAAGCCAAGTTTCTAAACGGAAGAAATATAGACGGACGGCACTGGATTGGAGACTACTAGATATACGTAGCAAGCGAGAATGCGGTTGGAACTTTAGTAAAGGTGTTTATTCGCTTTCTAGAATACTCGTATCCTACTTCATAGGCAATATAGACGCTGTAGCTGACACTCCGTCTAGATCCGCGACTTACTATCGTCGAGGTCGCTAACCTATAAATCGCAGGCCGCCGCCACAAAACATGAAAGCTACGCTGAGACATGCTCCGCTAAAAGGGGCGTAAGCCGTGAGAGACTTCAGCTAGAGGATCAGCAGCAACCGTCGATGTCCTCCGCCGGCGTGGTTAGGTGGGGCTAGGGTGCTTTTCCTGCTGATCTCATTCCCTCATGATATCCCGGAAATCCTAGAGGCACTAAACGCTCCTGAAGCCAAGCCCAGTTCAACCCAGCTACTGTTCCCAGCTACCTTGCCAACAATCTGGCCATCATTGGGTACTTGTTCTGCGACGAGGTTGTCTCGATTGCCGATATCCGCTGGTTTGGAAGCCGACCCTCACATTTTGAACTTGGACTTAAAGGGGCACTTCTTTAGGCCTTGTATCGTCAGGTCCTGGTCTGTCGGTAATCGTCAAATATGTTGCGCTAGAGGGTTGGCCCCAACCCTCTAGATCTGAGTTTAGGCCCATAACTGCTCTAGATTAGGTCCCGGAGCACGCCACCTCAGCCTGTTGATCAATGCCGGCAATGGCAGGCTTGGGCCGGGCACCGAAAAATAGGGGGGTGGAGGCTTAGTTTTCGGGGTATGACGCGCTAAAAGATTGCCCCTCGATTGTTGGCTTTGGCTTGGAGGATGGAATTCTGGAGCGCCGGCCCTTAATTCCCGACTTTGGTTGGGCGGCGACAGAGTATGGACTGGCTGTGGTGGCCGGGCCTGGATCGACTTCCAGATGCTGAAGTTCCAAATGGGATTAAATGGGTTCATCGAGGTTGTTGGCGGCTGCCCGCCCTGCCGCTCGTCGGGCCAGTCTCCGACACTCTAGGTCGCAGGGTCTTCATCTTGAGAGCGACCCGTGTACCCGAACGCCCACCGTTCAAATGCGCAGACCGAACTTGTGCTAGTGCCATGGCGGCTGTTGGGTAAGACGGATCCCTTTCCTCCCAAGGTTTGGTGCACCAGGGCAAGGACGGCGTGCGGAGTTCTGAACATTGTCTGTGAGTGGTATGCTAGTGTTGGTGCATCGACCTTCCCTTTGCCCTTCTTGTCGTTGCCGCGATTATCGTTGCCGCCATTGGCGTTGCCGCGATTGTCGTTGCTGATCTCCGAATTGACGCTGCTGTCATTTTCCTTGATGGCATTATCCTTATTGTCATCCCCGTTATTGACATTGCTGTGATTCCTGTGATTGTGGTGGCTCTGTGTATTCTCTGTCGGGGCCGGGTTTCGAGCGAGGATGTTGTCATCCGAGCGGCTAGAGGGGATTTGTCGGCTGGAGCTGCTGCCAGCTATTTCGGGGCCACCATCACTCGATTCAATTCCATTCTCGCCGCCATGCAACGATTCCCAACTGGCACTGCAGGAAGGGCCTGTAGAGGTCTCGGGCTTGGAGAGCTTAGCATGATGCTTAAGCGTGCACTTTCCATTGCAGCTAGAGCCCGAGGGTTGGCTTATACCGTCGTCCGCTTCGTTGCTAGAGAGGATGGTGTAATTGTCGTCGGAGTCGTCTTCTAGAACCAAGGAGCGCACGAAAATGTAACTGTAATCGCTGCCCTCTGTTTCCGAAATGGCTGAGCGAATGGGCCGGAATAATGGTGCATCGTTGCTCACGTCCCCGTCGCTGTCGTCAGAAGGTTCCAAAATTGAGCGTGTGCTGCTGAAATAATCTTGGTGATGCCGGTCGTCATAGGGCGCATAGAAAGAATACGGTTCAGGTGGTAGCATCTGACGCGGCCCAAAGCCGGACCAGCTGCCCTGGGAAACGAGGCTGGACCCAGGATCGCAGATAGACGTAGACGCCATGGTCGAAGATGCAGCGTTGGTCAAGGCTGAGCAAAGTTTCGCAGCAGCGGTGCGAAGCGGCACGGGAGACCTCTGGCCGCGACGACACTGAAAGCAACCTACCTTATCTGTCGCCGTGCTGGAGGACACGAGATCCCAAGTAGAGATCCCAAGTACCTACTAATGGAAGGCAAGGAAACCACAACCTCCATGCCCACCTAGGTAGGTAATGTGAGAAGACAATGCCTCGCAAGAGTCGCATATCTTCGCTCAAAGGAGAAGCGACGATGGGAGGATATACCCCCACCGCCACCAAGCAGGATGAAGGGAATAACTTGCCATTTGGAAGAGACGCTTTGGTGTGACAACCTGGAAATAAACAAATTGGCAGACTACGGAGTAGTCACCCTGATATCCGCATACGCCATGGAAACGCAGAGTCCGCCAGCAATTCGATGTGAGGAATGTTGGCACTTCACTGGGCAGGTACTCCGTGTGGCGAGTTGTTATGAGGGAGGGAAGGTGTCTGCCGAAGATGGACGAATTGAGAGAAACCCCTTGGCACCACCCCTGCAAGTGATCCCAACAAAGCCCCGTTCTAGTTGGTTCCTGCCCGTCGGCTCCCGCTAAGGTGTTCGGTAGGCAAGCCTATTGGCTTCTGGGTTGTCGCCACATTCTGAGCTCGTTCGATGGAATCCCAGCTCTTTGGCCGTTCTTATTCGTGTGCATTATGGACAAACATTGCTAGAACTCCATTGTCGCATAGGTAATGCTTCAATCACCACTGGGACAGTTGACTTATGGTCTCGTGACCAGAGGCAAGGACGGCGGCAACACGCACAGACCATTCTGACTGCCCTGCACCAAAATTGAATAAGGCCCAAGAAATCTTCAACCTGCATCAACCACAGCCGTGGCCGACAACGATACGCTGCAAGCAACAACACTATGGATTGGGACGATCCTCTGCGCCATCTGGCGCCGATTTCCGAACACCCAGCCAAGAAGTCTATTGTGCTGTCCTCGGAGCTATCCACCATCTCGGACCAGGAGCTTGCCAGTCTTAAGGTAAACGTCAAGCTCGATCGGTTCGGCCTCGCCAGCGCCAGACACAACCGCGCTGCGTGCATACTCGGATCCTTCTTCCAGTATCTGGAGGACCACGGGCGCAAGGTCCTTGCGGCAGAGATTCTGGCCTGGATTGATATCGAGGACAATTTGTTTGAGCTCGCCAACCACCTCGTGGCTGCAATCCTGCTGCCCTGTAGGCAAAGCCTGCACTCTCCTACTACTTACTAAGATTGATTGTATGCTTACTCGTTGTCGTTCTAGTTAAGGCATCTGGTGGTAAGGCGCCGCCACCTATCAGTCGCCCATCCATCTTCGCTAATGAAGATGATGAGATTGAACAAACTGTGGTATTTATCGAACCCTCCCAACGGGACCAGACAGAGCTGAAGCGACAGTGCCTACGTAGAGAGAGGGATACCAGTGCATCTATACAGGCTGTTTCAAGCATTACTCTGGAATGAACAAGGAGGTCACCTTACCTAAAAAGGCCAAGTGTGGTGATACAAAATGTGCCCACATCATTCCATTTGCCCTTGAGAATTTCAACGAAAAAGATTCTCTAGAGACCGAAAATAAGGCTCTTATCTGGTGGACACTCTATCGATACTTCCCGGCTCTACAAGGCAAAATCGATGCAGCTAGCATCAGCCAGCTTGGAAACGTCATTACCATGTTCGACGGAGTCCATACTCCATTCGGGAAATTACGGCTTTCATTCTGGCCTCAAGAGACCGTCCCGGTAAGCTTGTATTATTTCTTTTCATTTTATTCCTCACATTTGCAAATTGCTAACTCTATACTCTAGCACTCGTATGAGGTAACCTTGATGGTACCGCTATTTATTATCGAGCCGAAATCAGGCTCTTCTATAATCCAGCTGGAACAGCACGATGCTAGCATTCCGATGCCAGATCCCGACTACTTCAAAGTACATTATATCATATCTCAGATCCTCGAGGTGAGCGGACTGGGACGTGAGATAGATGAGCTTCTAGAGGCTGCAGATACCTTGGATCTAAATGGATCAAGCGATCTTGGTCTGCTGTTGTCCCAAAAGATGCTAATACATGAGTGGGTGTAGGCTCTTCATGGAATGAAGCAAAGTCTCAAACTCCCGCTACAAGTAGATGGTGGAGGGAACGGGAAATTATCAAGCTCTGTCGCATGGGAAAGGGAAGGCCAAATCGTCGGGAAAAGATGATGGAGGAGGTGGCCATAGATGCAAGCAGTGCCCAGTCCAGCCGACATGGCGGAAGAACTGTCATTGCGATGCATTTTATTTTGGCACGTGTTTTTGCACCGTAATCCCACGTGAGCCAGCCTGAGCAAATCCTGCGCAGGGACTGGGGGAGGCCGATTCATTTGTCAATTCGGGCCAATTCCATCCAAGGTCAGTCCAGTCCTCAGTAGGGGTGTTTTTCCTCCTCGGGTTTGGCTGGTGCCCAGGTGAGGTGGGCTGAACACTGGGTGCCGAACCCGACACGAGCTGGTGGGGCTGCCCGGCACAGCTTCCCAGGTTCCCTAGCGCGGGGCCTCTCTCCAACTGCGTCACCTCTAGCGCCACCTCTCCCACCTATCTTTCTCTAGGTTCTTGAGATCCGGACAACTTGGAATCCCCGTCACAACCCAAGTCGGCAATCCCACATGCGGTGAAACAAAACCACCGACGGGACATTTTGATCGTCGCCGCATGCGTCGATAGGATTTCTAGGCCTTCGCTTCGACAACACTCGCCATCCATGGTGCACACCACCAACGTGGCGGCGGCCGCCACCACCTTAGCGACCACGTCCGCCGCACCGACACGCCCGCACCGATTTCCGTCGTCGGGCTCCTTCCATGCCGGTGAACCCTTTCCCCAGCTGTCGCCATACGACGAGGCGCACCCAAATAGCAGGGCGCGTAGGAGGAGCTCGGCTGCCGGCTCTCGACCCCACGGGCGGCAGGCAACGCACAAATACCACACCTTTCCGACCCCGCCTCCCAAGACGCCCAGCGAGCAGCGCCCACCGCAGCGGTCTGACGCCTTCTTCCTCAGGCCAGTACCTAGCTCGAGCGGCGGCGGCGGCGGCGGCAGCGGCGGCGATCGCGATGATGGGGACGACGACGGGAGTGGGTCGGATACATGGTCGCTTACTGCCCCAGACGGGACGAGGCGGCAGACGGGCGGCGGCAGCGACACGACGTCGACGCCTCTTCCTTGGAAACAACTGGGCCTGCTCGCTCTGCTCTCGCTCGCCGAGCAGACGGCGCTTAATTCGATTGGCCCGTACCTTCCCACTATGGTGGCCTCGTTTGACGAGATCCCCCACGGCGAAGAAGGCCTCTACGTGGGCATGCTGGCATCGGCCTTTGCCCTGGCGCAGCTGACGACCAACCTGCTATGGGGCTACACGTCCGACCGGGTAGGGCGCAAGCCAGTCATGCTGCTGGGCACGGCATTGCTGATGGTGTGCTTTGCCTTCTTTGGCTTCTGCTCCAACTACAAGCAGTTACTCCTAGTGCACATCGCCATGGGTTTACTCAACGGCAACGCCGCCGTGGTGCCGACATGCCTTGGCGAAGTCACAGACCGCACCAACCAGAGCAGTGCCTTTACGTGGCTCCCTGTCATGTACAGCCTCGGAAGCATAACAGGGCCAGCCCTGGGTGGCCTGTTGGTCGGCATCATAAAGGGTTCGGAATATCCCTTTCTGCCCCCAAATCTTTTGGCCGCGGCGCTTTTGTTTGTCAGCGTTGTCGTTCTCGGCGTCTGGTTTGAGGAGACGCTCGACCATGCGGACCAAAAGGCGGCTGGGGCTGGTCTGGGGTGGGTAGAGAAGATGTGCCGGCCGTGTAGCAGCTGTTTTAGCAGCAGAAGGAACAGTAACCGGGTGGGCGGTTGGAAGTCGCCTTGGAGAACGAGCTTCCAGAGGGGTGTTGATAGCGCCGCCGGAGAGCATGGCGAAAGTGACGAAGATATTTCCTATACGAGCCAGGAAAATGGGAGCGACGAGGGCCGAGCCTTGCTCAGACCGAGTGCCCCGGTCAGCGTGATCGACGACGACGCCACCGACAGCAAGAGTCTCACGGCTGAACAGAAATCGGCGTTTCGCCAGCTCGCCAACCGTACCACCCTAACAGTGCTCGTCACGTATCTCGTATTCCAACTCTCCAACATCTCCTTCAACTCTCTCTATCCCATCTTTGTGTCCGCACCACCTCCCACGGGGCGGGACCTTGGGCCACGCACCATTGGCTTAAGTCTTTCCCTAGCAGGGCTAGCAACCATTTTATTCCAAGTCTTTGCATTTCAGCCTCTGAAGGCACGTATGGGGAACTTGGGCACGTACCGATACTCTCTCCTGGGAATTGCTGTTAGCATGGCCTTCATGCCGTGGATTGGCTACCTGGAAGAGAAAAACCCGTGGTGGGGTCTTGGAACGGGCAAAGAATGGCTCTACACTGAGCTAGGCTTCGTATTGGTGGTCAAGAACATATGCGCTGTCGGTGGTCTGAGTAGCGTGATGTTGTTGGTGAGTAATACTCGGACTATTTCTATGCCGTCTTTTTCTCTCCGAACTAGTATTTGTCTTTCTCTCTGAACTAGTATTTGTCATTACACATCCCGGGACATTCATCGCCTTCGCACACGGGGCCATTTCATCCAGTTTATGTACTAATCTTGACATTAGATCACCAATTCCGCTCCCTCGCACGAAACACTCGGAACACTGAACGGCATCGCCCAGTCCCTGTCTGCTGCTGGCCGCAGCATAGGCCCATTCCTGTCTGGCGGCCTATTCGCTTTGTCAATCCACGTCCAACCTAAAGGAGAGACCCTCGCATGGGGGTTGTTTGCTGGTATTGCTCTCATAGGATGGATGGGAACCCTTCTGATACACGGTAGCGGACTTGAGAGTGCAGATTGGGTTGGCAATGACGAGGACAGCGATGGGGACAGGACGGGTGACGAGGAGGGGCAGATCGAGGAGGAGGGGCAGATCGAGGCAGAGAGGTGACACCCAGACGGGCGTGTTTCCATCTTCTTGTCATTTTGCATTATCCAAACGATCTCTCTGTCAGTGCACATACGAGATTTACCGGTTGGTTGGGTAGGATGCATTTTGCAGGCGTTCTGGACACGATCAAAAATTTAGATCAAGGTACTCTTCATGACAGACCTCTTTACCATGACACGTAGTGGCGCGTCATTGTGCCGACGTGATATTGTGACTGTCTTGGGTCTAGGATCGTAATGTCTCCCGAGTCGAGCTGTCTCCCGAGTCGAGCCATTGTCAAGATACGGTGATGGCATGCTCACCGGGCTAACGCGAATGTATAGCCTCGTGCTATCATGTCTGCGTGCATGAACAAAGTACCAAGACTTCCTATTGAGGAAGCCGTAGATTTGGGAGAGAAGCGCCGTCAGCCATGACCGGCCTATTCGTGGTCTCGTATCTCATCGGCTGGAGGGCAAAAAAACGGGGAGGGCCGTTTGTCGCTCTCGGTGTGTTGATGACCCCTGCACTTTCGGGAGCTTCCAACGGTTGGCGTTCCCCGCTCAGCTTGGCCCTGATCGCCTTGGTTCGGCTGGTTCGGCGCCGGGACCGTGTTTCTAGGTTGTGGGAAACTGCGCGTCGACAAACTGCGCGTGTCGACGCACCTCGGTTCACGATTGTGAATGTTGTTATTTTTCTTCTTTTCTTCTTTTCTTTTCTTCTTTTCTTTTTTTCTTTTTTCTTCTTTTTTGATCCGGAAACGGCTGCGTGCCTGGGGCAAACAGTGATGCGCAGATGCGGGTGGGCTGCTGATTGGGTTGCCTCCCGTGAAAGTTTTTTCTTCATCCCGCCCAGCTTTCTGGGAGTTAGTAGTGGCTGTAAACACCTGGATGCACCGTACGTACTTACCCTACCAACCTAGATAGGGAGATAATCATTCTGGTGGGGGGCCGACCTCCGAGGTTTTGTCTCCTCGGCCCCCGTCCTCATCGCTGCCTCGGTGAGTCAAAGATGCGGGAATCGAAGTCCACGATAGCCAGTAGCGTTGCGCACGATAATCTTGCGAGAATGCTCAACTGGTGTTGGGTTGGCGACTAAGCCATGAAGTCTGTGCTCGGTAAGACTAAGAAAGGCCTCCGGCAAATGTACGTGGGTTTCGAGGTCCGAGATCGTCCGGCCTAATGCGGGGTCCGGAATGGAAGTTAGCGGAACGCGTTAACCAAGCCACCCACCAAACTCGCCGCATGCCCTCCCCTCACATGCACCACCCCAGCGCGCGCAGAGTGGCGGAGATATTGTGCGTGCCTTAGTACGCATTCGCCTAAGCTTTGTGGTGAGATTCTCCGATCTCGACTCAGGTAGTGATTCGATGGGACAACCGGCAAGCTTCCAATAGAACCGGGGCTGCTTGAACCAGACGGGGCGCAGAGCCCCATCATTACCAGTACGTGTACGTACCTTACCTAGTTGGCTTGATGGGGTCGGTAGGTGCCTTCTTGATCCGGATTACTCATCGCCGGCGAGTCACACAAAGCCGGGGCCGGGGATTCGTTTTTTAGCTGCTTGCGAAGGCCCCCGCCGTGCTGGCACGCCGGTCGGTCACCATTTCGCCCGTGTGTGGATGTGGAGCAGACCCGACCCCGCGACATTTCTTGAGCCTCAGCGCACTTCATGCCCCCCCCTCCCCCGTATTCGTACCTTGTCTGGGGCTCCGGGCTTGATCAAGATTGAAGATGGAATTTGGCAGCACCTGCAGCGCCAATGAGGAATCAGGAACATGGTTTCAGAAGGCTGGAAACCGCGGGTCAGCGCGACAGGGGACATTTGGGGCCTGGTTCCTAAATGATGTCACTGTCTTTCAGGCTCCCGACTTGTCAGATCGTACTTGAAACGGCCCTGTGAGGCGCTATTGGATGGGGGTTGGTTGAGCCTTACAGGGCAGACAGGGCAAGTGACCGGGACAGCGCCGCCACGTGAACTATGACAGGAGCCAATCGCACCAATGGCCGCCCGCAATTGCCGGGTCGAAGCAGATGGGCGTCTGCACCCGGCAGCGGGTAGCTGAGGCATAGATGCATGTCCTCAAGCCCCAAGCCCCGGGCTTGCCTGATGAGCTGCCTCATGTCGTTGCGTTGCTGGGAAGGGATGTGCAAAGAGGCGGTTACTGCTAGGTAGGTGGGGCTAAGGCAGCGGCGCGCGATCGGCAATGGAACCTGGTCCCAGCGATCTTGTTGGTGGGGGTGATCCAGACGGGAACCTCCGATCATTTACCATTTACCACCTGCAAGCTGGAATCCGGAGGTGGCTTGGCAAACAGCATTCGGGCACATGCGACGAACCCAGGCTAACTAAAATAAGAGCAAGGATTACAAGGTCATGACCGAATCTTGGGTTCTTCGTACCAAGTATCCGCATGCACGAAGTACCTACCCAGGTAGTCTGGGCTGGAGAAAAAGTGCGCGCGGTAATAGATGCATTACTATATAGTACTGTACAACACCAAAACCAGGGCGATTTGCGAGGGCAAAGCAATCTACGCGCGCGGATCGGGCATCTCCACAATACTCCATAGATACTCCGTACCGTCTGTGGTATTCGTACATACCGTAAGCACGCACTCAAGGTACCTTACCTACAATACGTCTACGTATCTAAATCAGGTACAGCAGTACAGCCCTATGGGGCGGGGCATCATCTGTGTGCACAATAGATGGCGCACACAGATGGCTTACGTCGGCGGTGACAGATCATCTGTAGAGCTTGGTAATACCAAGCCTAGTGTAACAACTTCACAGCGTTGAGGCATCGACCAAAAATGGAAAAAAAAAATTGAAAATCGAGACAACATCAGAAGCTGTGCCCCAGTCTTTAAAGGGACATAACAATCGCAACTGCCAGAGGCGTGGTAAACTTTACATCATCTCTTCAGAGTTGCTGTTGGGCCAGCCAAGTGGTAAGTACCTAATTCTTGGCTGGCGCAGCACAGGCCTTCTTGGTGCTGGTGCCTGACACGGCAACACCCGACGCCTCAGATTTGAGCCCACTTACAGGTAGTATTAAGAGGCAAGTTATTCATGACTAAGTCAACCTGGCACCTCCAGATCGGTTGCCTAGCATTCGAAGCGTGGATGGCATTACCTAGAGTACAGACGAGTTGCGAGCTCCCTCATTCACCTCGGTGTCTAGTACTTCGTAGGTAGGGTAGTTTTGTCCCTGGCGGCTACTAGTGCGCTTGAACACGCAAGTGCGTATTCCGTCCATGGCGGGCTAAACAAGGTCGCGCTGTACGATGCGCTCCTTTCAGACCACATTCCAGTTACCAACTCATGCCAAGATGGGAGCGAGGGGGGAAATGAAGAAGCCAGTGCGCCAGTCGGCCGTGTCACACGACAGCCACCCGGGGTTCCGGTTCGAGGTTTAGATGGCAGTTGGTCCGGGTAGGCGGTAGTAGGATGGACGGGACTGCCCCACGACCCCGACCCAAAAGAATGGCCGCTGGGAAGAGCCCTGCAGCAATATCCGTTCAAAAACTAACCTCAAGATGGATTGCAGGGACTCGAATTGAACCTCGACCCCAATAACCAACCTAACCTACATGAGCGAAGACTAGTTTGCGCCGCTAACTCCCGTTGGGCATGTTGTGCATGCGGCACGCACACCTAATAGCATACCGAGGACTTCGGTGGCTCTATGGTTGGTTGGAATTCGATGGCTCAGTGTGACATTTCGTAATGGCAGGGCAAAGTTCCAACTCCACTACCCTCGACCGGTGCAGCCGAGACAGCGCTGGCAACGACACCAGCCAGCAAAGCCGCCTGACATCAGCCGTGGAACGCCCCGGCGTTGAAATCACGTATGTCTGTAGGTTATCTACGAATGGACGACTTTTACGACGAGGAGTGCGGGCATCAAAATTTTGTATTCCAAATTTCAGCATCGCTCCTGCAGACTCCATGGACGGACGGGATGGGGTCGGGTTTGCGCCCGCTCCAGGGCAAGGTTCAAGGGCCCAGGGCAAGGCTCCATGGCCCCCGCGCGGCACGCACCACCCGGGACGCCAGCGGCCAAACAACCTCCACTCGCACTCGGACGTACCTCAGGTATGTGCCTAAACCCTAGCGCCTAGCCCCGCTGACGAAGGCGCGGACACGGGTGTACTATGTATATTGGAGTATGGGAGCGGGCAGTATTGCAACTCCATCGGCAGCCGATGCCGTGCGGCCCTAAGTTGACATGCAACCTTAGATTTTGCCTTGGCATTGGTAACTGGAGGTACCCCGGTACTCCGGACCGAGGTAATCGAACCGACGGGCTGATTACAGCGATTTACGGGCGGGCACGCCCGCATCTACGGAGTACCTGACGTCGGCCGCGGTCGCGCTCGCGCACTGCAACCGCCTTAAAACGGGCGCAACCGGCAATAACTTTCCGGGCGTGTCTCTCCTCGCTCGGCCGCTGATGAGCATGGCATGGGCCTCTTCCTCTGCCAATACGCACACAGACTGAGTGACTCGTTTCGTGGCCCCGGAATCGTCGATTGCTCGCGAGGCAGCAGAGCAGGGCGCTGACCTAGGCTTGGCATCCATCCTGCCTCACCTTACGAGAGTTCTTTCTTGTTGTACCAGTGGCTAAAATCTTACTTGACAGAGCAACACAGGGCACGGATAAGGTTAGGTTGGCAGGTAGGTTAAATCAGGCGGCCGTTTCATTTGCTTGTTGCGTGCCCCAGCGCCACGCGACGTCAGGTCAGGTCGGGTAAGACGCCCAAGAACTAATCCAGTGCTAATTAACACCGTCATTAGGTAGATACTTTACGAACCCCCAACGTTTAGAACTTATTAGCTTGCTTGCTACGAACATACGACCTATGCACCGAGCAGAGCAGATGCCAAAACCCCAGCAACAAGTCAGCCCTATCGCCTTCAATGCGTGGGGCCTGAGGCTCGGAGCCAACCACGATCCCCGTCAAAGCGCATCTCCTGGGACAATTTCTGTGCTCCTACTGGCCCCTCGTCGAGAAAAACCCCCCCCCCCGGTGCATTGCTTCTTCCCCCGTCTGGCCTCCCAAGACATAGTACATACTGTACGTCTTTATGTAAGCAATTTAGGGACTTCACTCGAACTAAACATGGCTTAGTCCAACCATGTCCACCAGTTCCACCAGTTCCACCAGTTTGGCAAACTTATAAACACCCCCTCCTCCATTCTCCCCTGCCACTCCCCCGGTGTCAACTCCCGCTCCGCTCCCGGTGCAACCATCATGGAGCGATGCAGCCCTTCTAGCTTCCGAGTCCTGATGTGAATCATGGCACCATTTCACGTCTCGCGAATCATGTCGCCAACCAAGCTGCAGACGCCATCAGCCCCAGCCGCAAGACGGACCGTTTGTCTGTGTGGTCATATACCCCAGTTTTCACGCTACTCGGGCTTTATCTTTGTCGACTCGCCTTGCACGCCCCATATACACTCTACCCACCCACCCGCCTACCTACCTACCTAACCTACCTGCAGCTACACCATCCTGTGCCTCGCCTTGCCATTGCCTACCATGACATAGCAGCCGAGACGGCGATATCGGGCTCCCGGTACGCCCCGAGACTCGCCTTCGGCTGCCTTCCCCGTCCACCCAGATTCAACCCCCGCTGATCCCCCCGACCCACACTCCCCTCTCGAGCACTTACGATGCCAATTTACACCCAAGCCAACTGCCTCTCGCACCCACCATTCCCCTGACATTCATGAACGCGGCTGTCTTTGTAATTCACCCCCCTGTGCCCTTGCCGTCATCTCACCTGCGTCTCGACGCCGTCAGCGCCGCATCACTTGCTTTTCAGTGTCGGCACTCGACGGGTGTGACCTGCGCCATCGAGTCCAGCCCTACCTGCTCTGACTCTTGCTTATTGGATGCCGCCGTGCCGTTCGTCCTATCATCTGGTCCAGAGCATCGACCTATACCAGGGTCTAAATGGACACGAGTAGGTAAGGAGTCATCCCTGTGAGTGCTAGGGGGCCGGGAACCTGGAGTCGCTGATATAAACCCTCTGATATCTCTGTCCATTCTCCCCTCAGCCATCCCCAACAGCAGCTCAGGCAATCTCAACCCAGTTAGGACCTCATACCATCTTTGGAAACCCTCTCACCCGGTTCATATCTTTCAACGCCTTGAAAACAGCCTTTGCACGCCGGCAAGCAACCCGCCTTCCCCACACAAACGGCAACTTAGCTTGTCTTGACATCTGCCACTCCATTCTTGGCCAAGTTCCTTCTGCCCATCACCGCCAGTAATCAGCAATCAGCCATGTCGTCATCCCGCTCGGGTCGTTCCGGTCAGCACGGCAGCTCTCGGTTGAGCGGCAGTGGGAGGTCTGGCGGCTCGCGGGTTAGTAGTGGCTTCCAATTTAGCGTCAGCACCCTGACCTGATCTTATATCCCTCCCTGGCACATGACTTCCCCAGTCGCCCGTTCATTCCGTCCCTGCCCTCGGAAATCACAGCTGGGCTCCCAAATCAAACACGCCGCTAACATTCGCCCTGCGGTCTAGTCCATCCGCCAGCTCATCGAATCATTGGAGACCCATCGCGTCAACACGCTCACGGAGCTGTGCCGGATCGAGCGCGTCGCTGCGTCATGCGAGTCGGCAGACGATGCCCGCGCCTTTCAGGGCCCCATGACGTCGGCATGGGCTTACTACGTCACCAGCCACCAAATGCTCTCGGAACTGCGCGGCCTCACCGGCTCCGAATACTTCTTCTCCAGCGATCTCCTCGACGGCGCCCAGGCCCTGGTGCAGAATGACCCCGAGTCCAACCGGAGCTGGAATCTGGCCTGGCTCTGCCTCAACAAGATCATAGACGAGTTCGTGCCTCTCCCTCCGTCCCCTTTCATTTATCAATTCCATTGTCCAGCTCGTTACAAGTACTAACCGTGGATCAACGACAGCAACCTCATCCCATCGTACGCTTACGCCGAGGCCAGTCGTCCTGAAATGTGGGACGGTTACGAGCCCAGCGAGGACGAGATCCAGGAATTGGCTGCTCGCTTTCAGTTGCAATGGGACCGCGCAGTCCGCCAGATGCTGCAGCACTGGCAGGTTCCGCCACAGTGGTACTAGTTTTACCACCTCCTGAATCAGGCACCCGACAATCACCCCTTACTCGCTCACTGGCTGTGCGGGTACTTCCATTTTAACAAGTTCGCAGTAAACGAAAAGCGGCATTCAGGTTGGTCTTGGAGCTGGAGTCGACAATTGGTTTCTGGTTGTGCATTTTCTTTGGCTTGTTTTTTTGTGTTTTGTTTTTTTTTCTCTTTGGCTTATGATTTGGGATGAATTAGTGATGCGTGGAAATGGCGATGCGTGGAAATGGCGATGGAGATTTGAACTTGGCGTGCTTTGAAAAGCCCTTCTTTTGGTAATTTGGTTTGGTATGGGTTTGCTTGTGAATATGTCGCTTTTGATTAGCATGGCGACGGCGGCGTTCCTTTTGTTTGCTCCATGACTTCGTCCAGCCCCCCTTTTTCCCTGCTTATTAGGACTATCGTTTAGATCTTGGACAGTTCCGATTTCAAGTATCTCTTTTGTTGTAACGTTCGGGCCCGAACATGGCAACATCTCGTCATTTCATAAACATTCTCATGCCTTGCAAGGACCCCTTCATGACCCGCCACGGTCGTCTTGAATACGCCAACTTGATTGCCTATCTCTAGCCGTAATAGCCGTCCGACTCTTTGTTTTCAAGCGCCCGAAACTTGGGGGCCGCGAATAAGAGACATGCGTCACGCAAAACAAAGACAAAAGCACAAGATATTACCATCACACATCCAATTTGATCCCCGTGAGATCCGTAATGAAATTTGGCGGCGGATCAAACGTCTTCTTCTCCGACCGGCGCGCGAGGATGGCGATGCCCAGGGCCGTCAAGAAGATGAGGCCGAAAGCCTTCGGCACAAAGACCCAGATACTGAGCGAGCTGCCGTTTATCTCGGCCGTGTTCATGCCTAGTAGTGGCTGTTGTGGAGTAATACAGTTAGCGAATCAATGATAATTATATGGTTGGAAGAGAAAGGTGCGTACTGAAGCCAGTGTCAGCGGGAGAAACACGGCGGCGAGGAGCGAGAGCTGCCGCATGCTCTCGCCTTGTCTGAACGACAGGCTCGCGTCGTATCGCTGCAGCGCGGCCATTTCTATGGACCACTAGGACTAACCGATTGGGAGGCGTGCTTGGCGGCCGAGATGTTGCATCGTGTGGTGTCAGATAGCCGTGTGGTGTCAGATGGCCCGTCACTCTTCGGCTGGATTGGTAGGCGCCGCATGTTCTCGCTCCCGCTAATTAATTAATCAGATAATATAATAGTCAGCCTTTGAAGGTTCAAGTTAGTAACTAATCAAGGGAGAGGAAGCACCTTTCTCACTGGTGGCATCGTTGGGGCTGCTCGAGAGGTTCCCGAAACCATGAAGGCTGGAGAGTTGCCGCAGTCGCCCGCCAGAGAGGAGATTGGAGGCGTATTTGCCAGTGCCCTCGTGGTCCTCGGAGCAGGTGAGATCAAAACACAGAATCGTCCCGCCGGCTGCATGTGCGTGGACGTTTGTTACCTGGTCAGCGCTGCGTCTGGCCGGTATTAACAGTTGGGACGTTTTGCTCACCGTGCAAGTGCATCCAATAACCGTCTGCCGCCTCGTGTGACAGCGCCCACCGACAAAACTCCAGTAGGAGACTTACAAGGGGTCGACCTTTGAACTAATTAGTGCTCCTAGATTGAGTTACACGCGCATAGATCATGGTCTTGCGCCCCCGAGGCGTTTTCCAGAGCAAAACCGATGTTGCAGGATTCCCACAGAATAGCATCAACATAGACCAATAAAGACACGATCAGACTGGAGCGTGCGTATTGGTTTTTTTGGTTTTTTTTTTTTGGGGGGGGGGGGGTTTATAAAAAAAAAAGAGAGTGTTCATTTCCATTGTTTGTCGTCCAAGTCCATGCCAGCTGAAATCAAACTCGCTACCGTAGGAACTACATCCCCTCTAACGTACGTAGTATCCAGTGACTACCCACAAGGAGAAAGACGTACCAAAATTGAAGTCAAAGTGTGCTGTAGAAGCGTGCCCAAATAATCCTGCTCAGCATTCCCTCGCGCCATGTCCAATCTTTGTTGACTCCGTGCGTCGTCAATGGCCAGGGAATACTTGCAATATCGTAAAGGAGAGGAAAGAAAAGGATAGGTCAATCTTCAATGGTAGATGACTGACTGGTAGTTGTTGTGGCGGACCAAACGAGCGTGAAAGTAGGGTGATCCCGACCAGTATCGTGCATCTCTTCCACCACCAAGCACTTCCACCATCAAGCACTCCCACCATCAAGCACTCCCACCATCAAGCACTTCCACCATCAAGCATTCCCACTATCAAGCACTCCCACCATCAAGCACTTCCACCATCAAGCATTCCCACTATCAAGCACTTCCACCATCAAGCATTTCCACCATCAAGCACTTCCACCATCAAGCATTCCCACCATCAAGCACTTCCACCATCAAGCATCGCCGCCCGTAACAACACGCAGCGAAGCCGCGCCCATCTTGAAGCGCCTCTTAACGGCCTTCCACGACTCAATGATAGCGGTGTAGACAACGACGCCCGCCATGACGACGCCCCATTCCCAGGTGATGGCATCGTGCTTGAAGACGGCGCGGTTGATCACGGGCAGGTAGATGACGGGGAACATGATGACGAAGCCCGCCGAGACGGCATAGAAGAGAAACTTATTGTGCCAGACGGTGCGGAACACGGACAGGGGCCCGCCGTACTTCTCAGGTAGCATGTTGAACAGCGAGCGCGTGAAGTGCTTGGCCTCCCAGGCGGTGACGAGGAGCAGAAAGGTCAGCGTGGCAAAGGTAGTGGCGCGGGCGCGGAAGGAGACGCTGCACGATACCTCCCATCCCTCGTTGCAGCCGTGGCCGAGGCCGTCGGGCCCAGACATGCCGTAGGCCACGCTGGTGAAGGCGGCAAGGCACAGCCCGCCCATGGCCGTTCCGTAGACGAACTTGTCGACGATGAGCTCGCGCGTGAAGACTCCAATGGCCAGATCATGAGGGGGCCGCTGCATCACGTCCGGCTGCGCATCTTCCAGGCCCAGCCCGAGGGCGAGGAAGGACGACGTCACGAGGTTGGCCCAGAGGATCTCCAGCGGGGAGAGCGGGAACACGGAGATGCCATGCGTGTCTTTGAAAGACAGTCCGATCAGGAGGAGGATGACCTGGGCAATGTTGGAGATCAGGAGGTGCAGGAGGAACTAGTTAAACCCACCCCGAGTCAGTTTCAAAGTCTCATGTTTATCGACACGACCTAGCCTTGCCTTCTGAATATTGTCAAACAGCCGTCTGCCTTCTTCGATGGCAGTCACGATAGACGCGAAGTTGTCGTCGGTCAGAACCATGTCGGCGGCCTCCTTGGCCACGTCGCTGCCGTTCAAGCCCATGGCGATGCCCACGTCGGACTTCTTCAGAGCCGGCGAGTCGTTGACGCCGTCTCCCGTCATGACGCAGAACGCCTTCCTCCGGTGCATGGCCTCCACCACGCGCACCTTAGTGGTTGGGCTGCACCTCGCGAGCACCAGCGGGAGATGCGGCATGTCGTCGATCTGGGCATCTGTGAGGCGGTCGAACGCGCTAGCCACCATGATCTCCTCGGCGTTTGCGGCCGCAGATGTCGGCTTTAGAATGCCGATCTCGCGAGCAATTGCCGTGGCCGTCTTGACGTGATCGCCAGTGAGCATATGGACTGTGATGCCCGCGTCCTGGCATTTCTTGACCGCCGCCGCCGACTCGACGCGAGGCGGGTCCTGAAGCCCAGCCAGGCCGACAAAAGCCAGGCGGCTTTCGGCGCTGGTCCTGTCGAGGAGGGTCTCTGCGACTACCGTTGCTGACTTCTCACTGCCACCAGCCCCTGAGACGACTGAAGCTGGCTCTGAGAAGATGCTCGAATCGACCGACTTCCTGGCGACGCAGAGAACGCGGAGTCCTTCGGCGGCAAGGGCTTCGGCCTTGGCTACGATCTGCATCTTCTGTTCGTCAGAAGCGTCCAGCAACGGGAGGATAGCCTCGAGAGCACCTTTTGTGAACGCACAGGCGCCGAGACCTGCCGTCTCGTCGGCGCAGATGACCGTCATCCTTTTGCAGGACGAGTCAAAGGGGTATTCTGCGAGAAGTCGATGGCCGCCTGATCTCAGGAGAGCTTGCTTGTCCATGCCAAATCGCATGGCCAGCACCTGGAGGGCGATCTCGGTGGGATCCCCAGCTGCGGTCCACGAGGTTTCGCTCTTGGTCACGGTCGAGTTGTTGCACAGCGCTATGGTCTCCAGAAATCCCTTCAGCAACACGCTGCTGGGGAGTAGCTCGTCGGACGGGCCCTTTTCCGTGGCCGCTAGAGCGAGAACCTCACCATTGAGGTGAATAGTTCCAGCGGTGGGGTCAAAGGGATGGGTTGTCTCCTGGACCGACACCTCTGTGCCGTCTGCCAGCCAGACTTTATTGGCGACCATCTTGCCTTGGGTGAGCGTTCCGGTCTTGTCCGAGCAGATGTTGGTGACACCGCCCACCGCCTCGAGTGCGGCAAGCTTGCGGATCACAACATTACCCCTGGCCATGGCACGGGTGCCGAGAGCAGTGGCGATGGTGAGAACAGCAATCAAGGATTCGGGGATGACGGCCACGGCCACGCAGATGCCGTATATCAGCACCTCGTTTGTGACCTTGAAGCGGCTGACAGAGAAGACAATGATGGCGAGGGCGATGGCGAGAGCGAACAGGAGGAGGGCGAATTTGCCCAGTGAAACCTGCAGCGGCGTGCCGTCGAAGCCAAGGACGACACGCAGGCCACGCTTGGCCCTGGCGAAAATCCTACGCATGCCCCGAGTCTCCTCGTCCGAGGTAGTGCCCTTAGACCTCAGGAGCTCGGCAATCTTGCCCACCTCGGTGGCCATGGCGGTAGAGGCCACAATGCCGGTGGCGCGGCCTCGAGTTACCGTACTGGCCGAGTAGGCCATGTTGGTGCGATCGCCCAGAGGCACATCGCGGTCCTTCAGAATGATGTCGGCATACTTGCTGACGGGGAGGGACTCGCCAGTGAGCAAGGCCTCGTCGATGGACATGTTGACGCTGTGGACAAGTCGTAGATCTGCGGGGACGACGTCACCGACGCCTAGACGCACCAGGTCGCCCGGCACCAGGGCTTCGGCCTTGACGGTCTCGGAACGGCCGGCTCGGACGACCTTGCAGGTGGGGGCAGAGAGGGCATACAGAGCCTGGATGGTCTGCTCAGCGCGAAAGTCTTGGATGAATCTGGGGCGGCGGTTAGTAGCTGGCACAGTCAGTCTTCCGCAACATGCCTTACCCGACTACAATGTTGAGCAGGATGACGGCGGCGATGACGGCGCCTTCAATGTAGTCGCCGATGGCAAACGAGAGCACCATGGTGACGACAAGGACCTGGACAGACGGTCAAGGACGAGAACCGAGAAGAGCGAGACATTGGCACCCGAGACTCACTAAAGTCAAGCTGTTGGACACCTGCCTCAGGAGAATCGTCCACAGGGATAGCCCTCGAGCTCCCTCAACCTTGTTAGGGCCATGCTGCTCCAGGCGACGGGCAGCCTCGGAATTGTCGATTCCGTTTCTGAGAGGGGTCAGCGATTGCCCGATTGGCGGTGATCAGCAACAATGATTAAGGGGTTTGTTTACTCGGCATCTGTATCGAGCAGAGCGCAGACCTCAGGCACGGAGAGCGTGTGGGCCGACTCGGGGGCGAAGATGGCGGCCGACTCGAAGGTGGTGGTGATGGAGGCGCGGCCGTCGGTGCCGAATGTTCCGGCGAGCGTGGGGGACGGGGACGGGTCTGGGCCGTCAGGCAGGAGGTTGGCTACGGAACGGTTGAGGCTTCGTATAGGAGGCTCCGTCTGCCCCTCGACGCCAAGATCGCTCTCTGTCCCCATTCAATAATATTCAGTGAGGCGCGGTGCCGTTGGATTCTCAGCGAGAGATGATGTGGCAGAAGAAGGAAAAGCCGGGGGAGCGGACGTTGCAGGGTTTAAGAGCGAATTGGGGAACCTCGACTTGGCGATGGCGTCGGTGTCAGAGTCCCGGATCCGACCTCCTTTGTCTTCTCTTCCCTGCTCCCATGCTCCCAATGTCGCCACCCACACATGGCCAACGCGGTGTGTGCTTGGCGAAGTGGTGGGCCAAGGACCAAGTACGAGCAGCGTCCGCTAAGAAGCACGCAAAACCACCAGCGAACCCTTGCCTGCCCAGGCCTGCCCAGGCCTGCCAGCCTATCACCGCCTGGCAACCTTGCTGCCGAGAACCGCTTGAGTGAGGAAGCGGGGCTGCTCTGAGCCCATGGTCCTATCATTGCTTGGCGGGGGCTTGACCCTGCCTCTCCCGACCGCCTGCCTCTCTGTTTGCGCTCCGTCATGCTTGGCCCCCCACCTAACCCGTCTCGTGACCCGTGCTTGGAAGGGGCCTTTGCATCCGCAGCGAGGAACCATGTCGAATCTCTCAAGAGACTGAACACCACCAAAGGCTCGAGCTTCACCAGCATCTAACGTATATTGGAATCCGAATCTATTCTCTACCTGCCGGTCATTGTTTACTGCCCCTTATTCCAATCCGTCATCACCCCTGTACTCTTCGTGGTAATTGGGCAGATCTGTCGTCACCATCCTACCACACTTTAGTCATCCCGTCACCCGTCACCCCGCGTCAACGGGCGTCAGCCTGGCGGCCGCCCTTCTCGCCGGCATGGATATCAACGTCGTCCAAAATAGCTTGGTTGTTCTTCAGAGCCGCGATCCTGGCTCGCTTGATCTTTCGCGTGTCAATGTCGACCTGCCGCGTGACGTACCACGTAATGAGGTTCATCACGATGGCCATCCCAATGAAGCCCATGGCAATGCCGAATGAAGTCGCGTATCGGGGGGCGTATTTCGAGTTGAAGAGCTGCGCGCCGACCGCGCCTCCGATCTGGCCGTAGCTGTTGGCAAAGGCGATTGCGAATGCCGACCCAGTTGCGCCCTCGGTCGATTGAACGCGCCAAGGCCACATCATTGTCGACCTGGTGGTATCGATGCACGTCAACATTTTTGTGTGCACATAGTATCTGACAGAGGAACTCACCATGCTGTAGCAAAACCGCTCGCAATCACCGTAGCCGCATACACACCGCCCGTGCTTGGGTAGGTGTACTCGACGACGTAGCAAGCCAGGATGACCACCATGAAAAACAGCGGAATCGACGGTTGCGGAATGCGACCCGTGTCTGCAAAGACCCCAAAGACAACTGTCAACAGGCAAGCAAAAATCGCGGGCGGGATGTTGAGGAGTTGAGACTGAGCGAGTGTCCTGCGCAGATGGCGTGTTAATAATTAGGCTCATAGGTATGAATCCCTAAATAAATGATATGCGACGGATGAATGAGCTTACGTGAACCCAAGGTTAGCAATGACGGTGGGCTGGTAAAAGAGAAGCCCTGTGACTCCGATGGTGTAGAATGCCCAGCACAGGAGAAACAGCCACAGCTTCTTGTCTTTCAAGGTGTCGATGAATTCTCGCCAGTTGAAGTCCATCTCTGCGTTTCGTGGCGAGTTGATGGGGAGCCGGGCTTGAACAAAGGCCTTCTCTCTGTCCATCATCCATTTAGCATCGTCCGGGACTGCGATCCAAGTCAGTCCTCGTGCGCCACAAGGAAGAAGAGTGAAAAGGGAGGGGAAAGAAAAAAGTGGCAGCTTCTTACAGTCAGGCAAGAAGAAGAAGACAAACGCCCCAAGAAAGACGGTAAAAATGCCCTCAGTAATGATAAGCCTTGGTAGCCTTAAGATCAGCAAGCTGCACCAATGTCGGCATGCATGAAGCTGAATTGAAGTTGACTTGAAGTTGGCTTAATTACCATTTCCAGCCAGAGACCCCTCCGGTGGTGACGCCGTTAAAAGCAAACGCGAGGACCCCGCTGATCACGGAACTAAAGTTCCCGAGGATCGTAACCCAGACAATTCTCGGGGCCAGTTCATCTGGCCGGTACCAATAGCAGAGCTGTAGGAGGGTTCCAGGCCAGAGGCCTGCCTCAAAGAGACCAAGTAAAGCCCGGACGGCATACAGACCGCCAGCATTGGTGACGGCGGCATGGCAAAGCAGAATTATGCCCCAGGATATCTAAAGTTTAATCGCAGGTCAGTGTTTATTCCAGGTGTCGGTGGTAGGGGGGTTTTTTTAGACATGAATGAAAACTTACCATGATTCGCGCTTGCCAGACTGAAGGTTTATAGTACTTGATCAAGAGATTGGACGGGGTTTCGGCAAGAATGTACGGGACCTTGCACGGGTAAGCTGCCGCTCTAAGTGGGGGTTATCGCGGGGAATGGCATACATAGTAGGCGGTCGTGACAAAGTTGAAGGCATCCGAGCTCATGTTGAGTTCGTTCAAAATGTTGTGAGGTGTTCCTCGGTCCATGACACGTGCGTTCGAAACCTGTATACTCCAATGTGAGCAAGTCTTCCCCCCCCCGATGCCATGACGGGAAGAAGCGGAAACAAATACATTGGTAAAGTCAATAGTCTTGACCATATACATCACAGATAGGAGCGGAATGAGATGCCAATCCATACGCCGAAGGAGCTTCTTTTCTTCGTCGCTGCTCAGCGTCGCTCGTGCCCCCATAAGGGATGCATCAAAACCGACGATGCGGTCCTGGGAATCGTTGAACTGTGGCTGCTCATCACTGCGAGCTACAACGTGCAGATTTCCCGACGTGGGAGGCTCTATCTCGGGCGTGGGTGAACTGATGGAGACGGCCTTTTCGTCGCCGGACGTCTTTGCGTCCGAGGAAGCCATGGTACGTGCCTGGCAATCTTTCCGAGTTGGTCAAAACTACAATGATGAGATGGCCAGGCGGAGCTTATGTCCTTGGACCGAGAATTACGTCCTTGGACCGAGAATTATGTCCTTGGACCGAGAATTATGTCCTTGGACCGAGAATTGAAGACCTTTATAACTGACATGGGCTTTGAATGGCGAATGTAACGGTCGGAGATGCATCCTCACCCCCGTGCGGGGGCCGATGATATCTTTCCTGCTACGGATCACACAATACCACTAGGATACCCATATCTAGTCAAGCTTAGGAGGAATGGTTAGTTAATATTGACATGTTGGCATCATGAGCGTTGATTACGACATGGTGTTCTGTAAATCTATTGGTCGAATATTCGAAAGACGTCGAGCTCTGCGGCTCGCACCTGGCGCGTGGCCACAGTGCTGCGATTATTCCCTGCCATTTATTACAAATACAGGCGCCTGCTTCTAAACGCCGAACGGTGTTCAGCCTCTTCACTTTATCTCTGATGCATTGGCGAAACGGCCTTTGAAAATTCGTGCTTGACACCAGCTGCAAGCCTCCTCATTCGACCGATGTTCAACATCGACATTTTCTCTCCCAGCAATGTCTAATTAAACGATGAAACTTCTCAACCCTTATCTCGCTGCCATGTTGATAAGCTTGCCTTTCTCCGCGGGGCAAAATCAGAACCCAGCACCCCCTCCAACATCAACTCGATGCTCCAATTTCCTCATCGTCCCTTGTCAGCTTACGCAAAGCTCTCGTCGAGCGTCCATCCATCACTGGCTCCGAAGCCTAGGTTTCGGCGTTTTTGAGGAAACATCTCTAGGGCAAGGGATTCACCGTCAAGACCCAAAAGGTGGCGGGTGACCGAGAGAACCTCCTTGCCTACCTGGGGGGCTCAGAAAAGACCAGAATATTGGTGACGTCACTGGTCCGAAACAGCGCCATTTACATGTCGCTGCCTAATATGTCAATCACATTTTCGGCCATCATCGACAAGATCCGCGGCATGGCGGCGGCGAACGGCTCGGCCGTGTCGTATCTCCCGGCCGAGCACCGTTCCAACCCCGACATGGCCGCGGGCTACCGGCAACAGCTGCTAACCTCTTGGACCTGCTCGCCAACCCAAAGGGCCCGAGTCTGGAGAGCGCCTTCCTTCGCGACGGGGACGTCGGTGCCGGCGATCCTGCTGCACCCGCTGAGCCGGGGCACGGCGCAGCTCAACTTGTCAAACCCGCTGGGCTGCCGGTGCTCGACTACCGCACGGCGTCGAGCCCGGTCGATCTGGACCTGCACCTGGCCCACATCAGGTACCTGGGGCGCATGGCAGGGACGGCGGCGATGCGGCGGCTCGGCGCGGTCGAGACACAGCCCGGCGGTACGCTGCTTCGGCCGACGCGGACGAGACACAGCCCGGCGGTACGCTGCTGTCGGCCGACGCGAACCTGCTGGCCCGCATCAAGGACCAGATGGTCGTCTCGTACATGCACCCGTGCTGCACGGCGGCCATGTTGCCCAAGGGCAAGGGTGGCGTCGTCGGGACTGACCTGCGCGTGTACGGGGCCGACGGACTGCGCGTCGTTGACGCTAGCGTCTTTCCAGTCCTGCCGAGCGCCCATCTCAGCGCCGCGGCTTATGCGGTGGCCGAGAAGGTGAGTTGTAATTGTTCTATTATTTTCTCTCTTTCCACGGCCCAAGGAGTTTTTAACGGCCGATACCTTTTACGGAACAGGCTGCGGATATCATCATCAGACACTGGTCCGGCTAGGCAGTCCCTGGGGAAGAAAGGGGCTCGGTGAAGCGGCAGCAGTTTATCAGTTTGGGCTTCGTAGGAAGCTTGGCTCATGCAGGTTAGTGAAAAGGGGGTTACCGAGCACTGGGTGGTGGCAAGACTGCGTGCGGTATTATTTAATTGTTGGTAAAACTGTCCGTCGTTCTCGCCACGGACGCGAAGTTTGGAAGAAACGACGTAACCGGTTGTTGCAAGCTTTGACCTGTCGGCGGGTTTCGTATTGTAACTGGCATTTTTGGCATTTTTGGTGGTCTGCAATTAATTTCTTGCCATCAACAACTTCAGTCCCATCTTGTTTACGAGCCAGGTCCCGGCTCCTCCGGGACTTGGTGGAACTTGTGCGATCAAGATAAGGTACCGTACCTTAACACTGGTAGACAGGGTAGACAGACAGGCCGGCACGGGAAAGGATCATCTAAAAACACATGCAGATTATTTCTTGCAGGCGCTTCGTGTGATGCCACTGCCGCCGCCCCCTGACCTGGCACTGAGGGGCATCATGATTGGGGACGGTGGAGGAAAATACGTGCATCTCAATAGCGTGATTGACGTATTGGTGCGGCGCCGTCTTTGCCTGCCTCAGTTCCCATATCGCCTGCCAAGTCAAGTCGTAGTTGGAGTCTTTGGGGTTCGCATTTTGGAGTCGACTCTTCGCGTGGCTGGGGGTCTGCACAGGTGATTCGATGAATGCCCCAGAGACGGCCGATCCAGAAGTCCGGGACCGAACCTCATGGTCAAAATTAAATTCGGGTAAATTCACTGGCTGTGTGTGCGAAAATTTGTGTCGTGAATGCCGCGCCTCGGTCGTGCGGCCGAAGTGCCCTGAAGAAACGGCTTGGGTGGTTGCATTTGGGCCCCATTACAGGGGTTTACGGGAGTCTTGGCCAGGTTTTGGCTATCTCATCGGAGCCTGGTTTCTGCTGCCGCTGGCCCCGTGCCGTTGAAGGCAGACCTGAGGCGTAGCCGGGCAAAGCATGCATGTTTTATCACCACAAAGGCCGACTTTCAACAGTTGAGTTGGTCAGGACCAGAAGCTAAACAAGGGTTCTCATAGATGGCCCCTCCACGGAGAGAACATGTGCAAAGACGTGATTTACGTAACCTGAAGATACAGCATGCCTGCCCCGGAAGGTGCGACCGTCTGGATACATGGCAGCCCCTGCAACTGCATGTACATGTACATCCGTGAAGGCGAGGACAGAGTCGAAAAGACCATTGATAATTTACCAGGTAAGGCCTTCCTTCAATCCCACCCCAGGCATCCCCCATCCCCCACAAGACTCTATATGCATCAAGTTCGGTCTTATCCCCATTCCAATCTTTATCCATTCCAATATTTCTCCATCCATCCTAGGGTTACCAAGCAGCCCCCACCATCTATCAAAAATCCCTGACTGCGAACAGTGCCAGTGGCTCCGACGCGCCGCCGTGCAGGCCCTAAAGAGGGGTAATCTCATTCGGGGAGGTCATACGTACATAGGTACGTAGTAATAAACCAGAAAATAACAAAACAAGCAGAATCAACTCCTGCCAGAAATGACATCTACTGCTACGTGGGGTTGTGACAGTCCTGGGCAGTAACCATTGCGCGACCTACCTGATCACGGTTGTCCTAATTATTTCTTGGCTACGCTTTTTTGGCTGGGCGGGTGGGAAAGGGAGTTGCTTTGGTCCACACTCAACACGCCACAGGCTGCAGCTTGTCTTCAAAGACAGCGGTGCTCCTCTGCAGAATCTGACTTGTCGTCGCGTGGCAGACGGCACGGCAGCGGTGCCGAGAAGAGGCAACCAGCAGCTCAACGGCACATGTCTGTCCAAATCGAGGCATCCCATCCGTGACAAGCCCCTCCCCCCCCCACCGTTTGGCCGCCCCGGATATGCTGGATGCCGGGCCTCCTCATACATTCGTCGTGACGGAATTGAGATTCAAGCTTGGTGTGGATGGCGTCGAATAGTGCTTTGGCGCAGGCCTGCTGCGAGTGCGAGTGTGCCATGGCTGGCTGCGCCGCATCTCAGCATGATTCGAGCAACCCATTACTGGTTTCTAGTTTTGTTTTGGAACATTCTCCGTCGTGCATCTGCTCCCACGCCTCTGGCTTGCCCCGACTCGGAGTGACACAGCAATTTGTGCTAATTAATAATTCCCTACCTTGCCTAGGCATTGGTTCCTGCTGGTGCCGCAGTCGTGTCCACTGGCCACTTTGACCACCGCTTCGTGGCCGAACCACCCCAGAATCCGGCGGGTGTCGATGCCCAAGTCATGGATTCGAGCTGGATAAAGCTTATATACCGGCAGTCCTACCCGTGCTGTGAATCCTGGCCAGTTTGGACGTTCCTGGTCCTCCAAATATCGGATATCTATTCTCCTGATTTTTGCTTTTGAGCTGCCCCCGAGACACCGTTGTCGTTGCTCAGTCACCCATCATGTGGTATCTGGGTAGCATGCCCATAGTGGAGCGCAATCATGGCATGGTCTTTGCGCTCTTCTTCTTTACTGCCCTTGCGCTTGTCATTGTTAGTCTTAGGATATTTACCAGAGCTTTTGTCGTGAAGCGTGTCGGACCTGACGACTACGTCATAGTCCTAGTAATGGTGAGCAGACCATTTGATAGCAGAAGTTGGCTCGGAATTTTCTTGCTAACTGTTACTTGTTCGCAGCTGGGACTTGTTGCATATCTCACTGCTTGCATGTACCGTACGTGCTGCGACGGCCAGCCCCTTCGTTTCAGACCCATCTCTCCTGACAATCCCTCAAGAAGTGCATTACGGGTTGGGCGACGCTGTCCGTCTCGACCAGATCAAAGACTTTCTCAAGTCGCTCTACGTGACCATTGTGTTATACAATGCGAACCAGCTGCTGGTCAAGCTCTCACTGGTGCTCCAATACCAGCGAGTCTTCCAGACGCCCGACAACCGCCGCTTCTTTGTGGGCCTCCTCATTCTCCTGGCCATATACGCCGTCGTTGCGGAGACCCTCACTGTCTTTACGTGCTGGCCCATCCCGGCATATTGGGACGACTCTGTTCCTGGCGGGCGGTGTCTCACTCGCAGTACTCTCCACTATAGTCTTGCAGGGTTAAATATTGTCATCGACTTTGCTATCCTCCTTGTTCCGATACCGTTTCTAAAGAGGCTACATATCGCGGCAAGGCTCAGGGCGATATTGCTTGGTGTCTTCACATGTGGCGCTTTGTGAGTGACCATCCCTTTTCCCCTTCCCGCCTCTTGATTACTTGATTGGGGGTGGGGGTTGAGTTGGACGACAACAACCTGACAAAGCATGTTGTAGTTCATGTATCGTGTCAATTGTGCGACTAAAGTCACTGAAGGATAACTTCTCTGGCCCCATTGACCAGCAACCAAGTAAGCAGAGCCGAGTCCTTGCCCAGTGCGTATTAACCATTGACGTCTTTACTCACCACACCCCGGACGCAGTTATCGGCGTCGACATTGTGCTCTGGTCCGGTCTCGAGACATCAGTGGCCACCATCTGTGCCTCGGTTCCCGCGCTGCAGGCCCTGCTTGTCAGGTTCTTCCCATCGTTCCGGTCCACCACACTCGGCACTGGCTCTGGAGGCACCCCGCGCCGTTCACGCAACCGAGTTCCGTCAATGTTGACGCCATTGCAATTTGTCCGCAAGCCACGGGATGGCATGGGATCGAGAGCGCAGGATTACGATACTCTGGATGACATGTCCAAGCTCGCCATTAGCGTGCGTAAGTCAATTGAACTACAACGAGGGTCGATTCCGCGATCTGGCAACGAGAGCGTGAGCCACCTGGTTGGCGCCAACTCGGGGTGGAGGGCGGATTGCTATTCTGAGATGGAGGCCGGCACGTTGGGCAACACTACAAGCAATGACAGCCGCGGACAGGAGAAGTCAACCCAGGTTGTCGCAATTTCACGGGCCAGCAGCGATCACTCATACACAGCTCGAGGGTAGTTGATTACCTTAGTATTCATCCTAGTAATAATTAATCTCAGAAGTCTTGTATACAGACTCTGAGCCTCTGGAACTCTGAGCAGTAGCCAAAAGCAGTGCCAGCGTCCTCGGTTACCACCATCAATTTATGCCAACGTCCTCGGTTGCCACCATCAATTTGTGCCAAAGTCCTCGGTTACCACCATATTTGTGCCACTGCCCGCCATTGCGGCCACCAGGCGGGCGGAAAACTCGGAGAAGACCGCAGAATCCACCCACTCGGACACTCGTGTGATCTTTGTTCCGTCGTCGGTGAAGTGGAGAACGAGCATGTAATCGATCGAGTACGGGCCAACCGGGGTGTCGGCATAGCTGTGTGCCGAGATGACAATCTTGTTGGCACCGGTGTCCTCAAGTATCTCCTCCACAGCGAGATGATAGTTGCGGAGCAAGTTTTTGATGCGCTCGAAGTGTTTCTCGTAAGCCTCATTGTTCATGGAAGGCCGATTGAGTGATTCTTGTGAGATATGGTAATTAGCGCCGGATAGGATGAGAGGGTACACCATCAGGGGGGTGAGAAGGGGTGAGAAGGGGTGAGAAATTACTGGGAAGAATCTGTTGTTCGCAATTCGGCGCGCGGACTGCCATGATCCTGGAGATGTCCCAAGCATTGACGGCGTCGATAGCGGCGAGGGCCGTCTGGCGGCGCGTGGAAGCCATGATCGTGCCCAACGTATGTAGTTAATATGTCGGTGCGCGGGGCAAAATGGGGACTAATCAGAATAATAGTAAGATATATGAACCTAACAGCCATGGACACGTGAAGGGATGTTGATGGTGGCGGCAGAGCCCTGAATAAACACATTCCTCCTCGCTGAGCAGCTGATGATGATAGCTGGCGAGAGGAGAAATGTATGTCGATGGAGAGGTGACCACCAACACCGCACGCATCAGTCGCAACGAGGGGAGCGCTTCACATCGGGAGATAGGTGATTGGGAAAGTGTGGGGGAAGCTAAGTTGCTTACCGGCAAAGGCGACAAGGGTTGACACAAAGCACCCAAATGGAAACAGGCAAGGGCGAAGATGAGCACCGAGGGTGGAGTGCCAGCCGAGCTTGAATTGCGCGAGGAGAAAGATGGATGCAGTGGTGAATGAGGAAGGTGTAGAGCTTAAGGGCAGTTTCCGTAGTTGAGAGCTGGTGATAATGACGAGTGGAGACTCGGCGCAAACTTTTCTCGAGGCTGCGAGGAAGGAGTGACGTTGCACGGAGAGATTGGGCTGCAGTGCTGGAGTTTGTACATGCCCTGAGCATCACGCTATTGTGTTGGCCAAACAAGAACAGAGCCCTGGTTCTAACAGTGGATGGACTGGACCGAAACAAACTGCTTGTTCACAGACCGGGTTCGCGCCAAGACCGAAGAAGCTATACCAAATCGGATTACGCTCTCCTCCAGCCTCCTAGTCCATCTCGCTCTCGGTTCCTGCCCTGGATGTTTCTGCATTGGTTGCACGCTGCTTCCCTTTCCAGATGTTGCCATGCACTTGGATGTTACGCAAGATTCGTAGATCCGTGGCTCCTTCCTGTGTTGGAATAGAGGAAGGCACGATGGGGGAGAGAGACAGTGTAAACCCCCCCTCAATTTTTTTTTGAGCTCCAGATTTGTCCAAGTCATTTCTTAGGTCAACCTGGTGCATTCTATTCCATCCTTGTTCTTTTTTAATTCCCATATTCTGCGCCGCCAAATCGTCAGACCAGAGACCTTTCCATCAATCGATCACCACAACAGCTTCGAGGTCTCAATTCCGCCACCGAATAGGATGCCGCGCCCCAGCTGGTGGCGACCTCCCCGACATGAGGATGATATCTACTTCCTCATAATCTGTCCAAGCCCCAACGCATCCATCGCAGATGTCCACCGCTAGATGTGGGAGATTCTTTACAGGGATTGTCAAGCGATGACTTACAGATGGGTACGCAAAATAAAACCGGTCGCGGAACGGGTGGGATGGGACGGTTACGCGCTTCATTCGGCCAGTGAGCTGAAAATGCGGTCCTGTCTCTACTGCGTTACTCGTGACAAGGAGGAGTGCCATGAGATGGTTGGCTACATCCGTGGAGTACTCTCGGTAAGCTGGCGTTAAACCGCCTGTTCAGAAGAGGGAACGGCTCACCAGATATTCGTTCAGAAAGCGCGCAGGTTGCAGCCCAAATAGGAGACGGAACTTCAACGCCTCATGTCGCTCGAGAAAGAGTCTCAGCGAATATGGTTCGGGAGAGGGCGGCTCAAGGAGGTGAGCCACGGGCGCGCCCACTACGATGTCAGATGCGGGTCGTGATTGCAAAGCCAAAGGGTCTAATAATTTCTTTGGCAATTATGGCGGCCGCCATGTGGGTTCGCCTTACGGTTCGAGTGCCGTTTGTCTCACGTCATCTGTGTTGGCAACCCAAAGCCTGACGCGATTGCAACATATCCCGGTCCTGTGCAGTCGCAGAGTCGGAGGCAACTCAGAGGTCCATGTGGATGGCTGAACACGACGGACTGTTCGGGAGCAAGCGATGGGTACGGTGCCGGGCAAGAATTGATAGTGGGGACGAGCGTAATATGCCCAACCTGGCTCAACCTGGCCCTGACAGTGTGTCAGAGATTTGAACTTTTTGTTTGTTCTTTTACTTTTTTTTTTTTTTTTTCGCTTCCTTGTTTTGTTTTGGTAGCATCACCGACAGCATCATTCCGTTTGCCTTGGCCCTCAGCCTGGGCCAGGATGGGCATCAGCAGGCACTGACGAGAGCGAATCGCAATTCGGCAGCTTATGGCAATTGACATGGGCGGTGGCTGCGTCTTACCAAAATCCGTCCTAATCAAGCTTCATTCCCGTCCACGTCCAGTGACATGGGCGCGATTTCTCCATCAAGGTTCGGCGCAACGAGATCAACGTGGGGCTGGTGCGTGGAGCGGGAAACAATGCATCGGTTTCCCGGTCCGGCCGTGGACTACTTACGCGTTGACGCGTTGGTTGTGTCCGCGGCCCAGAACAGAGCCGGAATTAAGGTTGGCCCGAGCTCCAAAGCTCGAGGTTTGAGCCCTGACCAACCAACGTTCGCCACCACAGCCCCGTGGAAAAGGCCCCAAGCCACCCGGGACCTAGCAAAACCGGTCAGATTCTAAAATTAGGCCAAGCCCCACCTGCGCCAACGCTTCCGGCGCTGCCACGAATTTGAATTTCGGCAGGCCGTTTGCCCGAGAAACAGGGTCCAAGGTTGCCGTTGCCGCTGCCGGTCAGACGACAGACGAAGGCCGCGGACACCAACGGAAACGAGGCTAGTAGGCTTACCTGCCCAGTGCTAATGCTTTTGCATGTTTGTAGGCCTGGCCTGGGCTTTGTTGGATGTGTATAAGTAAATCCGTCTCCCGAACTGCCAAGAAGGAAAGAAAAGCCACCAACTCACGCACAAAAACACTTCGCCATCCATCCATCCATCCATTCATCATCATCATCATCCGGTTGCAACGTCCACTCGATCGACCGACCCACTTAACCAGTCCACGACATTATATCCAAATACTAATACTATTTTTCTTTCTGTTCTTTTCATCAAGTAACTCACATCCGCAATGCATTTCCTTACTGCCGCTGTTGCCGCGACGGCCAGTCTTGGCGGTCTTGGATTGGTGGCGGCCGCCCCCTTCAGCGTCCCGTCGGCGAATGGGTTCCCCAACCCTAACCCTGATCAGCTCAAGGCCATCCAGAACCAGGCCGACGGCACTCTCTCGAATGCCCCGCCGCCGGCCAAAATCTCCGACAAGAGTATCCCGATTTTCCAGTTGGTCAAGATCAATGAGGATTTCGAGTCTGCCTACTTCTACTCGGTGATACAGAACATCACAAACAAGGTCCCCGGCTTCGAGGTTGCATCAAAAGACAAGGAGGACGAGTTGCTCGACATTCTCGGCACGGTCCTGGCAGTACGTTTTTCTCTATTGTTTTCTTTTATTATCCCCCCTCGGCTTTCTTTCTCTTCTTTTGGCTTGCTTGTACACCTGTAAATGAACCCTGCTAATGTATTGTCCGGTGCACAGCAAGAGGAGCTCCATTCCATCAACGCCGCCAACACGCTCAAGAAGTTCAACGCCTTTGTACCTGGGCCGTGCAAGTACCAATTCCCCACAACCAACCTCCGCGACGCCGTCAGACTTGCCGATACCTTCACCGACCTTGTTCTGGGAACCCTGCAGGACGCCAGCCAAGGTCTCGCCATCAACGGCGACAACGGCGCGGTGCGCGGTGTCGCCAGCACCATTGGCCAGGAGGGCCAGCAGTCGGGCTTCTACCGGAGCCTGCTGTCCAAGAAGCCGTCCGAGAAGCCCTTCTTGACCACCAGCGTCGGCCCCTTCGCCCTGTCCGCCCTGCAGCAGTTCATCGTGCCCGGCTCGTGCCCCTTCCAGATGAGCCAGATCGGCCTGCCCATTTTCCCCGTCCTCAATGTCCTGTCTGGCGACGGCGGCCGCACCGTCGAGCCCAAGGACCAGACCCTGAGCTTCTCGGCCGACCTCTCCGGCAGCTCGGTTCTCAGCAAGATCATCAACGGCAACGGTGCCGACCTGACTGTTGTCTACTTTTCCGGCCAGCTCGTCCCCATCAAGACCCCCCTCACCAACGTCCGCTGGAGCGGCAACGTCATCACCTTCGACGCCAACTTCCCCTTCACCGAAAACGTCATGTCCGGACTGACGGTTGCATCGCTGGCCATTGACGGCGTCTTTGTTGTTCCAGGCGACGTCGTCGGTCAGACACTCGCTGCCCCGGGCCTGATCCAGGCCGACGACTTTGTCAAGTCGTGGGATGGTCTCTGAGACATTTCGCCCTTTGTTACTCTGTTGTTCAATGACATAACCTTTTGCATGCTGCATGTAATTACGGGTAGTAGGTGGCTGTGCGCTATGGAGCATTTGACTGGCGTTTTGCATCTAATTGGCTTCAGCGGTGGCATTTTTTTCGGTGTTCTTTGTTTGTGTTCTTTGTGGGGTTTCATTCGGGCCGGGACAAAGGGCCGAGGGCGACGGCACAACTGACGGGCAGATAGTTAAGGGCTAATTATTAGAAGGTATAAGGCGCTGTGGCGACTTGATATTTTAAAGCCTGATATTAGTAACTTTCTAATAATACCTAAAAAATAGTTCCGCATCTGCCCAGTAAGTGAACACGAAAATGTTGTATTCTCTACTCCGGAAACCTTTATGCTGATCAACTTCGTCAACTTGGTGATATCATGACTAGACTTACAAATAGACGGCATGCCACCGTAGGAACGATTGAAGGCTCCGGATCACAGTTTTCTCTCAGCCTGATGTTTCTTTGTGTTTTTAATGTTACTGTTACTATTTGTAACCTCCGAGTGTCGAGTAACAGACGTAAGAAATAGCCTCGAGCAATCAACACAACCAAATGATAAATATCATAGTAGTTTGTTTCGTATACATCTCATTCCGCGCAATAGATGCGGGAAAGCAAGAGCGGGCCGAGTGACTCGGTCTTGTCTCATATCGTCCAATGTCGTGATCAAAAATGCGAAGAAGAGTTCAAGGAGAACAGCTCGCTGTGGACCTGCCGCACCCTGACGTTTACTTGGCGCTCTCCAGTGATATCCTATTTGCCCCCTTAATGATGTTCCACTTTGCCCCAGTAACACAACGATTCCATCAGGCTTTGCTGTCATTCATGTACCAACCATTTCGCATGATCCAGGCCACAAGAGGAGCCTAACTGACCTGGGTGATCTTATCCCCGTCGATTCTCATGCGGCGCGTCTTCGCACCGGTAGCAGCACGAGGCGCGGGTGCCGGGCCGGCAGCAGCACGCTTCTTGACCGGCGGCGCAGACGTGTGCGTGTCCCAGTACTCGTCGAGCTTGGTGAAGACCTCGTCCACATTGTTGTAGGGCTGCAGGCTTGCCATGAACTGCACCTTCTGGGTGATGGCGGTGGACGTGAACTTGGCCGCCGTCACTGCCTCGGCCCGCCACCGGCCCTCCATGGGGTCGCGAAACGCTGTCTCGGTGTACCCCAGGTCCAGCAGCGCCGTGACGTTGAACGCGGCCATCATCTCGTGCTACAGAGATATATACGGTCAGCAGGGCTTTTCTCTTCTTGTATTTCATGTCAGCGGGAGGGCTCACATCTTCGTGGATCAAGTTGTGGCAATGGAACATGTAGACGCCGTCCCACGGGGCGTAGTGGGCCTCGACTTTGACCGTCTCGCCGGGGGCAAGCCAGACAACGTCCTTGAGGCCGGCGGCCTCGTAGGGCAAGACGGAGCGGCCGTCGTCGTTGGAGCGGTAGATGACGTGGAAGTCGATCAGGTGGATGTGGATGGGGTGGCTCCAGCCGCCGCCGCCGTTCTCGAGTTCCCAGACCTCGACGGTGCCGCGCGGCACGTTGGCCAGCACGCGGTGCGCCACGTCGTTGAAGCCGACGCCGTTGATGAGCCACTCACCGTTGCTGCGTGCAAACTCAAAGTGGTGGTCGACGGTCGTTGGCGGCGGCGACGGCGGGAAGTCGGGGTGCCCGAGCACTGCCGGCACGGTGCTCGTGTCGACGACAGCTGTCGGAGACACGACGAAGCGCATCACCTTGTCCGTGTTTAGGTAGTCGGTGTCGGCGGCAATGTCGTTCGTGTTGCGCAGCGTAATGTTCTGACCGGCAAACGACGTGAAGTCAAAGACGATCTCGTAGCGCTCGGCCATACTGATGTACAGCTTATCAACCGTCTGCGGGCCCGTCAGCAGGCCGGCGTCGGACGCGATGACCTGGAACGGGATCTTGGCCGATGATCCCGTCGACCGCTGGAAGTAGAGCAGGAAGGACCGCGAGATGGCCGCGTCGAGGAAGCGGAGCCGGTACTTGCGCGGCTCTACCGCCAGGTAAGGCCATGGCTGCCCGTTGACGTGGATCACGTCGCCGTACAGAGACGTCGTTTCCTGGGCGGGGCTGAAGAGAGTGCCGTCGTTGTTGTACTGTTTGGCTGACAGGACGAGCGGTATGTCGTAGACTCCATAGCCCGACGGCAGACCAAGACTGTCCTCTGCCGGGTCGTGCAGGATGTAGGCGCCGGCTTGGCCTGGAATTGTGTTCCTGTTGTCAGCTTACTGGTTCCTTATAGCACCGATGATTGGCTGGCTCATACCAAAGTAGGCATTCTCGGCCGTCTATGAAAGAGTTAGCCCCCCATCCGCTCTTTGGCCGCTAGAATGGCTCGGCCTGCTCTGGCTGGAGTTCTTACATGATCGATGGCGTGGTCATGGTACCACAGAAAGCGGGCCGGTTGACTGTTGGGGTAGTAATAGTCTTTGAACTGGCCTGGCTGCGTTACATCCTCGGCCCAGCCGTCCCATGGCGTACGCTAAACACGAAAGTGATTCCATACCACGTCAGCCGAGGAGCTTTGGAGAGCGGGGGGGGGGGGGGAGGGGGTGCGGCTTCTTTTTGGAGAACCGTGAACTTACCGAGTATGAGCCATGGAGATGGACTGAGTTGGCCATGGTTGCGTTGTTGATGAAGCGCACCACGGCTTCGCGGCCACGCTGCATCAGAAAGGTTGGCCCAGGAGAAATGCCATCGTAGCCTATGAGTGTAGCGTCCCCCTTGTTGGGGTAGACGCGTTGAGTGAAGCTCTTGATGTAGATCTCATAGTAATCAATGGGATTGTTGGTCACTGGGTTGGTGATGGTTCTGCGATTGGCAATACGTAAGATACCCGTGCACTGAAACTCGAGACTCTGAAAGAAAGAGCACTTACGCGGTGGGAGTCTTGATGGGAGGGATGGGGAGCGGGAACTGATACAGGTAGTTGTAGACCGGGCTCTCCCAGTCCTTCCTGGCCACCAGCTTTGGGGAGGAGCTGTCAGATGCCACTCTTGCTAGAACAGCCGGCGCTGCTGCCACAACGAGAGCCGTCAGATGGGCCAAGATGGATGAGACCATGGTGTCGAGGATTTGCACTGGCGGAAGCCCGAGCACGAACCAATGTCAGAGAAGAGGACTACGGTTCGAGTCTGCTGGAGCAGTATCACCAAATGAGTCAGGCAGCAGTGAACCGGTCTCACGGGCTCGTATATATACTCGCAACTCAGCCAAGGGCTAGACATGGCGCTAACATCTTCCTTTTCAATCACGGCTCCCTATTGGCCACGAGATGAGAGTAAGAAGGTGTCTTTGCTTGGCTAGTGAACTATACTGAGTCGTGCCGTCGGTGGCGGTGCGGCTGCTTGGGCATTAGCGTTGCAGTTGGTATCTACCGTCTTGAGTGTCTAAACTCTACATCACGGTCCATTTGAGCCCTAACTGGCCAAGACGGCTCGCGTCCAATTGCCGGCCGGGACGAGTGCTTAGAGTAGCAGAATCGGCACAACCTTCCCTCTGGACAGAGTGGAACGGGTTGAGAAGTGCATGGAAATGTGGAACTATTGGTGATATTGCTGTGAAAGGATTGCATCTGAGGTGGTGCACGATAGTCACAAGTGAGAGTGGCGATGGTACAGAAGAGGAGAAGTGGGTGTGTTGTGTGTGTTTATTGACTACCCAGGACCCACGGGGTTCCATTGCCAAGATATTGTCGATGTGTCGGTGACTGAGAGTCGGCGACATATCCACATTGGTCCGAACTCCCCAATGGCGCCTGCAGAATCCTTTTGACCTTGCACTGGTGATGACCCAACAGTCCAGCCCATCAGTAAGCCTTTTAGCATACCATCGTGTGCGTGAAGTGGCAAGTGCCGTGAGTGTTGATTTAGCTGCATCTGGATCAGGGACGGGGGGGGGGGATGCCACACTTGAGAGAAAGGGTCAGCGTCGCCCATGACCTCTGTTGCGCCATGGCTGAGAGGCTAACCTGCGGCATTGATCTAGGTAAGAGGGTGAGGAGGCTGTTTTACTTCTTGCCACCAGGCTGGTGGCTGCGTGAGGGCTGGTGGCTGCGTGAGGGTGGTGGCTGCGTGAGGGTGGTGGCTGCGTGAGGGCTAGTTTCGTGCATTCTCTCTCTAGGTGTAGCAGGTGGCTATTGTGTAATTATTTCACAAGTGGAGCGTGCTGAAATCGGAGGAATTATGCCCATCCCCCTGGACAGATTGGGCTGGGCCCCCAAGTGGGACTTTTACGATCAAAGTAGAGTCTAGTTAGTCCGGGGCACGTGTCCGGGGGCATGGACGTGCATACCGGCCAGGATGTGTCAGCTTGCTGTCAGGCAGTCAGAGTAAATAAGCGCCAACCAAGAACGGGGGTGGTGGTTTCCCGCCTTGGCCCCCTGTCCTGATTCTTATCCTAATAGACCACAGACTGGGGAACCTGAGACACAGACTAGAGGGACCTCGAGGCTAATGTGGGCACAGGACCCGAGGAGCAGGAGGAATGGAAGGGATGATAAGGGGCAGGCAGGGGCACGTGGCAGTGTTTTCTTGCCGTCCTTGCTATAAGCAATGACCCGAGAATGCGTAAGGTGGCGTTGGGTTGCGTCGGCGACCACATGACCAATGGGGTCGCAGATGCAGCTCCAAGAAGAAAGCATAGCATAGTACATGGCCGTGGTGGGGGGGTTCCAGCGGCACGAAATCCTTGGCGTTGGGTTCAAGGTCTAATCAGAGGTGTGTGGGAATTGTGCGTCAGGCTCCCGCAGCGTGCATGTGCTTGTCCGTTCGGAACTTTGATGTATGGGGCGCACCCTCCATGGCCAGACAGTCGGAACCTCGTCGCGTATCAAGTCAGGTAATTATCACGGCCGAACGGCCGGGCCAACCAACTGCACGCGCCCGCGTTCGACGTCCCCGGCCCTCGCACAGCAAGCAGGTAGGTACGTAGGTCGTTCTGCCTACGGCCTTCGAGAACTAATAATCAACGGATGCAGAGTCTTCGAGGCTTTGGAGGCACGAGTTCAGTCTCGCTTATTATCGCGGAATTTGATCTAGAGGGTGAACCGGCGTGATAGCGTCGGGGCCTTGCAGGTACATGTATGTACGAAGTACGTACATGATAGATGGAGATGTACGACGAAGCCAGATGGAGCTGGTGCGGCCAGCAGGCGCGCCTGGGGCAGGTAATGGACGATTCAGGACAATGCCAAGGCCAAGCTGACCGAGCCCCCAGCACTACTACGGATGCACAGAGAGCACTACTACGGATGCACAGAGAGCACTACTACGGATGCACAGAGACCAGAAACGAAACGAAACTCGACGGTGCAAATAATTACCAACTATCGAACTCTTGGCGTGGTCCGGAAGGTGCGGAAAGGGACGGGAGCTTCGGAGGGCCTTGGCCACAAATCTGCCGAAAAACACCGACACATGGGTTTGTCTAGGTCTCTGGGCAATGGCGGTGTACATAGTGACGCTATCTTGCAGTCGGGGGAAGAGGGTGAACGGGAGGGGGAAGGTTAACTTCTAGGCACACAACATAGCACTGGTGCTCGCATGCGCTACTCCGTGTTATGCCTGGGCTTTTTGCTTGGCCTTTTCTTGGCTTTGTCTTGGCTTTGTCTTGGCTCTGTTGCTCAGGCCCTGAGGATCCGAGGTATTTTGCTTGGCGGTAGCAGTATGGCCAATAGCGCCCTTTTCAACCAGTCGGGGACTGTTGCGGCCCCATGGGGCCTCGTAACTGACCCCCTTGCCCCATGCAAACCCAGAATTCCATCCCTTACAGTACATGGCACCCTTACAGGGCATGGCACCCTTCAGTACATGGCACCCTTACAGTACATGGCACCCTTACAGTACATGGCACTACTGCGTATGTATGATGTGAGTTCTGTGCTTCCAAACGTACGCATTCCTCGCCGGCGCGTTCTGACCCTCAGGTAGGAGGAGGCTGGAGTTGGCGGGTGGTAAGCACGCCTACGAACAAGCCCCCCATCTGTCGATCGCGCTGCAGGCTGAGTCTCGTTGGTTTGGTCGGGGCCCTGGATAATTAGGAGGTACCTAGTCACCGTACCTTGGTCTGAACACTGAACAACACCGGCCATAAAGTTATAGCGGCTTCGTGATGCCTATCGATTCCATATAGTGGTTTCAGATAGTGGATTCATCGGAAAGTCCCGCCCTGTGGATCGTCTGTCGTTGACTTTCATCTCGGAGGACCACAGGCAAATCCACGTGCATGTGCGGTATACTACTAATCATCTAGTCATCAAGCCAGAACTAGACGGTATCTGCGCAAGTCCCCCCCTTAACTAGTCAAGCAAAAGCGGCAAGTCATGGCTTTTGTTAGTGAGCCCCAATTCGGAGCTTGGCCTGCCCGCACACCCCTGTCCGTCTCCGCTCGACTAGGGAGAAGGGAGCGGGTTGGTGCGACGTGCCGTCCCGGACGGGCGAAGGTCGGAGAGGGGATGGCCCCTGTGCGTTGGGTAGTGCACACACACTAGTGTAAGGTAGGAAGACCGCACATATATACGAAGCAGTCTGTATGTACATGTACCGCGATTCGTACCTTGATCCTCGCCCGGGTTTGGTTGTGTGCCGGGCTGCATCAGCGCATCTGTCTCGACCCCGGGAGCTCGAAGGAAGCCACTGTCCCCTCGTTTTTTGCGCTCTCCCGTGCAGAAGACGAATTTCGCAATATTTTGCCAAGATGGCAGCATCCTCCCTTCTGATTCTGCTGAGCACCACTCCCGAGAATGACCGGCTCTGCCCTGCCAAGCCAAGTGGCCAAGGCCTTGGCCTCGCGCCCTCAGTCTCCCCAGACCTTGGCAAAAGCCCACGTTCAACGCTGGTCCCGACAAATGTATTGCGTGCATTCGCTAATTGTGTTTTGCGCCAGATTCATCAACGTCTGCTGCGGCGCTGTACTAGTTCTGGCCTGTTGAGCCAGATCGATTCGGACAAAAAGAAATAGAGTTATCAGATGGTGTAATGTCACATCCAGGGTCCGGGCACTGCCCACGTGCCGCCCGTAGATTCTACAGCCAGTTCTAGATCTAGCCTGCCTAGCTAGGTGGTACCTACATACTCTAGTAAGGCAGGCACTCAGTCAGTGGGGCCAGAGACCAGTGTCTGCCGATCACACTCTTCCCTAGCTTCTCCTTGCCCTAACGCCCCTCAGCAGTCAGTGAAATGTCTCCCCCAGACCCTAGCCTACTTGCTAGCTGCCCTCTTCCGCCCGCCTGCGACCCTGCCACGACCATTACTAAATTTTCTGCCGCCTGACCACTCATGCAAAAGGAAGCTCGAACCAGGGAAGGTCCGCCCCATCGCTTCATGTCAACTTGCTGCCCTGGCGAGCGGGGAACAGGGGCCGCCACAGGCCGAAAGGGGATCATCTCCTCGGGGTTCTTACCTGTCTAGATGCCGTCTACAACCTCTACAGTCACCGCACAGCGGGACATGAGGGAGGCTAGGGTTATTATTAGCTGGGCGGGCCCTATCCGACATGGGTACGTACATGTACATCTAATACGTACCAACCACATCCGTACCAACCACATCCGTACCAACCACATCCGTACCTACGCCTCTTCTACTGCTCTGTGCTGTGCTGCCCAAGCGCGGTGTCACCGAGGGGGATTTGGGTGGGTGGCAAGTCACGCATCTCAAGGCTCTTCCGCGGACTTCGAGTTCCTCGACGGCTCCAGCCGCGTAAACTTGCCCTACCTGACATTATTGTTCGTGTGTGCTGTTGGTTCTTGGCTCGGTATCTTTTGTCCTGTCCCCCCCTACACGTTGATCATTAGGTCTAGACTCGGAGGAAGAGGGACAATCGCGTAGTTAATATTGCTCCATATTGTGCCTGGTCAAGGCTCCCGCCTACCCTAGCCACCGCCCTCTCAACTACCAGAGTATCATGCGCCTCGGTACAACCCGATATGCAACAAGGTAGCATGGGGCACTACAAGAGTCGGGCTTCCGATAGTAAGAGCAGACAAGACATATAAGCCTCTACTCTAGGTGAGTGCCAAGGTAAATATGTAACTATAGCTTCGTGTCGTTATGGCTAGGAATGATTACGGCGCAGGAAAATAATCAGAGAAACACGCCAACTAGAGAAGGTAGACAGTAGTCTCCGGACTCTGATCGGGGCCGTAATGAGCTGATGATTAATCTCACAATGAGTGCCGCAGTGAACCAGTGCAAGCCACATAAAAATCCCACACAGGATTATAGTACCGTGGCGGGGGTGTGCCAATGCTACTACTACTTGCCAGTTACGCCTTCAGCCATGCAGTGGCAATTTCCCAATCATGCGAGCCGTGTGCCGATTGCCGACTGGCCAGTGCGAAGCGGGGGCCTGATGAGACATGAACAAAACATGACTGCCTTACTGGCTGGAACATGCCGCATCTAGCAACAACAGCATTGGTAGAATAACAGCATTGGTAGAATAAAAGCCATGTGCTGTGCTGTGCTGTACCCTGTACATACATTCCAAGCTATTGGACTTGCAAGAGCACGCTCTTGTTGTTGAATGAGGCGCAACGCCACACGTTTTGGAGCTATAGAGCTTGCGCCCCGGATTTGTTTTTTGAGAAGACGGCCGAGTTACTGATGTGTGACGTCGTTGTGAGACATTTCGGGGAAGTGCATGGGTCCCTCCGCCCTCACCTCACACAATACGGCTTTGCCGCAGAGATACCTATCCAATCCCGCGGCGCGGGTACGTACACCACTACCACACAAGCGCAATTTAATTTGCATGTAAGACACATTTTACGAGGTTGACGGCGGTGCTTACTAGGAGGCGGCAGTTCAGCCTCTGAGAGTTAACACAAAACGTAATTGACTGCCAAGGATTCGGACTAGGCCTGCCAAGTGTTTTTCGACGATACGATACTACACATTTAAGATTAGATAGAGGGTCCATGCACACATTTACTGAGAAAGGGGAGCAATCCACGGACTAATTAGCCACTCACATACTGGTGTGCTGACTTCTGCACCTGCCTCGGCATGGCTCATCGCAACCATCCACCACTGTCGCGAGCCTGCAATTATATTATTGAGCGCGTGACGCGTCTAGGCTCGGTCCACCACTACCACCAGGGCAGTTAGGGACTCGTGAAGGCGGCAAGATCGTGTGGCTGACTCGGATCCGGGTTCTGTGGGGTAATTAATCAATCATACTGCATCTAGAAGTGCTCGGCTCGAACTGCCCTTCGAAATTGGGGCGTTATTCACCTTCGTGATGCAAGGCTTTCTCCAAATAGTACATAAACATCTTTGAAAGCCCTTCTCGTCTCAAGCAACTAAGCTTACTACACTCACTACCCTCAACTTCACCTTCCTTTGTGCTTTGACATTTAGTCGCCAGTCTCTCGTTTAACCAGTCTCGTTTAACCAGCCTCTCGTTTAACCAGTCTCTCGTTAACCAGCTTGCATCCCTTGGGGTGTCCAAGGCAGTCTTTTCTTTCATCAACCGTCTCGAGGACCAGTAGCCTATAATGCGTCTCCTTTTCTCACTCCTCCTCCTGGTGCTGGGGGTAATGGGGGTGGATATTCCCATTCTCCTCGACGGGGCTCTTGTCGAGTGTGTTGCCTCCTTTGATTTCTCCTTTGACACGGCTGAACTGACATTGCCATCTTCTTAGCGCCACCGCTACGGACGATTCGTACAACACAGGGGGTACGATTCTGGTCAACGGCTGGACTGTCCAGATTCCCAAGAACCTGCTCGTCACGTTCCCCGCGGCCTTTGTGCCGTGGAAGGAGTTTGTCGCAGGCAAAAGCTCTGTGCTCGGATATGAAGTCAACGTACCTACGCCAAGCCCAACCCACCGCAGGCCTGGATAGATTGCAAGGCTTTACTTTGCTAATCAGTTCCGACCTCACAGGTGGCTGGCAACATTGTCAACGGGGTGGCGTTGGCCGCCCAAGTCATCGTCTCCGAATTTGCTCTGGAAGTCAACCAGGGCTACATTGAGCAGATCAGCTTTGACGGCTCCATCAAGATCCTGAACGGGCCAACTATTCGCATCAACGACCCGAACGCCGTCTTTTCAGCCGGCTTCTCGCTGCCTTTCATGGTGTCTGACGACGTCAACCCCAGCATCACTTCCTTTTCGGGCTTCCCCATGTGTGTGCCGCGGTCGGTCAGTGACGTGCTCTGCCCAGACTCCAACAGGCCACGCGCACCGGGCACCGGGGCGCCGAGCAGGATATTGTAAGTGGCTTTGTACTTGCGTGTTCGGTGACTCCGCTTTATCGAAACAGGGGTGATTACTGGGTGTTGACTCGTGCGAAACAGCCAAGCGCCCGATGCGCTCTTCATGGCGCCATTCCTGGTAGGCGACTACATCGAGTATCACGGCTTCCGAGCCTCGACAGGCAACATGGTCGTGTTTGAAATCGTTGCGTGGAACGTGCAGATCACGACGACGGGCTCGCCCACGTACATCCGTATCGAGGAGGCGCTCATCGGCGTCTTCGACTCGGACCCCAACGTCGAGGTGGCCGAGACGCGCTTCGTCGGCTACACATCGGACCCAACCACGGTTATATCCCTCAGCGCCATCGACATCGACCCGTGCACCGGAGCCGAGTCGTTCCGCAATTTCGGTGTTCCGCAGCTGCGCCCAGAGGCTGGCGGCCGCAACAAGTGGATTGCCCGCTTCGACGGGACCGTGGCCACGGCCTACACGCGCGAGTACCGGGCCATTGCCAGTACCGGAACTGTCGTGACTCGCAACGGAATTGTAGCGGGCCAGTATGTGGTGCCGATCTTGGACTGGTAAGCTTTTTCCCGAAACGGGTTTGTTGGGGCGACTCGTTTGTTGCTTCATCCCGTTTCTCAGAAACCGGGGTACAAGGCTGGCTGACAGCGGCATTTCTGCAGGATCCAACCCGAGCTGCTGGTTCCAGGCAGTGAGCCTCCTATCAACGAGTATTCGCAGTTCTCGCAACTAACCCGCGGCGTCGGCCCGGATGAGGACGGCAACATGTTCGGCCCGCTCGACCCGTTCCCGCAGTCGGGGGTCGCCGTCTTCGACCTGTCGACCTGCCCTCCGCCGGGCAACCCTGCAGACCCGCAGTCGCCAACGCCGCGCGTCCAAGCTACCATCCCCATCTCGCTGACGGGGACCACGGCCACGGTGGCCGACAAGCCGCTGTACGTGCGCGCCGACGACACCTTCACGCTGCGCGGCTTCCAGGACAACCCCAGCACCGTATTCGCCAACGACACACTGGTCTGGAGCTGGTCCGTCGTGGCCGCGGGGTCGGCCGGCTCGCAGACCAACTTGGCCACCTTCACGCCCAGCGCCGACACCAAGTCGGTGGCCGTCAGGTTTGCCACGTCGGCTCCGACGGGCGACTACATCTTCCAGCTCTCCATCCGATCGGTCGGGCAGAACCGCACGGGCACGGCCACCTTCACGGTCAAGCTGTTTTCGGGGCCCGACACGGTCGCCGTCACGGCCGTGACGTGGACGAGCTCGCAGAGCGGCACCATCGGCGTGTCGTGCAGCAGCAACTACCTGGTCGACTACAGGATCGCCATGACCGTCACGTACCCGGCCGACGGCGGCACCACGACCACGCCCATGGCCGCCACCCCGCCCGGCAGCGGCAGCTGGGCCTTCTCGTCGCGCCGCGTCAACCGTCCTGGCACGGTTGTTTGCCGATCGTTGCTCGGTGGCCAGGCCACGGCGAATGGCCTTACAGCCAAGAAGCGGAGCGACGAGAAGGAGCTGCCAGCCCGCGTGCTGCGCTCGCGTGTTGCGGCGGCTCGTAGGTAGCTGAGCTGTATGTGATCAGCCGGGTGGCCGGGTGGCCGGGTGGCCGGGCTGACTGTTACTGGTATTGCGCTCCTTGCTCGTTTTCTTTTATTCTTATTTCTTGCTGCAAAACTTGGGGCTTCTTCTTTTTCTTCTTCTTCGCCCCCAAACTTTTTCTCTCTCTTCGCGTATTGTAATCTTGCAAGTAATTAAATGTATATGCCTGACTCATTTCTTGTGGCCCGTAATCAAAGTTGACAGTGGCTTGAAGGGTCTTGAATTGTCTGTCTGAATCCCATCCAATAATACAGGAAAAAAGGCCTTTTATGCTTCCAAGAAAAGGACAAAGGAAATCTGGTTCAACAGTCTGTTTAGTCGTACTACGTAAGGGACTCAGCCGTTGCAAGAGAGAAAAAGAGGACATTCGGAAGTCCGGGAGCCCGAAAATAGGGATCAGGGCTGAAAGTAACGAATGAAGGGATATGCAGGGATGTGACTTGACAATGTGGCTCAAAAGTGTCTCAAAAGTGGGCGACATTTCTCCATGGCCGCGGAAGTGGGCCTGGCACTTTGTCCTTATTTCTTGTCTCCTTATTTCTTATCTCCTTTGGAAAATTCTACCGATCTCCCGGGGGCCTCGTCTTCTTAAAGATCGGGTACCTAAGTACCTAGTCAGTTGGAAGGTTTGAAATTTGGCCGAAAAGCTAAAGGAGAACAAAATGTCCCTTTTCCTCTCTTCCTATATAAAATGTATATCGTTCGCCCTTTCCAACCACTACGGGCCTACTGTTAGCGGGACAATTGCATCGTAATTGCTTGGGTTTTGCTTTCTTGGTTTTTGCTTACATCTGATATCCTCTTTGCAATCTGTGCTCTCGGTACCTTCGGGTCCCCAAAGATGGGATCGACCGTGACGGCGGACGGTCTGAGTGCTTGCCTCCGTCGCGGGCCCGGGTCGTGGCGCTGTATTCCTTCGCTGATTATCCTTTCCAGCTCATCCATCTCAGGGCGGTCCGCCGGGTCGTCCATCATACATCTCACCACGAGATTGCGCAGTTCAAGATCCGTATCGGTGAAAACGTCAGGCGGAGCGTTGCGGGTGATGAATTTTCCGTACGTCCATCTCATCGGCCCGTGGCCCCCGTCTGGTACCACATTCTCTGGTATAGGCCCCGACGGCGGGACTCGGTGGCTGATTAGGCACCACATGACCTGGCCGAGCTGCCACAGGTTCGTCTTCCACGTGTATTGGCCGGCAATACGCGCCCCACTCGGGTGTGACTTGACGTAGTTCCACTCTGTCGAGAATTGTTCCTAAATAACGTGGTCAGTATGATCCCGACTCGCCCAGCGATTTGATAAAGGTACAGTTCGGCCCTGCAACACACGGCCCTGCAACACACGGCCCTGCAACACACGGCCCGGCAACACGGCCCTGCAACACAATCATTGAATATCATTACGGGGCAGTCTTACCGGAGTGAGCCAACCATCCTTGCCCCTCCTTCGAAAGTCCCACATGCTCTTCCTGGCGATTAAATGGACCATGGTTAGCCAAGATTCTGTATTTTCACTTCTCAGTGTTCGTTTTGGTCGCAGCAGATTCGAACCATTACGACAGACGGGAGCGTTCGACTTACGCCTTTCCAGCTACCGCGTTTGTAATTTCGACGCATAGACCGACATCGTTGAGCTTGAGGTTGGGCACACGTTAACAGCCAACTCTTATATCATCAATGTGCCTACTCGGGTAGCAATAATTGGCACACACCTTGAGGTTGGGCACAGTTTCGTGGTCACCATTGTCAAGATCTGCAATCATGACTAAATTGGAATAATGTAAGCCATATGCCGGGGGTGGGGGAAATGATCAAAGGTGACATGGAAGCATTCCCATCGTCGTTTAAGGAAACCTACTATTTGAGGGGTCTATATCAAAGTGGACGAAATTCCTTTCGTCTATATTCTGGTTCCTGGTTTGCTCCGGTCTCGACCGACCCCGAGGCGCGACTGGTGCGGGAATCCGCTCGTAATGGTTGTGATTGTGTTGACCAAACCCCGGCCATGCCTTTGGCGGGTATCGTAGGGCAACGGCCATCCGAAACACTAGAAATTATTCGTCCCGTAGATTAGCGGTCCGTCTCTTTATCCGCCCCGGTAGATCTGGCGGCTCCATTTTCCAGAGTGTCTGTCCACAACTACCTACCTACCGACCCCGCTAATTATCAACCAGAAAACGTGAAAAAGCGCAAACTTACAGCAATCGAACATCAGCCAAAGCGTGTAATCCGAGAGCGGCTGTCTAGCTTCGGCAACCTTTTCTAACACCTTGTCCAACCCGCCTCGTGGGTAATAGTCGAGAAACATGAAGTTTTGCGTCACGTCGTCGGGGGGTTCTGGCAGGTCTTTAGCTGCCTTTTCAAACATGCCCTCAGCTGTCTTGCTGATTTGGGCCACGTGCATGGCGCCTTCAAATTCCTAATTGCAAATATTGGGTCAGCAATGTCAAAGCCGCGCGGCCATGGGAGCTATGTTCACATGCTAACTCACTAGCAATTTCTCCTTCTCTGATCTCATATCGCCTTCCACAAAGCTCCATTTCACGACGCGTTTAATGATCCGCCCTCTAAATCGTCGCTTTCTCTTGAACAAGCACACCAGGCCAAAGCCTCCCCAGCCGAGGATCTTGATGATTTCCCACCCTTGGGCATCCAACGATCTGTGTATCTTCTTGGCTGTCGTGCCCGCGCTATGCCCACCGGCGGGGACTCCGTCTTGTGGTTCCGGAACCCATTTTCCGAAAAATGGCTCCCTGGGAGGCATGTCGTAGTCCGCCTGGAGGAGCCCTGGCCAGTCTCTTACGCTCCGCCCGCCCCCCACGAATGGGAGCTGGAATGCCGTGTAATATCGCGCGCGGGGTGCGGCTGCCCAGTGTACCGCCTTCCCTAGTCTCAGGAAGTTGAAATAATCCAAAGTCTGTTTCTTGCGTGTTTTGAACGGCGGTCGCACGGGATTTGCCATGGTGCTGGGAGAGGGCTTGAGTCCCCAGAAGCTAGCAAGGGAGAAGGTTGTCACTGATTATTGCTATGTACGAGGCAAGTAAGTGTATCGAGAAAACAATGAATTGCCCAGGTGCTTACCAGCTAACCTAGGTACCTTGGCCCACAACCACAAAGACTCCCAGTTTGTCGCTTTGTCTCGTAAATCCGCATCCGGCGATCTGGCTGCGAAGTTGACCAGAACCCGGACGATCTTGCTCGGATACCCCAGCAGTTGTTGCCTTTGATACATTTTTCAATGTTTCAGTAACAAAGAAATGAATCTTGATCAGGAACGAGGACTGTCCGCGCCCTTGGGGCCCTGCAGCTCGATTGCGTCAACGATGTAGTTGGCGCTCAGGAAATTAGCATCGCCCGACCCATACACGTCAACTGTCAGCGTGTTTGAGCCCTCGCGAAGCGTGCCAGCGGGCACTTTCCACGTGTATACTTCACCGTACCCGCGGTATGCCCCGCGTGTGACGCCACGAGAGTCAATCAGTTTCTGGAAGCAACGGGCTCTTTGTCAGCGGGGGTCGCAATAAATTCTATAGACACGGGGAGGTTGACGTACCGGCGCACCCGGGTCTCTGCCCTGCCAGGTATTGATCTTGACCGATGGCCGACCGCCCTTGAACGACAGCGTCGTGCCGACTCTCAGAACCGTCTCCACGGCAGCCTGGCCAGCTGAAACGCTGAAAGCGACCGTCGCAGCGCCCCCTTCCTTGGCGAATAGAGCCATGGGGAAGTCCTTGGGCGAGGAGCTCCCCACGGTATACTTTGCTCCCCAAGTCCCCATCCGCACGTCGGAAGGATGCATCCTCAAGAATTTGTCGCCATTCTTGAGCTCAAACGGCTGGCCGTCAAAGTCTCCAATGCGCCAGATAACCGACGGGCTGGGGTCCGAAGACGCAATGTCTGTTGTTGCCTTGCCACCGGCGGTGATGGTGACGCTGTCCTGGGCTACGGGGTACTCGCCGCGGTACATCTTCATCGTGTAGGTGCCCGGTTTCATAAGCGGAGAAGTGTATGCCCCACCCGAGGCCACTGTCCAGTACTGCGATGCATTGTTGTACCAGTGCAGCACCGTCTGGAAGTTTGCAGGGACGCCGGTTGCCTTGCCCGACACGCTCCCGCGTTTGCCGTTGGGCAAGTAGCCCTGGATCGATAGACTGTCGAAGAAGCTCGTGTCGAGATCGGCCGACGGCCTCTCCCCAGTGCTGTTCGCAGCTGTCAGGAAGAGATGATCACGGACGGCTGGGCGAGGAGAAGGCATAATTACGTGAACCGCATGGCATAGGGACCCATGAGACCAAACCGCCAGGGCTCTGTCCGCACATGTCCGCTGTTCATGTACCAGTACAGCTCCTGGTCATCACCGCTTTGGGAGTTGATATCTCTCATGAACGGGCCACCCGAAGACGTCTCGTACGCCACATCGGGCATGATTAGCCAGATGCCGATGTTCTGAGGTCGAGTCAGCCATAATTAGGCCATATACGTGCGTCAGAAAGCAGCGAGCTTTCTCTTACATTTCCAGTCACGCCGTGGACTTGGTCCTCGATGAACCGGTCGGCCGTGTACATCTTACAGCGGGTCTGGCCATTCGGGCACTTGAAAGTGTCTTTGCCTTCGAACGCGGTGCATCCGTCGAGATTGGCGACATCGCCATGCCATCCGTTTGGCACAGCGGACCGTTTCAGGCGTGCAAGCCACCGCAGCTCTCCCGGACTCACCTCGCCCGTGATATACGTCGCCATGTAGATGGTCGCGTCGTTTGGTTTTGCAATGTAGTACTGGGTCAGGGGCATCGATTTGGCCGTCACGGTGATCTTGACGTAGCCGTTGATCGTCTCGGTCGTGACTTGGGAGGCACCAATACCCGAGTTGATGGCAGTCATTTTGTTCGTTCCCTGGTACTGCACGCCGTTGAACTGCAGGTTGGTGATGTCGCCATTACTCCTGGACAACAACGGCGTGCATTAGTCTCGCACAGAAGATGTTGACCAAATGTTGCTGGGAAATCTGCATACTTGCTGACGTCAAACACCAGGCCCCCGTTTGTGTCGACGCTGTACGAGCTGGATTTTGAAGTGACACCAAATCCCGCATTAACAGCCCCTGCAGCCAAGGCGACAATCGCCGCTGGAACGATTGCGTGTCGCATTGTGATAGTGATGGCCAGATGCACCGAGTTCAAGAGTCGTGGCCAATTGAAACGATCCAGAGCACCTAAAAACTAGGCCGGCAGGTTCCTCACTTCACTTGACTACTACCCCAAGCGCCAGAAAAGAGAAGGGCATTGCGAATTTATCCTAGGGCATACGGATAATCTTTGTGGCTCACAATCTAATTACGGCGTTAATTACCAAGCGATGGAATGCTATTGGCGACGGAATGCTACTGGCGACGGAATGCTACTGGCGACGGGCTGCGTTTTCCCGCGAGTCGCCGTGCTGCGGGTATATCTGAGGCCAGCTAGGATTTCGTTCCCATTTATAACGGAGCCGTATTTCCGTTGTGAAACTGAAACTCGATAAAGGCAACAAGAAGAGATAGGACAATGTGGGCTCCAAAAACTTGGGCCCGTAGAGTTTCCCAAAAATGGATCAAGACCGGGACAAAACTATAAAGAGAAGCGTTCAATCGTGAAAAAACGAAAAAGAAAGACCGACCCACGTGCGGCTCGAACGCACAATCTTCTGAGAACTGGACCGAAATCAGATGCCTTACCATTTGGCCAGCGGGCCTTGTTTGATTGGCTGTAGTGGAGTGCTTTTCCTCTAGTATACCACGCGGGTAATAAGGGTGTGATCTTTTTCCCAGAAAACCACCCGGAAAGCTATCCCCGGTACGCGGCTATTAGAGCCACCCTCCTAGGGTATGGTACCCTCTACGAATTTAACCCCAATTCTTGTTGGCTTTCTAGAGTACGGGCGCTCTCGGTAAAGACCACACCAAAAAGAGGCCCAGAAAGATTCCGACCTATTTTGGCCCGGGAAAATTCTGGCTCCCGCACGAGCCACTTTTGCTCGCTTAAATTTTTTAGGCCAATAGAAAAGGGTGCACACCACGTGACTCTTTCCGAACTTTTCAAATCCCAGAATTCCTTAACAGAAAATGAAGAGTACAAGGTAAGAGTGACCTTGGTAAAAATATTAGCCCACTTTCTTCGAGGTACCGTACCGTCATTTCTGGCGCTAGCCTTCCGAGCCTCTTTCTGGGAAAAAGATCAGACCCTAAGCTCCAACACCCAAGGTCGGTGACGGCTGTACTCCACTACTGCTACTGCGCAGTCACGGGTCTACTCCACTACTGCTACTGCGCAGTCACGAGTCTACTCCACTACTGCCAACTGCCACTGCGCGCGCCTTGACGCCCGTCAGTCTATCTCCGTGTTACGGAGACGCTCATAGTGCAACGCAACGAATTAGACGGTGAGAGCTTTAGAATGCCTTGATGCTGTAGTCTAGATGCTGTAATCTAGATGCTGTAGTCTAGATTCAGAGCACCTGTTTCTTAAATATGGCCTTTTGGTGGTTTAAGGTCTAGAAAACCACTGCCTCGAGTAATGGGAGGAGGGTACTTTGACGCTGAATTACTCAAAGTCAGGCACCGACGCTGAATTGCTCAAAGTCAGGCACCGACGCTGAATTGCTCAAAGTCAGGCACCGACGCTGAATTGCCCAAAGTCAGGCACCGGGGTTCAATCACGACTACGAGCGTGCACAATACCGTGTCTTGATATCCACTCCGTGATGATACGTGGCCAATTTTGTGAGCATAAACTATGGGGAAATGGTATCGTGGTGCTCAGAGACACCACCGAAAGTCTGGGGAGGCCGGCCCGTCTCTCAGCTTCTCGGTCGGCACGTCTATTGGGTTCACCTTGACGCCCTGCTTCCTGTCTCTCAGCTTGTTGTCGGTGATCATGTATGCGCCAAACAGCAGGGTCAGCACCAGCCCCAGGCCCCCGAACGCGGCCGTCGTGGCCAGGGCGGGCAGGTAGCGTGGGGCGTCCTGGTTCCGGAAGATGTTGGAGCTGACGACGCCCATCATGTTGGCCACGGGCACGCCGATGCTGGTAAGCACGACGCGCTTGCCCTCGTGGGCAATGTTGTTGTTGTACAGCACGTCGAGCAGCACGCTGGGCGCCGAAGTGCCCCAGGTCATCATGAAGCTGGCGAAGTAGGCCACCTGCAGCTCCGACGACACGTCAATGGCGGCGTAGATGACCATGCCGATAAACGTAAACAGGAAGCCCAGCGCGACGAACGGGAACCGCAGCCGCGTCCCGTCGCTCGCAAACGCCAGAATCAGCAGCATGACGGCGCCCGACACGTTGGGCGCTACGGTATACAGGTTGGTCTTGGCCGTGTCGTAGCCGAGCCGCCCGACGATCTGGGGCAGGAACAGCGTCACGCTCTGCAGCGGCACGCCGAGACACATTTGGATGGCCAGGATGAGCCACGACGTCGGCAGCTTGAGGATGGTCAGCGACTCGCGGATGTTGAGCTTCTCGTTGACCGTGCTGGACGAATCGAGGGCCATGCGCTGGTACGCCAGCTGCCGCTCGGCGTCGTCGAGGAAGCGCGCCTCGGATGCCGACCGCGGGAGATACCAGAATGCGAACAGCGAGAACAGCACTGTGCAGGACCCCTCGATCACGAACAGGTACCGCCACGGCTCCAACGCCCCGCCCTGGATCTGGAACACGCCAAACGACAGCAGCCCGCCAAAGGCCGACGCAATGCTCTGCGCCGCGTAGAAGATGGCAAGCCGGCGGGCGAGCTCACCACGGCGGTAAAACCTGCGACATGAACAGTTAGGAGTCGGCTGGTTTCGCAGCGGCTGGTTTCGCAGCAGCCGCTCCTCCGGGACTTGGGCCTTCTCAGAGCATCAACTCACATGGTCTGGTAGTAAATAACCAGCGGGAAGAAGGCGCTCTCGCTCATGCCGAGGAACCAGCGCAGCGTCATGATGCCAGCAAAGTTGTGCGTCGCGACGACCAGCAAGGTGGCGGAGCCAAACACGAACATCATGCACGGGAGCACGCGGCTGGGGCCGTACTTCTTGCCGAGAAGGCCCAGGAACGGCGCCGTCAGGACGTAGGGGACAAAGAAGACTGAGAGCAGGATGTTGTACTGGTTGTCGACCAGGCCCAGCGCCACCTCGAGGTGGCTCTTGGCGTTACCCAGGTTGGACTTGTCGAGACTGTTGAACAGGTACATTGCGGCCAGCACGGGCAGCAGGCGCAGGTCGAACTTCCAGACTAGCGCACGCTCGGCCTTGGCGTCGATGGATGCCAGAAGATGGGATTCGGCCCTGGCGGTGGAGGGCGGCTTGTTGCTCTCCGTTTCGGGGTCCACCTTGCCGTCGGGTCCCAACTCCAAGTCCTTGCCGTCAGGTCCCAACGCCAAGTCCTTGCCGTCGGGTCCCAACTCCATGTCCTCGCTGAATTTGGCCTCGACGGCCGCTTTCTCAGCGTCGTGCGAAGTAGCCATCTTCTTCTTTCTCAGTGTTTGTTGTCCGAGGTCCGTTTTCGAGGGCCAAGGTTGGTTTTCGAGGGCCAAGGCTGCAGGCCAGAAACTGCCAGTTTCCCAAAGTGCCCAAGAGGGCTGTCTACATATAAACAGAGTTTAACGTGATGCAGCACGCCGGCGCAGGCAGATGGCCGTGTTTTGGCACAACTGCCTTTTGCGTTCTTTATGATGCCGGTGGCTGGATCGTAGGCCGAAGGCGGCTAGCCTGATTTGTTATCAGTGCCGATTCCAAGGACGGAAGGCGATGTGGCAGGCAGTGGACCGCTACCCCGGCCGGCGATCTCATTCCCCCGCTCTCGGGACAGACATGCGGAGGGGCATTGTGGGGGCGCCGCCAGAGATAAGAGATTCTGACCGCTGGGAGTTGCTCGATGGGAATCCATCATTGGCTGCACCTGGCAGTCTTATCGTGGCTGTCTCCAACTGCCAGACTGCAGTACGACACCGTTGAGACGCTGGGCCCGAACAGGGAAAGAGTTCCCAATGGAGACTCCGCGTCTGCGCTAATTGACTCCAAGATTCGACATTGCCACCGATGCAAGGTGAGCGGAGCAGCTGCAATTTATATGCCTAGAACTAAAACTAATGCCTTCAGACGGGTGTATGGGTGGGCCATTGAGTAATCCAAAATAAACCTAGGACGGGGGGGGGTGGGCCATTGAGTAATCCAAAATAAACCTAGGACAGGGGGGGCAGGGAGGGGGGGTGAAATAACGAGAGTGGCCCCCCAACTCCCTCCCCCCAACTCCCTTCCCCAGTGCTCGAGTTCCGCACAACTGCTCCGTGGCGTGGCCCTTGGCACCTCAGACAGAAACACGTGCCAGCTTGCCCCTTTCGGATCACACGGTCAGGATGGCAGTGGCCTGGGTCGAGATGTGCATGCCTGCGACCGCATTCTTCTCCATGAGCTCGCGCACCAGGATGCCCTCAGCATCAGTGACTCCGGCGCGCGCCTGCATGGCGTCGACGCGGGGCAGCATCAGCAGCTGGCGGTTCTTGCGGAAGCTGGGGCCCTGGTTGCCGAGGTGGCGCTGGCCTTCGAGGTGCCAGTCGTCGCTGCCGCGCACCCAACACCCGAGCCCGTCGACGTAGATTCTCACCTGCCGCTCCACGTCCCCGCCCGCCCACTCCCCGTGGCTCAGCAGCTGCTCCAGCTCCGCCTTGCTGGCGAAGAAGTCGGCGACGAGATCGTCATGCCACGCCCCGATCCACGTGATGGCCTCCTGCGGGCCCATGTCCTTCTCGTGCATCACGATGGTCACGAGGTTGTGCAGGGCGTGGCCGCGGACCCGCTCGATGTTGTACGAATACACGTCCTGTCGGGGCGAGGGGAACGTCTTTAGTGCCTGCCCGGTTAAACTGACAACGGTGTCTCTGGTGGGCACTCACATTGGCGGCGCAGATGGCCCGGTTGGCGCACTCGCGGAGGTTCTCTAGCAGAGGGTGACGGTAGATCTCCTCGGGGAATTCCAGGCCAAGCTCGATCAGGGCAAAGCTAGGGAGGCAGCCGCCCGTCAGACGGCGGAGGGCCCAGTACTCGTCAATGGTGCGGACGCGGTTGCTGGCGCGGTCCACGGCCTGCTCGGTGACCGAGTCGAGGTACTCCTGCATGGTGTCGACAAAGTGGGCCCGGGACATGGGAGAGGCCGTCTGGATGGCCAGAGCCCAGAACTGGCGTGCCATCTCGCCAATCCGGAACTCGCCCGTGGGGCGGGGCTTGCTGGGGTTTCGGAGGGCGTCCATGATCATGTCGACGATCTTCTGAACCCCGCCTGCGTCCTCGACGTCGGTGTATTCGTCGATGACGTAGAAGAGGTCCATCAGATCGCATGTGGATCGAGCGTGCTCTGGCCGAAGTATCAGTCTCAGTCTCGGGCCAATGTGTCTTGCGGGGCTGTGGGCTGTGGGCTGGCTGTGAGGTGTGGGCTGGCTGTGGGCTGTGGGCTGTGGGCTGTGGGCTGTGGGCTGTCTGCAGAAGTGGGAAAGGGGACGACACGAGAGGTACCTAGGAGGAGCATCAGGTACCTCGATTGTGGTGCGGGGACGTGAGCATGGCGAGCTTTGCTGTGAAGTGCATGAGTTAGTGCTGAACCGTCAGGAACGTCCGAGCTCGTTGACCCACGGAACTCGCAGCGGTCGAATGAATCCTGAGACTTGACGTCGAAGAAGCCAAAGCCATGGAGCCAGGCAAGAGAATCAGTCTTCACCTCCTCATAGAGAGGGTTCAGGGCGCGCTCCCACGGCCAGTTGCGCAGAAAGTCGGGTACTTGGACCAATGTGGCTGCCATGATGTCTGCCCTACCTAGCGCTGTTGGACGGCAAGAAAAGGTGCTGGTAGTATAGTAGCGACGTAGTAATCGACAAGAAAAGGTGCTGGTAGTATAGTAGCGACGTAGTAATCGACAAGAGAAGATGTGCAAGGGGTACGGTGACGAGGATGAGAAAAAGATTTGCCCGAGACACGGAAAGGGGTTGATCCCAAAGTTTTTATAGGCGTCCAGGTTCCTAACATCCTGCAACCGTACAAGCCAAAACCGAGGGGGCAAAACCGAGGGGGCAGCGCCGAATCGCGTTTGAAATCATGACCTTTTCCGCCGGGGTGGATGGCATGATGGCAAATAGCATGATGGCAAATAGCCGCTTGAAAGGCCCAATTTTTCTTCTCTTTGCAGACAACAAAAATAGAAATGGGTCTAATCAAACCCCCAAACCACCAAAGGTAGAGCGAGCAACTCGCCGCTGCTCACACGGATGCATGTTCATCGAGCGGACCCGGGAATCCGGGAAGGCCGACATGGAGCCGCAGGCATGGACGATGGATGGCATGTGGCGGAAATACCCAGCTAGCCATGCAGGCCAACGTTTCAAGGCGACGGATCCTCCCCCCCCTGTCAATACAAACAGCATGTCGGGGGTCCGAGCGTGCGGTAACACTAACAGGCCCCGTTCGGCGTGAAACCGAGGGTTCTTGTTAGGCCGGCGGAAAACGGAAAAGCCCGTTTATCACCGTCGGCCAGGGATCAAAGCCACTAGGACCTATCGGTAGCGAATCCGTAGCCACGCGTGCATATTTGACACCACGTCGAGCCGCACAGCAAGACGGAAGAAGAGAGCTATATGCGCCGCGTTAATGGCTCGCGGAATCACAGGACCTCCCGTATCAGGATTTCCGGACCTTATCGTATCATAAAACGTAGGCCCGGAAAAGACGTGGGATCTCCTTATTTGCCCGAAAATACGGCTAGCCCGGAAGTTGCCCATCACGCGTCGTGCTAGTCCACGGCGAGGCAGATCATATTCCTCTTCCACTTTGCCTCGCTGCGGATTTCAATGCAACTAACCACCCTAGGTAGGTAGCTGGGTGCCCAGTCTTGCCTGCTCTGTTTGTCGCACAGTGCAAATCTTGCTCAGTCACACCTGTCCCAATACGCCTTCTGAATCCACTGGACGCCGTCGGTGACAGCTCTTGCATTCCTCTCTGCAGGCTGACCTTGAAGCTGCCAATTACGTTCACGAAACCACCTCGCACGACTGGCGCCCCAGTGCATCTTGTGTGACATCCGGATATTTTTGGCTGCGATCTTTCACCCAAAATCCGAGCAACGCCGGAGTCGAGGCAGATGCATGCAGTAGTGCCGGCTCCGTTGTTCATACTTACAGTGTGCATCCAATTACAGCACTGTCAGCGAGGTTGTCATACGGCTCGGCTGCTCTAATCAATACGTGTAGGTAGACACCAACAGAACCCGACACCAACAGAGCCCGACACCACAGAACCTCACGACGCGGAGAAGTGAATCCCGGACCAGAATAGCAAAGACGGGTTTCCTCTGGATATCACAGAATGGGCTTTCAAACCCTGTAAATGGCATTGTCTCGGGTTAATAATCCCGAAAAGAAGATGTGTCGGACGTGTTGGTCTGCCATGTGAGCTAGGTCGGACCTGACCCCGGAGCCAAGGTGTCCAGATTACTAGCTCGGCCCCCAGTGCCGCTACTGGTAGCTTCTCAGGCGCCGCTAGATCCAATAGTCCACGCATGGGAGGATGACGGCTCGGCAATGATAAAAAAAAGAGTGCCATGCCCGATGCAGCGACAGAGGCATAAGTGCGGGGCTGACATGCATTTAGGTCGCGTTGGGGAGAAGTCATGGAGGAGCTATCGTACCAGGGCAACGCGTGGATTCCACAGGCAGCTGTGCGAGGTGTGCCACGGGCTGTCGGCATCTGGGACTCGAAAGCAACCCGGATAGACTGAAGGGGGACGAGCAAGAGTGAGGCCTGCTCTGGTGCCCAGGCTCGCAATGCACCAGCCACGCTTCTTCACTCGCGATATTTCAAGCATGATTCCTTGGCGACGATGGGTAAGGAACTGCAGCCTCCTTGTGGCACTAGGAGTGGCCAGCGTGGCACTAGGACTGGCTAGCGTGGCAAGGACAAGGGAAGCAGTTGCCTGGCCCGATGTGAACAGGGTTTCTTACCTTTTTGTAAGGGATCCCTTCCCTGCTTCTCACGCTGGTTGGAACCTTGTTCCAACCCAAGTCGGGTTTAATTGGGGTCAAGATCTGCATTTAACCCTGATCGGTCGGGACCACGGATTAACAACCAAGAGAAACGCCCAAAACCCCAAAAGGTGCTCCATTCTCATCAAGTGCGTACCTAGGTAATTACCAAATGCAGCAGCAACGACGCCATATATATGTATATATACATATGTAAATAACTATATATACATACATATATAACTGTATATACATACATATATAACTATATATATATATATATATATATATATTGATAATTGTACGGGTTTCGGCCGGTCTCGTCTACCCCGCGACTGCTTGAACTGCGTGCGGGGATGCCCGCCTGGCAATCAGCGTTGTTGCCTTCACCGCCTCCGCACCAGGGAAAGTGACGGCCCGGGCCGAGCTGATGGCGTGACGGCTCCACAGCGGCCGCTGCGACGGAATTGCTTGGATGGCGCGTATAAGCACGTGCCCGAGCGACTGCACACAGTGTCGAGGACCCCCCCCCCAGCCCCTGGCTAATTAATAATGAACGGTAATAATGAACGGCAAAGACTGGTCGTCGGCTATATGTAGCTCAATATCCACAGCAACGCGCGAGCCCGTGTACGACGATATGAACAAGCAGTAAATGTTAAATATGATCCTCAACCAAGCATTAAGTTGGGATGTACCTTGCTCGTTGATTACCGGGGGCACTGGCAGGTATCCAGGATGCTTACTGCTCCAATGGCAAGGACTTCAACAGAGTTGGCTGCGATGGAAATTAAGACTTTCGGACTACTAATACTCAAAGTCGTCATTTGCCCAATCTCAATCCGCAATCCTCTCTTGATAACCCCTCGCCAGAAGCTATGTCGACGGGCGGGTTGCCATCCACAGTCCTTATGACGTTTTGTAACACGTGTTGACATTGGAAAGGGGCTCTACGGAGCCCAGAGCCTAGAGAGGCATGAATCATTGGTTCGCTGTTGTGTGGCCCCGCTTCCCCCCTCCTCGCCAAGGTACCGAATATCGATCACGCGATGTTGGTTGGCCTCTACGACGGCTGCCAAGGCTGAGCCGATAGAGCTAATGTCCCTACAAGGAGCCGTCTTGACTGCGGGACGCGGCAGGCAGCGCGGCAAGACGGCCTAGCGGGTCTTTGCATGTTCTTGCCGCCGAGCTGAACACCGCCTCTGGGACTGAACAAAAAATATCCCTCGTGCGGGGGTTGTGTGGCGGTTGACCCGGAGGGCAAGCCCCAGGTATTTAGTTCTGTTGTTGGCATATATAGGTGCGTGGCCCAGCCTCCCATTTCCTGCGCTAGAAAACCTTCAGTCATCAATAACTGCTGCCTTTTACATAAAAAACGTGCCTATCAACCCAGAAACCATGTCCTTCCACTCCAGCGCTTCCGACGTCCGCGTTGACGATGGCCACATTCTGCGCGCTCGCCTAGACAACGGCCAGGGAGAGCAAGTCGACGCTGAGCTCGACCTCAACACTGCTGTTGGCAACGACAACGGTAGGGCCAAGCCCAGCATCCCGGCCCAATACCGGAGGCTTTCTAACATCAACAGGCAACTTTGTGTGGGGCGGCGAGAAGTTCGCCGAGAGTGCCGAGAACATCAGCTTCTCACTTGAGGGCGGCGATGGCGTCCCCATTCTCCGCGCCAGCCTCCGCGACCTCGAGGACAACCTCAACGACCGCGACCTCAACCTCGCCGAGCGCATTCGCAACGAGGGCGGCAGCCTCGTCTTTGGTATGTTTGATGTTCACCATTCCTCGCTCCCTCACGAATTGTCAAGTGCATACATTTCTCGCTCCCTCACGAATTGTCAAGTGCATACATCTCCCGCTCCCTCACGAATTGTCAAGTGCATACATTTCTCGCTCCCTCACGAATTGTCAAGTGCATACATCTCCCGCTCCCTCACGAATTGTCAAGTGCATACATCTCCCGCTCCCTCACGAATTGTCAAGTGCATACATTTCTCGCTCCCTCACGAATTGTCAAGTGCATACATCTCCCGCTCCCTCACGAATTGTCAAGTGCATACATTTCTCGCTCCCTCACGAATTGTCAAGTGCATACATCTCCCGCTCCCTCACGAATTGTCAAGTGCATACATCTCCCGCTCCCTCACGAATTGTCAAAGTGCATACATCTAATCTACGTTTGTGATTTGCAGAGTAAGTGGCGGGCTCACATGAGTCTTGGAACCGGCTAGGGGCAAATTACTAGATGAACAATTTACATAATTATGGGCTCCCTAGCCACATGGCGTATCACATTGCCTGGAATAGCGAATGAAGTTTAACGGCAACCAATGGCGAGCTATCACTGCCACTTTTTATGAATTGATCTGCTCTTCTCCTTCGATGATTTTCAGTCTTCCAGCCAGACTGACCGACTCCCGGCCTCGGCCATCTAGCCTGTGTGGCCTAAAATATTAGCGTGCACTATGAATGTGCAATGCAAAGATTCCTTTGTTTTTGAAGTTAACGTGGTGGAGTTCGGGGGCTTGTGAGTGGAGCCTAGGGAACAAGCTCGGCAGGAACAAAGGGTGGTATGATTCCACGTCCTGCAAATTGTGCCGAAGAAAGTGTAATAGATGGTAAACAATCGCATGCGTACCTCCCTCCGTATGCAGGTAACAGGAGTTGGGGTCATTGAATTAGCAACAAAGAAGAAAACAGGGTCATGTTCAATGAGGTATATGAAATAGGTCGTCCCATAGGGAGACATTATTCAAAATTGGTGTACAATGTATATTATTCCGGTGCTGATTCATCAGCCATCTATCAACAAGCGAATGACAAAGAAAAGCGCCCGGCTACCCAGACATGAAGAAAACTAGACGCTTACTGTGCTAGCGACAGTAACCCCCCCCCACTCATCCTATCCATCTACCGTATCTGGCTATTGCTATATCACTGTCCTGCACCTTGAGGAGGAGATGGGTGATAAGTCGCACAATGATAGCAGAGTATGAACTCGGTCTTCGTCACGTCGTCTTCTTCGTAGTGCTCGAAGCAGTCGTTCATCTCCGCAATGTCGGCAGTGTACTTGCCGGTGGCGGGATCAATAGGGGCGGTCGAGATGTAAGCCACGCACGCCTCCCAGAGATCAACATTGGTCAGGTCCTCGTGGGCCTGGGACTGGCCTGCCTGCCGGGACACCCATCCAGCGGCGAGCTCTTTGACTTCGCCATTCGTCACTACACAAGCTGAGTGCATACATATGGGATCATCCCGATGAATGCAAGCGCAAAGGTAGGTGACGGTGGATTTCTTACACATCGTGACTTGATGTTGCGTGCTCTGTGATCCGTTTGGTTTTGTTTGGGTAGAGTGAGTTTCGGCTGCTGAGAGGCTGGTGGGTGAGCTTGCAGAAGTGATGGGATGCAGATGATAAATACTGAGTGACTTTAAATATAAAATAACGACGACAATTATGGCGATATTGTTTAAGAATAATCTGCTTGTTGGCCGTTATATATGGTTGTTCAAAAACAGGAGGGGGTCAATTGCACTACAACAGGGCTTTTTAGATATGATGTTAGTAAATAGGGGGATTAGGTATCAAAGGATATTCGAATGCAATATCGTTGAGGCAAGAAATGGACTCCAGATTTGAACAGAGAGTAATTAAATACAAGCTAGGATTGAATAGCCCGTTTGATAGTACCCGCCAACATGTCATTTACCAGTGATAAACACCCCTATGAGTAGGATCCTGGAGAGAACATATGATTCAGCGTTTGCTGGTTAGCCACCAGGGTGCAAGTTTCAATCCATGGGCTGCCAGAGCACGACCGGCTACTGTGAGGGAAGGGACAGTGAGTCAAAATAAGAACGCATTCTTAGCAATCAGCGCTCAATTAAACAAGACCAACGGTGGGCGAGCCCGCGAATGTTAGACGGGAAACAAACGGTGACTATTGTCTGAGATAATCAATTGGTAGTTTGTAACTGTTTTGGGAACCTGTAAAACCGGCCCTTCACCCCCCACCCCTCCCCTCCCGCTATAACAGTTCCTGTGCAGCCCTATGATTACGCTTCCACCACTCCTCGTCGTCTCATTTGACCGGAGAGGGGTGTTTGTATCAACCTCTGGTGGCAAAATCGCAAGGTTGTATCCTCGCCATCACTTCCCCTCTCCCCTCCCCCCAAACACCATGCAACATAGCCCCGGCGGTGAAGGTTGTGAGATGACACTGTTCTGTCTCCTTTCTCACCCACCCATCATGGTTTCAAGAAATTGGCGCGGCCTGTCTGGACTGCAGCGAATAACGATGGTGGTTTGTTGAGCTCTGGGCGGTGTGGTGGTGGCGTGGTCAGCTGGTGGTTGCTGGCTGACAAATCTCCTGGCAGAGTAGCTAGTGCCTCCCGGGCCGGGCCACCGCCGCTCGCTTTTCCCACAATCTAGGCCGCCAAAATTTGTCAGCGGCGGCTCTGAGACTCTCGGATCATCGTTCCTTTCATTGCTGTCATTGTTCCTTTCATTGTTGCACCGTTCCTTTCATTGTTGTCACCGTTCCTTTCGTTGTTGTCACCGTTGGCGATTTGCTGTCATCGTTGGTGATTGCTCGGCTGCCAGTTTCCCTCACCGCCCCCGGAAAGTGACGAACTTGGACGGGCCTTCTGAGCGACCGCGCCGGCGGGGGGAATGGTAGCGATTTGTTGGCGACTCTGTTCGGGTGCGTCCAGGCGGCGGACTGTCCGATGGTGTGTCAGGCGGACTGTCCGATGGTGTGTCAGGCGGATAGGGGAGCTGGCCAGTGGACCGAGCGTGTGTGTAGTAGTCGCCGTAGCTGTGACTCCGGCGGTAGTGCCGTGGACCGGCGACCACGGGCCAGTCCTCGCGGTATGATGGGGGACGGCCACGCATGGGGGAGTGTCGGCGATCCGAGTCTGTGCCAGAGTCGGTGCTCAGGTCGCGGGGACGGCGACGCCCTCGGCCGTGGTTTGCGGCGCTGCGGTGCTCGCGGTGCTCGCGGGCCATCATGGTGAAGGCGGTGGCGGCGACGGCACCAGCCAGGCCGGCCTTGGCAAGGTGCATCGTCTTGTGGTCCTTGCTTGTGGCCAACTTGAGCACCTGGTCGGCCGTGAGGGCCGATGCTGTCAGGCCGACGACGAAGTCGATGTCCTCGCCGAGGTCAACCTTGTTGGTGACATCGGCGAGGAAGCCGTGGGACGGTGCAGGTTGAGGTGGGTTGTGCGATAGCTGGTTATTATTGTGGTAGTTGTTGTTGTGGTAGTTGTTGCTGTTGTTTGAGTGGCTCATTTCTTCTTTTTCTCTTCTTGTCTCTTTCCTTGCGTGGTGGGTTTGTGCGTGGCGGTGGTGAAAATCGACAGTCACTCTGGACGGGGGGTGTGCTTATTAAGTATTGCATCTTGGGAATTTTGGGACGTGGGATTCTGCGGTCCCTACTGGGCGTTAGCAGTCGCTTACGGGCGGTCACGCTCACTGGAACTCGGGACATTGGGGATGGGGTGACGGTCAAACCGCAGGCCTTGTGACTCGGAATAGGCTGAATGTGTCCCGTGCAGCTCCGTGGCAACTAACAGAGCACCAGGTTCGGGGATAACCGGGTTCATTCTGGGGACATTAATTGCCAACCCGATCCGTTCCCCAATTCTCATACAAATTCGTGATCGCTATGCCATCCATTGCTATAATCAAACTCTGCCCAAACTTGGTTACAAATGCCCGTGTAGCAGCCATCGTCCGAGTGCAGCACCGTCTTGGCCCCGCTGTCGACATCAACACTATACACGCTCCTTCCAAGGTCGGTGACAAAGATCTGGCGTCTTTGCAGGTCGAGCTTGAGGCCGATGGGTTCGTGGAAGTGCCGCGCAATGATTTCCGGATCCGGTTTCGGTCCACTGCCGCTACTGGACCGGACAGAGAGGCGCGGTTAAGGGAGCTGCCGCGGAGGTGCTCGCCACGGTCAGTCCAGTAGGCCTTGCCGGCGCGCTCGTCGACAGTAATGCTCACGCACCTCTGAAGCAACGCGTCTGCCTTATCCGCGGCTCGCCGCTGCACCAGCACCTCGTGATCTTTCCCGTCAAGGCCGCATCGGTGCACGCCCATGGCCTCACGGCCACAGAAATACAGCTGCTTCCGTGACGGCACCGCCACGAGCTGCTTGGGCGTGTAGACTTGACCGGCCGGCATAACCGTTTGCACGTCGCTGCCGTCCAGCCGGCTCGACATGACGCTGCCGTCGCGTACAGCAGCGTTTGCCCCCATGTTGGTCCAGTACATGCAGTCCCCAGCCATGTCGATGCCGTCCGGCGCAGGCTGTCCACTCATCACAGTGGTCACCTCCGCCGTGCGGCCGTCGCGCCGCAGAATCTTACCATTGCGCGCCACCTCATCAAGTTGCGACAGGTTGCCGCCCAGGCCCACGTCGAGGAAGTAGAGAGTAGGTTGTTGTTGCTGCTGTTTTTGCGCTCCTTGCAGCTGCTGGGGCGACTGCACTGGAGGAGCCTGTGGCTGCGTCTGTGGTGGGTATAGGCTGCCCTTGTCGCTCTTGAGACCGAGTCTGCCTTGTGCCAGGTACTCTTTGCGAAGCCAGTCGACGGTCAGAGTGCCGCCGAGCCCACGCTCCTGGATGTAGTTGTCTTCGATAAATGCCACCGTGTCGAGGCCGATTTGGTCCATGAAGCGACACGGCCCGATCTCGGAGCGGAACATGTGCTGCCTGGTTGGCCACACGGTTCAGCATCAGCCGCGACTTAAACGAGGAGCTGTTGGACGCGAGAATTCAGTCCGCTGGTGCCTTGCGGTCTCGCTCGGCGAATGTGTCCAGCTTGAGCTCGAGCTTCTCGGGGACCGCCTCAATCGGGGACTGCCTCAATCGGGGACCGCCTCAAATACGAGCCAGGCGTCCTGGGCCCCCGTCTCAATTTCTTCGTACGCCGCATACGAACCAAAATGAGTCTCGTCTTTGCTGGCGGGGAGATGTTTTGTGTATTCGTGCTTGTTGTCATCGATGTACTGCATGGCGGCCTGCCGTGCCTCGGCCGAAGGGTCGCGGATCTGCACATTGTATCCGCCCGTGACAAAAACGCAGGCATGCGACGACCCAGCACGCCCGCGCCGAGAACGGCAATGGGCCGAGAGCCAATGGTTGGAGGCGTTCAAGGCATTGCGATGTTAATTGTTGGTCTAAGAACAGTACAGGGTATATGATGTGGTGATTAGGGTCATCAAATTTCGTGATGAAAATAGAGTGTAAACAAAACACAGCGGCGGCTTCAGGGTACTTGAGGAAGCAGACGATGATGAGGTGTCCCGTCGGTTATAAAGAGCGTAGCCCCGTCGCGTCCGAGGCAAAAACTCGGAAGCAGCAAGACAGGAAAGCCAAAGACCGAAGCGCGCTCGGAAGGCGCATCTGTCGTCAATGGCCCATAATCTCGGCCTCGACTATGCGTGGCTTTCCCATAGATACCGCCATATCCCAAGTGGTTTTGCACGACAAACTTCCTAGGCTTCCCCTGACAGATGCGGTTTTACAGCCCCCCGTGTCCATACTGTTTTGCCCCCCTGTGAGTGTGAAGGCATACCTGCCTACAAGAAAGAAGAATTTAAGAAGGATGAATCGTTCTAGTTCTAGGGTTCTGGAGCAAATGCTAATGAAGGCTAATGCATAGACCACCTCATGCTTATGTGAGCATGACATCATATGAGCATGACAGTGGGCCTCGGACTGTCGATGGCAAGTGGCCTAGAGTCGCGTATATCCGCGTCGCGTAGTATAGGAACTTGTTAGAATTCGTAAGCGGGTAATTAACCCGAGTCATACCCCTAAGTCGCGGTAGGCATACGACATATCGAGGTGGGATATTAACGGGGCAGGCCAATAACAGGTGAAATTTGGCGATACTGCCCGAGAGAGGATTTTATAGAAGATAAAAGAAGAACCAGACGTTCGTCTCTAGCTAAAGCCGGAAGACCGGGCGGGTTAAGTGCGGGGCCGTGGCGATCCGTGTTCCGGACAAGGTTACCGTTGCCAACTCCAGGAGAACAACCCTGCTCGGAGCTCTACAACCGCCACCGCGCTGCCTACATCCCCTTCGCCACGGGAGCCCGCGGCTGTATTGGTTTCAACTTTGCCCTGCTCGAAATCAAAGTCCTGCTGCCTGAGCTCGTGTTCCGCTATGAGTGTGCCCGTGAGGCCTCGAGGCCGTCGAGTACGACCCTGAGTTCCAGCTCATCCGCCCCCTCAATCTGTACTGCACCGCTAAGCGCAGGACCGTTTGGGTAGCAAAGACAAATCTTGAAGGGCCGGCAGCATGAGGGAGTCTTACCGCGAAGGCACATTGTATATGACTGCTGCTGCTGGCCTGTTTGCTTTTGGCGGGGCCGAAGTTATGCAAGCGACCTGCGATTTTACGTCTTGTCCATTTATTTCTACGTGCTTCACTTTAGAAAGTGACCGCATTGACATCCTGACTAGAGTGAGATTATAAGAAACCATGCCATGTCCATGCCTGAAGCTGTGAAGCCGCTCAAATGGTTGGTCACTCCCCTGCAACCCTTATGAAACTAGAGGCCGAGACACAGAATGATAAAGCTGTGATAACTGTGCACTCGAGAGCAGACATTTAACTTCAAACACAAAGTCACGTGGCATGGAATAGGCTTCAAAGAGCAAAACAGGTTATTGTCTATCGCAAGCAAATCTCCACTTACTTTGAAGCATCAACTCTCGGATCCAAGCCAACGAAAAGAATGTGTTGAATGAAAAGCAAAAAGAAAAAGCGAAGAAAAGAAAGAGTGACGAAAGTTGGAAGCGAGCAAGAACCAAGCGAGTGACTGAAGCGAACCAAGCGAGTGACTGAAGCAAACCAAGGAAAGAAGCACGATCAAAGAAATCAACTCTCTCCGTCAACCCCTCGGCCGACTCCGGCGCCGCACCAGCGCCCCACGCCCACACCTAGACTCCCCTTTCCAGCGAAGTCATTGAACTGGTGCTCTAGAAGCAGTTCTTCTTGACGGAGCTGATGCCGAGCAGCTCTGCAGCAAGGTTGACGAGGGCCTTGCCGCCGAGCTTGAGGCGCTGGGCGCGCGTCTTGGCCTTGAGGAGTAGCTTGACGGCCTTCTTGACGCCGCCGAGGAGCTTGATGTACTTCTTGATGCGCAGCAGCTTGGCGGCGGGGATGGCCGTGGTACCAAGTAGCTTGACAATGGCGGCGATGCTGTGTTTGTCAGCCTCGACAGATCCCTCAAGGCCAAGTCCAGGAGCTGGGATCGGGGCAGGGTAAGCTACTCACCACTTGGCAATCTTCCAGACGGAAGTGCGGGCCTCGAGCTCGCTGCGCGCAACGACGGCGGAGAAGTCGGCCTCGTCGGAGACATCGCGGCGCAGCTTGGCGTCGGGCGCGCGGATGCCGTGGTCGACGAGGTACTTGTGCAGGGCGTCGTCGCCGGCCTCGAGCACGGCGTCCGGGATCGCGTCGATCTGGTCCAGCAGCTTGTCGAGCGGGGAGTCGAACTCGCCCGTGAAGTTGAAGTCGCCCACGTCGGGCACCGCGACGTCGGGGACAGCCGTCGGCGTCGGGGCGCGAGCGGCCAAGACGTCCGTCTCGGCGTCCCAGTCGTCCGTGTCGGGGATCAGGCCGTGCGGTCCGGTGCCCTGGGGCGAGGGCAGGGCCAGAGTGGCCGCTGCGAAGAACGAAACGGCGGCGGCGGCGAGGAGCTGGAACTTCATTTTGATGGTGTTGTCGTTGTTGTCGTTGTTGTCGTTGTTGTCGTTGTTGTCGTTGTTGTTGTTGTTGTTATTGGTGTTATTCTTTGGTTTTGCGACGAGATATAATGAGGGTTGCTTGCAGAGAGCGTGGAGCTTGTAGCTGAAAGATGGGAGTTGGTACTTGAATGAGAGTTGAAGAGTGAGTGTTGTGAAGTGCAAGTGAAGGCTGGAAGGGCTGTTGATGTTGCTGTGATGATCCAAAGCAGGAGAGATGGCGATGGCGATAGCGCCGCTTTATACCACGATCACGACAATATTTTTCTCTAGAGGCCCGAGTGTCGAGAGACAGGTTCCCCGAGGCCATGCTCCCCGTTGCCTTCACGATGACCCGGTTGACTTGTCGGCATGTTTCTCTGCCCCTTTTCCAATCTCGGTGGAAAGCTGTCCTGCTGATGCCAAGGTTGTTGATTTCCTGGCCGACGGCAAGACCGAAGATGGTGTAAAATTAGACATGGAGTAGATGCAAGTCCAAGCTTACCATCAGAGCAAAGCTTACCATCAGAGCAAAGCTTACCATCAGAGCAAGGCTTACTATCAGAGCAAGAATATGACTACCTCTGTCACGGGCTTTTGATCTTGACAGAGGAGCAAGTCTGGTCGCCGAAGACAGGACATGACGCCCTGGAACATGATCTTGATTCTGCATTGATTACATCTCATAGTGTTGTTCCCAGCTCAGCCTCAGCCCAGCGGCACGACGCAATAAGCACGGCTGTGATGGACCGGCCGAGACCTTTTCCCCGCAATCTCAACAGATCTGCTCCATGTCTCGGGAAAAGTCTCGGGAAAAGTACGAGTTAACGGCGCGCGTGGGCTGAAGTTGGTCCGTGCCAAGCGATAAGCAGTGGGGCGCCTCCAGCTCCCCACTCCAGACAGCCCTGTGAAACAGGAGCGAGGCGTTAATGCGAGCCCTGAAATAGCACCAGCTGAACCCTGCCCGTCCCCCACACGCCAACATCCGATCTTCGTCGATCGGTGCGGGACCCTGGGAGCGCGGGCCTGGGCCGACACCGCACAGCAAACAGCCTGTTGCCCGCTTTTTTCCCTTCCACGGCTTTAAAATCCTTCCCGAGAAAGGCGTAAGTCGATGAGAAACTAATGGAAATATGGATCAAAGCGGAGGAACTGGCGCCCCGACCACGACATTCGGCATTGGGTTGCTGGCTTGGCCTTCATGGATCCGCAATTTGCGCTCCTCATCAACTTCCAGCCGAGCCCCTATTTCGTACGTCGAGAAAGGGTATGCATCTAGACCCATAAAGCTGCCAGTTTGGAAAGCACAAGACAAACATAATTCGCTGCAATATTAACAATGGCCGGCCTCAATTCGGCCACATCTGAAGTCTAACCCACCACGTCGGACACAATGCCCTCGTTTGGGTTCGGTCAGAGACACTCATCGTGGAGCAAGACGTAAGACCTCCTTATCCCTTGGTCATAATCCCTCGGCCATAATCCCTTGGCCATAATCCCACTGCTCACTATCATGGTTCTACACTGCTCACTATCATGGTTCTACACTGCTCACTATCATGGTTCTACACACACTTTGCATAGGGCATCGGGAGCACATGAAATGTAACGTGTCATTCGTCGTCATCATTCGTCGTCATTATTCAGTATCAGGACCATAAATACATATTTACACGGCAAACTCCAGCCACCCAATCCGGCCACGCCAGAAGAACCACCAACTCCCAAAAGGCTGCAACCCGCATTCGCCGACATCCCAGATGCAGTGCAAGATGCTTAAACAGCAGATTTATTAGAGCTGGGCTTCGTGGCAGAATCTGATAGACCCGAGCTCGACAGCTTTCTATACAAGCTGCTGGCTTTGTATTTTTCGTTGATGCCCCGCACCAGGGGAGCAAGGGCGGGGAGGTTGGCGGCCCAGACTCCCAGGCACATCTCCACCATGACCCAGAATGTCGGGTTGAAGGCCTGCAGTATGTACGGCCCCTTGTCGCCAGGCCGGGACACGTACCCAAAGTTCAGCCTCCCGGTGGGATAGGCGACGGACAGGAAGACTAGCCGCAGAATCCCGGCCAGAGTCGATCTGTTAGACAAGACACAGCGGTCAGCCGCCGTCTAATGATGGGGGGGAGAGTGGCGTTGGGGAAAACTCACATGCCGCCCAAGAGAAACACGAAGCACACCATGACTTTCTTGGCCGGCCGCTGCGGCAGCCTCCAGATGTACGGCAGGGGTAGGACCAAGACGAGCAGATCGGTCACGACGCTCGTAGCAGCGAAGGCGATCAACAAGGCGCCCTTGTCTCCGCAACCACGGGCCGCGGCCTGCTGGTCGAGCCCGACCTCGAGCTCCGGGTGGGGGCCGCAGAGGAGCAGGTCGGCAAGGAAGAAGGACAGGGTCCAGGCGACGATCAAGACGATGAGGGCGTTGTTGTAGCGGCGGAAGCTGTCCCAGAAGCCAAAGATGCGGCGACACAGGTACAGCAGCGACAGCTTGATGGCGCCAAAGGCGATCTTCTCGATGACGATCATGGCGAAGTCGACCTTGAGCTCGACGAGCGCCTCGTCGTCCTTGGAGTGGGCCGAGATGGCGGCGCCCGCGCCGCCCTCGATGCCATTGTAGAACTGGATGCCCGTGCAAGCGCACACGACCACCAGCCCGAGCACGATGAAGTAGTCGTCCAGATAGAGCCTGCAGTTGGGGAACGGCTGCGGCGCGTACGAGAGGCGCACCCAGAACCTCAGGCAGGTGAGCACGACGCCGACGCCAGCGAAGACGCCATATATCGGCAGTACGATGGAGGGCGGATAGAGCGTCATGGCCGGCCGAAGTGGCAGTTTATCTGCGTGACGAGGCGAGTGCAGTCTTGGTTCAGCGTTGCACAGGCGGCAAGGTTCTCCTTACTCCACTGCTTGCTTACAGTATGTACATGATAGAGTGGGTAAAGAGAGGGGGGTCGTCAACATCTGGAGCCCGGGGGTCGTCAACATCTGGCAGCCCGGGGGCCGACAGGATACATATCTCTCGTGGGCGATGCTTTCTTTGGGCGACGCTTCAGTAAAGTTTGAGAGGGCTGTGGCTGAGGTTGTTTCTGTCCCCCCCCCCCCCCCCCCTCAGCTGCAATCTTACAATCTCACCCAGATCTGGGGCGATCCGCAATGGGCCTCGCGCCGCGTCTAGCGTCTAGGAACGGTGCTCAGTGTCACCAAAATGGAGCGTTGCCGCCTCTTCCCTCACGGCACAAGTTGGCCTGGCCGAGGTGCCACGGTGCATCTAGAAGTCCTTGAGCAGGGACGGGCGCCCTAGCTACTCACCCTCTGAAACAGCCCCTGGTTATCTCTAAGTTAGCGTCAATTGAACAGCGCCTTACAGAGCCTTGGCGGCCACAATCACTACACCAACCGCTGTACGGAGTATCCAAGCCGCTACATTGGCGTATGTATGGGACTTACACAGAGCCGCTACATCGGCGCATGTATGGGACCTTGCACAGCAGCGCAATAATCCGCCTACGCCACTGCATCACAGCTCTTGGCCACCCGACGAGTTGCATCCATCGACCCCGTGACGAATAGCTCGACCAATGCCTCCACAGCGGCAACCGTTGCGGCAACCGTTGCGGCAAGACGAAAACTGGTGGGAGTTTGTGCACCGTCTCACAACATCGAAAGGTTCTGCGCATGGCATTTTTGTAGAAGGATTTGAGTATTGTACCTCGTATCCGACCGCACGGAGTCGCGTGGTAACCTTTTAAGACCCCATCTCGCACAACCTGAGTTGGAACACATCCTGCGAAATGCCCAAGCTCAACCGACGAAAACGGCTACCGACTAGCTGGGAGGCAAGGTCAATACCGGAAAGAGCCCCGGGCAAATTATTAATAGAGCGGGGCATCCCAAGAGACGGGATCGTACATGTGTCTTTGCCGTAAGGGTGGGTAGGAGCAGAGGATCCTGCGGCGGGTTTGATAACGGATGATTCAGTCAGACAGACAGTCGGGGCGGCGGCAGAACACCCCAACCCAGTCGGGGCGGCAGAGCACCCAACCCTGTCCCGCCCAGTGGAGTGTGCCGCTTTTCGCAGCGCGCCTCAACCAACACAACACAGATTGGGAGCCCAGATCTTGCTGCCTCTTGCGTAATTGGGTAGCCATCCGTAGGTCGGGTGGCACAGAACAAGCCAGGTGCTCGCCGAGTTAAACAACGGATGCGGCTGGGTTGATGGCAATGGATGCTCCAACGTCCGCGGGGTACCGTTGCCGCGGGCCTTTATGTACTTGTACTGGCAGTACGGAGACTCCCCGTCACAGTCACAGAGCTCGTCCGACCAGACCCCACAATTTCTCCACCCAGAACCAATACAGGCGCTGGAAAACCGCAACTGCCGAAGGAAGCGGTAAAAATACGCTAGAATTCCCTGCTTATCTGTTACCGCAATTTGCAATCATGGGAACATCTCGTCGCCTGCTCGGGCAGGGCTGCTTTTGTGAAGCCCGTGACTGTCCATCTCCTCCAGCTTGGACTAAATATGGGGGTTTTAATGGCCGAGGACCTGCAAACTATTTTCCTGCCATGAAGAATCTGCATGCTGCCATCAGGGGGCCATCTGGGGCCCTCTGGGGGCATCTGGGGGCCATCTGCGATGCCATCCGTCGCCACTCATGTTGCACACCGTCCGCAACCCGGACCCCAGAACCAACATTTGATGTCGCTAGACAAGCCGACAGCATCGGCAGTCACATCTAGGCTGGGATTTGGAGGTTCTCTTTTCGTCCCTCTTTTCCAGGGGGCACCGTCTGACGGTCTCGGTTGCCAGGTAGGTATGAGCGAGTGCTGTAATACAGTGGTAAGTCGCCCAACACAGCCTCACTTTACAAAGGCAAGAGACGCTGTCATCAAACGTCCAGCCTTACAAATCGAACGTCGGGTGCACGACAGCTAGCTCATCACGTCAGCTAACTCTGCACGCTTTCACCGGCTTCGAGCAAATTTTCAGTGGAGGCCGTTCTACTCGGAAGGGAATCATCCGCCGACTGCAGCCAAGGGATACTCAGTCCCTGGAAGCTCCAAAGGGAGACAATTTTTTAACCACTTTGCGGCACAACCAGCGAAGCGATGAATGTTGCAACATGATCCCAAAAACGAATACACGGTTCATCATCGCCGTCGCACGCACGGCATGGAACACCTCTCTCTCGCAACTCCGTCTTCAGTCTCGCCTGTGAATCTTCTGCCTCTTTGCTCTCCCGCCTCTTTGCTCTCCCGCCTCTTTGCTCTCCCCCGCCAAGACTGCTCGCCGTTGCGTTGTTCAGCATGCTAGACCGCTCAAGACACACAAGACTCTGCCACTCTCCTGCAGTATTTTGCTTCCGCTACATCCGGACGAGCAACTCCGCTGGTTTCGGTATCAAAATATGGTGATGCATTGCCGCTGCAAGCGATGTTTTCCCCGCCGCCTCTAATCATGATCATCAATGACTAGCCAAGCTTACAAATACCTCACCCCAATGCGTTTTGCGAGGTTGAAGATGCCTCTTAGGCGTTCCAAGGTTAAGTTTAAGCCCCTAGGTAACCAGCCTACCATCGACTAAATGAGCACCCCATCCCGAACACCGGGAAAGCAGTCGGCGATTGATTCTACGATGCATGTCATAGATTATAGCGAACAAAGTTGTCGACAGCAAGACCTTGAGCCCGCCCCCCATCACCATCTCAAGCCCGGAAACACGACGACGGCACACTTGAACTGCTGGAACTCGATGCAACCTGCTCCCGCAACTTGCCAAGCTCCGCGCATGATTGGGCAACTCTCGATACCACTGCGGGCCAGAGCTTGTAATAACGCCGCGAGTGCAGCCAGGCAGCCAGGCACGGGTAGAGGGGGGCATCCGGCGGCGCGATATATAGTGAACGTGTAACCCAAGCAAAGCGTGACACACTGCCGTTTGCCCCCGGCATTTGCACCCCTGACACCAATCTAAACCTTCTCCTCGGGACGGGCTTATTGGTTCGCGTGCGCACACAGATTCAGAAGCTGCTTTGCAGTTTGCCTTGCAGTGTTGCACAGACAATGAACGTGTTCTTCGCCCCCACCCCACCCCCAACTTCAACACGGCGTCAACCTCTGTCTGCTCGTCTATCGAAGTCCGTCCGTCTGCCAGTCGGCGAACTCAACACATCCCGCACGGAAAGGTCTTTGCAGATACAATTTCGACGACATCCTTCAAGCTATCTAAGCTGCCGCACGTCCTTCATTCTTCTTTTGGCTTTTAATTGATATCGTGGGATTTATTGATACCGTTTCAAGGCGTGACCAATTGCTAGAAATATGGGATCGAGTTTCAAGAGACTCGAAGATGGCGTGATCAGCACCGGATCTGCCAACATTTAATCCTTGATGGCTATGTAGGACTCACTTAACTGCTTTCAGGCACACTGAACGTTGAAAGTGCTACTTTATTAGAATAATCAGCTGAACCGAATCACATTCTCGTGTATTTTTATAGCCAATACGCCGAATCTGGATCAAGAGTTCTGTGGTATTGCTCTTAAGGGCCATCAAGGTAGTAGGGTAATTTATTTGATATAAAGAGCCCAGCTTTTACCTTTCAACTCCTTTGTATAATTAGTGGCTATCCATCCAGCTTCAATATCTATCCAGAGCTTCAAATTCTACTCAAAATACAACTACATACTCTTCTACACCACACATGACCACCCACACATGACCACATATGACCACCCACACATGACCACACATGACCACCCACACATGACCACACATGTACTTACCGCTACGACTAATTGGCATCATTTGCAGTAAGACTACGATATCCACGGTTTGTATGTGCCCAGGTCGGGATAAAGCCGGGTGTTCCCATAGCCATCATATTTGCGATAACCCCAGCATAGTTCCAAAGAAATGCGGCTGGTATGACAGAAAAAAAGGCAAATTCCAGGGACGCGAACCTTGAAATGATACAAGGTGGAACCCCTGTGTAGCGTCCATTTCAACCAACGGCTACTCACCGACAAAGAGCCAGATGGAAAACTGTCCAGAACACTACGTGAATTGAGACTAAGAAGCTATGAATCACGATATTTGCGGGCATTGTGCGAGGGGTCACAGGTCTAGAAATAAGCGTAGAAATAAGTAGGAGCATCAGCTACGGAGTAAGGGGATGATGCGGGGTTTTAGGCCAGAGGTGGAAGTGTGGTAGGGTTGTGTTATGCCAGAGATGAACGGAATGCTGGTTTTATGACGATTATCCCCCAACTGAGTCTGGGTCGAGGTTGTAAATACACATTCGAACGGGAAATCCGGAGAATGACTTGATACCAAGAGCGCAGTCTATCCGATCAAGAATTTTGGCAGGCGTCCCAGTTGGGTCGGATTCAGTGGAAGCTAAATAAATAGAAGCAACCGTTACGGCAGTGCTTGGGACAGCTGAACGCTTCACGTCAAGGTGAGCAGTGAACGTAGCACCGCTACTACCGCGGTGATAACCTCTAGACACCTGATGAAGGCGCCGTAGAGGCGCCAAAGAGGCGCCAAAGAGGCGCCAAAGAGGCGCCAAATTACGAGAAATTAGAATAGGTAATCAACTGAAACTAATACGTGACAACTCGACCTGGCTACGGTGCGAAGTTGAGCCGCCAAAGTGACTGCGACGCCGTGAGTCACTGAGCTCGGGCATTGTGTAACAGGTTCACAGCAGTTATTTGCAACGCGGTTCAGCAAACAACACAATGAGGCTCATAGCGTAAGATAATAATGAAGCAAACGCACGTCGGTCTGCTGGGCTCTCCTTAGCATCTGTGTGCCCTGGCCACTTGCAAACCTGTGATACACATACCAGGAGCCTGTATGTATTTCCGTATATAGCTGGGTCGACACCCAACGGAAATATTTCCACTTGGAGAATCCGAGTCATGCATGACAGCGCCTGTTGACATTGTCGCCACCATGCCAACTATTACTCCTTTCGACGTTGTATTTTATTCCCATCAAAACCTCCTCCTTGTAGATATTTAACTATTGCTCCCTGGAACGACAATTACCATGCGCACCTTTGTTACACTTGACAGCAATCCACAGCACTATTCCCTCCAAGGTCGATTTAATTGAATGATCCAAAATGGAAACCTCGGAGATCGAGTATTGCGAACACTGCGAGGTTACAGCAAAGGAGCTGATATACACATTCCCGACCAACCCCGTAATCACAACGCAGTCCACCTCCGAAAAGAACAAGGCGAAAGACTGGGCCCAAGCCTACGAGCCGATATCCAGCCTCGTTGTCCATACATACGTAGTCGAGGGCGAGTACTACGGCACCTTTGACGGGCCTTTCTTCCCTCTGCTCGAAGACGACGAGCTGCGGCTGTCGCAGCCGGGCACGTATCCGAACCGGCGCGTCTGGCGCATCGGCACGGAAGCAGACGTCGCGACGTGGTTCAACGCTGAGATCTCAGACGTCGTCCTTGCCGCGTGGCCGACCCACCCAATGGTCCTGCAAAATTCGCACATGAGGGCGCCGCATTTCTCGCAGTCACGCCACCAGGTTGTCGACTCGACCTACACCATTGCGATGAACGTGCCGATACAGAAGATTCCGGTTGCTGTTGGCGAGTTCAAACACTGCATGATTGACGCCACCGAGTGGCAGAGCGGCAGGCTGAGAAGCGACGCGCAGAAGACGCTCTCCAGAGAGCTGCGAGGGTAGGTTTGGATCGGTCCGCAATATGTTATATCGCCGTAATAGGGGATGGATTTCTGATGGCTGATCCTGATTTGGCTGCAGATACGCATGCATGTACCAGTGTCCACAGGTATTCTGCTTCGATGGCCACACCCTGCTCATTCTGCAGTTTCGGGCATCCAAACCACAGAAGATGATCAGGAAGGATTTGGGCGTCGACTGCTGGGTGCTTCCGCGGCGGAACGGAGATAACGGCGGCATCCAGCTACGCGCGGCGCTGTATCGGTTGATTGCGCAAGGCTTCCGGCGGTGCCAGGTCATCGACGGGCCGGTGGTGCCGGTCGGCGGCATCTTCCCCACGGGTCGCGAGTTCTTCTCGGGCCTCCCGCTGTGGCTCGACAAGCAGCGCCACCACCCACTCGGCTACTTCCGCTGTGCTGACATTTATCACGGATCGCTGTATTGGGGCTACGGGGATGAACCGGTTGTGGATGGCGATGGCCATGCCGTCTGGGACAGCATTTCGTGGTGGGAACATGAGGATGAAGACTGAGCGCGCCACATTGTGTGTTTGGCAAAAGCTCCAAGGAATCAACATAGACTAGCCACTTCCTGAGGGCGGGTCAGGCCCGAGAAATGAAAGAAACGTGTAAGCCCGCGATGAATGATAGCGAGGTAATTACCAAATCAATCAGGGATGATTTCTAATTACTCTAGAACAGACCTTTTGCCCAGCGCTAGCTAGGGCATTTGTTCCTCGATTTCGGGTCCTCGGCTTCTTTGGGCTCCCGTGTCCAACAATTGTATTGTTCAGGGCTATCGGACAAGGGTTGGAACAAGAAACGATTAGTTTGTTGATTTCTTTGTTTATTGTCGAGCCTTGTTGTTTGTTCTGATCGCATTTATACCCCAAGCCGTCCGTTCTACACTACTTCCTGCTCGAGGATCGTGTTACGGGAAATAGGCTGCCTGTGTTAATTGACATAGGATCATAATAATACAACCACTGTTCAGTTTGTTGTTTACGTGACATCGTTCATAGAGCCCGGGCTGGTAGTCTTGTCCTGTGCTGCCGCGCTGAACAGTCTAACTGAACACTCAACAGTTCCCACGCCGTCGCCATGTTCCGCCCGCACCTCAATATAGAGGGATTAGATTTCCCTTCCTCACCCGTTTCGCATCTGCTATCAGATTTCGCACATCAACCGGCAAGCAACCGTCGTGAAATTTCGCAACCGCCATTGGGTTCCGAACGACGGCCGTCAAGCAAGCCTTGTGAAATTATAGACACTTCGACAACCATGGACAACCAACTCTCGACAACCATGGACAACCAACTCTCGACAACCATGGACAACCAACTCTCGGCTGCCACGGCCGGCCTCGGCAATATCGAGAACACAATAGAATTTGCCGCATTGGCTATTTCTGCCACAGATAATCAACACGGCTCGGCCCGTCGACCAGTCCCGGCAGCATGCCGTCGCGCTCCGGCCGCCACCCAAACCCCCGCTGAGACTCCTTCTCAATTGGAAACTCACTCGGTGCCCTCTGCGTCTCTTCCTGTCTCTGCTCCGGCCCCAGCACCTCGTCAGCGCATAAGATTTCAACTGCCAACGGAAGCACATTCTCGACCAGTCAACACCACGTCGGACGTTCAAGTAGCACCCCGGCGGCATCTGGCATTTCAGCTCCCAGCTCGGACTAATTTCTCTGCTCGGACTGACTCCCTTGCTCGGTCGGTAGCTTCAGCTTACCGTAGTGGCCGCCCCCGCAGCCCTCCGCCACACTACGGAGATGATGAGCACGACGAGCCTCTGCCGGTTTACGACGCTGCACAATTGCCCGGCTACCAGCAAGGTGTTGAGGCGCCGGCACCGCAGAGTCCGAGCTCTGGTGATGGTGCTCAGCGGTAGACAGGAGTGCAGCAATGACGGTGTGCAGGCACTTGCCTAGTGTGTTGGATCGAATGAGCCGATTTGCTGGAAGATAGGTGAATCATATATAGGAAGGCAAATGTTAGGGCGTTGGTGTTGTTGGAGTGATTGGAGATATTACTGTTCGCCTATAGTAGCCGTTACGTGGCAGGGCCACTTTGGAATGGCGCATTTACGGTTGTTGATCTACGCCAACAACGGCCTACTGTTTACATGCTAGAAAGTAGGCATTTAACTCTCACAAGCAGGGAATTCCGCCCTTCCTTCTTCCCTGGACAATATATCACATTCTACCCTCTTATTGACCTCGCTGAACGTGCGGTAGCTTCCGAGTACACGGAATTATAAATGAGTTGACAACAAGATATTTCTCAAAACTGTGCCTTGCGCTATGATCCAATGACATGGTATTATGCATTTAATCAATAGTTTCTAGTCGAGGCATTAATATTGACTAAGTGAACGCCTACCTGATCGACTAACAAACAACGGAGCCTGGGCAAGTAATAGTGAGAAGTAAATTGCAAACAGGTAGGTAAAAAAGGTATCTAAATACGAGTTCGTGTATACAACGAGAAACATTCTTCCCTCTGCCTTGCGCCATTCGTGAAGCTCTCTTAGTTCAACACTAGTAGAGGATCGTTTTAAACCACTGTCCACAAGAGCGAGAACTAACCAATACCCCAAACATAAAATCGACCAACATTGTACGTATTAACGAGTCATCGCCACTGCACCACTGCACCACTGCACCACTTCCTCTGAGATTTGAGAATATCTGCCCTAGGCTTTGGCATCGGCCTCAGACTCTGACGCGGAGGTGCTGCTCCTCCAGAAGGAGTAGTTGACGGCCGCCCACTTGCCCTGGAAGCTGCGGCCGGGGTTGTAGACAGCGAGGGCGATGGCGGCGAGGGCCATCATGAGGCCTTCGAGGACCATGAACGACTCCTGCTGGTTGGCGAGCTTGCCGTTGAAGCCCTCGCTCAGCTCGGCGACGCGGAACACGCAGCGGATGAAGATGCACACGGTGGCGACAACGACGGCTGTGACGACATGTTAGACAAGATATTAAATGACCGCCTGAGCTCGGGCTGAGAACTCACCAATTAGGAACCGCTTGAACAGCGTCGACCCCGTCACCTCGTTGACCTTGGTCTTGTGCGACTTGACGATGCGGAAGCCGACCTCTGCAGCCAGGCCCACGAACAGTGCCATGCTGGCAACCTGGAACGCGAGGCCGGCAACCATGATATGGATGCCGGCGTCCTCTGATGCTTTTGTGTCCGCCATGGACGCCATGGCGCCGCCCGCGGCCTGGAGGAGCAAGCTGATGAAGTCGCAGGCCACAAAGATGAGTGTGTAGGTGCGGGGCTTGAGGCGGCTGATGTCGACGCCCTCGCTGGCATAGAGCACGACGACGCGCGCCAGGCACAGGTAGATGCCGGCGCTCATGAAGGCGGGCGCGATGGTCAGGGGCACGAGGTACAGCATGAAGTTGGCCTGCTTGAAGGGGTTGTAGTACATGAGCACGCGGCCGACGTAGCCCAGGATCTCGAGCAGCAGCCCGCAGAAGAAGGCCGCCGTGAACCCCCACGTGCGGTGCCTGAACCCGTACACCAGCTGCGCCACGAGGCAGATGGCGAACACGATCGCGTACACCAGGTTGCCCAGGAAGGTCGGCCGGTAGGACGAGTACGAGAACTCGAGGCTGCACGTGTCGACGGTGCACGACTCGTCGGGGGACATTGTTTCGTCAGACATGGTTGCGGTTGGAGCAGTAGTGCGGCTTCGGCCGTGTGGCTTCAGTCAGGCTCGGGTGTGTTGTCGTGTGAGTGTGGGCTGGGGGCGAGGATTGCTGTCGCGGTGGAGAGACATGAAGCTGGCGTGTGGCAAAGGGGCTGCCGCCGTGGCTAAATATGCTGCTTCTCAACCTACCAAAAGCCAAATGGGAACAACTGCGAGATACGGTTCTGTTTCGGAGCTGAAAGCGAATTCGCAACTGAGCCCAATGCGTTCTCGGTTGTGGCGTTGGCGGGCCAATCGGACTCGTTCGTCGATGGCTGCGCGCGCCCTTCGCAGCGGACTGCGAATTTCGCAACCCGCTCGCTGCTGGCTGCGGCTTGGCATTCGCAGTTGGGCGCCAAGTTTTCTTGGCCCACACTTCTCCCCTTGTGCTGGGATAAAATGTGATATCAAAGACCAATACGGTCGTTGGGCTGTATCGCTGTACTCTTGGCATCTATCAGGAGACTGGGGACGCTTGGTGTATTCTGTCTGGTTGACTCTACCTATGAGCTATCTAAACTTTGGGATTTCAGGAGTTGGGGAGTATCCGCCGACCAGCCACTCAAGACAAAGAAACAGAGAGTCGCAGTTGAAGCACTGACTAATAGTCGCTTCCATGAGGTTGTAAATAACGAAGGAGATAATTCAGGGGTAATTCTTAATCTCAGGTAACCGGTCTACATAATTACAGTTCCACGCATTGTATTTGCAAGGTTACACGATCAGCCGATCCACTGTGAAACAGCCAGGTCCAGGTTGTGGAGAGTGGTTGTTCATTATGGTGTGGTGGTGAGGTTCTGTGTGCCCATGTTACACGTATCACCCGCATTTCCAATATTACCACCCGTAAGAACGCCTCTTGATTCTTCCTGCCCCTCCAGTCACCCCGAACGGCCAGCCACTGTGGAAGCCAGGGAGGTGAGAGCACAGTAACACGGGCAGGGACATGTCACCCCCCCGGGACTGTGTTGCATCACGCGTGCCCCCGCTGGCTATATCTCCAGGCAGTCCCTGTTTCCGTCCCAGACAAGCCTCGCTCCACCACACACTCACTTGCCTTGCCCGTCACCGATCCTGCATCGCCATGGCCATCACCGATCCTGCATCGCCATGCCCGTCACCGATCCTGCATCGCCATGCCCGTCACCGATCCTGCATCGCCATGCCCATGTCGAAGAAATTTGTCTCCCAGGGAAGATTCCAATCCGAGTCCAAAAACTCTGCAATCGAAAACCCATTATCGAAGCCTCCGTATCCCGGCGTCGAAGCCCCCGAGTCGAAAAACAAGGGCGTCTCCGCCTGCTGCTGCGGCTGCACATGATCTTGGTGCGTCTGCGTCTGCGTCTGCATCTGCGTCTGCATCTGCGCCTGCAACTCCAACATGCCCGCGCTCCGCGCCTTCTCGAGCTGGCCAAACACGATCAGCCCATCGAAGATGATGCTCGCGCCGAGCCGCGTGTTGACCTTGCCCTCGGCGGGCACGCCGGCGGCCGTCTGCACGAGCCGCTCGAGCGTCTTGGCCACGGCCACGTGCTCGATCGAGTTGGCGTACGACATGAACGTCTTGTGAGAGGTCACGAGGTGGTTGCGCGCCAGCTCCTGCTCGGCCTCCGCTTCGGCTTCCCCGCTGACGCCCGGCGCGGCCGCCACGGCGAGGAACTTGAGCAGGAAGAAGGATGCCATGACGAGGCTGCGCCAGTAGTGGTGCGGGAAGTACATCTGGCGGTTTACCCTCTGTGGCGGGCCGGGCGGGGTCGAGGTGGATGGTGCTGACGTGGCGGCTGCTGCTGGTGAGGCATCCCACGCGGCCCCCGTCTCGACGCCTGTCGTGTCGCGCGGCGACAGCACGGCTTGCTGCTCCTCGGAAAAGGAGTGGATGTAGCTGACGGCAGCGGCGAGGCCCGAGTAGATGATCTTGCGGGCGCCCGAGTCGGCGAGCAGCGAGCGGGGGCTCTGGCCGGCCGCCGGCGTTTCTACACCAGCGCTGCCGCGCTTGGGCGAGACGAAGATGTGCGCGTACAAGTACAGCTTGGCGCTCGTCAGGTTCAGCTCGACGTTGCTGCTCCACGTCGACTCGAAGGTGGCCCGCAGCCGGTTCAGGTCGCGCTCGAACATGTTGATGTACATGACCTTGGCCGCCAGGTCCATGGCGTTGTCCAGGGCCCGCGTGAACCGCGCCACGTGCAGCTGGATGTCGGTCTGCGCCACGATCACCTTGGGCAGACCCGATGGGTTCGCGAGGATGGCGTCCATGTGTGGAGTGGCGTCGATGAAGGGGGGGACGCCGAGAAATGTGCTTAGGCTGAGACGCCACGTTCGTGGACAATTAGTGCGCCGGCATTTGGTCGGCAGGAACACCACAACTCACCACACGCTCGTCTGGAATGCCATCATCCACGTCACGGTCCTCAGCTGGGCCTGCTCTTGGCCTAGGTCGGGAAAACCGTACTCTCGATGGAACCCCGGCCGGTGCATGCCCATCTGGAGCGCAGCATTCATGGCGAGTCCGCAGTACCCCCAGCTCGGATCGTGCGTGGGGCCCGGGTACGGTAGCGGCCACATGATGATGATGAGGATGGCGTGCATCTGCGCGACGGACCTCGTCACCTTGACGATGCTCGTGGCTAGCAGGGTCTCGTACGCGGGCGTGAGGACGGGGTACAGGTGCGAGTGGGCGGGCGAGTACTTGGACGCGGTGATGATGACGGTCCAGAAGAGCAGCGGACACATCTCGTACATGCCGTCTCGGGTCTTGCTGGTGTCGAGGACGGGGAAGTGGGCGTAGAGGTGGGCCTGGAACCTAGCAGAGGTACCCTGGTGAGTTGGGTGTGGTTGTGGTCTGACATCTTCACTTACTCCAGAAACAGGTCAAACGCGGTTGCCCTGTCGACGTGAATATCCCCCCCGAGAACGTAGTGCTCCCTGTGCATTCCGCCGTCGTCCGGGTCCGGGTCCGGGCCGAAGCACACCCCGGACATGAGGACATTCATTGCCAGCGTAGAGCTGGATGCATCGCTAATGACGCTCATTCCGCCCAGCCCGACGGATTGGGGAACCGAGCCGATGCCGCCGTCGCTGCCAGCCACCGAGGCACCCGGCAGGGGGATGCCGTTCTGTGCGCCGGGCTGGGCATCCCGTCCTAGCAATTCTTGGTATTTGCTCAGCTCCTTGGTTACCTCTTCCAGGCGCCTGCATCTCGGCATCATACCACATTGTCAGTTGGACGGAATGCGACTGGAGCTTCATTGACGGACTTGCCTCCGGACTGGTGTCCTCCTGAAGTGCGAGTCCATGCGACAGGCGGATTTCTTGACGACACAGCGCGAACACGGAGCCGGGAATGTGTCCCTCGCATCGCATCGGAGCTTACCGCCATAAAGCGCATTAATTAGCTCGCTCGAATGCGTGCGCCAGTGCGGTGAAGACGGGTGATTTATCTTTGTCTGTTTGGGGACCGACCTTGACCTGTCGACAGGCGGTGCACGACGTGGCCCGCCCCTGGCTTTGCGCAGAGAGGACAATGCGGCTCGCCATGCTGCCTTAGTAATTGTATTGCAGAAAAAAAAATCGATGTGAGTCCGGGAGCAGACGGTGGAATTGAGCCGCCTCGGGCCGAGTTGACGGCGACCAGGCCGGGGGTGAGCGCTGGTCAGGAGAAGCGATGTGACGGCCAGTCTCCGCTTGGTGGACAGATGGTGCGGTGATTGACGCGACTGTTCCAAGCCATGTTTCTTTCGGAATTATCTGGTGCGCTCGCCGTGACCGGCCGGGCAGGACAGACACGCTACAGCCCTTTTTTTTCTTTCGCTGCGGGCGGTCGGTTCTGGTCCCGCAGCTGAATCCGCATGCAGTTGTTGCTTTGCGCAGGCCGCGCTAGTCCATATTAGTCGCATCTGCACATGCTGGCGTTCACGCTGGGCTTTGTAAGTGGGGAGACGGCTGGGTGCCCAGAATGCCCAGAGGTTCTAGACCCGCTGTGGCGTTTCTCGATGTGCGAAACAGCCGACTCGCGCCTACCTAGCTGGATTAATGCGTCCGAGCAATCACAACAGAGTTATTACATTTGGCAAGCGAGTGCTGTTCTAATGCGCTAGACAAGAAGCCAACTATCAATCAGTGTACCACAAGGAACACGGATAGCATGGGAACTGAACAAAGAAACGAGTGCAGCTCAGGTACGCAAAGGAGTCGCTGGTACAAATGAACTAGGCGATGTCAATTAATGATGTCAATTAATGATGTCAATTAATGATGTCAATTAATGGATGTCAATTAATGAATGAGAGTGCATTTGTAGTTGCCGCCCAAGGTTCGGACCGCCGGTCCAGCGCTAATTATGTAGAATCCAACTCCAGTCTTGCCAGCAAGACTTGGTATTTCATATTAAGCCATAGGTGCGTGAGAACCCCTTCGGCGGTGATACGTTTCTTGCTATCGTACTCGAAGATCTTGGTGAGCAAATGATAGAACAACTCCGCCTCCTCGGCCGGGATGTGCGGGAATCCGCCCCCCGGCTACGGTATTGGTCCAGTTCAGCATGTTCTTGGGGGACTCGAAAATGAGATCCGACGGCGTCTACAGAAGTGCACGAAGGGTTCATGCGCCTCTCGCGCCCCTGACTGGAGACGGTGAGTTGGACCGGGTGGCGATGGGGTGCTGGTCCGGGGTAGCGACAGGTTCCAGATGCCAAAGACTTTAGCTCTGAGGTCGAAGTCCTTGTTTGGGGGTTCGGAACCGTATTGCTGCACTATCCCGTGAACCGGGTGCCCGTCATCGTCGAAAGTGACGTTCCACCACGCGGCAGGCGGGTTGCCAATAGTGAAGTAAAATATATCGATGGGGTGGTTTTCGTACGCGTACATCATCTCGGAGGCGTTGAACAGGGAGCGGTCATTGTTAAATTTCTTACCGAGATGGACGGGATGGAGGCCCCCCTGGAATCTACTGTTCCAGGTCTTCAACATATCTGTTAGAATGTGTCAAGCAGAAGGGCCCCGAAGGTTCTAGATAGAGACTTCGCCACCTACTTCGCCACCACAATAGTAGTATAAGAAGGGGCTTTCTGGCACTGCCAGAAAGCTAGAGAGAAGAACACACATCTACAATCCATCACTTGAACCACCAGCTTTCGGCGTACAGTTACGCCCTGTTGATTCCAGTACCGGTACCCTGGTGAATCCAACAATATCCGTAGAGATTTGAAACGCCGTATTTGTCGCTGTTGGTGGCCCATGCTGCTGGCTTCGAGTTCGGTTAGCCCTGAGTGCGTGGGGAGGCTGTGCGCTAGCGCGAAGTTGGAGGCTCCCTAGCTGGCAGGTGCATGCCCGCGCATGGGTTCTTGCCCACACATTTAGTACGGGGATTTGCCCCTCCTAGAGTTAGCCTGCCAATGTATTGTCGCCCCAACTAAACTCTCAAAGACTTTAGCGCTAAAAACCAAAGTCTGGGGGTCAAAGAGTACCCCAACTATCAACGACAGAACCACTAGATAACCCGCTTCCCAAAGATGCTCGAAAGGCTGGATTTGATAACGCCAAAGTCTTTGGGGAGCAGGAACCTGGCAAAGAAATCCTGGCTAAGGCCAAGACACCAAGTCCAACCCGGTCTGCGACCAACTCGCGGCCAGGTTCCAGTAGCGGCAAGTAAACAACTTGGCCCACCACACTTCTCCCTCTCAGGAGAGATTGCCATGCTCCTCTCAGGAGAGATTTCTATGCTCGGCAATAAGTTCACAGAACAACGATAAGCCCGGAATGTGGTGAAACATGCCTTCTAGGGCAGCGCGGTCGGGAATTTTATTCTGCCTATTTTATTCTGCTTGCAGACATTGAAGTGGACTTCTGGCACTAATGTCAGCGCAAGTGAGCCATTTTGGCGACCTATTCTTGTCGTCTCGATATTCACGAGGGCCCGGGACGGGCGAGAACTAGCGGGACTACGTCGACATGTCGACTTGATGATTGGGGATCCAGAGCCGACTCTATATTGGTTGTTTACTACCAGGATTGCGTGTGTAGGTAATTACGGGTGGCGGTTTCGCTCAGTTGTCTGTTGTGTAAACTCATACACTCCAGACTTACTCAATTGGGGCAGACCTACTCAATTGGGGCAGACTTACTCAATTGGGGCAGACTTACTCAATTGGGGCAGACCTACTCAATTGGGGCAGACTTACTCAATTGGGGCAGACTTACTCAATTGGGGCAGACCTACTCAATTGGGGCAGACTTACTCAATTGGGGCAGACTTACTCAATTGGGGCAGACCTACTCAATTGGGGCAGACTTACTCAATTGGGGCAGACTTACTCAATTGGGGCAGACCTACTCAATTGGGGCAGACTTACTCAATTGGGGCAGACCTACTCAATTGGGGCAGACTTACTCAATTGGGGCAGACTTACTCAATTGGGGCAGACTTACTCAATTGGGGCAGACTTACTCAATTGGGGGGCCGCCGGAACGGTCTCGGTTCGTCAATGGGAAAAATAAATTTGGCAATATTAGCAAGCCCAAACTTCTTGTGGCAATAGGGATCTAGACGGCTGCTAGCACGTAGGACAGATGCGGACGTGTAATAGTAATTGACGGATGCATTGCCCACACCAGAAAATCCTCTCCGTCTTCATTTAGAACCCCTACTTTAACGTCATCTGTTGTACAATTAACTACCCCTTTCGCCTGGACGAGTTGAATGACCACGGCACGCGCTGATCCGATGTTAATTAAAAATGCGTGTAAGAGATCCCGAGCCTACCAACCCCTTGACCAGAACCCGGCCACGTGTCATAGAGAGCGGATGCACGCCCTGCAGAAGTTTGCGCCGGGCCGGTTCCTAGTCTTGCACGCCGGGTAGCGGCACACGTTGCACTCGCAGTTGACGTCGACGGTGAGCAGGCAAGAGGCGCATTTCAGCTTGCGGCAATTGCAGTCGCTGCTGAGGCTGCATTTCGTTTCTGGGTACATGTCGCAGTGGCAAGCGTACTCGCGTATCGGCCAGATCTTCTTGTCACAGTGCAGGCAGAAGATGACGCTTGTGCGCACGGGTCCACTCATGGCGGCGCCGTTGGGGGTTGCACCGGGCTGGATTTGTGTGCGTGTGCCGAGAATGGAAAGTAATTGGTTCGCGAGAATATGCCCGATTTTTAGGTGGAATCAGGGCAGCTGATAAACAGATAACACGTGATATCAATGCTCAGGGGCAGTAGATTATCAGGAGAGTACAGTGTTCTTATACACTGGGATGCAACTGGTGCGACTCGCATTTGTTTGTGCCGATTTGGTAGCGCACAGGGTGGAGGTGTCATGCGGCGACGATCCTAAATGGGGATTATATTGAAACTCATAGGAAAGATTAGACCTATGCGTCCCATGCTTGGAGAACCAAGCGCTTGCTTGGCCAAAACGGCTGGATCCGAAACCGGCCAAACCGTGTGATATATGTTGAACGTGATACCCGGCGTGACGCATCCTTGGTACAACCAGAATCGGGTCTTGAGTAAAGTCTTGAGTAAATTCTCATTGCAAATTTCTTGCTAGGTTATGGCCGGACCGTCGTTATAATGATGGACTTGACAACTACCTATTGCTATGTCCATATCGTCCTAAAACGGCATACCCTCTGAATCAAACGCCTAGTTAAACAATACCTAGAGTGAATCTCGGTCCACAATGGTAGGCATCTTTGAGGTTCTAATATTCGAACTTGGAGAGTTGGCAGGTACCTCTTGATAGTTAATTGGATTAAATAGGAAATGTGCCATCGATCATCCGTGGTAGCTATAAGAATCTCCCTCACGTAGAGGTGTTAATCTTCTTTTTCTTCTCAGTTTGTCTAATCTGATGCTTGCCCGTCTAAAATGTACCAACATGCGACATTACAATGTCAAGGTCTTCTTCGACGACATTTCCAATGAAAAACACCTCCATGTCGTGACTTACAGTAAGAATCCTCGAGTAATCAACCCGTGACACACTCGCCAACTTCTCGCTGGGGTGCAGAATGGCCACCCTTGCCAGAATGAAACTAATGTTTCTCTTGGGGAAGCCCTTCGGGCTGCTCTCCTTCGTTCCAGACTATTCCGTGCTTGCTTGGCTTAGCTTTGCAGCTCTTGTTTTGTGGCCTCTTCGACCGTAGGTTGATATTTGCTATACAAAGTTATATTCCTTTCGTATCCAACATGTCTCGCGCTCATCGGGCTTACGGAGGGGAGGGGCGCTTACATGCATGTAGCATTTTCATCGACACTGGCAACAACAATAAACGTGAAAATCTCAACTCGAAACTTTTGCCCCTGCCAGACAAAGCTCCTATCTTTGTCAACTTGCCCACCATCATTGTCTAAGACTAATTCTATGAAATTAATCTTGAACACCTGCTGAGCAAATTAGAAGTGGTTTCTTTCGCAGCGTCGCTTGAATCAACACCCCTAGACCCGATAATGAAGCTATTACGCACCTGACAACCTTTGACCCTGTATGATGGTTCCACTACACATTCTGTTATAAATTAGAACCGGAGGAATTCACTTCGCGAATGGAAGATGTGGCTAAGACTTACTATAATATAAATCCGAGTCTATATCAAAGTCGTTCCCAGTGCTCGGTGGCGGGTCTACGCGCCCGAAGTCAGACAGAGACACCGCCGGGAGGTACAATAGTGTGTCATCAATCATGCCATGTACCAAGCTACCCCCCAAGGTCTTCATCTTAGTCCAGGCTGACTGATTCCTTTCTCCTGCCACCCCGCCGGGGGGGCACTAGGGTGTTTGGAGGGTCCTGCAGAGTTAGAGTCGTGCTCCATGGTGAAACGACTGAGGCGGCCCGATAGGTCTAGGATTGATTATCCAGGTCAAGTAGATCTCGAGCGCTTATATAACGATGGAGAAATCTCACCTTCTATTGACCGTGACGATTATTAGAGACTGCCAAACAATGGAAGTCACAAAACAATGAAGTAAGCAAACCTCCGCTCTTGACTACACATTCCTTGCGCCGCATACAGTTGACGTCGGCTGTCCTGTGTCCGGCCCTTGCAGCTCGTCCTAGATCTTAGACGTGACCATACTTTCGCTTCTCTAATGTGTCGGGGGTGGCTCTCTGCGTATACTCTGGAATATAGCCGGAAACGCTTCACAAGAATCACGTGAAATTCACGTGATAGGTTACAGAAATCTCTACCTTCCCAAGGTGGCAAGACAGTCCATGATACACAGCGACTCCCACTGGAAATGTGGATTATCGGAGCTCGTCGTCGGGTCCGCGCGCGAAAACTGAGGTCTGTTCCGAGCCCTCGCTTGGTTTGGTGCTCACATTGCTTAATCCCGCGACTCCTCACGGGTCTTAGTAACGCCATTGATCTTGCAGTGAATTATCAAAGTGTTTGACATGGTTGTTCAGTGAATATTGGGAGGTCTGGTCCAATGTTGACCAAGGGAGAGAGGCTCGGCACCAGCCAGAGCAACCAAGAGTAAACGATCGCTTAGTACCCGTGTTCAATAGCGAGCGAGTCTAACGGTTGGCGCAGAATGTTATCTTAGCTGAGCTGATAAAGTAAGAATGGGCCGCTTACCTATCGCGCCAGGGAGACTGAAAGTAGACGTTGAGCTTGCAACTAAGTTGAAAGCAGGAGCGCAATCCTGCAGCCAAGGAAACCTTCCGTTTCTTTCACTTGGGTCCAGAGTCCGGAATATCAATGCTTTAGCACTAATGTCCTGAAATAAGTACAGGTATCGCTTATTTTTGTTTGTTTGGCAGTTGAGCTAGAGGGAATATCTCGTCGCTCATTTACTCATTACGAGATTCCCCCACTTTTCCGTCGTTTCCCCACGAGCTCGATCGTAAAATTTGGTGTCTTCTAATCCCCGAGACTAAATACAAGCTCAAATACCAGAGGAACGAGAATAAGCGGTATGCAACCAAGGTGGCCTGCTGGCTGCTGCCAGGGGGGAACTTGAAGACAATGTCCCCCTTATTGTTCCATTTGGAGAAACCTCCCGAGTGAACCCCGTTGCCAAGACACTTCACCAAGTCGCTTTGGGGTAGTCGTATATCGCAAGGTTGCAGTAGCTGGGATCATTGGCTTATCCCTTTGTCGCTTAAGGACGAGCTAGGCCCCGGACGGCCCAGAGATCTGACCTGACATCAGACTCGGCTGCTAGATACTGCGCCTTGAATAAGCATTTACGAGATAGATCTCACTCACCCTTCATTTAAACCACCGCACAAGCACATTTCGCTCTTCCCACACTTGTTCAATTTGTTCTTCATTTCTCAATCACTGGAAAACGGCTCAAAATATCCTGCTACTCACCCATCCGATTTGAACTCACCGACCATGAAGCTCTTCGCACTGTCCCTTCTGTTTACCCTAGCCGCATGTGTTGCGATTCCCGTGGTCCCCGGGTCGGCAAATTCCAGCGCTGCCGGGTCAGCTGAGCTCGACCTCGAACGACGTGCCGCTAGTCGCAACGAGGCCATCTACCTTGTCCATTGCATCCATCCCGTTATATACGGCGCTTCCTTTGTGGTTTGGTATAGCGATGGTAGACACAAGTCTCAGAACTACCAGTTCCCGAACGCCCTCAGCAATCTGATGCACGGGGACTCTGGAGGCTACGTGGTGTGGGAGCAAGGCCGCAGCATTGGTGTAAGTTGAAACATGTCGGCTATGCCTTTCTAGCCTCAACCGCTCAGTGTTTCTAACTCGCAGGATCGTGTAGGGTGCGAGGTTTGACTCGGGCGTTGCTGTCACTTGGAACATTGATAAGGGAGCGCAAAAACTCGTAAGTCCCGTGGCTCATGGTTTCTTTCACATCACTTTATGCCCGAACCCCTCCATTGCACCCACAACTTGATTGCGCTAATCTATCAATAGGCTGTGGGGGGCAAGGCTGGCACGCTCCAGCGTACCAGCCTCCCCTCCAAGGAGCCTGCCTGGACATGTCGCAAGGACAACGGGAAGAAGTTGTTCTCGTGGTCTACCGAAACGCAAACCTGCTTCAAAAAATACTACTGCTTCCCGGTAGGTTTCGTTGATAATAGTTGTCTTTCAGTGTCAAGGACTGAGGCTAACGCGTTAGCAGGAATGAAACCACCATAGTATAATTTCGTGTCGGTGAGGGTCGTAGCGAAGACAGGTACAGTGTGCCTTGGGCTGTTCTACATTTTTGATCTTGTACTACTATGGGCAATAGTTGGGTGCCTAACCTCTGTTCCAAAATAGTCTCCTTTACACCCCTGGTGTTTGTTCCCATGTGGCTGGCTACACTAAACCCGCCACCCAACGTATTATTAGACGGCGTTTTCTCAAAAGTAGGGAAATAGGTCTCGGTATCTAATATGATCGTCAGTTCAAAGTCTCTGGATCTGCAGAGGACGCGGGTAGCAGGATTACCTCTCATCATCCTCGTTCTCCTGCTCATCGTCCGACTCGTCGTATTTGTTCAACGAGCCACCGTTTTTGTCTGTGTCATCCGCAGGAGGGATATATGGAGCCTTGGTGTCTCGTAGAGTCTCCCACAGAACGTCGGAGAACCATGGATGGGCCATGATCAGCGGCAGGGCGTCTCGGCCCGTCTTCCCTCCTAGGCGCGATGCGGGGTCCCGGACAAGGAGGGCACGGATGAGGCTCGCTGCTTGGTCCCCTAGCCAATGGGGAAAGTTGACCTCACACCGGAGGATGTTTTGGTAAAGGAGCGGCTCGATAACATTGCCATGCTTGTCCAGCGCCGCTTCGTGAAACGGATTGGTACCGGCTAGCATGAAATAGATGAGGACTCCCCAGGACCACCTAGAAATATATGTACCAGCACAGGTCAGTTTGGAGCTTGTCATTTATCAGTGAAGCACTCACCAGTCGGAAGCCATGGTTGTCCCTTCAGAGATCAAAACCTCGGGGGCCAAGTAGTCGTGACAGCCACAAATCGTCCGTGTTGAGTCCGTGTCACGCAAGACCTTGGCAAATCCAAACCCGACAAGTTTAACGTGCCCTTGCGACGACAACATGATATTGTCGGGGTGCATGTTCCGATAGACAATGTCCTGCTCGTGCAGAGACCCTAGCGCCTGGGCTACTTCGGCTGCGTAAAACCTTGCCACATGGTTTGGAAATCTCCGGAACTGTGGTTGCAGGTTTTGTCTGTCAGCCACTTTCTGGGTTTTGGGTACGGACACCGAAGTGGGTAGTGGGTAATACACAAGTACGGGCAGGGAGAAGAATGGAAATTGTAAAATAAAACCCAGGAAAAGACGTACAGGAACCTTTTCATGGAGAGATGATAGCTCTCCACCGGCAATAAATTCGGAAAACATGTACAACCGTCCCGCGTGGCAAAATGCCCGCTGTAGCGACTGCAAGGCAGGCGAAAGCAAGGAACGCCATATACGCACCAGGTCATTGGTCTGCCAGACCCGGTTCTTCTCGACCTGTGTCTTGCATTTTATAATCTTGACGGCGGAAAGTCTGCTGTCCACGATCGACTTTGCCAACACGACCCGCGAACGCGTGGAAAGTCCAATGGTCCGGAGATATCTGAAGTAGTTATATTTGCATCTGTTCCGGGCCACGTTTGGGCAACGGAGGCAGGCAGCCACTTGCATGGTGTGTCGTCTGATATGATCCATATGATCCTTGGCGTCAAAGGGTGGTGGGGTACTATCGCTGGCGGCGCTGTGACTTGGATTGAAATAGCTGAAAGGCTCCGCGCCCTTGGTAAAGCTAATGGGGGGAGGGGCCTGCACTTCATGGTCATCCTTGACTTCTTCATTACCGGAGTCGTCGCGAATCTTGTCGTGATTGTCGTCCTCGTCCTCGTCCTCGTCATCGTCATCATCAAACACCTGCCCTACGTCGCGGAAGATGGCACTACTCGCCACAGACACTGTGAACACTTGATTTATTTGATTGCCAGTCCAGTCACCTTCCAGTCCCCGATTTTCTGACCCGACGGCCGTCGGGCCACGTGGGGGACGCGTGAAGACCGAGTGCTGGTTTCTGGAGCCCTGTCTTTGTGGCGTAGGTGACGAGTTGAAACCCACGGCCCTGACCCTGATTTCCTTGGACACGATCCGGACGCGCTTGAAGGGCATGACTGGTTCCCTTTGGGACTCACTCAATGGCTTCTTCCGCTTACGGCGAGCGTACGACTCCGCTGGAGCAAAGGCCGAATGTCCAAACACTGGCTTCATTCTCCACGGCTCGGGGAGCGGGCCGACGAAAATGGGCTCTAGTGGGACCGAGTCGACTTCTTCCACTTCCTCGATTCTTCTAAATAACAGTCCACAGTGTGCACTGATCGGGTACAGTTTGGTTAGTCCAACGTTCATCAATGCGGGATCTCGACGCTTACCATTCCACATCCGCGTCGGCTGAGCTGAAGGACGAATGGCGACAGCCAGGACACGTGTTGGCGCCGTCAGCAGCTGGCGCGGTACTCCGCTTGTTTTCGAAGATCAGGCTCATGTCAACCCTCTGGCCAGGTAGGAAGGCACCTTCCCAAGCGCGCGACCGAGAAATCTCTCGCCCGGTGCGATGGTCTTGGAGAGAATACTCGTGGCGTCCGATTTTGTCGGCCCCCTGGATATTGCGGAAGCGAATCTCCAGCACGGCATGGAGGGCTTCCCAGGAGTTGATGAACTGCAGATGAACGGGGGCCCGCCGTCCGATGGCATCCTCGAGAATGAAGGGGTCGTCGATCAGGACACGCTCCAGTCGCGAAGGTAGCTGTGTCTGTATCGCCACGACCGCCTGGTGCGTCTGAGTGCCAAGCTGAAGCAAGTTCGCGAGAGAGGCCTGCATGTCGGAGCATATCTTGCGTATGCGGCCGATACCATCAGTGATGCGGCCCACGATGGTCTTCTGCTCGGTCAACTGAGTGGTGGTCTCGTCGAGGCGGCCATGGATCCGAACCAAGACACCGCTGATCTCGTTGGCACTCGACTTTGTCTCGGAAGCCAGCTCTTCGACCTTGCTTGCGTTCCGCTCCGCCACTTTGCTACTCATTGATTAAATACGGCTTGTTAGGAACAGACGGCTAGCATTGAGACCTAAGAGCAAACAGGGACACCAACACATTCGCCGTGGCTAGCAGCATGCTGAGGGCATCTGTATGGATCGCGATGGCGGAACGAAACTTTTTGATGGCATCCTTCTCTGAGACCTGCCAGCGGATCTTCATGGCGGCATTGGCGAAGAAAGCGGCGCCCGAGCCCTTGTTATTGAGGTAGCGGTCATACTTTTCGATGCGCCGATACAAATCTTGGAGTGACGACTCGCAGTCCTTGACGGTGCTCCTTGCAGCATCGCAGATGGCAGCAATGTCCTGGGTTTGGACCGGGGACCGGCACAAGAGGTCGACCTGGAGGAGGCATCGCTCGAGGCTCCCGAGCTCTCGAGTCAGGCCCTGGTACTCGGCCCCCGAACCACGCGTTTTGTCAAAGGCATCGGCTAGGTCCTTAACCAGCAGGCAAACGGCGATAATGTCGCCCACTGACCCGAACGAGACGGCCATTGGTGATATTATATTGACTGAAGCGACGCCGACAACAATGGGGAATGGGGAAATTGGAGAGGTCTGGATAAGTAAGCGCGCACCCATGCAACTGTCATGCAACTGTCATGCAGGGCGCAGTCCCTGCTAAAATCCGCCATGCTGCGAGGCCAGTGTGGCAGTGCGTCAACATGCACACGTCGTCAACATGCACACGTGCAGCGGAGACATTGCCCAGCGCCCCCCCCCTCCCCCTATTGGGCTACGCTGCTTCGAGCTGTGAAGCTAACGTTACCACTGGCGCGATTTTGCAATATCCCTCTGCCAATTTAAAATCCGCGTCAATGCTAGCAATGATTGAACCAATTTGGTCCCTCCAGCCCTCCGCCTGCACAGGTGACCGCCGCAGTCGGCACGCCCTGGCCACCGGCCGCTCCAGGTAGCGCACATAGTTCGGACACGACGGGTCCTCGCGGCACGCCAGCCCGTCCCACGAGCGCCTGCCGTCCTCGCCTGTCGCGTGCCCGTACGAGTCTGGGTCGATGGCTTCGATCCACGACGGCGTTGTCGCGTGGCATGGTGCGCCACCGCTTGCAGAGACTAGGGCGCCACCGCTTGCAGAGACTAGGATTGTGCGCCAATATGTGATTTCTAGGCAGCGCCCGCCGCCGGCGCACGGGTCGACGTCGATGCAGATCCCGTACGCGGGCTCGGACGGGCAGCTTAGCACGGTGTGGGCGGTGTGGCTTCCGGTCTTGCCCTTGTTGTCGTTGCGCGGAGGGCGCGGGCGCTGGGGGGCAGCAGTGGGCTGAGGCGGCAGTTCTCGTCGGTGCGGCACGTCGAGGGCTGATTGGCGTTGTCATAGGTTGGATGGGCAAGCTGCCAGTTGTGTTGCGGGATGTTGACGGAGCCGACGTAGCGCAGGCAGCGGCAGCGGTTCGGGTCGAAGCACCGCATCTCGGGCAGGCTGCCCGGTGCGGACTGCGGCGCGATGAACTCGGCTGTGCCCTTGCGGAACTGGTGCAGCTCGTGCGTCATTTCGGTTGGCGTGAATCGCTTGGCGCCGACAAGGGCGTGCCGGTCTGGCAGGCGCAGGTGGCCGGTCCACTCCATGCAGAGCCGGATGACGCTTGTGCTGCTGCCTTCGGCGAAGACCGAAGGGTGGATCTTGTCCAAGTGATGCAGCTCGGGCGCCCTAGGGTTGTGGTGGGAGGGTAGATGGCTCGGATGCTGGCACTCGACGAGAAGAATGCGCGCCACTTGTTCCGAGTCGACCTTTTCCAGCTCGCGCGCGGCCTTGACTACGGAATCCCAGCGCACAACCTCGTGTTGGCAGAACCGCACAAACCCCTTGTGTCCGATGCACAGCTGAGGTCGCGAGTGGGCAGAGTGGCGACGCTGGGCGCGCGAGAAGTAGGCCAGCGGGTGCGTCGTCTTGCACGCCAGGCAATGCTTCTCTTTCGTCAGGCTCTGCACGCTTTGGTAGGCATGCCAGCTCCATTGTTCGGCACGCTCGCGGCACTCGACACACCGGCTTTTGGCCGAGTCCTCGTGCAACAGACGCAGGAGCTCGCCGTCTTTTCTCCTGAAAGTGAATGACTTCCAGGGGAGATTGTATTCGCTGCAGTTGACAGTGTGGTAGCGACGGAATTTCGGGGAGGCCGAGAGACGGAGTAATATGCGGCTCGTCCTCCGCAGACACTGTAGACTGGTTGGGTCGAGCCGTCTCATGATATCGAGCAGAGGTTTGTCAGGCAAGCCACACAAATGGCTCCGCTCCATGTTGTGTTGCACATCTGCCACAAGGGGGTCTATACATGTCTCTGGACGGGATACTCTGCGCTTACGTCCCGTCCAAGTTGTGTTTGGGTCGACTCCGAGTAGTGCAGTGGCGATCATGTTTCCCACCATTCGCGTGAACACCCTTGAACGTGGAAGGGGGGAGGTCTAAAATTGGAAAAAGAGGAGTGCGATCCAGATCACCCCGAAATTATATACTAATGGAATTTTGTGTAGGGCAGATGCTAAATTTTAATACTGAGTTTCATCTTCGGACCGCCCAAAACCTTCCTCCCAGCTGAGGTTACTATCAATACTTTGATGTAGAACTCAAAGAGTTCCGGGCAAAAATGAAAGGGGGAGGAGATAGGGGAAGGCTGAGAACCTAAAACCTCTAGACGTAGCGACCCAACAAGGAAATCGCCCCACAACGAAATCTCTGCCCCTGTCATCTAATTTCCCGGCCTTCAACTTCAAAACACCACAGCTTCATCAATTCAAGCCCGAATTGCTTTAAAATAAGCCATGTCGAACCGCCGTGAGCAGCTCACTCAAGCTGCAATACTTGCTGTTGAGCAGGGTGCCTCGCAGAAAGACGCCGCCAAGTTGCATGGCATCCCTGCCTCCACCCTCTGCAAACGCATCCATGGGGCAGAAAATCGTGCCAAAAGTAAACAAGCCGAAAGAAACCTCTCCGATGCGCAGGAAAGCTTCCTAGCCGACTGGTGCCTCAATGAGGAAGCTTCAGGGCGCGCTCCTAGCCGTCGTCAGGTGCAGAGATTCGCTCAAGCTATACTCAATGAGGCCGGCATGAAAAAGACCGTTGGCGAGTGATATGTGGATCGCTTCCTACGCCGCAACCCTGCGGTAAAGATGAAGAATTCGGCCTTGTTGGAATCGTCTCGCGTAAAGGGTTCTACTCGTGAGGCTTACAAAGATTTCTACAAGCGCCTGGCCTTCCAGATCAAGGATAAAAAGGCCATTCCTGCCAACATCGCCAACATGGATGAGCACGGCATGCAGGAGCTTGAAACACGGGCCGGAAAGGTCATCGGAAGCTCCCTGACGAATCGGACCTACGTAACAAGCTCTGATGCCACTACCTGGGTCTCAATTATCGAATGCGGCACTGCAGAGGGCGTTCGTTTGAAGCCCGTGATCATATTTACCGGGGCCAGTCTTCAAGGACAACACTTTCCAGATAACTTCAAGCTAGAGGACGAATTCCCGGAATGGAAGTATGATTACTCGACTACAGGCTGGAGCAACGCCCAAATCGCCTTGCGGTGGCTCAGAGAGGTCTACCTGATCCAAACCGAGCCCAAAACGCCGAGAGAATGGCGTATATTGATCCTTGACGAACATTCGAGCCACATGAACGAAGAATTCATGTTGACGGCATGGAAAAACAAGGTTCAGCTTGTCTTTTTACCCTCACATACATCGCACAAGACGCAGCCTCTCGATCGCTCTGTCTTTTCACCTTTGAAGACCTACTTCAGGCAAAACACCAAGGCTCTAGCGAGCTTCACATCGTCGGCACCCATCAACAAGAAACGGTTCCTTTTTTGTTACAGAGATGCCTCGGCCCAGGGTATGAGTGCCCGCAATATACTCTCCGGCTTCCGGAATACGGGCATTTGGCCGTACAACCCGGCCCGCGTACTAGATGACCCGGAGGCAGTCATCCAGGAAGATGCCCTCCCTGCCCGGCCTTCCACACCACCACAGGAGGACCTGCATGACGAAGACAGGACATTCAAAACACCAAAAGGAAGCCAGGATATTCGGAAATATCAGGACAGTATTCGGAATGCCCTCAGTCCGGCTCACAGGCGTGTGAGGGTATTGTTTACTAAGGTCGGGAGGTCCCTGGATCTGAAGAATACCGAGATCGCTTCTTTGAAGGCACAAATTACGCATCTAACGGCCGAATTAGAGGCTTCAAAGCCTCTCACGCGTAAGAGAGTATACGAAAATGGAAATGACAAATTTGCACGCATTGAGGAAATTGACAAGGCCCAAAAAGCTAGTCAAATGCCCCCCAAGCGAAGAAGACCGGCCCGGGCACCTGCGCAGCCACATGCAGTCGAAGAGGCCCGGGAAATAATCGCCCGTGGCCTTGAGCAATATATAGAGGCTGAAGAAGAGGATTGAATATGTTTTTGCTAGTTATTTTGTGTGGAAGTGGATAATTTGCGCTCGTAGGGTGGGTGTGGGCATGGTGTGGGTCAATTTCGTTGATGGGCGATTTCGTTGTTGGGTCGGCTCTTCTAGTGGGAGTATAAAGTGAAATTACAGCCGAATCAATTGAATAGTTCAAGAGCCTATTGCTCCTGGTTGCGGCAGTAACTCTAAGCTTATTGCTTATTTCCCTGCTTGCTTGATTCTGCCTTGATCTCCTTTAGTTTCTTAAACTCTGGGGCTCTTTCAGTTTATATACTTTTTGACCAGCTTTTGACAGGGTGTTTATTTTGGCTTTCTTTCGGTCAGTCTGGCTTTCCGGCCGTACTGAGCCTGGGCCAGGCCTAGCCTAGCCTGGCCGAGGTCTAGTTTACTTATAGCTAACTCTGAGGGTTGGCAATTCTGGCTGCTTTTCAACCACTTCTGCTCTTGGCCTTTTGCTTCTCTGTACGGGCCTAGTTCAACCCCTAGACCCCTAGCCTCCTAGACCCCTAGCCTCCTATACCCTAAGAGCCTGTCGGATCTGACAACAACAGCCTAGTTCGGGCTGCTGGCCATGGGCGGCCTAGACATGCCGCTAATGCATTGCCGCTGAACAGGGAGCTTTCCGTACTGGCGGTGCTAATACCTTGAGAACGTGCGTCGGAACTCTATGATGCCTCCTCTCGGTGCGGCGCCCGTGCGCCTGAACTCAGTATCTCTCTCCCTAATAACGCATCGTCAGTCTTAAAACCAGCCGGCTTTCTATCACCGTCCTCCACGTGTCGTTCTCGCCATCGAGTAACATTAGTAGTCGGATAAGACTCACATGAGGTTCTGAGGAACCAAAGCAAAGTCGATGGCTTCGGTGGTGTGGGCTAGCTATGCCTCACCCAAGCATGATGTTAGGGCGTGTCGCTCTGGCTCCCTGGGTTTCTGGCTGAGAGGACATCGGGACGACTGAGAGCAGTAAGCTGAATCGCCGTAGAAGACGCCCAATTATATGTGAGACTGTAATAGGTCGCCAATGACCTTGTTCTCATTCTCGACCGTTAGTGACAATGGTGTCCGTCCGTCGTTATCCTCCACGTCGACCTTGGCACCATTATCGAGAAGTAAACCGACAAAGCCCGATGATTCTGCTCGACGGCATACACCAGCGGGGTGCGTCCGCGCTTGTCTTTGGCGTCAACTTTAGCTCCTCTGTCCAGCAGTAATTGGGCAGCGAGGTCGCGGCCAAGCTCAGCGGCAAACGATAGCGGCGTTCGTCCGTCGTTATTTTCCACATCGACCTCGGCGTTCTTGTCGAGCAGGAGTTTAGAGATTGAGTAGTAGTCGCCCGAGGGGACATGAATGGCTATCAACAGTGCCGCCCATCCGTCTTCGCTCTGTGCATTGACATGGGCACCTCTATCGAGCAGCAATTGGACTAGGTCCACGTGCCCATATCTAGCGGCTATCATCAACGACGTCTTTCCATATTTATTCTGTCGATTGACCTCGGTGCCTCTGTCGAGCAGCAACTGGGCTACGACTCTGTGGCCGCCGACAGTGGCCAGCATCAAGGGCGTCTGTCCCTGAGAGTCCCCGCCGTTGACCTCGGCATTGTTGTCTAATAGTAGCCGGACGATACATCGAAATCCATTCCTAGCGGCTAGGGATAGTGGCGTCCACCCGAGGGGGCTCGGGACGTCGACGTTGGCACCTCTGCCGAGAAGAAGGCGGACGAGACCCTCGTTCTTCTTTGCGACGGCACTCCGCAGCGGTGTTCCTTGGTCCCCACAGCACAGGTCGATCTTGGCTCCCTTGTCGAGCAGCTGCTGGACGACGGCTTTGTGTCCACTCGAGACGGCCAACGACAGCGGTGTCTGTCTATTTCGACCACTCAAGTCGATCTCGGCCCCTTTATCGAGTAGCAGTAGGATGACGGTTTCGTGCCCATTCTCAGCAGCCGCGGACAGCGGCGTCTGTTCTTCGAGATCCTTTGCATCGATGCGGGCACTTCTTTGGAGCAGCAGCCGGACGACGGCTTCGTGCCCGTTTGCGGCGGCTATCAGCAGCGGCGTCCTCTTTTTGAAATCCCTCATGTCGGCCTGGATGCCGTGGTTCAACAGCAGCCGGACGACGATCTCGTGCCCGTCAGCGGCAGCTAATGATAGCGGCGGCCGACCGGACCTATTTTCGACTGCAGACCAGCAGTACTTCTCTCTTTTGCAGTAACCCTCCATGTCGGCCTTGGCGCCCTTGGCGAGAAGTAGCCGTACGACGGCCGCATGGCCGTTCCTGGCGGCATACGACATTGGCGTTTGTCCGTACCTGTCTTCGAAATCAGCTCCGACGCCCTTGTACAGTAGGAACCGAACGGCTTCATACCTATTCCTAAAGACCTATCCGGACAGGTCCTTTCCGTCTCCGTAGTATTCTGCCATGTCTACTTCGGCTCCGTGATCGAGCAGCAGCCGGACGATAGCCTCGTGGCCACTCTCGGCGGCGAAAGACAGCGGCAACCGTCCGTATTCGTTTTCGACATCGGTTTCAGCACCTCTGTCGAGTAGAAGTCTCACGATGGCCTCGTGGCCTCCCTGAACAGCCCCTGATAGCGGTGTCCAACGCTCCGAATTCATTGCATCAATTCTGACGTCTTTGTCGAGCAGCAGTCGGACCATAGTTTCGTGCCCTTTTGTGGCAGCAGTTATTAATGGGTCCTCGGTATCAGCATTAGCACCTTTCTCAAGCAGCAGCCGGACAATGGCTTCGTGCCCCTTGTCGACCGCAGAATCTAACGGTGTCCGGTCATTGTAGCCCTCGGCATTAACGTTGGCACCTCTTTCAAGCAACAGCCGGACAATGGCTTCGTGCCCCTCGATGACCGCATACGATAATGGCCTCTGCCTGCAGCCCATCCTGGCATCAGTTTCGACGCCTTTATCGAGCAACAGCCTGACAACGGCTGCGTGGCCATTCTGAGCGGCCCACGATAGCGGCGGCCTGTGGTCGTCGTCGCTGTCAGCCTCTGCGTTCTCGTAGAACAAAAGTTGGACAATGGCCTCATGTCCTATTTCGGCGGCCAGCGACAGCAGCTTCAATCTGACCTTGCCCCCCTGGCCTATCTTATCGAGTAGCAACTGGATTATACCCTCGTCCCCGTGTCTGACGGCCCACGATAACGCATCACCGTCGTTATTCATGTTGAACTCGGCGCCTTTATCGAGCAACAGCCGAACAATACCCTCTTTCCCATTTCCGATAGCTTGACACAACGCTCCGCCGTGTTCGTCACCACCCTTGTCGAATCCGGCGCCCTCATCAAACAGTAGTCGGGCGACGGCCTCGTGTCCCCCTTTCAGGGCTCGAGACAGTATCTCATCCATGACATCGGTTCTCCTGACGCCTTGGTCGAGCAGCAGCCGGACCACGGCTTCATGCCCGTTCTCGGCGGCATACCACAGTGGCGTGCGTTGAGATCTGCTATTCCTGAATTCTGACTTGACCATCGGTATGTCGAGCAGCAGCCGGACCGTGTTCTCTTGCCCATTCCCAGCCGCCCACGACAGCGGCGTCCGTCCTGCAGAATCACTCGTGTTGGCTTCAGCGCCCTTGGCAAGCAGCAATCGGGCCATGGCCTCTTGTCCGTTTGCAGCAGCCCGCGAAATCGGTGTCTGCCCCTTCTCATCTTGTCCATTAACCTCGACACCCTCTTCGAGTAGCAGCTGGACAACACTCCCATGCCCGGTCGCGGCAGCCCAAAAAATTAATCGCGCGTCTCTGGCGGCGACGAGATCCGGATGCTCTCGGATGAATAGTAGCGCTTTCTGCTCGTGCTCGTGTTGGAGCTTATTGTTGTTAAGTAGAATCAGGGCTATGTCTAGGTGACGATTCACTACTGCCAGGTGCAATGCCGTCTCTCCCTTCTTATTTGTCGTTGAAACATCGGCGTCGCTCGCGATTAACCTCTGGAGAATATCCGTATCGCCGTGATGAGCGGCCCTGTGTAGAGCCGCGTGCCCATCGCTATCTTTCGCGTCAATTTCGGCTTTCTTGGCGAGGAGTGTCCCTATTGTCCACCGCCCAGTGAAGTGCCGTTCTTCCGCGAGAGTCAGGCCAAGAGACCAAATCAGGCCTCGAGCACAATAGCTCTACCACCTCGTTATCTCCTCTTTCTACTGCTTCGTGCAATACGGTTCGGCCATCTTCGTCCAAGCTAGCGTCTAGGGATTGGACGGCTCGTAGCAAGGCTTCCACGGCCGCTTTCTCACCACATCGTGCCGCGTAGTGTAGTGCTGTTTTCCGCCTGTGATCCTCGTTATTGACGTCGATTTGATAGTGGCCAAGAAGGAGCGTTTCCACCACCTCTGATTTACCGCTAATCGCGGCCCAGTGAAGCGCCGTCCTACCATCGCCATCTTTGTAGTTGATGTCGGCTTTATCCATACGCCCCAGAAGATCTTTCACTCGAACGTCATCTCCTGCCGCAGCGGCCTTATGGATGGCTGTCTTGCTTTCTGTCCCGAGTTTGAATCTTGCGAACATGTCGGCGAATGCACCCCGACGGCAGTAGCTGAGCCGTGCCATTCGAGCGGTACCGGATTAAACTTGAGGATCGAGGAGACAGCAGAAACGCGACACTTTGTACGAGCCAGCCACCTCCGGAAAGGGTTGGGTGCCACGTAGGCATGCAGTCCCAGTGCACGTATCGGAGCGCTCCATCAGCTTTGCTAACCCCCAACCCGGTTAGATAGAAAATGTGGCGCAAAGGATCCGAGCGCCAAAGACACGGCGGTGCCGCGCGGTGCCACTTTGCCTTTGCGGAGTGCGGCTACAAATATTACCTACCTTACTCAGTACGAGACGATCGCGACCGGATATCCCAGTCTAGTACCCACCGTATCCAATTTCTCGCCATGGGCCAAGACGCTGCAGTCGGATGGCAAGCAAGCCCTGATCGCCGCAGCACGCTAACCATTATCGAGAACTCCCTCTTCACCATATTCGCCTGCACGTGGAGCATTCAGCATCTCAACGTCCCCGCACCAGGCGAGACTCTTTGGATGACGCTGTCGCGAAAGTGCAAGTGGGCAGCCTTCACCGTATTCTTCCCCGAATTCCTTATGGCGCAGGCCATCCTCGAATTTGTGATGGCCGTTGACGACATGAGCTTGCTGAATAAAATCGAGTGGCGCCAAAGCCTTCCTTGGTGGTATCGTGCTTTTCGACGCATCTCTAGCAACTCGAGTGACGAGGAGACGGCCGTCGGGAGCGAGTCAGAGGTTGCTAGCGGGAACCACGGGCAGCAGTGGACGCTCACACACTGCTACTTTGCAAACATGGGAGGCTTTCACCTGGTTGAGAAGGCCGATTTGTTTTCTGATGTCGGCTCATCTTCCGAGGCTGGCAGGTCTTCCGAGGCCGGCAGGTCTTCCGAGGCCGGCAGGTCTTCCGGGGCTGAAGGGTTTTCCGAAGCTAGCTCTTCCCCAGAGGCTACTGCTACATACATATTCACGGCTGGCCACTTCGCCGATTTCTGGCAAACCGTTGAAATCCCCGAGCTCTCGGAAAAGGACCTCAACGATAGAAGCAAAACAGATTATTTTACCAAGGCCCTTGCCGCCGTACAGATCGCACAGCTGCTTCTGTCTCTCATGGTTCGAACCGCTCGGCACCTTGCTTTCTCTCAGCTGGAGACGCTGACCTTGGCATTCGCAACCTGTGGAGTTCTGACTTATATCTGTTACTGGTACAAGCCACAAGATGTGAAGCGACCTATCAAAGTTCGCCTCCGCCGTGGAGAAGATGCCTTGGCCGTTTTTCAACAGCAGTATTTCGATAGACTTTGGGACGTCCTAACTAACTCCCGAACGAATGACGATAGCCAGTCTGTAGGTCGGATCCGCAACGACACCATCCCAAAGGCTGCGCCGGAAACAACACATTATGCCCTGTACGTATTGGCGATATTGACTGCCGGCTTCGGAAGCATCCACGCTCTGGCTTGGAATTTTGAGTTCCCAACTCGCGCCGAGCAGATAGTCTGGAGAGCCGCAACCCTTGCATCGTCAGCTGTGCCCCCGCTTGCGCTGCTTGCTATCCCGCTCTCCCAGATTCTTGTGCCGTGGGGAAATCCCCGCGAGTTCATGCACAACTGTTTGCGTGCAATGAGAGAATATTCCTGGGGCGTTTACCACAAGGAGCCTGTCCAAGCAGCCATGAGAAGGCTAGAAGAGGCTTTTGATGATATCGAGAAAGGCAAGCGGCACTACGGAGAGATATTCATGGAGGAAGCCGAGGATGACCATTCAGCACTCCTTGCGCAGCTGCTCGATTTTGTTCATGACGAGATAAGCAGAGGCAACCGTTTGAAGCTGCCCGACGATTTTCTCGCAAAGCTCACACAGCTCGCGAGTATCCTCGGCGCGGATGCCCAGTCGAGATGGCCCGACGGAGAACCCCGGACAAAAAGGCTTATCGAGGAAGCTAGGACGAACTTGTATCCCCAGAGGGTTCTCTTTACTCGGCCGGTCAACCTCGCCATTATCTATGCGACGAGCGCCATGTACTGTCTCGCACGTTTGAGTCTCATCGGTGTGGCCTTTGCTAGTCTTAGGCGGATGCCCGATTCTGTTTATGTGACGACTTGGGCGGCGGACGTTCCAAGCCTGCAGTGAAGTATTGGAGCGGGAAAGAGAGGTCACTGTCGATTCTGTAACTGGCCAGCCCTGACAGCACGGAACGACGGGGCGAAATGGACCGGGAGGTCCGAGACTAGAGATAAGACCAAAGAGGCACTCATACGAGGTGAAGTTGGTGATCACGGATTCTAGTATACGCAATTTGAACACGCCAGTAGTGCAGTGTGGACTCTGGTTTCTCTTCGGCGAGGCTAAGGAGGAAGATGTCTATGTCAGAGTACCAGGCTGAGAAGTCAATTTTTGAGAACAAGTGCTTCCACTGTCGAACGCATATCTGTGATATGGTCTCTGAGGGCAATACGTGGGTATTACTGATGGCTTCAGCAAGGCGCTCTGACGGTTCGCCGCTCAAGATCTGGAACGCTCCCGCGTCTGATCTTGTCTCTTAGCTTTGCAGATACCGTACTCTAGTGCGGTAGCCTTTCCATCGGTAGGTTCCCATCCCCCCCATCAGCGCACCGGGCCCAATCGCCGTCACCACCTACCGAGTACCGACATTGCCCCACCAGCAGCTGTAGCAGCGAAGCCAGACCCAGACTGATGGCTCCAGATGACGAAGATGCATCCCTCGAATAGGAGACGCACGAAACTCAGATCCGCAACCTGTTCATTTTGCAAAATAAGACATGGAAGGAAGTTGCCGAGGAAATGAGCGAGAAACACGGTTTCACGGCAACGTATGCAAGCACCCCTGCTTTCTGACCATGTTTCGCAGCTGACTGACCAGCGATTCACAGTAAGAGACAATACAAATATCGCTTTCCTGGTCTCAAAAACGTCAAGGAAGACGAGTGGGCGTATATTGAAGACGAGATCAGGAGCCGAGACGCCCTCGGAAAGCTGTTTTTGCTTGTCTTCACGGCCAACCTCTTCTACCGGGCCGTGTCAGCCGTGGGATTGCTCGCGTCCGAATTGCTCGACCAGGGGTCACTAAACAGCCCTCGAGCCGTGAGTTTACAGCAAAGGAGTCAAGTCCAAATAAAAATGGCTGATATATCAAAAGAGAGCAGACAACATCATCTCAAGAATGGCAGGATTACCGTTCGGACACCGCCGCCACTCTCTATAGCATTAGCATCTTCTCCGCCAAGCCCTACTGGCCCTCAAATCCTCCAGCAAGCGCAATGCAGGGTGGATACCGGCCTAGCAACGGTTTCCTCGTTTCTCCGCCAATGTAGAACTACAACACTGGTGTCCGACGATCCTGGAGAGTGGCTCGATTCTGGGCTTGCCTTTGGTAAGTAATCACGCTAAGCTTAAACACTCCATGAATTTCGCTAATAACCACTGTAAGCAGCCAGTCCTATGTTTTCCTGGAGAACCCCCAGTCCAGTGCAACATGAACTTCAAGAGGCGTTGGACCTCTAGAACGTCTTTCTCACACTTTCACATCCTCGGTCTCCGTCGATTAGGGCAAGCACTGTCCAATCGCTTACTAGCCCTTTCGGTATTAACGTCGCAGACGCCAGCATTCGTGTCATTTCCCACCAAAACCTGGTCACAAATCTACCATGGTTTCAAGTTCTGGCTATGATTGAGAAACAGCCTGGTGAGTATACGAACATGTCTGCTCCTAGGTTCATGTCTGCTAACCTTATGGATAGATTATCATAGCTGGCGTCGTCAAATACCTTCTCCGGCGAGAATTCACGACCCTCAGGGTGCCGCGTCCTCTAACAATCTCGTCGAGAGACGGAAAGTGCTCTCAGATCTTCTTGGATCCCCCGCCCAAAGTTTTGCGGAGCTCGCCACACAGTTCCAGGGGTTCATCCCTGAGCGAAGAGAAGGTGACCTTTCTGAGAAACTCGAGCGGATCGTGGATACCTCGTCTCCCGCTACAAGTGCACTACCAGCACTTTTTGCTCTCACCGCCTTCTTCGCATCCAACAATAGTCTTGACAAGACGAAAATGGACGAATTTCTCCGATGGATCATCAATAATCAGTACTTAGCTTTCCTCCAACGTTTCATACAATTACAAATTCCCACGGTCCATGCTTTTACCAAATATGTCTTCGAATCGGCAATCCGCATCAAGAGTATTCCGGTGCTTAGCGAGCCTTTGGACCGTGGCGTGGACTTCGGAAGCGTCGCCGAGGACATAGACTCAATCGGCGACCATGATTTCACCAGACGCGTCCTTGCGAAGATGGATTCCAAGTACTTCAAGAATGATGTGGGTGGAAGGCTGTTCCATCGATTTGTCAGCGCTGGGCTCTTCGACTTAGCCAAGTTTCTCCTGGACAAAGGAGTCTCTGTCGAGGCCAGAGACCCCTAGACAGGGCGACCCACTTATGCAATCGCCCCCTTTTGCAATCGCCCACCACCATCACGGCCCACCACAAGAATCGTCAAAATACTCAATTATAGGCCAAATTCTATGGAAAAAAGTACATTCTAGTCCTCGTCAATCGCCCTATATTGCTCAAGCCCACGGGCGATAATTTCTTCAGCTTCCTGGACCAGGTGTGCAGGCCTGGACTTGGTCTTCTTGGATCTCTTCTTGGGAGGCTTTTGACTAGCTTTTTGAGCTTCGTCAATTTCGTCAATAGTAGCAAATCTGTCGTTGGCGTCTATTTTGACCCTTTTACGTGAATAGGGCTTTTGGATTCCAACTCGTTGGCTAAGAAGTCGTTTTTTGCCTTCAAAGCAGCGATTTCCGTATTCTTCTGATCGAGTGCCCTCCCTACCTTCGTCAACGTAGTCCTGACGACCCTATCTCGGAGACTAGTGGCCGTCTTGGCTAAGCCCTGTTGCCTGCGGACGTTGTGATCACTTGAGGTGTATTGAAGAGGTCGTTCCGGGTTGCCCGGGTCTTCCGGGGTTGTGTAGATAGGGGGACTAGTTTTGCAGCTTCGTCCCGGACTGCCTCGGGGTCGTCAAGTATACGAGCGGGTTGGAAAGGCCAGATTCCGGTCTTCCGGAAGCCGAATATAATATTCCGGGCTGATATACCCTACGCTAAGGCGTCCCGGTAGAAAAAAAGGAAGCGTTGCTTGTTAATAGGTGCTGAGGCTGTGAAGGAAGCCAATTCGAGGGTTCTTTGGCGAAAATAGGACTTCAAAGCCGAAAAGACAGACCGGTCGAGTAGCTAGGTCTTGTGAGAAGTGTGTGAAGACAAGTATAGTAGGTGTACGCGGTTTCTTTTAGCTAGAACCGCCGTTGCTCGCAACCAACGATCCCAGGCTACTATGTCTGTCTCTTATATCCAGACATTGGCGACCTCGACGGGTACTTTCCGGTTTTGATTTCCGGCACGCTCAAACTCCAGACGCATCATCGCAGAGAGCGCCATGGCATCACGGTACAAGGACAAGGAAACGGGCACCGTCGTGCTCTCTTTTGGAGGCCAATGGGTTAGCTGGACACATACCGCCGTTGCATATGGTGAGTTTTTTGTCTGCCACGCAACTTCTGTGCTGGGATCGACCGACTTATGGCACTATCGGACGAGTCTACTATAGGGCCAAAGGTGCTAACTTCCAGTGCAAAAAGCTGCGTTCCTGAGCGCCCTCATCGTCGGCGTCTCGCTCCACTTCCACAAGATTGTGCAAAACGAGTGGTATGGCTACCCCGAGGAGTGGTTCCCTTCCGTCTCCGCGACCATTGGCGATCGGTACCCCGAGCGGTCCATCTTCATGCTCTTTATTGCCATTACGTCAGGTGCGATATCTGCTCTGCTCCTCTAATCCCCATCTATCCGCGTCCAACAATACGCCGGGCTGACTGTATCATGTCCGTCAGGCCCGAGATTTGCGCTCGTCGGGCTGTGGTACCTTTTGACAGCAAGGCCCGGCCGGACCCTCCCAAAGGCCGTTGCCATTGCCGGACTCGTTCGGACGCTAACGTGCGGGGGGTGGACATACATCACGTCGACCGACGACCATGACTGGCACGACATCCTGATGATCTCGTACCTCGTGTTTACCATTCCTTGGACTGCCGGCTGTCTCGCGCTTAGCCCCCCCCAACGCGAAGGCGATTAAGTACAGGAAATACCTTGCCGGCGCATTCTTTGGCACTTTGTTGCCGTTAGTCTACTTTTTTATCCAACACAAAGTTCATCGGGTCCCGGGAGGTAGGATTGACCATTCCATCCCGCCGTCGGTAGTTGCTTGCGACGTTTGGGTGCGCTGACATACCCCTCTTTCAGCCTATACCACATACGCCTTTTTTGAGTGGTCGCTGATTCTGTTTGACGTTGCCTTCGATGCCGTGACGGCGCTGGACTTCAGCACCTTCGAACTAGTTATCCGGGATGTCAATGGAGCAAACAAGGGGTACGTGACATGGCTTCCAAGATAGCCCTAGCCTCCGTGCACAGTGCAGAAGCCGTGGGCTTGTACGTATCTAGACGGTGTTGCAATGAGACCACGAAGTCAGGTTCTAAAATTGTTTGTCAATAGCTCCAACAAGTCCTCCGTCCTTGCTGCCGTGCTTAAGAAAGAGTAAGCTGGCCTTTTCTTTTGCTTCCCCGGTTTCTCTCTGTTCCCCCACGCCGCCGACGAATGAGAGAGAGGTTGACGTTATAATAGGAAAGAGAGCGCCACAATAGGCGTAATTTCGGCAGGTTTCAGGCTTGGCAACGCCCTCGATATTGCGGCTGATGCGTATCATGGCGTATGTATTGTCTGACCCGCATCCACCAGCAGAAAATTGGTCTAATGAGGTCTAGTTCGTTTTTTGGTCCATTCTGACCAGTTTGGGCGTCGTTGTCTGGTGTAAGTCTGCCAATTTTTATCTTCTCTCAACTAAACTAACCAAAAATGCACAGATTTTCCGCTATGGCACATGGGCATCTCGGGCTACGAAGCATTCGTCATGTCGACCATCAGTCCTGCTCTGCTGGGGCTTAAGTCCGTACGCTCGTTTGTTATCAGCAACCAGCGCGTGTTCCATCTCCTTTCCCTGACCGGTCTGCTAGCGTACCTGGTGGTCAACCCAACCATTCGGCTTTTCACTGTCGGCTTTGGCGTCTCAATGGGCTGTCTTGCCTGGGCTGCGACCTGGTTTTCCGACTCGGTCCCCCGCCAGACTAGAATCCCGCATTCTCGCGTGGATGGTCGGTCTCGTGATGTCGTCCGTCGCCAAATTTGCTTGGTACACCAACAATCCCATATGACCCATTATGCACGGCGACAACGGTGGCTGGAACGCCACTGGTCTTGTTTTGGCCTTCTTTGCAGCTCTGTGTTTTACTCGATGGGCGCCTCTGCAGGCTGAAAATGCTGTTATGAAGAAGAGTGGCTCAGCAGTGCTTTCTGCTTTCGGCATTGGTGGTTTGTTCTTTGCCCTGCATTCCTTGTTGTCGGACACTAGCACCATGATCCTTTGGGTTTGGGATGGGTACCCGATCCGTGGCCCGGTGTCAAACGTTCATGCCTGGTTCACCATTGCCGCCATGACAATTGGGCTGATGATTGGGACCTTCAGGCCTGGTCTCGTCGCTACCTGGACGGCGTTCGGTGTGGGCTCCATTGGCGCTGCAGTGCTGACCCTTTACCAACAGTGGTTTGGCTACTATGGCGCCTTAGCTTTGGCGACTTATCTAACGGCCATTTCGGTGCCGTTGATCGCGAACGCCTCCAAGAAGAGCCCTGCCGTCGTTTTCGGTCTCGGCTTCTTTATCTACAATTTTCTGGTCCTCTTCCATGTCTGGGTCGTTGCATATGCTTTTGTCCCTGGCGGGCCTCTGGTACGCGAACATACGGACTGGATTATGATCACCACGATGCTCTTCATCGGAGCCGGTGTCTTTGATCTGATCTCGGAACAGGCAAGTGCTAGCAAGACAAATATCCGTCGTCGTCCTGGAGCTTCCGGCCACAGGAAGTATCACGTTGGCATACTCGGCCTTCTAAACATTTTGTTTCTTGGCGCAAACTACTTCCGCATCCCTACAAACGACTACAAACCGTATCACGCCGAGGACCGGCTTTTCACAGCTGGTATTTGGACCATTCATTTCTCTCTGGACAACGACATGTGGTCTTCAGAGTACCGGATGCGTGACCTCATCAAGGAGTTGGAAATCGATGTTGTCGGCTTGCTCAAATCGGACCTGCAGCGCGTGATCATGGGCAACCGCGACACGACGCAGTTCCTTGCCGAGGATCTTGGAATGTACGTCGACTACGGCCCGGGGCCCAACAAGCACACATGGGGCGCGGCACTGTTGTCCAAATTCCCCATCCTTAACTCGACGCACCACCTGCTCCCGAGTCCCGTCGGCGAGTTGGCGCCCGCCATCCACGCGACGCTGGATGTCTATGGCACCCTCCTAGACATCTTCGTATTCCACTCGGGGCAGGAAGAGGACGAAGAGGACCGCCATCTGCAGTCCGAGTACCTCGCCAACCTAATGGGTAGCTCACCGCGCCCGAGCGTCCTGCTGTCCTACCTCGTCACGAAACCGCTCGAGGGCAATTACAACACATATGTCTCCAAGACCAGCGGCATGCACGACGTGGATCCCTCTGACTGGGACCGCTGGTGCGAATACATCTTGTACAAGGGCCTGCGCCGCACAGGCTACGCCCGTGTGAGTCGTAGCACCATCACCGACACCGAGCTGCAGGTCGCCAAGTTTGTCGTTCCCCGCCCCGGTGACGACAGCGCCCGCGTCTGGGCAGCCTCGCCTAAGCAGCGAGACAAGAAGACTTCGGAGTCGGACGTTCCCCCGGGGTGGCGCTTCCCCGCTTTGTTCAACGGCGAGGGCGTCCGAGGCCACTTTTACAACGTCTTCAACGAGTCGCGGTATTACAAATACTAATTAATGAGCCGCTTCACGCACGGCTTTTCGTTCTGTTTTTTCCTTCGTTAGTGGAGAAAGGGGGTTATAAAATTGTGTCTGGGGATGGGGAGGGTGGGGCATTGAGGGTAACTGGTCGGTGTATCTGGGGGCTTGGAGGGGGGAGCGGTGTCTTTCTTGGCTTTTTTCTGTCTTGTTTTGGGTTTGGTTTTCGTGGTGCCCTTTCTTCTGCAGCGTCCCGTGTATATATTCGTGTACTACATTAAGGCCCATGGCGATCTCGAGTCTGGTTTCGGTGTATCCCCACAACCTGGTTCGTGAATGGTGGCAGCGGTAATTCTATATACACATCTGGCATGGTCTGTTGAAGAAAACTGCGTTTTTCCTGCTTCATACCTTCCTTTGGTGAAGAGTGCTGTAACCGCCGTATTTTGCTAATTACTTGTCATTAACTTACTGGGCATTGGTCTCTGACTCGGAATAGTTGGGGGGTTGTTTCTTGTAGTCTTACTTAGGCCCTGTCGGTAAAGACTGTAGGAGTTAGTGGCTTGTGTTGTGCAAAGCAATACAGAGTCTAGTTATGCTGTGATACCGCACTGGTGCTTCGCCTTTTTCCACACAATGCTCGATATGGGGGTCTGCTGAGATCTTGGATGCTATTCTGGGTCGCGCCCGTGGTCCTTGTTCCTTTTCGAGTCCTCAAGTTCTCGGCACTTGTTTCGTCTAATCTGTTGCCCCTTTCAATTTTTTGGATCCTCTTGTGGCTGCCACTTCCGGTCGTCCTTCTGTCCTCGAGTAGTCCTAGAACAGTCAACTGTGCTTTGCTGAGAATACGAACCGCCATCAGAGATTTTGGTCGTTTTTGTCACTGCCCGGCTATCTTACTACAAACCGACTGTTTTGGTACTGGATGCCCGAAGATGGATCCGATCAGCGTCATTTCGGTCATCGACGCCGCGGGGAAGGTTATTGAAGTGTTGAAGAAGTACATCTCGTCGGTCCGTGATGCTCCGCACGAACTTCAACGCATGCTCGTCGAAACCTCTGCCACCGAGGCCGTGCTGGGCAATCTCAGCTTTCTTCCGGAATGTAGTGACAAAGAAACCACGCTGCACAGCCTGGCCGACGCCATCAGTGAATGCAGCAAATCCATCTCCAAGCTCGCTGCGCTCTTGCCCGACATTGACAACCCAGATGTCTCGTCCTCCGATGCCCCGACGAAAGGTGGCAGAGCAAACGCCATGTTGACGGCGTTGGCCTGGCCCTTTAAGGAAAGCAAGGCGAAGAAACTCCTGAGCGAGTTGAAGCAGTACAAGGACACAATCAGTTTGGCGTTGGCCACGGAGTCTATTTGGGATACTAAGGCAATCTTTGCCACCCTAACAGGTAAGGATATTTTGAAGCCATGTTTGGTTTTTGCCTGGGGGGCTGTGATAATGCAACTGTTGTTTCCCAGGCTTCGATAGTCATGTCACGTTCTGGGGCTAATTTTGATCTAGAGATGCAGCAGCATGAAGTCTACAAATGGCTCTATGTCACGGATCTGTCTCCGTTGCATCACAAGGTAGGTGATTGCTACGAGGCCGGGACTGGCGACTTGGTATTTCGTTCAGACCAGTGGAAATCTTGGCTGGAAGGCGATTCACGTTCGGTTTGGATCCATGGAATCCCTGGAGCCGGCAAGACCATCTTGGCATCGCATATAATTGAGGCACTCACTATACAGTTTGATGAGATAGACAACACTTGTGTCGTCTACTACTATTACTACTATGGCCACAACCAAGATGAAGCCGCGCCATTTCTGAAGTGGGTTCCCAACCAGCTTTGCCGTCGGGCAGAGAAGGTCCCCGGCTACCTCTACAAGCTCTACTCTCTTGGCTCAGAGCCTAGTTTTAGCAGTCTTCTCCGCGCCTTTGAGGAAATCACGGATACCTTTGACAGGGTATTTCTCGTTGTGGATGCCGTGGACGAAAGCATGCCACGACAAAACATTCTCAGAGCTATTAGGGATCTTGCAACCGACGAAAGGTTCCGAAACGTCCATATCCTTTTGATTAGTCGAGAGTATATCGATATTGAAGATGTTCTGAAGGAATTTGCCAAGACGGTATTGATGAGGAATCCTCTTCTCGATGACGATATTAAGCTATTCGTCAGAGCCCAAATGGGGACGAGCCCGAGAATCAAAAACTGGCCCCCAGCTCTCAAAGAGGACGTCTTTGATGCTTTATCGGCCAAAGCGAAGGGGATGTAAGTATTGGTTTAAGATCTGAGAAGTATGGGAGCGCTATGCGGACCAGCAAATAGGTTCCGCTAGGTTGTGTGCCACATTGATGCGTTGCAACGTCTAAAGCTTGATGAAGGAGTCGTCAACAAAGCACTGGCAAGCCTGCCCGAGACTTTGAATGAAACGTATCAGCGGGTTTTCTCGAAAATTTCTATCACCGAGCCCCGAGGCTATGTTCGACTTGCATTAGGGTTAATGCTTCTGCACGATAAACTGTACGAGGACTGGGACATCAGCCGGCACCTCTCGAATGGCATGCCGCTCCCAATCCTTGTTCAGGCAGTACAAAAATGCTTTACCAATTCCAACCCTTACGCTTTCAACAACTTATGATTTAGATGAGCAATTTCTCTTTGAATATTGCGGCTGTCTGATAATTGTTAATGATGAGCCAGAATTTGGATACACCATCGTGAGAGCCGCACATTACACTGTCGTGGAATTTTTGGAGTCGACTCACCATACGGCGGCAGCGGAATTGTTCCTGTGGGATGAAGCGCATATTAACGACTTCTTCATAAATATGATCATGCTTGAAATCTTAAACTCGGGCCCCGAGTTAACCAAACTTAGCAAGGAATTTGGTTGCCACCCCGAACTACTCGAATTACGCAGCCGAATAGACCAAGGCCGGACCACCGAGCTGATTGCACACCGCCAGAAACTATTTTTGAGAGTCTGGAAGCAGAACTTTACCTGCTACTCCATCACATCGTTCTTAATTCTGCTATTGTCATGGGACGGTGTGGTACACTCTGAGCTAGTGTAGCTCCTCAGGCAATTTCACCTCAATTGTCTTGGCTCGGCTCCTGACAGCACTTTCGACAGCTATGCTTTCGATAAGTACCTACCTTCACACGTGCGGCCGGTGGCGAGTTACAATGACCACACATAGGTAGTTGTTCTTCTTCCTAATAAGATGACGGAAAAATAGAAAATTGGCCGTTGCAACTCCTCAATAGCCTTTGAGTAACCATTCCGCAGACCTGGGCCGGCTCCACTGAGCTTACAGGCATCGGGTGGACTGTGTTGGGCTGTCGGGGGAATGCGAGACCGAATCGAATGGTTCGCTCGGTAATTCTCTCCACATGGGAGGGTCAGATCCCTCTATAGGACTCGCGACAGCCACCCGCTGTGCAAATTCCGACAGGGCACCAAGGACTTGAACTCGAACCCAAGGGAGCGGAACTGGTCTCTCAAAATTAATGAGCTATAAATGAGCCCTGATCTAGAATCCGCCACGGCATCACAAATCCACCTAATTACCTCTATTAGTATATAATCACAGTCCAACAGACTCAGGTCGGCACTTTAAGCAGAACGCTTGGAGGCGTCTCCTAGGGCCTTTCGTCCGTTGAGAGCCTCTATCCTACCCTCAACATATTGTCTGAGCTCAGAAGACTCCATGAGCTCGTGCGGCAAGAAACCCCTATTCTCACGCAAGTCAGTCCTTGCGTCCATAGAGAGCAACAGCAGAACCAGGTCTGCAATCCCCCTCCAGCAGGCTAGATGCAATATGGTGTTGCCCATCCCATCCCGCAGATCCTTCAAGTCTTCATATCCGTCTAGCGCAACTAAGAGATGGACGACTTTATTCATACACTCCGTCTCTGAGAAGCTGTCCCAGTGGCCCTTCACGTATTGCGTCCAGAACAAGTCGTTATGCGCCTCCTTTGGATCGTGGAAAGCTAGGTGAAGCGGTGTGCTGCCGCCGCAGTCCCTATCTCGAGGCGACAACCCCTTCTTCAACAAGACTTCGAGAATTCTCTCGCTTCCGGGTATCTGGTTCTGGCAGGCAAAGTGGAGAGCGCTCCTCCCTGTGTCGTCCAGTACAGTCGGATCTGCGCCGTGATCGAGCAGCCACTCTACCGCCTCTGGAGCGCCGTACCCGCATGTTATATGTAGGGGCGTCCTATCCCACTCGTCCCGCGAGTTGACGTCCATCTCCGAGAGGAGGTCCAAAACCTCGGGGTTTTGGAAGTTTTGGGCCGCCAAGTGAAGCATTGTGATTTTATCTGGACCGATAACGTTGATGTTGGCACCGGCTCCCAAAAGCAAGTTAATGCTCTCCAGCGTGCCAGTGGTAAATGCCGTGTGAAGGGGAGTGAAGCCGCGTGCATTCATGGCGTTTGGATCTAGCGAGTCACAGCCGAGTCCCAATAGGTACGCGAGTACGGACGATGATGTGTTTATTGCAGCAAAGTGCAGTGGCGTGCTGTCCTCCCTGTCTGTTATGTTCAGTGGGCCCGCCTGCTCCCTTAACTTCTTGATAATCACCTCAACCATTTCCAAGCTCCCGGCTGTGCATGCAATGTGGAACAAGCTCAGGCCTGTCTCAGAGCGAATCTGTACGTAAACGGTCTCCCGAAGGATGGTGTCCATGATCTGGGCGGATCTAGCCGACAGGGACTAGAGAAAGATTGGCACCGAGATGTCGGAGAATAGAGAGGGTTCAAACCCATTCTGTGCGAGTAGCATGATCACCTCGGTTGTCTCTTTGCGCGCATCTTCCGTTGGTTTATCATTCTGAAGGAGGAAATTATTTCGAATGGCCCCCCCAATGCCAATAAGTGCTCGAGAGGTTCGCGACTTGCTATGCTTGAGGCTCGGTGCGGACCTTGGGTGTTGCCATAGTAGCCTTACGATGTCGAAGCTGAAGGACGAAGCGGCGGCTGTGAGAGGATCGTAGTATATGCCACCTGTAATGTCGGGATTTGCTCCGTGGTCCAGGAGGAGTTTTGCGGCATCTGTGCTGCCGGCGCCAGCGGCAACAGTAAGAGCCGTCCCGTATGGCAAGTGAACGGTATCAATATCGTTTATGACGTCTTCGAACTCCAACAACATTCGAACCACCTCCGTAGAGCCCACGAAAGCTGCGAGACAAAGATAGTTCCCGAACGTCGGGATGTGGTCATTGAGATCCACCCCACCCGTTGTAAATTGATATTTGACAAAGGCATCCTGTCCTGAGTAGATACAGGCAGAGGTGATGGTCGATAGAGTCGATATTGGTAGACCCAGTTCATGTCTTCCAATTATCTTGCGAAGCAGACTCCAGTGGTTGTGGCGTCCAGTAAGCCTTGATCTCTTCTTCATTCTCGGTCTGGATCTGAACAGCCTGGCAGCTGAGATGAATGCTAAGGATAGAGACAAAATCTATGAATGGGAGTCGTGCCGTGATACTGTCGAGGCTCTTGGTTCGCAAGTAGTTGAGACCTTGATTGTCCAGTTCCTGAGCCAAATGAAGGATTTCTTGGCATCGCAGATATCTTAGACACGCCACAGAAAGAATTTCGGATCCTCGTTTGTGCAGTTCCTGTCCTGAGAGCACAAGAGAAGCACTTGAAACTTTCCGATTCGCCAGGAAATCCTTTGCGGTCGAGTGGTAGAGCTGGACTCTCCCGTTTCTGTCCAGGGACTCATCTTTACCGTCAGAATCGTTTAGCTCCTTTACAACCAAGAGACGACTACACCGTTCCTCTATGTGACTTCTCAGGATAGCATTAGTCCTGATGAAGTCGTCGTGTCGCTCAACGTCGGCCTGAGAGGCGCATTCGCTTTGCAGCCCAAATCCGAGGACATATCTGAAGTCATCTAGATAGATTGATTCCGTTGATGCGAGGACAATACCGAGCATGTCATTGGTCTCCTCGACGTGCTCGTCATCAATACTTGGCAGGAAGCTCTCATATAGACCTTCCATTTCCTTAGGTAGCCTTGCCAACCCGCGCTTGACGTCACCAAGGCTATTACTCTTCTTATTTAAGAGCGACACGGCATATTCGATCTATAACCAACAGCCGTCAGCTTTCTCAATGACGTCGGGGAGAAGCTCTGTCCACTGCCTTTCGTCGAACTTCGAGGCCCCCTCCTCGAAACAGTTGCGGATGTAGATGGTAAGGTCATTGCCACTTTGGTACGGATCCGTACTCGATTCCAAGGCCGGGAATTCTCGAGACGAGACTCTGATCGCTGTTGGCGTTTGCTGTGCTTGAGAAGCAAACCTTGACATTAACGAGGGATTTTGGTTTGCAATAGGCGCGGAGGATGTTAATGAAGTCTCCTTCGACCGTGTTTGATTGCGTCGATGTTAGCTTCGTATTGCGAGTTGTCCACGATACGCTGGAGGGCAGCCTGGGGCTCGTGCTCACTCTAGTCAACGTGAAGAGTCTCTCTGTCGCGGAAGTCGGGAACGTAGTCCAGCATTGTGCTGTAGTCGTCGCGAATCCATTTGAACAGAGCCGGCTACAATTTGAGGATCCTTGCCAGCACAACTCTAAGCAGTCCCTCAAGACTCTTCCCAAAGTCGCTACCAAGCTTGTTGAAGAAGAAGCCGATGACAATCTCGCCGTCGCCCCTTTTTCTCTTGTACTCAGTAAACAGGTGCTTCATCGCTACCGACTTTCCGGAGCCAGGTTTGCCTCTGATCCAGCACATCCCGCTCTTTTCGGTGAGCCATTTGCTAAGATCGTTGTCGCTGTCGTCTTGCCACATCCATTTCAAGCTGCCGACGTAAGGGTCTTTGATGTTCTGACGCCAGTGTTTAAACCAGCCCGCACCACTCGATGTCTCGGCCGTATCGTGGCGTAGCAGAGTCCTGATGCATTCTGCTTGTACAGGATTCAGTTAGTACATGTTTTTGGCAATCTCTGATCGAGTGCATTATCACGACTTGACGATATTACATGCGGAACGGGATGTCGGCATTAGTTCCATTCAAGTAAGATGCAAGAGCGTCGCAACACGTAAATCAACCTGGAAGAGCAGCCTGTCTAGAGTCTACATAGAAAGTGGGGGACGTACCGTTACATTCCAACTTCATCTCGTCTGGACCCAGACATGATTAGTTCAGGCCGTTTGAACGCATGAGGGAATAGCAGGCATGAACGACCAGAATCTAGGTGTCGTGCTTACCACTAAGATAAACGGGAGCTCGGTTCACTGACGTTGGCAGTGAGTCTGATTCTATGACTGCCAAGTATGAGTTAGCGAGGCCGCATGAATTAACGGTTTTCTAGTGGAAATAACTGTGAGGCAAAGAAAGCCAGAACCAAGTATTCCAACTTACGTTGCCTTTGGCTGAGCCGCTCTGAACAACGATCCAGTTCGAACTGTCTGGCCTGATCCGTCTCAAGATACTCGAATGTCGCAACTTCAATCAAGTCGACCTTTTCGTGCTCATCGAGGGCCACATTCTCCAATCCATCCAGGACGTTAAATCTAGAATAGACCAAACTCAGCACGCTTCCTTGAAGAGTATCCCCAGATGCTTCTAGGGAGTGTTGAGATGGGGCAGACCTACCTGAAGTACTTCTGCTCTCCACTCTTAGGAATGAGAGACCGATGCTCCGTAGCGAAATTGGCGGCTGTTTCCTCCGTTTCCGTTACGAGGTCCTCCAAAGTCTTGGACAGAAACTTATATGCCGACTTGTCTATGCCTCGGATGTTCGGCCTGCCCGTGCTAACCGAGACAACGCAGTTCACTATGTCGTCTAGCAGTCCATCGTCATTCGCCCACATGTCCTGGCCTAGCTGCCACACCAGTGGCATTGGGTCATTAGTACCCAGTGCACCGTCGACGTAGACTTTTCCATTAGCTTCCAAGGGTGGGAAAACTGTCGAGGCCGCTGATGTCGCAAGCGCGGCGGTCGAAGGTGGTGGGCTGAGCCTCCGCCACTAAACTCTAGTGTGCGAGGAGTGCCAGAAGCTTCTTGGTTGGCTGTAGAATCGCCCAGTGATCGTGAGGAGCCTGGCCCTTGTATATTTACCCAAAACTGTCTTGAACAAATCCGAATATCAAAGCCCGATCTTGCATTCAACGCCGTGTCGCCTGATCTATGCACTTTGGTCGGATACCACCACAGAAAAATCTCCTAACTTCTTCGAGATGGACTTCATTGGTGAGTTCGCAGCCTTACTACGCTAGTACGCTGTACGGGTATCGTCGTGCTGGTCCGACAGTTTGAACTTCCTCCCCTGTCAATAGCGGCGATCACTTTGCCTCGGCATGCCTCTGACATCTCGGGCATGGTGCAGGCATGAGAGATTGCTTCACTAACATGGACCTCTGCATACCTAGATGAAGTCGCCGACAATATCAAGGAGGGTCTCTTCCACTTGGCGAAACGAGACAGGAACCAGCAGCAAACGTCCTATGGTAAAAAAGCCCAGTCGAAGTCGTTCTTCCGCGACCGCAAGAATGAAGGCAAAAACGAGATCCTCTATACCGATCAGGTGCCGGTCATGTTACCGGATAACAAGAAAGCTAAATACGACAGCCTCTGCATTCAAAAATTCAAGGACTCGACACAGAGCTTCATTTCGCACGGATTCCAGGCCCACAAAACCACACACATCAAGATCCAGAGCCGGTTTCTCTGCGCAGAACTTCGTCCCATCTTCCGAGACTATGACGTTGATTTTAACGATGAGGACGGCATCTTGACCTTTGAGCCGTTCGAGCCCCTTTACTTCAAGAGGTACGACATATGGCGTCGGGCTCGCCAGCTCGAAGAGAGTGTCGAGGACGACGCGGCGGGGGCAGAGGCTCAAGAGCATCTGGAATTCATCATCAAAGATGTACTAAATGACGACATGTATGACTTGATCAAGGACGCGGACGAGCTTCATGAACAAGGCCAGATTACTTGGAACCTACTATGGACACTGTTCCCTCATCACTCCCTCGTGATTGCAAATAATGCATGGGGTTACCAACAGGCCTACCAGGTCCTCGGGTTCAAATATATCAAGGATGAAACCATGTCACCCTTATTCTTCGACATCACTTATCAATACATTCACTTCGACGCTTTTCGATATAGGTTCGTCAAGGCCAATCTCACCATTCCGCACTTCACTGGAAAGCGCCGTATCAACGAGCTTGACGTCTACCCAACCGACCGAGTTCCGAATCCAACCAAGCTCAGGAGCGAACTAACGGCACGCGGCAGATTGATGCTAGACTACCAAGATGTGCATCATATCCAGATCCTACCAGCACTACTTGATAGCTCTCGTGAAAACTATGACGAGATTCTGAAGGACCTCGGCCGAGCTGACGTGTGTATAACTTAAGTCGTCTCTGGAAACTATCCTCGCTGACCAGTGATATAGAACCATGGACGGGCGATTGTCGATTTTTTTACCGGAGCTCGGCGAAACGACCGATGGAGGCGAAGCGTTAAGCCTCTGGACGAATCAAAAACTATTCTCTCCGGCCATTCAGCAAAATGGAAAGGGAAGGGACGTCAAATCTCATTAGGTTACGAATTTGAACAGGCTATCAGCACACAGCCTTCCCAAGACTCACGAAGACCTGCGTCTGGGTCTGCGGTGGACTCACGGAGGAGGCCTAGCAAGGAGACACAAGCCATGAACAGAATACTCGTCGAAATGGAGGACGACAACCTGCTGCTCACGTGCCCGCTTCTACACGCCTTTTCGCTCCGGTCAAAAAAGTGGAGTAAGTTTAATTCCTCGATTCTTGCGTATTTCACTGCAAATATGGTCTTTGGGCGCATTGGTGATTAGGCTGCCAGGTCATCGTGGACGGATGCCCGTACCAATCCGCTGGACTCCGATGGACGTATATGCTAATTGATACTCCACTCAAAGTTGCCGTAAACGTTGAATCTGTCGGCCCAGTCGCTTTCTACGACAATGCCTACGCTCACCTCGTTGCGGATGACAATCGGAAGTCACTGCTTCTCTCGCTGGTTAAGAGTCAGCTCATTGTCTCGGAAGTCCCCGAAGACCCTATTCCAGAGAAAGGGTTCATCTAAAACTGCAACTAATCTTGTTCATTGCTAATTTATACAGGCCGCGGGCTCTATTGAGAGCGTCTATGGACAAGGGTATGCCATCGAGCGCGGGTATGGATAGGCGAGCAAGATGGGAAGGAGGAGCTCGAGGTCCAGGAGAGAAGAGGAGATTAGGACGAGGAGTGTATGTTTGGACGCGCGTCGGGATACCGTTCCCAAGGCCGAGTGACTAGAAAGGCTTGACGGGCTCACTACCAGATGGGTCCATGGCTGCAACCAAAAGCGGGTCCTGTCGTCAAAAGCTAACCAAAGTGAAATACCGTAGGCACTTGTAGAAGTCCCCCTCCCCTTTATTCTTCCTATCTTCCCTTTTCCTGTCTTGCTATTACAGTTTAAAGCCTGGTTGGGCTGTGTATGGTAGGCTGTGCAGAGGAAAGAAGGGCAGAGGAAAGAAGGGAGGAGACCTGCGGGAATCTTTGTAAAAAATAAGAAATCATAACGTAACGAAAACTAGACCACGCTCTAATCTCATATCCTGCGCGCGCACTGATGAGGTAAAAATTGAAGGCGGCGGCAAGTCACACTGATGGTTACGTGCCCGCCGCAGATAACTCTGCTTGTGTCTGTTGGGTGCCAGTGCTTGTATTTTCTAGCGCCAGCCTCCAACTAACACATCCCGAATATTGCACAGGTCATGGAGTTTGGCAGCATATCATCGCCGGTGAGGCAACCAATCCATGTTGTAGTTGAGAAGTATTGATTTGGTTGAGGGTGTAGGTGATAGAGGGCTGCAGGTAATAAAAGACTGAAGGTGGCATCATGTTGGCACGGCTCGTGGTGTTCACTGCACAGTTCAATTTTTTAATGCAAGTGGGGCCTTACTTGGGCCTCAAATATCGCCGTATTCAGCTGTGTTTCTTGGCTGTTACACCGGGTTCCGGAGCCACACCCTTCCAGCAAGGAGAGCGAATGGCCAGACCGACGTGGGGAACGTGCAGAAGATGCTGATAGAGGAAGCTAGAGCTGGAAAAGCATAAATAATCAAGTCCCTTCCCCGGCCTTTTAATCAACGGCCTTAGACTTTTATTACAAACCCAGCGCCAGACTCGAATTTTCTACCCAAATTATCTCTTCTACCCCTTTCAACCCCTTCCGTCGTCAAGCTCAACCCGTAACCATGTCTCTGTCGTATCGACCCGCCAACGACCTTCTTCCCCCAGGGGTCACTCTGCCTACCCCCCCTCCTGAGGGTTTCAACCCATTGGAGGCAAGCAATGACGACCTGATCAAGCATGGCCTGCCTCCCAACCCGGCGTGGATGACTCTCCGGAGCAGCTCCTCTGGTGGGAAAATGTCTGCTCGAGCGCTGGCTCGTTTGTGACGCCTGGCTTCGAGTCCCTGTTCACTCCCAAGGTAGACGACAAAACCGGGGACGAGCCCTCCAGGAACTGGTCGGGCGCCGTCATATCCGCAACTAAGAATTACAGCTTCGACCGAGTCTGGGGCTCTTGGACCGTCTCGCGGCCGCACCCAGACAACTGGGCTTGGAAGCCGCAATACTGGAAGTCGGCCGAATTCGCCGCCGGCACCTGGGTCGGCATCGATGGCGAATATGAGAACGGCAAAGGAAGCAGAGACGTCCTACAGGCCGGCGTTGGCCATCGGTGCATCGTCTCGACGCACCAGGACACCGAGTACAAGATCCACCCCTGGTGGGAATGGTAGGTAATCAATACGAAAGATTGTCCTATAGAACAGAGAGCAAAAACAGAAAAAAAAAAGAAAACAAAAAAGAATTAACATGGGCGAAAACTAGGGCGCCGGAGCGGCCGTGGACCATCACCGGCTTCCAGATCGCAGAGGGCGATCTCGTCAGCGTTTCCGTCTTTGCCGAGACGTCGACGACGGCACACATCCTCTTCAACAACCTCTCCGCGTGCACGTACACCAGCTTTAATGTCACGGCCCCCGGCACCACCGAGCTGAAGGGCAACTGCGCCGAGTGGATCGTCGAGGCCCACCACCCGCTGTCAAGGGGAAAGCCCTCCATGTCGTATCTCGGCGCCACCTTCTTCTTCAACTGCGGCGCGATCGAGAAGGCGGTCGCCGATACCCACGGAGTCTCCTTGTACAGGAACCTCTAGGGCGCGACGTTCAAGGAGATCAAGCAGGGCGATGTCCTGTCCACTGCGGTCCGCGCCTACTCCAACGACGTCGTCCTGGGCGTTGTCGCGGAGCGCAGAGTCCATAGCCACAGGATCGTCTACACTCCCCCTGGGTCGCTATGGGCAAGGATCAGGATACTAGGACAGCAAGTCCGGCCCTTGGGCTTTGTGGCCTTTGCGCCAATTGATTAATGGCACGCCTGGAGGTACATGTGTTCGGCCAGGGCAAGATTGTTTCATCTATCTAGGTCAGGCGACTCGTTAGCCTTGATTGGAATCTGGACCGGTTTGGTTCGGAGGATGCTGGTTATTTGGTACTTTAGTTACTTGGCCGTGATCACGTCTTTATACCTGGAGGTAGGGGTGACGGTTTGTGAGGTACCTACCTTGGGTATGCAGTTTTACTCTGCCGCCTGCGAAAGTGCGAATTTAACACTTATTTTCCTATCTGGGTTGGGAATAGCCTCAAATCCACTGTGCGTGATATCCTAGCCCAGCACATCCAAGCCACTGTTCGAGCCTCTGGGCGGACGGCGGCCTTTGGCTCTCCCTCCCCCAGACGTAAAATGGCAACTACAACGACAATCGGCAAAACTATGCACTTTCAGAGGCGCGCACAAGTGCATTCGCTAGGTTCTTACGCATGTGAATGAAAACTTGTTTGCGATTGATAACAGGGGCGGCGTTCAATCTCTGCTGCTCAACCTGTCTATCCTCTTAGCCGCAGCCGGCTGGGTAACTGTCTTCGGCTCCTGGCCCAACTTCCATCTCTGGGCAGAATACCTGCCTTATCTAGGGCTGGTTCTGAACAAAGACGACCAGAACAGCGGAAAAACTGGCAACTCGCAGGAAACGAGCAGACCCGCCAATTAGCATAGGTAGGTAATTATACAGCCGCGTATCAGAACCGTAGAGACCGGAGAAAGGGAGGGGGGGCCACACATACGCGGCCGTGGCAGTGAAGACGTGAACCCTCGACGTGGAGCAGTCGGTTAGGGCCATCAGCATGACGGCGAAGGCGACGGTGAAGCCGCCAATGTAGAGCAGGCGCTGCAGCATGTGCTCCTGCTGGGCCAAGATGGCAATGGCTAGCGTCGGCAGCACGCAGGCCACGATGGTGGCGGTGAACGAGGCCACCATCTGCATTGTCGAGCCGGCGTATATTGCGGGGACGTCCTGTGTGTCATTTGCATTTGATTAGGTATTGACTATCAGTTCTGAAAGATAGCTATGGCACTCGGAGCGGCATAGTTGGACCGGGTGAAAAGGGGCAATAATAATTATGAATAGGCTCTTACGTCGTTGTCGGCGCTGCTTTGCCTGCTAGTGGCGGAAGTGTTATTGTTAGTCGCCTTCTCGGGATCGCCATCGCCTTCAGCCCGGGGCTGGGGGTTCCTGAGGGTGTGCCAGAAGGGAATCCACTGGTAGCCGATCCAGCGCGTGAAACCGTCGTCGGCTCTGCTGCAGGCGGCGGCGGCGGCCACGAGATCGAGGCCTTCGGGGGGGGGCCGGGTAGGCGCGGCCAGAGCGGATTGCAGAAGAGGAAGAGGAACTTTTGCCACAGCGTGCCATCAGCGCCCGGTTTGCGGTAGTCGGCGGCCGCCACGTCGCCGCCCCAGGCGTCGCTGCCCGCGCCCCGGGTCGAAAACGCGCCGCAGTCGGCCCGCCGCAGCCACTCCCGCAGTGTGTTCACGTTGAGCGTCTCGGGCTCCGGCAGCGCCGACACCTGGCTGTACAGCACGAGGCACTCGTCTGGTTTTGGCCGACACGGTGATGAGCATCCATCCATCGCCTTGGCTAGTCAATGCAGGCCACAACCGCCACATGGAATTGTCTTACTGTATTCTTTCAGCAGTCTCCGCATCTTCACCACCAAGTTGACCTGCTTTGCGTCTTCGTCGTCGGCGTCTGCGGGGTCGGCGCTGTCTAGCAGGTCCGTCAGGTTCTCGGCAAATTTTGCGTACCTCTCGTCGGGGCTACCCTCGGCCTGCGGCTGCTGTCGCACGTAGTCGGCCTCCTCGGCCTCCTCGAGGTCCTTGGACAGCCTGGCGAGCTCGACTTGGTAGTAGAGCAGGTTCTTGATGTTGAGCTCGCGGAACCGTGCAAACGACTCGAGCCCGGGGTTCATGGCCATCAGCTCGGCGAGCCGCGGCCATCCCCGCGTCTTCCTCAGAGACCGGCGCTGAGGTCGATGCCGGCCTAGCCTGCTGCTGCTGCTGCCGGCCGTCCCTGCTGGCTGTGGGGTGGCCGGCGCCTGCCGGCCTCGGAGCAGCGACCGCTGAGAGTTAGTCGTCGCGCTTGTCTGGTGCGTGTTGTGGGAATGGTCCGAGCCAGGGCTGTCCAGTACCGACGAGAGGACCGTGTTGGTGATGGATCGAGCATCAAAGTCTGTTACCGACAGGGCCAGGGATGCCATCTCTGCTACTCTAACTGGTCCTTGCTTGGACCAGAGTGTGTTGTACGTGCTGTGGTGTGTTGTTACGTTGAAGCAGCAAAGTCTCTCATCCTGCACCTAGGTAGTCTTGTCAATTGTGGCAGACACGTCATATTAAGCAACTGCTAACTCTCATATCCTTTATCTGTCCGTATACCTGCCTCGCACGAGATTGTGGCAATCATAGCACAGTCGACCGACTTTCTGCGACGCACCGCTGCACCGTTGCACCGCTGTAGCGCTGCATGATGCCTTTCTCTGTGCAAGATACTCGCTCGTCGACGGGTCTCATTGGGCGCGGGTACATGTTGACGCAGCTCCTATTCGTCTTTGGCCGCTGTGTTTCTCCAACCAGTTTCAGCCAGAATCGAACGTGCTGCACACCCCGCACATCATCCAGGCATGATCGACGCTTGTCTCTCTCCCGGGTAGTGTCCAATGAGACCGGCTTCTTCCCCGACTTCACCCGGAGATTCCCACTGTATCACTACAAAGCAAATGTGAGATGGTATTGTCGTGATTTGAACAGGAAGCGAGGTGCAGGTGGACCGCGACTTGCTTTGCTGTCTTGGCCGCCGACATTGGCCAATACCGGCCTTGGATGCGGACTAATTTTCTGCTTGACACGGAAGCGTCAGGCGGCACTCGGACTCAAACAACATCGGTGGGCTCAGCGACTGCGGTATCGCCGAGATAAGAAGTAATAGGGGACGCGAAGAGATTCACTGGACGCGGCTTTGGGACCACACTATATCCGCTGCATTTATGTACAACCACACCATCGACACAGGGCACGAGCAAATTTCGACCGACAAGGCTCGAGGCCGCCGACCACATCCATGTCTGCAGCATCCTAGTACAACCACACGGTCTCCTTGGGCAAATCATAACCGGCGAGGCTCTGGGTTCTTGACTTCTTTAGGCCTGAAATGAGGCCCTTGGCAGAAGCCCAGCTAGAGTAGACAAGGACTTGATCTGCCCATTGGTCAGCTTTGCAGCTCCCCCCACTGCTCCTCACCACACCCGAACGATATTGGGGGTGGTTGGAACATAAGCGCTTGCGTGGTCGGTCATAGCGCATTGCACACCCTCTACCATCTTCCTTGCCCCTTGATTTGTCAGACTTTCCACGACGAGAAAAGCCGCGCGGAGTCGTTCGGATAACAGCGGAGAGCGTGCTGTCTACTTGTTCATTCGAGCTGGCTCTTTGGATTTGGTAATCACCGCCAAATATTGAACAAGGCAAGCCTCCAGCTCTCCCTGCGTCCCAATACGGAAACCCCTGACGCAGTTAGCATCCCAGCCTCATTTTGACGTTTTTAGGTCGACAGAGAACGTTGAACCATGACGGCCATAACAAGAAGAACCGATTCTGAGGACTTGATCCATTTATTTTGTACCTATTGTAATCATGATGCTGTAGAATTTTACAATAGCTTTGCTAGAATACTCAAACATGGCCTATCTGAGCCCTGCCACGATTTTTCATTGACGCGGTACAAGTAATGGGAGGACTGCTTGGGGCTTTCTCGGGAACCGGAAACACCCCTCAAAACCGCTTTGGGGAGTATGCGGTAGTGCCGGGGACATAAAGAATACAATTCAAGGCAAGCGGTGAATACGAGCTGGTGGTGGGGCCGCCAATGACAAACGCGAGCGCGTTTTTAAGGCAATATTTGCCAGCTCCCTCGGTGAACTAGGGCCCAGGGGGGTGTGTAGACCTGGGTGTGAGGGGGGAAAGCGGTGGTTGGCAGCCTCAGCTCCTTATGGGACCTTAGCTTTTGCTATGTGCTGAGTATGGAACTAGTTATCAAGGAACTTTGGATCGCCATCTTTGCGTGAACCGAATACCTGTGCAGCTTTACAGAGGAAGCCGAAACAAACGCCGAAGACCACTCTTTGATAATGAAAGATAACAGTAGCTATTTCTCCAGTTGCGGCTACTAAATATCCACCGAAAAAGACCGAAAGAAAGACACGTATCATCCGAGTATCGAGATAGATACCTAGATACATACAGTTCTATCCTCCAAGAACCAGACTAACAAACACTGACAGAGCTACTGTGTTCTACAAGGTCGTGGAACGGGACAAGGAGCCAGAGCTCCCCCCCCCCCCCCGAGTTAGATGACAGCAGTGTGATTGGATCCTGAGACTCTCAGGAGGTGGGTTACCAGGCCTTAAGAAGCCGTCACTTCCCACACCTCGCACAGGCTGCTGGTGCTTAACCAGCGACCAGAGCCGTGATCTGTCCTGTTACATGCCCCCAAAACTGCCACCAAACACCTTCTGATCTTCCGCTACAGCTGGCTTGCCTTGCCTTCCTCCTGTCTGTCATTACAACTTTTTAAGCGCCGACGTGATAACCAACCAACCAATCAACCACCCAAGCCAAAGCCATGGCCAACGTGTACCTGCTTCCTTCGGGGCGTATTCACCAAAGTAAGCTAGGCGTGCGAGCCTTTAACCCCTCCCCCCCCCTCCCCCTCCCCGAAACCAAACCCAAACAGCCAGCCAGGTATGCTGACAGGCATCGCGGGGGAACCGATCACAGGCCGAACGGCGGAGGAGCTGAGCAGCTGGCAAACGCGGCTCGAGGATGAGCGGCACGAACTGAGGCGGAGGCAGCGGCGCGGCGACAGGAGCGCCAAGACGGCCGAGATGCTCCAGGAGGTGGATCTCAACCTCGACATCGCCTGCATCGATCGCAAGCTCGAGGGGCTGCCGAAGAAGGGCGCCGGCGGAGCAGACGAGCGGAAGCGGGTTGACGAGCTCAACGACGACCGCGACCTCGCCGGCCTGCAGCTCGACTTGTTCCACAGGGAGAAGGCCCTCCGCGCCAGCCCCGGCTCTGAGGACCTCAGGAAGCAGGTCGAGAATGTCAAGTACGAGATCCAGGTGCTCGACAAGGCCATCGAGGCTAAGAACAGGCCCTGAACGTCTGCTAGCGCTTACGAGGGAGGTGGAGGGTTAGCTTCTGTTCTCCTTCTGGTTTTATTTTCGTCGTTTATTATTGCTGGTGGGAGGGTATGGGTATGTGTGTGTGTGCCGTCTTGGCCTCCTTCCGATCGATCCTTTTTATTTGGTTTCACACTGGATTGGCTGTTATGGCTTCTGCCATCCTACTGTAGCTTTTGCCTGTCCGAGGGTAATAAGCTTGGGACTTTCTGATTGAGTATCGCTTCTATTTCTAGTCACTCTTTCTTCGCGTTTAAGAGGTTGGATATTATCCAAATTTTCCCTTGCTTTTCCTTTCTTTTTGTGCCGTTCGATACACTGGCCCAAAGTGCCAGGTAACAGGTTCCTGTTTTGTCTACTGGTGCAGCGGTAGTTTGTTACAAAAACTTTACTTGGCCGCTGCAAGCAACATCAACTATGTGTGCGGGCGCAACCCCAAACACCTTTGACGCTCAAGGAGACTGCCTACCTACCTGAGGTACCTATATTGAATATTTTGTACATGCAAGTGCCGCCAATGATCTCGTCACTACGGCGATAACGAGCTGATGATATCTGTGAGGGCCTGGTCCTCCAGGCCTCCCAGACGCTCTGACTAATCAGACGCCAGTTGGGTGGATCCACCCGACCAGCCAGAGCCCCACCTTGAGACGCCCTGGAAGAATCTCGCGAGGGGAGGCTTTTGAGCTTCTTTTCCCTTTTCCCTTTAGTTTAGAATCTTCGTCTATAGCGCCCAATAGAGGAGTTCCGCCCTCATTCCAAGCCGGCCGTGACAGTAAAAAAGATTTACAACAAGGACACCCTCGTGTCTTGGGTTCGGCTTCTCGCTCTACGAGGCTTAACGCAACAATTCCTGAATAAGTAGCTTCAGCCGTTTGGGCCAAGGTCAAGACAGGCCCATTGATCTTCCGGCCGCAAGCAAAATGGACCCATATGAACATTCTTGCCAGCCAAATCCAGGGTTTGGTATCCGTACCTCACCAATAATGTTACGCGTTGAGACTAGACGAAACATAAGAGACTTACCATAGAGACGGCCGCATGGACGGGATGGAACACACGGAGAACGGGGAGCACAGGTAGCACGAGGAACGCAAGGGATACAAGTGACACAAGGACATAGCGACTACATGTGGGCACCCACAGAAGCCGAAGATGACGGAAAAAGAAAGGAACGCCAGGAAGGACATATAATCAGAAAAGGGCAAGGGGACTAAAACGAACATGCGAATTACCATACTGAATTACTTTAACCTACTGCTAGCTCTATAAGTATCTCGGATGCGCGGAGAAGCACCACAAGAAGATAAAAGATCGGCTGCAGACGAGGAACGCCAAGAAAGAGGTTTTTTTAACGAGCTACACGGCCCGTACGAATTTTCGGACGAGCTAATAATCATGTAGGCTTGTTCCACGAACACCATTTGTGAACCACCACACTCCCCACCGCCGCCACCACCTGATCTTGACGATGATCATTTATCCTTTCTTCGAACAAGCGTTGGCCTGGCCATTCAGAAGCTCAGAGAATACGCTAGATTGATGGAGGAGAGCCCAGCATACTGGTCGGCTATAATACTACCCCAGGGCACAAGGAGAAGTGGGTCAACCAGTTCCTGGGCAGCGACCGGGCTGAAGAAGCGATGAGGGCATTCCGGGATCTCTACGAGGCCGAGTACGCCGGCATCCCTCTCCCAGTGCCGGTTCGTACGCCTCACGAAGGTCGAGGGAGTCATCTTACCACTCACGACTACCATGATGACCCTGATGACCCCAACCTGAAGGACGAAGTAGCTGAATACCTTCACGAAAGTGTCAGGCGGGTGGATGACATACTGGCTTGGTGGAAGGAAAGAAGAGAGCGTTGGCCCCGGTTGTCAAAGATGGCTTTTGACTTGTTATCAATACCGTCTATATCAACAGAGTGCGAGAGGGCATTCAGCCAGGGAAACCTGATCCTTGGGACTCAGAGGCATAGTATGCTCGACGAAACCCTGAATTACCTCATGTGCACGAAGAATTGGGCGACGAAATGAAGGTCCTGAAGGTCGAGGGCTTTTTTCCGGTCTTAGGGTGCTATTCGGGGCTCGATTTCCTTGTTTTTTTGGTGGAGCGGCAAATTCCGTCAATTAAGTCAAATAAAACCCACCCAATCAGAGAGAGCCTTACACACAGATAAATACACCATTCCGGGCCTCAAATACAGTTAAATAAGGCTTCATATTTGGCCTGATTGAATTGATGCCAGCGCTGTAGTATTCCAGCCGTTGACCGAGTCTCAGCTTCAACTTGTCTTTTTTAAAGTCTGCCCATCGCATTACGCGCGTTGAGCAATATTGCCAGAGCAATGGGCAATCAAGGTACAACTCAGTCCGCCGTACGTGCGTAGACAGCGACACGTCAACGATGGAACTCGGCCATCTCCCTACGAACGAGGCAATGTTGAAGAGCAACTCGGCATATACCACTAGGATCTGGGAGATAAATAACTTCGAGCCCGATTTCCATTTCCCAGGTCCGTCCTGAGAGCATCTCAATTCAGGACCAAGCTGCACGATAAGAGGCACCATGGCGACATCTTCTTTAGCTTTTTTACCCTTGTTCTTGACTGGGATGTCTAGTGCAGTATCTGTCAGCAGAGTCCCGGCTCATGTATTCCGCGATGGATCGTCCGCTGGTTTACCGATTGACCCCAACATCACTAGTAACTGCACTTGGTGGATTGACCTAACTACCTCGACGACCTGTGCTTCTGTGATTGCGGAGAAGGCTATTACCCTGGACCAGTTTCAAAGATGGGTAAGACGAATGAATCAAAGCTTTCCGCCTATCTTGAAAATTTGTGTTAACGAATAGCCAGAACCCACCTGTTTCCGCCACCTGCGAGACTCTGCAGGCTGGACGCCCCTATTGCGTCGAGGCCTTGTCCGAGCTAACAACGGCGCCGTCATCTAGTATTAGCGTATCAGCACTGACAAGTCTTCAACCCCCACAAAGCGATCTAACGCAGTCACCACATGTATGTCAATCTTGAATTGCCTCGTACATACCTCACTAGAAACACTTGTCTATTTTATTCTAACACACTGTTTCATGTATTAGCTGTCCCCACCCAGCCGGACTGGTCGACAACTGCGACGCCATCGCCGGCGCAAACGGCATCATGCTCGTCCAGTTCCTGTCCTGGAACCCCTCTGTCGGCACAACGTGCGGCGGGCTGTGGGCTGGCGCATACGTCTGCGTCGCCATCGCCATCGGAGGCGCTGTGCCCTCGTTGTCAACGACGCTATCGTTTGGGAACGGCGTCGTAGCGACGCTTACGCCTACGCAGCCGGGCATGGTTACCAACTGCCAGAAGTTTGCGTTCGTTCAGTTAGATGACACGTGCTTGAGTTTAGCGTCTGCAAACAGTATCACTCTAGATCAGTTTGTGTTGTAGAACACCGAGGTCGAAGGCCGAGACTGCGGTGGCCTATGGCTGAATTTCAATGTCTGCATTGGTGTTTGAGACCGGGTACATGGATATTTTCATCAATAAGAGCCGGGCTCTGGAACTAAATATGGTGTATTTGGTTCGGTATCCCACGATCACGTGGTGGAAGAAAATAATCATCATTAAACTGATCGATTTCGTTGGACAAAAAGTCATTATGTTAACCCGACTCTTGTTATAGAAGAAAAATATCATTCTCTGGAGGCTTGACTGCAAAACCCGGGCAACCAACCTGCCTATGGTACTCCGTACAGGGTGAAGGCCCGTACAGCTGGCTGGCAGCTGACAAGATAACTGTGTGGAAGACCGTGACAGGCTTGTTAGCGCTTGCCAGCCCCGGCCACCTGCCACACTGGCGGATGTGAGGCACTTGGTGCGCTCAGCTGACCCCTTTCTCACTATTTTTATTTGCAAATAAACAATTGGAATCATACCGTTAGCGCCTCTGTAATCACGAACTTCTGCTTAAATGAGCCCGCGTGCTGATGGCGGGAGTCGGAAAGTCCGGATAATCATTCGATCTTCGGTGCATTCTTTGTTCTTGCAATGTCCGCGGCCGTGCCATTTCTCAAGACCGCACCAGGTCACAATAGACAAAAAATGTTTCGAATGAAACGGCAGTCCTGGACAAGGTGTATCTACACACAGACTTGCAGTTTTGTATAATAATAATTAATTATGATGACAAAAGTGAGGCTCTCCTATTCAGTCAGAAACGCGTGATCTTCCTTGCGTGGATGTGAGTGTCACTGAGCGTGCAAGCCCGAGGTTGCATCCTCCCGGAACACTGCACCGAGAAATACCCCGTGGAAAATGGCCCGAAAATCAGTCGGACTGCCTGGCACCACCACCATCGGCGGCCGGCCATCATGCAGCAGATCAGCTGCAGGGCGACGCATCGGGAATAGCTCCGATTCCGGACAGGACGATGATAAGACACCACCAGTAGCTAAAGTACAGGAATTGCAGGCCGACGGGAATCAGACAAATAATCCCCTCACGAGAGATTGGGGAGGGCAGTAGATAAGGATGGCTAACCCCGACGGCGGACGGACGGCGTCTATATATGCCATATGCACTGCTAATCGCCCGGGTCTGGACCAGTCCAGCTACGGTCCCGCATCCCAATCCCGGATTTCGAGCACGCGTCTCGTTTCCCCCTTTCCTGAGTAATTTATTGCATAATAATATCCCCGCCGCCCGGCATGGTGTGTCCCGACTGCCTCTCGGGGCGCGTGCGGACCGAGACGCCGACGGGCACCGTGACCAAGATCCACGGCCTCGACACGTACGTGGCCTCGCCGCCGGACGGCGCCGTGCCCAAGGGCCTAGTCGTCATGGTTTCCGACATCTTTGGCTGGGAGTTTGTCAATAGCCGCCTGCTGGCGGATCAGTATGCCGCCGCCGGCGGGTTCCTCGTCTACCTGCCCAACTTCATGAAGGGGGGCGGCGTGCCGGGTTGGCTAACGGTATTTCCCATCCTCTCTTTTCCATATCCCCCTATTAGAGATGCCTTTGCTGGGGGGTTAGTCACGGAAATCGAGCTGACCACAAAACAGGAAGTGCTGTTTAAGCTGCTGAGCAAGTCCGGCGTGGTCGGCTGGGTGCGCAAGCCGTGGTACGTGGCGCAGATCGCCTACTACGTGGTGCCGTGGCTGTTCTTCAACCGGTGGACCGTGTCGTGGCCGATCGTGCGGGGATTCTTCGAAGCCGTGCGCAGCAATGCGGCCACTGCAACATTACCGGTCGGCGCTGCGGGTTTCTGCTGGGGCGCCAAGCACTGCATCTTCCTGACGCACCCCGAGGGCGTCACCTCAGGTGACAGCAGCAAGCCGCTCATCGACGCCATCTTCATCGCCCACCCTAGCGTCGTTAAATTCCCGGCCGACGTCGACAAGGTCGCGCGCCCGGCCTCGCTCGCCATCGGCGACAAGGATGTGACTATGACCATGGAGCACGTTGCCATCACCCGCAAAGCGTGGGACGCCAAGAAGGGTGTTGTTGATACTGAGGTAGTTGTCTATCCGGGCGCCAACCACGGTTTCGCTGTCAGGGTCGACTACTTCAATGAGAACATGCTCAAGCATTACCAGGAGGCCGAGGAGCAGGCGGTTAGGTGGTTTACAAAATATCTGAAGTGAGAGCTGCGAGTGTGTGGGTTTTGGTCGGGCGAACTCGTGTCTTGTCGGCGCTTGGCAGTCACAGGCGGAAAAATTGAACGTTTGCGAAGAACACGGGAGCTATTATGGTTAACGTATGTCACTATGTCACGAGCCACCCTGTGTAACGAGCCAAATCCTGGGTACTTTGACTTTAGAGAAATCTCAGCGCCGCATTTATATCGTATCTAATTAAATTTTATGTCAGTCCTGTGGTTGGGTTATCTCAGATTCCCGAGGAGTTCTTCAATCTATATTTTTCGTCAGCATCGCCCTCTTGCTGCCTAGTCTGCCGAGAGCCTTCTTTCATGGCAAAACAGGCTCCTACCATCACAGATCTACCACTATGTTCTCACGACTTAACAAGCATAGAGACACATTCAAAGCCTTGTAATTCACAGGTCGATTCGCTCACCTATACGACTATTTGCGCTAAAGGTACGAAGATTGACTCTGTTGCCACTATGTCAAGGGTCAACAGCGCAGGACAAAGATTGCCACCAATGGCAATCTTACGCACCATTAGCTGCCTGGTAGGCTCCAACCGATGTACGCGTTCGTGTGTATATTATCGAGAAATATCTCATCTCTTTTACGTAGATTAGAGGGAGAGGCAGAGGCAGTCGACATAAAGCTCTGGTAACAAGCAGTTCAGATTGAGTCTTGACACACCACAACAACTGGCCGGCCTCCCCGAGATCCTGTCTCTACTATTACATCTGCGCCACCGTGGCCATCCATGGTGTTGGCGCAGTTTCGTCCTCCACAATCTACATTGCGTTCATCTGTGCCAACCTGGCCTTTGGTTCCGGCGCAAATACCTCCGCAGGGCTCTTCCGCTTCCGACCACGTTTTACCTTGCCCGCGCTAGTTTTCTTAGCCTCAAGTATAGCGACTTTCTTAGCCTCTTTTGCAGCCTTCTTATCGTCTCTCGCAGCTTTATTAGCTTCTTTCGCGATCTCTTTCGTAGCACGGTCGGCTCGCGCCGTCTCGAGGTCCTCATAGCTCATCACTCTCGCGGTCCCTAGTCTAGTATTTCTAGCTTGGTCGAACGGCAAACTTTGGCTTCGTTATTTATTTATAATAAGAATTGGTTGTACTCCTAAAGGAGAGCACGCTCGGCAAAGGACAGTTGGGCGGCGTTTGTAAGCTTCTGTACATGTCTCTTAAGGCGCTGTCTGCTCGTCTCGTTAAGTATATGAGCATCCTGTTTAATCAGATTATGTAGAGACGTAATAGCTTCTGCTGACGCTGGCGTCAGGGGCGTTTGCGGTACGTGGTCTTGCGCACAGGAATCCACATCGTTGATTTTCGGAACGGCTAGTGCAGCAGCGGGCTTCGGTGTATCACTAAGTACCCTGTCTGGGTTGAAGGGGAACAAACCGGCTTTAGCATACCCGGCTCGTATGCTCCTCGACGTGATTGCTCTTTCCCTGGCAGGACTGTATAAATAGATAAAATGCTCCTTACCGACTATTCCTATACCTCCTCGCTCTAGTTGTTCGACCTGGTCACGGTATGCTACCTTTAGCGGGCTAAAAACCGAGATATCACAGGGCTGGAGCTTGTGGGAGGTGTGAGAAGGGATGCGACATAAGGTGATGTTATTTTCGAAATAGAACTCCAAGATCTCAAGGGTTTCGTGTGTCCCGAAGCCATCGTATATTAGTACGCGTGGTTTCTGGTTAGCCAGTTCTCTAGTTTGGGGGTCAAACACAAGCTTGAGCCACTGTAAACTGATAGATGAGTCGGCGTATTTACTATTAGAGTACGTATAGTGACATCCAGGAGTGGGGTGCGTGGTCTAGTTGGCTCGGTGGGTTGCTGCTGGCCAGATTATCATAGGGTTCAGGTGCCTACCGTCGGCACTCACGCATTCGATGGTAGTCGCCGTCGTGCGCTTGATACGCACGCCTCTGTAGCTTCGCTTGCTATCCTTGCCCACTATGACTTTGATAGAGTTGAGCTTGGAAAGCATGACGCCCGTCTCGTCCATGTCATACACATTCTCCTGAAGCACAACAGGATTATGGAGTACCTTTCCAATCACCTCGAACCAGTGTACAACCTTATTGTAAATGTCGTAGCGGTTCCAGTCCAGGGCCCCACTCTTACTCGCTTTGAGTTCTGGATGGCGTTTGTAGAAGAACTGAAGCCAGTTCCTTCCGGGTGGCTTGCTTGGTCTATCCGGCGGCCGCCGCCGCTGGGCAAGACTGAAGGCTATCGACCCTATATATTTTATTCGAACGGAACGTCCAAGAGTATCCTGTTGTACCAAGAACTTAACGAGGGCTTTTTCCTCCCACGGTTTGAGATAACGTTGGCTTTGAGCCTTCTCTTCGATCGACCGTCGTCCGCGTGCCAGCGCTGCCAACAACTCAAATAAAGTCAACTCAAATAGCTCAAATCAACTCAAATAGCCAACTCAAATAAGCCATTTTTGAACCCAACTCAATTCAAATAGACCGGTTATTTGAGTTGGGTTTAGCTCAAATATTTCCATCGCTTGGGCCCTTTTTGGGCCCAGTTTTCCCTGCATTCCTGGGCCCAGGGCAGCATTTGGCCATGGCCAACCTGTTAAGATCTGGGGCTTCCTGGCCTTCATACTTGGCGCCCTATAAATTGGCCTTTACGATCAGGAACTCGAAGAATTAGCCCTACAGCGTCGGCTACGCTGTTTTGGCCACGTTCTAAACCTCGCCGTACAAGCCTTCATTCTAGGGAAGTCAACCTACCTTGATCGAGCCATTAACGATAACTTTATCGGTTAGTTATCGCTTAAAGAAGAAGAGGCCTTGCTAGTAGGTTGGCGGAAGCAAGGGCCAGTTGGTAAGCTGCATAACGTGGTGCACTTCATTCGCAGGTCGCCACAACGCCGCGAGACCTTCCTTCAAATCGCGCGCGGCCAGTTGAGTAAAGAAGAGGCTCGCGAATTCGGCTCTATTGTTTTTGATAGGAATATCGAGGGCTTACAGCTTTGTGGCGATAATTCGACGCGTTGGAACTCGGTATTCTATATAATCCAGCGCGCAGTGCGATTGCGGCCCAGGTCGATTTTTGGTACCATCGCAACCAGAGCGAAAAAGACCCCAAAAAACGCCTCCCCACTGCTAACCTGTTGGAACCCTCTGACTGGCATCAACTTACGCTTGTTTTGACTATTCTTGAGCCCTTTAGAAGGATCACGAAGTGGTTTGAAGGCAGATCAGCGAGTTTTCCTGAAGTTATCGCTATAATAGAGTGGCTGACTGATTACCTTGCTCACCAGCAGCGAATTCTGCACCCAAATTCCGAGGCGCCAACAGAGTTCACGGGTGGGCCTGTCTACGCCTAGCTAGAGATCACAGTCGCTAGCCAACAGGCTCAATCAATCGCCCTTGACGACGACGACGATGCCGACGACGACGCCGAGCCTTTCTTCTCTACCGTAGCGAATTCGCAGCGACCTCGGCGCAAACGGCGGCTTCCTGGCCGGCTAGCCGACTCGGTCATCGACCTGCCGCGGCGCCTGCCGACCGGCCAGGTTATCCTTCTAGTCTTTGAGTTAGCCGACGACCTACCTGCCCTGCCCTCCTCCCCTGATCCTGACGACGATCACGTTTCCTTCGTACGAACCAGTCTCCAACTGGCCATTTAGAAGCTTCAAGAATATATTGGGTTGATGGAAGAAAGCCCTGCTTATTGGGTCGCTATGCTCTTGCACCCTGGGCATAAGAAGAGGTGGATGGATAAATGCCTAAGCCTTGATAGGGCTAGGAAGGCATTCGCTGCCTGCCGTGATCTTTACCAAGCCGAATACGCCGACCTTCCTGTGCCTATAGCGCCGCAGCCATCAGCCCTGTCAGACCCAGGCAGTCATCTTCGCTCTTACGACTACTACGACCCGCCTGAGGACCTGGGCCAGAAAGACGAGCTGGCTGAGTACTTTGCAGAACCTGTTTGGCCGGTGGATGACATACAAACCTGGTGGTTAGCTCACAAGGAACGCTGGCCTCGATTGTCAAGGATGGCTTTGGACCTATTGTCGATACCGGCGATGTCATCTGAGTGTGAGAGGGCCTTCAGCCAAGCCAAGCTGGTCATTGGCACGCAACAACATTCTTTGGTCGACGATACCATCAATATCCTCATGTGCCTGAAGAGTTGGGGCTTGTTTTGAGGGCGTTGGCTGGATTCAGCGCTCTTTTCTGGTCTAGGGAGTCAATTCGGGGCCAAATTTGGCAAGATTTCGTGTTTTTTTTGGTGGTGCGGCAAGTTCCGTCAAATAAGGTCAAATAAAGCCAACTCAACTCAAATAGGGCCTCAACCCAACTCAAATACAGTATTTTGAACTCAATTCAACTCAAATATAGCTTCATATTTGAGTTATTTGAGTTGTTGGCAGCGCTGCCGCGTGCACAGTGCTGGAGGGTAGTGCGAGGGACGTCGCCATGATCTGCTAGGGCACGGAATGATTTAGACACGCCATGGGGAGCTCCTCGCGCCAGTACCTGGGTAGCTTCGTCCATAGTAGCGTTAGCTTATTGTGGTGATAAGGAGTGGTGAAGGGAAATGAAGCGAGCGAGGAAGCCCGAGCCATGGTCTAGACGTGGCGACCCAACAAGGAAATCGCCCCACAACGAAATCTCTGCCCCTGTCATCTAATTTCCCGGCCTTCAACTTCTACACAACACAACTTCATCAATTCTAGTCCAAACAGCTTCAAAATACGACATGTCGGACCGTCGAGAGCAGCTCATTCAAGCTGCAATACTTGCAGTTGAGCAGGGCGCCTCACAGAAAGACGCGGCCAAGTTATACGGCATCCCTGCTTCCACCCTCTGCAAACGCATCCACGGGGCAGAAAGTCGTGCCCAAAGTAAACAAACCGAAAGAAATCTCTCCAATGCACAGGAAAGCTTTCTAGCCGACTGGTGCCTCAATGAGGAAGCTGCAGGGCGCGCTCCTAGCCGTCGTCAAGTGCAGAGATTCGCTCAAGCTATACTGAATGAGGCCGGCACGACGAAGGCCGTTGGGGAGCGGTATGTAGACCGCTTTCTACGCCGCAACCCGGCGGTAAAGATGAAGAATTCGACCTTGTTGGAATCCTCTCGCGTGCGCGGTTCAACTCGTGAAGCTTTCGAGGACTTCTTCAAGCGACTGGCCTTCCAAATCGAGGATAAAAAGGTTATCCCGGCCAACATAGCCAATATGGATGAACACGGTATGCAGGAGCTCGAGACCCGGGCCGGAAAGGTCATAGGAAGCTCCCTGACGAATCGAACTTACGTTCAAAGCTCTGATGCAACAACCTGGGTCTCAGTCATCGAATGCGGCACTGCTGAGGGCATTCGTTTGAAGCCTGTGATTATATTTACCGGGGCCAGTCTTCAAGGACAACACTTTCTCGATAACCTCGAGCTGGAGGCTGAATTCCCGGAATGGAAGTACGATTACTCAATTACCGGTTGGAGCAACGCCCAGATCGCGATAAAATGGCTCAAAGAGGTCTACTTGATCCAAACCAGGCCCCAAAGGCCGGGGGATTGGCGTATATTGATCCTTGACGAGCATTCGAGCCATATGAACGAAGACTTCATGTTGTTGGCCTTCCAACATAAGGTCCAGCTTGTCTTTTTACCCTCACATACATCGCACAAGTCCCAGCCTCTCGACCGCTCGGTATTTTCACCCTTGAAGAACTACTTCAGGCAAAACACCAAGGCCCTAGCCAGCTTTACATCGTCAGCTCCTATCAACAAGGTTCGGTTTCTTTTCTGCTATAGAGATGCCTCGGCACGGGGCATGAGCGCCCGTAACATCATCTCGGGCTTCCGGAAGACCGGAATTTGGCCTCTCAACCCGGCTTATTTACTTGATGACCCGGAGGCAGTCAAGGACAACGAGGCACTCCCGGCCCGGCCTACAACGCCGCCGACGACGGCCCCGAATGACGATAACAGGCTCTTCAAAACACCGCACGGCAGTCAGGACATCAAGAAGTACCAGGACAGTATTCGGAATGCCCTCAGTCCGGCCAGCCGGCGTGTGCGGGCTTTGTTTACTAAGGTCGGGAGGTCCCTGGATCTGAAGAATGCAGAGATCGCGTCTTTGAAGGCACAAATTACGCATCTCACGACCGAATTAGAGGCTTCAAAGCCTCGCACGCGTAAAAGGGTATATGAAGATGGAAATGAGCGATTTGCACGCATTGAGGACATCGCCAAGGCACAAAAAGCTAGTCAAATGCCCCCCAAGCGGAAAAGAGTGGCCCAGGCAGGAAGTCAGCCACATGCGGTCGAAGAAGCCCGGGAAATAATCGCCCGTGGGCTTGAGCAATATATACAGGCCGAAGAAGAGGATTGAGGACTTTTTTGCTAGTTATTTTGTATAGAAATGGATCATTTGCGCCCGTAATGTGGACGTGGGCATGGTGTGGGGCAATTTCGTTGTTGGGCGATTTCGTTGTTGGGTCGGCTCTTCTAGGTGGGGGAGATGAGCTAGACCCTGAACGGTGACTCACTTTTGGACCCATCTATTTTTAGATTGAACCATTTTTGGGTCCAAGAATTCTTGAACCCGTCCATTCCGGATTCTCGAGTCCTCGTTTGGTCGAAACTGAGGTTGATGACTACAAGAATCTCGACAAGACTCGTATACGCTGAGGAGTTCAAGTCCGCTTTACCATCCCGTCCCAAGAACGGGAGCGTTCCAGTACTGTACCGCGGGTAATCATAAGCACTCCACTGCCGCCGTCGTGCCTTTTCATTAGCTGCATTCGTTGCTGCGAAATTTGGAGCTACAGCCTATGTCACGTGAACCTGTCCTGGTCGCTGCCTGGAGCGCCTTCGAATCAGGACACAGAGCGCGAGTCCAACCCGGAGGCCTCAGCTGGCCCAAACCCCGCACCCACGATGCTTCCACATCCCGGAGCGGGTTCAATGCCTTGCCGAGAACTGAACTGAGCCCCTGCCATCGCGGAAACCGGAAGCGCCTGATACGAAGATTGCCTCTGGTCATTACACATCAATTCTTTTGCATAAGTCTTCATGGCCGACCCCATCGGTACGACGGCAAGCATCCTTGCGCTTGTTGGCGTATGCGCGAAAATAATCGAGTACATTCAAGACGTGAAGGATGGCTCGAGCGAACGCATGCGCTTAAGGAAAGAGATCATTTCAACCAAGGGAATCCTCGAAGCTCTTATTACGACCGTGAAAGGCGCCGAAGCAGCACCAGAGGCTTGGTCAGAAACCATCCGATCCATAAAGCGGAAGGGGGGTCCATTAGATCTTCTTCAGGAGGTGCTCTTCGCTCTTCACGATGAACTCAGCCGAGCAGCATCCGCCAACCGCGTCGAGAGAGTGGGCAGGAGTCTTTTATGGCCATTCAAGAAAAAAGATATCGAGGAACGGTTAAAGGTCATTGAAAGACAACAGTCGCTCCTTGCATTCGCTTTGGACAATGATCATGTGGCCTTGTCGAAGGAGATTCAGGGTGATACCCGCGCTATCCGTGGCGATGTGATAGCAATACGAGCCGAGCTTGAACAACAGAAAGACGACGAGAACCGAGCCACTATACTCGGCTGGCTGACGCCAGTCGATTATACACTCCAACAGCATGATTTCATCAGCAGAAGGCAAACAGGAACCGGCCAGTGGGTTCTAGACTCAGCCGAGTACCAGACATGGCGACAGACGGCAAAAAGCACTTTATTTTGTCAAGGCATTCCGGGAGCGGGAAAGACAATCCTTACTTCTATCGTTGTCGAGGACCTGACGACGCGGTTTTTCGAAGTTCCAACGGTCGGCATAGCATATATCTATTGCAACTTCCGGCGGAAACAAGAGCAGCGTGCGGAAGACCTCATCGCGAGCCTACTGAAGCAGCTATCTCAAAGCCGGACGTCTCTGCCAGAAACCGTCAAAGCACTGTACGATAAGCACAAGCGAAAACAAACACGGCCCTCCATCGACGAACTCTCGCAAGCCCTTCAGTCAGTAACTACATTATAAGAAAAGGTTTTTGTCATCATCGACGCACTAGACGAATGCCAGGCATCTGGTGGCTGCCGCTCGAGAGTTCTGACAGATATGTTTAACCTTAACATTAAGTACGGAGCGAACGTCTTTGCGACGTCCAGGCCCGTCCCGGAAATCACGGCAAAGTTCGATCAAGGCGTTTCCCTGGAGATCCGTGCTAGTAAGCAGGATATAGAAGCGTATATCGAGGGGAATATGCCACGACTAGAGGCTTTCGATGATTGGAATGAACAGCTGCGATACGATATTAGACGACAATATCAGACGCGGTAGATGGAATGTACGTTATCAGATGTTACTCGCGATCGGCTCTTCACTGACATGCTTGTAGGTTCCTTCTGGCACAGATTTATCTCCAGTCACTAGACGACAAGACGAAGCCAAAAGCGGTCAAAAATGCCTTACGACAATTTCAGAATCAAATGCCCGGATCAAGTGAAGAGCGGAAGAGAGAAATATTAGATCAAGCATACGACGACACATTACGAAGGATCCAAGAACAGAGACCGAACTTTCAGCAAATTGCAATGAAGGCTCTCGCCTGGATTACGCACGCCAAAAGGCCTTTAAGGATAGTGGAACTTCAGGTAGCCCTTGCTATTGAGATTGGCGACCCTGGCCTTGACAAAGACAATCTTGAGAAGACGGAACGTATTATTTCAGTATGTGCTGGGCTGGTAACGATTCAAGAAGAGAGCGAGATCGTCGAGTTCGTCCACTACACCACGCAAGAGTACATGCAACGAAAGCAGAAAGATCTGTTTGCAGATGCAGAGTCGGAGATCACAAAGTCCTGTGTCACCTACCTCTCGTTCAACGTGTTTGACAGCGGATTCTGTCCGACCGACGCTACTTTTGAAGCCCGGCTTCAAGCAAACAGGCTCTACGACTATGCGGCACACAACTGGGGACACCATGCGCGTGCTTCAGGATTCTGTGAAGGTATTATCGCCTTTTTGAAGAGTACTTCAAAGGTAGAAGCATCTAGCCAAGCGTTAATGGCTATTAAGTTGTCATGGACTTCGACATACAGCCAAGACGTTCCAAGACGAATGAGTGGATTTCACTTGGCAGCATACTTCGGCGTTCAAGATGCTGTATATGGCCTCCTTCAACACTGGAATAGTATAGATGAGAAGGATAGCTATGGCCAGACGCCGCTATCGTGGGCCGCCGAGAATGGCCACGAGGCCGTCGTACAGCAGCTGCTCGCTAAAGGGGCCATCGTCGAGACGAAGGATGACTATGGCCAGACGCCGCTATTGTGGGCCGCCGAGAATGGCTACGAGGCCGTCGTGCAGCTATTGCAATCACATCTTCTACAACCTTCCTCATAAGAATTCCCAAGGCCCCCTCCACCCACCACCAGCAATAATAGAAAGGCTCTTACATACTTTTTAGTTTTCCAAAAAAATAATTTCAAAGCATTTTTTAAATTAGTAATTCCATGTAGATGCCGCCATATAAAGGGCCCACTAGTAGGGGTAGATTTAGTTTCCAGGTCACATGCAGGGAGCTAGGTAGTGCAACAGCCACAGCCTTACAGTAAATAGTGTAGCGCTCGTCGGTGTTTAGGAAGAGCTAGAATGAAAGGTACCGATCGATGTGATGAAATTACATGAATCGACTTTCTGTGCAACATCCACGAATGAAAATGGCTTTACATCAGAATAAGCAAGCTCAGAAGGCTAGAAGCTATTGACTATCGATTAACAGGTGTCACTAGAGTCTCGTGGTGGAGCTATACGGGCAAGAGACTCCGTTGCCATACACGGGGGGTCTCCGCATAGCAGGCAGCAAAGACGGCGACATGAACGAAAAATGTCGATTGAAAGGCGTCTCGGGAATTTAAAATGATCTTGTCATAGGTTCGCACAAATTTTGATCAGATTTAAAGAGAAATGCAAAGCCGAGATTGCTCTAAAGTCAAAGTACCCAGCATTTGGCTCGCTACGCAGGGTGGCTCGTAACACAGTGACGTACGTTAGTTGTTTTCAGGGGTTCATTATGTCTTATTGCTTTCGAGAGTCTTGTATCAAGATTGATCTAGGCAGTGATCAATGATTTAATTATCATTATTATCACCGCTCAACCTAAACACTGAGTCAGCAACACCGAGGATAGGGGGGGACTTACAAAACAACAAGCACAGTTGTAACTGCCGACGACGGGTCGTTTATCACATCACGCAAGGCGAGCTTAAGCCCAAAGAGCTTAACCACGTGCTGGCCCTGCACCTCACCCTTAGGGATGGGGCCGGGGATCCAGGCGTCGTCGTCAAAGTCGATGCCGGCCAGGGTGCTGAACGAGTGCAGGGGCGCCGAGCGCTGCTGGCGCAAGAGGAGCCAGTCGCTCTGGTCGAGCGCCATAAACAGGGCCGGCGTGAAGACGCGGCGCACGTAGGCGCGCACGGCGAGGCGCACGAGCAGCTGCGTGACGCTGACGTCGCCGAGGTGCTCCGCCGTGTCCAGCCGCAGGGCTGCGCTGGGGACCGTCACCGTGAGCCGTGCCGGCCCGTTGTCTTCAGGCTGCGTAGACCGCGCCTCGAAGTCCTGAAGGAACCGGCCCTCGAACTCGTCAGCAAGCTTGATCCGGCTGCGGCGCGCAAACGAGCTGGGGTGCTGCAGCCCCTCGACGGAAGCCACCATGCGTGCGTTCGCCTCGCGCCCGAGGGCCTGCCCCCCGAGCATGGCCAGCAGCCCGCGCAGCGCCGACGTCGACGCCGCCCGGTGGAAGAACTCCTTGTCGGCTTCCGACGTGTACGCGAACACCTGCCCCCGCTCCAGCGCGGGAGCCGCCCGTAAAACCGTGCTCAGCAGCAGCTGAGCGTCGGGCACGGCGAGGTGCAAATCCATTAGCAAGTCCGACATTTGGCTGGTCTATTCTGGGATTTGCTTCAACTTAGATCTTAACTCGTGTCTGAGCTTAATGCTACAGATAGGAATTCAGCGGAAATTAGTGGTGGCAATGAAGTAAGGAAGTTACACTGAACGATGGGGAGCGACAGAGTTTCAATTTTATACGAAGTATTCGAGGAGGAATAGTGAAAATCCAGTCAATGCCATTGTTCAAAGGGGTTAGGGAGGGAAGAAACGGTCTATCAAAGAAAGGTTATTGTCTTGTTGTGGTATCCAAAGAAGGAATTAAGCGCCCTAGTGGTTAGGTTGTTCTTCAGCGCTTAGACAAAGAGAAGAGCGATCGTTGCCGCGTTTAATGCACATACTGAATGAGCCTGTTCTATATTGAGGTAATACCGAGCTTGATCTAACGCTGTTGAGGGGACATTTCCCGAGGCCAACGATCAGATTTCGGCCCTCCCTGTCCATGTACCCGTATGCGTTGACGAGCGCCCTTCTCTTGCTCCAATTGATGTGGTGGAACTTGTAATAGTTGGCGCGGTTCTCGTCTTCGCACCAGTAGATCCCGTGTGTCTCGTCTTGTCGGAGCCCATACGGATCAGGGTCGAGACACTTGACCCAGCTCATCAGTGATGGCCGCGTGACCTGGAGAGATGTAAAAAGGCCGAGCAACCGGCGGCATGGAACCAAGGGGACATATTTCTCGTATGTGATGGCGAGGCATTGGGCGGGCCGCTTGCAGTGCATACCTGTCCCAATACGATCCCACCCTCCGTCGGAATCATCTAATGCGTGGAGGATGTCCCGGTCATCCAATTCATCCCGGGGCTCGAGGATATTCGCGTGGCACCCGCAGTCGTTATAGGTGAGGGCCGGGTGGTCGGGACTGTGCAGGGAACAATGAATTGGCTCTTGCGGCTTCTTTCTTCCATTTCCCTCATATAGCCAGAGCAAGACATATTCCTTTAGACATTAGAAACGCTTGGGGTCGAAAAAGGCCATTTCCCTTGCACGATGCCACCCCTTCGCCGGAGAAGCGAGGTACGATCCGCCATTGCGGTGAACAGATTCGACTGCGCTTTACAGGTCGGCAGTGGCGAGACCGCCTCTAAGACGAAGGCCAGGAAGGTTGTGGTAGGAGCACCAGGAAATCAGTATACCCGGTCGTTTGCCGTGCGTGGCGTTGCACATTGAATGCGCGCCTTCCTTCTCAAATCTCACCCTGATCGAGCGGTCCTTTTTGGTGCCGCATTGCGCAGCACGGCTAGGTTTGTGACTCGCGTGGTCCCAGGTCAGGTTCAGCTTCGATGAGGCACTGGGTCCGCTGGTATCGAAGAACTCTTGTATCGTTGCCCACGAGATTGTCAGATGGTCGCAGACGCGGACATGCCCTTCTCTTCCTATGCAGATGCGCGTCGTGGAAGAGTCGCGTCGCTGCGCCATGGAGAAGAGACACGCCGGGTGGTCAGTTTTACAGCCCGAGCAATACAGAAAGGTGCCTTCTAATAGCCTGCGTCGCGCCTCGCGGGACGAGCTGTTGCTGGAATACGTTTTGCAGTACAAGTCCCGGCGCAGTAGAGGAAGCAAAAGTGGCCTCAGTGAGTCTGGGATTTTCTCCGTGTTCCACGGTGTTGACTTCTAGTAAAACCGCCATTTAACAGGGGAGTCGTCTTGAAACCTGCGGAGCCGCTCATCCCCGAACAGTCGTATGAAGACACGGCTTGTGCGTCAGAGATAGAACAGACTGAAGTGGTCTGCCTGGCTCATTATTTATAGTAGCACATGGTCTGGAAGCCTTGACAGGAAATCCGAGGGCTTGTTGGCCAGCATGGGCTTGTCGGCTGTCCCCTGATCGGTATCCATGGTTCATTCGTGACAGACAGAAGCAATTGTGACGGCTCGCGGATGCTTGACTGGTTGTCTTGGTCATTGGATCCCATCAAGAGAGGGGAGAGATGGTCGGTTCGATTCTGTGGAGGAAGCTGGGTTATATCATGGGTTGAGTTTGTCGAACCTTGTCGGCATCATGAGTTTAAATTTCGTGCTGGCTAAGGTCTAAGCCTCGAAAATACGTCAGTCGAAGGTCGGAGTTTTTTTATCTACCCCCCACCCGAGGGCTGCGAACTCTGCCATGATTGAGGTATATTCGCCGCCCCTCATCCCCTAATCCAAAGTATTTCGACTGATAGCTCGGGTATATGATAATGTACTGCGTTTTCCTACTGACATGTCCGACCATTTGGTCAGGGTTGGTGGCCGGTGCAGCTCCGCTTGCGACCACCTACCCAACTCCAAGGGTGGACAAGGGCTCTGCTAAGCCCAGTAGCACGAATTCTGTTGGTGTTATTATCAAGCTGCGAGAATTTTGGCCTCTGTTGAGATGACCACAGTCTCCGCCTCGGTCTCGGGAGAGACGGCGAGGATATCTGCCCCTGTCGAGGTGAATAAGCTGCAGCCGTCTTGTCGGCAACGCCTTCGACGCAATCAACAAGGCCAGTGAAACAATCTGCGACCGGTCAGACGTCCAGCAAGATACCGACACCTAACTCGGCAGCCCTGGCGTCACCGTCACGCCTGGCTCACCCATGCCCAGGCCACTCTCCCACGCCGCGCTTTCGCTGCCATCCACTCGCATCCCATACCTGACGGGCCTCCTGCCGACAATTTTCAACACCCCGCGCGCCGTGGCGTTGGATGGCGCAGTGTTCAGCTCGACGGGGCCAAATGCTCGGGCGATCTCCACGGGCGACATGGAAACACGCCGGCCGAGCGCCCAGAAACCATAGAACAATGGTAACACGGCCGTGGCGGCAAGGAGTGACGCCGCAACGGCCCCCGCCAGGAACCCCCGGTTGGTGACGTAAACGGCGACGACCACGTCAGCTCGGGTTGCGTTGCGTAGCGTCTGGCGGTAGGCCTCCTGTGCAGTAATGTTGGTACTGCTGATGCCACTGTCTCCATCGCCACCAAACACCGGCGCGCCAGCAGCACGCAGTACACAGCGCAGCGCGAGCTCGCGGAGGGCGCCAAAAGCGAAGCGTCCAGGGTCCTCGAAGCGGCGGTCACACGATGACGCCGCAGTGGCTAGCTCGTACGCGAACAGGCCCTTCGCGAGCGTGTTCCACAGGCCGCCGACGTCGAGGAAGTTCGCGTCAGCAATGATGCTGTAGTTTGCGGCGAATCGCAGGTCCAGCAGCAGCGCCACGCCACCGTGCGTTGACGAGTTGCCGCTGCTCACGTCGTCTCGCAGTTCAGTCAATGTCTCGTTCGCCACAGCCACGTCGTCGGCGTACGTCGTTGCCGGGTCCAGCGACACGGTGCCGTTGCTAATCACCACCGCGTACCGCACCGTCGCCGGGGTGATGTTGCATTGCCGCTTGCGCAGCGCTGCACCGTTCGTTGCGTTGATGCAGCCCCTAGCCGGCTTCCACTGCGCATCGTATGTGAAGAGCCGCAGCGAGGCGTGATCGGCTGGCGGGGCGTCGCCGTCGCGGATGGATGGGATGATGGAACTGATGTGCTGGTGAGATTCTTCTTCGGTGTAGGTTACGGAGCTGATGAAGACGGGTGTGCTTTGATCCGTGTATCTGTCTGGGCCCCCGGCCGCGTCGAAATTCGGGAGGTCGATGGTCGACTCGTTGCAAGAGATGGTGTACCCCGCTGCATCGATATGGGTGCGGTATGTGCCGTCGTCAAGAGACGAGTTGGGGGGGCTGGCGATTCTGATGGGTGTCCTGGCAAGGTATTCCCGCATTACTGTGCTGAACTCTTCGGTCGGAACGTGCAGCTCCTGCGAGTCGTCGCTGACGTAGACGGTGAATCCTCGAGGGAGGCGAGGGGCAGCGTAGACATCCAAGTCAACCACGTTAGAGATCATACGGGTCTCAACCGAGAGCGCCCGCTGCAACAGGGGCGAGTTGATGGCGGCGAGCGTGACAAAGGAGGAGGCGATTGCCATTATGCTGGGGCCCCGAAACAGGACGCTCAGACCGGCGTCGAAAACGCCCTGGCTTGCTGCCCATCGCCAGTGAAGATCCTGCACACGGCTCGGACGGTGCGTGGCCATAAACCACCACCTGACGGCTGCTCCGCGGACGAGGGTGAAGTTGAGCAGAATGGTAACGGCGGCCGAGGCGATGGCGAATAAGACTGTCGGTGAGACCTTCCAGCTTGCTACGCTAGTCCCGTCGGCCGCAATGGCGATGGCGAGCATCGAGCCTACAAAGACAAATATCAGCAAGACTCCAATTGCTGCAGTCCAGGGGAACCGGGCCCAGACTCCAGTCTGCCATGGCGGCTGGATGCGGTGTTGGGGCGTTTTTGTGGCGTCACTTTCATGGTCGCTACCCTCGTCGCCGGTCGGCACGCGTTCGTCCGCCGACACGGGAAACGGGACAAACGGAACGGCGCCGTTTTCCAGCGGCTGCGGCTGTCGCCCTATCTGAAGGTAGCTCATTTCGGACGAGAATACAAATGCTTGGGCCTGCAAGCAACTTTTTATGACGGAACCTTTATAAACCCTTTGCGATGTGAGCGGTTGGAGTGACGGACCAGGCAGCGATCTTTTTTGATGCTGGCGCAGTCAACAGGCAACCACCTCGCGGCCACGCCGTCGCCAGGGGTATTATAGGTCGGGGATGTAGGCCAGCCTCCGCCTTAAGAGCTTGGCAATACGACTCTGTTATACTGCAAGGAGCCCTGTTTGCACCCGCTATCCTATTGCTGTTCTTGGTGGCATTTTACGATAATCCGAAGAGGCACTGTTCGTGGTATTCTAACCACGTAGGTGTTCCAACGGGTCAAAAAGTGGTAGTACTACCGGGGGGGGGGGGGGGTGTAAAGTTGTTCTGATTCATCTTCTCTCTCTGGAACTAAGGTAGGTTCTGCTTGCGACCGGGGTTTTTGTGTGTGTGTGTGAGAGGTCCGCGCGCCGCACGTGCCTACTTGCACGTGCGTACTCGCGCGATCTCTGCTTCCTCCCTGCTAGTGTGCGGTCACCAGTATCGCTATTCCAACAGGCACAGTAGAACTCTGAACTCCACAAAATCCAGCCCAGACCATTCGAGTGGCCTCCTTACCCCTTCGTTACCACCATATTACGTCGCACTACATTCCCGTGTTTTCCTCTCTTGATTTCGAGCTCATAACTCGGGATTTGGGACTCGATTGGCCTGCAACGGGAAAGTACATGTACGTGCATGCCATTCGGTTCGACGATAGCGGCAGCCCGTTTGGCAACTAATTATCAATCCAATCCTGAATCTGAATCTTTGTTGGTATGGTATCTATTAGGTACCTAGGTACTTATGAAGAAAATTTAGCAAAGAAACTGGTAATAGGTAATTAGGTAGTAAAGCCCTCGCCGACTGGTAAAATTCAGGGATTAGATTGTTGAACATTCAAGAGCATGGAGTTACACAATGTCATGTTCCATTTCGGACGCCTCCAAAAACGGCAGTTGCCGACTTGCTCACCTTCGCCCAGTTTGTGCACCGCCTCCTCAGGCAGCAACTGTGCAACGGATCCAGCCAGGTCCCGTGATCAGAGCCGAGCTGAACATGTCTTGAGCTTTTATGGGTAGAGCCTTGCGAGAACTCAACAACATTTGCGCCATTTCTTCAACTTTCTTCTGCACTGCCAACGTTGCGACCTCCATTATCAGTCGGTCCTACGTAGCCTACGACAGGCATATGAGCAAACTGGATTAAACGCAACTTACAGTTTCTAGCCCTGACTCGACAACAATGCCCAAAAGTGATAATTACGTCAAAATATGGACCTGCTGCCTATGCGATTATCCGCTTAATCAATTCTCCTTTTGCATCGGTGAAGACGCATTGGGCAATACTTGCTACCACGAACCATGTTCCGTCTGCACTGTCGACAAAACTATCAGTCATAGAGATGACGCCAGCACAATTGGGATTGAGGATTACGACTATATCAGGGCCAGGCCTGCTGAGTTTACCCAGACTCCCATTACCCAGACTGTCAAGCAACAGGCGTCTGTTTTGCCTGCTGGTGTAGCGGCAGTTCGTGACACAACTACCATCCGTGGCGATGATAAGTCAGAAAACCAAGCACCAGCAAAGTCGCCGCAAAATTCCATCACGGCCACGAAAACTTACGAGCCCTCAATTGGGCCAAGTCACTCTCTTACTTTGGGAGCAGCAACCCTTCCAGATTCGGGCTACGGCTCTGCTTCGCAAATCACAGCCAATGCATACCAATATCAAGCCCCGGCAGCCAGTCAGGTCAAACTACCTGAAGCCGACTCTGTTCTGACTGACGATGTTGCCTCCATCCTGACCGAAATGCTGCCGTTAGACTTGTCAGAAGATCTCGTCAGCACGTACGTTGGGATCTTTGCGCGACGTCTCTTGCATTCCACGGGAATCCAGGACCTGGAATGTTTTCCGGAAATCGACCAGACACTGCCTCGCCTGCTTCGTGCATTCGCGTTACGAGTAGCCTTTGCAGATAGCTCGGCTGACAGAAAGGCTGTAGCAACATTCGCAAGACAGAACAAACTGTGAGCACCTCTCTTCTTCCTATGTCGCGTATTATCTGACACGTGGAACCTCGCAGTCGGATTACGAAAGCGTTTATGGCAGCAGGAAAATTTCTTCGAGATGCAGCACAGGACAAAAATTCAGAACGGGGCTCGGGCACTGAAGAAGAAACTCCTTCTCAACAAAATGGGAACAGTGTTGCAGACAAACAGATGAAAGATCAAATGATCGCCCACTGGCTCGTGTCTCAGCCGTTGTTGGATTTGGCCACTGACCAGCTTGAACTCGATGATGCCGCGATCAATGAAGGGCCGTGGGAAGTGGAGGATGAGTGGGTTGAACTAAGCGATTCCGAATTAGCAAGGATTGACTTCACAGTCAATACGACTACCTACTCCTGGCTTACAGCTGCGGTCCAGCGTACAATCCGCCTCGATTACTCGAATTCCTACGTTCTGAGCGCCGTGCAGACCTTCGTCTCGTCTGTTCTCCCCCAAGCAAGTGGAAGCAGAGCGCTCCGCCCGCAATCTCTTCGGGTAAAATTGTTCTGGGATCCCCAGGCTTTCATCAACGAGCAGGGATACGATGGAGCCAGCTCGCTCCTCACAGCCGTGACAATTAGCGGATCAAAGGATAGCCCGCAACTGCTTCCATGCTTACAGTATGTCAAACAGACATGGCCCCTGATTGGGGAGCCTATCATGGATGCCATCGTGGCAGCGGCTGCAAAACCCCCAGGCACCGCCATCAAAAGTGAGTGATGTTGAGGTTTGTTCTGGCTGTAATTGTTTACCACTCGCTCATTCGCTTGTTGGTTGAATCATCTATCGACTCTGTTCAGTATCAACCTTCCACGTTTCTTTTCTTGACTAACTTCATTTGTAGGCGTTTTATTTGACAATACCGAGATTACATTAAGTATCAACAATGGCGCTGTGGCTGTAGAGTGTGTGGGCCTCTTTGACTCCATTCTGGAGGCCACCGAGGTTCTGGTCTGGGCAGGCACCGCCTTGCGGGAGGCCTCGGATCAAAATTCAATCCGATATAGCGTCATGAATATGAGTCGGGCTCACTCACCAAAAGGCTCTTCGATTGTGGTGAGGTTCTCCGAAGAGGACCTCTCTACGGAGAATGGCCCTGGATTCGCAACTGGTGACTGCTGGCAGGGCTTAGTCAAGAACCCCGTTATTGCAAAGGGATTTCCGGTCCCATTCCGACCCAAAGGAATACCCGGCCTAGATATCCCACTCGAAGCCATGGGACTCCTAGTTGGGGCGCCATGTGTGACGGCTTTTCAGAACCGAGCAGTCATGAAAGGATTCAACGCGGCGATAGTACCTATAGCCGAGAGTGGGTCAATCATTCACTGGCACTTGGTTCTGAATAAAGACGGTAGTCGTCTCCCATACTCGGATAGCCGTATTCTCTCGAGTATGCACATGGATTTGCCGGCTGCGTTGCCTCGAATTCAAGCTGCGAGACACATCCTCGGATGGACGCCAATGGTGTCATACAACGTCGGCAAGTCTTCACATTCACTACCCATATTATATGTTTGACGCTGACTACGCCTACAGGATCGCCCTTGGCAAACTACAAGATTGGATGGTCGAGTCCTGACTTTGTCGGACCCGGTTGTTCCCTAGAGAAGATTGTTATCTCAGGGGGCCCGGGATTCCTTTCGGCCGGCGCCGAGTTTTCTCTTGGACGCAAGGACAGAGCACTAGTCAACAGTCACGGCATCGCATATTTTGACATGCTGACGTCGTTGTCCAGCTCGTATGTAGTTCTCTATGATGTCCAAGACCACCGGGCTTGGCTCTCCAATGGCACTCACGCCTTGCTGCATGTTCGGGCATCCCTTCAACATGACAAGGACAGTGATTTCGCTGCCAATTGTCTTTACGACCCCCTCAAGCTAGAAGAGGCCCCCAATCCGTCCCACCCAAGTGCCGCTAGCAACTTTCTGAAGAGTCCGCACAACTGGGAACAGCCTTTGTACCCGAATCCAGATGAATTACGCAGCGAAAAGGCAACCACACCGGGAGGCGATACCATCACGACCGAGTACCGATCGTCCACAGGCGTATTCCTGAAGGACCGCATCAACCAGATAATGCACACGTTAGAGCAGCTTATAGACTACCAAGCTATCAGCGACTCTCTGTCGACCGGGGTGCCAATTAAAATGCGCCCCAGGAGTCGGCTGGAAGGATACCGCTTCATGGACATTGCAGCTCGGAAGTCAATTACGCCACGTGTCGTGAGTCTCAGTGTCTTCACTGGCGCCGGTAAATCATGGATAGACTTCACGCGCGCCATCAAGGCTGTGACCCTCTTTGGCGAAGGATTTGGCGAGCTCTTAGGAGTTCCACAAGACACCATTGCCTCCGTCTGCTCCCTCTGGCACACGCTACCCAAGAATAAAGACTATCTGGCCGCGAGTGAGTATGATCTGTCCAAAATCCTCCACCAGGAGGGCAGTTCTGCGTGCAGTCCCCTAAAGCTCGCACCGGGAAATTTCTGGCACCGATCAACGACCGTATTCGGCCCCTGTACATGCCGACAAGGCGAGCCAGTTGAGATGTTCGGCATGCGCGTGCCAAAGCTGCGGCGCGCCTGTGACCGAGTGCAGATCATCCTGCCCTCACAGAATCTACCGAAAGGGCTTAGGGGGAAGCACCACTCGCCTGCAGCGACCATTGGCACCGAGGGCGCCGTCATATTTGGCCGCAGCGAGCTCTTGCCATGGAAGTGGCCAGACCAAGGGGCGCCGAAGCGGGACGTTGAGAGAATCTCGAAGACTGATGATGAGGAAAGTGCAGGCAGCCGTCTCGCGAGTGACACCAGCTATTTATCAGCGCAGGACTCCGTTACATCAGCTACGGCGGCTTCAACGCTGCCCTCGACTACCACTTCCTTAGACGGCAACGAGTGCGAGAGAGATGTAGGGGCGAACGGCTCAACGCCGGCAGGCAAAACTTTGGTTGGAATTGGAATAAAGGCCACCGAGATGTCGGGTTCTCAGGTCAAGAGGCAGAGGGTTTGGGACACGGCGAAGAATGTGACGAGTACTAAGTAATATGACACGGCATTGAACCACCCAAGATTCAACACTTGATGGTGGACATGAATATAGCACGAGAGGGTTTTGAAGTAGTTGCAAAATTCGGTTTCATACACTACCGTTCAAACAGGCTACCCTGTTATATGACTTATATACCTTACCTGGGTATCAAGGCCTCTCAAATTTTCCGTAGTGTAGAAAGGATGCTCATAGATACCTATTCAGGGATTGGATTCGTTGAAAACCGACGTGGAGGGGTGACGGTATCCGGAAAAGCAGGGTTAAAAGTGTTGTAGTCGTTGACCGAATAGTTGTCCTCACACAGGGGCGACCGAGACGGATGAGACGGAGGAAACGAAGGAGATATCGGGTCAGCGCGCGGTGTCTGATTCAAGTTTGGCTGACTAGCGATGGCGATATAGCCAAGCTCTTCCTTGACGGCTAGAGGGTCGATGGTGATCGACTGAATGGTTGTCTTGTAACAAAGACGGAGGAGATGGAGGATATGTCTGGACTTCCTGGCGTTGCTGGAGGGGGCGGTCGCACGTCCTCGTCCTCTTGACCCGAGGCTTGTCTTGTGGCGGTCCTGGAGAATCCGGGTCGTCTTCCAGTAGCCTTTTCCGTAGCTGTCGCGCCATGAGCAGCAAGGAGATGCTGGACTGGAGGGAATCGAGCAGATAACGAGATATTTTCAGGGAGATGGAAGGACACGCTCGTTGTCCATCGCTCAGCACTCTTTAGGCAAACTGTGTTGTCCTAGATCAGTGTTGCTGCCGCTGGTTCGCCTCTGGGCCCTACGCCGGGGTCAGTTGCCTTCAAAGCCATCACCTGTGTCGCTCTCGTGAAAATGCTGCCTCAGCACTGGGGGGAGCGAGGCGAGTTCGAGGCGGTCGAGGGAGGGGTCGAGGGCGGAGTCGAGGGCGGAGTTGAGGAACTCAAGGCGGGAGGTTGCGGTATCACGCGCGGACTTGGGTCACCAAAGTGTCTTACTTCTGTTTGTGTAGCGATGCCTGATGTCGGATGCAGTTGCGGGATAGGCGTGACTTACGCCCGAGCATGAAAGAGTGAAGAACGACGGCTTACCTAATATGAAGATGGAGGAGTTTACACTCGCTAGGTCAGGGTGAAGGGACGAGAAGAATAACGAGCCTTTAGTAGGTGAGGGCGTCTTTTGGACGGTGTGGGCGAGGGCGACAGCGGTACGGAGTTGGTGTGTTCAATGCGTGTGCTGGAGGCTCAAGAAGTTGCTTCGTGGTGGGGCCAAGTAGCCGCGGTGATTGTGGCGATGAGGGCAAATCGCGCGTTTCGGTCGAAGTGGTGATTTTCCAGCCTGGTGAACCCAAGACCACGGCCCCTCCAATGCACGTCCCAAAGCTGGATCGAGGTGAGGCTGCCACGGCAAAGATATGATCGATTCAACTGCTGGCTTTGCCCTGACTCGAAGAACTAGGGGGAGCAAGCCGACGACGGCGATAGCGAACCCATATATGTCATGGATTCTCTGTTGTTAGCTAAAACAGAAGCATGTGGTGACATGGCAGAAGTAGGCTTATTAGTATAGAAGGAGATGATGGTTTTTCCCCCCGGATGAGCCAGTTCTATATACGAGACATCGCTCGTCGAAGGTTCCTTGGATGTTCCCAACGTGGCCTAGGGGACTGAGAATCTTGTAAGGCGTAGCTAGTGCGGGATCCGACTCAGAAGGGTTTCTTCCAGGGGCCAGAGAATAGCATCCTTGTGCTTACCACTCTCCTCTCAAATCCTCCCGGGGCCCGACGACGACGGCCCGCGCCTCCTCGAAGGCGAATTCGCTGACTGTCGGGTTCGAGTAGAGACGGATCATCCATTAGATCAATAAAATTTTACGATGCGGGGTGATATGAGCCCACAGGACACTTTCTCAGAGCTCAGTTCCCACCCCCACGGTGGGAAACAGTATCCATATACCCTTGTCCACGCCGCGACCCACTCTTTGAGCGGGCAAACGATTCGAGGTATTCCATGATGCCATCGAGAAAGACTTCATTATCCCAGAAGGCTAGTTCTACCTCGCCGATGCGGGTTACGTGCGGGCCGCTGGCTGCTGACGCCATTCCGGAATGTGAAATACCAACCTTTAAGAAAGAAGAGGCCCTCAACGAGAGCTGGAGACTGAGGAAGAAGTATACAACCACCGCCATAGTACGGCTCGAATTACCGTCGAGTGTGTGCTCGGGAGGCTCAAAGGTTTCTGGAGAATACACCGCGTTAGCCCGCACTTCAGTGTTGACGTACAGAAGCGCATCATCTTCGCCACGGCGGCCCCGCATAACTGGATGCTTGATTACAAGGACGGACGTCACGGCCGAGGATGTGTGGAATGAGGGCCTCACCAAGTCTCCTGAGTGCTCAGGGAACCAGAGCCCGGAAGAACGTGCGAATAGCTTCCTTCCTGAGGAATTCTGCCGCGGGGAAGAAAACATGGTGGCAGCTCGGGCGCGTATCGCTTCGTTGATGTGGCGACAACACCTAGCTCACTGTAGGTGACGTCCGTAGGACTGTACTCTCGTCGACTAGCTTCATCTATGCATTACATAGACCGTTGTTCACGATAGAATCATGCTGCAATAGAAAGGGTGTGTTTCGAACGTGGCGATGCGTTTCCCGGGCTCGGACTTCGTGGGTTCGGGAATTCGTTGATCTGTTGTGACGTAGCGATCCGGCCCGGCCGAAGTGAACAGTAAAAGGCGAACCAGGCTTTGGCAGGCTCCCTCTGTCAGGTGGCGGGTTCCATATTTGGAAGGTATGCCGGCCCGATTGAACTGCTGAAGACGGTCCTGTAGAAGCATTTTCTTCGAACTATGCGGAAATCGTCGATTTGAACGAATTCGGCGGCGGAAGCCAAATCGTCGGTTTCCACTGCATTTGGACACTTCGAACACATGAAAACAAGTTGGCTGCAGCTGACAGCCTTTTTTGACAGGCCGTTGCGGCCCGCCCTGGAAGCATCTGTCAACGCAGTGGCCCTGTCACCACAGTGGCCCTGTCACCGCAGTAGCCCTGCACCGCCGCAGTGGCCCTGTCAACACCGCAGTGGCCTGAAAAGAACGGTGTGGAATGGGTTGTCTTCTCTAAAACTACAGGCCGAAGGCACCAGCTATGAAGTGCGATTCTAGGTGCGGGGTATACCCTAACCCTGAGGATAATTCGGTGGTGGGGCTTTCAGGCCTGTCAACCTTCTTCGAATCCACAAATTCGGTATGTTCATGATCTTCTTGTTCAAACAAAACAGCTATTCGATCTATCGCCTATGTGAAGCATTTGAGGCCTTTTCCTGACATTCTGAAGGTCCCCAGCTAACTAGATGGAAAGCAACGCAATCTAGGCGCGAGAGACAAAGAAAACACACAATGTTACGTTGCCATCCTCTCGAAATAATCCTCCGAGTCCGTCGTCACAGGGGTGAAATAATCACGGCTCCTTCGCCCTCGCTTTCCCAGTACATCTCTAGTGCTGAGGCAGGCCGTCGGCGGCGCCCGCGGTATGCCAGCTGCATGGCCGGCACGAAGTCCCGAGACTGCATACCGCGCACATGCTCCCGACCTTGCGTGGCCGACCGAAAACGCATCAGCAGACTTCCCTCGCGAGTGCTTCGGCTTCGGGGTTCGACATGCGCCTTCTCACGAGCATGACGACCCTCATAGGCTTCCTCGCCTGCCAGAGCCTCCACGTCAGCCTGCCGATCCGCTTCCAACATCTCTTCATACTCTCCGCGCACTACTTGCTCTTCGATTTCCCGGGTTTCTTTCTCAACATCAAGTTCATAAGGGTCCAAATGATAGGAAGCCCAGTTATCGTCGTCCCCAGCCTTCTTGCTGGTAAACTGGATAACCTGAATCCTTGATTTTAGCCGCATCTTAACGAACTACATGGCCTTCCTCTCGTCGAGCCATTGAGAGAAGAGCTCGTTCGCGGTAGAAAGGCCAACATTCTGTTGATAATTTTCCTCAAAGATCGTTATGGCCTGCTTCATCCACTCCGCAGGGTCCGCCTTGGGCTCAGGCTTCTTTCCACGGGCAACAAATGCCGGCGCAAGAGCTTGGATCCCATCCACAAGGCCCTGCCGAGGGCCCTTCTTTCTGTTCTCATCTCGGCTGGAAGCCTCGTCGTCGTCGTCGTCGTCGTCGTCGTCGTCGTCGTCGTCTTCCGAGGCACTCCGCTTCTTCGGCGGCTGGAGGCTTGTGACTTAACGAAGCCGAGGCCCCTACATCCGTTTGCACACCCCCCCACAACTTCTCGCTGTGGCTCGGGAATGGAAGTGTGGCACCCCGGAATTGCCTCATGTCTCCTTTGCACTACCGAGGGGGTTTGCTATGGGACAAAACGAGGGGAAATATGCCTACCTTGATGAGTTCGTCTCGGCCGACCCCGGAATACCGGCCAAGCATTTCCCACAGCTGGAACTGAGCCTCCATGATGGATTTCAGCGATTTTAGCTGGTTCTTGGTTATTTCCAGTTGGTGTTGAGCTTTGACTTCGTTAGCCGCATCGTGGTATGCCTGTGGTTTGAATGGCCCGGGCCATTCGGCCGAAAACCTAGGTCTACGGCGTCACATGGCGACTAGAATACCGTGAGCTTCACATCGTCAGTCCAGGTCGGAAGCCGGCGGCGAGTCCAGTGTCTTCGCCGCATGCGCGTTCGCCGCTCTCGTTCGCGGTCCGCTTCTCGTACCGCCCGAGCGTGTGCCTCCAGCCGACGGTTGAACTGCCGTAGAGCCCGGAGTTCGTTGCGTGTGACGAGCCGCCCCGTTTGAGGCCATCGTGGCCTGCGTGGCGGACTAGGGGCTGTTGGCCGGGTATTCTTGTCATTCTAACCACGAGGTGGATTCATTTCCAATACTCCAGGCTCCAAGGGTTTGGGGAGGCATTTTAGAATGGCTTCAAGATGACAGGGAAAGAAAACAAGGCCGTTGGTCTATTTGTTGAATCAGCTACCTAGAAACCTACCTAGCAGAAAGCCTGCTTTAATATATACAAGTTGTTGCACACCTGGCTTAGCCACCAAGTTGCCCCTAAATCTCTGACTCTGACATGACGGACTTCACAGTTTTCCGGGCTCGCCGACTGCATGTACGGAATGACTGCGTTCAAGTGCATCGCATGCATCACGGCTAGCGGGAATAAAAGCCTCGATCCTGCTTAACCTACCGCTAACTGGCGAACCAAACAAAACAACAGTTAAATCGCGAATCGGGAAGTGCGAGGCTAGGTCGGTCAGTAACCCCGTGCACCTAACTGTGGCCCCAGTAAGGGGCAGTTAAAGCGAAGAAGAAAAAAAGGCACAATTTAACATACTGTAACTGCCTAATCAAACGCTCTGAATCGCAAAAATGTACCGCTTGATAGCCCTGGAGTGGCGTGTTTCGATCGCCTCAAGAGGCTTGCACCCGATGGGCCAAGCGTAGGCTGAGTGTACACTGGTGCCTCGTATTTTCGCTTCTTCAATACGGAGGAGGCATCGTTTGTGCATTTTATCGGCGATGATATTAGCTGTTGTGTCTGGTCGCGCCCGGGGTGCGAGCATTCTTTTGGGACCTCCCGCCGCCCAAAATAGGGTAAAGTACATCTGTATTGTACAATACATAGAAAGCACTCCTTGCCGGGCCCCTCAGCTCGCCTCCTGGAAGGTCAGGCTCTCGGCGGAAGAAGTCTACCTAATAAACCTAAACAAGGCACAGACAGGCTCCCGCAAACAACTCCGCTCGAGTAGGTAACCTGGGTTTGCAAGCCCGCTTAACTGCCCACCCCCTTCTTTGACCGTTGCCCACCTTTGCGTCCCCACCTTGCCTGCCCACCTTGCCTGCCCACCTTGCCTGCCCACCTTGCCTACCCACCTTGCCTGCCAGGCCTGCTCTCCTTTGCCTCTTGCCCCAGCGGAAATCCCGACAATGCGGGGTATATATATACCAACAACCAACATCGTTCGAATTGTTCGTCATCTTCAAAGTTATCCGTCTCGATCCCCGACCGACTCTCTCCTGCCTGCCGACGACAAACTCAAAGCAAAGTCTTCGCGCGCGGAGCCACAGGCTTCATTCTCTCAGCTCTTCATTTATATCGACGACCGCCACGGCATGGGCCTGACGGATGGATGGATGGCCTGGTTGGCCCTAACTGGTTGCATCTATTTGGGAGCTACCCCGCTACTTCCCTTATTACCGCTGTATTTTAGAGTGGATGCCCCATTCGCCCTCCTGTCGCTAAGCGAGTCCCTCCAGGCAGTCCGCGCTAAGGCCGCTGTGCGCACTCTCGCCTCCTCCGCTATCAGTCTGAAGTAACTCCAGGTGGCCCCCAGCGCCCCTAGTACTCCTCGGGGAGGACATCCATGTTTAGAGGAAGTACCGCGGGCACTATGGGTACCTTTTTTTTGCGTGAACGGTTTGACGGACATCGGGTTGAGGTTGTAATAAATAAAGGAGATTGGTTGTAAGCCGGTTACCTAGTCCTTCCTATCAGCCTGTATTAATTATAAGGAGAATCCGAATCCCAGCCACCTCGCCTAGATCGTGCCCAAGGGAGCACCAAAAATGATTTGGCTGCCCCAAATTTGTTGCTTCCCCAGATGCTGGAGCCCCCGAACTGCCACCACACCTTCAACGCTCTCACCCAATCTCTCTCTGTATTGGCAGACTCTATCCCCATCAAGGTGGAGTTGGCGATAATTCCAAGTACGGACAGCGTAGATTACACGCCAGACAGAGTATTCTCCGAGTATCTATTCGAGCCGTTGATAGAGAGGTTGAGTTTCTTGATATGATCGGACTCTTCGCCTAGCGACCCGTCACGCTTTCGTTTACAGCCTGACGTATTATACGCAGTCTCATCCGAGTTGCTTGAACCAATACCCGCCATGGGTCCGTTTGTGTGTTGGACCTCGTCAACGATTATTGGAAAACTCTAGCGTCTCTGTTAGCAATTGTTGTTTGCTGTCACTTTGTCGGACGAACCTTTCTGCAGGTCATGACCGACTGCATCAACATCCTAGCCTGCTCTTCCTCGGCACGCAATCGCTGTACTACCACCTCGTAATAATCGTTTACTCTTTGGAACCGTGCCATAGCGTCTGCACTAGCGTTTTTCGCGCCCGTCGCGAGACGGCTAATTTTCAAGACGAGTTCTCTTGAAACGAGTGCTTTCCTGATTGCATTCGACCGCTGGTGCAGTCTCGGGAGAAACGCGTGGAAGAACTGAGCTAGGGCTCCAGGAAGTTCGGAAAATGGGACCGTTGAAGGCAGACATGGAAGTTCAATCTCGACTGGTGGTGAGTCATTGAGATATTCATCGACGTGTGATTGCGATATTAGTAGCCGAAGTAAGAAATCTCGCCATACAGCTGGATCGACATGTGTAGGCTCGATGCTGAGGCCCATCGCCTTATGGAAAGCTGCAGCAATGCTGAGTATACCGCAATCACTGGAGTTGGATTGAATCAACGGCGCAGTGACTGTAATTTGCGGGCAGTCGTCGTCGACCTTCCGGAGGATTTCCGAAAAGAATATACCAGCTTGGTCCGATACGGCATCCTTGGTGGACGGGTCCCATTTGGAGTCGTAAACCAAAAGCCCTGTCCTGTCTTCATACACACCAAGGACCCAATGATTGCGACGAATGAGCATGGGCAGTAATACTTGGTTGTTAAGGAAGTCAGGTCTCGTAGGCTGCCGTTTGGATTGGTGTGATAATGAATCGACGATTCGCACCTTGTCGTTGCTTACTTCCTTGATGAGATGAAGAGCACCGTTGACAATCTCGTCCGTTAACCATTCACCAGGCTGTAGTGTCGTGAGTGATTGCCTCTGAATGTGGACGTTTAGCCCATGGAGCCGCAAGACCGACGTTGTCTCATCCGAGGAGTCTGTGTCGTGTAGTTTGTCGGGGCTGGCTAGATCTATAATGCCACTAGCAGGAGCAGGTTTTGGAGTCTTTATTGGATTTGGGACGGATCCATTTTTCTATAGATAATTAGAGATCATATGAGAGAGATGAGATAATTTTTGTGCATCTGCAGGGACATACCAGTATAGTCTTCGCCATCGCCAAGTCCAGGGGCTGAAGATGGTCCTTTTTATTGACCCCGCGCCTGGGGTTAGATTGTCGATGGTCCCGGGCTCTGTTCAAGGCCTGCCTAGCTTCCTCCCATGGATGGGAAGTCAGGAGGTGGAGATTCCTCCGAAACTTTTCTGACGTATTTTGAAAGAACTCGTCCAAAACTAGCTCCTGAACTCCCCAGTCCAACGCCGCTTTCTGCATCTCGAAGAAGATTCAACGCAGTGGGAAAAAGGTTATGTAAGGTTAGCCGAGAATGGAGGCAAGGTAGGGTGCGAAGGCAGGCAAGCTGCTTAAGGCAAGCAAGGTGGGGGGGTTAAGCAAAGGAGGGTGGGGGAAGGGTAGATAGATAAGGCGGGGTAGATAGCGGGCGAACAAGGTGGGTAGACAAGGCGGGCAGACATTGGTCAGCAATGTGTTGCAGTGAATCTTGATTGCCAACGTCTGCTCACCTTGTCTGCGAACCAAGTTGTTTGCCCACATTAACTGCTTCCCCATTTTCTCTGCCGTTTGGGCGTAATTCAGTTTCACAGAGACCGTAGCCTGCCAACGAGCCGTAGAAGGCCTGTAGCCAATGATTAATGGTCGAGGAATAAATATGCCCTAAGCGATGCGATAGAATGAACGGATTGCAATTCGTCAGTGGAAAAACATATGGACATAAGAAGGCTGATCACGGCTATGATCCAAGGTCCCTCAACCTTTTCTCAGTTCAGGCTACCAAATCACCAAAATAGTCCTCGCAGTACAGACGAGATGTAGCGCGCGTCCTTGCCAGCCTAGAGCTTCTTAGCACACATTTGCAACTTGCTCAGGGCTAGCCGTCCACGCTTACGTGCGCCAAGGGGCTAGCCAGTATGATAGGGGAAGCCCTAGTGCTCCTGAGAACTCGCCCTTTATTGAGAAATGGGGCAAAGATTGAGGAGAATACGTAGAAAGTAATTCGTGACGACTACAGAGACTGGGTTTCCGGCCCCGGGTGACTTCTAGAAAGGGATGAAGGCAACCGACCCCAAAACGGGGGTTGCGATTGCGCAGCGTCCGTGTGAATTATCCCACTGCTGCCGCCCCCCTCCTCTGCCTTCCCCCTCCTTCTACAACATATATTGATGTGTTGACCTGGGCATTCAAGCCTGGAGAAGTTTCACAACGAAAACAGCAGCACCTCGAACATCTGGAAAGCCGATAAATATGGTTTCGAACTGCCCTGAATGTTTCGGCCCATTCAAGGTCCAAGTGACCTCTCATGAACTGAATATCGGCGGGAGCGACAGCAGCGGGAACCCAAAGTGGGGCCAGCTCCGAGGGCAAAGGGTGAAAAGGTTCCAAGGACTCTCCGCTGGCGGCGGAGTTCGAGGTCGAGGGAGGCGTCGAGGAACTCGATATTAGAAGTCGCAGAGCCGTGGTCGGGGTCGGGCGCTGGAAAAAGGTTCTTGGAGGTAAATGCCTGCCTAGGTGTTAGATGTAGGTACGCGTGTAAAAAGGAAGGAAAACGACGGCGGTCAAGTTGGTCGTAGCAAGGGCGTTGATCTCCAAAGCAGACAACGAGCGCCATGGCGAAGCCGAAAAGCAGCTGCTACGGAAGATCGCAGAGAGCAAAAACGAGAAAGCAACGAAGGAAGAGCAGCTACAGGCAGCTGAGGAGGAGTACTCGAGAGCCAAGCAAAAGCGTGAGGCACTCTGCACTACCCCGCAGTAGGGTCTCCGTAGACCACTTTGCGTTCCGGAACGAGTGGGGGGCGGAGCACCCTACAGTAACTACTGCTGTATCAGGTTCTGTCCCGAACCTGGGGTGTTCCATAGTAAAGATAATGAAAAATTGCCTAGTTCTCCTCCAAACGATTTCCGGGAGACACGGATTGTCGAGTGTGTTGTGGTTAGGAAAGGCGTAGCGAGTACGTAATCCAATCCTGCGTCGCCACGACCAAACATGACTGTCCACCTGTCCGCCCACCTTGCCTGCGCCGTTTTGCCCCATATTGCTAGCAGCCCGTGGTTAGGAATCTCGGAGATAGGCCACCTTGGCTGCCCACCTTGGCTGCCCACCTTATTTTAGGTAACTCCAGGCTACCAAAGAGTAGACCTCAGTGTTTTAGTTTTGTGTCCCAGTGAGGATATCCAGTGATAGGGAGAAATCTCTCTGCGCCGACGAATATGGAATGGGCTTGCGGCGTACGTACCTAATTGCTGCCTGTGCAGTGCAAACCATTAAGTTGTCTACAAGACAGTTGAGATGCCCTGTCAACCTGTCAGTTGCAACGCAGTTCAATTGCAAGCCGGTTGCCCGTGCTAGTGAGCTAACCTGTCATTTGCAAGATTGTTGCCTGCAAGTCAGTTTTCCGGGTCTCGCAGTCAACCTGCGCGTAGGTTGGTTCCCGGTCGTAACACAGCTTACCTTCACGACCTCACAGCTTGTTGGCAGGGGTTTAATGACCCCGCTATGCCACTAGACCCACGCTGTTAACCAGAATCGCATTACACCGTGACACTATCATGCAGTGCAGCAAAATCTAGGGATGACAGCGCGGCTTGAGTGCGCGACTTGAGCTCGAAGTCTTTATTTCAAATTATCCTCTAAGCACTGGAAATTATCCCCGTTATTTAGGAAATGTACGGTAGTAGCGCTCCTCTTAAGTCTCAACAGGTGGTGGATGAGAAGCATTGAAGGAAATTCCCCTCTCGATATCCACGTATTTACCCCGTGCCATTCATATTTACAGCTCGTTAGTATGTAGCCATTATTTAGTAAATAGCAATCATATGCGAAATGACTATTCCTCATAGGTTCGCCCTCAAATGGACGACTAAAATAGTTGAATAAGTTAACGACGTATAGCGCTGAGCGTTAGCACCAAGCCCAGCGTTCAATATAAATGTTCGACTCGTGAATAGTTGCTTCCGACTTTGCCTCATCCCATTCGTGATCACTAAGGCAGGCTCACGACGTGAATTGCCCAGCGCTGTCAACATTTGTTTACTTTACCCCTGAGCTTGTCGCCTGAGGCGAGAATATTTTGTGGCTAATTCGTGGCGGTGGATTTCCCTCAGCAGTAGGTCCGCCGGCGCTACGAGTGGCGCGGCGCGCTGGCCGCCTCGTCGTCCTGCAGATTGAAGAGAGGCACCGGAAAGAACGACGTTAATTTATCAAGGACTACTGGATAACTACGCGCCGCGCGACGCTCATTCTGGCGACGACGGTCATTGTCCGGATCCACCCAGCACTCGCCGTCGATCTGCTCGACCACCCTCACCAGCCACACCGCCGGATACACCTCACCACCGTCCCAACGATACGAGTTAGCTGGAATTTCGAGACCGTCTGATCCTCAGCTTCTGAGCCTGCCTCTGCTGGGCTTGACCTGATGCTCGAAGCGCGAATCCGTGAACAAGCCTGACTGATTCCTAAAATGATCCACAGTATCCAGCTTCACGTCCTTGCACCTCTTGTGCTTACATATAATAAGCTAGCTAAGGAGTATATCAATGGCAGACTGCAAACCACGACATAAATGCATATGCAATAGACCTACGGCCTGGATATATACATGTTTACAATAGTCCCGCCTGTTGTCTTTTATCGGTCGACATGCCGGTGTGTCCGCATTCGGGCGCAAATCGACTGTGCTGATGTGTACATACAAGTACATACGGGGTGAATACCTGGTGAGGTATCGGCGACACAGAAGACACTGCGGCCACGGCAACGGTATTTTTACTTCGGCTTGCCGAAAATCCCACTGAGAAAGCCCAACGGACTCCGGCCTCCGCCGTCGCCGCCGCCCCTATTACCGTGCCGCCGCGCTTCGTTCCTGATCCACTCTTCCAAAAACTTGCGGTCGGACAACTGCCTGCCGTCGGCAACCTTGGTCTGGATCTGCGGCTCCTGCGCGTCGAAGCTCAGCAGCGTCGGGATCGAGTTGATCATGTAGGTCAGGCCCAGCCCGGTTTCCATGACATCGGGCGCGTCATATTCGACCGTGCAGTAGCTGACGCCGCCCTCGGCCTCACCGACGCCCGACTCGACGAGATGCTCGAGGAGTGGTGCCACGACGCGGCAGGTTGAGCACCAGGACGTTGTCCAGAGCGTCAGGAGGGGGGTTCGCGACGTCGACGAGAGCAGCAGATATGTTTGGAGTTGGTCGGCGTTTCGCACCCTGTTCGCAAAGTTGGGGGAATGAACAGAACACAAAGCGGCGTTCTAGACCATGCGGCGGCCGGCTCAGGGTGGCACTCACGATGCATATACTTGGTTGCGAGAAGCCTCAACGCGGTGCGACGTCGAGAAGACTGCCCGTGACGCCGTCGTCGGCTGGGTGCATCGTAAGGCGGCCTTGGTGATGGGAGAGAGGTGCCCCGTCACCACTCGAATTGGCCCCATGCTCCCGGCCTTTTATTTTCGGAGAACCGGGCGGGTTGTGGTTGGGCCTCGGGGTGCAGCTCTTTGTTTTGGAGGATTTTGGCCTCGTGATTGGCCTAGTGATGCTGATAAGGAATATGTTGAGATGGCGGATGTCACAAATCGCAAGTTGCGGATGACAGCGGCGGAGCAGCTTTAGCGATCACAAGCTCAGCGCTGTAGCGAGACGGCCGCGCGACAGGTTGCTTGTTCAGTGGCGTCATGGTGCGTCAAGGGTCTCTCGCGTGAGTGCGCTTGGCGGGCAAGGCGGGGTAGATCGCACGGACTCGCGCCTGGCTTAACTTTCCAACCCCGGCTCCCGCATTATCGCCTGGTGTTCAGAGTGGTACTGCCTGGGGCGGTCAATTCTAGGCCATGTCAGTGTCAAACCCGGTAGACAGGTAGGCCTTGTGAGTGGTCAATCTCTTGGGGTTGCCCCGCGAAGACCACCAAGCTGTGGGGTTGTTGAAGCGATCACCAGGACCTCCCTACACGGACTACTTGCAGGCCTACCCACCAGGTAGCCTAGCTCTTGCAACCACCAGACAGGACCCGTGGATAGATATCAAGTGTATCAGACACCAGCATCTATTGGACAATGGCGCTGCTGACATGTCACCGCCATTTTTACGGGTTACGGCCCCCGTTGAATCGTCGGATGGCATCTTCGATTCGGGGGAAGCCCAGCCAACGACAGGAGGGGATCAAGCAGAAAACACACTGCAACGCTGCCAGCCTCCACACCACTCCAACTAGGGTTCCTTGGGGCCAAAATGCTCCATTCCTGCCTCCGCGCCGTCTACCGCCGTCTACCTACGGTAGGTGTGTAGTGCCCACGAGGTTAAATCTGTTACATTCTTAGCAGGTGGTTTCCCTCGAGAACTGGGCTGCGGCGCCTCGAATCCCCCTCCGCATCCCAGCACAGCACCAGCACTAGCACCAGCACCCGCCGCTTTTAGGTTCCCCGCCGCCCCCAGCTCCGACCTCTGCTTACAGGACAAGGAACACTCATGCTTCCTGTTCTTACTTCTCACGTGACCCGCACCACACATACTTAACCTCGGCCGCCTGTGAGAGTTGAGCGCTCTTTGGGTACGGGCACGAAAATAAGCGCTCTGCCCCAAGTCTCTTGTGCTTTGCATTCACGAACGCCTGGACTGGGATGTCTGATGCTTCACTATCGCTGCGGGGTTAGGGTCTTCGCACAAAGATTTTTTCAATCCCAGCTTGCCAAGAAAGCGAGCAGCCCGCACAGGGGGTGGCGCCTGTGCATCGCTCGACGCGTCGCCTCGCCTCGCCTCACCTCTTTACACCTCGCTCTTTTCACCAAAAAAATACCACATTCGAGTAGCATTCACCGGCCATGGCATCACAATCAGCTACCCCAAGCGGCCCGCCGCAAATCCCACAGAACATCAAGCAAGCGAGCAAGAACGGATCTCTTGAAGGACTATGAACGTCTCGGCCTTGACCTCGTCCTATCTAGGAAAGAAGTTCGACCGTCGACTAGTTTTGACGCTCAATATTGGACATCAGCTGCGGCCACATGCGACGCATCGGTCGCGTATCTTCATGCCGAGACCGAACTCGCCATCCGAGATTGGGTCGATGGCGGGGAAGGACCTGCTGCATCATGGTGGGAAACTACCGAAGCACGCCGCATCATCGAGGAGATAAAAGCTAGCACATTGGAAAAGACGCTCTACACGAAACAAGCCGAGACGGTCAAGCAAAGTAGTCCTATTAGACGAGCATTCCAAGCCATGTTCTCGACAAGCCAACTTAGTATTTGCGCTGACAAAGTTAGTATAGGCGCACGCAAGAGATCAGAACAGTCAAAGTTCAAAGATGATCTTATTCAATTTTACCGTGCCGCTACAACAAAACGGAACAAACCAAAAATCATTGTAACCGTTCACGACTCCGCTACTGGCTACGAATTTGTCAAGTTAGGTGTTACCGCCGCACATTTATTTCCCTATAAGCTTGGTCCTGACGTTTTGGTTGCGGTATTTGGCGAGGATGTCGAAAGTGAGCTGATGACGGTATGTATCTTATTGGAGAGCCCCGAGATGATATAGAGTATTGACTTATTTACTCTAGTCACTAAATGGTCTGCTGCTTCAACCTGATGTAGAGTCGGCTCTTGACGACGGTGCTATCGCCATTGTCCCCGACCTACCCGATAACCCCACGACCGAACAAGTAGCAGACTGGGAGAGAAAGGAGCCAAAGAATTATCGATGGTGTATTATCGACGAGGATGCAGAATCGCTCGAGACGGTTGTTGTTCCCGAGGGCCAGGGTATAAGTATTCGGGAGCTAGAGGGTCAGAGGCTGTCATTCAAGAATGACAATCGCCCAAGAGCAAGATATCTATACTTCCTCTTCGTCGTTGCGCAGCTCAAGATGGCATGGAGACACGAATACCGCACTGATCCCGCCAAGAAGCTGAAACCCCAGCTAGGAAAGGGGTTCTGGGCAACGCGAGGAAGATATCTCAACCGGGCGCTTCTCCTCGCTCTCGCCAAAGAAATCGGCCATGATACAGCATTCCCAGAGAATATCCCGTCTCTGTCCGGAACCAATCACGATACCCAACCTCAAGGAGACGACGATGACGGCGAGGCTGGACTTGTTGCCATCGCAAAGATCATTGCAGCTCAGAGACGAGGGGACGAAGAGGAGGAAGAAGAGGAAGACTGTCACTGTCACTGTCACAGTGGTGGCTCAGGCTCCACTAGCGCTCCGGCAGTGCCAGACATCTAGATACCTACCCCTGCACTAGCCGTGAAACTAGGGTGCCGCAGGTATCCTGCGAGATTACGTAGAAGAAAGCTACTAGACTTATTGCTATTACCCTTCCACGGGTGTCTCAATAATGACATATGGCACACAATCGCCATCCAGCCCCTGATTCTCTTTTCCTACCCCGCCGTGCTCTGGTCCGCCGTCGTCTACGCCTGCTCCGTTGGGTGGCTGATCGTTATCTCGGAGTCGGTAGCCGTGATTTACCGCGAAGAAATCTACGACTTCAACGCCCTACAGATGGGGCTGGTGTACCTGAGCCTGTGCATCGGCGGCATCCTCGGCACCGCCGTGGCGAGCAAGGTCTCGGACGTGATCCTCAAGGCGATGGCGCGCCGCAATGGCGGGCTATACGAGCCCGAGTTCAGGCTAGTCATGGCAGCGCCCGTGGCGCTCACGACGGTCGTCGGCCTGATGAGCTTCGGCTGGTCAGCCCAGGTGCGCGACAATTACATAGTCCCGACCGTCTTCTTTGGGGTCGTCTCGTTCGGCTGCTCGCTCGGCTCGACGACGGCCATCACGTTCTGCGTCGACAGTTATAGGCAGTACGCCGGCGAGGCGCTCGTGACGCTAAAATTCAGCAAGAACATCTTCCACGGCCTCGTCTTCAGCCTGTTTGTGACCGGCTGGCTGACCGCCGACGGCCCAAAGTCGGTCTACGTCTGGATCGGCATCATCCAGCTCGTCCTCCTCCTCCTCTCCACCATCCCGATGTACATGTACGGGAAGCGGGCTAGAATATGGACCGTTCGCAAGAACTTTATGGAGCGGTTCTAGATCAACTTTTCCAAGATTGAGTACTGAAGAGCATTGGGGTAAATATAATGATGACCAAGTTTTGCGGGTTTCTTTCTTTCGTTCTTGGTTTTCTGTGCCTGTGTGTTTGCATTGCAAGGCTGCACTTAGGCGCATACTCACTTAGGCGCATACTACTGTTATTTGTTTTATTTAACTGTCTGAGAGGCACCGTTTTTTCGTCCCATTGGGTTACACGGGTTACACGACCCCGGCGTTCCGGGTCTATTCTATGGCATCGGCATTGCGAGCTTGGCCTTGGTTGTACCTGTCCCTGGGAAGCGATTATAAATAGATTTATATCACTGTTATATATGACGGCTATCGCATGGCACAGGCCAGGCGTACAAGCTAGTTAACTACAAGATGGTTAGTTTGTTTGTGGTTCGGATATCATCTACGGATACCATTTCAAGGGCTTGTAATGCTTTTTTTTAGTCTGCTCTACTATTTTCACCTTTCGAGACTGACTCCTTTGCGAAATCCGAATGGGTCGCCGAGCATCTGCTTTTGTGTGTAGATTTTAAGAGGGCGTCCTGCAGTTGATTGTGAGGGATGCCGTTTACCCCCACGCCCCCCATTGCTTGGTTGGATCCCTACCCGATTGGCATGACGTAGAGTTACATCCGCACTACAGAGCATCTGGCCTCAATACGGCCATGAAGGTACTGTAGCTGCCTAGGTACCTTAGGTATGACGTTGTCACCTACCTACACACTGTATTATCGAGGGCACTTCTGGATATAAAATCTGCCTGCCAATAGAGCAAAAGAAGAAGCCAAACAAAAATCAAGAATCTTGGATAAACCGACTCCCTCTACAGACACACATGTCATAGAAACCACGGAGGATAAAACTTTATTTGTAAGATATATAAGCTGCTTGCTACTGAGTCTGTCCACTCTGTATATCGATTAGGAGTGGGACGGCCGACCATAATTCTTCCTTCGTTCTCGCTATTATCCTAGGCAGTAACAGACGCTTTTTTTTCTCTCCCACACAACAAGACCAATCGGCTGAATCAAAAAGCAAGCGCAACCCGCCACCATCTAACATTAGTAAGAAACCACACACTCGCCACCACTGCGGAGCAAATAAACTCGCGCGATCAGAACACCTTCTCCAGGCCATCCCAGACATTCGGGTCGCCTTTGGGGCCGGCTTGGGCTCGCCTATCCCAGTACTTGCCATTGAATTTCCAGTACTCTTCGCCAGTGATCTCGCAGCGGGCCTTGGTGAACCAGGCTGGCACGAACTCGAGACCCTTGTTCTCACGCTCGCGGCGGCGGGCGCGCTGTGCCTCCTCGAGGCGGTTCTTCTCCGTCGCCGCGACGTCGTATTCGCCCTCCTCCATGGCGCGCTGATCGGGGCGGAAGCGAGAGTCGGTGGGAGCCAGCCATGGCTTGAGCTTGTCGTCAATGTGGTTGAAGGAGAGAACGAACGGCGTCAGGTTGAACGGGATGCCCGTTGGCCGTGGGTTGGCCTGCCAAATGAGGAAGGCCTTGCTCTGGTCATTGATGCTGCCGCGGTAGACCGATTCACTGTCGGTTGCGGGCTCCTCAATCGTAGCCTCGTACCCGGGGGTCAAACGGGCATACAGCTTCGAATTCCATCGGCCTCCCAAGCTAACGCGCACCCGCCCGTTGGCGTCAACAATCTTTCCAGCAATCTGGTAGGCGCTTGACTGCTTCCAGCCCCGGGGCTTGAACTCGATGTAGCAGATTTCGCCCGTCGTCCAGTTCTTGATCTCCATCATGCCATAGTTGTCAACCACGGGGTTGCCCGTGATGATGCCAACGACCGACGACGTGACCTTCTTCCAGGTAAAGAAGTCCTCTTTCCCGCCTGAGGTCGGTCTGAGCTTGAGAAACCATGTGCCAAGAGGATTGATATCGAAGGACCGCCCGTAAAATTTAGATCTGACAGCCGATTCGCCATAATAAGTCCATTTGGGAGATTCGGCCCAGGCTGCACCGACGGGCGGGTGATGGCTGACTTGCTCAATGAAGAAGCGGTAGTTTTTGTCTGGCCTTACATACTCAAACGTCTCGCCTAACAGCGGGTTGAATGGCTTGGCAACACGTCCAATGGTAGACGCGTATTCGCTGGCGGCGAATGCACCTACGTAGAGCAGACGCTCTATCGAGTCAGTCCGATCAGCCGCAAGATCTAAGAGGTCTGCGTATTCCATATCCTCGGCACAGCGGTAGAGGAGAGACGTAGGCTCGTTAAAAGACACCGGCAATGTCATCTTGGTCATGTCTTTGCCTATCATTGATTTGAGGATACCCTATTCGACAGAACGTTAGCAATTATCACGGCAAGACACGCAGAGATATTACAGAGGGGTTCAAATATACCCAGAGCGAGATCTTTGGCCGGTTGTCTGCGTCCATCTTGAGTTTTGTTCGAATGCCGTTCTCGTACCCGCTGAACGAGTCGCTGATATCGAGAGCATCCGAAACGACTAGCTGCGTTTCATTCTGGGATGGGACAGTCTCCGACGGAGGAAATTGAGACACTTCAACCTCTCCGGCGTCAACGGCGTCGAAGAACTCTTCCTCGTCAGATTCCGAGTCGGAGATGCCGGCGACCTGGGCGATGACGGTCTGGCGCCTGGCGATGCTAAGTGCAGGGGATTTTGAGCCTACGACTTCGTCTGCCGCTCCTTCATGGGCCGCATCAACAGAAATCACTGGTGTGTGAGATCCCTGGCCATCTTCAATCATGCCGCTCTCGATAGCTTCCTTGAGAATACGCTTTGTGATTTTCCGCTTTGATTCCGCTTCGCCAACTCGGGCTTCAAGGGCCTCTTGCTCTTTGGCAACCTGGGCCATGCTCTCCTCCCACATGCGCCGCATTTCGCTCTCACGGTCGAGGCGATATTGCCAATATGCGTCTCTGTCCCTTGAAATTCGGAGAAGGTCGCCAATGAGTCCGGTAAGTGAGAGAATTGCGGCATCATAAGTGGACAGGGCCTGCGAGGCTTTTGGGTCCTGCAGAGTGAGAGTTGGATTCCTGGCAGCTTCCGCAAGCAGAGCCGAGGTGACGTGGGCCATAGTATCCAGCTGCAACTTGGCAGACTGAGCAGTGATGTTGAAGGCATCCTTGTTCACCGCAGGGGCATCCTGGCCGCTCGAGTCTTCGCCATAGTCGTCATCATCGTAGTCATTGTCGACATCTCCAGGCGCCCCTCCGCCGTTGCGCTCTATCCTATTTGCGTCTGTGCCTGCGTCTGTAAAGTCATCGTCATCGTTGCTCCCGATAGTGCTGGCACCATATGGGATTTTGGTCGTGGATCCTCGGTTTGATGACTGCAGCCGCGATAGCTGGAAACTGTGACGCTTGGGGTCTGCAAGGCTGGCGCTCTCGCTCGCCGGATCAGAGGCGCCTTGGGTGTGCTCGGCCTTGGCCTGCTTGAGGAGCTCGGCACTCCGAGCGCGCTGCTTCTCTTCCTCCTTGGCTTGGTCCTTGGTCCACTGTATTGAGTTATTGAGGGCCCAGAACCAGCGCTTTGCTTCTACCTCATGGTTTGCTTTGAGCGTGTACTTGACCGAAGATTTGCCAATGATTTCAAACTTTGTCTTTTCGTCGGCGCTCATGTGTAGCTTCGCAATTCGCATGTTGATGGCGCCACGGCAGGCGGACCCCGCGTCATCTTGGTGTTTGTAATAACTCAGAACGCCGTCTTCCAGAACGAACCACCTGAGTTGGTAGCCCTTCCGGTAGTTGGTCCACTTCTTGAGGTATCCCTTCATCTCGCGCGCTTCTCTTCCGGCAAGAGGATCTCCGGGAGTCGTGGTTGTGACCCCCTGCGATGTGGAACCTAAAACAGCCTTCTCCTGAATGCCCCTCTGGGCGGCAACAGCGGCAGGGGATTTTTTCAGCATAGCCCGGGTGATCTCGTCCTTTGTAACGTCTTGCGGCAGCTTGCCCTTGCGGTCCCGACGGAAGGGATCGGCACCATGGAGCAAGAGGACCTGGATCAGCTTGGTGTTCTTGCGGCGTGCCGCCTCGTGGAGAAGGGTGCCACCGGCTTGGATCGTGATGGGGTCGGATGCGAACTCGGTGCTGTTGATGTCTAGAACCGTCTTGAAGCGTGGCTCCTCTAGCACGCGCTCGAGAACCTTGAATTCGCCATGGAGGATGAGATCTTGGACCTGCATAATCTTGCTTTCGGCAAACAAGGATCGGGAGAGCTGCAACTGTTGAAAGATGTCGGGGTTTCGAGCGAGGTCGATCGGGAGGCGGCCTAGATTATTCGGAACGGCGTCGTTGATCTCCTTGTTCTCGAGCAGGAGACGAACGACCTGGCTTCGACCCTGAACGGCGGCAATATGAAGAGGCGTGTTGCCATCCTTATCGCGGGCGTTGATGTCGAGGGATCCGGCGCCGTCAGACAGGACGTACTCGACCACGGGCTGCTCCGCGCATTGGATGGCCAAATGAAGTATGGTGGTATCCTCAAGGGGGCCGGACTGGGTGGCAAACGACGAGGTGCTCGCGCGAGGCCCGTTCTCGTAGTTCTCGCGTATTGCTTTGGAGATGGACGCCGTGTCACCGTTGCGGAGGGCCTCAACGATGCGGAACTTTTTTACCGACGATTCGAGAGAGGCGCCTTTGTCTGTGAGGTTTGAAGGAGACTTGGCGCCGCCAATCGAGGGGGCGGCCTGGTGTGAAGGCGTTCGTCCAAGAACGCTTCCGGCGGTAGACAACCTTGAGCTGTGGCCCCGAACGGGATGCTGATGGGCGACCGAGATGGATGCTTGAGATGTCGCAGTCGTCGCGGTCGACACGAGAGCGGAGGAAGAGGCATGGGCACTGTGTGCAGTGCCGTCGTCGGAGGCCATCGTGTCGTCGTCGCCCGCACCCTTGCGCCTCAGGAGAGACAGTGCCGAAGATTTGGTCCGTCGATGTGAACTGCAAATGCCACGAGAGGTTAGCGGCGCCGTTATCTAGGGCCTGGGGTCCATTTTGCCCCGAACCACAAGCGGAGGCGGGGTGGCTGGAGCGGAAGACAGCGAGCGACAGAGATGCAGGTGGAATTGATGCTCCGTGTTATCACGCCCGGTGCCCCAGCGACCAGTTCGAGATGCCTACCTTTCCCCCGCGTCAGACATTGTCGGGGAATGGCGGGGAGCCTGCGGTTGCTGAGGATCGGACATGTAGTAGAATGGAAGTCGCCTCGATCTCGACAGGTAGGGAGGGATACTATTGGGATTGGCCTAGCCGAGGGCTGCCTTGAACTGATGAATCGAGAGCCCGGAGATATTTGCCAACTAAACCGCTCAAGGAGCAGCAGAGCAGTGCTGGAGTGCGGCGTAGGTCAAATAGTGTGTAAAAAAGGAGCATCAGGGGAGGGGTGAGCTTGAACGTCCATCCAGCGGGACGGGGACGGAAAGTTGAGTGCAGGGAGATCCAGCTTCTAAAGACCAACACGGCTCAATGTTGGCGTCGCTGGGTTGAAAGAAATGACGTTGTGCAGTGGTCGCACCACAGAAGGCTAGAGCGAGGCCCAACCCCTGGCCCCGCGCTCGCTTCACGTGTTTTGCCCTGACAGCGGTTGGTGGCAGCCAGAGCGGCCTCAAACGCTGTGCCGTGGGCTTCACCTAGAATACACGTTACCTTAAATACCGTATTAGTGTGTATACGAAGTAACCTATCTGTACAGTAACCTGGAAGCTCGCACCCTGCCCTGGCGGACGGGCTACGAAATCCTCCCGGCCACCCTAAGTAGGGAGTACCCAACGTTCCAAGGCAATCCGAACCCGAGCCAGCGAAGTGATAATCCATCCATAGTCAGTAGATAGGTAATTGGGTAGTGTATGTGCGTATTATCACCCGATCCGGAGCATTGGCAGCGTATAGCCCAACGCGGTGACGACGCCCACAAGCTCTCGGGGTTCCGAAATCCCGTGTGCAACTGACTTGACCATGCTTACGGAGAACTCATGTGTGGCAGTGCAGCGCCCGACTGCTTGTATGTACATACTGTACACCATTCTACATCAACCGGCACGACTTACTGGGGCCCCAGTCCGTGACTCTCCAAGGGCTCCGGTATTGTCCCTTGAAATAATCTGTCAAAGCATAAAACATCCCTTGTAATAACCGTCTCAATCTCCAGGCGTAGATCGCAGAAGCAGGGAATCTTACAGGGTTTTCGAGGTACTGCCGATTGTGGGGGTGGGTTCAGCGCCCAGGCGAGGGATGATCAACCCGGGCCGCCTTTGGTGCTGACGAACCTTAGATATGTACTGTACAGGCGGGGTTGAAGACAGCACGGCGGGGCGCTCGAAGATCCTCAGGTAAGGTCAGCATCAAAAAAGCCCACAACAAGGCAGCCGTAATTAATTAACATTTTAAGGTAAGTAAGCCCGGTTTCTCGAGGCCAGCCGGTGATGTTTCAAGCCTGTTGGCCCTGGGGAAAATTGCCGCGGCGTTTCTCCCCGTCGGTCCTTGGCGGGTGATTCCCAGCTCAATGCCACCACCGAGAGGGGCGGCAGCCGAATGGACCTCGGCAACTTTGCCCCTGATACAACAGACCCGGGGCCGTTTCTTTCAAAATTGGCTTATTTTATCTTGGGGCGGGAAAACACCCTTCATCGTATTTCTTAGAGACCCGAGAAACCTGGTGTTTGGTTCGGAAGCTGCAATATCGTTTAATGATTCCATTTCCCTCTTGCCCATTGCATTTAGATGCCACCCTTTCTGCGCTGTCAAACTCCCGTTTTAGACTGTACAAGTGCAATACACACCACCTAGCGCCAGCCACGCCCTTCAACGTCATTCGCCCTCTCCCAGCACGGGAATAGTTGCGATTACGCGCCGACCTTGATTATCTCACCGCAGACAGCCCAGCCGGCCCATACGCTTGACCCCCAAACCCTTTGCCGACACGCAAACGGCGGCAAGGAAGGGAGCTTCCATTCTGAGCCTCGCTCGTTGGCGTAAGCCATTTGCCGCAAGCCGCAATGGACGACCGCACAACATTGCTGCGTCCGCCGCCACCTGATCCTAGCAAGGCGCCCATTGAGAATGTCCTCGAGGTGACCGAGCTGGCCGTCCTTGGGCCTGTACGTTTTACTCTTCTCTTTTGTTTTTTGCCAGCCCCTGTGTTTTCCCGGTTTCTTGGTTCTTGTGCCGCTGTCGTGCCTTGGTCTGCGGGTCTGCTAGCCGGCCGGGGTCTTCCAACTGCCCCCCCCCCCGCCTCCCCCAGCAATGAACTCAATTCGGTGGAGGAAGGAGAAGGATTTCAACTCAATGAATGCAAGACCGATGCAATTGGCACGGAGATCCTTATTTCCGAATAGACGTCTAGATGTGGACGGGGGACATTTGGAATATGAAGAATTGACTCGAATATGCCAGCGAAAACAGACCCCGTTCTAGTCCGCTGACGCATTGCGCATTACGCATCATCACAGGACATATTCACCAACGCCCGGAAGCCATGGCATCCTCCCGGAGCCCGGGGCATTTACGGTGGCGCCGTCATTGCCATGTGCCTCGCGGCCGGCCAGCGCACGGTGCCTGACGACTTCAACGTGCACAGTCTGCACGCATACTTCCTGTTGGCCGGATCAGGGCAGCTCCCCATTCTATTCCACGTCGAGAGAGTCCGGGATGGGCGGTCATTCGCCACGCGGACAGTGCAGGCCCGGCAAAAGGGGCGGTGCATCTTCACCACGACCATCTCGTTTGTGCGCGAGGGGTCGAGCGGCAAGCCCGGGTCGCAGGCGTCGCACTCGTCACCTATGCCGCGCGGCGGCGGCGGCGACGACGACGACGACGGCCAACAACCGCTGCGGCCGCCGCCCGACGACTTTGACGGCGAGCCGGAGCTAATCAAGCAGGGGCCGTTCCAGAGCGACCGCATCGAGATCGTGAACCGCGACAGCGCGCACGCGCACGAGAAGAAGACGCGCCAGTGGTTCCGGGCGCGCGGCAGGATTGCCGGCGGCCCGCCGGCCCACCTCGCCGCCCTCGCCTACGTCTCCGATTCGTACTTCATCGGGACCGTCTCGCGCATCCACCGCCTCTGGCGCTTCCCCTTCAACGCCAAGGAGTACGACGACCTGCCCGCCGACGTCAAGACCAAAGTCCGCACCCTGCACGAGTGGGAGGGTCTCGGGAGCGACCCGCGGGACATGGTCGGCCAGCCTGTCGTGGGCATGATGGTCTCTCTCGACCACTCCATCTACTTCCACGAGCCCGGCAAGGTCCGGGCCGACGAGTGGATGCTCAACGAGATGGAATCTCCCTGGGCGGGCGATGGTCGGGGCGTGGTCACGCAAAAGATCTTTAGCAAGGACGGCACACTGATCGCCACCTGCGTTCAAGAGGTAAGCGGCTTGGCGCCCTGCCATTTTGGCAATGCTTGCTAACAGACTCCCTTCCGTGTAGGGAATTATTCGGCTGAAAGAAGAAGCAAAACTGGAAGAAGGCAAGGGCTCCAAGCTGTAGATTGGCAAACTGGTGGTGCTCTGTTTTTACGCGTGTAAATTTTGTTCGTGACTGGCGCTTGTTCTCTTTTACTAGACTCCCTGAGCGAGCCGGTGCAAGCAACCATCCTCTTTACTCTCCCGATGAATTTAACCCCCACCTGTAGATCAATATACCTGTTTGACAATTCTGTCTGGTTGGCTGGGCAAGTCACCACGTTCTTCATGGCTACCATGTGGGTGCAAATGAAGAACAACATTTAGAGGAGATTATCAGGCGAAGGAACAAAAGAATAATATAATTACGCAGATGCGTCCTAGCAAACGCTCTAGAGACGTATTGACGCGCACCTGATTCATTCAGGGCTGTTATCTTGCGATATGCTAGAGGCTACAAAATGTTGGGGCGATGGCCCCTGAGGTGCTAGGATCCAGGGATCCTCGACCTATCTTGAATCTTTCTCCCTCTGTACAATGCATCGGTTCCCTCTCTTTCTTCTGGCTAGATCGTACATCTAATCCTTACAAGCTCGGGCTAAAGCTGGGTATCGTAATAACGGCGTCTCTTGCTCCTCCGTCGCACGAAGTCTTGTCTAGCATACGCGGAAGTCCCTCTGCCGGAGACGGCGAGGTATTGAAGCTGACCAAGGGGACAATAACTGAATACGGATAGAAAACCCGGTGCATGGTCCTCGGGGATGAAAACAAACGCCGGAATGTGAGCAAAACGCATCGCATCTATAAAAAGCAGAAAGGTCGAGTGATAATTCTACTGTCGATTGTGGAAGCTAAAGGGACGGCGGAACGGGGATTGCAAGAGGTACCGTACGTGACCTGGAAAGGGGGGGTCAAAGGCTAACCCCCTCCAGGTTGAGCACCTTGGATTTATCTCCAAGGAAGCTGGCTCGGAACTCGATGATCCCGCGGGCTATAGTATCGAAATCCTTCACCTTATTGGTGCGAAAATTCTGCAAAAGATCTCGCAGACCTTGTATGAAACGACTCTTCTGCTCGCCGCTATACTCGTCTGCTTTGCCAAGTTCCAGAAGGATCTGGTCATCTGAACGGGAGAGGGCCAGGAGTCAGCGTCCGGAGGGGGAGAGTGAAGGTCTGAAGTTAGCAGCCCGACAGAGTTCTGCATCACGTACCAGCAACGTTAATTGATCGGTAATGCTGAAATTGGCAGTTTTCGGGGCACTGGTTGCCACCAAGTTCATACGGACAGAAGGGCACATTAGGATCGATCTTGTTGCTGTAGGTCAGAGACTTCAGACCACCTGCAACAGAATTCCGATAGTCAGAGTGAAATCGATAGCCGTGAAAGTAACGTAGCGGGCTGTCGTACGGCATGAATGTACGCTCCTGCTTTGAGGCCGACTGATTCACCTGCTAAATAGTTAGCTACGAAAGAATCCGGATAAACTAGAAAGATACAACGTGTACTTCTCTTGTAACATCGGCCTCAATCTCTTGCAGGTCCTCACGGGGGTTCGCAACGCTTGAAATCTGATCTAACGACGCGGGTTGTTGCGTCGTTTCTTGCACGTTATCCTCAGATACGTTATGGGTAGCCGCAGGGTTGGCCGGCTTTAGGATGGGAGAGGGCGAGGGCGAGGGCGATGGCGAGGGCGAGGGCGATGGCGAGGGCGACTCGAGCTCCATCGGAGCTGTGTCATCAAGGCTTGAAAGACCCGGCTGTTCATCCAGTGCGGAGCTAGCCGTCTCTTCACCCGACACCGCATCCGGCTCGGAGACATCAACTGGTAAGACATCTGTAATAGCAACTTCAGTAACTGCACCACCAGCTGTGAGGGGATCTTCTGTCCTCTTCTGCGGGCTCAGCGGTTTGGTTTCGGCGACCAGTACTTTTGTTCCCGGGCTATCAAGCCCATTGCCGTCGGGGCCTTGAGTGGTGGCATCGGCATTATTTAGCGTAATGTTGGTCCCTTCGCTAAAACCTGTAATGCTCGGTTGAAGTTGGCTAGCTTCCTCAGACAGTGACGGCCTCCGCGACGAATCTTGAGAGGATTCATCTTCATCCATCGACACATCGTTCGTTTCCTCGCTTTGATCGGACACGGAGGAAGGTGTTGCTGAGGGAGTGGGTGTTTGAGCATCTGAAGGACGGCTTTCGGCCGCAGAGGCAGGCGCTATTGCAAGTGTTAAGAAAGACTTGGGTCTGTTGAAAACAACACGAAAACTACGGAGACTTTAAGCCGGCTTACCTAAATTATGGCTTGAACCCAGCCCATTGGACTGGGGCGTGTCCCCTTCCGGAGTATCCCCTTCCGGAGTGACTTCAAGTTGTTCTAGCTCTTCCGTCAATAGCTTTTTCTCAGCTAAATCCCGGTCGATTTCGGCCTGAAGACGAGCGCCTTCTTCTTGCACCTGCTTCAGTCGATACATCTTTTCCTCAAGAGTCTCCTCAATCCGAGGGAGATCGAGACTGACTATCCGTCCTCGACGCAGGGTTCTCTCCTGAGGAGCAAGACGTAAGAGTTCTGGTGACTTTGTGAACCTAGCCGATCTCTCCTCGGATATCAGTTGAGCAGAAGGCCCATGAGCGGGATTCGAGCTGCCCCTGGACATTGCGTCCTCTTTTGGCAGCGGCCGATAAGCATCGTAGTCTCTGAGTTCCGGAGTTCGCCCAGAATGATTTGGAGTCGAGGAGCCTAAAGATGGGTTTCTGATTCTTTTCTTTGCTTCGGCCTCGGCAATTTTCCTCTTCATCTCCTGGATTTGTCTTTCTTTCAAGTTGAGCTCCGACTCTCGCTTCTTGCCAATAGCCAAGGCGCCGGGAGGCGTGTGGGACGGAGCTGGGCTGGAGAACTGACGCGACTGAACGCTGTCCGAGAGAGGAGGAAAGTCACGAATAGATGGCCCTCGCGGGACAAGAGTACCGGTTGTTTGCATTGGCCATGACTCATCAGTGGGTGATACCGAGTCTAGGTCCATTTCTTCATCGTCAGATCCATCACTAACGTCGATGACGAGAGAAAGGTGGTTCCGGTCTTGCCCGAACGGTCGCTTGACAGGCGCCGTGGTAGGCGTGAAATCAACAAAGTCAGACGCCACTGGCCGTTTCCGTTGATTAGCTGGCTGGATAGGCTGTGCTGATGACGAGAGGAGCAGCCCAGGTATCGACGACTTTTCCTGAGACAGACTGGGCTTCACCTGAGCCGCTAGTGATGGGGCGGAACCCAAGCTCGAGGATAAAGCAGCACGGTTCTGATTACTCTTCCGAGGTCCCGTAGGTATTGAAGGCGATTCTCCGCTGACATGGCCTTTGTCAACCCCCGGTTCAGGTTTGTCATTTTCAAGCTTCTGACCATGCGCTTCTCGAGATTTCTGCAATGCCGCAATCTTCTTCTGAATCAAGAGCTCTTTTTCGCCCCATGTTTTAGGTTTTGGCAAGACTACGGATGGGCTTGAAGAATCCTGCTTGTCTGCTTGCGCCGGTTTTGTTTGAGAGCGGGGAAGTAAGGGCTTCTGATTTGCTGCAACTGCTCCTTTGGCGACTTTTGCAGCAAGGAGCCTTGCAATACGGTCCTTTCGTTCCTCGCCCGGAACCTTCTCGGCTGGTTTCGAGTAGAAACCGATTCCTTTAGAAAGTCCCGCTGACGGCTGTTGTTCTCCACCATTGGATTGACCAACTTTCGAGTTCGTTGGTCCGGATTCTTCAACAGGTGGACCAGAACCAGATACCGGGGACTCGGGTGGTGTTTTCGGCATGTCTAGATGTAGCTCTCGGAAGAGGCTCTTGACTACTGATTCGTCAATTCCCTCGTCAATGTATTGTTGGTATTTAACACCAAGTGGCCACAACCTCAAGATCGCTTTTTGTGCTTCTTTCTTAGCCTCAGGTAGAGACTTGAAAGAGCTGGCTGGAGCTTGGACACGGACATTATTGATCGAGGGTTTGTGGCTTGCCGGGTTCAGGAGTTGAGAGGAGCCGCGAGGGCCAGGAACTGTTGAGCCTTGCGATTGGGCTTTGGAGGCTGCATTGACTTTGTCAGTCTCGTCTTTTCTGAGCGGAAAATGTTTGAAGAAACAACCTTCATGACTCTCTGCTTTTCGCGGGGCGACATCCTCATTTTGTATTTCTCGAGGGGATAGAAATGGCGAGTAAGATCCTGATCGTTCGCGAGCTATGACCGTCCGTTAGCTTCTAGTTCTACACAAATAACAACTGGTTATCATATGCTTACGCGGCATTGTGCGGCCTTCATCGATCGATGCTACTAACTCTCCTTCCTCGTCATTTCCATAGAACTCGGCATCTGGTGTTTCGGCAGCTGCAGCGACTTGGGGCTGGCTGGCGGTTGGTGGGGGCTCGGGAGGCAAGGTTGGGATGTTGCTTCGGGGAAGCGGTTTGTCAGATTTCTCGGGTTCCCTCGGTCCCTTAGGCCCTTTAGGTTCCTTGGGTTCCTTGGGTTCCCGGACAGGTTCCCTAGGTTCATACAAATCCTCAAATTGCCCCTCGCTCAACTCTCCCTCTTCCATCTCGTTGTCTGGCCCAGTGTGAGACGGCGGGGCTGCGGCTGCGGGAGCTGCTGTTGTTGAAGGCATTTTATTTGGAAACGCGTCGCCAGTTGGCGAAGGGGGTTGGGAATGTTGCCCGGTGAAGGGCCGTCTGAATGTGCCACCTGGAGAAGGTATAGACGGATGAGCAGAGGTCGGCACGGCCCCCGCAAACTGATATGGCTGGTTCCATACCCCGGGCGGGGGTGGAAGACTGTACGAGCCTCCTCCCGTAGGCGCAGTCATGGCACCGGCTATACCGAGCCCTGGAATTTGACTGGCATTGTAGGCAAACGATCCTTGCGATATATGGCGCGTTGTGTCGATTGCGCCGGGGTTAAAGGGAGGATTGTAGGCGGGTGGCGGCGCGGCGGGATAGCCACCGGGAGGCGGATAGCCGTACGGGTACTGTGGCGGTGGAAACTGCGGTGGAGGTTGAGGTGGTGGTTGGCCATGATACTGGCCGTATCCATATCCATACGGGTATTGAGACATGGCGGCAGATCGCGTCGTCGACTCGAGTCGTCGATTCGCTAGCAATCACACATCTCAGAATTATAAGGACAAGGGAGTTTCTGGTGGTATGCAGTTGACAAGTAGCCGAGCCGACTTTACATAGTCTCGAAAGAGCAAAATGGTAAGCGCATGAGACAATATGCAAGTCGGATCTGGCTGAGACGCGGAAGCGTCGGTATGCTGCTGAGGCCAAACTGTCGACCGCGCGACGTGTGGCCTGATCGCGAGATGCGCCTGGACCCTGGAACAAGATTACCAGGTGAGAGTATATGTATATAGACAAATATCCGAGTCGTTCCTGAATGCAAGAACACAAAATCGTCGTGATAATCGAATTGATGCCGCGTGGCGAGGGGCAGGAGTTGGGCTCCGGAGAATTGGGCTCTGCCTGGCCTGTACAGAAACAAAGACGCCTTGTGTCGAATGGCGGAAAGGTTCAAGTTTTTTGGAGGTCTCTCGCCGAGCCAGGAATCCGCTAATCCGGATCTGGCCAAGCGTGCACGTGCCACTTTGCGACATCGAGCTTGGGCCAATTCGTTTGTTTACTTTTTGCTTTGTGTACGGAGCAACTAGCACTTCGAGGTACGGGATTACGGGGGGTTCCAACCTTAACGGAGCTTCTTTGCAGTCTTTAAACCGGCCAACACCAACGACTCTGCCCTGCCACCACCCTTGGATCTTCCCTGAAGCAACGAGTTTGGACGGGGTTGCTTGCTTTCGCCTGTCCACCTTCTATTTCGTCACTTCCATTGCCTTGGCTTTTCTGCTGTTCTGCTCTCGCGCCTGCAGTTTGCGTCCGCGTCTGCGCCCGCGTCGCCCGCCCACCGTGTCGTCGCTCGGCCTCGACTTTAATGTTTGCACAACTTGCATGACTGTACGACAGTCAGAGCAGGACCCAGAATTGCTAACTCAACCAGCAATTATTCCATGAATTCCTTTCATCGCTAAGCTGTCCGTTGCCAGCGCGCCATGTCGGTCCGCAACAATCCCTTTGCGAGGAATGCCTCGACCTCGCCCACTTCGGGCGCCGTTGGGAGGCCCAAGTCGGCCTTGTTTTCGTCCTCGACGTCTCCTCTATCCTCAATCCCGGTCCTGCCCTCGCACTCCCGAACGCAGTCGCACACGTCGATCGCCGCAGCACTTGCACCAGCCGCGCCTATACGCGCTGCGCCAACGCGCGAAGGCTCGAGAGGGGCCTCCCCGAGCTCCAACACATTTGCGCCCTCGTTCATCAAGACGGAGGACGTTCTGAAGCGCGCCGACACAGTTAGGGGAATCGAGGGCGAGAATGACTTCTCTGGCAAAAAATACGTGTGGCTTAAGGACCCCCAAACAGCTTTTGTCAAGGGTTGGGTTGTGGAGGAACTTGGAGGAAACCGGATTTTGGTCCAATGCGACGATGGAAGCGTAAGTACCCTCCACCCCTATTCCTCGTGGCTACGAGGTCATCTACTGACGTGCAGCAACAACAGCAACGAGAGGTCGACGGCGAGAGCGTCGATAAAGTCAACCCGGCCAAGTTCGACAAAGCGAACGACATGGCAGAGCTGACGCACTTGAACGAGGCCTCTGTTGTCCACAACCTGCACACAAGATACATGACCGACCTCATATACACCTACTCTGGACTGTTTCTCGTGACAGTCAACCCCTACTGCCCCCTTCCTATCTACACGAACGAGTACATCAACATGTACAAGGGCAGGAGCAGGGAAGACACCAAACCTCACATTTTTGCCGTTGCCGACGAAGCGTTTCGGAACCTCGTCGACGAGAACGAGAACCAGAGCATCTTGGTCACGGGCGAGTCTGGAGCCGGAAAGACAGAGAATACAAAAAAGGTTATCCAGTATCTCGCAGCGGTTGCCCATTCGGAATCGCCCGTCAAGAACAGAGGGCAACAGCAACACGCGAACTTATCGGCCCAAATCTTGCGAGCAAACCCGATCCTCGAGGCCTTTGGCAACGCCCAAACTGTCCGGAACAACAATTCATCGAGGTTCGGCAAATTTATCAGGATCGAGTTCGGCCGCCACGGGTCTATCGCCGGTGCCTACATTGATTGGTACCTGCTCGAGAAGTCGCGCGTTGTTCGGATCAACTCCAACGAACGCAACTACCACATTTTTTACCAGCTCCTCAAAGGGGCGGACCGAAGAATGAAGCAGGAGTTCCTTCTGGATGGTCTCGATGTTGACGACTTTGCCTACACGCGAGATGGTCAGGACACCATTGCCGGGGTGTCGGATCGCGACGAGTGGAATTCCCTGATGGAAGCCTTCATGGTTATGGGATTCTCGGACAAAGAACAGTCCTCTATCCTGAAAACCATCGCCGCAGTTCTTCATTTAGGCAACCTCTCGGTTGTCAAGGAGAGCAGGTCCGCAGATCAGGCGCGCCTGGCTCCGGATGCCAAGGAAGTTGCGGCAAGAGTGTGTAAGCTGCTCGGAGTGCCGCTGGAGCCTTTCCTCCAGGGCCTGTTGCACCCCAGAGTCAAGGCGGGCCGAGAATGGGTCGAGAAGGTCCAAACACCAGAGCAGGTCCGCCTGGGTATTGATGCTCTCGCAAAAGGCATTTACGAGTGTGGTTTTCGCGATCTCGTTGCGAGAATCAATCGTCAGCTTGACCGGCCGACCATGGGTCTGGATGATACCCGATTCATTGGTGTTCTCGACATTGCTGGCTTTGAGATATTCGAGCACAACAGTTTCGAGCAGCTCTGCATCAACTATACCAACGAAAAGCTCCAGCAGTTCTTCAACCATCACATGTTTGTTTTGGAACAGGAAGAGTACGCACGGGAACAAATAGAGTGGCAGTTTATCGACTTTGGCAAAGATCTCCAGCCGACGATTGACCTTATCGAACTGCCAAACCCAATCGGTATCTTTTCCTGTCTGGACGAGGACTGCGTCATGCCCAAGGCCACCGACAAGACCTTCACTGAGAAGCTGAACTCATTGTGGGATAAGAAATCACAAAAGTATCGGCCGTCTCGACTGGGTCAAGGCTTTATCCTTACGCATTACGCTGCCGAGGTCGAATACGCGACTGAAGGGTGGCTGGAAAAGAACAAAGACCCCCTGAACGACAATATCACTCGCTTGCTTGCTGCCTCAAGCGACAAGCATATCGCAACTCTCTTTGCCGACTGCGCCGATCAGGATGACGAGCTCGGCGGCATGCGCAGCCGAGTCAAGAAGGGCCTCTTCCGAACCGTTGCTCAGAGACACAAGGAGCAGCTGTCAAGCCTCATGGCGCAACTGCACTCGACACATCCTCATTTCGTGCGGTGTATCCTTCCCAACCACAAGAAACGGCCAAAGCAGTTCAACAGTCTCCTCGTCCTAGACCAACTGCGATGCAACGGTGTCCTCGAAGGTATCCGCATTGCCCGTACTGGGTTTCCCAACAGACTCGCCTTTGCGGAATTCCGGCAGCGATATGAAGTTCTCTGCCGGGACATGCCCAAGGGGTATCTGGAAGGCCAAGCTGCAGCGAGAATAATGCTTGACAGATTCGGCCTTGACAAGACCCTCTACCGCGTTGGCTTGACCAAAGTCTTCTTCCGGGCCGGTGTTCTGGCGGAGCTTGAAGAACAACGGGACGCCCTGATTACAGAGATCATGTCACGATTCCAATCAGTAGCTCGTGGCTACATGCAAAGAAGAATCGCGTTCAAGCGCCTCTATCGGGCTGAAGCGACCAGAGTCATCCAGAGGAACTTTCACGTATACCTGGACCTCTGTCAGAACCCTTGGTGGCAGTTGCTTGTCAGGATGAAGCCTCTGCTGGGCGCGACGAGAACGGCCACAGAAGTCAAGAAGAGAGATGAACTGATTCGGCAGCTCCACGATAAGATGAATCTGGAAGTTCAGGATCGCCAAAAGCTCGAAGAGGACAGGCGAAATGTTCACGCCGAAATGCTGCGCATTCAGCAAACTCTCGAAAGCGAGCGCGCTCTGGCGCTCGACAAGGAAGAGATCTTCAAACGACTCCAGCGCCGAGAGGCAGAGCTCGAGGACAAGCTGGCCGGTGCCTTGGACGACCAGGAGCGCATCGAGGACCAACTAGACAGTCTGCTTGAGGCGAAGAAGCGTGCCGAAGAGGACGTGGAAAGATACCGAACGCAGCTCGAGCAGGCGGCCAGTCTCATTGCGAGACTCGAAGAGGAGAAATCCGAACTCGCCGGGCGCGTTTCGGACCTCGAGAGAGCCATCGAAGACATCACGCAGAAGCAATCTGAGCGCAGTGAACAGGAGGCTGCGCTCGCGGACGATATCAAGATGCTGCAAAGCCAACTGTCGCTGAAGGATCGCAAGGTCCGGGACTTGGAGGGGAAGCTGCTGAAGGTCGACCAAGATCTCGAAGTCAAGTTGATGACGACCCAGAAGGAGCTCCAATCTGCAAAGAGTAAGACCCAACAGCTCGCCTCAGAGAATCATAGCATCCAGCAACAGCTATCCCAGCTTTCGCAAACCTCGACAGACTATGAAGATTTGGTCCGAAAGAAAGAAAGCGAGCTGGCTTTGCTTCGCTCCGACATTAAGAAGTACGAAATGGAGCGTCGCAACTACGAAGACCAGAAGAAGAACCTCGGCACGGAAAGAGAGAAGGCCACGGAGCGACTTCGAGAGGTCCAGGCCGAGCTGGCCGCGATGAGGTCTCAACAAAGCCAGCTCCAGCGAGAGGCAGAAGATGCTAAACGGCTCCTTCAGGCTCGACTCTCGGAAGACGCTCAAGCGGACCAGAACCGACAGGTCCTGGAGTCTCAAATCAACCATCTCAAGGAGGACCTGTACACGGCCCAGATGGAGCTTAGCCGAGAGCGCCAGTCTCGGGACGATGTTGCCCTCCTCGGGGAGCACAAGTACCAGACGCTTCAAAATGAGTATGGCCGCCTTAACGAGTCAAAGATCATCATTGAGAAGGAGCTTTACGCCCAGCAAGACACTCTGCGCCGGACCATGGAAGCTCGGGCTGCCGCTGAGCAGGAACGTGACGAGGCCCGCCAAGAAATTCGACGACTCCGCGTCATCAAGACGCAGGCCGAGGAAGCACGCCGCGAGGCCGAAATAGTCGGCGAGCGGGCAGCCGCAAAAGTTGCACGGGAGCGAGAAGAGAGTCTGCGAAGGGACCTCGAGGCGGCGCACGAGAGGCTGAAATGGTTCGAGTCTGAGTGCGAGAAGCTAAACCACCAAGTCGAAGACTTGAACAAGCTGATCCTCGAGTCGGGCGATTTTGGGTTGAAGAACGACCAAGCAAAGGAGCGACTCGAGCGCGAGCTTCATACTGTGAAAAGTCGGCTCGCCGCCTCGGAGAACGATAATCGAGCCCTCCTCAACAAACTGCAGCAGAAAGGCCTCGAGATTGCGCGGTCTGGTTCCAGAGCGAGCGAGGCATCTCGAGGCCAACTCCAAGTCCTGCAGCGCGAGAAGGCAAGATTTGAGGAGCAGAACGGCAAGCTCAACAAGCAACTGGGAGACTCGCAAGTCACAGTTGCGTCGTTGGAAAAGAAGCTCGAAAAGCTGCAGCTCAATCTCGAGGACCTGAACCACGAGGTGGCCCGTGAAGTGAAGAGCAGCCGAAATGCCGAAAAGGCGTCGTCCAACTTCACAGCTCAACTGGCAGAGGCGAATCGTACAATCGAGGCCGAGAGACACCTGCGCAGCCAGGCTCAGGGGACGGTCCGAAGCCTGCAATCGACGCTGGATACCCGTGACGGAGAGCTGGCCGAGCTGCGGACCCAATTGCTCAACGCGCTCAGAACCGTCGATCCTGAATCTGTGCCCGCGGTGCAGAGCGATGGCGGCGGCGGCGGCGGCGAGAAATTCCTCAGCAAAAACTTTGATCTGGTCCGCAAGATTGAAGTGCTGCAGCAGAACCTGCGCGTCCAGACGGTAGCACGTTCAAACGCCGAGGCCCAACTCGCCGAGCTGAGAGCAACTAGGAACGACTCCCCCGGCCGGCCGCGACTCGAGGAAATAAGCCCTAACGAAGCCCCTTTCAACGGCTCTCCGACACACAAGCGGCCCAAGCAGAACGGCCGTCACTACTCCAACGCCTCGACCCCCCCTCGGCGCTTTGGTAACAACGATGGCGACCATTTGCAAGACTCGGTTCGCTCAGACCGCACGGCAGACATTCTCAGCTTCAACAACCGCATGGATCTCAAGGCCGAGGTAGAGGAGCTGCAGAACCAACTGCAGCTCGCTCAGATACAGAACCGCCACCTCCAAAGCCAGATAGAGCGCTCTACCCCGGCCCCTCCGGACACATTCCCGGACCAGAGCCCATCGTTGCGCCGAGTACAGAAGCTGGAGAAGGCCAACAGCCGGCTCCACGACATGCTCGACGATTCTTCCAAGAAGGTGTCGGCCTTGGAGAAGGCTCTCCGCACTGGGGAACTGTCGCTCCGTGACATCCAAACCAAGTCTCATGAGGAGATCCTCGATTTTGTCAAGAGCCAAGAAGAGTCCCGCCGGTCGCTTCTACACAGCCATAAAGACACTGTGGCAGAGCTGACTGATATCAAGGAACACTTTGACAAGCTGAGACACGGCCGCGCCAAGCTCGAGGTTGACTTGCGCGACGCAAGATCGGACCTCCAAGAGATGTCGTTGGCCAGGGATCAGGAGGCTGGAAGTCGGAGCCAGCTGCTGCAAGAATTCGCCGATCTCCAGATCCGGCTCGACGCCGAGACTTCCAAACTGGCTGATGTAACAGCCAGTCTCAACCTCTACAAGAGCCGGGCAGACGAGTACTTCAGCAAGCTCGAACAAGCCGAGATTGCCGTGCTCAAGGCTAACCGGGCCGAGCAGTTTGCGAGAACGCAAGCCAGGGAGGCTGAGGACAGCTGTGCCGAGATGATGTCGGAAAGGAAGCGCCTCGACTCGACCATTGAGGACATCCAGCACCAGAACCAGAGACTGGAGGAGAAGATTGAAGACATGTCCACTGATCTCGAGGCTGCCACACAGGCCAAGAAGCGGCTGCAGCACGAACTGGAGGACTATCGCAGCCAGCGAGCGAACGACATTGAGGACAAGGAATCGAACATGGAGCAGATGCGCAAAAAGTACCAAGCCGAGTTTGCCACCCTAACCAAGGAGCTCGACCTCGCCCGAGAAGAGAAGCTATTCAAGCAGGCCGAAATCTCTAGGCTGCGGGACGAACTGGACGAGCTCCGGTCCAAGTGGGACGACGAGGTGCTCAACAGTTCAACTTGGTCCAAGGAGAAGTCGCGACTCGAAGCTACCCTGTCGGACGTGGTGGCCTCCCGAGACGAGGCAGTCAGCGCCCACAACGAAGCCCAGGGCAAGATCGTCTCGCTCCTTTCGCAGGTGCGAGCACTTCGGTCGTCGGTCGACGAGGTGTCGTCAGAGCGTGACAGCCTGATCCGCGAGAAACGGAGCGTCGAGTCCCGACTTCAGGAGGCCAAGGCCGGTCTCGAAGAACTTGCCAACTGCGAGAGTCCCTCGCTCCGCAATGCCGCCAACATTGACAAGGAAATCCTTGAACTCAAGTCGGGACTTGCGCAGCAGGAAGACATTGCAGCGGCAGCCGTCGAGAAGATGCGACGGGCTGAGGCACTCGTGTCTGAGATCCAGAGAGACATAGTCGCCGAGCGCGAAGGGACTGCCGAGCTCCAGAAGCAAAAGGTTGCGCTGGAAAAGGCTCTCAACGAAACCCAACTGAAGCTCATCGATCTCGAGACAAAGGGCTACTCAACTGCCAGCCACGACATCAAGTTCCTGCATAAGCGTATCCAAGAGGTAAGTTTGGACAGCCCTGGCGATAAAAGGATGTGATCGGCGAGCTAAAAATAGAAAACAATAGCTTGAGTCGCAATTAGAGGCGCAGGAGAACGAACGCAGCAAGTCACAGCGCTCAGTCCGGAACGTGGATCGCACCGTGAAAGACTTGCAGTCACAGATCGACCGGAGAGAGAAGCAGAACAGCCAGCTCCAGGAAGATATAGGCCGCATGCGAGACAAGGTCGACAAGCTCCTCAAGACCATTGACGAGCTGCAGGCTTCTGAGAGCTCCAATCAGCTGTCGGCGCGGCGGGCCGAGAGGGAGCTGCGCGAGGAGAGAGACAAGGCGCTCCGGCTTGAACGCGAGCTCGAGGGTTGGAAGAGCCTTCGTATGGAGAAGAGCTCCGGCCTCGGTGGTAGTGTCGCAGGGAGCGTCATGGGCGGCGGCAGCCCTCGCGGAAAAGACAGCAGCGGTGCCTTCAAGAAGAGGATGTCGGGATCCTGGGTGGCGCGCGCCGGCGTCGTCGGCAGCGAAGGCGACGAAGTCAAGATCCCCCAGCGCAAGAGCAGCATTAGCAGGGCGCCGAGCATGACTAAAGGGTTCTTGTAAGAGATAAGTTTCTGAAAAGAGACGAGGGAGGTGGGGGTTTGGGTGGATGTGGTTTTTCCTTTCTCTTTTTCTTTTTCTTTTTGGTCTAGCATGTTTTCGTTGTAAAGCCTATCAGCTGGATTTTTTTGTTTACGTCCTGGTATGGATTTCAACTTGGAATTCTTTTAATGGGCATTGGCAATGGGCATGGATCAGGGTCACGGAATGCGTCTGAATTGTTTGTTGATAGTGGTACTACGGGGGGAGGGAGGCACGGAATAGGATTGGGTTGGATTCCGCTCCAGGAGGAGGGAGGATAGGAAAATAAAACGAGCAGGCCATAAATTGATGTCTATTCCCTCTTGTTATTTGTCTGGTTGTCTGTCTCGGTGTGACTGTCTGACTTGTGACGGTCAAGGGATAATATGGTGGAGTTGCTGTTGTAGTTTGCCCCTTTTTGGTCTGTTGCTCAATATCAACACCTGATCGGAGATGCCTCAGCAGGCACACACACCTCTCTCGTCTGCCGTGATACCAGCACAATGCCGACACCTGTTACCGAACGCTTGCAGTATTAACTGGTAGCCTCGCTCTGGCCGTGTGCCTTTCCCGAACAACGAGATGCACTCAAGCCTCGAGAGACTTCTTACGACAAAACCCCCTTATGAGGCAGGTTGGAGAGGCATGTTGGAGACGGCAGACCAACGACCTTATATACTATGGTTGTGCAAGAAAATAAAGAGCGCTAGATTGCAGTAGGTTAGCTATATCCCTTTTTTAGTTGTGTGTAAACAACTCCCTTTCCCCCATAGACTAGGTACCCACTTATCCGCATGTCAACGAAAGGCTTTAATGGTTTACAGTTCTGCCTAAATCTTCTTCTCGGAGGGAGGTGATAAGTTCTAAAGCCTCCAATGTAGAATCCTAGAGGCCTATCTCCCTGTCTCGAATGTCATTGTCGGGCACAGTGGCAAGAGTGTTTTCTTTGGCGATTTATTTACCATCGCCCACGATCATCTCCCCTGCCAGCAAAACAAGTTGCCCTTAACTTGTAGAAAAGAAAATGAAATGTAGTGCAGCTCTCATGTCTCTGTCCTAAACAAGTAAACCAGACGACGGCAACCTCCTCGTTTCCTATGCCATCTACAGCAGCCGACTCTCGGGACAGAGACCAACGAAAACGTCCAACCCCCTCCTCTCCCCTCCCAACCTCTCCTCTTCACGTCCTAGTCCATAATTAAGTGAGAATGAGGGCCACCCCGCACAAGACAGGACGAGATAAGCAGACATCATGTCTGTCTCAGCACAGCAGAAACTTTTTGCTCGCTCACCAGCATACACGCTGGGGGGGGGGGGGGGAGGTAGGCTCCTGTGGTCGGGGAGCAAGGAGCACACGCATGAGCAGAATGCCACAAAAGATGCGCCTTGATGGAAAAGAGCAAAAAAAACCAAGGTGACAAATAGTTCGACAAAAAAGCAGGAGGGGTAATGTTAGTGGGCGACGGTAGAGGATGTAGTAGGGTCTCTGGGATAGAAACGGCAGGTCGTGCATAGAGGGCACGCCACCCGGGTTTAGCACTGGTTCAATGGGGCGGACAAACAACCGAACTAGAACGGGGAGGGAGGCAGCTCGGGCTTATTAGAGATTACTTTTCCGAAAGATACCTTGTCTCCCAGGCCATGTGGGTGTGTGTATGTGTGTGTTGGTGTGTTTTGGGGGGGGGGGGGGGGGGGGTGGACTGTCACTGTGTGAAGCGGAGGAAAGAGAAGAAAAAAGGAAAGAGAAGAAAAGAGCCAAAGGTAGTGGGCATATGAAACCAAAATGGGGCACGTGCAGATAGACGAGAAGAGGGCGGAAAAAATGGCAAAAGTTGATAGAGATTTGAATTGGTCAGTGAGTCGATTGCTGCTGTCCGTGGTGGATGCCAAGGTGCGAAAACGCCAAGGCAGGGAGGCAGAGCCAAGCAATTGCAGCGGCAAATCTTGGGAGGTGGAAAGGCAGCCATCGTTTGCTTTGCTGCGCTGCAATGCGCGTGTGTTCGGATGGCAGACGGCACACAAAACTGTCTTGGAGAGCAAGAGGCGGGGTCCTAGTGGGGAGGTAGTCCGATCAACAGGTGATTTGCTGCGTGCTGTCCTGTCCTGTCTGTCTCGCGGAGTTCGGACGGCGAGCTGAGGTGTCCCTCTGGGCTTCCTTTCCAATTCGTCGCAGCCGAAAATTTTTCCAGAACCCCGTGGACGCTGCCTGCCGCTCCCAGCAACCCGCCAATGCCTCTGTTCCCCCCCTCCTCCGCGAACGCCGTCCGGCTTCGTGTATGTACATAGAACGGAAAACTTTAACGGTCTGCGGGCTCTGGGTCCCGTGAGTCTCGTCCGCCTTGGAGGCGTTTTGTAACCATCCAATTCCCGTCACGCGCGCCAAGAGGAGCGAGCAAACAAATCAGGAAAATTAGTCGGCTGCCCCTATTTTGTTAGAAAGCCACCCTTGAAGAGTCTGCAGCCTGGCCGGCCAATTATAAAGCATCCGGGTCCCACCCAAATTTGCAGTGCGGCCACAAGCCTGCGCCCACAATAGTTAGTGCCTTGGAGCCTGCGATGCAAGTTGGCCAGTCGCGCCCACAGTCCGGGCCGCCCGCGCAATTGAAGCTATTCGCAAGTGGAAAAAATAGTCAAAAATTAGTCAATATTGAGTATTCCGTAGATGTGAACAGAGGTCAGGACTCTACGTAGTTGGGAAGGCGTAAATACCGGTATTCGATTGCACTCGAACGCCGGGCTATGAAGGTTGTTGACATGGAAAAGGTTGACTGGCGATAGCTTCAAATTCGTTACGGCGCGCACAGGCCTGACGAAATGCCTGGCCTTGGGGTATTCGTTGTGGACGTAGGCTTGTGGCTAAATCTTTTGCTCTGCAAATTTGGCTAGGACCTAGATGCTGTTTTATTGGCCGGTCACGAGGGTTAACTTTGTAACAGAGTAGCCGACTAATATTTCTGGCAAAAAATACGGCCTGGACCCGGAATGGGAGACCGCTGCTGTGCGTGCAGGTCAGGAACACATCTGCCCTCCTACCCGGCGCTGCCTAGGTACCCAGCCGAGGGTTACAGCCCGACGGGGAAGGCGAGGGTTAGAAGTCATGCCTCGCTCAGTAGCGAAGTCCCGTCTGGTCAATTGGTGCCGACAGCGTGTACCATATACCACCCACACATCGCCTCCGGCCACCGGATACCGCGTCTCAGTTCCCTTTCGGCGCTTGGACTGCCTGGATTTGCTGGTGTGCTGGTGCTGGTGTGCTGGTGCGCCGTTGCTTGCTTTGCTCTGGATGCTGCTTGCAAGCCTTGACAAGTTCTAGTCCCTTCCCGCTTCCCGCTTCCCGCTTCCCGCTCCCGCTTCCGTTGCCGCTCCCACTCTCCCATGAGCTAGCTTTTATCCGACAAGCGTCGGTCTCTTGCAGGCCCTGGGTTCTGCCTGGGAGAATGTAACCGGGGCCCAGTGCTGATCGTGTGTCCTAGTTAAAGGAGACGCTCCAGTGTGCTTGGGGGACGGAGCTTGTGCATGTCTGTCAAGCTGTAGCAGGCCGAGATGGCAGCTGCTGCCGTGGTCCGAGAGCTTGCTGCCACATTGGTGCATGCATGCCATTCTCGCAACAGAGCCCTCCTGTCTCCTCGCCCGTTCGGGAGATGACGGATTGTACAAGCGCCTTCCAGAGATGTAATGAGCAGTAGATTGCCCGACTTAGCCTCTGCAAGGTCTTGCAAGCTCATAGATGATGAATCCTGAAATATGTTTCGGAAACAAATTGGCGGATTCTGGAGCTGAGGAGCGAAGGATGTTGAAGACTATAGTTACTCTCTTGACCGGTTTAGGTCCTTGCAACATAATGAATAGAATAGGTCTTTGAGTTAATTAGTCGTTGCCGTGTTTCACCAAATTTTGGCTAATTATTGCCATTCACGCATTCCATGTCTTTGACAACTCGTGGGTCGTTGTCTGTACTATCTGCCAATACTCGTAGGATTGTATTTCCAGTTGCAATAAACCCGATCATGGGAACTTGGCTTGTGGGACCACAACACAGGTCAAGCAAGTATGGTAACAACACGATGTATAGCTAACAATGCTTGTCTATTTGGCTATTTTGTTCTTTCGCTGATGCAGAAGAAAAGAAGGGAATTGCAAAAGTAAATAGATAATTTGGGTCTTGCATTAATCGCAACGGGCTTCATGTGTTCATTTGATAAAGCGGTCCAGGCAGTGTAGTTACCTGTAGACGTAGCTAAAATGGCAAAAGCTCACCGATAACTTACTGAGTTATCGGCTACGAAACCCTTTGGGTTTACTAGGTGCACGGGTTCCTTTTTCTTTTTTTGTTGGGTACGCTTTTTTCTTAATCTTTTTTTATGTCGTCTTTTTTTCTCCCGCAGCTGGAATTGAACATTTGAACCCTTGACCTCTCGGATCGTAGCCGATTTTAGATTTCTAGTTAAGATTTCATTTTTCCCTGGCTGCCGCGTTATTGAGTTTTTGTTTCTGCGTTTGGGTTTCGAGATACATGACTTTTTTTGCGTCCCAGTCAGGCCAGCTGAGCCACTCAACTGACTTCAGCTGGATGTTCCTGACAATAACCTGGAGGTTCAAACTTGCATATATACCACCCAGCTCGGAGTTGGCCTGCCCGCAGCCCGCAGCCAGAAAGCTTGTTCAGCCAACAACACAAACCAACATCGAGTTTGCCCATCGTTCTGACGATCCGTTGTAATGGATCCGGGTTGGAACAATACAAGCTATCTTTCCGCAACTCGCTCTCGCTCAACTCGCCACTCTCTTAATTAGAGTCTTCCCTCACCGGGCCTCCATTCAGGTTTCGCACCACACAGGGCACCGAAATAACACTGGCAATCAATTTTCCCGGAGAGCACCTACCGCGCAGCCTCCCAATTAATTTGCCAAGTCTCCCCGTCCGAGTGCAACGGCAGTGATGTCATTAATCACCCGAGATTAACTCCAAATAGCCGATACCAGAAACCAGGTTATATTGCCGTGGCTATATAAGGGGGGCGGGTTCTGGCCTCCCCCGCGAGTTTCAAATGAGCTGATAAGGTGCTCAATCCGTTGTAGCTGCACGTCCAAATAAAAACGAAACGAAACGCAAACCATCTCTCTCTCTCTCTCTCTCTCTCTCTTCGCACTCACCAAAGGCCTCAAGTTACAAGCATTCGCTCGAGGCGGCTCGGTCAGCAACAACAAGCACAACGACTAAAACCACAATAGCCATGAAGCTCCTGCTCGTCTCCACGCTCGCCTCTCTGGCGGCCGTCGCCATGGCGACCCCGCTCACCCAGTGGGAAGACCCTTACCCTGCGCCATGCGGTAGATCGGTCCCCTCGGGGCGCTGCACGACCGAGGCGACGTGCATCCGCAAGGGGGGCTTCTATGTCGGCAGGGACTGCACCTTCTACGACGTCGGGGATATCGGCTGCTGCTACGACATTCCAGATGGGAACTCTCCGAGAGGGCTAGACAACCAGTGAAGAGTGGTTGGGGATGCCTAGTTGATGCTGGGAGAGATATTGCTGGTTGGCTGTATTATTCTTGGGGCCGAGGCCTAGTTGTGTTTTGGCGTATTCCCTTCTTATGTTTTTCCCTTTTTCTTTTACTTTTCTTTCCTTGGAAGTTGCCTGTGCCGGGGTCTGCGAATGGTCTTTTGACTTGGGAAGCTGGGAGGCTTTCTTGATATAAGTAATAATATCATGGAGACTGGACTCAAGAGGGACAACAATACCAGATCGACTGTGATTTCTTTGATTTTCAGCTGGGACCGAGCCTCGAAATTTGCGAGTCGTGCTTGAAGGGCCGAGTTTTCATTTATTTATCATGTTTCATTTTCTTTTACTTTTGGCAGGTAATTAATTGTCACTGTTCTCGTGTTCTTTTTTGGATTGCTTGGTGACCAATCAGAAGGCGACAGACAACTTCGAATTTGACCCCGCGCACACACTCTCCTCTGCCTCTTAAACTTCGTCTGTTTAATCGTAATTACCCGACTTGTAGTGAATGCCTGAGCACGTCGACACCATGTCGGCCGCCACCACCCACAGGCCGGGGACTGGTCTGGGCCGACTTGGACCTCCCTTTTCGCACAGCGACAGCAGGTCGTCGGTCGCGGCCTGCATCGCCGACCTCCCGGTGTCCATCACATCGCGTGGGAGGACGTTGCGGCCGGCGCGAGACTTGGCCGGCTATCTCCGCTCCGAGCTCCTGCCGTGGAAGCTCGATCTCATCTCGAGCCACCTGTGGTTTGCCGGGCCGCGCCACGTCCCTGCCCGGTCGCTGCACCGCCATCGGTTGGCGCGTCGTGAAATAGTTATCACCGAGAGTCCGAGCGAGCACCTCATCTCGGACTACACAGTCGTGTTTGTGAAGCCGCTTCCCAGCTACTTGCTCTGCTACGACTTCTGGGCCACTCATCTCGCAGCCGACGCGTCCCTCTACGCTGCTGCCTGCGGCTTGCTGCTGTCCTACACCTGGCTCATCGCATATCCCACCGACTTTGACATCGCCAAGGAGCTGCGCCTGCTGCCAGCTGACCTGGCGTGGAGCGCATGGACCTCGTTCGTCTCGGGCTTCCTGGACCATCTCGAGGCGTTGGGCTCGGCGTCGGCGTCGGCGTCATCCCCCACGCCGCCGCCCCCGCCAGTGGTCAGTTACCGGTACACCTATGGCGAGCTACGCATGAGTCGTGTCAATTACCTCTACAAGTTTGTGCCGTCGGTCTGGGATAGGGATAATCCCGCCCGAGGGTTTATGCCGACGTCCATGTGGAACAAGTCCTTCCTGGAGCGGAACGTTGCCCGCCTTCTCACCGTCTTCGTCGCCATCTCGCTGGCCCTCTCGGCCATGCAGGTCGGCCTGGCCACCGCCCAGCTGCAGCAGGACGATTTTTCCGCCTTTGTCAGCGCGTCTTATGGCTTCGCCGTCGCCTCTCTCGTTCTCGTGCTGCTGTGTGGGGGCGCCGTCTTGGTCGCCGCCGTCTGGCATTTCCGCTACAAGATTTTGCGCCCGTGGAGGATGCACGTCTCGAAACAAGGCACCCAGGGACACAACCTGTGATGGAGGTGAAAAAAAGCCCAGGCGGCCGCCGCGGGAGAGAATCCGCTTCATTCGGGGAGGTTGATGTTTTTTGCTCGGGATTTCTGGTCTCGATGCTGTTATTTTCCCCTTGGCGGGCGGGTCCTCGCCCATGATTTGATGGCACACGGTCTGATTGATCTACTATTAGCATGAATTAATTACGGTTTCATGCATAGAGTGAGAGAGTGTAAGTTCATGAGAGAGTGTGAGTTCATGAGAGAGAAAGGAGAGTCTGAATTGTGATATAACACGCGCTGTCCATGGCGACAGCCGACGGGTGCTAATTAAGCTACTACATCAAGGATGATTAAACAAGTCGTAACTAACCGACAATCTGACACTGAAAGATGACAACTGCTGGGACAACACAACATCCCCGCCTCGGCCGCGCCTGCGCACCGAAGATGGTGCTTGCTTTTTTATGTGAAGGAAATACGTAGTACAAAAACAAAAAAAACAAACTCGTGATTACCACTGTGTGTGTGCGAGAGAGAGAGAGAGAGAGAGATGAATGAAAAAGGGAGGAAAGGAGAAAAAAGAAAGAAAACACGGTGCATGTTCATGTGATTGGGGAAGACTCCCTACCGCCCTCTATGCGCTCGAGTAAGGGTAACCAGACGTTGTAATGGCGGACGAGATCGTAGATCAGGGCCTCGCGCGGAGCCAACGGCCCGAGCGTGACAGAAACCGGGGGGGGGTCAACCTCTGCCCAGCCAAGCATCATGATATGGCGGAATTCGGGCGAGTTCGACAGCGGGCTCTCAGGCTCGCCGAAAGCCCACTCCTGCGTGCTGGCGATGTGCACCAAGAGGGCAATCACCGTGGCGGCGCAGTTGCACGTCTCTGGAAGCTCGAGGCAGTGGTGAGTTGTGGGGGCGGCCATGGCTGGGCGCGAGATGTCGAGACTGACTGACTGACTGGGACTTGTTGGGTGGGAAAGAAGAAAAGACGGGCGTTGGTCGGCTCATACCGAGTGTTTAACGAATGCGTGTGAGGAGAGGGGAGTTTGGACACAAGTGAGCGCAGCGCGAAGACGAGAGAGAGAGAGGATGCAAGACTTTGCTCAAACAGGCGTTTGCCTTTTAACTTGTCGAGGAGCTTTCCCGGGGAGACGGCGACGGAACCTTAGCGCTCGCGCCCCTCTCACCTCCCACCCCCTTCCATCCTAGCCTGATACCTAGGAAAGGAAAGGCGAGAATAGTAAATGAAATGTCTCAAAAGCAAACAGCAAGCTCCGTCGCTGGAAAGCGGAAAGCAGAAGCAGGTAGGTGCCTCTGGGATTCTGGGGAGATGTCGTCGAGGTTCCCTGACTCGACTTCGACTCCACTCGGCTCGAGAGGGGAGAGGGGGGGGGGGGGGTGGGAAAGGTGTGTTTCTGAATGGCTGATCCTAATCCCTTCTCTGCCGATAATTACCCTCTAGCTGCTTGGCTAATGCAGACGAAGAGAGTTTGCAAGCGCTGTAGCTTTGGCTGCCGACACGCCCCACCGGTCCCTCGCTCCCCGCTTAGCCTGCCGGCAGATCAACCGCGACGAGAGCCCCTCGACTTTTGATGTATGCAATTATCCGGGTGAGAGAGAGCGCTGTTTGGCTTTATCTCATATCACTGCAGCTTCCAATTGAACATTAACTCGGGATGGTTCTGATAATCTGATCCACTCAACAGGCGGGCCAAAGAAAGACACGACTGTGTCACTGTGCTTTGAACTGACCAGGGTTGTGAAACGTATAATTCGGTTTGACTTGCTTAGATTACAGCCCTTTTTGAGATAAATATTCTTAGGTGAGTTATAATTAAATGATCGCCAGCAATTAATAATTGCAGTTATTCATGTTTTAATTATTAATTATTCTTCACAACGCCTGGTTACGGAATAATTCTAATCGTTCAATGCCCGGGGAAAAAGCGTTCCGCTCTAATAGTCTGCGTCTAGTGTCTACCTACCTAGCTAATAAATAAATAGAAAATAAATAAATAAAAGCTAACACTTTGACAGGGACAAGACGTTACCTTGGTTGACCTGGCGGCGCCTCAGCAACACAGCTCTCGTCGGCGACGATGCGCCCTCACGTGTCTTTAGCAACATATTTTTTGAGCGACTGGCCGCCGGTGCCGTTCAAGTTCCCGTACAACGGCGAGCCGCCCAAGAGCCTGCTAGTCAAGAAGACGGTGACGCCCAACGAGCTACACCTTGTGCGCAACCACGGCGGCATCCCCGACATTGACGCGCAGGCCTTCGACCTGCAGCTCGACGGGCTCGTCAACAAGCCGCAAAAGATCGCGCTCGCGGACCTGCAGAACGAGGCGCTGTTCCCACGCGTGTCCAAGCTCGTGACCATCCAGTGCAGCGGCACGCAGCGTCAAGTGGCTGTACCGCATCAAGGCCATCGAGAACACGAGCCGGGCACCGGTCCAGAGCAGAGAGTATTTATACTTTCAGCAGCAGTACGACAAGCACAACCAACTGCCTCAGTGTAAGCACTTCCACTTCACCTCGTTGACCGCAAGGTCGAGTTCCTGCCTATCACGCGCCCGACCGAGTTCGCCTACCAGACACCGGAGGAATACGACGTGGCCTGGTCCAAGATGCAGCCCCGAGATGTCGACGACTGATGTTTATGTCTGTCTTTTGTGTCTTCTGGGTTGATGTCTAGTCACGATGTTATGCCTACCGTAGCCTCTCTCTGGCTTTCTGCTCTGGTTTAACTGAACATGATTATCACGTTATTGCTTTAAACCCTGTGCTGAGAAGCATGTCCGTAACAAGACGAAAGTTGCGCGAATCGGGGGTGGGGAGGGCAATCGAAGTTCGAAAAGGCGGGTGTTGCTCGGAGGAGTCTGCCGGCCGGCAGGCAGGAACAATCACATGCCAACCTATCTTAGCTAGCGCGAATGACGCGTAGTGCGCTATCCGTTGTGTCCTTGTGCTTGTAGGGGGTAGTGCAGCTGCAGTCAGTCCGGTGGCGCCAAACTCGTCGCAGGTGGACGACGGCCGTGGGCAATCAATATCTCTGATGAGGATGAGTTGGCGGTGGCAGCAGCAGCAGCAGCAGCAGCAGCAGCAGGGCCGTGCAAAAGCAAAGCAAAGAGAGGCTGAACTAGCCCGGCAGCTCCCCGCTGAGTTGGTTTCACGTAGCTGTGCTCTCATTGGCCATGGAACGAGCGGGTTGCAGGCGGGGAAGTGGGTTCACTCGTTCCTTCCCTGTAGCTTCACTAGCTCCTGGCGGACAGCTAGATTTCCCGACATGACGAGAGGGTTGGTGGAGAGATTGGAAATGTGCGAGTGAGCAGCCAGAGTGTCTCAAAGGACAGAGAACAGAGACTCGCTCACTCAGACACACACGCAGCCAAAGCCCGCCGTCACCCGGACGCGTCCCTGCAGCCAACCCTCATACGGCGCCGTGAAAGCTGCGTCTCGAGTGTCTGTCTGGAAACCGCCCTCCGACCACCCTCTACAGTCCACAGACTTGACCACCGCCGACAAATCTTGGCACACGACGGTGCAGCGGCCCTGAGTCATTAGTCTCGCTCTTGATCAAAACCCAGAATGGCGTGGATAGGTCAGCCAGGCGCTAGCCTTCACGCCATTCGTGGTCCACCCTAGAGGTGATTCAGAATAAAATCGCCTGGTAACTATGTACATACCATTAAAAAGTGAATAAAGACTGGCCCGGGGACATGACTTGGTCCCATTCCCGGTCCAGCAGTGGTAGTCGAGCTGTCTCTGTTGCCTCTCTTGCTACTCCATTTCCACGTTATCCGCTTGACTCCAGCCGTTCAAAGCTCTCTCCTTACCAGCTGCCTCCATCAAATCCACTGACCAAAGCATCCCTTGCATCGCCAACTTGCCTGATCGAACAACGCCATGCCCGCGAGAGCCAGCCCCGATTCCGAAGCCGGGATCCCGTCGGGCGGGCCCGCCGAAGGCTGGACAAGGGAACTGATCACGGCGTTACCTACGCTGCGCTCGTCGACTTCGTTCGCGCTCGAGTACCCGTCACCACCGCCAGCCAGCCCAGGCCACAACGCTTCACAATACCGGCCGCTAGACCTCCTGACTCAGCCCTCGTGCCCTGCTAGATTCGTCCCCCGCGCCGACCTCCGCCTGCTTCCTCTGCCCTGGGCCTGCCCGGGGTCTGTCTCTGCTGTCGAAGGTGCGCAGGTGCTCCTAACCGAGATGCCTGCCATCACGAGCAGCAACCACGGCCTTATCACACAACATGCAGAGTCTGTGCCAACAACCGCAGACAGCAGCAGCGCCGTAAGAGGCCCGTCGCCAGAACGGCCCGGGTGGTACGGCTATTTCTCCTCTCCCGCCGCCGCCGCGTCAGCGTCCCAAGCAGAGACGCCGCCTCCGCACGACTCGGGCTATGCCACGTCGGTGGTGACCAACGACGGAGAAATCTCGCCGGGACAAGCCTCAGAGCCTGATAGCCTGCTGGAGCTGTCGCCTTTGGAGCTCATGGCGCTGTCGCCGTCGCAGCTCGAGGCGCAGTTCCGCTACGCCGACACCGAGCTACTGAAAGAGCTCGAGGACGAGATGAAGGAGCTCCAACCCGAGATCCAGGCCTGGCGCCTGGCCGAGAGCTAGCGCCAATATGACCATGTATATCTATATCTCGGGGCTCATAGTTGTGGTGGCTTGGCTAGGTCAATGTTTTCTTTCTGGAAGCTTTCTTTTGCCAACGATAGCGGATGAGTACTTAGGCAGGGAGCTCAACCGCCCCAGTAGAGGCTGGGTCTCGGCATAGATAGTTGTATGTAGTAACTATGTGGCCTCGTCAATGGGATAAGGCCGCCATCAGCGTTTCATCTTCGTCCCTTTGCCCGAGTACTTGTGGTGTTTCTGCCGCCTCAGCCCCATGGCACTCACTGACCACCATGCTCTTCTTTTAACCATGGCTCTGAGAGCTCGGTCAGTGTCCTTGGCCTCCAGTATAGTGTGATTCCATGGCGGCCATGGATTGCGCAGCCGCCTTCCCTCGTGTCCTCCAGCCGGCGTCTCGGCGAAGTAGCGAGCGTCTCACTCTCACTCAAAGGCGATTGCCAGAGGTCAGTTGCGCAGAGATTTTATAGAAACTCCAAACTGTGTATCGCGGTTGAGTCATCGAGAGCTAGAGTGGTTGCTCGCCAGCTAGCGGCCGAGCTTCAAGCTTTTTATTGACTTTATTCACTTCAACTAAAGCTGACCACGTAGGGTGACACCAGCTACCGTGATCCGCTGGGAAGGAAGCGGCTGTTATAAGAGCGCATTATCTAACTATAAAATTTCTCCGCGAGACATCGAAACGAAGACTGGAGAGGATATATCCCAGGAACACTTAGAGGTGAAGATTCATTCGCTTCACTCCTAAGCCGAGAGCAAAGATGTCATTTCTGCTGTTGGACTAGCTCGGGTTCTCAAGCCTGCTTAGATCCAGGACCCAGGATCCGTGACTCGGGACCAGGGAACCCAGCATTCAGGGCATGGACACAAAGGCAATACAATAACCGATATGAGGCATACCCTGAGCAGAACAAGCAAGCATAGCAACAAAATGACAGCCAACGTCAAACAATCTAAGCACACTAAGTACACACACAGGTCCATAAACATTCATTCCTACCTAGCGTGATTTACAGTCACTCAAGATCACCATTCGTGGTGCTGCTTCGGCTTCTTTCTTCTTCTCTCTTCCCCACTCTCCTCCCCAACATTGACCACTGTTGACCAGCTGTCCATATTGTCGTGCTCTTCAAACCTCATCCCCATAGCCTCTTTGGCGGGCGTGAATTGCCGGCTTAGGGGTCGAGGCTCCTGTGCGTCAGGTTTTGCGGTGAGGGCAGCCACCTCCTCCTTTTGAAGTTGACCAGCACGCAACTCATGTGCCATAATGATAGCGTTGAGCCTGCCAACTTCGGCAACTGCAGCGTTGTGACCTCGGATAGCCTCGGCGGCATGTTTTCCTCGTCGCTCTAGTTCACCCTCCAAGTTCGTGATCTTGGCATTCTTGCCATGGATAGTTTTTTGGAGGATCCCGATGGTATCATCACGGGCTTGAGGGTCCGAGGTCTTCCAAGCTGCAAGCGCTAGAAGCTCGCCGTGAGCGTGTCCGAGTTGGATTTTAGCTGTCTCCTTAAGCTGTCTCTGTTCATCAAGCCCCCTCACAATATCGGTAGAAATACGGTTGTATTCGCCAAGAAAGTCCTCGTACTGTCCACGCAGATCAAAATAGAATTGGGACGCCTGCTCGTATTGCTCCTTCATAGTTTCGTATTTCTTGCGTGCCGATGCTAACTCGTTGAAGAAGTCTTGGCGAGCCGCCGCAATAGATTGGGCTGCAAGGCGAAGAGTGTAGCCGACTGGGTCTTCCTCTCGCCCCTCTAGACTTGCAACCTATTTGACTGTATTAGTTATTGCCTCAAAAATAACTTTGCCGATTCAGCCCATACCTCTGATTCGCCAAGGGAGGGATCACTTCTCTGGACGCTAAGCGCCTCTAGCTGAACACCTGGTGTTCCGTATGCTCGGGCACTAGATGTCGGTACTGGTAATAGCTCCCGACTCATGGGAGTCGCCGCGTGGAGGCTTCCCTTGTTCATTTCGTGACCCTTGGTCAAAGCTGAATGGTACAGATAGAAGTGGTAAAAAACTGGTTGGTGTTGAGGGTTAATATTTGGCGCAATACTATAATTAAGGTCCTAGGCAAGACGGGAGAGATGGGAGAGGGAGGGAGAGGGAGAGGGTCCTAAATAATGGAGGTGAAGTTTCTTGAACCCAGCCGTGCATGCTGATCGGCGGCTATGGCTTAAACTCAATACAAAGCCGCTGATGTCACGTAACGAGGCGACATGACTCTACAATATAAATCACAAGCAATGGGCTTGCAGTGCCTCATTTTCATTGAGAATTTTAGCTCCCAGTTCACAGCCTGTCCCCTAAGAATAGATTACGGTTTTGTGGACTCTAGTTAACATTGCGATTACTTTTTTGCCGTGTCAGCAAAGAGCTCCCCTATCCCACGATCCCCCAGTCGGCCAACACTTTCAGTTTACCGTTAAGTATGCCTTTAGGTCCTCAATAGCTCTTGACAGTTCAGCGAGCCCTTTCCGGGCTTTCTCTATCTCGGTAAGCATATTGTCTACGTTCTGGATGCCCTCTTCATTGTTCTCGATCGCTTCCTTCAGCAGGGCAGGAGGGCGCGGGCACCGCTCTACTTAGAATAGGCATTTCACCAATTGGCAACAAATGCCCGCTTCGAAGCGAACCAGGCCATTCGCCCCGCCCTTTAAAGCTCCATAAGGTGTCATGTACATGCCTTGCCGCCGAGGTCTGCGCTGTGTATCACGTATCAACCAGAATTGGTGCAATCTCCTGCGACAAAGCAGCTTCAGAAAGTTATTCTTTTCAGTCCACATTTGCGAGTCGGTCAACCACAGTGCGTACAAAACCTTGGCATTAGTCTGCCCTAGGGGATAACTGCCAGCTGCACTTTGGAGCAAAAAGGGGAGCTTCTTGCAAGAGGCCAGTCGGATGGCGTGACGTCGAACAAGAGCTAGTCACATGATTAACGTGGCTTGCGGCCATGTGTGGAGGATGGCAAATGTACCCGGCCTGCAGAGCGAATCGGAAGATAAGCGTGAAGCAGAGTGGGGGCTGCAAGCAATCAGCTTTCGCACCAGCGCGCTTGCCATGCCGCCGGCGCCCGCCATATACTTCCTCATGCGTGCCAGACTGCGCCACCGACACCTAGCTAGCAGACCCTGCAGGGCAAGGACGCAGGTGTCTCCACCCTATTTGCCAAAGACGAGGCGATGTTCGATGAGGTTTGTCATGATGAGCATCCCCCTCTACATGTTCAAGAGTGAGGATCTGACGACGGTACTAAGGATCGAGACGGCAGAATATACAACATGTTCAAAACGGATACGCCGGTTGCTACGGCACGCGGAAACTGCTGGCCGTTTCTGCATGTGAGTTCGCAGGCAATTGTGGAGCTTCATCTGCGAACCCGCAACTCTGCCATTTCACAATTGACAAACCCCCCTCCCACTTCCCACCAGCTTCGCAGAGAAGCTTAACTAGTACACCACCATGGCACCTCTATCACACCGTCACCAGCCGTCCTTAGAGGGCATAATTGACTTCTCTGAAGCCGCCCCCAGTTTCGAAAATGTGCAGCAACGCGCCCAGGCTACTGACAGGTTCCACCGTATCGTCGCGCACTTCGAGAACACTAAACAGCAGCTAGCTTCTTCTCGATCCTGCGACGGGTACAATCGCCCAGCCCTCATTCGCCTTACATTCGAATATGCGCACTCGCTAGAGTCGCAGGACAAGGTTTCAAAAGCTTTTTTCCAAATCTCTCACCCTCGGAATGCTCGACGACATCGACCCTAGCGACGATCACGAGGTAGCTAGTCTTCGCACGCTGGTATTTTCGTTTGCCGATCACCTCATTTACTACTTCTTCCTCCCTTGTTTGTCAGCATCTCTTGACAGCCCCTGATTGTCTTTTTCTAACGGCTAGCTGAAACAGTGCGGGCCTCCACGGGCAAAACCCCTCAGCCAACACCTACCTACCATATTGCGGGCCAGCAAGTCCAAACCCAGGAGGAGCAGCAGCGAATGCAAGAGTTCGTGGGAACTCCTAAGCGTCTAGGGGCCTTACGGGGCCTCTGCCTTACCCGTGACCGCCACCGCTGCGTCATCACGTGTGCCTTCGATCAAGACGAACTCGCACAGCGGCTACGCCAATCTCCTGCCAGAGACGACGATGGAAATGTGCTTAATCCCCGTGACGGTTATAGCCATCTCGAGGTGGCACAAATTCTCCCATTCGGTCTAACGAAGGTGGAGGGGGGTGGTGAATTGGTTTGTAGCCTCTTTTTTGTTTCTACATGGTTCACACCAACATCAAAAAGAGCGAGTCTAAGAAGGCTACCATTGCCATTCTTAATACGTTTGACGTTGGTGTAATCCATCTTATCGAAGGCATCGATATCAACGCCATTACTCTTTCCCTCGAGATGCATAAATTTTCGGGAACTTCGAGATCTTCTTCGAGCGCGTAGTAGATGATGATACTGCGGATACCTATCAAATCTAAGCATTTCACCCCCCTTTTTTTTGTTAGCCCAGCTCCAATTCCCTCTTCCCAGGACACTTTTCTCACACGCATCTATCGACACCCGGTTGGAACGACTTCCCGAACTTCACTCTGCCATCGGCCACGTACTTCACCTTTCAGGCGCTGGCGACTATATCAAGGTGATTCTCAGGGACATGGAGGATGGGGTGGTGCGGGAGGGCTGGTCGACGCAGCTCGGCGCTCTTGTGAACGCCGCCTTGCAGATAAGTACGTAGCAGTGGGTGAATGGGTCCTGCACCCTTCTGAAGGGAGCTCCGGCAGCCGATTGGATTCTCAAGCTCGACGCAGCTCTCACAGGGCCACGAGTTAGCAAATAAGCACGAAACGAAGGTGCAACTAGCGCTATGCTACATCCCCGTTGAGCACTAGGTCGTTGTCTACTGTACTAGAGTCCAAGCGCCCGAAAGCCAAGTGTGGAGTTGAGGAACGAGCGAGGTGGCACCGAGCGGCCGCTGGCGGAGGAGTGGTGTCGGTGCTTCGGCTAGTTTGAAGCGCCTGCTTGCTGTCAACAGTCTCCCCGACGCCGTGGGTGTGCGATAGCTGTTTGGGACTCGTTGGTGTTGCTGCCCCTGCCCAAGAAAAAGAACTCTCGAGCATCTTGTATAGTATCGATCTAGGGTATGGGGGTTAGAACGGCAGCGGGACTTCGAGGACGAGAGGGCTGATCTCCTTCGCGGATGTTGGGTACACTGGAGCCTCGATACTTCCAACTAACACTAAAACCTACGCCAGCGCCGCATGACGCGGTTGGTTACCTCAACGGCGTAGGAAGCGCCCGCCCCAACTCCGCAGGAGGTATGGAAGGAGCCCAGGTTAAGGTAGCCGATTGCCTTCCTTCTTCATCCCGTCCATCTTTCCGCACGCCCCATGCTTCTTCGGCGATCTGGCGGGCTTCGAGAGGTTTCTCTCCCTCCTTCCGGGCCGGTCATTTAGATGAGACGGGAAAGGAATGTACTCTCGGGCGGGCAGCAGATCACGGCTCCACTACCGAGCCTGACAAGTCAACACCGTCATGTAAAGTCGGGCGAACACTCCAAATTCTCTTCCCCAGCCCTGCGAGACAATACCGGATTGGTCGAGATGTTTCTGCCCTTCTATTTTCCCTCTGCAGCGTGTAGATGCGCCGAGCCCATGTTCTCTGACCAGGCACGGGTACGGATAGTTGGTACGGATAGTTGATACCACACTGCAGCCCAGCTTTGGATAACTGAGGCATCTTGCGTCCACCACTGCCCACTCGTCACTTCTCGACATCCTCCGCACTAGGTAAGCTGATATCTGCTACTTGTCGAGTGATCGCAGCCTCTCACAGAGCTGCGTGTGGGAGACGGAAGCGGAATTTTCTGCTATCGCCATGGACCACACCATCATGGACCACACCATCATCATCGCCGCCGCCCCCTAGACCACTAATTATGCTCTCATTTTGGCAGACCTTGTCCCACGCCCAGAGAACTCTGGTCTCGGGCAACATATATCTCAACGGTGGACAGAGGGCGGTTGCCTTGGGCCATGGGAAGTCCCACCCCGGACACCGAAGGACTTCAAGGCCGAATTCTCATTCCGAATGTCGTGGTGTTCACCCTCCTTGCTCCCTTCCTCTCTCCAAAAGACTGCTCATACCGAAAGCCAAATGCCCGTGTGGGAATTTGCACCGGCAAAATTTTTGTCGAGCTGCCTACCCAGGTTAGATATTGGGCAAGATTTGGTATTAAACTCTCCACGGAGGCTGGGGAAACGAAGAAGGAGACGTGATGGCGTACGAAACATTGGACGCCGGTAGAGGGTGGATGACCAAAAACGCGCAGCAACACGCTTACATTTCCAGTCTTCCCTGTCTCACTGGCATCCGCCCAGGCTCTCCCACTCGTGGGTCGTTTCGATGCCGCTCGCTACGGCACCGGTTGTGCGGTTTGCTGCATACAAGGGTTAAGTTGGATAGTGACGAAGATTGGTCGTATAAAAAAGAACGTGAAGCGTCCATCCCCATGGCTTTCCCGTCCGATTCTCAACATGATCAGGAGAAACCCTGCCGCCAGCGGTTAGTTCCCTGGCGGCATTGTCTCCACAGCGAGCGAGACTTCAGCGTCAACCGAAGTGGCATCTTCGGAGCGCCAACCAACTGCAGCTCTCGAGTGTTACGAGGCAGCAGCCCCAGAGAACCAGCCGGACGGAACTCCGGGGTCGCAAGCGTCAAGCTGCAGCCCGCACGGTTCCTGGGCCATCGTTTGCCCTCGGAATGCTATCGGATTGAGCGGTGGAGAGTTCTAGCTTTGAACCGTCGGCCGCGGCAAAGAAAAGTCGATGGGATATTTGTTGATGTTGTGCCGGTCCAGGGTATGAAAGGAAGGGCATTTCCTAGAAGGATACCTCTTCGAGGTCAGAGACGAGAGCGTTAGAAATACCTTGGGTCCCTGGTCTCGATGCTGATAAACTAAATTGTGGGTGCGATTTCGAGAAGCATCCCTAGACCCCGAAAGACCACAACAGGAGCAAGCCGGTCTTGGCCGCTAGGCTAGGTAGGTAGTAGCAAGCGCATTCTGCCCTTCCTCCCCCACTCCTCCCACCAGAGATACCCCGGTCGTTGCAATCCGTCCCGCAGGCTGGAGAACAGTGGAGGGTGTATGCGGCCCAAATGCCAGGACAGACAGACAGACCGACAGCAATTTCTGTGGCACAAGAGGTCGGGATGGTAGCCCGCGTTTGAGCCCTGGTCCCAAGTAAGGCCAACAGCGATGGCGGATGGTGCCTCGTCCGATAGGTAGGTACCTTACAGCATCAACCTGCCTTACCGGGCTACGTCCTTGCCAATGGATGGCCTCGTACCTCGCCACTTTTGGTGTAGGCACTACACTATGTAGAGCACTGGTTGCATCCACGTCGGTGAGAAGAGAGAGAGAGAGAAAGAGAGTCGAGGAGAAGGGCGTGAAAATAACTTGCAGTTGTGGCAAAAGGCCCAGAAGCAATCCGTCACGGATACTGTGCTGGGCGCAACTTGCCAGGACACGGAAGCGGGAAACTCTAATTTAATAACGCCATTCTGATCGGATGGGCGTCCCTTCGCTAATAAATTAAGCTTTTTAACATGCCATTTGCACAGTGTAGAAGCTACGGCTAGGATACTGTGCTGTCGACTCGTTTGAGAAATTCAGCCCGAAACCTAGCACTCCAGTCCGTCTACACCTCCGGGGTAATACATGTTAGCGTGGGAAGGTGGCAAAGTTAGTGATTAGCGAGATTTCCCTGGAAGATACTAATAGTGACCAACGTACCAAGCTAACATGTATTTCCCCGGTGGAGGTGTAAACCACATCCACTACCGTAGGTAGTCAGGTAGCAGAGAAAGTTGTCTGGTGCTGGTGCTGGTGCTGGTGCTGCTGTTGCTGCTGCTGCTGCTCGCTCGGCCGTATGAGCCGCCCAGGTTCACAGCAACCTGGACTACCTGAACGGCTTAAAACTATAGCTCTTCTAGCGTTGTCCATGCCTCCTAGCTTCCCAACACAGCAAATCAGAGACGGCAAGTTAGCATGTATTGCTCCGCTCCGCGCTGGGAGTTGGACGGACGCGGAGCCGCCAAATCTCAGATGCAGCTATAATGCAGCCAAGCTGCGTTGCAGTGGATCTGGGAAACACACTAGATTTTCCCCGCCCCCCCTCCCCCGCCCCCACTCCTCCGCCACCCCTTCCCCGCCAACCTAGAAGTCAGCCCCTCAATCTACCTCGTCATCCGTGTACATGCCATCCCATCCCATACATACTCCGTACTTCGTACCCCGTACATTAGTACCTCAGGTACATACCACCTTAGGTGCCTGAGCAACCAAAAAAAACGCCTGCATTGCTGAGTGAACTACGGATTATTGCTTCCTCCTGGGCCTCTGATCAGGCTCTCCGGAGCCGCAGACGTATTCGGCGGCCGGCAATAACCACAGACCTTGTCATCTCCGCTTGAAGTTGAAAAAAAAAACAAGCCCTCGCAAAAACGACGGAGAAAAAGAGCGTATTCTACTCTCTCGAATTCCTCCACGATCTCTGGCATGCACCGCTTCTCTGTCCTGGTGTACTTCTCACACCAGCCCATGAAGACGTAGCGGACGCAGGAGCAGGCATGAACCCGCTGTATTTGCATACGCAGTGGGCAGGTATTAGTCTCGATGGATCTGACGGGAGGACTTGGGAGCGATGAAGCAAAACTGGTAGATAAACCGGGCACCCAGTTGTGAGTTCTGTTCTGCTTCAGCCCTACCTCTGAAAACTAGCACATTGCTATTCCCCACACAGTGACCGACGGCTTGATTGCTGGGTAAGGAGGTAGCGAGTCAGGCAGTCTGGAGTTGGAAGAGGTGGCGACCGATAGCGCTGCCTGCTTGTGTTTCGACGCGGATGAAGTCTCGGGGCCGAGCAGGACGGGGTTGGCGGCATGTGAAGCCAGACAGGACAGTCGAGTCGGTGTGAACGTGAGGGACTGGTATGTTTGCTGCGAGAGATGGAGGTCAAGACCAAGTCCAATGGGGTCTGGAGAGAGATGAGTTGGCATCGCATATATAGGCAAGCAGGAGCGATGGATCGGAATGTTCCGGTTGTGCCAGTTGGGCCGCGTTATAACATGTAGTTGATATCTTCGATTTGGGTGATGACTGGAAGGTGTATGCAAGGAAGACAGACCCCTTTCGTCAATTGCAGCCCATTGAGTTTAGCACCAGCAGTGGACAATCTCGGAATCTACCACCAACTTACAGCTGACTAATAGCTGCGTTAGAGCCAAAAAAGCCGTTGGGCTGCAGCTTGTGACGGCGATCAGCACCAAGCTCTGAGATAGCTTGCACTTTTTTTTTTTTTTTTAAAAAAAAAAAAATAAAAAAAAAATAGACCCTTCTAAGACAGAATGGGAAAGAAGCTACTTCAGCTGGTGCGTTTCAAAACGTCTTCCTCACTTTCCCCAGACCAACGTCCGGTCTGCACAGGGAAAACGTGGTTCCATCTGCGGGAACTAGAAGCATGCCGTCAACGCAGTCCCTGACTTCACTAATTTAAACTTTACAAAACATGCCGGTCGGCAACGGCATGCTTGGCCCTTGTCACCACAGGGCCGCCAGAAGCCAACCTTTATAAATATGGCTTCTGCCTCCAACTTTACCTACCTCTCCTCGCTGCTCAGCACCACGCCAAGGCCAACTCAAGACATCCGTCTAGAAAAGGGGGCACCCACAGCAACACTAACAGTCTCACCATCTGAAGATGTACACCCCAGACGGCACGTCTCTATCCTTTCCCAACCCTTTGCTTCTCGAGCCGAGCTCATCCAGCACCATCACCGAAATGGGAGAGATTCCCATTCCCAGCATCGAAGATGCTGTTGACGGCGACGATGTGAAGCCTGCCCCGCAAAAAGACACGGAGGCCTTTTCCAACGCACCCGACTCCAGATACGTGGAGTTCATCCCAAACTACAGCTCGACATCTGTGCTGGGGAGACGCCTGACGCATTTCTTCAACGGACTTGCAGAAACAAGACGTGTTCGCGCCGCCGCTAAGGGCGAGAGCAAGGGCGAGGGCAAGGCACTAGAAAGACGTGCTCGCGTTGCCGCCGCCGCCAAGGGCAAGGGCAAGGGCAAGGCACCAGCAAGACGTGCTCACGCCGTCGCCGCCGCCGCCGCCGCCAAGGGCAAGGGCAAGGCACAAGCATTCTCGCCGGATGCTCCGGCGACACTAGCATCTCTCGCCAACTCGTTCGGCCCTGAGCAGTGGGGCCAACAGGGCAACGCGGACAGCAGCAACATGCGGCCATCACCCCCCTCGCCTGAAGCCGTCATGACCCATTTCTCCGAGCCTTTCGATTTCGGATCTTACCTCGGCGCGAGCGCTGTCGTCGTCGGCGGCGGCGAAAACAACAACAACAACGAGCCGTCCACAATGCTGCCACCGAGAGATTCCTACCCCGACGTGCTCGGCTCCGGATCTCACAATGCCTTCGCGGCAGCCGGCACGGCGGTCAGTTTCACCTGGGACGCGGGATTGCCGTATATTGAAGACAGCGTGTGGTTCGCTCCCTCCAATCGCAGAGATGATGTGGTGACACAGGCCTCTGCTCCCCTTCCTGCCACAGCCTCCCCCACGCCACCGAGCAGCGGAGGCGTAGGTGTAGGCAGCCAGGCCCCGGTCCCGGTTGCGGCCCCGGCCCCTCCGCCCGACACGACGGTCAGTTTCACCTGGGACCCGGAATTGTCGTATATTGAAGACAGCGTATGGTTCGCTCCCTCCCGTCGCGGAGATGATCTGGTGACAAAGACAACTGCTCCCCTTCCCGCCGCCTCCCCCACGCCACCGAGCGACGGAAGCGTAAGCACCCAGGCCCCGGCCCCTGTGGAGTACATTGACCCTGCGGCTGATACGCCTCGCATGCAGCCGGCAGACTCGTGGTCGACTAGGATTGCTTCAAGTCTTCTGAAAGTAGCAGCATGACCAGCTTCGTGCAGACCATCTTCTTCTCTTCCTCCTCCGGCCATCGCCGTTGCTTCTCCTCTTCGTTCTCTTTGTCCTAGACCTGCTACTGCCCCTGCGCAGCAGCAGCCGTCTGCTCCTCGGCATGCTAGAGTAGCACCCCGTCGACGCGCCCAGCACCCCCGTGATCCCGCGCCAGGCGCAGTTCAATCCGCAGGCGCCCAACGGGGATTACATCCACCACGGCCTGGTCTCCTGGGGGTTTATCAGCCAGCACGGAAGGCCCTGGTGAATAATTCGAGGCTGGGCTCTGCGGGGGCAGGGGAAAGGGAAGGATGGGAGGCGGCCCCGAAGACATGGGTTTGTCTGCGTTTCTTTGTGTTTTTCTTTCTTTCTTTCCTTATTGGAAACGGTACATCACTATTCTACTCAAGAGTCGCTTCAAACGGCAGAGATATGAGAAAGGGGAAAAGGGGGGAAAAAAAAAAAAGGAAAAACGAAATGGGGGACTGAAAAAGGGGAGAGCAGGAAAAAAACAGGGGGGGTTTGTCACTTCTTTTTCCTCTATTTGGTTTCCTTTCAGTCTTTTAGAGGGGGCAGTTTCGACCTTGGACTGGGAGGAAGGAGATATTGTCTCCTGTTTCAGCTTACACACCAACGGAACAAAGATCTCACTGGTCTGGACTAGTTGAGGTTCCCAGTGAGCGAAGTTGGATAGAGTGGTCGCATGTACAGAGGTCTTCCACACGAAAGGTATACTCTGGTCTTACGATTAGACGACGAACAGATAACTGTGGGGATGTGAGTGTACATAGCTCGTTTTTCCGGGTAGACTACAATGTAGAGGCAGTTAAGCACGGCCATCCAAGAATGTCTCCCTTGCATCTGTGGGAACGGGCTATGCCATCTTGTCAGACATACAACATGAGAAAGTACATCTTGGCGACTCTAGCATCTCGACCATAATGCTTTCGAAGTCCGTCCAAGCGGAGTTGTACTAGTAAAATAAAACTGAAGATAGAAACAGCAGGAAAGAGGTATCAATGCGCAAAACAGATAAACGAGCGTCAATCAAACCTCCCAGCCCACCCCATTGTACAAACCTATGCCGAAAACGCCCCTGTTCAGTTCGGATGAAAAACAACAATGCAGACATCATACAGGGTTCGGCTTCTGAGCCGAGTGCCTGATAAGAAACTTCCATACTGAGCAACATGGTGTACGGGGTCGAACGCTCTCGACATGCTAACGGTTGCGGTCCTCTGACTCCTCGCGCCGTGCTCTCGGGGACGACCCGCCCCCCAAACTGCTCGACAACATGCTTAGCCATCCTTCATTATGATTAGCTCGGCGTCCTCTCTGCGGGGATGGGGAAAGGATCCCCCCTTGTTCGATATCCGATCCTCTGTCGGGAGAGGACGGTCGGTTCGCTCTAGACCCTGAAGCCTCGACGCTTTCGTCATCACTGTCGTCACGGTAAGGCTCGTACCGCGGAGTGGAGGGAGAGCCGCGGGCTAGCGATCTGACAACATCGCCCTTGCAGATTGGACAGGTCCGCCGTCTAGTTGTAAGCCAGGGTGTTCTGTCTCCTTGTTAGTATGCTGGAGTGGCTTGCTCGGGGGGAAGGGTGGTCTTACATGCACTCGACATGGAACTCATGGCCGCACGGTAGACTCATGACCCTGCTGATGCTGTCTACATATTCTTCCAAACAGATCACACACTCAACCTGTCTTCCCATATACTTCTTCCACTCGCTCGAGATATGGGGAGCAGTCTTCTCACGAGGAGGCGATCTCGTGGTCCTGGGAGGAGTATTATCCACTCTCTGGAGTTCAGCGGGTTCGGGAACACCCGTGGTAGTGCGGGACCGTGGTCGCGGCTGAGAAGATCCCTGCAAGAGAGGAGTTGTGGGCGAGGAGCTGGTTGGAGACGGCACTCTTGGCGACAGACTAGGAGATGGGGCCACAGTGTGATATGTCCGCACCGGCAGACGCTCCACCACCGATTTGGGAGCTCTCCACCTCCGCCTGCGGATCTTGGCTCGCAAGATAAGAAGGGCATACACCACTGTCAACGTGATCAATGGACTAACAACCAAGACTAGGAGGGTATCGAAAAAGGGGCTAGCACTGCTGGTTGGTGTGATTGTGATCCAAAGGCCTTCGCGATCACCTGGACCCTCGTCGTCTTCTGCCACAGGGGCAATTGGGATTGTAGAGCCAGCTAAGGCTTCTCCGTCGTTGTCACCAACAATCTTGGAGATCAGCCCTCCATGAGTTCCAGAGTCGACCGGTTTCCCGGGTCCTGAGCTCCTGAAATCTGCGTCAGCTTCAGAGGTTCGGTCATCACTCCCAGGAATGATGCTATTCCCGAGTGGTTCATTGGCGCCCGACAAAGGACCCTCAACTTCCGTCTTTCCGCCCCGGTTCGCATAGCCGGCTGTTTCGGTAGCCGGGGAATCACCGCCGGCTAGGTCTTCATTCCCGCTTGTGAAAGAAGCCTTGCTACCTTGAGCCGGTGGCCCAACGAGGTCCGGGTCACGCCAGTCGTGCACTCCAGTATGGAAGCCGTCCCCTTGCGGGTTCTCTGAGCCGGCAGTCTGGGGACCACCTGCACTGGCCATTGATGTCTTACTGTCCTTGATAGGCGTGTTCTTATCAGACTCGGCACCTTTGCCGCTTAGCCACTGAAGAAGCCGCGAAATCCAACTCCTTTGGGATGCATTCAGCTTGTTTGTCGAAGATGACGCGCGTTCCAGAGGGGCAGACGTTTTGGCCGAGTTCGATTTATGTGCCTTTTCTCTTGGGGCAGTGTGTGCGGTCTGCTCGGTCTTTTTGTTCTTCCTCGCCTTGCCCGATTTCTGGACTTTCAAGAGAGGTTTCCCACTTTCGTCTAGGATATCTTCGATGAAACTCCCAGGCTGTACCAGTGATGAGAGGATATGGGCGGTTGTTCTTGACGTAAAAATCGAGGGTATTGTGACGTTATCGACGTTCCCTCTCGCAAACATCTGGATCAACGGCCCGCCCTTCTGGTTGTCTCCCACAATGAGAGCGATGGCACCACGCCGCTGCGCCCACTTGACCTTCTCCAGAAACCCGCAACCGCCGCGGCTCAGCAAGACAATCTTGCCAGTTATTTCTGCTCCCTCTTGAATCGACTGAATATCAGCATGACTTGAAACCGAGTTTGCCGAGGGTACGTTGTAGGGATGCTTCGACAGATGAAGGTAGTCGTCCGTCCCATCGTCAACCGGGGCATTTTGGGCTCCAGGGCGTCTCTTCAATATGGCTTTCCGATCAAGTATAGCGCCTGACCCTAGATATTCACGCCTCGAGGGTTTCGCCCGGACGGTGGCTCCGGGCGATCTGTCTGCCGCCAGCGCTTGTTCGGCAGCCTTGGTCATGAGGTCCGACTTTCCATCTTCCCACCCATCAACGTCGCTACAGCCAAGCTCCCCCTCGCCCTCCCCTGCTTGAAGATTATCGTCGGCGAACCCGCTGCCTATCCATAGCTGCCCGCTGAGCCCTTTCACTGGCAACAGAGGCCCAAATGCAGCAGGGCGGGCAGCAAAGAATGTACTGTTGTCGTCGGTAAGACTGATCGCGGCGTTCGGCGGGAACAGGGAGAATGGTGCCGTGAAGGAAAAGAAGGTTCGGAATGACGACGTCTGAGAGGAGAGCGGCGTTACTGCTCGCCTTGCCTGCCGGAACGAGATGATGGACCGGCAGGAGAGGAAGAACGAGGCAGAAAAGAAGAGGACGAGAATGGCAATCCGGGGAGGCCGCATCGTGCTATCGTCGTCGCGCCGTGTGCCGGACCTCCAACAACTAGGAAGCCGACGTGTGGTGGGTATCCAGGCGAGAGATAAGGTGCCCCGCTGTTGCTCCAGCTATCGGTCGGGCAGGCTCTCTCAGCATGGAGTGTCGCGCCCAGTCATTTGCGAGGCCGGGTTTGTACAGACAAGACAGAAGAAGAATGCAACAGGCACGGCGATGGAGGCAAAGCACCGGAAAACAGGAAGAATAGGAACAAACAGGAGAGTTCGAAGGATGTGAATGAGCGCGTGTTGGGCAACAATGACGACCTGGAGATGTGGAAGGAAGGTCGACCCCAGTGGGCGATGGGGTTACAGCGGTGCTGGCCAGTAGCCGTTGACCCATGGAAAGCGGCGGGGGGTTAGGCGGGGTTTGTTGGCCAGTGCAGCCCCTGCCGAGTCCCTGCTAGTGCTGTATTGCGATTGAAAACCAGCTGTAATTTTCAAATCGTGGCGCGCCGGGGGCTTGTCCGTACCTACGCAGGGAGGAAAACTTTTCCTCGTTACCGTAATAACAAAGGAGTACCTTACCTACCTTAATACCTTATCTTATATATCCGTTTTTAAGACTTCACGAAAATAGAAAATTATTTTATTATAATATATGATCTCTACTCTACAGACCATTCACAGGCGGGAACGGTCGCGGGTGAGTGTTCGAGCAAGAGCTTATTAAGGGGTGGGTGGGAGATGGGCCGGAATTTTGCTTTTGCATTTGGTTAGGTTCTTTTAAGGCCAGTCAACTGCTTTTCCAATTCTCTCGGTGCCAGTGTCTCTGCTGACATCTTATCGCAAAGGGCGATAAGGCGCACCCCCAAACCCCAGGAAAAAGCCCGATGGCAATATAACGCAGTAGGAAGTAATGCCTACTATGTAAGGTCGGCAAATATCTTGACGCCTAGCTGTTGAGCAATCTCAGGCTAGAACGCTCGCGAACAAATCCTTGACCTCCTGCACCTTTGCCGTTGTCATTTCCAAATTGTCTTCCTCAGCATCGCCAGACTCTGCAATAGCTTTCGCTGCTATAATAACCAAGTAGCCACTCACAACCTTGCTAGACGTGAATTGTTGGACGCTACAACTGCCTTCAATCCCCATCCATATATTATCCTCCAACTAGCCTTATTTATTGGTGGCCTTTAAGATCGCAGCACAGACTCAGTGAACGATATCTTCTGAATCGCTAAGTTCCTCGCGTACGACACTCACTCGGTTCTAGGAGGGGTGAGGGATCGACGTGGAGATTATGCCAAATACTGTTGCGCTGGAAGAAGACGATGATATCGTGGGGCGCCCCTTTGGAGTGATCCCAGCCCTACTCGAACGTCTCTTCAACGGGATTCTCGACGGCCTCGAAGAGGATGTGGGGGTGGCGGCGGCCGAGGATCTTTGCTGCCTGCTCGAGACGACAGTTGTGGAGGCCGCTTGGAGATGCAGAGATTCCGAGGTGGGGTTCACCACCAAGTTGAGCGATGGCGGCCTACGGTCGGAAAATTGTTGCCAAAAGGGTCTGTTTGATGCGCGCTCAATTGACGCGACCGGGCTGTTCACATTATTGTTAGACTATTTCAACCCTAACCCTCGGCTGTTCAACCCCCCCACACCGCATGCCGAGGACACGGCAGAGGGCTCACAATCCCACAACACCTACACAGTACACAGTACAAACCAGTCAGGTAGGTAGGTAAGGTAGGTGGTCTCTTGGCTCTTCACGTCAAAATCATTGGGCAACTCTATTTCCTACATAGATAACGAACGTTTTGTTTTAATTTACCACACTTCCTCTCTATTTTGTCTCCAGCCAACATAATTTCCCCCCGTCGTTCGTGTTCAATCTTGATCCGTCTCGATAGCCAACAACCCTTGGCAACCAATAATTATACGCCAAAACCCGACGAACGTCCAAAACACGACATTTCCCAGCCACTGACTCGTAGTAGAGTGAAGGTCCAAAAGAAAAAGCATACGAGATGAAGGCTCCCTTAAGATTCTGTCCATCTGTGGTTGTTCGTCAGGCAGGAAAAGAAATCCACCATAAACCCCAACTGATGGAAAGATGGCAGTCTCTAGATGCTACGGAATGCATTCCAACTCTTGGGCACTCCACGGGAATCCAACTCGCCGGTAGTCGCAAACGGCGACGGGAGAGTCGCGGTATAGTGGCTAGGGGTCGCGAGAGGACTGGCCAAGACGAACAACTTCTTGCCTCCCTGCTGGCGGAAGGGATGCGACGACCACATGCCAGGGCAAGCCCTGAAGGACAAGTGGCCCCGGTCTTGCGGCACGAGCTGGACTGCCAGCTTGAGGTTGTTTGAGATGGCCTGGTACGCAAAGACCGGCACGTAAATGGCGATAAGCGATTCATCGCCAAGCTCGAAATGGCTCAGCGTGAACACGACCGAGTCCGCGTAGGAGTCGGCAGCTTACGAACTCTCATCTACTCGACCCTGGGCTGAGGAGGACGCGGCGACACGATCTCCACCCTTGCCAGGGTCTGCTGCTCCTGGTTCTGAAGCTCGCAGCATTTTCTGTAGAGAGTCTCCATGGGGATTTTCTCCTGCTTCCCACGCGCGGTGCAACTGAGATGAATGGCAAAGGCGAAAGCCGCCCAGGTTTCGCCGCAAAACTCGCAGCAGCCGCCTGTGCGACCCGCCAGATGCATGTAACACCCCCAATGCAGCGTAGATGCAGATCTCGAGAATACCGGCACCGTAGTTAGCCGCCCGAGGAAGTTGGCCTCCCGGGGAAGCCTTCGGGGAATAGGGGATGTTACTTATGTAGGTGAGAGTTTTTTTCCCATCTAACTTGCGCACGGGCTGACAGGCCCCCAATGCCAGTCAGTGAGTGAGCCGAGCAAGGCAGCCCCGTTTCGGTCTTCCCCCACCTCGACCCGGGAAATCATTCCCCACCGAGGCAGATCAACCCCATAATCTTGGACTTAGCCTGACTGAGGCTCGCCTGTGACTTGATAGGGTCTGCCTGTAATGTCTAGCCGAAATAGAGAGTGCAGATGGATGGAGTGCAGCTTGGAGGGGCTAATTAGGTGCCGCAACCCGCTGCAGCCCACCCCCACCCTCCTTCCCGCATGAGCCGACCTCTCGCTCGAAGCGTCCTTCCCGCATGAGCTCACCAGCCTGCCCCTCCAACAGAGTGCTCTGGCCAAGCACGATGCACGGGCCATATATTAACAAAACCGAGAACGCCCAGCATGTGACGCTCTATTTGTAGCCAGCCGGATCCGAGAACCGTTTATGTTAGACTTGTGCTTGGTGCTTCCGCCGGGTATCGCCTTTTTTTTCTTTTCGTGACCAACTTTAACCTATATATCGCATCCGAGGTTGTGATGGAGGGGTGGGTAGGGGGAGTGAATCTAGCTCTCCCAACTTCCTGATTAAATACCTCTCTTTCGTCCAACATAGTCCATTCTCGAGCTTCCCTTTCTCTCCCTTTTCCTTGCAAGATAGTTCCAAAGCCCACCTCCTTCCCTCGGCTGTCCATCTGTCTGCACTGTTCCCGTCAAACCCCCAATCCCAAGTCTTCTTTTCCAACCTTCCACCATGGCGGCCAGTGCGTCTGATGCCGCAGCCCATGCAAACCCCAACACGTCCGCTACTCCAACCTACACGGCCCCGATCGTCGTCGCGCGTGACCGCGAAAACTGGCCCTACCATATCATCGTCTCTAATGTGAGTCGACCTATCTACAAAGCATGCCATGCCATACTCACCGCTAACTTGGTCGCTGTAGCTTCCTGACAACACCAACTGGTTTGATCTCAAAGACTTCATCACCTGCCGCAACCTTTCTCGGCTAAATATCTTCATCCAGTTGGCCAAGAACTGGGGATGGATTCAGGTCATCGGTTTTTCGGACTTTGTGCTAGTTATGAGTAAGTCTCTCGGCCTTTTCTTCTTCTGCAGCAGAGTTCTTGCCCTAGCTTGCCTCGATGGTTTTGTTTTCTCCCGTCACTAACCGTGTGTTTCCCGCATCAACCAGCGGTTCTCAAATCCTATTCCTTCTGCAGTCACAAGCTCCGGATTATCGACGAGAACGTGGAACAAGGCACGCCCGGGTCCAATATCATCCAAGGGCCCTTCATATGGACCTTGAACTCGCCGTTGCCTCCGATGCCGCATGGCGTCTCGCCTCCTTGACATCAGGCCCGACAGCAGTGCCACACACGCAGCCGCATCCCCATCCGCCTCCGTACCAGGGCCCTCTTCTCCCTTCAGCATACCCACCTCCCACAGTGAACATGTACATGCAACACGCAGCATCCAACCGCCACCCAGATGCGCAGCCTGGACACCAGGTGGCCCGAGAGCCTGGCTATCCAACCTCTAAACATCCTCGACAACGGATTGCAGCAGGAGCGGCGGCAGCGGCGGCACCTCATCATGCAGCAGCGCAGAGACAGCAACACATTCATATAGAAGCTCATCCCCAGCCTAGATAGGGCCATCGAGCCGCGTCCCTGATTGGTGAGTGAGGAACAAAAAATTGCCCCCTTCTACCACACCACCCCAGCCCACATGCTTCTCCAACCTACCACCATGATCTCTTTGTCCCTCGCACAACATTGACAAGACTGTCGAGTCTAAGCTCCCATCCTTCACGCACGTCTGACCCCGGCAGTGAGAGGAGCATGACTAGGTCGCCGCCGAGCAGACTGGGGAGCGCCACGGTATTGATCGCTGGCGGCAGCATCAAATGGGGCGGTCCTCCTAAGTAAGGGGGCTATCTATCTCCTATTTCCTATGACCTGTTCTTCGTCCTTTCTTTCTTTCTTTCTTTCTTTCATTCTTTCCCTCTTTCTTTCTCTCTTTTGTTCATTTTCTCCTGATATTGCCTTGGCCGTGTGAGTTCTTCTCTACCACCATTGTCGTTCCTTCCTTTCTTTCTCTTCAATTCTTTCAACCCGTCCGTTGGTTGTTTTCCTTTTTGCGCACACCTTCTCCCTTTTTCTCCTCTCCGTTCCGTTCCTTTATTCTATTCTTTGTATTTCCTCTCTGCTTTTTCCTTCATCCGCCTGCCCCTCCCCACCACTAAGTGACTGGCTTTCCTACTCCTCTCTCGGTCAATTTCCTTATTACCTTTACTCTCTTTGTTGCTATATCAGTTTTTGGAAGGAAAGTACAGAACAGTCAAATTGGATTGTGATGAGCGATGATGAAGATCAAGGGAAGGGAGAAATGGAAAGGAAATAAACCCAAGGGGAAAAAAAGAGTGCGTCTCCTACTACTGTTAAAACGTCTCCATGTACTGTAATCCACCACACATAACCCTAACCCGGGTCACATACCACGCCCGCCAGTCATCCTGGATTCTGACGCGCAGTAATTTACCACTTTTCACCACAACGTAACCTGGCCTAAACCTTTCCACTACAACTAACCTTCAACACCAAAAGATATCGTCGGCGCCATTAATAGGGCCGTTGACGACGGCGTCGCCGTATTGTCTACAGGGCCGTTGGCGACTTCGTTAACGATGTGGAATACAGTCTGTTGCCCGCGAAGCCCTTGCTCGAAGATCCTTGCGGTTGCGTACTGGAAGCAACAGATAGGCGGGACTGCCTGCAGTATGGTTGTTAGTCCGGGCCGGACCAACAAGTCGGCTGACAGGGCTGTCAACGACGTTGAAGACGGGTTAGTCAGGGCAGTCAAGGGAGTCAGGGCTGTCAGGGCTGTCAGGGCTGTCGAAGACTCCCGAGAAAATGCGCAGCTACTGCATTTGGAAGTGTGTTGACGTTGGCGACGGCGGCGAGGTGCAATTTCGGTACAATTTGCGTTGCCAGCGCTTGGAGCAGTGTAGCCAGCGAATGCGGTACTTTTAGCTGTAAAATGTGGTATTTTCCTGGGCGGTGAGCTGTAAAGCCTGGGCGCCGAGGACGCTCTAACAGTAACAGACGCACTCCAAAAAAAATTCTTGAAATCACGAATATTGAGACGATAGCGACCAAAAGCTACCACGGGAGGGAATCGGCGCGTTGGTGATTTACGAAGCCGGCAAGGACAATTAATTATTACATCTAGAAGTCTAAACTTCATATCACTTCCAAAATAAATAAAAAAACCTGTATTCATACTAGAAATTAATTTCTTTGGTCGCCATTTCATGGCCAGACGGTGACGATGATGCCTTGGCGCGAATAATGTATCATATATGACAGCCAAGTAAGAATAAAGAGAAGGTGGAAAGGATAAGGAAAGCAACAAAAAAAGTTTCCATTTGCAATACAGCAATAACATAATCCGTAAAGTAGTAGTTGTACCATTACAAAAATCAGGAAGAAACCCCATCCTCGCCTCGTCCGCGCTGCTCCCTTTCTTTACCTCTTCAGTCGTGACGCTGTCCTGGTAGCGGCGCCCCTGTGATACTAGACTATAATGAAAAATAGGAAAACCGACAAAATTAGCAAAGACGAAGATGAAAAGACAACAAACCGCTCAGTGAAACCCCTCAACAACCGAATACGACTGCGCCTTTTGGTAACCCCGGCCAAACTTGGCCGTAACCTCTTCACCATCCCTGATATCCCGTAAAGCGACAAGTATCTGCCTCCAGCGGCCAGAGATCTTCATTACTTGGAACTCGGCCGATGGTGCCGTGCTGTCATGTCTGACCTTCCGAACCCAATTTCCCATTGCCTTAGGGTAAATCTTCGCGACAGGCTCATCATTGAGATCCGGCCTGCGAAATTCCATCGTCCACTCGTTGTTGTATGCGTCGAGAGGCACGAGCTCGCCGACCAGCTCACCGAGAATGTCGCCGGATTTGTAAGTCCCGATGGCTCGGATTCCGTGACCTTTCGAGCCGTCCTCCGAGATGCGCGGAATTTGCGCCACCTTGCTCCAGAAGCAGCGGCACGACGACTTCCTATTGCAGTATGTACAGGCCCGGCCTACGGGACCGATGGACGTGGGGTCAGCAGGCCAGTCCCATTGCCAGCAAAGCGGCTTCTGCCAGCGGTACTTGACCAAGTCCAGGTGGTTGGTCTTGAGGAGGTGAAACTGCCCCACCACAGGGCCCAACTCGTCAAAGGTGAGACCGCTAGTGTCCACCGATTCCCAGATAAACTCGGGCATTTCAAGGTCGTCCCAGACGGACTTCTGCACGATCTTACCCATTGCACACATGTTCTTGACAGCCCCGGTGCCGATTTGAGCATGGAAAATAGCGAGCTCGTTGTGAAATAAGGCCAGGTCAAGACAGGATGCGGTAGGAGGCATTAGGCAGAGGAGCCCGTCGTATTGCCCGCAGATAGTCTTCCAGCATTTCCCGTCACGTAGATGATCGTGCAGTCTGTCGCGTTTCGTGCCATCCCAACCCAGGAGCAAAAGAAGCTCGTCCGTGATATCTTGAGATGCAGGATACTGGCCTCGCTGGCGGACAGCACTCGCAACCCATTCTGCCAGTTTTATCTTGCAGAGCCGCTGAAGGAACAGATGCAGTGCTGAGTCGCCTTGCAGCGCCTCGTCGACATACTTGATGAGTTCAATACCGCCACCGCCAATGGGAATTTGCTTTGATAGCACTCTCCACTCGCGAACGATGCTAGCGAGACGTTCAAAGGCCGGCTTGCCACTGATTTGTTCAGCGGCAAGAGCTCCAACCCTAGTTCCTTCGCACCCGCGTGTCAATGAAGCGAGTCGGTCAAAGGCAGCCCTATTAGGGGAACCCGGGACTGGCGAATATTTATCTTGAGGGGTGAGTAGTTCAAATGCAGGTGTAGGCGGAATAACTGGGTAAACTTCGAAAGCTGGAGACTCTTGGGGGGCACTCAGTTCCTGAGGTCGAAACTCTTCAGCAGACGAGTATTCTAGCAGCTGAAAGGGTATGGGCTCGGTCTCTTGGGGCAACGGGTGAACAATCTTTTGCTTCTTGCTTAGCCGCTTTAGTGGCATGCCCCGCTGTCTTTTGAGGGTGGGTCTGACCACTTTAGCATGCAGTACCGGCAAGTCTCTAGGAAGGCCTAGTTGGGAAACTGCTCCTTCATCATAGACATGTTGCTTTGGAAGCGAAAATGGGTTCTCGTATACAGTTGTCGGTTCAGGATGTACATGGCTGCTGATTGGTTTGGGGGCTGGGACAGACTGCGTGACAATATCCGAGGGGTCTACTGGCTCAAATCTGGCAGTTACATGTTGCAGTGGGAAGTGCATAGGCTCGAAATGCGCCAGCCCAGGCTTCCCCCGATGATTTGGCGGCTTTGTTGACAAATAAGACTGTCCGGTCGTAAATGCAGGGGCGACATGCTCCAGTAAGCCCTGGGAGGCGGGGGGCAAGGCATGTTGGACGGGAGGCAACCCCAGCGGCTCGGGGTGTATATCATTGACCCGGGGTAGCGGTGGTGAATATAAGGTCTGAATTGCTTGAGGAAGAGTCGCAGGCCTCGGCTGCAAAGGTAACTCCAGTTCCAGCGCAGTTTGGGAATGCGGCGCTGCAGTCTCCCCCTTGGTGTGCAACTCTTTAGACTTGCTCGTCTCTGGTGGGATTATTGACTGTGGGTATACAGAAACAGAAACTGGGGTGTGTGCAGGAGCCAGCTCCGTTGGTTCGAGCTGGTGATTATTACTCAGAGGGGGTGGAGGTAGGTCACTCGAAGTAGAAGCTGACTGATCCGGCTGGAGGGGCAGATTTTCCTCAAGAACCGGAGTTTCGGACTGAGGCCTGGGCTGAATTCTCATGTCCGGTTGGTGAGGGGCCAGTTGGGCTTCATTATTGGCAGGCTTTGAAACCCCTAGCTCGGTATTCTCCGGGATATTTTGCTCTGGCATAGAGTTCTCCGGTTGCGTGAGGAGTGGTCCTACCGCCTTGGAATTGCCGGCCACGTCTTGTTCGGGAGGAGTCGGCTCACAGATCTTGAAATCCTCAGCAGACATGGCAGTCTTGTCAGGGCAATCATGGTCGCAGAATCGGTAATCGTCGGGCATGTCCGCGGACGATTCGTATTCGACATTGATGGCTACTGCGTAATTGGGACCAAGGTTCAAAACCTGGTGATATGTCCCAGGCTCTGTGACAACTGCTTGACCGGGGACGCAGTAGTCGAGTGTGTATTCGATTCCCCACTCATCCAACCGGGCGGGAGGGATGTGAAGACTTAGGTGGCGGACAGCCTGAGAGCAACCACGCATCTGAGGGTATGAGACACGCATCATCTCCTCTAGTTTGTCCGAGAATGCTGGCTTGACAAAGCACCAAAATTTGTTCTCGCCGCAACGAAGCAGGTTCTCGGAACGAACGTGGGCGTCTTCCCTGTGCATTGTCGTGATTGTCTTGCTCTTGAGGTTAAAATATATGTACTGCGTATTTATACCCTCGAGCACACCTCTGCGCTTGAGCTTCTCGCCGGGCGCGAGCTCGACATCCTGGAACAGAGGATTTCCGATAATGTAGGGGACCGTTCCCCGAGGGGGGTTTTGGGCGGTCGAGTTCCACAACTCTTGCTGCTGAGCAAGGGTCCAGTTAACCTGCCGACTTGCAGGCATCGGAAGAGGTGGAATTTTAGACCTGGATCTCCTGGTGCCGCTATCAACCTTGACGAGGCCTTTGCGATCCATATTATACACAAAAGACGTGGCATGGTCTTTGGTAGGGCGATCGACCTCCTCCACCTCCATCGGGGGGAGGTCGCGCACCTGGATTTTGAAATAGCCCCGGTCTTGCACAGCCGGGTGGCGGGAGAACTCCTCGAAGAGCTCTTCATTGAGGACGTGGATATCTTGGTACGTGCAGTCGAAGAACGGCAGGATGGGCTCGGACACGATTTGGGTGACCATAGTCTCACGCAGGGCGTGGACAGGTGCCGGTGTGGACGCCTCCTGCACGGGACCTGGCTTGTCTCCGAACACTGGGGTTTCATCGGCTGGTTTCCCGGTTGCTTCGCTATTCATTTCGTCGCTTGCTTCATCGGCCGCTGCAGTCTGAGTTTCCGGAACCGATGGCTGCAAGACAGGCTGTAAGACAACGGACGGTACAAGAAGCGCTGTCATTGGCTCGGCCTGGGCGACCAGCGGCGGCTCCGTCTGCTGCTGCTGCTGCTGCTGCTGCTGCTGCTGCTGCTGCTGCTGCTGCTCCTCGTGCGGCTGCTGATACGCATTCTCCGCAGGAATGGCAGCATCGCCGCCATGAATATTATCGGTCTGAGTCGGTTGTTGCTCTGCCACCTCGTGATGCTGGGGGATATGCTCGGGCGGCGTCTGCTGCGGAGTCTGCTGGGGTGTGGCTCGGGGGGTCTCCTGGGCGATGGGAGAGCCATATGACAGAGGCGTGTCGGGTCCCTTGGGCGGGGGTAGAGATAGGTGAGATGATAGATCTCGGATGTCGTCGACCTGGGCGCATACGCGGTCTAAGCTGCTCAGCAAATGGCTCAGGAGGTCGCGACCGGCTTTCGTTCCCGGGGGCTTGACTTTGCGCGTCGCAGTGACCCCATCCTCGAGGTAGCCTCGCAGGGCGTCGCCAATCTGGCGCAACTCGCTGCCGATTGAGTCGACTTTGACCTGCAAGGTTTCCATCTTACATTCCACGAGGATGCGATTCTCGAGCGCGGCATCGAGGAGTTGTTGAAAGAGTGTCGATGGCCCGGGCTGAGGTTGTTCCGAGTTCGAATGCCCCATATCCGCACCCGAGGTTTTCGAATTGGGAGGGGCTGGAGGGGTACCAGGTACCTAAAAGGAAAGAATGGGGCGACCTAATTTTACTGCAGCACTGGGGCTGGCTTTCGGGGCAGTGGACCGTGCCCACACTCCCTGGCTTGTGGGTCTGCCTCTTCGCCTTGACAGCTCGGCTCTCTTGTCAGCCTTCTTCCTGCCCAGGATAGATATGTCTGTCGGTGGAGATTAATAACTGGCAGTAAAGATAACGGAAAGCGGAGTAAATATAAGAGATAAGTATAGTAATGAACAGTCCAGCAAGAGGTGGAGGGAGAAAATAATTGACAAACTGCAAGAGTGACCTGGCTTACGTAGAAGAGGCCAATAGGATAATATTTGCATTAACTACACGCCGGGCGTAAAAGCTTCAACTTTTCCTTCTTCGAGGGACACCGGGGCACGGGGATTTATGGTCATCGCCTCCAGCTTTGTAGAAAGCTGCCAGATTATGCTATTTTTAACATCCTTTCAACCCGTCTTTGACATCGAGAATTTTTTTCAGGCGCAAAAAAAGAGGCGCTTTGGGGCCGCTGACGCACAATCGAATTTTGTTCTCCCTTCTTTGTTCTATCAGACTCGACAATGTATTTCCAACATTAGGCAAGCAAGACCCATGAACTAGCAGCAGCTCTTGAACTGGAAAGAAGATTGGAAACACCAGAACACAAGAGAACTCGTCCATTTCTCTTCCAAGCTAGTTCTTGCTGCATTTGCACGTCCAACCACAAAATATATCTTCTGTTTTCACCAAGCCGTCTTCTGACCAGGAGTTTGGTCTCCGCAAAGGATATTGGGAAGGAGAATGAATGGTCAAAGGTCTTGAACTTGAAAGCCTAATATTTGATGGCTCCCACCTCCCGTTTGAGCCAACAGGCAGACAATCATGGCGTGGTACAGAATATGATCGCAGAGACTGGCCAATGTTCGTTCAGTTGTACTCGAAGATGCCCACGTGTTTTCGTTCCCAACATCAGAATCGATAAGGATAAGGCGGTATCAATAGGCAGAACCCTCAGTGGCTCCTCTCAGTGAGTACACCCCACCTCCTACCGCTGCGCCGCATCCCAGCGCATCGCATCTCGTCACGAACCCAACATGCTTTTCCCCAGCGTGACGAGACAAAAGCTGTGTTCAGCGATAGTAATTAAATTGGCGTTCCTCTCGGTTCTCCATTTTCTCTTTTACGCGTCTTGATTTTCATCAGCTTAATTGCAGGCCTTTCGATCATCTAAATGTCCTCTTCGATAGCAGCATATCTTTTGCGATAAGATGTCAAACGACACTCTATTGACCGACGAGTATGTCGCCGACATCCTAGCCAAGGAAGCGAGCGATGCATCGGTCAGATATTCGGCCATGGGGCTCGAAGCCCTCCGATCATCAAAGTAACATAGCCCCCGCCCTCGACTCCGACCTACTACAATCCCGTGGCCTTGGACTAATTCACGGAGCGCTGCCAGACCTGCGAACAAAGCGAAGCCCAACACACGCTTTCTGGGACGCATCATCAAAGAGACCACCAACCATAATGCTGCATTGCTGGCTAGAGAAGCCGCCGAGGCCCAGGCTCGTCTGGACGGCTTGACCGAGGCCGAAGACAAGAAGCGGCGCAAGCTGAAGCCCAGCGCCGTGGACACGCGGCAGCGACAGTTGGGCGACATCTCGTCGTATCTTTTGGGCGGAAAGCGCAAGCATGGGCAAGATCCAGGGAAGCTAGCGCCAGAGCAAGCTGTTGCCGGGATCAACAAAGATAAGACGCCCTGTAATCCGGCGGGGGATCACGAGAGGAAAGAGAGTCGACGTCACAGAGACATAGAGTACGTTTCGCGGTCGCGAGAAAATCGGTCTAGTCGACACGACAGAGACAGAGACAGAGACAGAGACAGAGACGGACACAGGGATGGTGCGGCACGGGAAAGTGCAAAACAACGAACCCGTTCACAATCGCCCATACGACAGCAGAGAAAGGGCCACCGAAACCGGTCTCCGCTGAGCAATGGAAAGGGCGATGAAGAATACGAAGAGCATACCCGGCGAACAGGCGGCGAAGACGGCAGGAGGATTCGTTCCAGAGGCGACATATTTGCAAATGACTTACTCAGGCGCATCAGAGGGCACCGGTCAACGGCAAGCGACAAAGACGATAGCGTGTCCGCCAGAGGAGTGGGAAGGGCTAGGAGGGATCTCTTTGCTGACCTTGTGCCTTCTAGTGGGACTAGTAGGCGCGGTCGGTTAGCTGAAGAAGAAGACGGCAACGATTTCGATCCGCTAGAGGACCTCATTGGACCGGCTCCGCCACCGCAGTCTCCGCCGCCCGTGCGCACGCGTGGAAGGGGCGCCGCACGGGGTGCCGCCGCGATGGACAGCCGCTTCTCTGAAGACTACGATCCATTGTCCGACGTCCATCCCGACCTCCCTGAAGCGAATGACGACTGGGGCGAGTCAGTTGAGTTGTATCGCGACCGCCAGAAATGGAAGCAGCAAGGCGCGGCCAGGCTTCGTGACGCAGGCTTCACAGAGGATCAAATAAAGAAGTGGGAAAAGGGCGGTGACAAGGACATTGATGATGTCCGATGGAGCAAGCCGGGCGAAGGACGCGAATGGGATAGGGGGAAGGAGAAAGGAGAAGATTGATAGTGACCGCGACTAATGACCAATCCCCCTAACCCGAAACAATTATTACTACATAATCTTGTACGAGTTCTGCAAGCTGGATACCCTTTATACGGAGTTGTTAATTGCGGAAAGTTAAGGAAGTTGGTTAGCCATAGCTTGACCTCGGCGTTGAGGAATAGGATGCACAGCAGGTTCTAGGAAAGTCATTGTGTGTATATATGTCGGAAATTACATAGGGACCTGGGTTGACATTTCCTCACTAAACGAGCTAAAAATTACACAGCAGGCGTTCCGTATGCAGAAGACGGAGCGGACATCGAGCATCATCTCTGCCTACAAATTTTAGCATCTCGTCTTCTATATGGCAGCTCAAGAAATTCCGTAAGTCCTGGGGCTTAAGGGGATACGTGATACTCAGCCGCCGCGAGCATTGATCAAAGACAATTTTCCTTCCAACAAAGGACTAAGGAAACAAAGAAGAAGAAAAAAGAACATATCCATCACGTGGTGAAACCTACCGTAGTAACCCGCGGACAAAGGGTTTCTCAGACGAGGATTTAACAAGGGGTACATGAGGGGGATACATGCAAGGACGCATATATCGGAAATCTGGGGTGTTATATACAACTTTTAGCCTTTTGGGACATCGACAAGCATCGGCCCACCCCTCAAACACCGAGAACAGCTCAGCTGCTGTACTTCTAGCGCTTTGAAGAAATTATTGTGCCCGTTCATGCCGTTGGCTGGGGGCCAGCGGCCGGGCACAACGGAATGTGTAAAGCCGTATTGTAGCGGTGTAAGAGGGCGAGATCCTGGCGCAAGTTCCCAGCTAGCCGCAAGTTCCATCCTCGCGGTTCATTTACTCCCCCAAGCGATATTCTTCCCCTGCTTGTTCTTGAGCTCTCCCTCCTTCATATTCGTGACGCTCGTGGCGCCATCGGCCTCGCGGGGGTCGTTGGTAGCCCATATCCTGTCGATGTAGAGCTGGAAGGGCCCGGGTATCCTGTCGGTCAAGGCGACGCCGATGGACCGGACCTTTTGCCGCAGAATTTCCGTTTGTGGTTCAACCGCGTACCCGCCGTTGGTGCGTACAAAGTCGTTCCACCTGATGACCACCGTCTCCCACTCGCCGGGGTTTTTGGAGAAGAGACGGTGCTGGTGAAGATCGGTGGGCACGACCGACTCGGTCATGACGTTGACCATGTAGCTCCGCCCGTCCGACTTGACGCGCATCGCCAAGAACCCGTACATATCAATGTCCCAAAGGCTCCTCCCGAACAGCGTAGAACGCCTATCCAGCGTTCTCCATCCTGCATAGCCTGTCCGCTGGACCTCGGGCCGGTTCGCAGGCAGCTTTGTCGAGATGGTGCCGTGGAATCTGGCATAGCCAGAGGGGCCCAATGGAGGTGTTTCTGGGGCGGAAGCCGTGGATATAGGTTCTCTTGACGGTATCCAGTCGAGGTTAGAGGTCGTAAAACCTCCCAGATCGGCGTCGGACATGACTTTGCAGTTTTCTAGCGACTCCGGGCTGCGGAAGCTGTGGAGCTCAAAAGGGCCCGATGGTCCTTTGATGCCTTCCATTTTGATGGCTGCAAATCAGGCACCAAAGTTAGCATTCCCCCGACACTGCAGTGCGATGGGAGCGGAGGGCGTACCGATGTTGGAGAGCCGCTTGAACTCGTCAAGGCTGCGGCTCCAGAAGCCCTTAGCCAGGCGAGTCGTAGCGGCGTGCATTGTAGTGTGGGCGAGACTGCTTTGCCAGAACGAAAAGAGTTGACGTTCTTCAGCTAAGTGGGCTGGGCAGTAGAGCCGAAGAGGCTCAATAGGCCGTTCGCATTCTTGCGCGATGCAAACAATGTTTTGTAGTTCGAGTCGCAATGAGGGCCTCTGGGGAAATCTTCAGGCGCAATTTGGCTCGGCTTTGCAAGCAAGACGTCATCAGATTAAGCGTTGTTCCCTCCCAGGTCTGGCAAGGGCGCCAGCACAGTGTTACAGTACCGCATCGGCGCGCATGGTGCAAGCCCTCAAAATGCGTACCTTCCGGACCCACACGCTTACAAGGGGGCTACAGCCAATCACAGCACCGGCAACAAAAAGCCGAACATTAGCCTGATGAGAACCTTTTGAGAATTTTGACGTTAGACCTTTTTTCCTGATTTGCCGTATTCTACTACGTACGTAGCCTTGGGGTCAAAGCTAAAAAAAAAAAAATGATAAATAAAATCCCAAAATGACGGGCTTTTCAAGGGCTTTCTAACAGCATTACTCTCGTTCTGATTAGACAAAAATTAGCTACGATGCAAGGCTAAACGTACTTTTACTTGCCGCCGTGTCTTGCGAAACGGGTACGATCTGTGGTGTACACTAAGGTGGCGCGGGCCCTGGGCCAGGCCGAGCTCTGTTCCGTCTGTCGAGTTCTCGTAGTGCGCGACGCGTCAGCGGAACCTTGGACAAGTTGTCTCAGAACTCGGGTGGGAAGTTCGACGGCTCGTGAAGTCTGCCCCTCGACTTTATATTGTCAGGACGGGTGCTCTTGTGAGTAGTCGTCTGCGCGGGCTTACTTTCGATTTGTCGCGCTCGCCATGAGCAGCTACTTCCCAACCTCGAGACCGAAGGAAATCCATGTGGATATTCAGGTCGTGCCCGGGGGCCAGGACTGAGCGTCAGCCAACCACTAGCCGCTTTTGCAGGGATACGGTGCGGGGTAATCCTCTCAGCAGCTCGGGTCGAAACAGCGCCGAACGGCGGCGCCTGGCGCAACAAGATCCGCCGAGGTGAGGCGACTTCTGCGTTTGCCGCCATCGCCTGTGTTTGTTTCGAGCATGCTTCTGAAGTGGCTTGACCGGGCAAGTTCCGCAGGGGTGATCATCTCGCCATTCAGATCCCCAGGACTAACTCTAATATACAGTACTACCCTACCCGCTCCCACCTATCTGGCCACCCTACTCTAGCTCCCAGAGATACCCCTCAACTTTGCTGCATCCACCCCGAAGGCAAGGCGCACCATCTCACGCAGTAGGCCCCTATCAGCCTGCTGTAAACGGCCTAGGCTAGTGAATCAAGCATATATCTTTAGTGCTGAGCTGTTTAGAGTGTCTGTGAAGGACCCTTCAAGAGCTCAGCCTCCCCCTCTAGTTTCCTCTCAGCCTCTTGGAACTTCTGGCGGTAGATTCGTCGAGAAACGTCTTGCCGTAACACATTATTGTAGGCGAGATGGCTAGGATCTCTGAGAATGTCCTCGGTGTCTGATCCTAGCAAAGGAAACGGCATAGGACTGGGGTTGGCCTGCCATGGAGCAGTCTGCGCGAACTCCCAGTCGATAATGGCAACAAAACTGAAGTGATCATCGACGATGGTGTTCTTAGTGCCGAGATCCGTATGGCTGAGGGGGGATTGCTTAACGGTGTCGATGTCTCCGAACAGGGTAGTCTTGTCCAGTGCTTACTTGTTCTCCTTCCATCCACCCCGGCCTGTCCCGGGGGTTCGTTGCGCAAAACTAACCACGTGTCCATTCTGGCACTTATACCAATGGCCCGAGTGCGTCGAGATGTCCCTCGGCCCGCTCACCATTGCAGACTTGATGGCCTCCAGCTCCTTTGCTGTGACGGGCTCATACCACTCCTTCCCCAAGAGCTGTTGCGCATTTTCCACCTCGGCTCGCAGAGTCTCGACATCATCAAATGGCTGTTTGCATAGCTCCTCCGCCTAGCCAAGAATGCTGAATGTTAAATGAGGTGTCTTGTGGTAGAGTAAAATTTTTGCTGTTGAGGAAGTCCGGGGGTCTGGGTTAAAATTGACATGCTCGACCCGCCAAAGACGGCAGCCCCGACAGCGACACATGCACTATTGCTGGAATCCATGTGTTGCTGTCGAGGCTTCCGTTTTCCGAGTAGTCGGCCGCCGCTCGCCTGGCCGCGGCATCCATCAATCACAGTTCAGCGCACGGGCCCAAATTTGGCCCCTCATTCCTGGTGCCCTGCATACCGGCTGCTGGATCGCGAAGTCAACTTTTGCAATAAATACTTTCATGCCCTCGGTCCCTCCCCACAATTCTGCCTTTCCACCTCCTCCTTTCGTTTCCTCTGGTTTCGCGTATCCTAACCAACGGTAAAAATGCTGTACTCAAACTCAGACGCGCAACGTAATGCAACGCAACACGACCCGCCACCCTCGACCCCGGCATTAGAGGCACAGACCAAACTCGCGGGCACGAGCCCTCCCCGATCGGCTGCGGTTAGGCGTACGCTTGACTGAGTTCGAGATCCGCGGACTGGCGGGTCTCAGCGAGCAGCGAGCACTTCATTCCATGACGCTCGCGATCGAGGTTAGGTCAGGGCCGCCCAGAGCTGCGCAGAGCATGGTGCATGCCAATCGCATCTAGGCAGGATCGCTGGCCTGCCCCGAGGTCATACTCTAGAGCAGAAACTGAGCTGCCAGTGTCACGTTGCGAATTTGGGACTTGGGCATAAACAGGACCAAAAGCGTAACATCTACACAGCGGAGCGTGATGAGGTGAAGACTCCCTTTCCAAGGATCTCTAGCTGCCGACCCTAACTAGAATACAGATACTATGCTTCTCGGAGCTGGAGCTAGAGCGGGTATACCTGCTGCGGTGGACACAGACAACAATCTACATGAATGGGCTACGCGGAGCACGGAGTGTGGCTCTGTTCCTCCGGCATTGGTGATGGGTATCCCTGCAAGAGCTAGAGTGGCTGTGGCCGGTTTAGAAACAGACAAGAATCAGCAAATGGCGACCGACGACAAAACCTGACTCTTGCCCAGCTGTACCAAGGCCGGCGCCCGGGATCCGGGATCCGGGATCCGGGATTGGGGACGCTGCGCCCGCCGTCCCATGACGCTCGCGATCCAGGCCGGGTCAGGCGAACCGCCGCCTAACAGAGCTGTGCGGTAGTGGGTTGTGGCGCGTGCAAAATCTAGGCAGGAGCGCTGATGCCTGGCATCGAGGTTACTAGGACAAGGGACCAGAAACTGAGCTGCCAATGTTACGTTGCGAACTTTGAGACTTTGGAAACCAAGGACAAAGGCATCCATGCGAAGATCGAGCGGAGCGTGACGAGGTGAAGACCCCCCCCCTCCGAGGATCTCCGCTGCCAATCTAACCAGAATATAGATACATGCTTCTCGGAGCCGGATCCGGAGCCGGCACAACCACCGTAGTGCCCTCACCTTTAACTGTTATCAACCAGTTGGCAGACAACTCAGACATTTATCCATTGAACACGCGGGTCAGGACGAAACAGACTAGGTTATGTGAGCAAGGCTACGTAGCTCTGCTCCTCAGCGTTGCTGGAGTAGTTGATAAGCGGCCGGTCTCGAATTGGAAACAGACAAGGATCAATAAGTGATGGGGTGGCCGGTTGGTTCCTTCCCGACGACAAAAACCTGACTCTTGCAGACCGGTGGTACGAGGGCGCGGCAATCAATCAGGACACCATCTCTGGGACGGAACGGCAGCCGTGCCAGGTTGGAGCAGCGAGGAGTCCGAGAGGGGAGCTTGGCAGATCGCCGACGCGATATCTGTTAGCACCAACTACTCCGGTTTGGTATGGGTGCTAGGCTGAAGCGCATTCGGCCCGCAATTCCATCGGCTTGAGGACGCAAAGAGCAAAGGGAAGAGGATCAGGAGTGGGCCTCGACGGCGTCGTGCGAGGCGGATTGTTCTTGTCTCGGTACATTCACCGAGCAAGGGAGGCCTGCCTCCCGCGCACAGGAAACGAGACGATTGTGAAGCTGTTTTTACGGGAGATGGGGGACGCAAGGTGGGCTGCTGACGTTCGACAACGTCGAGTGCGATCAGTTCCAGCACCGCATCCTTGCCCTGTATTTTTGAAGTGCGCGCTCGCTTGTTTTCCGCGCTCGCTTATAACCCACATTATCCATACCGTGGCTGCGTGTCCGCGGCGTCATACAATTCCGAACTCTGAAGAAACGACGAGCAGCTAGATGGGGATACGGAGCACGGGGACTGATGGACTAGGTGTGGTAGGCCGCACAGGTGCAGGAAAATGGGACATCGGAAATCGGCAGCTCCGACTACATCTACTCCGGAGTAGACAACATGTCAGTGAAGCTCACAAGTTAGCCTATACGAGCTGGTTGGTACTTAGCCCTCGAGTAGGCATCAACAAACCGTCATGCCCTCCAGCCCCAATCGCATCTCCTTCCTCAGATGCTTCATTCCATTGTTCTGGCCCTCGAGAATAAGGTATAGCTACGTCGCAAATTGCTTTGCCGCTTCCTCCTATTTTTTAGTCCGGCAATCTCTTCTTCGAGTCCCTTGATCTCTTCGGTTCTCAGCTGTTCATTTGGCTCTAGCTACGTGAACGCCTTGTCGACCTGGAGCAGATTTCTGTTACCACGGCCCTTGGGTGCTCCACGGCTCTTGGGTCCACGCTTGGGTCCACGGCCCTTGAGTGCTCCACTTCTCGTGTTCATGGCGAGTTTGATAGCGTCGACGGCAACTGCGAGTTTAGCAATAAGAGCTTTGTGGCGTGGTATGTTGGTGTTGAGTTAAAGAAGAGGAGAGGAGAGTGGGAAAAAAAAGGGGTGGGGAACTCGCCCCTATAAATATAGGCAGCAGGTTGGCTTGTCTCACGTGAATGCGCGGTTGGCCACGCTCCGAGTTCATCAGGTCCTCCACCAGCTCCGCCACCGGCTCCTTGCCGTCTGTGTCGCCTGCCTCTGTCTCGCTTGTCTCAGGCTCTAAGCGTCCTCCTTCGGAGTGCTGCGGGAAATGTGGTGGTTGGATGGGCTCAGAAGTCGGCGTCCTATATGGCCAGCTTGTGCGAAGAGGACGGGTGGGCGGGTGGATGGCGATCCTAGGGGGAGGGGAAAATATCTTTGATGGGATGAGCGAGGGAGAAAATGGGGGCTAGAGCGTAGGCAGCAGCGGTATGGTGCTAGGGCAAGCATCTGGATCTCGGAGTGTGGGCAGTAGTGGTAGTGTTGTTGGTAGCGGTGGCATTGCGCTGTTGCTGTTGCTGTTGCTGTTGCTGTTGCTGTTGCTGTTGCTGTTGCCGTCGCTGTTGCTGTTGCCATCGTTCTTAGTGTCGCCGTCGTAATTGTCAGTGTCGCCATTATTACGGCTCCGTCTGCGTTGCCGAAAGGGCCGAAACATACGGGGATAGGGCCGTAAGGCCTGGACACACCGAGAGAAGGGAGTCCTGGTTCTTTGGTGGGATATCATTGTGATGGATGATGGTTTGTCACATCTTGGAAAATTTACACGGCTGAGTACTGGGGCGATATAGTCAAACGTCAAAACAATACCGAGGACATTGTAAAGTTTAGGTTAGAGCCGAGCCGAATAGAGCCGAGCCGAATAGAGCCGAAGAAGTCACCCGATTCATCACAACGAGACCGATTTGACTAGCCCATGATACTATGTGGATCTTGGGCTGACGATATCGCAGCCGCGGCCAGCTACCATCGCCCGCTCCAAGTCATCTTCACCCTGCGCGGCGGCGGCGGTGTCGTGCGCTTCGCCGGGTCGGAGCGGCTAACCCGTATCAGCGAACCTGCGCGCGCTAGAAGACAAAGTGCGAGCTAATGAGGAGGAGAACGTCCGGCTACGGCGCAGGCTGCGAGCTAGTGAGGACAAGTTGCGAGTTCAGCGAAAAACGAGATAGTTCACTGTGTCTCAGGGGCAAGTAAATAAAGCTTTAACCCTAACCCTACTTCCCTCGCGAAGCCTCCTCCCTTGCCACCTTTTGCTCTGGCTCTTTCGAATGCAGCCTTGTTGCGGTTGTGTCACGATGATAGGAGACGAGTGTTGAGGCAATGCTGCAACTAACCTACTACGTCGGGCCGAGCGTAGTAACAAGCGACTTCCGCGACAACTCGGTGCTGGCGCACTGGCGCGTCGGCGAAGCCTGAGACGACGAGACTTCCCACTGAATCTCCGGCGAGAACGAGGAGGAGCTCGAGCAGGCGGCCAAGCAGCGCCGCAAGATGGACACGCGCCGCCGCCGCACCGAGAAGCACGGAGCTCTGTTGATAAAACCAGCACTGCGAGGAAAAAGGCAAAAGGCAGATCCGTCCAACATCCCACCACCTTGAGTCATTGCTTCGTTTCCCTGTGGCCGTTGATGCCGATGACCTCAAGGTCGTCGTGACCGTCGTCGCCACTAACGTCAAGGTTGTCGCAAAGCAGGAGCCTTGCCAAGTTTCTTACTGGCGGACGGCGCGTCATCGGTCTCACCGACGGCAGCTGGACGAGCCTCCAGTGAAGGGTGAAGACTCTTGGAGGACGACAGCGAGCGGCGGAGGCGTCTACCAATCGTTCTCAGCCAGTTGTGACCCTTGCGCCGGACAGGTATTGACTTGACAGCACGGTCGAGATGAAACTGCCGGATGCTTGCAACGAATTCACAATACTTCTCTATCATCTTGTCCGTGTCCTCCTTGGTCGTGCACGTTTCGGCGATGGCTGTTGCGATGTAGTTGAGAGGGCGATAGAGCACTGGCCCCTGATGATCCGCCGGGTGGATCTTGGCGCCACCTTCCAACAATGCCTGCCATACCGGGGAATAGCGTGCCCCCCATTCCTCACTGCCATACTTTTCGCTTAGAGCCTCATCATCCTCCAGAGAATCCCATAGGATACATATCTTATCGCATGGGCGACGTAGGTTGTGATCTTGCACGAATCTGTCCACGAGAAGACAAGTGTCCCACCGGAAGGAGATGATATTGACGATTTCGGAAGCAGACGGTGCGTCAGGGTCGCCGTGAAGAAATTGAAAGAACCCACCCGCGACGGCGACATTCTGTCCTCGGTTCCAATCACCAGGGCAAAGCTTGTCAAAGAATAGCCTTGCCATGTTGGTTGTTCGTGAGTGTACCATTGCACGCGTCATTTCATCGATGATGGCGTCAGCATCAACGCCGCCAGTGAGATGGACAGCAGCCATAGTATCATCGTCGGTGCCCGGCTGCCTAGGGTATGTTGCCAATCTTTCCCAACGCTCTTTGAAATGAGCTAATGGGATTCCTAATTTTCTAGTCCAAGAAAACTCCCAATCGTCATTCTGCGCGCTGAAACGGAAGCCGTTATATAGAAGGCGAGAGAACCCCCAAGCTCCAACCACATTAGTAACCGCACGACAAAACTCGTTATATGTCTTTGTCTGCAACTCGGTAGGCTCCTCAGGTTGGAGGCAGGTGTCGTCTGTACCTGGGATTTCCGAACGGCTGCCCTGTTCTTCCGCGCTGCTGTGTCCAAGTAGCGGTGTGGAAGCATCTGAGAGTGCTGAGATAGTAGCTCCAGCAAATACAGATCCGCAAGCTCGCCCTATGCTATTTGACACTGGCCACGAGAATGATTCATTATCAGGCTTTGCGGCAGCCAGTGTTGTGATATTCAGCTCGGGGGTGATGGCCCAGCCTCCAGAGAAACAGGCTGTTGTGAATAGGGTAACTGATATACCCGGCTCCAAGGCTGCTTTGAGGCGTACGATGCCGAGACCCCTGCGTCGGTCGCTATTATCGAGGCATAGGTAATAGCCCTCAACTCCGTGGCAGAATACGATGAGAAGAAGGGGAGATCCGGCCTTCTTGGCGCGGAGCGACGCTTTGCTGACCTCATCGAGAAACCTGTCGATCATCTTCGCAGGCTCGACAAGGGTCACTGGGATGATGTCTGAGCCGAGGAGGTCACGACTCAAGACGACCTTGCGGTCTCAATGAGGGTGACCATGGAGAAAGTCACCGTGCTTCTCCAGCAGCCTCTCTGGCTTGGCAGCTGTGAGCCAGGTTTGATCCGCGACAGAGCCGTTGAGCAGGTAGTTGAGAGCGTAGAAATCGGATAGAAACCATCCATCCTTTTTCTGGTCGCCGGTTTGGACCGTGGGATGGGTCGCCGCGACGACGGTGGTATTTTCGTAAATTACCGGGAGAGTGTGGGTGAGGAAGGTGTCGGGGTGCGAAGACAACCCCTTGTGCGTGCCACCAGCAACCAGTGGGTTTCGCTCCGCCATCTGTAGCGAGTCAGCAACGGCAGGGTGCGTAGTATAGAGATGGGTAATGCCTACGGTGATATCGTCGGCGGCTGGTAGCTGTAGGAGGAACCAGCTTGAGGGATTGACGTTTGTTGGATATAGGAAGTAGAAGATGGTTGTGGGAGGAAGCAGCGGGAGGAATTGATGTCGTTGGGTAGAGAGAGTGGTTTGAGGAGGGAGGAATCAGGAAACGGTAGGAAATTGCTGCCGTGTACCTTTTTAAGCTTGTGCCAGGAAAGGCAGGGTGGGAAAAAAATACGCTTTCACATACCAGGGAAAAAGGCTCTTTCCCTACAAAAGCTCCCACACCACCAAACTCTACTACCCGATTCCGCACAGCCAAGCAATTGGATGTCGGGGCCGGCCTCACAGAAGTTCGAACGGCCTTTCCCTTATCGTCCAGAGGCCAGGCCTTCATCGCAGAGACGGTAAAAGCCTCTTCGTCGAGGTCAAAGATTTCGAAGTGGAGATCTATCTTGTACCATATGGCGGCTTTCGTGGCTGCTCGCTGCTCTTCGGTGATTAATTTCTCTGTCTCAAGTGCGGAAAGATCCTCAACAATCTTGTCAGCGAGCTTAAGCCACTGCTCTGTGCGAACCAATTCGTTAATATCCGCGTGGGCGACTTCGTTTCGTTCGGCGTACAACTTCATTGATGTCCGTGTCTTCATACGTAGTATTGTTGACAAGGCAAACAAGATTGTGGAGCAAATCGGACAAAGGGGTGCTGACAGAAAGCCCACTCGCCTTCTTGGCCTGCTCTTCCTCAAAGCTTAAATGTTTGTCTAGCTCGATCCACTTTGTAGAGACAAAATGGCGGAGCGCCTTCTCTTCGTCGGTGAGAGATGGTGGTGCAGGAGCTGATGAACTATCGCTACCGTGACTCTTGGGAGCTGTCTTTTCCCAGAATTTTTTTGCTTCTTTGTCGGATCGCATTTTCGCAGCAGCCGCTGCTTACTTGGTCTTCTTGACCATGTCTCGGGCTTCTTCACGGAGCGCTGCCAGGTTCGTCGCGTGGTAGTCGCCATATCGGAGATACCAAGCATCCTTCATCATTCTTTCAAGCTTGGTTATCGCCTCCTGATACTTCTCGTCAGCCTTGAGTCTACGCGTGACCTCTTTTCAGATCTTCTCGAGGGTGATATTTCTAGTAAGTCGTTCTCGTGTCTCTGGGTCGGCTTCAGCGGCTTTTGTGTATTTCTCGAGAAGGAGGCGGAGAGAGGCCTCCGTAGCCGTGCTCATAACCCGCCTGCCCTCGGGCGTCCCGTCATCTTTTCTTTCTCCAAGTAGACCGCTGATCCATTCTGTTGTTTCGTGAATGAGGCCCAATGCTTTGTCCTCCCTCACGCCGCTTCCGACTGAGTGACGGTGCGGTCGCTGGTGATGTCAGAAGACAAGTTCATGTTCGCTTCATATACTGTGGTAGAGCTTAATCAGGGCCAGGAATGTCGAGTTTTTAGTATCGAGAAAGTTATCGAGGATAGTTGAGTGTTGGGTGAGTTGAAATGCGAGCCAGGCAAAGCTTTTAAACTGTGGTGGGAAAGCGCTCTGTAACTCCTTATGTCAAGCTTCAAACCTTCCCGCCTTCATAGTTACCTTTAGCACTGCGGTCTGACGCCACCCGGCCAAGCCAACACCCGCCAAAACTCAAAGAGCAAGCCAGCAATTGCCTCATCCGCCAGCCTGACAGCTGCCGGCTTCTGCCGTGTCCCGTTCGTCTCGAGATGCGGACACCGCATCGGTCCCGCTGTCGGATGTCTCTAGCTTCAGGTCTAGGAAGAGCCTCGTTGAAGACCCGTTCCACCAGAGCCGAAATTTGGCTGTAAATAACAGTTACATGCGCCAAGTCGACGAGGAATTCTCTGCCGACATTGCCAGCCTTATTCAAGGTGTTGGCGAGGACCGTGGCTCCCCTGGTCCACCGCCCGATCAAGTGATATGATGCGGATTTACATCATCTGGAGATGGGGGCTGAAGAGTCTGTGGAAGATTATTTCCGTCCAATGTTTACCCTTATCCCAAGTCGACGGAGAGCTTAAAACGCAGCGACAGATAGCCAATGTCTCGGTATACTGTTCCTAGTACTGGAGCAAAGCTCAGAGTTAGCAATCTAATACCCGATATTCTTTATGGATATACCGATGGAGCATTCCCTCAGCAGCAAATGCAACCTATCTCTATGGGGATTGACACGTGTTAGCCAACAATCAGGGCCTGTTATACCCATTCTTCGCCATCGATTTCAAGAGGGATGGCCCTGGTGGAACTGGCAGTTTGTGGGTAGCAATGAATCAGTGCCTTGGCAGTTCTACGTCCTGTGCCAACATTGCGGAACGCCTCAACCGCCAGCTGAGGGATTGCAAGAGCGATGAGATTAGGCCCATCAACAGCGCTACGTTTAGTGTGGCAATGAACGGTACAAAGGCCCGACTCTATATCTCGTGGAAGCATAATGATATCGATTACTACATGCGGAGGGTCAAGAGCTTCTTGCCTCAAGACCCTGGGCACTACATCGAGTTCGGCAAGTACGTTCGGAACATCATCGACTGGGGGAAGGATAAGCGGCTCAACGAGATCCGGGCCTCCCTAGACAAGCTTTTAGAGGAGGGCAGGAAGAGAACTTCCGAGGCGGCGAAGTCTCGCCAGCCGCCATCTGGTAGTTCCGCGACCAGCAGTAAAAAACACAAGCCCTCATCGTCTACCTAGCTAGGTCCAGCTAAATAGAGGCAGAGCCGCAACATATACCTCGGTGGAGGCCGCGTTATGCGCGGATGACCTACTATCGAAGCTCGGAAGCATCCGTGAAGGTAATAGTTGGCCGCGGTGTGGATGACGAAGCATTGACAGCTGGCTATATCGGCAGAGGCAGGCGGGTATGGGAACTAGCGCCCTCAGCTGGGGGCTTAGCTCCACAAGCCGAAGCACGCCGACGTAAGCTGTCCACATCGCCCACCGACAACGACCGCGACGCGTCGCTGGCGGGACAGCGCCTCCCTCTCGCTTGAATCTAGCTCTTGGCCTCGTGAGTTAATATGTTCTTAGTTGAGCACTCCATGCGTTCTCGACGCTCGCATACTGTGGTGTCTCTGCGACTCTCTGCTGTGAATTGGTATCCGTATCCGTAAAAATGCCAAGGCTTCCTGAGGGACAGGGTTCGGAACTCAAAGCTGGGTGGGGCTGATGACCCACAACAGCCCAGCCACGTGAGGCTAACCCTTCGGTGTGTGGCTGGAGCCTACCAGCCCTAAGCGGGAAAACCACTGCCGCACATTCCCAAAATTTCGCGGCACCAGACTTGAGAAACTGCACCACACCACAACGCTCCCTCCGGTCGACGACGACGAAGGTATAGCTGCCCTATAACACGCATCCACAACTCCGCTAGCGATACTAATTGAAGCAACAGAGTAACCGCCAAAATGAGTACGTCTTACCTCCCTTCGCACGCAGCCCCGATACCCGATTCTGCAGCAACCTCCTTTGATCCGCCCCAGTCTCGAATCTCGCGGCCTTGCCTTCTGCGAATCGCTACGATGAGCACCTCGCTGTGCGCGATGCAGTTGGCAGGGTAGTATGATGGGGATTGTTGGCTGACATTCACAAACAGCTAAGGGAACTTCAAGCTTTGGCAAGCGGTATGTTTTCGGCTTCTGCTCCGACGGATTTAGCCAAGGCACATTATACTGACCTCTCTTGCCAACAGCCACACCAAGACCCACGGTCTCTGCAGACGCTGCGGGTAAGTCGACGCGCGATCCCAGAGGTTTCGAACCGATTCGATGTGAAAACGAGGGGAATTCGACAATTCCAGGGCTGGAGTTGACACTCACCACAGACGCCGTTCTCTGCACAACCAGAAGAAGACATGCTCTTCGTGCGGATATCCCGCTGCTAAGATTCGCAAGTGTACGTCAGCCATTGGAGATCTGACTCTCGTTTCCCTGCCGTTTGTTACGGAAACCTAGGAGCGTTGCAATGCTAACGGATGGCGTGCAAATGCAGACAACTGGTCCGAGAAGGCGAAGCGTAGAAAGGTTACTGGCACCGGCCGGATGCGGTATCTCAGCACCGTTGCGAGAAAATTTAAGAACGGTTTCCAGACTGGTGTCCCCACGAACACGCGGGCTCCCTTGACGGCTGCATGAAGAGTGTCATGATCGACGGCGGTGCAGACGACGGGAAGGAACATTTTCGGCGAGCGGTGTACAGGGGCTGGACTTGGGACGGATCTTATCGCCCTTTTGCTGTTACATCATACAGGCATGATTTTGCGCGGAACTAGGCCACATCAAGCAAAAAAGGGTCAATGAAAATGGCGTAAACATTTCCCCCAAGAAAAGCCGTTGCTGGATTTTTTTCGTGATCATTGAAGGGGTTCGGCTGCGAAAGTATATGCTCCCAGGCCAGGCTTGGTTGGAAACAGGGTCAGCGGGCTTCAATACTGGGTGTTATTCTACTATTGACCTCGTTCAAACACCCTAACGCCCCCATCCCCTCCTACATGATATAGAAATTCCTTTTCGTCTACCTTTTTGCCAGAATCATCCCCGCCGGGAGTGATCCGCACGACACCACTGACATCCTTTGCAACACCCGTGTCCAGGAGCCTCAGACTGAGCACCGCCCAAGCCTCATGCGCCAAGGACAAGATAAAGGCTACGTGTTCCTTCTCCAACGCGGTTGTCTGCGAGACCACGAGCGGCTCGTCTGCAGACAGGGTGAGGACTGTTGCATGAACTTTCTAAAGATGAAAAAATGTCAACACCATGCCCCTGTTAGGACTTCGTAGGGTGCGACATACCTCTCTCAAGTCAAGAAGTATATTTTGTAGGTCCTGGCCCGAAGCACTGCTCTCTGCTCTAGCGGCGAGCAAGAAGTCCAGTTGGTCAACCACGAGCACGACTCTTGGCTTTACGTTGCCCGTCCCATTGTCACTCAAAGCCGTTGCTGCTTTGGCCTGTAGTTCGTCCACGGCGGCGTGGAGGACTCTACCAACATCCGCGATCAGAGGACTTGTGAGAGTAGCGCTTACGCCGCTGCTCTGAGCCGTGCGGCCACCGGAGTGTATTACTGCGGCGGCGGCGACTGGAGAAAACAGCCCGCTGAGACCATCCACAAACCCAAGCCGACCTCGCCGCACTAGCCCGTCAAGGTCCAGCCCAAGACGCCCAGCGCTTTCCTTCCAGAACGTGAAGTCCCGCAGGAAGCTAACCAGCACAACACATACTTCGCCCTCGCCGTCGCCATCCTGCTCGGTCCGTGGCTCTCCGGGAAAATGGTGCCTAGTGGTGGTAGTGTCGTCAGCGCCTCCTGTCGGCGCACGTGTTGGTGGTCGCGCTCGCGGCGCCGGCTTGAGCAGCGAGTGCAGGTACCGCAGCACCAGCCAGTTGGTGCTGGCCCCGAGGACCCCCGTGATCACCACCAGAGCGGCCTCCTCGGGGAGTCCGAGGTACGGCTCGAGAAGAGCCGGCGATGTTATCCGCGATGTCATGGCGAGTGAGTGCTCGTGTGGCGGACCAATATATGTTTGTTGGTGGGGTCGGTCTGGTAGCTTGGGGTGCTTGCACTGCGGCCCCCCTAAAGGGAAAAAGTTGTCGAGCTAAGAAACGTCAATGGAGGGGCAGCTTCGCACAGTGCGAATTGTAGATCGCGAAGCACGCGGCAGACACCAGTTTCGTCTGCTGAGTTGGGAAAGAATCATATTAATTACTAGTACCAACTAGAAGATCATACTACGAGCTCACCAAGTTCGGCGATCTGCAAATCGAGGCTGGTGGTCTCCTTTCGAGTTCGGTGACCCCGACAGACTGATTTTCCCTACACCCGAAGAGATCCTCGCAAAGATAAACCAGGATAAACGACAACATGCCCAGGAAAGCGCTGCGAAGAACCATATACCCGGGGCGGGGCAACCAGCTTGACTCAAGGCGAGAGAGGCCGCCAGGAAGAACTCATCCTTCAGCGGAACACCTGCTGGACTACCCCTGAGACAGCTCGCGACGCGCAACTGTTCTCTAGTAGGGGAATTGGTGGTCTGCTAACACATCGAAATATACCGGGTCGACAAGCACGGAGCGCTGGTTAAACGCAAACATGGGGGCCGGTGGAAATGGCCATATTTCTCGGTATTCGATGGACCGTGGTGGGCGGTGGCGTTAACGCCAGCCACGTAAGAGGCATCCCAAGCCTTATGACCATGATGTATATTTGGCTGCATCTCAAGAGAAATTATTGACGGTAAGTAATATGTACGGAGTATGCTTCATTACTATACAGGGAGATACAAACGAGTTCTCGGAGCACTCCTCTCAATGCCTGGTGGGTGATCGACACCCTTACCCCGTTCTTTGGCATGCTTTATACAAGTGCTGCGTCTCCCCCCCTTGAGCTCCCATGAGGGGCTTGTCAGCGTCAAGAGCCCCGACGCCTGATTCGTGTTCCGCCTCCGTGCAGCCGTTGCCCTTTCCCGCCGAGACTCCTCCATCCTGTTTCCGCTCCGGCTCCGTTCTCTGCTTCTTCGCGGCCGGCCGCTGCTCCACGGCCTCGTCCAGGGCATCCTCATCCTCCTGAAGCCGTCGCTTTCCCGTCCTCGCGATTGGCTTGGTTGCGGCCGGTATCTGACTCAAAGCCCACTGGATCCGTAGAGATTGGCTAGACTCGACTACCGTGGCATCACGGTACGCCCTTGTCTGTCGCATAAAGTGCTGGATGGCTTCATCCCGTGGTGTGGTTTGCTGGTCGGGTTCACCAGCCAAATGTGTGAACAAGTCCTCCGCGCTAGCTTCCAGGACTCCGAATTGCACAAGCTCTTCCCAGGCAGCGTCATGCGACGGCTTGTGACGCTGGACAGTTTTGGCGTCTGCATCCAGCCACCAGTATTCGAACCCGAGGTACTCGATCGACGTCGCCCGCTCATCTTGCCGCCGAGGGTCCTTGAGCAGTCGAAAGGCCTCGTGGAAGCCATGCTCAGCCAGGCGGCGCCGTGCAGCTCTCCCGTAGTCCGTGAAGCTTCCTGACTTCCCTGGCCCCCTCCAATCGACCGGTATCTTGTTCCTGCTGCCACATGTTCCGGATGGTGTCCTCGAACTCTGGTCCGGTCGTGATCGACCGAGCTCGGTAGACTCAAAGTAGCGTTGCTTCTTATCCCTGAAAGCCGCTAGGCTCTCTTCTGCCGTTCTATTGCCGCCCCCACGGTTATCGCGCTGCCACCTCCGGAACTCCTTCCAGCCCGCCAAGGGGCGCGAGAAGACGCATACGTCATCTGGGTGTTGAGGGACTGTATTCTCCAGCCATGGTCTGAGGAGCTCAGCGAAGCCGGTAAAACTCTGGTATATTTTGTCCAGCGTCTCCGTGGAGCAAGGCGGCCGGCCGCCACCATTGATGAGTTCATGATAACATTAGATCTGGTGCCCCTTGCCGACTCCGGGCTGTGACGACAGCGACACTAACCTCGGCTCTGGTGACGTAGAGGGCGATTGTCGTAGTGCTTTGCGCCTTAAGTGTATGTCGTCGAGCTTGGCTAGCAGATGTTGCAAGCCGCTGTTGGAGAGTTGGGGTTCTTTGGCGATGGAGTAGGCTTCGCTGCATACCTCTAGTAACGAGCACGAAACTCTTGTGAGCTGGAGGATGGCTTGTTAACATATGCCCCTGCAGGAGCTCCGTCAGCTTCAGCGTCGCGGTTGGCTTTGATGAAATCAACCAACCAAGTCTTGTCTAGGCCAACAGTTGTTCGCCCGAATATTTCGGTGCCATCGGCACATCGTTCGTTGCACTGCTTGTCGAGTGAGTTTGGTAGAGCACAATTAACTTCAATGGAGTAATGGTCAGAGTTAGACCACGAAAGCTGGTTGGAGGGGGAGTCTTAGGGTACAGCGGTGCTGGCCAGTAGCCGTTGACCCACAGCCCCACTAAGATCGCTCGCGAGAGTACACTAAGCCAAAACCATCCGTGAGCGCTTCGACGACCAGGCGGACGTCTGGCTCATGAACGAGCCTGCGCCGGCGCCGGCCATACTACCACCGCTACGCAACACCGAGGTGAAAGTCACGGCGCGGCCGGCCGTACTCGGCCAGGTAGCGGCACCTCGCCAAAAAGGGCGCGTTGCGTCCGCAGCGGCCCCAGTAGCAGGCGCAGGGACTGTAGGACATGGGCGTGTCCCCGCTCGTAGCCAGTCGGTGGCGGCCTCGCCCGTGAACGTCGCGCCCAGCAAGCAGGTGGTTCGGCTCAAGGGTCTAGTCTCCGGGCTACCAGGCACAGCTCATCATGGGAGGCAGGTCATGTACCCAGGAAGGTCTTCCAACCCGAGGCGGCGTGTCGGCTCCTCCGAGCCGGGCAAACGGCATCCACGGTGCAGAAGGGTTCGCGCCAGAGCTACCCTCGAAGCCGTGCTAGTACTGAAGGAGTACCTACCTTGGTATCTTATCTCAAATGGATGTTTTTGAGACTAAACGAAAATACAGAATAGTGTTAGGTATTCGAGATATATTCTTGGTTATGAGAGAGAGGTACGAATTGAAGCTCTTATTAGTGTCACCCTTACACCAAGGTACCTGCCAATGACCCCGCCAAATAAGTGGAGAGGCTCCAGAGCGGCGGGAGCTGGCACTTGGCCCCATCTTTTTGAGAGGTGGCTAGCTCTCAGACACCTGATGACGGGAAGGGGACATTTGTTTCAAAAACAGGTGTCCTAGCGTGTGGCCTGCGACAAGACACTGGAACGGATAACGGCACTCACCAAACCATTAACCTGAATTAATCACGAGTCATACCAAGACGTAGTTCCTTTCCCAAATGGTTGGGCATTCCGTGGAAAGTGTTTGACACTTACACGTAAAAATCTAATTCTTCGGCGCTTTCAGAACCCTAAATTGCCAAGCTTCGCCTATCATAGGCACGGTCTGTTTTTGTGCTTCCTCGCATTTCCTGCGTTCCTCGCGTCTTTCCACTTCTTGCTTCGTCAACGCACCCCGCTCTACATCTTTAATTTCCCTTCCACTGCACGCCTTCGCAATGACTGACCTAGAGCGTCAGCTACTACTGGCGGAGCTGGATCGAGAAAGAGGACAGAGGAGACTTGCAGAAGAACGAGCGAACGAAGAAAAAAACGAGCGGACCAAGAAAAAGGACGAGCGGACCAAGCAGAAGGAAAGATGCGAGATGTAACCTTTCAGGACTACATACGCAATCTACAGACCGTCATCGTCCCGGCCTTGATCGTCGAGGATGATACAACTAAACGGTCTACCGAAAGCGTCACCGATGTCCACGGTAAGGTTTACCCCTGAACCGTACGCCGATGGGACGAGTTTCCCCTCCTCTGCGAAAAGCAGTTCGACGACATGGCCAAGACGTTTGGAGAGGAACTGCTATTCCCATCCTTGATCTCGGTGCAGGAGGCCAAGAAGAACCTCTCACCCCAATTCGAGAAAAGACGAGAAGGACATCGTATCCTTCATCCGCGCCTACGCCGAACGACCTACTATGGCGATAGTGAATAAGTTTGCCGCGACGCATGAGCTCCTCCAAGGCACCGAGCTTCAGTTCCGCAACAACGCATACGGCCTTCATCCCAAACTAGTTCAGGGCGATGAGAAGAGCCTGCCGCCACCCAATAAGAAGAGGTCTCCGGACCGCCCAACTAGCCTAGCCCCCGACCGATAGGCAGTCCGCATCGCCCAAAAAACCAAAATCGAAATAACAGCTCTGGTGGGTGACTATAAGGCTGCTCACAAGCTCCCAGGGGCGAGCTACCACCAGGTTCTCGGTAGCGGCCCTCTTCCCAAGACGTTCTTTGAAGATTGCGCTTGGCAGGTCGAAGCCGAACCGGAAGCCGGTCGGCTTAGTACCGAGAGTATCAAGGTGGCTAAGGTTCTGTGCCAAGCCTACCATTACATGATTGTCACTGGTCTAGAGTATGGATACGCTGCGTCGGGGGAATGCATAGTCTTTCTCACTATCCCGTTTAACACCCCCGACGTCTTGCTTATCCACCTTTGCGATAAGCCTCCCAGCGACATCTCGTCACTCAGCCAATCACACGCTGTACAGCTAGCCACGCTCAGCCTGCTCGCCCTCGAAGCCGATCCCCCCCTGCTCAGTGGATCCTCAACGCGGAGCAGGCCCTCCCACGGTGGCCGTCGCCTAAGGAGAGAAAGGATAACCAGCCAGGTGCTCGTGTCGCCATTACGGGAGACGCTGCCCCCTCCCTTCCTCCTCCTCTACCCAACGACGCCCTCGCTTCTTGTCGCGTCATTACAAAGGGAAAATGGGACGAATATGATGATGATGATGAGGATGCCAACGACAATCGTCCAACAGCAGCTGTGGCGAAGCGAAAGAGAGAGGAACCAAGACCCACAGCGCTACCTTCTTCCCACAATAATGGTGGCGGCGGCAAGTCATCTTCCCACCAGCGCGGTGGGCCCGATGCTGAGCAATACTACACGCAAGCTTGTCTGCTCGGGCTCCGTCGTAGAGGCCCTCTTGATCCCAACTGCCTAAACACACCTGTACATGGCAGCAAACAGGGCTACCTATCGCACCACCCCATCTCGGCATCCGAGCTATGCCTGCGTGTTCGGGACCGGCTCTCCCGCAATCTCGATGACGGCTGCGAGTGGCTGGACAAATACGGCATGTTTGGCGCAACGGGTGTCTTGTTTAAATTAACCGACCCGACATACGGATATTCCTTTGTCGTCAAGGGCGTCCAGAGAGCTGATGCCAGTACCCTTACGGACGAGGCGTGGATTTACTCGCACTGCCTGGACCTCCAGGGGATCCGGATCCCCGTCTACCTGGGTAACATCGAACTCGTCTACCACTACCCGCTCCGCAGCGCCGCCGCCGTGACCCACATGATGCTCCTCTCCTGGGCCGGCACGACGCTCTGCCACCGCCCGCCGCCAGCTGGTGTGGACGTGGAGGCTGAGGTGGACGCGGCGGTCAAGGCGCTTCATCGCTACGGTGTCGAGCATGACAACATTAGGAATGCCAACCTCACCTGGAATGACGAAACGAAGGGGATCATGGTGATCGATTTTCACCTCTCTTTCGTGTATGCCGCGCCCAAGAAGGCACGAGTGGTGGAGGAGAGGGATATGACGGGAGGCGTCTACAATGTCTGTATTGTTTAATATAGAGGCTAGTTTCTTGGGCGCGCCACCCCCTGAAATATGGTGCTTGTATGGCCTTATTTCGATTAGGCTCTACTATAATAATGTACGGTCAAGGCGCTTTATCGCTACGGTGTCGAGCATGACGATATTAGGAATGCCAACCTCACCTGGAATGACGAAACGAAGGGGATCATGGTGATCGATTTTCACCTCTCTTTCGTGTATGCCGCGCCCAAGAAGGCACGAGTAGTGGAGGAGAGGGATATGACGGGAGGCGTCTACACTGTCTCATTGTTTAACATAGAGGCTAGTTTCTTGGGCGCGCCACTCCCTGTAATATGGTGCTTGTATATAGCCTCATTTCGATTAGGCTCCACTACAACGATGTACTGTTACCTAGTGTGCAGGTCAACTGCCAAGTCCCCTACACCTCACCTGTCCCACCTCACTTTTTTGGGGTAAATGGTTTGGTTCTGTTCTCATGAAGTGCAGCAGCCTGTTCATGCAGAAGACGAGGCTCGAGAGGGATCTTCCCTGAAGGTACCCCAGATAACATGCATAATACAGTACATGCAGCAGGTCTCGCGCATTGGGAGGTTACCTGCACTGACACAGGCCTGGGCTGATACTAGGTTGCGAGCCAAAGTTTTCTGACCTGCTCGGGTAAGCCCACCAGCGCGCTACGATTTGGAAACTACAGCGCCCTTTCAATCGCAATACAGCGCCAGCAGGGACTTAGCAGGGACTGCACTGGCCAATATACCCTTGCCGGTGCACATACAAGGGGGAAAACATACCTCATACCATAAGTCAATACCCTGAGGCACCTAGCTAGCCGGGCATTGTACGCGCATACCATGAACTAATTCGTAAAGGGTTAAATATTTCCAAGGTATTTACCATCCCCTTGGCCTTGGGCTCGGCACTGGCCAAATTTGTTTGCAAATTTGTCGAATATAGCCAATCGAGACGCTTTCCTTTGTGTCGCTAACAATTTTCCACGGTGATCATTTGTCACAACTGTTTTTCTCCGGTGCCGAGCCAAGGCCAAGGGGATGTCGGAAGGAGGGGTATGTGGGGGACTGCAGTGCCTTAGTGCTGGCCCGTGCGCTAAGCCTAACGAGCCAGTTTGACTCATTAATTGCTGCAGAGAATTCTGCCAGCCTGGAAGGCAGCTCAAGATTCACTGCCCCTCTGACCCCTCCACAAGCTCTATGCCGATTTCCTTGTGGCGGTTGGCTAGATTGCGACGGGAAATACTGCTCAAAGCTCCCTCGGCCTTCGCCTTGCCATCGCCTCGACATTACTCTCTTCAGAACTCGGTCAAGATGGCAGCAAACACTCCCAACGCTCCCGCGCCTGCGTCTGCTCCCGCGGTGCCCGATGCGCCCGATGCGTCCGCAACCAAGAAGATTGGTGAGCATTGAGGGGTTGCCCAGCTTGGTGGATAGAGATGCTCATACTTTGTATCTTTTAGATCAAAAGCGTGCCGACAAAGCGGCCAAGTTCGCAGCCAAGCAAGCGAAGACGCAGCAACAGAAGCCTGCCTCGCAGCCAGTCCCAAAGGCACCAAAGACTCAAGCCCCTGAGCTCCCACCCTTCGTCAACGACACTCCTCCTGGCGAGAAGAAGGTACTGAGGTCTTTCGACGACCCTCATTTCCAGGCGTACAACCCCAAGGCGGTTGAGGCTGCCTGGTATCAATGGTGGGAAAAGAGCGGATTCTTCAGGCCCGAAACCTCGGGATCCAGCGAGATTGGGACCTTCGTCATTCCCCTGCCTCCGCCGAATGTCACGGGTGCCCTCCATTGCGGCCATGCCCTTGCCAATTCCCTACAGGATACTTTGATCAGATGGTATCGGATGAGGTGAGAGCTTGCTCTGCTCTTGGGGTGCTGTACCGCTCCCTTACGTGCTTTATCTAACTGGTTTAGGGGCTTCAAAACTGTCTGGGTTCCCGGTTGCGACCACGCTGGTATCTCGACACAGTCTGTTGTAGAGAAGATGTTGTGGAAGAAAGAGAAGAAGACGCGCATCGACCTTGGACGCGAGGATTTCACAAAGCTTGTATGGGAGTGGAAAGATGATTACCACAAGCGGATAAACAATGCGCAGCGACTTATGGGCGGCTCAATGGATTGGACTCGCGAAGCCTTCACGATGGACGAAAACTTTACCGCCGCGACCAAGGAGAACTTCTGCCGGCTGTACGAAGAGGGCCTCATTTACCGATCGGACCGCCTGGTCAACTGGTGTACTCATTTGAACACGGCCCTCAGCGGTCTTGAGGTGGATAACAAGAACATCAATGGTCGTACCATGCTTGATGTTCCTGGCTATGACAAGAAGGTGGAGTTTGGTGTTCTCACCTACTTCAAATACCCCATCGAGGGAGAAGACCAAACGATCGAGGTGGCCACAACACGTCCTGAGACTATGCTTGGAGATAGTGGCATTGCCGTCAACCCCGAAGATCCTCGTTACACTCATCTGGTCGGAAAGTTTGCGCGCCATCCGTTCACAGATCGGTAAGTTGATCATTCCGTATTTTAAGAGGCAACTCGTTGACTCTCCCTAGTCTCCTCAAGATTGTAGCAGACACGTATGTCGACAAAGAATTCGGTACAGGAGCTGTGAAGTTGACACCGGCACACGATTTCAACGATTACCAGTTGGGTCAGCGACATGGCCTCGAGTTTATCAACATCTTGAACGACAACGGAACCCTGAATGAGAATGCGGGGCCTCGCTTCCAAGGCCAGAGACGATTTGACGCTCGCTATACCGTTGTTGAGGAGTTGACCAACCTCGGCCTTTTTGTCAAGAAGGAGCCGCATGCCATGACAATTCCCCTGTGCAACAAGTCCAATGATGTGATCGAGCCGTATATGAAGGCCCAGTGGTGGGTCCGCATGCAGGGGATGGCGGATGAGGCCTTGAGGGTGGTCGAAGAAGGACAGATCAAGATCGCCCCCGAAAGCGCCTTGAAGTCTTACCAGAGATGGCTATCCAACATTAACGACTGGTGCATCTCGAGACAGCTTTGGTATGAATATATGCAACTCTCGTCTGGGCTTCAGCTAATCATTCTTGCAGGTGGGGTCACCGTATTCCGGCTTACCGTGTCATCTTTGAGGACGGTAACAACCCTCAAAACGATGACGGTCCTTGGGTTATTGCCAGGTCAACCGTCGAGGCTGTTAACAAGGCCGAAGCGCGCTTTGGTCCTAGGAAGTTCCATCTGGAGCAGGATCCCGACTGCCTGGACACATGGTTCAGCTCTGGACTGTGGCCTATGGGAGTTATGGGCTGGCCAAATACAGAATCAAGCGACTACAAGGACTTCTTCCCCACCAGCTTGCTGGAAACTGGCTGGGATATCCTATTCTTCTGGGTCGGCCGAATGATCATGCTAAGTCTCAAACTTACGGGGAGAGTTCCATTCAACGAAGTCTACTGCCACAGTCTTATTCGGGACTCCGATGGAAGGAAGATGAGCAAGTCTTTAGGCAATGTCATTGATCCTCTAGACATCATCAACGGTATTGAGCTTCAAGATCTACACGCAAAGCTTCTTGTAGGCAACTTGAAGGAGGACGAAGTTAAGAAGGCCACAAAATACCAACAAACAGCGTTCCCAAGTGGCATTCCCGAATGCGGTGCGGATGCTCTCCGATTTACCCTCCTCTCTTACACAACAGGAGGTGGCGATATCAGCTTCGACATCAAAGTCATGCACGCATATCGCCGGTTCTGCAACAAGGTCTGGCAAGCCAGCAAGTATGTCCTCGGAAAGCTGCCACAAGATTTCGTCCCTCTGGACAAACTTGACACGGCGGCTCTCTCCGTTCCTGAGCGGTGGATTCTACATCGCATGAACACTGCTGTGAAGGGCGTCAATGAGGCACTGGAAGCCCGGGAATTCTCCAGGAGTACCAAGCTTGCTTACCAGTTCTTTTATGATGAGCTATGCGACGTCTTTATTGAGAATAGCAAGAGCATTTTGAGCGACGGCACCCCCGCCGAACAGCAGAGCGTGCAACAGACTCTGTATCGGACGCTAGATATTGCTCTCAGACTTCTGCACCCCTTCCTGCCATTCATCACGGAGGAATTGTGGCAGCGCCTCCCTCGTGGGAAGGATGACTCCAAGCCATCCGTCATGTTGGCTTTGTACCCAACACACGATGCGGAGCTCGAGTTTGTATCCGATGCAGAGGTCTACGAGCTGGGTCTTCAATGCGCCGGAGGTCTGCGCTCATTAGCTTCTGACTACAACATTCGCTCTGATGGACGTGCGTTTATCAAGATTGGCACTGCTGATGGTCTCGCCAAGGTCAGCGCACAGCTTCCGGCCATCAAGACACTGTGTGGAAAGGGGATCGCAGAAGTCAACCTACTTGGCCCTGATGCGGATGAGGCATCCAAGCCAAGCGGCTGCGCCGTCTATGTCGTCTCGGCTGATATTGCTGTCCTGCTGCAGGTCAGCGGGCAGATCACCGATATTGATGCCGAGATCAAGAAAATTACCACCAAGCTGCAGAAAACGAACATCGCCATCAAAAAGCAGCAAGATCTGCTCACAGGGGAGGGTGTTGAGAAAGTCAGCGATGCCGTCCTTACGACGGAGAGGAAGAAGTTGGCCGACTCCAAGTCAGCCAAGGAGAATTACGAGAAGACACTAGAGGAGTTTAGCAAGCTCAAAGTGGGTGCCGATAGCAAAGCTTAGGCTGGCGGCTGGTTGTAGGGGGGTTTATAGAATGCGACACTGCTTCACATAGAACACGCCTCCTGCTTCCTTGACGAGTCTACGGGGGTATCCGCGCCGGTGGAGTTAGGGGGCTTTACGTACGCGATCTTACTATACGGAGTTGAAGAAGGGTGGGTAGCTGAGTAAAAGCAGCCGTTTACCGGGATTCGGCGGCTGCTATGATTCCAGAAGAAGCGAGACTGCAATCCCGATTGATCCTGCCCTTCTTCTATATTGCTAAGAGAGAAGTATCCGATCAAAGGTGTTTCAATTAGATCCTGTACAAATTAACCTTCCGAATTTGACTTTTAACTCCCGGCGAGCAAGTCAAAGTGTGTAGGTTAGCAGACAAGGTACATAGGCAAGCTGCCCACCTTATCTGCCTACCTTGTCTGCCCATCGTATCTACCCACCTTACCTGACCACCTTGTCTGCCCACCTTGTCTACCCACCTTGTCTACCCACGTCTGCCCAACCTTGTCTTCCCACCTTATCCGCCTACCTTGTCTACCTACCTTGTCTACCTACCTTGTCTACCTACCTTGTCTCCCCGACATGGCGCTTGGGCACTTTTCTCCACAGCTGGCTGTTGGTGAGGTTGTTCGCTGGAAGGCAAAGGCTCTGTGGCTGGCGCGGGGTCGCTTCTTCAGCCCCGGTTACGTTCCAGCCACAGCTAGTAGCGTTCTTTCTTGCCGCAGATGGGGCCGTCAGAATGGCCAAGACACTTTCTTGAGGCTCCTCCAATTGCCAAATCCATTCTGCAGCACTGGTCGCACCAATTAAGCGCGCATCAAACAGACCCTTTTGGCAACAATTTTCCGACCGTAGGCCGCCATCGCTCAACTTGGTGGTGAACCGCACCTCGGAATCTCTGCATCTCCAAGCGACCTCCACAACTGTCGTCTCGAGCAGGCAGCAAAGATCCTCGGCCGCCGCCACCCCCACATCCTCTTCGAGGCCGTCGAGAATCCCGTTGAAGAGACGTTCGAGTAGGGCTGGGATCACTCCAAAGGGGCGCCCCACGATATCATCGTCTTCTTCCAGTGCAATAGTATTTGGCATAATCTCCACGTCGATCCCTCACCCCTCCTGGAACCGAGTGAGTGTCGTACGCGAGGAACTTAGCGATTCAGAAGATATCGTTCACTAAGTCTGTGCTGCGATCTTAAAGGCCACCAATAAATAAGGCTAGTTGGAGGATAATATATAGATGGGGATTGAAGGCAGTTGTAGCGTCTAACAATTCACGTCTAGCAAGGTTATGAGTGGCTACTTGGTTATTATGACAGCGAAAGCTATTGCAGAGTCTGGCGATGCTGAGGAAGACGATTTGGAAATAACAACGGCAAAGGTGCAGGAGGTCAAGAATTTGATCGCGAGCGTTCTAACCTGAGATTGCTCAACAGCTAGGCGTCAAGATATTTGCCGACCTTACAGCAATAGTGCATGTGTCGCTGTCGGGGCTGCCGTCTTTGGCGGGTCGAGCATGCCAATTTTCAGCCACGAGTCAGAATAGCCTCCAGACCCCCAGACTGCCGGATTTCCTCAACCCAGACAGACCCCCGGACTTCCTCAACAGCAAAAATTCTACTCTACCACAAGATACCTCATTTAACATTCAGCATTCATGGCACAGAATAACCCTTCCCCAAATTTTGATAACATTGCCACTGCCACTGCTACCCTGAACACCGAACTACCCCGGATCCGCAATCTTCAAGGTGCCCAGCTTAACCAAGCAATTCTCGATCGGTTAGATAGCATCCAGGATCGGTTGGATAGCATCCAGGCCGAGCTACGGAGAAACTCGAATGATATTATACGGCTACAGAACTCACAAAGATACGCCCTTAATTCTGGGACGACTCTTCTGCCCCTGAGATCTCTTCGAACTAGGGCTTCGATACCCAACTGCCCAACCACAGTTGCTCAGATAGGCCAACTAACCAGGGCTGAGGCACGCCGTATTCTTCGGGAACTTGAACAGCCTGTGGCTGATATAGCGCCAGCTCTGAGGGAGGCGGTTCGGCAGCAGTTTTTCCTCAGCCAGTAACCAATCAGAATCGGCATTCCGGACTCGTCAAGACACTTTCTTTCTTGAGGCTCCTCCAATTGCCAAGTCCATTCTGCAGCACCGCATTAAAGCTAGCGTCGCCCAAAGTTTAGAGCTGGAATTTGGGGCGTGCCACAACCCCGCGAACAACAAACCGACAACCGTGATACCGCCAAGGAAACATACGATTTCGAGACAGCCGGCACAGAGCGAAATGAGGCATCCTAGATCGCCTAGAAAGGCAGCAGCAGCGGCAGCAACAGCAGTAGGAACAGCAGCGCCCGCGACGGCGGCAACCACGACAGCCACAAACGATGCTCTCCGCGCCGCCAAAGTCTTGCGCGCGCTCGACGACGTGCAGGCTGCCGCCGGGCACGAACTTAGCATCGTGACCATTAGCGAGCCCATCCTCAGCGCCGCGGCCGCGACCGTACCTAAGAACGATTATGCCAACAGACACAGCCATGACAATAGCAACCCCCGCGCCTCCGACGTGTCGGTAGCTCTCGACCTGACCACCACCACGACCATTGCGCCCACGGGCCACAACAGCAACAACAGCAACAACAACAACAACAACAACAACAACAACAACAACAACACTACCACTACGCGCACAACCCCCGCGAGCCTCGAAGCCGACCTGGCGCACTACCGCGAGCTCTTCGCCAAGCTGCGCTTCTCGTACGTCGAGCAGGTGACCAAGGAGAAGTTCATCCGGGCCATCGTGGGCGATCCGCCCGAGATTGTGACTTTGGGCGAGAATTCCGCGCTGGAAGCGGCCAACGCCGACGCCAAGGCCGCGCTCAAGGCCCTCAAGGCTGATGTTGGTGATGTCGTTTCTGACCTCGAGCGCCGCGGCCGCGCCCTTGCCGCCCGCTATGATGTTGTGTGTCGAGATACCGCTGCGCTGCGCGACTTGCCTGCGCGTGCCGCTGTGCTTGAGGAGGAGGTCGGCTGGCTGCGGCGCGAGGCGGCAAACAACGGCGATGAAGACGGCGGTGACGGGGCTGGGAGACGGCTCCCGCTAGGCAAGACGGTCGCGCTGGCGGAGCAGCAGCGGGCCGCACTGCGGGACCTCGACCGGCAGCTCGCATCCTTGGGGGGCGCCGCGCCGCGCAAGCGTAAGGAGCTCGACCGGCTGCAGGCCGAGGTGGCGGCGCTGGAGACGAAGCGGGCGCACAGCGCGGCGGCGGCCAGGGACGCCAAGCGTCGCAAGCAGAACGCGCTCGGCGGCGTCCAAGACGACCTCGAGGCTAAGGGCAGGTGGTATAGGGCGACCGACGCGGCGCTGCGGCAGATGTTGGACATTAAGGGGTGAGGGCAGTGATTACTGTGTCTCTCTTGGCTCTGTTTCTCTTTGTCTGTATACATCATGTGTTGTATGTTATGTAACGAAGCAATGGCTTGTGTGGTTTTGTTGGTTGTTTTCTATTCTTTTCTTTTAGTGTTGGGGGGGTGGCAGACTCGGGGAGTTCAAGGCGTTTAGGAGCCGGATCTCGGAGCTGTTGGGGACTACGGAGTACACAACGAGAGAACAGACAGACAGGTCAGGGACACTGACTTCTGTTCTCAGCTCGGTTCCCACTTGGTGATATGATTATGTATCACCCCTATAACAAGTGGATTTGCAAAACACGGATTCTTTCCAATTGAACGTTGGTAAATACTACGTATACGCGTTATACCTGACTATACGTAGCACCGCACTAATACTGTGGTAACAAAGACCAGTCCGCCAAACACACAACACAAAATCGCCAGTCAGGATACCATACCCGCACTCGAGAGCGGGAGTAGAGCAGAGCCAGGGAAATGGCTCACGGCTGGTAAAAGACCTCTTCCACGGGCAGCCACCAGGACGGCTCGCCAGACTCGCTGCCGGTGGCGCCGGGAACCAGAGACGTCTGGAGGCTGTCCGTGACTTTCCTGCTGACTGTAAGCAGAGCTGAACGGGCACATGTTTTGCCTGGCTTGCTGGCTGGCTGGGAACTGCCAACAATATCTGGGTAAGGTATAGAGGGTATGGACAACGCACCACCACTCGCGCACCACGGGGTTGGCGCGCATCTTGGCCATGTCGGCTTCGTAGTCGAAGCCGAGGTACCTGAACGAGGCAAAGAGGATCCCAGTGCCGGGGTCGTGGAAGATGCTGTCTGCATCGCCCTCTCGGTTTCAGCTACCTCGACGTACGTACGTACGTACCTACGAGTATGGCATGCAACCGACATGTCGGTTATGCGGCACGAGCCCGGCCTGCGGTGGGGGCTGCTGCACACCTTGTGCCACGCACCGAAGTGAAGCAAGCAGAGAAGGACTTACAGTCTTGGATGTTGCACTTTTTGATCTGCTCCAGCACTTCGGGCCACACGGCCTCGTGGAGCCTCTTGTACTCGGCGACGTGCTCCGGCTTTAGCTTGATGATCTGGGCGAAGCGGCGCCCCGGGTGCTGGGGCTCGATGGGCGACAACGAGGCCAGGCTAGGCGCGCGCTCCCTCGGCGGGATGGTGTGGGTTGCCCTCGTAGTCGTTGAGGCGGGGGCGGGGGCGGGGGCTAAGGGTGGGGCCTCGTCCTGGGCTGCCTTGGGGGACCAGAGATACATGGCAAACAGATAGAGATTCGTTCCGGCGCTTTGTGTTGATGTTGGAGGGTTCCGAGAGCTGTTCAGGGCTGGGAAGCTAGGGATTTGGGTGTACGAACAATTGCTTGGAGGAGGAGGTGGATGGGAGGCAGTCTTGTCGATGCGGGGTTCGAGCCCACCATCCATCCACTGGACTTTTTAGGTTTCTCCGCACTGTTGCGAGGTTCAGCGCCCCCAAGCAGGTCAGCTAGCTGGTGTCGAGCTGGAAGCGTGCCGGGGACGGGCTGGAAACCCGTTGCGGGGATCATTTTTGTCGCTATCAGCTATATCCGTAGGTGATCTGCCACTGACCATCTCAAGGCACAATTGCCCTAGAATAGGCACTGCCGCACCAACGGCCCGTCAACGAACTGCTTAAGCCAGTCCGCCGACTGTCCACCCACCATCTTCCGGGCTGCCCACCGTACTTCAGGCAGCCACCCAGGTTCGAGGCGTTGCCAGGCGGTTGTTTGCTTCCTGCTTGGTATGTAACGTTATTTTGGGGCGGAATGATGCTTCGCCTTTGACTAGAAAACGAAGTCGTGTTGGGGGGGGGGGAAGGGGGAGTTGAGCCCGCCATCTGAGAAACACACCCCACAGCGACAGCACCGACGATTTCGTCAATTCAACCCGTCTCCGCACACCCCAATTGTCCAGATCTGATCCCTCCACGATGACGATGGCCATGACCTCAACCCTAGGGTTTGTCGGTAGCATTCGCCACTTCTTGGTTTCTGCCGCGCGCTAGGCCTGGGGCTTACTAGAACCAGTAGCCACAGAACCGTCCGAGGACGTGTAGCGCGGATAGCGCATGTGGCAAGAAGCGCTGGATGAAACCCATTTTGCGTTCCTCTCGCTCCTAGTGGCACCTTAAGTTTACCTTCTCTGACACTTCTGTTTAGGATAGCACACGCCTAATCGTTGTTGCCAAGGGAATGAAGCGACGGAACGACCTCGGAGACCTCTGCCGCTGTATTGATTTTCGCCAGATCCTACTCCTGGATGACACGGTTACCGAGGTTATCCTATCGCTTGACCCCGGCCCAGAGAGCGTCAAGCTGCCCTATACTATACAGCCAAGCGCAGATAGCGACGCAGATAGCGAGTACGCCTCCGTCATGAACACCTCTGGGCCCGTACCCTGGAAGACCCGCTCCGAATCCGCTTCCCTATTTAAGATAGTAGCTATGGCATCCCCGCTAGATGGCTCTCTGAAATCTGGGAGAAAGAAGAGCTAAACAGCGACTCCGTCTATAAGGTGCTCCTCTAGGGCGACGAGACACTGTACGTCTACAAGGAGGTCGAGCGAGCCCATTATGTCTCTCTATCATCCAGCTTGTCGTGGCCGTTGTCTTGCAGAACCCATACCGGACTACCCAACCCGGCAAAGAGTGTGATACCGTCGTCCTACACGGGTGCCTCCTCGAGTACCGTCCAACGGCACACTGGAAAGCGCATTGAAATCGCCAACCTCTCTTCTCTCCGAGGCTAGAGAGCGCTGGCGCGAGTGGGCGCTCCAGAACGCCTCAGCCTTTACTGAAATGCACCACTGCGGACTAGCTCATATGGATTTGAAGCCTCCAGTGTTGCGCAGTGCTGATCGATATTAGCGGCATCGGAGGCGTCACTCGTCAGTGGCTCTGTCCGGAATTGCTGGAGAGCAAGAAAGATGCAGTGTCGTGGAGCATCGCGGCGCAGCAACATAATAATATTTGGGCCCTTGAACAAATTATGCTGGCTATGGCGGATGCCTGTTGCGCCGACAAGCAAAGGCAACTGCTAAGGAGCGTTGCGCTAGCTACTAAATGTCCCTATCCACGCACCCCCCTCAGCGAAGTCATTGCCCGTCTTGTCGGGGGACGCCCCTCTCCCAAACCGTTTAACTAGAAATCCTCCTACTCAACCTCACCTGCGTCAAATCCGCCATCCGTCCTGTTCCCTATAAGGAGATCAAGAAATTTCTCCAAATGAGAAACGGTATAGTACCCCATTACCTGGGACTTAACGAACAACCCCGGCCTCTCCGTCACAAGCATTGAAGTAACAAAACGTTCCGGTTGTCGACGAGACTCCACTACCGCTATCGCACTCTTCCCCCCCCTCTTTAGCATCATCACAGGGCTTGCTCAAGCTCTTCTTGTAATGCCCACAGCTGTACACCCGGAGCGTAAAAGTGCACATGGCGAGGATTCTTATCGCCGAACTGCGGGAAACAATGTTGTGGGCGAGGGGTGAGGGGCGAAGCACTTGGGGTTAGGTCAGCCTGGACCTCCTGGCCCTCCTGGTCTTTTCTTTATATATTAGTATTCTTGTCCAGCGTCCTGGGCTCCTGGCGGCTACCTCTGCTTGATGCCTACAGGGCGAGACACAAGTCTGTTATATAATGCACTCGGCCCTCCCAGACCGGAGATCCTGCAACGTTCGAGCTGGGGAGGCCAAACGATTAGGTCGAGGGGGGTGGGTTGGGTTTGGGTTGTGGCAGGCTCCGTGTGCATGAGTCGTCCAGTCAGTGGGAGCACTATAGCCTGACTGCCGTCTTTCTCTCCAAGGCTCCATTTCACAGCTAGCTACCGTAGGTGGTGACACACTTAGTGAGCAGGTGTGTCTTTCGTGACCGCGTCCACCGCCTGTGCCGGCCCAAGTAGGGTTCCAATTCACCTGCCGATAGGGGTGCCTCTTTTCCGGCTCACCGTCTTCACTCTTGTCCCACGCTGCGTTGCTATCAGCTGCATGTGACCCTCACACCTTCTCGCTGGAAAATTGCAGCAGACGACTCTCGGCTCCCTGCCGGGCATGAAAATGGGTTCAACAGGTAAAACGATATTGATACCAGCCGCAACAATTCTACAGTCAGAGTCGTAAGAAGGCGCGCGAGACCGGTTTCGCCGCACCCAGTGGCCCCGTCCCGTCCGTCCTTTTTGAGGACTGGGGAGTAGTAGATGACAGGCCTTATAGTTAGGAGGAGGAAAGAGATGCTAGAGGCGACGATACAGTGGCAGAAGAGCCCAAGTTGTGTCCAATCTATAAACCATACCATCTACAAAAACTGCAAAATCGTACACGTCGCAGAACCCACAACATTACAAAGACGCATAAACACTAGAGCCACAGAGAGCCAGCAAAGCCTCAGAAACCAAAGAAATATACAGGCCGGCCGCTGGCTAAACGGGGGGTGGGGGGTGGGTGAGGTTAGCGGGTCTCCGGCGGGTTCCATTCACTCCTTCGTCGTCAATGCCTGTATGGGGTACCGGGAACGACACCTAGATAGATACCTAATAGAGTACCAATTCTTTCATCATGGCGGCGAGCTCCCCTTCCTCGCCCTTCTTTCTCTTGCGCGTTAATGTTCCGAACGTCTTGTGTTGCTCGGGATTGATGAAGGCTGGATACAGGTCTTGCGAGACCGAGCCAGCCGAAGCATAAATATCCTCGACCGCGTCTTTGTTTCTGTTTTGGTGGTAGTCGTGGGCGAGTGCTCAATCTCGGAAACCAGGTAGCCCTGATGCTGGCCATGCTGGCTCAAAGCCTCCACTATCTCATCGACGATGTGATTCTCTAGTGTGCAGGCCCATGCCCTTAGCGCAAACGAAAACACGTTCGTCTGATCCGTCAGCTAAGAGCGCCAAGTATCGACCTAAAGTTGGTAGTGAAGAAATATGTTAGTCCAAATAAAATCTTCGGCGAATACGCGAAGTGCCAGGTTTTGGCGGGTGCCGGGTGCTTCGACTGAGCCCTGGTCGAGCTGGCTGTCTCGGGTGTCAACAACTGCCTGGAAAAAAGGGAGTTATGCAACACCGGGCTTGCTTGCACATCCAATTCCGACCGACTGGGGTGTTTTTTGATGCCTCAGGTATCAAATCGTCGACAGGAGCAAATGACCCACCCACCTTTGGTTGGCTGCCGACCTTGCTTCCCTGTGCTGTGACGCAGCGTGCCCCCCCGTGCCCGTCATTTTGCGCGCTACGGCACACTGAGCATGGGTTTGGGGGGGGGAGGGATTACCCTGCGCCAGACCATGCACTCAGATCGTTAAGCCTGTGTCAGCATCCATCTCGTTGTCACTAGCGATGTCGAAACCATACATATACTCACAGAACCGGAATTGTCGTCTAGCTTCTAATAAGACGCACGGTGATCCAGCGGATTGATATGAACGAGTTCGCACGATCCACTGATCCGATTCGTGACAAGACCCTCCGGAAAGGATAGGACCAAAAAAAAAAAACTCGACATCTTTGGTCGCCGTCCTCCTCGTTGTCGCCGTCGGACTGCGTCCGCATCCCCCATCTCCAACGACGGTCATAGCCTGTGTTTGGGAGACTTGGCTGCCTATTTCCAATTCATGGCTGCATCCAACTATTGGCTTTCTTTGACTCTTCCAAGATTTCGCTTGGTGAGGCCCTGTTGCGAGCATGTGAGGAATGTGGCTGCATGCCCTGCATGCCCTGCCTTCCCTGCATGCCCTGCGTAATCGTCGATGGGAAGGGGTTCTCCCGCGGCCGTGCCTTGACTACCTCTGTTAACACAACAGCACGCACCGGTACGGTCCGAGTGTGCCAGTTTCCAGCAGGTGGCAGGAGGTGGCCCTATTGCAGCCTATTGCAGCCCATTGCACCCAGAAGAGCCCAGGAGCCGGGACCCAGGAGCCATCATCGCCGAGCAGGTCATTTCGACGACGTTCAAGCCGGCGTCGCAGTGGCCGTTGCATCGCCCACCCAACCTCCCAAGGTGTCCTTGACAGAACTCACAACATCGGCTGGCGGCGACGGCGCATCCTCGTAAGCAGTCTCCCCATCCTCTGCTACATTTCTTTCCCTAACCTTCAGGCACTGACAACCTCCCCACCAGCATGTCCACTCTCGCGCGATCCCACCACACCGTCACCGTCCTCGGCGTCAAAGCCTACATCTTCGGCGGCGAAGATGCCGACGGCAACCTATGCTCGACCGATGTGCACGCCATATCCCTCCCCGACTCAGCCACCTCCCCTCCCGAGATCGCGCACGCATCCTACTCCGCCTTCGCCATGCAAGACACCTCCTCAGGCATCACCCTAGCGCCATCCCCGAGCAAAGGGCACGCTACATGCGCCTGGGGCGGCAAGTACATTGTAATCTACGGGGGGATCGGCGCGGACGGGTCACCCGCAGACGCCGCCGACCCCAACTGCCTATGGCTGTTCGACATGGAGGCGCCTGGCTAGAGCCAGCTGCGCGGCACGACGCAGCTCGACACGGCGCTGGCGTAGCGCCACGGCCACCATCTGTTCGCCGACGACAAGTAGGGCTTCCTGGTGCTGCACGGCGGGCACCTGTTTGCCGGCAACGCCGAGCACACTGGACCGTGTAGGTGCGGCGGCGGCGGCTACCCCTCAGAACGACACAACCACCACCCCTGCCACCGCCGACGCCGGCAGCGAGACGTGGCCGCCAAGGACCTGATCCGCGATAAGGTGCCCGTCATCGAGTTGGGCGAGATGCGCTTGTCTGCTGTCGACCCCGTGCCCATGGGGCAGCTCGCGGCGCCCGAGGACAAGGTCTACCCTGGGCCGCGCGGGCTGTTTGGTGCTGACTGAGGCTTGGACAGCAAGGGCATTGTGTTCTGGGGTGGTGTCAATGCCGGAAACCTACCTGAGATGGAAGCCCCCAGGGGCCCGAGCTGAAGAAGGGTGTTCCCAATTCATTCCTTTCTATCCGATCTACCCCTCCCCTTTGGCTTCCTGCCCTTTCTCGTTCTCGTTCTCGCAACTCTTAGCATTTCCTTATGGGCCCCTCAAAGTGTCTCAGCGATAACTCCCTGGGCCCTACCGTCCAGGGCTGCCGGGATGACTTTGACTTCACTATCAAGTTCCAAAAAGTCTTTTTCGCCATCATCCCGGCATCCGTCTTCATTGCCCTGTCACTAGCTAGACTCGCTTACCTGGTCCCCCGACCTCGGATTGTACGAGGTCTTAGCCTTCATCTGGCCAAGATTGTAAGTAGCTAGAAATGCTCGCGCACGTTGCCCTCACCTATGTTCCATAGGCACTGCTAACCTTCGCAGATAACAACCCTTTCGTTCGCCACTTTGCAGCTCGCTACTCTTTCCGTCCTTTTCACCCTTGCATATGAAGTGCCTGAGCGCGAGCTGTCCATTGCTGCTGCCTCTCTCAACCTTGCCTCCGGGCTTGCCATGATAGCGCTATCGTCAGCTGAGCACTCGGCATCTCCGCGTCCATCCCTTCTTCTAAACGCCTAAATGTTTCTCAGCCTGTTTTTCGACATTTTTCAAGCGAGAACGGTTTGGCTGGTTGCTAGTGACGCCCTAGGGGCCGTACAAGCTCGCCTCTGCACAGCGTCGGCCGCTGTCAAGGCGCTTTCCTTGGTCTTGGAAGCTCAGCACAAGACTCAATGGCTTCGGTGGGACGCCAAGACCCACAGCCCGGAAGAGTCGAACAGCATGTTTTGCTTGGCCCTGTATGCTTAGATGAACCGCATGTTCTGGGACGGGTACAAAGGGCCTCTCTCGCTTGATACCCTCTACGCCCTGGACCATGGGATGACGGCTGAAGCGGCCCAGCGCTGGACACCCCAAGACTATCGAGCTGGCAGAACTGCTTTGGGCTGGGATCTCGCTCGCTTCCTCGCTATACCGTTTCTCCTTCCCATAGTCCCGAGGGTTACCCTAATGGGTTTCAACTATTCGCAAACGTTCTTCATTCGCGCGCTGCTCAATTACCTGAGCCAACCAGCCGATGTCTCCAATGCCCGAGTTGGGCATGGTTTGACCGGTGCAGGTGTCTTGATCTATTCCGAGATCGCATTCTCGTCGTCGCTGTACGTCTATTACCAATGGAGAGCACTCTACAGGCTCCGCAGCCGCCTTGTGACCCCCATTTACCGCAATACAGTCGCGGCGAAGCTTGGTGTCAGGGACAGCACTCCCACAGCAGCCGTCACCCTGATGAGCACTGACGTTGAGCGTATCGTCCACGGTTTCATCAGCCTGCACGAGTTCTGGGCCTGTACTGTTGAGCTTGGGCTTGGTTTGTGGTTGCTGCAACGCCAGCTTAGCATGGCATTTCTGGCCTCTATCACAACTGCTCTGACTTGCGCAACCGTCATAGCCTTAGCTGCTCGTAGTGGCCGAAAACGACAGGTCGCATGGATGTCGGGTATTGAGCGCCGAGTCAGCTCGACAGCCACTGCCATTGCAAATATGCGATCATTGAAGGTGACGGGCATGATGGAACATATATGTATGCACCTGATCCAGCTACTGAGAGAGGCCGAGATTGCATATGGAAATCGATGGCGCGCCTTGGTTCTTCTCACCACGACCATGGCGCAAGCTCCCGCAGCCGTCACACCTTTGATTGCTTTCGCACTCGCACCCAACAATCTTGGCGTTGTGAGCGTATTTACGGCTCTATCATATCTCACCTTACTCTCGAGTCCCCTAGCAAAGATTTTTCAAGAGCTCCCACCGCTCCAATCTGCTCTCACCTGTCTAAGTCGCATTTAGGACGCGCTCGTAGCCGAGTTCCATGTCGATCATAGGAGATTTGCGCCGTGTGTTCTTGCGAATCAGTGTGGCCGAGGAACCCAACCGACAGATAGGCAGGTGCACGACGACGACGACGATGACAGCGGCGGCAAACTGGTTGATTGTGGTCAAAAACAGAAGGCAGCAGTGTCGATCATCGATGGCAGCTTTGGCTGGACTCAAGACAGATTTGTGCTGAGGAACATCAATGTTGCTATGCATTACGGCCAGCTGACTATGATCACTGGTCATGTAGCCTCTGGGAAGACAACCCAATGCAAGGCCATTATTAGAGAAGCCCCTGTGGCTAGTGGTCAAGTAATCCTAAGAATTGCCTCTGAGGCTATTGGGTTCTGCGACTAAACCCCCTTTCTCTTCAACGCTACGCTCAAAGAGAACATCATCGGGTTCTCAGACTTCGACCAATGTCGATATGATGAGGTCATTGAAGCAACCTTGCTTCATCTAGACGTCGATCTCGACTTTGACGGGAACGAGAAGATTGGGAGCAACGGTGATGGGCTGAGTGGAGGTCAAAAGCAGGGACTATCGCGCGCAAGAGCCCTATACCTCGAGACGGACCTTCTCGCCGTTGATGATATCCTCAGTTGCCTTGGCGCCAATACTGAGAAAGATGCCTTTGGGAGAGACTTCGGTCCCAATGGGATCGTCCGAAGGCGAGGAACTACCGCAATCTTCTGCACGAGCTCGACCCTTCATCTACCCTGGGCAGACCGTGTCATTGCCTTGGGCCCTGATGGCGCTGAGACCTTAAAGGGTAAGCTGCCTTGCGATGAAAAGCTCCTTTTGCCGCCAGCAGGTGACCGGGAACGTCACGCGAAGACTTTTTGCGATGATGAACACGGAAGCATTTCGACATCATCACCACCATCCCGCCGAGGACACAATACAGTCGGGCTTGGTGGCACTCTTGGCAAGGCTCGAGATATGAGCGATCTCAGCGCGTTTCGTTACTACGTGAGCAAGACCGGTAAACGTTCTATCTTCTGGCTGGTATTGATGACTGCCCTGTTCGGTGCTGCGAGCAACTCTTCCACCATTTGGCTCAGGGAATGGGCTGAGAATCTTCTCAACCTCTCTAGAGCATCCTACATTAGCATCTTTGGGCTGCTTCGTGGTATCCAGCTCACCACCCTTGTGATATCAGCGGCAGTTGTGTTGATCTTCATGACACGAGTTTCCGGAACGGAAGCCCACAAATCCGCCCTCAGCGCCGCCATCGGGGTGCCATTAGGTTTCTTCACAGCCGCTGACTCGGGAACCATTCTCAGTATCTTCTCGCAAGACATGACTATAATCGACAGCGAGCTACCCATCTCCATGATCAACACATGCCTGTATGGATTTGAGGTTATTGGTATGGCGTTCGTCATTGCTGTCGTCTCGCCGTATCTCGCTGTCAGCTACCCTTTGTTCATGTTGATTGTCTACATGGTTCATAGGTTCTACCTTCGAACTTCCAAACAGCTGCGATCACTTGACCTAGAGTCCAAGAGCCCATTATAGTAGTTGTCCACCCGCTAGTGCCCGCAACTTCTGTCCCTCCTGCTAACCATGACGGGTATTCGGCGCATAGCACGCACTTACTCGACACCGTGAGTGGAATAGCCACCATCCGCGCCTTCAACTGGGCCTAACCTCATATTGCGCACAACAACAAGCTTATTAACGAGTCTCAACGCCCGGCATACTTTCTCGCACTGATTCAGCAGTGGCTGACGGTGACGCTCCGTATTGCGGTAACCGTGATCGCTACCATAGCCATCACACTCGCCACTCAGCTCAGGACGAATGCAGCGCTCACAGGCGCGAGTTTGGTAGCACTCATGACTTTTTCTGGGGGTATTACTAGCTTCATTTAATCCTACACTCAGCTGAAGACGTCTTTGGGTGCCTTATGCCGTTTGAAAAGCTTCTGCGAGGGCATGACGTCCGAGGCGTCGATAGAAGAGGACATTGAACTCCCTGAGACGTGGCCCGAAAACGGTGCCATTGACATTGTGAGAGTTTCTGCCTCATACACGTACGTTTCTTCTCTAGAGCATACCAGTTTATTGTGTATTTCTCGTCGGCCTGACCAGTTTGTAGTGCAGATAACGGAAACGACGTTCCCGAGGGCCAGTCATGCCTCTCACTCAAAGATCTCACCATCTATATTTCTCCCGGAGAGAAGGTTGCCATCTGCGGATGGACAGGAAGGTGAGCAAAATCGCGGCTCAGGAGGGTTTGCAATTCGGCTAACTTTGGTCCTACAGCGGCAAATCGTCTATTGTGCTTCTTCTCGGCCTACTCGACCCTCTTGCCTACTGCTCCCAGAATATTTCTATCGACGGAATTCCCATCCATCGCATCCACGAAACTACGCTTCGCAGAAGGGTCATTGCTGTACTCAAAGGCAACTGGGATTTCTTTTGCATGGATCACAACGGGAGACCCATCGTGCTAGGGTACCTCGCTCGCCCGCTTCCATCGCCAAGGCAGAATGTCGGGGATCAAGTCGTGGCAGCTGGACAGAATGTCGTGGAGAAGAGCTTGCATCAGCCGGGCGAGAGACTTTAGTAGAGTAGAACCCGGCTTCCAGAAAAAGAAGTTGGCGAGAACGAGCTGCCGGTCCACTATCACGGCGATGCTAGTTGATATCGGACATGGCAAGCGTGGGGCGTGTTACGTACCAGCCCATTTGCGCAACCTTGCCTTGGTTCTCCGGCTATCGCACAACATCTTCATCAATGTTGACTTCCCGGAACCCAGCTTGCCGTATATGTGAAGGAAACCGCCCGGTGGCCGGAGCCAACGAAAGACCTTCTCCCTAGCGGTGGCCTGCATCGACCTGACAGCACTGACTCGAGACTCGTGGTTCGCATAGTTGTCACCGTCGCTATCTGAGCCACTGTAGCTCTCCCCTCACTCGTTGCGTCGGCTAGCTCGACCTCGCCGCCGCCCCAGTCAATGACGCCCCGCGTTGTGGCGACGAGCTGCCTGGTACTCTTTACAAGCCGTCTCTGAAAGTCATATTCTGGTGTCTTCGTGATGCCGCTCTGGTCAAAACACCGCCACGATCCTCTGCCGCACGTTTCTCGCTTCGGCATCCGGCCAGGAGTCTCCAAACTCCGTCTTCTCGGTTAGATACTCATGCTCACCGTCTCGGACATGCAGCTCACGGACATGCAGCTCACGGACCCGCCGCTCGGCACCGTACACAGGCCTAAAGACCTGGTTCCTGCAATTTCACGTGCGCAGCATGCTCCCGTCGGCGGCCTTGATCGACCACTTGTCGCCCGTGTCCATGCTCTGCTCATGGGCCACCTGCCTCGCGAAGCAATAGCGCATGCGGTTGGCGGTCCGGCCCAGCGTGCCGATGGCTTTGTAAGGCGGGCCCTGGATGTCGGGAAAGCTCGCCTGGCGTAGAACTACGTCATTGGTTACCACTGTCTGGTTGGTTGCTGACATTGAAGGCCGAAGAATCTCAAATCGAACGCACTCGCGGCCCATGGCGTCGCTGAATGACAGGGACGGGGTGCCCGCACTGTGGGCCGACGCCCGCTCAGCGGCAGCCTCCTCCGCGCCGAGCTGATTGTCCTTGCGCTGTTCATACCATATGGTCAAGTACTCGTGCCGTGGCAGTTGCGCTATAAAACCACCCACATCCGGGTCCTGCGCCGGGTCGTTGATCAGGACGGTATCCGTCGTGTCCCACGCCTGTAGGGCCTAGGGCGAGAAGACGCTTTTTGTCCACGTGTGGTCCGGGTTGATAATGGCCACAGTGCGCGAGAGCGAATCGTGAACGAAGATGGGGGAGACGCCATGGATCGCCTTGTCCTCAAAGCGGTGTGTCAGAAAAGAAGGGCTCATAGCACCGCACCGGGTTATACTTCTTGTTGTTGATGACCCAAGCGTTGGTAAGCCATCTGTGGTACATTGTGGCCTTCTGCCTTTCCTTCCCTGCTGGCGTTTCGAGAGCATCCCCTGGCTCCAGCGGGGGTCGAACCCCAATTTGACTGCGGGTTCTTCGACTTCTTAGTCTGGAGGTAGGCATGCATGTTGTTGGATTGGCTATTGTCAGATGGACAAGGGTTGCATGTGGAATAGAGCTCATCCCAGCTGAGCTCTGGTGTGGTCATCCGAGGTGAAAAGAGGCTCAGGGGAGCTGAAATGAAGTGGCCAGTTCAGCTGGTGTGGCTACTTTTGCCACCACCATTGCCACCATTTACAACTATAATAGAGGCCCTCTGGCAGGACCAAAAAGAAGAAGGAGGAGAGATGAATGAAAAAAAGTTGAAGTGCTGAATCCAACACATGTCATATACAACCCGGGACGTGGCCGTGCTCAGCAGGTCCGACGCATGGAGCAGTGGTGCCTGGAAGAACGACTTGACAGCTTTCTCTGACAGGTCAGGCCTTGACCCGCCAACATCGTCGCCTTCATGAGCCTCAGGCTTTCCGCTCACTGCAGTGACCGTGACTTGGCCAAGAAGATCGAAGACGACCTCACTTCGGTTCATGTTTTCATCCACGGCGACGAAAGGAACCAGGAGTCGATAGTCATGTCCGTTTCGCACTAGGCACTTGGCCGGGTCCTTGTCTTGCTCACCAACAGAGACAATATTACCGTATGGATCTTTGACGCTCTGCACCAACAACCTATTCATGTCATGCGTGTAGATGGTCTCAGTCGGAGCCGGATCTGTGTCCCACTGAGCTCTAGATCGGCGAAAGAAGTAGAAGTCCTCTTTGGCATGGCGTAGTTCTGTCTGCATGCTCTCAACGCAATGGACCGGGAAGGGGAGGTGCGAAATCCACGGCCGGCCTGCCCTCTTATCTCTGGCATAGAACTCGCTCGAGCTCGTATACGAGACTTTAATCTCAGACCCCATATTGATCTCCATCGAGGTCAGCAGGTACGGTTTGCCTTGCTCCATCAGGTCTAGATAGCGTATCTGCTAGCGAGCGTCTCCTGGCAGGCTTAAAGACCAGACCAGGTAAGCGGCCCCCCTTGCCCGGGAGATCGAGGACCTGCACACTAGTCTCACTATCCACCGATGGGAAGCTATGGATCGGAGTTCCGTCGCTCCAGCCCTTGTCCGAAAGATTCGGATACATAGTCGGACTGTCGCCGCCAAGGTATACCAAGTCCGTTGCCCCAGTTCCATAGAGAGATGGACGTAAAGAAGGTCCCCAGCAGCACACTACTTCAGTCCTAAACACATCAAATTAGACAACCCGCGAAGAGGATGAAACACCAAGCCCGACCAATCAATGCTGATTCCCACAGCCTCAAAGCAGCGCAACATCCACGCCCCCGACACCCGTGACTAGCCAGTTCGGGAAAATGGCATTCTGCCCATGCGCCACAAGGTCCGTCCTGAACTCGTTCACTGACTGCTGCGAACGGTTCGGCCCTTTGCCCAAAGCAGTGTCCTTCTTCGACCTGGCACTCCCCAGAAGGCGGTACTTGATCCAGTCCATCCAGAGCGACTGGCTGGCCAGGATGACGGGGAAGTGCTTCATCTTGGGGAACGTGACGAGCTCCAGCGTCTCGGCGCTGTGTGCCTGGGCCAGCGCGGCGCACGGCGATGCCCTGCTCGGCGATGCCGTAGGGCACCATGAAGTGGTACTGCAGCGCCTTGTAGTTGGACCGGCCGCAGGCGGCGAAGTTGCTGGTCGTGCCGTGGGCCCAGGCGACCAGGGGGGAACTGGGCGGGCCAGGCTTGTTGGAGGGCGTGATGGAGGGTAGGGCCGGAGGATGTACGCCGAAACGGGCAGGATGGTGCCGTTCAGGTCCGTCGTCGTGTACATGATGCGAGACATGGTCAGGCTGTTTGGGACCAGGTAGTTAGACAGGTCCGTGGCGTATTCGATCTTGAAGAGATCCTGAAGCCAGGTTCCGCGAGAAGTTAGAGGGAACGGTGTAGAAGGGGTCGTTTGGCACTGCGCGAGCCGAGATTTCGTATTCGATGCCCGTTTTGGCGAGGGCCTGGCAGTTGGAATTGCAGGTGGTGCTGTTGATGGTCACTGCCTGGACTGCCCGCCAGAGGGCAAAAAGGAGGAGCAGTTTGGTCATATCTGCTGGGTGCTGATTTGTGACGCAGAAGGCGAGAAAAAGGTGGTGATAAGTTGACAATTTCCAGCTACATTGTAGATGGGCGACGAGCCTTAAATACGTTGACTCTGGCGCAGCTCAATGTGAACCCGAGGCGTTCGCGGTTGAGTATCACCAAGGCTGTGTATTCAGCGTATGGCGTATAGAAGCTTACCTCGTGGCATGGCAGAACCGGAGTCCACGATGATGCGGAGCAAAGAGTCCAAATGCTGCTCGTTATTTGGAAGATATTCATTGCGTACAATCGCCGAAATCTGTAAGGAGCAGCCCACAATAGGAAATGCCCGTAGGTAAGCTGAATGGAGGAGTACAAAAATCGGCTGGTACAGGGGCAGCAGGATCAACGCTAGGAGACTAGCCTAAGTCATGCCTCAGCACTGACAGCACCACGGTTGGAAGTGCTAGCCAGCTTCAACCATCCAAGGCAAGAATGCAACCTGAGGCTGATTTTCATGCACACAAAATCCAGATGAACGCCCTAAAACCAGCCAACGCCACTACGTAATCCCTCGCCCACCTTCCTTTGCGAGGGCCAGGATAAAGTCTTTGACTTTTGTCACTCATTGCTCGCTCTTCTTGTTGCTTCCATTGTGAACAGCTTGATCAGGCGTACCCGCCTTCTCTCGCACTCCAAGCGAGCCACACTTTTCTTTTAACTGCATATCATTTTCTGCCTCATTGAGTCTTCTCAATGATCTTTGTGACCGCCAGACTAGTAGTTGGGTCGATGATGACTAGCGAATCCCTGGCGTTGTACGTTTTTTGTCTCCGCTCTACATACACCTTTTTACTAAGACAGGTGCATCACTTTCGCTTGGAGATGGATCCAGAGCCGTGGCTACTTTAGTATGAAGAGCTTTACGTTCTGCCTTTGACGTATATACCTATGACTACTGAGACCAATCGTTGTTCCCTTGCTGTGAGAGATGGGCCGGGAGTCTTGGTTGTGTCGGCAAGTTAACATATTCTTTCTTGCATGTCCGGAAGTGTCAAGCTCAAAGTCATCCCTTTTTTCGTCCATTGGAGGATCTGTAGCTGACAAGCGAGATATTCATACTACCCCTACACCGGTTCAATAATTCGTGTTTAAAGACTAGGTCGCGCGCCAGGCCTGGGCTCCCAGCCTACGTCTCGCCCGCAAGACTGTCTCGGTGAACCCGGTATCGGCCGCTAGTCCTTGCCCTAGTTTCACTGCCGTACCCCCTGGGTCTATTAGTATGACGGGGTTGGACTGCGCATATTGATACACGTTGAGCCCGTCGCCATGACCAAGCGGGTCCGCCGTCGTGAACCGCCCCAGCCACGCCGCGTAGTGCCAGGTCCCGAGGTGATAGAAGCCCGTCGAGTCACCGAGTTCTTTTCCCAAGAACCGGTAGCGCTTAGGTGCCTCCCTCGGCTTGGCAGAACGCAAAGCGCAGAGCCGACGTGCCGTATGGTGCGTACTCCTCATGCGTGAGGATGCATGCATCCTAGTCTACTTCGGTTTCCGTCGAGCCCTGGTGGTTCAAGAGCTGGTGGCGGTAAACAGTGGCTGGTGCGCGGTGGTGTGACGACGACCCAACGACGCGGTGATCGATGAGCAGCAGGCGCCGTCCAGACTCGGCGATGCTGAGACTGTGCATCTCCAAACTGGCCTCGCCGCTGCTGTCAAGCCGCCGCAGCACCTCGAATGTGCCGCCGATGTAGACAGTTTCTTTCAAGAGAAATGACCGCCCATCAGGCGCGATGCGCTCCGTCACCTTGTGGACCCGTTTACCTGTCGCGTCGTACCGATATAATGTCTGTTCTTGGGTAGCGGTAGTGACGGCGGGTATGTTGCTGCCAGAGACTCCTTCTGGACTGCTGCTCTCTTTATGCGGAGAAATCGTTGGCGTCGAGGCGATTATTTTGTCGCCGTAGTCGTATTCTAGACTTGGCCGCCTAGGCATGCGCGTCATGCACCCCAAGATACCGGCTGGTCTGGCGTATTGATACTCCTCTGTCTTTAGCCCGACACGTGTGCGGCTCAGTCTGTTGTTCCTCTCGGAGGGAACGATGGCGCTGGGCTCGTCATAATCGTAAATCCTGGTTCATTCGCGGCTTTCTGAGGGTTTTTGGTGATGCATTGACAAAATGTTCCCCTGCGAGCCATAGCGGCACCGCTCGACGTAGCGTGCGAGGGCCTTGCCGTTGTTGCTATGTGTGACGGCCCGCCTTACGCAGTAGGGATGTCAATGGTTGAAGGCAGTAACGAATGTGGATTTAAAGCTAAGGAAGAGAAAGGAATCTATCGCGGGGTCCGCGCAGGGCGCGGGGAAATAGGTGGTGGGATTGACTCTATTGGCCGCATTGTATGTTGAGTGTGGTCTATGCGCACGCCCACCACGTGCCCTGCACTAACACCTATTTCCCCGCGCCCTGCGCGGTCCCTGCAATAGCTTCCTCTTTTCCTTCCTTAGCTTTAAATCTACATTCGTTACTGCATTCAGTCTTTGACTTCCTATGCGGGCCGTTACACTATGTTGGTGATGAATTTGTTCGAGGTGGAGGCTAGAGGTTTGACACGAGTTATTGAATAAGTTTGATACTTGTAGTTGATGAAGAGTAGAACTTAATAAGACTTAGGCCATGGATATAATAGGGAAAACAAGCCTGGTCTAAATCACTTCTTCTATTTACTGTAACACGCCTCTCGTCGTAGTATAACTTATCCGCCCATTTTGGTATATTAGGGGGGTGGGTTTATCCCTACCGTACAACCCGGCCGAAGAAGAAACTGCAAGACCGTGGGGTAAGAATAAGCGACAGGGCAAATGAACGGCATTGATTCACCTGAAGTACTCGTCAGTATTGACCATGAATGCTATGTGACGCTAATAGAGCCTGGGGATGGCCGGTAAGCCGTTGTTCTGACTTGTGCCTCTTGCTCGCCGAACGCGTCTTTAATGCGGCGCGCTGTAGCACGCCTGATCCACGAGTCCCAGCCCATACGTAGTCGTGTGTTGATACATAATACGGGGAGGCTTCATCAACCATCATCCTGTCCATCATTTTGCCGGTAGCGAGCAAACGAACGGCTTCATCCACCATCATCCTGTCCATCATTTTGCCGGTAGCGAGCAAACGAACGGCTTCCTCCAACTTGCTTCGTAGGGGTCATTCCCAAACCAGGGATTACGCCATTGTGTGTGGACGCGCATGTACAAACAAACAAAAAGGAATGGGGGTTGGGGAGTTCCGGTGGTGGGTAAATGGGGGAGTTTAGATGGTTCAGTACTATACGACTTGCCGATCATTAGCAGCGATATCAGTGAACAAGTACGGAGAGTGTGTGTTGGAAGACCGGGAGGACGGGAGGATGTAGCCGCAACAGGATAGACAAAGTGGAAGGAAGTTGCGGTGTTGAATAACCCCGGTTCGAGTATCCCAACACTCTGTTTGGAGGTGAAATGACTGTTGTCGTAGTCACAGAAAGCACTTGATGGATGCCTGAGTCGGAAAGAGAGTGGAACGAAGACATGGAAGTTGGAACACGAAAGGAAACACATTAAACTATCCCTAACGTATCGTGGCGCTCATGTCTCCACGTGTCCAGAAATTATACGCTGTTCCACTTGTCGTGACGAATGCATCTGGCCAGCGTATGGCTTGACTGGTGTCCTGGGTGTTGTGTTCTGGTGGTCGAAGGGTAAAAACTTTGAACAAGTGGCGATCCAACCACGGGCCTGGGGTATATGCGCGCGTATTGGATCAGTACATGCCGTCTTATAGATCGTTAGTAGCGACCTAAGAAATACGTCTCGACGACAGTGCAAACGGCTTTAATCGAACACAAGGTATCCACGCATGTCCTGAAGACGCGGAAGCCGATTCCACCGCCCCGTTACCCCTATCGTGGCCATATAGAGGCGAAGGTGCAGCGGGTGTGTGTCTAGGCGTCCCTCTCTGCATTCTGTGCAACACTGGAGAGTACCTCGTCCAATACGGGTGGGCTCTGATTGATGTCGTAGGTAATTCTAACGATGAGGCCACGATCCCATTACCTCGTTGTCTTCTAACCCGTTGCAACCGTCCAACTTGCAGAATATGCGCCGGGTGGGTAATAAGAGGACATGGGTGCGCATGTTGTTGGTCTGCTAGATTTCCCGCTCGAGGCCCAATACAGCAGACACGCGAGACGGCTTCTCCCTTGGGGCCATCTCTTTGAGGGCCCCGCGGCAGCATCTGCCCCTCTCTTTGGGCTCCCTATCCTACCTTGGGACCTGACTTACCTCTGCCTAATCGCACCCAGCCAGCCGAAGCTCGCCTGCGCTCTTTAGAGCTTTGGGAATGTGTGTGAGACGGATACTCGGTGCTAATAGGAGAAGTAGTAGGCCAAGACGCCCAGGCGTTGATGTTTGAGGGTGGGATTTCGAAGCGGAGGTCTTACCCAACCCCGGCCGGCCGAAGCTCGCCTGCGCTTTTTCGAGCCTGGAGAATGTGGGTGAGGTAGATATTCCGTGTCAATAGGGCAAGCAATAGAGCAAGGCGCCCAAGCGTTAATATCTGAGGGTGTGATTGCGAAGCGGAGGTCTAACCTAACCCAGCCTAACTAAACCAAACCCAACAGCCTAGGGAGGCGACCGCCGCCATTTGGCTGTCCATCTATCTATCCGTCTATCTATCCGTTAGTTTAATGTTGTAGAGGCTGACGACGATGACGGTAATGGGGGGCGGCGGTCGCGGTAGGCGCAAGAATGAGAGACGAGAAAGCAGAAGAACAAACCCCAGCCAAACCAAACCCTCCCGAACCAAACCCTCCCGAGTCCCCCGAGTTCCCACGCCGCATGCCTCGGGAGGCCCCATGGAAATTCCAGGCTCTTTACAGGTCCTCCCCCGTCAATAGGTAGTAAAACTTCAATTCATAACAAAGATAATTGAGGGCAGGGTGGGCGGCGATATATTCGATACCCCTGTACAAATATTCGGCGAATATGGTGCACTAAAACTTAGCGAGATGAGGACTGCTGTTGCGGGCACCATAGGGGGCGAAGCTGGCAGCAAAACGTAAAGGGAAAATACTCGCTGTAGCTTAGCGCCAGCCCGCTAAGTTACAGTTTTCATCTCACTAAATTTTAGCGTTTACCCCACTAGAACTTCTGTCGATTTCAGCGTATCATATTCGCCAAATACTCGTACAGGGGTGTCGAATATATCGCCGCCCACCCTGATTGAGGGCGTTGATCCTGTCCTGCCGTCGGACGAGCAGCCTCTCCTGTCGGGCGATTGTCCTGTCCTGTTCTTTGATAGTATTTTCGAGCTTCTGGAGGTCCTCTTCAAGCGCGAGGATGTTGTGGGACATCCTTCTCAGCGCTTCGACGGCCTGTCGTTCGAGCCCCCGAACGACATCTTGGGATACGCCGCCGTCGCGTCCATCAGCGACGAGGGTACGGCCAGACGAGCGGGACGATGGTAAAGTGCTCATTACGGCGGCGGCAAATAATTGCTGTAGGACTAGGTATCAAGGTCACTGCTCGATTGGAGAGAGATGGAACTGGAACTGGAGATTGACTTACGGCAACCAAGATTGACTCGAGGAATCTTGGAGGCAGGACAGGACAGGACAGGACAGGACAGGACAGGACTGGGCGACAGGACAGGGTGACAGGGTCGCTGCCAGTGACAGGACTGGGTGTCAGGGTCGCTACTCGATTGAAGAGAACTAGATATGGAGATTGACTTACGGCAACCAAGATTGACCTGAGGGATCTTGGAGATAGGATAGGATAGGATAAGACTGGGCGATAGGGCTAGGTATTATGGTTACTGCTCGATTTTCGAGGGTGTCTGTCTGTGCCCGAGTTTCCGATGTAGAAGGAAGAAAGAAGCGTAGGAGAAGGCGGAGGGAAGGTCTTTGGTTATAGACTCTTCACTCGCGGGTTGGCGGCGGCTCCTGCTTGAATACCTCGGCAATTACTTCAACTCTTGCCATTTTACCTCTCGACTTCCGGTGGGAATGCCGTCAAGTGGAAAATATGGCGTTTTCCCCCAGAATATCCCTAGACCCTAGTTGGGGGCCGTTCAAAGTTCGGGCGTGTGGAGAAAGCCCGGCTGGACGAGCCAAGAATGCAGCTGAGCTCGATGGAAATGGAAGTGGCTAGGAGAAACTCGAAGGCTGATCGAGATGTAGGTCCAACTGCCCTGCATGTAAATAAGCGTCAATTGTGGTGCGGCTGCACGTGGTTGATTGATCTGAAGTTGGAATGCGTTTGGCTTCGTGGAGTTTCGGCACGCTCTAACAATCGAACTAACTGAGGTGTGCCGTGCCGTTCAGAAAGCTAATACCAAGTTTCCCCTGTGCCTGTGCGCATGTGCCTGTGATCGAGACAAGCTCCGCTCTTCCGATGGCGCCTGCGTCCACATCTCGAGTCTGTTTCTATTTGCCTACGTAATAGTCTTTAGCCAAGCCCAGATAACACCCTCCACTCCACTGTTGGCCCAACCTTCACGCTCCGACTTCACATGCTAGGCCAACACCACCCCTACGCACTTCCATGTAGATAAGGCACGTCTTTGCATGAAATGCAGCTCTAGAGCTTGCGTGGTTCGATATCAAGTTTACTCTCAAACCTTTAGCCTCTCGAGATACATTCTCGCAGCATCCACACCCTCCTCTACCTTGGCCACGTCCGTTCTGCACTCGCTTGCTACTAGACTGCTCTTCGAGTGTCCCTGGAAATCATATTTGGAGATTGCGGATGTAGTAAGTTCGGCTTGTGCTTGCTTGATAAGAATCTCCTTCTTCGGAGATGGGGCCATGTACTCAAGGCCCTCCAAGGGCTCTTCCACACGAACGGCAGTCCGCCTGGCCTGCCACGCTCTTGGCCAGTGACCGCCACGATGCGCCGAACACCCTTTGCGATTCCAGATTCTTCCAATATGACCATGTCCTTGATCTTACCAGCCTTGTCAACATGCGTGCCTCCGCAGAACTCAATGCTGTAGCGATGCCAGTCCTTGTTGGACATATCGCCGAGGATTGTCTTGGCAGGCACGCCGATCGAAACCACCCTGGTAGGGTCGGGTTACGTCTCGCCGAAGACGGCGCGTACACCTTCGATCTGACGTGCACTTGCCAGCGCGATGGATGATGCAAACACTTCTAGGTCGTCCTTAAATGGCTTCAATACTACGTTAAGGAATGTGGCAAAATCCCGTCTGAAATCGACGTTAACTTGGTGTACAAGGAGCTCCAGCGCTCCACGACCTCCACGCCGAGCAACTAGACGCTGTACAGAAAGCACCTGCTAGCATTGTGCGGAGACGCCGCAACAGCATATTTACATGTGAAAAACTAATCGCGAAACTGGAAAGAGATCGATGAGGTGACAACCGAGCCAACCATACCAGCCATTGGAGGACCAGAGGTATAGGTCGCACTAATGGTCCTTAAGACCAACAGCAACATTGTAGGGTTGTCTCATTGAGTTTTGGTGAGAATTTCAAGCGGGCTAAGTAGCTTGAATACGAACAGTTGTTTGTGCGGGGATGACCGAATGGCGCTTGTATATGCGCTGTTGAGGTTCTATTGTAGTGAGGGAACCAGCTCCAGCCAGTTGGCTGTAGGGTTTTCGAAGACATGGAACCGTATCGCCAGTTCCGCTGTTTGGTTCTTTCTCTCCGATAGACCGTCTGTTTGCGGGTGATATGAAGCCGACATGAGCAGGCAAGTGCCCAATACTTTCCAAATTCTTCTCCACAGCTCTGAGTTGAGCTTGCGATCTCTGTCAGAGATGATGCCGTGAGGGATTCCCCAGTCATATGGCATCAAACAGCGCACGAGGACCACACCCTAGTCTTCGGCCTTTTATGTAGCGTGAACAGGTATCAGCATGGTTCTCTTCGAGGTTTTGCATGATACGGTGAGTAAACAGTCGAACTTGTCGTGACTTTCCAGTGCCCATGGAGTCCCCGCTGACGGGAGCTTAGGTAGGCCTACTATGAAGTCCACGGCGATCATTCTCATTGGTAGACTGTCTTTAGGGCGTATGGGTTGATAGTCTCCGATGGGGCTTCTTGTTGTTCTCCTGTTGAGGGCGCATGAGGTACAGTGCTTGACGTATTCCTTGACGTGATAGGTTTTATTGTGAATGGAAAGTCTCCTCAAATCATATAGCATACGCTCATCAGCGAAGTATTGCTTTTCATCGTGCAATGCTTCCAGAATTCTGCCGATCATGTTGTGCGGAACGCACAGGCTTCTCGTACCGTTGGTGCGAATGTTGTATAGAAGGCCGTATGTGAAAATGAACGGCATACCGGCCCGGAAAAATCCGTCGCTGTCCTCATCGATCCGTTTCCCTTTCTCCTTGAGGTCCGTGACGATAGGTACGTACTTGCGGTCGGTTTGGTAGCCGTCAAAGAAGTCTTCCTCCATATCTGAGTCCATTTGTGCTTCTGCGAACACGAACTAGACTTCATCGAGGATGAATTTGCCGTCAGGGCGCTCAGCAGTGTCACCAACTGCTTCCAGTTGACTGAGGGCGTCTGGCACGAAGTTATTTTTGCTAGGTACATGATAGACCTTGAGAGGATACTGTGATAGGTATACTGACGCGTTGATGAGCCTCTTGTTCGCACGATCCGTGGACGACGTGTTTAAGACGGCGGAACCAGGGTCGCACCATCACCTTCAAAAAAGGTAGACGAAGGTATCGAGGGATAAATTAGATTCAGATACGGGCCGGAGGTGGCGGCGATCCAAACGGGGAAGCAAGTCGTTTTTTTTAAGTTCGTTTACTCGACGATTCCTTTGATGGCTGAATGGTCTATGAAGGCGATGACCGGCTGGTTGGCTGAATGTATGAGGGTTTGAAGCCTTCTGATGCTCCTGGCCAGGGTAGCAACTTCCAGCTCGGAGGGGCCGTACCGTAGCTCGGCTCTGACCAGACATCGACTAAGGAGCATAACTAGGAGGACTTTTGTTGCCGGGATAACTGTGCTTTGCAATGGGTCCCAGGTCTCTCCGTCCCGCAGGTGATATAGTTTAACGCTGAATCCTCGCTAGGCTGAGGCATCTATCTGGAGAAACAGCTGCTTGTTGGGGTCATGGTGGCGAATGATAGGGGCTGTTTCGCTGCAAATGATGTCCTGGAGGGACTGGAATGATTGAAGTTCGTCCTTTATTGGCTTGAAGGTGGTGGCTTTGCAGTAATTTGCTCTCTTGTTCGGGTGCCCGTTGATGACCCTGCCCTCCTTTCTCCCTTCTGCTAGCAATTCGACCTTGCGGAGCTGCAAAGGCTTAGCGAATTTGGCGTAGTATAGAATGAGGTGACGAAGAAAACCTGTGCTGCCGATGTAGCCTTCCAAATCCTTGAGTCTCGCTGGAAACTTGAGGTTCTTGTATGCCTCAACTCGGTCCTTAGTAGTGGGGAGGCCAAGGCCGTCCACGCGGAAGTCCAAAAACTCAACGTTTGGGTAGCCCAGGTAAGACTTCTTCGGGGAGATGGCTATGTTCTTGATGAGGAAGAGCTTGAACAAGGTTTGAAGATGCCGTATATGGTCTTCCTTGGTATCTGAGAATATCGCAATGTCGTCTATGAAGGCTCGGCAATAACCGGAGTGGTCGACAAGAAGCCGATCCATGAACTGTTGGGTATAGGCAGGCGAATTGCGATAGCCCATCAGTGCAACCGTTGACCTCTTCAGTCCTCGAGGGCTGATTAACGTGAAGCAGCTCCTATGCAACAGGTAGACTCCGAATTAGTAGAAGAATGAGGTCGCGTCAATGGCCGTGATGTATGTTTTACCTCGTAATGAGGTTATCACCTCGGCCTACACAATACAAATGCCGGCTATATACGTACCGCTTAGCTGAGGCAACTCGGCTATAATAAAAAAGCTTAAACGAATAATATGCTACAGCTAAGCTGAGGTAACCTAGTAACTCGGCTATAGAGAAAGCTAATAATATACTTTTTCCAATAAGCGAAGGAAATCAGGCCACATAGCCTGCAGGGCTTGTTTTTGAAAGCGTATGGAAACCATTAGATGTGTGTGGACTTTGTGTATATATAGGGAGCTTCTCTCCCACCTTTTTCACACACTTCTCTTCTTCCTTACATATAACAAAAATCAACCATACCTTCAAATACTACTTTCCACATATCATTCTGACCGTCTTAATCTTCTCCTTTCCCTAGTATCATTGGCTTAGGCCTACAATAACTGTGGGGCCTACAATCACTCTTCCAAGTCCCATACTTCTAAATAAATATCCCTCTGGTACTTGTACCAATACTCTTCGGATATAGAGCCCCAGACTCTGCCATCATACTGCCTTACAGGCACTTTTCATCAAAGCCAGACTGAGAGGATGAAACGCAGTGTTGACGGGCTGCTGAACACGTGTTACAGCAGCAGAAGATGCGGCTGCTGAGCCGAAGAGGGAAGAGACCACTGTAGCTGCTGTCAAGACCTTCATTGCTTTGCTCCAGGTAGTTGCGAAGTAACCGCTGTCAGCGTTCTCGTTGATTTCTCCGACGCGGAAGCTCTTGGGAATAGTCATCGTTCCTTTTGAAGGGTTGACAACTCTGACAACCTTTGGCGCGTCTTGGCATCGACTATGGCGTTGACAAGTGCTGAGTGCTTTGCGTTGAAACCTTCCGAACGCACGGCTGCGATCTATTGTTATAGACGAACGGAACCTTGAGGTCGAGCTTCTTAAAGAAGATTTGCTCGCTGTGGTAGTCAATATTGACCTCATGAGGACGCAGGAAGTCGTTGGCCGTGAGGATGTTTGGAATATCGATGCCAACGACCCATGCTGACTTCGTGAACATCATCATGACCGGCTTTCCCTGCAAATCAGTGCCTGGCATGTGGACTTTGAACGTGGCCCATTCGGATAGCTTCGGGCCTCTGCCCACACCTCTGAGTCTACGTCCCTCTCGCTTCTCGATGGAGTGCTCCAGGGTGTTCAAGAAGAAGCGGAGAATGACTGATCTACTGGCTCCTGGATCGAACCAGAACTCGAAGTCTTCGGCGGTTTGCGATCGCCGTCCCTTGACTCTCAAGTGCGTATAGCTATACAGGGGTTCTTGTCCGCTTTCTCCACGAGTTCCGGGAGTGCTTCCATCAGGGTCTCGTCAGTGCCGGGTAGGTCCATGGAGTCCAGGATCTTGCTTGCTTTGGCGTGCTCACAAGCCTTCAAGTAGGCGAAGAGCTCGTTTGTGGAGGCAAAGATTTGTGGCAGAAACCGCAGGTTCGACGTGTTGGGGACGTCGGTGAAGGAGTAGAAACGCCTTCCATTTGTACTGCCTTAAGAGGGGTAGAAACTTATGTCCCTTCCCTCCAGTGTCACGGGCCAGAATCCAATGCGGCACCTCGTCGGTTGTTAGCGTTGAGCCTGAATAGGGGAGTGAGCGGTGTCCACAAGTTGTCTAACCGCGGGACATCTCCATTGTCGAATGCAAGGTTTCTCCACTAACGGAGAGGTCATATCGTCTTCGTCTCTCTACGCGCGACGTGTGGGTCTCTGAGGAGGACTTGAGCACGTATTGGTCCGGCAAATGGATGATCAGAGCGTGGCAGCAATCCATGTATAATAAGGGAAATGGTGTGTGTATCTTCATAGGGTGTAGGACGACGGCAGGGGTCAAACTTCCAGAGCTTAATGCCATCCCGCAGGCACCAATGCGTCGAGAGACAACACCTTTGCTCCGCCCATTTCATCCGCAAAGGGTATCTAAAGCAGAACGCTTCACGGAAGCCAGCGTGATGTCACGGTCAGGGACCCAACGCAGCAGCACGGGGTTGCCTCGATCCCCGAACTGAGCACGGCATAAGCGCCGGCCGGCACCACAGCGACCGCAGCCTGTCCCCGAGATCAAGACACCGAGGGCCTGATCGGCTCGCCGTTGCGGTGTCGTTGCGGTTGGGAAAACCTGCACAAAAAAAATCGCGGGGGGCCTTGCAAGGCCACTAACCCCAATCGAGTGGTAATTTCCCACATTTATCGACCAAATTTGAGGCCGAGCGCCCGGAACGATCCGTCTCAATTTATGCAATGTATCTTCGCGGGGCTCTTCGTGACACCCTGGTCAACGCCCTTCATATGGTATAGTGCACAGCCAAATCTAGTATGGTTGGCTTTTTCCCAACAGTACGGCAACCCTTCTTCGAGAAGGGTTGCCGTACCGTCGAGATCCTACGTACTGCTGCCAATGGCTTCCATTAATAACCCTCTGCTCAACGCCGTCATCACGAAAGCTGTAGTGGATGTAGCCTTACAGTATGTTGATCGCCGTCGACTACTAGGGCCACGCGACTGTGATATTATCCACCCAGAGGGGCCCTCGGGGGCCTGCCATCTTGCTGAGTCGATTCTCAGTGGCTCGGATACCCAATTCGTTGATCTTTTTCGTATGCCAAAGGCCGCTTTCCATCGATTGGTTACATGGCTACAAGAGCATACCGGGCTTAAGGGGTCCAGATACCTGACAGCCGAGCTAAAGCTTATGATCGTGCTATGGATATTCGCCCACGACGAGAGCCAGCGTAATGCTGCCCACCGGTTCCGAGTCAGCCAGTCTACTGTGAGCTCTGTTATGACGGATCTACTGGACAAGCTCGTACAGCTACACTGCGCATTCGTCAAGCCAAAAGACGATGACTGGCTCGACCCGTCTATCGACGATGCATTCTACGGTTGTATCGGGGCCATTGATGGTACATATATCCACGCCTTCATTTCAGAGCCTCAGCAACACCAGTGGCGAACCCGGAAAGGCTTTATCGCACAGAACGTCTTCGCCGCAGTCCGATTTGATGGTGCGTTCTCGTACGTACTCGCTGGTGCTGAGGGCTCAACACACGATTCTACGCTCCTTAGCATCGCTACTGCGAATGACTTTGCGGTCCCCTCGGGCCGGTTTTACCTTGCAGACGCTGCATTTGGTAGGCATGTAGGGATTCTTACACCTTATAATGGTGTCAGATATCACCTCGAGGATTGGAGGAATGCCAAAAACCCGCCGACCACAGCAAAAGAACTATATAACATCCGGCACGCACGCCTTCGGGTTATCGTTGAGAAGGTATTCGGTATTCTAAAGAGGAAGTGGAAGATTATCCAAGCTACTGCGCCAGAGTACTCGATACGAAACCAGGTCCAGATTGTGTACGCAGTCACTGGTATCCATAACTTCCTTCTTGACACCAGCGATGAAGAGCTAGTAATTGAGGCTACACAAGAGGCTTGTCGGTATGCTGAGCAGATAATTAGGAGTCGGTATAGTAAGGATATCCGGGATGCTATTGCAGAGGTTCTATGGAGGGAGCGGGATTTCTAGCTAGTCTTCCATGACTCGGTCAGAGCCTCTTTAATATCCCGGTCTACAGTGTTCCATACAACAGCATTTGAGTGCTCTTTTAGCTGCATGATACACGTTACACGCTCTGCGGGGCTTAACTGGATAGAGAAGTTGTGTATAAAGTCCTTGATCGCAAGCTGGATCTCATCCTGCCATTTCAGGCGAAGCATGGCCTCAGCCTGCTTAACCATAGCTTCAGCTTGCTTCATAGAGGCCTCAGCTTGCTTATCGAGGCTCTGGGCCAGTGCTAATACCTCTGGATTTGTATTGGCTTTCCGAACCCTCTGGTACGACGGCGCCACAGAGGGTTGGCGAGAGTTAGCATCAGTAGCTGAGCTCGTACTCAGGACCATGGCATCCTCGGTATCGCCCTCGCCCTCGCCCTCGTCGTCAGGCGTCGTAGTAGAGGGGCGAAAGGCATTACTCGCGCGGATAATGTTACGGCCATGACCAGACTGGTTGGCGTATATCGTCTCATAGTCTGACAGAGTAAACCGAGCAGTCCGAAGCCATCCAGCATCCTTATATTGCAAAAGGAAGTTATTCCAGACTTCCACAGAGCCTTCCACCATCCTCTCTTCTTCGTTATATTTCGCACCTGACTTGTTAAGAAAGGTCTTGATCGTTCGGAATCGCTTCTTCTCATTATCGTACTTGTCCCTGATCTTCTCTGCTGACCAGTGGAAGTCTGGAAAGGATTCCTCCATTGTAACAGAGATCCTCTAGAATGCCGGCCGCGTCTCGGTCAACTTGTTGATACGGAACGCTCCAGCGATAGCCTCGTCTCGGAATAACTCGATAATCTTCGCCTGCATTTCGGTTGTGTAGATGATTTTCCTCCGCCTCGTACGCGGGGTCGACGAAGGCGCGTCAGGTGTCGGCTCGGAAGTAGGGCCGTCATCGGAGGCTTGCAGGCCGCCGTCAGAGGGTAGGTCATCGGCTTGAACAACAATAGAGGCCTCAGGAGCAGGAGACTCTACTGCGGTTGCCCTGATGCGGGGTCTTCTGGGCATCTTGACGATAGGTGGGTTGCTGTCGTGGCTGTATTTTGGTCAAAAAATTGCGGGAAGACAGGGCGGAAGTCACACGGGACTAAAATTAATTAGGAAAAGCCTAGTTACAGGGGTTTCGGGGTACATTGGCTGTGTCTCCACTTTAATTATGCACATGGCTCGTATCTTTTCCCAACCGCAACGACACCGCAACGGCGAGCCGATCAGGCCCCGAGTGGACGGATATCACGGCCCCCTGTGAGATGGGCTCCAGACTAAAGCCAACACCACAGAGGTGGGCAGGAAGGAGGGGAGCCTCAATGCGGGCAGTATTACCTAGCATGTGAAGGGGGGAGGGGGTTTCAGTCCGTTGATATAGTGTTGATATAGTGTTAACAACTCATGGCGATAGCAGATAAGCTTCGAGGCTCTAGGAGGTACCTAGTTTATTTAGCTGCACAGACAATCTTAGTTTTCTGGGCTTCTATAATGATAGTTGTTCTGATGTGCTAGACCTCGGTGCGATAAGGTCAGGTTGGCGGTTCACGACAAGGAAAGTTGAAGGGCTTGATCGCCAATCCCGGCCAAGATGTTGGAGACGTCAAATTCTCGTTGGCGTGAGGTTTCTCTTCTGTTCCGTTTCTTTTCCTGGTCCGCGACACCATGATCCAGGTTGTGCTGTACCACGTGCTTCCATCACAATGATTACCCACTCCCTCCGGCGGCTGGCGAGAATCGTCAGTGTGCTCACCGTGCTGTTCATTGTCTGGCTCTGGCCACAATCCCAGTCTTCCAAAGCCACCCTCAATTACAACACCATCAACTAAGTAAGCCGAATCTATCTACAACGTCGTGCGGTGCTAACCCCGACTGAAATTCAGCTTCTCTATCATCAAGCGACCTCGGATTCATTGTCTGCACACCCAGTTTCTGACTATTGCACGATGGCGAGCGATTGCGCCTCGGATGGCTCCCATGGCCACGAATCCGACGAGTCCTCCAACTGGTAGCTCAACCGACCAGACCCTGTTGTTTGATCCAGAGGGGTTTGGTCGGTGGACTTCGTAGCTGACTTTGCACAGTTTAAGAGACGGTGTCTCCGATCTTTGCGACCTGATGCCAGAGTTTTCTATGATGTAAATCCATCTAATGGACAACGCCTATGCTGTGAAGGAGCATACCTTGAACATCTTTAGAAAGACCACGTTCTCGTTCCTCCCCGGAATATCCCTCTCCCGCTCAGTCACCCACGCTGTTGAGCTGTCAGACTTGCCGCTCGTCGCTTGCCATACGACAGCCCCTTTTATCCATCACTTACATCCCTCCAGCTCCTCCACCACAACACCAGCACTCTACTTGCTACCCATACCACGCCTCAAGATGGGCCACACTCAACAACTCTACTCCACTGACTCCATTCAGCTTCAAACGTCAACATCTCGTATTCTAGCGAGGTGTACGACATGATCATCCTTTGGCTGGTCTCTCAACCATTCGCTCACAGGGCTCGGTCGTCCATCGCTCGCATCGGCTGCAGACGGTCCCACCGCGGCGGCGGCGACGATAAAATGCAGAAGAAACCTCTGAGCTTCTCACCCTGGAGCGGAACGTTTTACTTCTTCTACAAGGGCCATCTGCTCTGGCATCGCTCTATGCCAAAGGAGGTTGGCTTTCGTCTAGAGGTGATTTCGGTCTCAGCCTTCGGATCTCCAACAGTTCTGAAGCAGCTCTTCAATGAGTGCCGAGATGAGTACCTAAAGCTGACCCAGACTATCTTTGAACACCAGTGGAAAATGACGAAAGTTTGAGATATCAGACCAATCTCGACTGTCATTATGGATGATGAGGTGAAGAAAACAGGACTCATAAGAGACATTGAGACCTTCCTCGACCCACAAGCCAAACCGGACGACGGCCAAGCCGAGGAAGGCTCTGCCAAGTCTCAATCCAAGGAGAAAGTGGCTCTGTCCGACCTTCTCAATGCTCTCGACGGGGTAGCATCACAAGAAGGTCGAGTGCTCATGATGACCACAAACTACATTGAGCATTTAGATCCTGCGCTCATACGGGCTGGTCGCGCCGACCAGAAAATTGAGCTTCCTAATGCTAATAAGGACTGGAACCACCTCGACGACAAAGGCCAAGAAGGAATCGGTTAACCCCTTCGGGCTGATATCAAGCTACCTACTTCATGTCTCCAACTTTTCCACCATATTGTAGTTCTAAGAATCGAATCGCTCCGCGGATTCCAGTCGGAATTCAGAAGCGTGTTTTAACAACGCTAAGAGCACGCCCGGTACTTCTGGGCAGCACCGCTTCCGAAGCAGACTCTCGGTATTAAATAGTCTAGCTGAGTATCAGCCAGCTGGAGTATTTGACATGTTCTGCCGTGCACTAAATCGTAACAGGTGTTGTCGTATGCACAAGCTTCATCCACGAATCGTCAAAGAATAACCTAAGAAGATGAAGTAAAAATGACTGGTTTCCGCCCAGCGCGATCCGCTAAGATATCCAGCGGGATGCTGAGCACAATACCTGGAGTATCGAGATTAGCGGGTAATCACACCAGAGGGTTCTCGTTTCACATTCACATAACTCTCGATCTAATGAGGCGTAGTAGGCTACCTAGGGATCTAAATCTAATAAAGATCTCTATTATACGTAATAACCAAGTAACCACACATGCCGTAATACAACTCTTTATCCCACGACAACATCTACGCACAGCAAATAGTCTCCCCCAGCCCCGAATCCGCGCCGTTCCCACCCAGAACGGCCGCTCCGCCCTCGCCACCAAGCACCACGGTCTGCGACATCCAGTCGCACAGGAACTTGCCCAGCCCGTTGCCGATGAAGATGCACAGGATCATGTATCCGTTGAAGTACATGGCCAGCAGCATGACCATGTACGCGACGGCAAACGTGACGACGTGCAGCGCGGCGCGGATAAGCTGCTGCACAGCCGTGACCCGGAGCGTGACGCGCTGCTGCTGCTGCTGTCCTTGCCGTGCTTGCTGATGATTCCCGCCGCCGCCCGGAGCCTCGCCCTTGGCCGACGCCGCCTCCAGCACCGCGCCGCGCCGCGTAAGGTCTCGTGCGATGTACGCGTCGTACTCGCGCACTCCCCGCCGAAGGGCTTCCAGCGTCATCGCCAGCGCCATCGCCCCCAGGCAAGATGCCGCGAAGCCGCCTTCTGACCGCACGTGCCATTGCGAGGTCAGGAAGCACGCGCCAATCGTCGTCCAGTTCCAGAGCATCTGTGATGGCCCGGGGGGGTTAGTCATTCAGAAGTTGGTGACATGAGAGTGATGGGAAAAGGCGGGACGAACGGAGATCTTGCACCCTGTGCCGCCGCCGTGGCTGTGCTCGTGTGCTGCCGCCGCTGCCACTGCGGCAGTGGTGTTATTGTGCGTGGTGAGGTTCGCCATGTGACCCGCGTGATCCATGTGGCCGGAGTGGTCCATGTGATGCGTGTGGTCGTGGTCCATGCTAGAGGTTGTGCTTGGAAGACTTGGTGAATAAGTGTACACAGTTGAGGAGTGGCTGTGCGTACGTGTTGTCCTGAGAGGCAGAGGTAACAATAGCATGCTAGTTATCAGCTTATGCTGTCAGGACGAAGTAAGCCAGACGGACTAGACATATACGACGACCGGTAAGTTTCGGAGATAACTCTTCCAAGCTCAAGACTTTGCCTTTCCGAGATTATTTTCATGTTGCGTTAAATATCCACAGTGGCTGGTGGCTTGCTCGGTTTGGAGAAAGTTTACTTTCGTGAGCACTAGCTGTCAGCCGTTCTTGACCGAGGTTATTGCGTCAAGTAAGCTACATAATATCTCTCAAGGCTGAATTAGGTTCTGAGGCAACCATGGCCATTCCTCAACAGAAAACGAGGGCTCTCCGAACCCAGAGATATCACAAATGTTCCCAAAGACAACTGAGTGCACTAGTCTGAAACCAGATCCTATCTCTCTCGTAGCCCCTGAGAATCCAGTCCCTGGCCGTCGTCATAGCTTCCAGGACCTTGTCCGGCGGGGCGTCCAGTGGCGCTGTTGGCGCCCGACGGTTATACCAGTGGATCAGATGGACGCCGGCATGGATGGCTGTTCGAAAGGCCAGCTCGTCGGTCATGCCACCATATCCACTGGCAAAGCCTTGCAGGGCTTCAAAGGCGCTCTCAACGCCCTTGAAGTGCTTCCGCTCGTATAAGTCGCCAACCATCTGGCCAAGATCGTACGCTCGATGGCCTGGCTGAGCCAGCTCCCAGTCGATGACAAAAATCTCATCCTGCAGCGGGGAGGATGCATGTTCGGGCACCAAGACACTATTCACGTCGACAGAGTCGGTTGTCAGTAGCCGACCTCCAGACTGGTATCAACAAGCAAAGCAACAGAGGTCATGCAGGACTTACTTCCCGGTCCAGAAATCACCATGCACCAGTCCCCAACTTGCTTCCAGATGTTCGCTACCAGCCAGTGGTTTCTCGAACTCTCTTGTCGCTATATCCTTGACGCGTTGTAGGTCTTCCCTCGTGCCATGGTCCAGGATTTCTGGGAATTTCTCGAGAACCGGGATGAACGTGTCGTAGCTCGTGTCATACTTGAGTTTCCTCATGGGACCGGAATTCCGCTCAATGGCATTGCAGAGGGCACGCCGTGTAGGCTCGTCGACCCATTCGTGGAAGGCCTTGAGCCAGGATCCTAACGCGGCGCCAGTATTCCGCGCGAAAACGTGAAAGGACTGATCCGTGTCCTGGCCAGCCGCCGTGAGGAGAATCGACTTGAAGTCTCTCGACGGTGACAGGTCTTGGTGGACTTGAATAATGCTGTTTCCACCAGTAAAGAGATACAAGTGCGGCGTTTTGACTTGCATATCTGTGCCTGCCAGACTTCGGCTGCTGGCTTGGGGGTGGAAACTCTCCAAGGCGCGCAGCATAGCCTCTTCAGAGAACTGTGTAATACCAATGTCAGCCTCAGAAGTCTACGAGATTCTGCTTTGCTAGGCCGTTCGGGCTGTCTGCCGCCCCGCATCGACTTACAGAGCGCGAGATGTCAATGGGGAAATCGGGATTCACCGACAGAAACGCCGTGGAATACTTGAGGATAACCGTCTCGCTTGTTTCTGTCAACGCATGGCCGCCGGCATCTTCAACCGACGCGAGGGCATCGAGGAGAGTGCCGCGGAACAGAAAATTGATGCTCCCACCACTCAGCTGCGTCAACGAGGAACAAGCGTACCTGGTCAGCGACAGAGACGCTAGGATCAGGGATGAGATGTCATCTTCTTTTGTCTGGACAGGAGATGCCATTTTTTGGACCGTCAATGGGCAGCGGATAATCTGCAACTGAGGGGAAGCCTTGAATGCAGGATAGACGGCGGGCTTTGCTTGCATTCTGGATCTGCTAGCATGGGGTGTGCTGCCGTTGGTCGAAGGTGCAGTTACATGACTCATAAAAGCTCACAAATCCTGCCAAGTCCATTACTACCAACCGCCAATCGGATAAATGCGCAATATGCACGATAGCCAACAGGGCTCGGTCTTTTTGGCCCTTTCCAGTTTGACCTGCCTGAAGCGGTCGGTCTCTCGTGTCGGGAGGTACCCAAGAATAACTAACTATCCAAGCAACAAACAGCCTTTATTATTCCAAGCGGTCGTCGCAGGTGAGCTTAATATCAAACCGGTCCTCGCCCTTCCACACCTTTGGCCCCGAGTTAGCCTTTGCGACGGCGGCCCGCAGGTCTGAGATCATGCCCGGCGGCCCGCTGCCAAAGACTTTGGTTGGTCCAAATTCAGTCCCGCTGACGAACTGGTCGACTTCGGACTCCAAGTCTGGCCTCTGCTTTGCCTGGACGTTTGGCAGGCCCCAAGGCGATGCCATCTCTACCACGATGCCAGGCCCACTCGCGACTGGCGGAGCCTTGTGACCCTGTGTTGACATGACTTCTGCCCCCTTTTCGTCGAGCAGAGCAGGCCTCGGCACGGACGGCTCGTCATCGTCGGTCACAAACAATCGAATGTTTACTCCCCTAGCATGCAGCTGTTGCAACTGGGAAGGAACCCACTCGACATCGCGTGCTCGCTTTATTGCCCAGATGAGTGATATGTGTCGATGAGACTCGGCCAAGCCAGGCCCCTCGTCTCGCACCAGATCCAGCAGCACGGGGAGCACGTACGCTATGCCTGTGCCGCCAGCGATGCAGAGGACGTTGACGTGAAGCTGGCTTCTGAGGCCATCGGCGATGCCTATTCCGTATGGGCCCTGCACGATGACAGGCATAGTGACAGGGCCAGGTCCAGACGATCCTTGCGCCGCCACGAGCCTGGCTATCCTGCCTGTCTCGCCCTTCTTGGCACGGAAGACGTACTCATGACACAGCCCCGACTCTTCGAGCATGGGGAGTGATAGAGGCGTGAATGGATGGCTCTGCCAGATACGGCCCTCGGCGAAGCATAGGAAGAAGTGCTGGCCAACCCTCCACCTTCCACGGGCCGCATGGCTCTGCGGGAGATGGAATTTCAGCCTGACAATATCACCGTGTTGGTCGTCTCTCCAAATGCCCGCCAACGCCGTCGCAGGCTCGAAGTTCAACCACTTCGGTCCGGAACCTTTCGCGAACTCGGGCCACCCGCAGTGTAGCGCAGCCGTCCGCACGAGTCGCACGAGCCGGTCCGCGGCCCACAATGCCATCGCCGGCACAAGGAAGCACTTGAGCTTTACCCAATGTGGCACTAGCGCGCCAATGTACAGCATGGCAAGCACGTAGTGCGCCTTGCGGAACACCTCGTAGCCCGTCACGCGGCGCACCGTCCAGCCCAGCGCGAGCGCCCACAGCAGCACCAGCAGCGCCAGCGCCGCGAACCCCCAGGCTACGTATCCATGCGCAACAAAGGCTTGCCATACGGTCGGCTGCGGGCGATACAGGCGGGCCTCGACGATGATCCAGCCGGCCGTGTGCAGCACCGACTGCAGCAGCACAATGTGGCCGACCCAGCGGTGCAGGAACACAAACGACGTGTAGGGCAGCCCCGTGGCCAGAGACAGCGCCGACTCGCGGCTGGCGAGCAGCACCGACAGCGGCGTCAGCGAGTACGCGAGCACGCCCACGCGGTTCGCCCACGGCCCCAGGCTAGTCCGTGTGTTGGTGATGATTACCCCGTCGCCGCCGGCCTGCTGTTGCCCCTTTACCGGCGTCCGCCACGTCCCAAAAGCCACCATGCCCGCGAACGACCACACGGCGAGGTATCCCGCCAGCACGCCCAGCATAATGACCTGCAGCCGCGTCGTGTGGCCGAACACGGCGCGCAGCGGGGTGTTGGGGAGGAGGTAGCGGCGCGAGGTGGCGGCGATGGCGCGGCGCATTCTCTCCCCCTGACCGGCACCCCGTCGCTGCCTCTGCTGCTGCTGCTCGGGGTCGGGCCCGTCGTTGTTGCGGCCGCCGTCAGCGCCTGGCCGAGTCCGCCGGCGGAAACTGACAATGCGCCGGCCCAGGCCCCATGCTGCCAGGATGCCAACGATGGTCCCCCACAATATGCCCGTGTAGAAGATGCCGCGGTCGTGCGATCCGTAGATGACGTCGAGGTAGGCGCACGACCCGCTGTCGCTCTTGCAGGGCAGGATGCGGTCGGCGTAGCCAAAGTGCGGCTCGAGCTGCGCCGCAGTGTCCGTGTAGTCCTGGATCATCTCGCTGTTAGAGGGTGGTGTTCCGTGCTGGGGGGCCGCTGCTGCTGCTGCGATGTTGATGAACGCGGAGGGAAGAGGAAAGCGGAGAAGACGTGGTAGTGAAAGACGTGGTAGTGAAGAACAGAGCGTATCGGCACAAGGAAAAGTCAAAACGAATTAGCTGTTGCCGTGGACTCGCCATGGATTTGTGGTTGGTGTGGCGTCAAGAATGTGATCAAGGTTTCGGGCTGCCACGGTTGCGTGGCTTTGGCTCCAGAATGTAATGCGCCCATGCTGCTTGTCGTGAAGGCGTCATGTCTCGGTGCCTAGAAGTAGGAAGTTCCATGGTGCTTAAAGTTGGCAGAGAGGCGGGTGCAGGTGTGCAAGAGGTTGGTCGATGGCATCAAGTTGCAAGCGCACTTGGACTAGAAAAAGGCAAAATGTGGTAGACATAAAGTAAGACGCACGGGTGGGTCTCTACTTGGTGCTTGGTGGGTAACCAGTCTGCTTGCGCGGGCATCGCGTGGTGTGTGTGCTTGCGCGGGCATCGCGTGGTGTGTGTGCTTGCGCGGGCATCGCGTGGTGTGCATGCTTGCGCGGGCATCGAGTGGTGTGTGTGGACTTGACGTGAAGGGGATGCCTGGCATGGGTTGCGTGGGCACTAGGTACAAGCAAGATGGCTGACGAAAGGAGTGACAGCACGAGAGAGCAGTTGCGAGGATGTGGGTATTCGTGCTTAGTAGCAATGAGCTATCTGAGCTGTTTAGTTTATGAGAGCGTCCGATAGCATTTGCCATCGCATGCTGTTGCGGTTGAAGTGCAAAGGGGAGAGCAGAAAAAAAGAGAGGAAAGGAATCCGAGGGGGGGGTTATACGATTTCTGATCTGCCCCTGTCACATCCTGTTTTAGGAAGGAGGCAACCAAGCCGTTCGCAGAGGAGGGGGCAGAGCCGTTCGCAGAGGGGGCAGACACGCAGCAGGGATCGCTTCACGTACCTCACTTGCACGCTCGCAGAGAAGCACTCTCGGCAGGCTGGACACGACGCTCGTCCAAACTAGACGCCTGCCTCGTGCGTGTCAAGGAGACGTGCAGGCAAAACTTGACGTGCGGGCAAAACTTGACGTGACGGGAGGCGAGTCTCCCGTCTCCCCTTTGCCGAGAGCCCCTGCCTCAACGTGTGGGCCCCAACTTGACGCACACAGCCTTGCCCGACTTGACAGCAAAACATGTCGCGCAGTGTGCCGTCCCTTGCCCGCAACGAGACGTGCACGCAACAGTGGACACAGGCGCAACAGCAGTTTGACGGCAACAACTTGACGACCGCCTAGTGCCTACACTTTTAAGTTTTGCTTGCACTCCCCATCTGCTGCCACCCTGACCACGTGCTCTTGCATGCAGACACACGTCCCTTGCCAGACACACATCCTTGCCAGACACGCACGTCTACGTCTGCATCAACCGCGACCTTGTTATTGGATAAAATAAGCTACATGGCAAGTCAGGAAGGGGTCGCTGAACGGTGCCTCTGGCGGCCCTCCGGGGGCGCCTGCGGCGGGCTGCTCGCTGCGCTCGGTATTTTACGGCTTAAGGAATCCGAGGATTATCCGATCGACCATCCCTAGAGCCCATTTCGACACGGACGAAAACTGGCCAATCCCTGTGCGAGAAACTTTCGGCACCTTCAGCTGAACGGAGCCACCGTAGGTGGCGTAGAGAGGCTGAATCACGTTCGGCTGTGAATGTCTAGTTTTTTTTACCGACAGGTCACCGGCTCGATTCTGCCCAGCACGTCCCGTCTCTTGCCAGACCCCAAACTGATGCCCATCTCCACACGCAAACCTTTGCCAACACCAGTCCCACCTTGCCCCTACTTGAGTCATAATTTGAGTTGCACACTCGTGTAGATGCATCCTTTGGAAGTTATGCAGCCATAGAAACTGCCCCTGGAATACAACGCCAGCGCCGCAGACAGTTTGCCAGTTGAGCCGCATGCTCACAATATTGTCCTGCGCACGCGACATGTTGGCTCGCTGCACCACGTCAGTTTCACTGGTTGCGGTGCACGTCTGCCGTGTGGTAGTAGTCAACTGGTGCCTCCTTCAGATTGGCGGTACCAAGCCAGCAGAGTGTGAGCAACCGGTCTGTCGGTGTCTCGACTTGGCGCGAGGCTGTCGTATAGATCATGTGTCTCGGCGGCGTTGGGTGGCGGCAAAGCAACGTCCTGAGACACGGGTTGAGCACAGCAGCTCATGTGGTCAATAGCAGGTTTCCAGCTTTGAACAAAACACAATCTGAAAAAAACGTAGGAAAAGTCAAGCCGGCCCAATCTTGCTTTGTCGGTAAAGCGTGACCGATTGTTGTTCCACATCGGCCACCATGATTGACCTCACTTGGCTGAGATCTCCCATTGCCGCGCTCCTGAACACGGGGATAACCGCTTCTCTAACGATAAAGACGATCCTGATCGGCAACCAGAAGATCAAGGTGTGTGGCCATGACCATCCCGCCTTTACAGCCCATGGATGGTATACCAGTTTAGGGCCACGCTGACAACAAATCTGAAATTCTTTCCCGTCGCCCACACGACAGCTCGATCAAGTACAGCGGAACCGAGACATCCTTGTGCCCGCGTTGAGGGAGAAAATCAAGCAGCTCAGGGGTGTGTTCGAGGACAGACTCAAAGAACTGAAGGACAGACTCAAAGAACTGAAGGACAGACTCAAAGAACTGAAGGACAGACTCAAAGAACTGAAGGACAGACTCAAAGAACTGAAGGTTTCGACCGGCCCCGCAAAGCACACGGACAGGCAACGGTTCGGCGACATCGTCTAGAAAGTCAAGACATACGACGAGCAGCTGTCCTCGCTGGACTTAGACCTCCCCGTCCGCCTCAGCGCGGCGAGTGCCCTGGCTAAACGCAAGGAGCGCGAAAGGGCCGTGGCGGCTGCCTATGAGGACGACTACAAGAGGCGCTGCTAGCTCTAATAGAGAACGTCAAGGTTTTGTGGGACCAGCGAGAGGCCGAGCTGGTGTTTTTGGGGCAGAGCGAGCGGCTCGGCGGCGACGTGGCCACTCCGCCCGAGGAAGCCGCGGCTGAGCCGCGGAAGATGGCGGCGCAGAAGGCCGAAGGCAGACATGCCGCTTCTTGAAGACGATATGTATATATGAAGTGTGTGTGCGTGTGTGTATGTGTGTGTGTGTGTGATGTGCTGTTTAGAAGCAAATCAGTTTAGATTAGACCTGTCAGAGCCAATGTAAGTAGACCCCCCCCCCCATTTTTTTTGGTGCGAGTTGGGAAACAAATCCGGAACAGTAAATTATTAGACTACTTAGTTGTCTTCTCAATTCATCCCCCCCCGAAATCACACTAAGACAAATAAAGAAACCTAGAAGTCTGCAATCGGGCGCCGCGTATCCTATATCCCAGACCCCCCTCAGACCCCCCTCAGTACCAGTGAACGATCTCCTCCTCCATCTTGCCTTCATCAGAAGTTCGATGTCGGCGTCGTCGTAGCATCCGCCTAGAATGACGGCCACGGGTGGCTGTGAATAGTCCTTGCTGCCCAGTGCGGTCCCGGACGGCGGCGGCGGCTGCTCGCCCCGGAAGATGGCGGGGATCTCGACCGCTCCGGCCTCGGGCGACAGGATAAAATGGATGACTTTGGTCTGTCGTCAGCGGACTGGTGAGGAAGCTGTGTGAGCCAACACTGTCATGCTGACCTTCGAACTCGGGCTTGAGAAGTGCGATGACGCCCTCGCCAATTCTCTCGGTCCTGCCACACAAGATTACGGGAGCACCCATGTTTATCACGAGGTCCGAAATTCCAAATAAATATTAGCCTCTTATCAAGGACAAAGTTTACGTCGGAAGGGATTTGTTGCGATAAATTTGATTGCGACCAGACGACGAGAAAGACTGGAACACGGAAATGTGAGGAGAAGGGCACGGAGCGGTGAGGGGATTGTCGAAATCTGTCAACCAACAGCACCTGTCACGTGGGCGGACGGCTGACGGTTTCTAGTTCCACGTATACCGTATCCGTAATATAAGACTGATAATTATCTACTCTGCGTGTTATGTCAAACGCGAACTCCGTCCGACTTTGAGGGGAACCAATCTAGCTGTCCGCGGCTTAGTTATGGAGTTTGTTTGCAGAGCCGGGCTACTGGGTTACCGTGGGCAAGTTACTTGAATATGATCAAGACTCCATAATGAAGATATTCCAAGTTGTGGTCTTCTGGCAAGACCATCATAGCACTCCATTGGAAACTTCCGCTCCCGAAAGACCCTATCTAAACTCGTACGTGCATCCCGCCCAACCGCTGGCCCATAGCGTGGCCGTGTCTGAAGAGCAGCCCTGGCTGCCCATCCCTGGCGCTTCCTCGAGGTTCAGCATCTCAAAGACAGCCAGCGCAGCCTGGTCGTGGATATAGTCTATCCACGGAAAACCAACAAGACACTGCCGGGCGTCTCTCCACGACATGTCTGGCGAGACCTCGGCCTTCCAGCGCCCACGCAGCCAGGGGTCGACCACGTCGAAAATGGATATGGCCCCTATTGTCAACACCCAAAGCACCAAACCCTGCAACTGGGGCGCAGAGGTGCGAACGGCGTCATAGGTTTCCCGAAAACGCCGCGACAGATAGGGGTAGTGGCCCCTGGTTCCCGGCACCTGAGAGGTGGTCGAGAGGAACGCCAGCATGGCCAGCCGGAGGCACTCGGCGAGGGCGTCGTCCAGGCAGCCCTGCAGCCCGAGCAGCCGGTACTGGACCGAGCAGATCTGGTCCTGGAACTCGACGGCATACAGCGGGGTGGGGCTTTCCGCCGCGGCGTTGAGCGCACGGCAGAGCCGCCGCAGGTCTGCGAACACGGCGAGCAACTCGCAGTTTGTTATACCAGAGATGGACTTGACGGCCCCAGCTGCGCCGGGCATGGAAGCCGTTCCGTCCCAGCTGCAGCCCCAGGGGCTCAGAGTCTCGATAGCCAGATGGCTGCTTGTCCCAGAGGCATCTCCAGCGAAGACGGGTTTCTCCCCTGAATAGAGCGAGTAGGCCAGGTCGGTCCTGCTCGCAGCCGTCAGCTATCAAGACTATAGACGCTCGGTCTGTGCTTCGGCCGGGCAAGTGACGGGGATTGAATTACCGGCTCAGCTTTGCATAGAGCCTCGGGCCCCGGCGAAAGGCTGCGAGACCGCCGCGCAGCCGGACCATCTCGCCGAGCCCCCTGATGTGGACCACGGCTGCTGCGTAGTCTCGCGCCGACGAGAACAGGATAACGAGGCTGAGAACAACCCAGATGGTCGAATTGTGCGTGCAGCTGCGGCTGTCAGACAGCCTGCCGTTGAGGAAGGCAAGCGTCTTGCCCCAGTGGTGGGCCCCAGACTTTGTTCCGTGGGGGTGATGTCCGAGGATGCGGCTGATGAGGGAGATGGAGAAGATGACGGGGTGGAGGAACGACGAGTCTTGTGCCTGGTACTGGATCCAGAGGCTCGTATTTGCTGAATATTCGAGGCTAAGCTTGGCCGGGTGCATCACTTCTCGGGACCGGGTGATGACTGGAGCGATAAAGGGGTAGGCAGGATTAGCGGCTAGTCTGGTAGTAATGTTTGAAAATCTGGAGTCTGGGCTATATAGAACAAGGCAAGCTTATCGCACAGGTATGTAGTAGCATGCGCGAGTAGTCATCGACTTCGTGGGGGGGCGCGAGTACGGAGAGGGCGGAGAGGAGTGGCGGGGACAGGGATAATTCAACTTGAAGCGGTTCGTTGTCGTGGTCTTCTCCATCTCGTCCGGGGGTATCTCGTCCGGGGGTATCTCGTCCGGGGGTCCTCTTGATTCTCGGCTCGAGCCGCCGCGCAGGGCGGTCTATGTGTGAGTCGGTCTGGACCCGCGGGCTGAGTTCTGCCGCTGGACGCACAGGGCCGACGCCAATCCGCAGGTTCCGGCCGCGCATTGCATGGCTGCGGATTAGCTTGCGGTCTCGCCCGTGCGGCTTGCCATGTTCTGCGACAAGAACAAAGGCAAATTCCTGCGGGTCCATTAGTCTATCTACCTTAGGTTTCGGCGCGCGTTATCGGGTTGATGCGGGTCTGGTGGGCGCTGCCAAAACGACAACCACGGGGGAATGCGAAACGAGGAAGCGGAGTTGAGTTGCGTGCATGCAATGCAATTTAGCGCTGCGCAGCGGTCCAGTGATAATGCCCAGGCGGCGAAGGACCCACCAGACTGCTTTCCTTTTCGGGACGGGAGCTCGGACTCGACGCGCCAGCGCCTCACCTTAGCTCGATATTTGGCCGAATCAGCATGGATCTTAGCGGCAAAGCTCCGCCAGCAAAGCCCACGCCGTTTGACTGACGGCTTGATCCTCCCGGCACAACGTCCACGCTGCACTCGAAGGCTGGAGCACTTATAAATACCGTCAACTCCCGGAGCCACGCAGCTTTGGTTCATCAAGTTTCGACTCACTTCATTCCGAAATCTTAACTTCATCTTGTCTTGAAACCGCCGTTCAAGAGCCTACCGAGACGCATAACCCTAGCCCTTGTCTCCCTAAGTCGTCAAACATGGTCCAGACCCTCACCACCCAGATTGAAATCGCCGCTCCCCCAGAAGTGGTGCGATCAGTGGTGCGTTCTAGCGTCTGGCCAAGCCCCCATGCTATCCTCCTCATCCAGCTGACAAAACAAACCCTGGCACAGTTTCTCGACTTTGACCAGTACAAAGAATGGCACCCGTCGTGGCTGTCCATCGCCGTGGTCGATCCCGCCAAACGACCAGCCGACCTACAGCCCAAAGACGTGCTGAAGGTCGGCCTGAAGACTTATTATTTCAACCCGACCGTGGTAGTACGTTGGCACACTCCCAACACCCACGGCACCAGTCCACCAACCAACTAATCAAACGCCGACAGGAAAACACGCCGAGTTGCTTCTCGTGGCTGGGTAATCTGTACGGGCTACTGCTTGGGACGCACCAGTTTCACTTCACGCCGAGCGAACAGACGCCCGGCGGCACGACGCTGGTGCATAAGGAAGACTTTTCGGGCGCCATCGCCTTCATGTTCCGCTCGGGCTGGAGCGCGGCCAAGTCGACAGGCGGCAACTTTGAGCAGTTCAACCAGGATCTGAAGGCTGCTGCCGAGAAGGTGGCGCACTAGGCTGGTTAGAAATAGGGGGGTTGACCGTGGCAGCGGTGTCCGGCTGGTGTCCAATTTGTGTTCCATTTTCAGCAATATCCAGCAACTCGTTTATTCCAGCCACCTAGCCTTTTTTTTTTTTTTTTTTTTTTTGAATTTAGACACATATTTAGACAGATAACTAGTTTCATGCCATACCCACAGTGTTCGAGTCGATGTCAGAACCTGTCCCAAGACCGCCCGACACCCTCTTACATGATTCCTGCTCGCATCCTAAACACTCCAATGTCACCATCTATAATCCCCAGCCCTCAGCACCCCCACCCCCCCCGCCTTCACAGATCCCGCCACAGCTCATCACCCTCTCGATCACCTGCTGTAAAAAAAAGTCAGTACCAACTTATCTCACCCGCGACATGTCCGCTTGTCATTACATCGCGTCTTGGTCCACTCGCGCATCCACTGCTTGACGAAGACGGCCTCGGTGGCCTGGGCCTGGGCGACGGGCTCGGGCGGCAGCACGCCCGGCACGGTCTGGTTGGGGAACAGGCCGTTCTCGTCCCAGTGGTGGACGCCGTCGGCGATGAGCAGAAACGGCTGCGACGCGGTGCTGGGCCGCGGCGGCAGCCCCAGCGCGTGCGGCGTCGCCGCCCGCCACGGGTCCTTCTCGCCGTCGATGATAGCCAGCCGCGGGTAGCTGATGCCGAACCCGCCGTGCTTGTTAATGCTCGCCACGTCCGACGGCGTCGAGATGTCGAATGCCAGCCGGCAGATGGCCGATGTGTAGTTCAGGTCGATCAGTCGCGAGATCAGAGGCAGCTGGGTCGCTGGTACGCCTGAGCCCGTCTGTAGGTATCCCCATCTATTAGAGTAAATAGTTAGCGCCGAGCACTTGGCCAAAAAGGAAACAGTTTGAGGACCGGGAAATGCTCACTCTGTGCAGAACTGATACGGCCAGGCCCGCCACGTCTGCTTGATGTCGTCCTGGCGGTAAAATGTGGCGTTGAAGTTTGTAAAGCAGATGTCCTGGTCTGCCGAACGGCACCCGCCCACCATGGTCGCGTTGACGTAGCCAATGTAGTTCAGCATCTGGGCCGTGAGCGTGTCCAGCTCGCCGCCGTAGCCGCCCGCGGTTGAGATGAGGTCCCTGACCTCGGCCTCGAGCCCCGCCGGCGCGTCCGGATAGAGCTCGGCGGTGGAGCTCACGTTGGCGCAGTACAGGCCGAAGCTCGGGTCGCTCTGCGTGGGATCCCAGTTCGTGCTCTGCAGGCCGGCAATGCCGAAGCTGAGGGCGTTGGCAAAGTCGTCGGTGCGCGTGACGTTGCCGAGCCCAAACGCCTCCTTGAGCCGCTGCACGACTCCGTCGTCCGTGTCGCGCGGCTTGCCGAGCGCGAGCTTGTCGATGACATCCGTCAGCTTCTGCGTGGCCGCGACGCAGGCCGGCGGCCCGAACAGCCGCGCCGCCTCGTAGTACTCCCAGTAGTCGTAGACGGCCTCAGTGACGCCCGACGACGAGACGGCGCCCCAGTACACGTCGGGGTAGAGCTTGCGCAGAAACGCCACGAAGGCGCCGGCGTACGAGCCCCCGTAGGCGATGTAGGGCGTCTTGGGGGCCGTCAGGTTGAGGTGCTCGAGCCCGGGGAAGACGACGTGGCGGGCAAAGTAGGCCATGTCGGCGAGGGCCTGGTCCGTGGTCAGGAAGCGCAGGTTCGCGGTGCTGAGGTCGGGCACGGGGAAGCTCTCGCCGTAGTAGCGGTGCTCGAGGATCACGCCCAATCCACCCGTGGCCTGGGCCAGCTGGGCGACGATGCCCTTCTGTAGAAACGGGAGGCGGCCGGCGCCGTCGGTCTCTCCACCCTGCAGCACGATGACGGGGCCGCCCTTCTTATAGTGGCTGGCGTCGAACCAGTAGCGCAAGGCGAAGGTGGCGTCCGAATGCGGCTTGTAGCGCGAGTCATTGTGGAAGTGGTCGACGGGCACCTGCAGCGTGCGGACCGGGTATAGAAGCCCCGGGTCGACGTCCCGGGCTTCAATGCCGCCCCGCTCGGCAGCTGCTGCCTGGAGCTGGGCAGCTTCCTACCGGTGTTGTCAGCAGTGTTGCGAGAACCCCAAGTCTAGGGATTCGGGCGACGTGGGGTTGGCTGACGTCTCAAGCATTGTCTGTGTATACCTTTTCTCGGAAGTCCTTGATTATCCAAGGCGACGATGTGGTAAGGCCATGGCTGACGGCCGAAAGGGACCAGAGCACGGCGCCAACAAGGGCACCCCGAATCACGACCATGCTGCCACGAACTACTGCCTTGCTCCTCGAGAGGAACTGGAAGCACGGAGGGAGATAGGTAGGGATCACTCACCTCGACGACGATCCGCAGGGCGCGGGGCGCGGGGCACGGGGCACGGGGCCCAAGACGGGCGGGACTATATACCGTTTCCCTAGCACAGAGCTAATACAAGAGAACTAAGTCAAAGCCAATACTAATCCCGAGGGATCCATCCGCATTACCGACAAGCAGCGGACCACCAAACACGTACGGGGAATGTAGTACTGTCTGTGCTGGGGTGTTATGTACACCACAAGAGATACCATATGTGCCTGAGCTGGATAGCGGTGCCGTGCCGTGCTGCAGACGGTGCTGACGCGCGCCGAGCTAGGCGAAACGAGGAAGGTGCCACTCTGCCCTGGGAACTGCTGACTCGAGCTTCCTGTTTGGCAGCACGCACTTTGCCTGGCGATGCTGCTGCGCACCCGCAGCGGCAGCTGCTGTCTACCTTGGGCCCGGTTGGGATCTGCTTGGAGTAGGTTTGCCGTCTTGGGTGCGCTTGGGTGCGATTGGATGGTGCGTGTTTGCTGCAGAGTTGAGGATGGAAGCGATGAAATGGAATGTCCGGGGTGGTCGCGATGGATGTGATGCGATGGGATGCGCTAGCAGAAGGCTTCGGCAGCCGCTGGCCGACTCGCGTTGCACGGGGCTAGCTTCCTTGGGCTACAGTCTCCCGCCTGCGGGGCAGGTGGCGTCCGCCAAGGGCGCTAAACGTCACTGTTCACCGACAATGGACGGGCTTCAAGGAGAACAACGGCCTCGAATAAACAGTGGAAAATTATATGATTTTCAGATATGGACTGTCCTCAGTCTAAAAACCGCCATATATCTCGCACTCGGTCAGTTGATTATCTGGAATACCAGGGGCTAATCACTAATTATTCAATTGAGACTCCAACATGCCACGTCTGTTTGCTAATTGTCGCCCACTTTTGAGCCACTTTTGAGCCACATTGTCAAGTCACATCCCTGCATATCCCCTTCATTCGTTACTTTCAGCCCTGATCCCTTTTTTCGGGCCCCCGGACTTCCGAATGCCCTCTTTTTCTCCCTTGCTACGGCTGAGTCCCTTACGTAGTACGACTGAACAGACTGTTGAACCAGGTTTCCTTTGTCCCTTTCTTGGAAGCATAAAAGGCCTTCTTTCCTGTATTATTAGATTGGATGGAGACAGACAATTCAAGACCGTGGCCCATTCTAGCTCCACTTAATCGCGGCAACATTGTCGTAACAGCGGACGGTGGCGGCAAACTCGTGGCTGGCAAAAGCGCCGGGCGGCAGCGAGTTGAGGGTTGTGCACTGCGGCACCAGCGAGATGGGCGCACATCCGTCCGGGATGTCGGCATCGTAGAGGAAGCCGCCGTCGGGGCCCACAAAGGTGGCATATGCATATTCGATGGTGATGAACTTGCGGCCGTAGTAGGGCACGGTGTTGTTGCAGGCCACAAACGTGCCGGGGCCCAGGTTGTTCTGCAGGACCGCGTAGGGGCTGTTGGGAAAGTTTGTGATGCTGCTCGGCGTGCCAGTGCCGCCGTTGATGAAAACGTCGTGCTCCGTCGGGTACGTGGCGTCGAACCGTGTCGAGTTCTGCACGATAATGCCGTACGGAGTGAGCGGCGTCGCAGTGTCGGTCAGGACGCTGCTCCGGCCGAAGCGCACCTGCTCGGCCGTGCCGTTCTCGTAGAAGATGCGTCCTGGGACAGACGACGTTGGCGACTGCAGAACAGCTACGTCGAGCGCCGGCCCCGTGTGCGCCGCTTGCACCACCCAGCCGTTGATGGACGGCACAAGGTCTTTGCTTGGGTCCGTGACGTTGGCGACGAGAAAGAATCCTTGGGACAGCGACGTAGGTGCGTGGTGGGGAGCATGTCGCTGGGCTGGAGCTGCTGCTGCAGCAACCGCCGCGAGCGAAAGAGACAGAAAGAGTTTCATGGCTGAGATACAAGAGATCTCGCTTCTATCTTGAAGATGGACCAGAATTAATTAGCAGCAGGCCAGGAGACTGACTGAAGAGGGCAGTTCTTAGTGCTCGGCTGGGAAGGGTCGATGCCAAGACAGACCGAGAGTCGGGAGATGAGAAATCGGGTGGGATTTATGCTCGCCTGGGGCCGCGGCCGCGGCCGGTTGACGACATTCGCAGCTAGAGAGTGGACGTTGGACGGGAATAGCATGACGAGCGGGCGATTGGGCGGTGGGGCGATGGGGCGACGGAGTTGAGAGGTGGTGGTTAAACCCGTCGTGAATACGAGATCGGGGGGCTCGTGACTGCCGATCATGGCCAAATCCCCAACTCTGTCGGCACTTTTGCTGGCTTTGGCAGGCCACTCGCCAAGCAGCGTCATCGCTTGAAGCGGCCCGCCCCGCCATTCCATTCGGGATAGATTTTGGCGGCGATTTGTGGAGGCAATAGGCGACTTTGCAGTAACGCCCTATTCTACGGCTAGCGGCGCGACATGTCTTGACTTTGGGTATTATGCGTTGCAACGCTGACATGCAGGTCGCCGAGACGCTGTCGCCGAGACGCTGTCGCAAGACCACTTTGACTCGGAATAGATGGCAGTCAAAAGTCTGCCCTAATACGAATTGTTGCAACATACGCTTTCGGCAGTGACACATCGTGGCTGCACTTGGCTGTGATTATGTTTATTCTTCTTCTGCCTCTTCTTCACATCTCGAGTCGAGACCCGAGGCTGCATTGAAGAAAAGAGCTAAGTTAGAAGCTTGTTCGCGTCACCTAGAGGCAGTGTAATACTAGGGACACAGTGGAGGGTGCTAATTAAGAGGCCGAGGCCGACTTAGTGCTCCTTCCATTTGCAAAAACTGGTTGATTTGTCCTCCCCACCGAGGTGGATACGAATAGAGACTACATTGACAACGAGGAAGAAGAAGAGGAAAAGACATCGAAAGTGCGCCAGGAAGGTTGTTTATATAAGCAGGGCAGATGGTCCTTGCACGGCTGCAAATTTTAGAGCGGGTCTTTGGGTCCTTGGGTGCCTGGCGGGTTCAAGCGAGTCGCTTCGAGTTGCTGTGGCTCTCATCCGTACCCGGTGCTCTCGGTGCTGAGACATGGTGCCTGGCTTCTCGTCTTCTTTGGGCGGAGAACCCCCTGCCCAAGAGTGAGGGGCGTCTGGAGACTGTCCAAGATAAATAACTACCCCAAGAAAAGCAGCCGCATTAATATGCCGCTGCCTGGCCGCCCTGAATGCCGTGATTTGGACAGCGGGCGTGATTTGGACAGCGGGCGTGATTTGGACGGCGGGCGTGATTTGGACAGCGGGCGTGATTTGGACAGCGGGCGTGAAATGAGACAGCGCGGTGCCATATATTAGATATTTCCCCCTGCCGGTATAGCCGTCGTTGTCTATCCGGGTCGCTGGGCCCATGCCAAGCGAGTCGGGCAGCTGAAACCACTGACGTTTGGGAGATGTGCGTGCTCCTGGCAGTAGTCCGGCAGCTGTCACACACGTATATGGGATTGCCATCATCTCAATGCCGCCGAGCCGCACCGGTTAATTCACTTCACTCATTTATCCAAGTGCTGGAGCGCCCGAGGGGATCAGCGTGACCTGCCCGCACGATATTGTTCTGCGCAAGCCCCGATCCTTCGCCGCCCAACTAGCCTACACGCACATTCCAACACTTATCATTGATTAGTCTCGCCTTGCACTTCACTTGCATAGGCGTGCTATACAAACACTTCGTTGGATACCTCGGAATCCTGCCTTGCCTTGCCAAACCCCTTGCCAAATTGCTTCCATCTCAGGCTAAATCTGGCGCCAACCTTGACCGCAAGCGTGACCGCAAACCTAACCCCGCCAGGGAGACGCGTCCCCAGCTACCAGTTCTGGTAGACAGCCTGGGTGAGACACGTCTCTTGCTATCTCTTCTCTTTTTCCTTGGCGCTATCCTTCAGTCTCCGCCCTCTACCCCTCCAACTAATTCCTGCAGCCTTGTCACCTGCTCATCCTTGGACCGTGACACGTCCCTCTCGACCGTTACTTATTCCGCTTCCTTCGTTCATTTTCGCGATGCAGACCACGACCAGGAACGGGGGTCTCAAAACAGAACTTATCCCGACGTCGCTCCGCGTTCTTCTCACATCGCTCGCGTTCCTGTACCACGCCGTATTGGTTGCCACTTATGATACCGGCTACTTTCGCGATGTCGGCAGACGCCAAGGCCCTTTCCCTGCCGATTTCCAGCCTCACGAAGCTATCGTGGCGGACAAAATATCTCCCTCGCCGTTCCAGAACGCCAACACCACGAGTAAGTACCCAAGTCCGACGCACTCCCCCAAGTGACGAATTGAAAATCTAATCCATTCGGCCGTCGCAGAGTTTGCCGTTGACGGCAGTGCCATCCCCGAGATTGACTTCGACGTTGGCGAATCATATTCTGGCCAGCTGCCTGTTGGCGGCGACAGCGACGGAAATCTCTTCTTCTGGTTCTTTCCTACCGTGAACCCGGACAGGCCTAAGGAGATTCTGCTTTGGCTCAACGGCGGAGTAAGTAACCCCAAACGGTAACCCCAAACGGTAGCCCCTCATAAGACTGGTAGAATGCTGTATTAGCATTGGCTCACAACTGGAAAACAGCCTGGCTGCTCCTCCTTTGAAGGACTGATGCAGGAAAACGGACCAATCTCGTGGCAGCCAGGAACAATCAAGCCTGTTCGCAACGTCTGGAGCTGGCATAGATTGACCAATGTGGTCTGGGTCGAGCAGCCCGTTGGCACTGGCTTCTCTACCGGAAAGGTCACGGCGAAGGACGAGGATGACGTCGCCAAGCAGTTTATGGGCTTCTGGAAGAACTTTATCGATACGTTCAGCATGCAGGGCTACAAGGTGTACATCACGGGCGAGTCTTATGCGTAAGGTTTGACCCAAATGCTGCAATGCGTTGGACAGTGTCTGACACGGAGACAGCGGCATGTATTGCCCGTACATTGCGAGCAACTTCCTCGACGCCAACGAGACCACCCCCGGGTACTTCGACGTCCAAGGCATGCTGATCTACGACCCTGCCATTGCCTACCTCGACCTCCTTACCGTAGTCCCGATGGCGTCCATGGTGAAGTACTGGGGAAATGCCCTGCCGCTGAACGAGACGGCCCGAGCCGGCCTGGAAAACATGAGCGCCGCGTGCGGTTTCGATGCCTACATGGACAAATATTTGACCTTCCCGCCGCCTGGCCCTCAGGGTGACTTCTGGTCCCTGTACCCCGAGGGCAGCATCCGCTCCTGCCAGACGAGCCTCTACGTCGAGAAGGCCGTTTTCGAGATCAACCCGGCCTTCAACATCTACCAGCTGACCCAGCTGTCGCCCATTCTCTACGACCCGCTGGGGTTCTCCAACCAGCCCAGAGGCAACACCAGCGACGTCTTCTTCAACCGGCGCGACGTGAAGGAGGCGCTGCACGCGCCGCTGGACGTGGAGTGGGCCGAGTGCGGCGGGCCCGTGTTTGCCGGCGCCGACGACGACGACCTATCGGACCCGTCGGTGGTGCGCGCGCTGCCCAGCGTCATCGACCGCACCAAGAACGTCATAATCGCCCACGGCGCCCAGGACCTCGTCCTGCTGGCCAACGGCACCCTGCTCGCCATCCAGAACATGACCTGGGGCGGCAAGCTGGGCTTCCAGACCCCGCCCCGCGATCCCCTCTTCGTCCCCTACCACGACGCCGGCTACGGCCCCGGCCGCGTCGCTGGCTCGGGTGTATTGGGGACGACACACACGGAGCGCGGGCTGACGTGGAACTTGGTCTTGATGACTGGCCATCAGGTTGGTTGCCCCCCCCCCCCCCCCCCCTTATTTGCTGGACAAAAGTATCGAATTCTGGGGTCTATTTGCTAATGTTATTCTTTCACAACGGACAGGTTCCCGCGTGGCAGCCGGCGGTCGCGTTCCGACAGGCCGAGTTCCTGCTCGGCCGCATCAAAAGTCTCAACAGCACGCAACCCTTTACCATCTTCCCGCAGACCCCGCAGCCAGACGCCGGCGTGCTGGGCCAGGGCTTAGGCATCACCCTGGCGGCTGAGGCGGCAGTGTCGAGCGCACAACAGAGTGGCGGGGGACAATCGAGCCGAGATAAGCCCAGTCAGTATCCCCAACCCCCTCCCAACCCACCCCCCCGCGGTTGTGAAGTGCCCCGGTCAAGTCTGTGATGTTACAAAGGGGCATAGCTAACGCGCGTGTCAATCTCCATCACAGGTGCGGCATCATCTTTCAGCAAGTCGCTTTGGCAGAATCTCACTGCAGCTACGATAATAGCGCTCCTCGTCGTTTGGGGAATGTAATTCGAGCCACAGCGAGAAAGAAAGCGGCAGGAGGCAGAACAGTTTACCTGGCGGTTTTGGAGGGATATTTGGAGGCAGTACTCTGGAAACAGCACATGGGACAAAGTCACTTGGAGAGAGAATAGGGAGTAGCCCAAGTACCGGCTACAACCCAACGAGGTTCCTAGAGAGGCAGTCACTAGCTAAATTCAACACTGTCCCTGTTGGGTTCACCAGGGTACCGGTACTGGACTCAACAGGGCGTGGCTGCACGCCGAAAACTGGTGGTTCAAGTGATGGATTGTAGATGTCTGTTCTTCTCTCTAGCTTTCTGGCAGTGCCAGAAAGCCCGTTCTTATACTACTATTGTGGTGGCGAAGTTGGTGGCGAAGTCTCTATCTAGAACCTTCGAGGCCCTTCTGCTTGACAAATTCCAACAGTCCCTCCTCAAGTTCTCCGTGTAGCTACTACTCTTTCCTTTGCTTGGTCGGACCATTTGAACCCGCTCATTGCGCAACGGTACCAGCAAAATGTTGAAGCCAGAAGAGCAGCACCCCCAACAAGAGACAAAGAGTTAGACACGCACAGGCCGCGAAGCAGTATCGTCGGCGACGGCCTTACTGATAAAGGAGTTATTCCAGTTGTACTGGTCTTCCGAGCCCTCGAAGGCGACTAACTTTTAGAAGCTAAAAGTACATAAAAGCAGTCAAAATAAGGGTGTTCCAAGTATTATTATATTATGTTGTAGGGAAGAAAAAAAGGCCTGCGCCTACAGGTCCGGGGACAAGTGTTGACCCTGTAAAAAGGCGGTCTAATTAGGTGCCTTGTGCAGGCCCTGCCCGGGCACCCTAGACCATGCGGAAAGTAGTAAGGTCTTTCTGACACAAGGTTTGGCATCGCCGCAGATCGCAAATATGTCTTCCATATTCATTCACCGCTGCCAAATGTGTCTTCCACATTCATTCACCACTGTATTCCCGCCTCGACCGACCTACCTAGCGCCTGCTCAATCTTCCACTGGCGCGCATCATCGAGCAGCGGTATTGCAACCAATACTACCACGACCATGAACCCTCTGTTGTCGGGCCTAATGGCAATGTAAAGGAGCGGCTTTGCAAGATTAGGCCCATCCAGAGCTAGCTTGCCTGGCTCCTGGGTGTCATTGAGATCTTATCACGCGCATTCACAGGGCAACGGAAATGGAGCATTTGATGCAGGGACGTAAAGCTTGAATTGTCTGAAAAGGTCTGTCTTTTTGTTACCTTTGGGAGTATTGCCTCAGGGGCGTCGGGAGGAGAGGATAGACAGAGGAGGGCTCCTGCAAGGGCTGCGCCATGTCGTTGGCGGGGCCGGCCCCAAATCGTTGGCAACGTTTCCATAATTGTATGAAGGGCCCTTCGGATCGAATATTGACAGCGGATGTCCTCGGGATGTCCTCGTTCCAGTCATTTTGAATCGGCCGCACCTACTTTGTTAGCTCGGACCTGGACGTCTTCCCAATATCGATGGCAGTACTCGGCGCGGATGATGTTGAAGGAGCATCCGACGGCACGGTTGCGCGCGATGCAAGATGCGCAAGCAAAGCGGAGGCACAAGCAAAGCCCCAGTACGTCGGGAGAAGAATGCAATCCGGGAAAGGCATGGCGCTGCCGTGACGGCCGTAGTTGTCGGCGCAGTCAGGACACAGTATGCGAGGGCCAGTTGGCCTTTCGAGTATGCAAGGAGAGCATTGACGACTCTTCGCTCAACGAGTTTCTCCAAGAGGTTGGAATCGTGGAGGCAGGTGAGACATTGGGGTGGAAGTACTGATGCATTGGCTTGGACCAGGGTGGCCAATGAATAAAAAATATTTGATTGGCCAAAAATAAATATTCGATTTGATGACTAATTGAATATTTTTCGAATATTTGAAATATTTGTCATCCTACCCCGCAGTTATTCCTCACCCCACCTCCTGACCCCTCCATCAAATGCCTCATTCACCATTATCACCACCACCACCATCACCACCATTACCACCACTACCACCATTACCACCACCACCACAATGTCTTCCATTATATCTGACGATTCTTTGGCCTCTGGCCGCTCAAGCCAAATTGCGAGGGACCACGCCCGGCCACCTCGAGAAGATGAGCCAACACATGAGGGCAAAAATCTGATGTTTTATTGCAAATATTGCCCTGATTTTGGAGCCCAAAACACCTCAAACTTCAAAAACCACCTTCAATCCAAGCATCAAATTATCATCAAGACCTCTCGAGCAGTCAATACACCAAGCAACCTTGCTTTACAAAATCTATACGACCAAGCGCTTACCACCAACCAAACCTCAGAGCTAGATGCTCTGATTCTTACGAAATCTATCAATAAAAGGGTGATTACCGAAGCAATTGTCACTCTTATTGTCACTCACAACCTCTCCTTCCGAATAATCGAAAGCCTAGAGTTCCACACCTTCTGCAAAGCCCTCAATCCAGCACTTACCAACGAGATTATCTCATCGCATTCTGGAATCAGAAATCAGATTGAAAAGTCCTGGCTTTACCATAAGGACATTGTTCGAAAGAAACTTCAGTCAGCATTATCGAAGATCCATATCTCCCTCGATGTTTGGACTTCTCCGAACAAAAAACTATTCCTTGGAATTTGTGCTCATTTTGTGGACCGGGAGAGTGAGAAACTTTCTAAAGCACTGATTGCCCTTCCTTCAATTCCTTCACATCACGCCCAAGTTCAATGTACAGTGTTATTCTCTGTCCTTGAAGATTTTGGGATATATCAACAACTTGGCACAATCATCAGCGATAACGCCTTTACAAACGACAAACTATGTGACCTACTTAGCTCTATTCTTCAAGAAAAAGAACTGAGTTGGGTAGCGGCAGATAATCGGATTCGATGCAACGGCCATATCATCAACTTGGCAGTTCAAGCTTTTCTTTTCCAGGAGTTGGAAGATTTAAATGAAGAAGATGAAGATTTCCCAGAGAAGCAAAAAGTTACCTTTCGCAGTTTTGGCCCTCTTGGCAAACTTCATAATATTGTTGTTCACTCCCGTAGCTCTCCTTCTCGAATTCGTCAATTTAAAGACCTTGCTAATCGGGGTATTCCTCTTGATAATAGTACAAGATGGAATAGTTGGTATGAGATGTTGAGAGTTGCTGTTGAGAAAGAATCTGCAATAGATTCTTATTTAAAGTTATGGTATCAAGATCTTCAACATGATTTCTTATCTCCACAGGATTGGGAAACTCTTCGTTTGGTACTTTCTTTTCTGAAGCCATTTTACCGTGCAACAAAGGCAACTGAGGGAGATCTTGCTACCATTGACCGAGTTCTTTTCAATATGGACATTCTGGTTCAACATTTTAAAAAGAGCCTTCTTACTTTTCAATCTGATTCTTTCTTTTCTTCTCGGATTCAGAAAAGCTGGGAAGTCTTTGATAAATATTATCTAAAGACAGAGGACTCTCCTTATTATGTGGCAGCTATTATTCTTCATCCTTCACGTCGGACTTTATATCTCAAACATAACTGGGAAAAAAAGTGGGTTCGGCCAGCCATCCAGGCAGTTAAAAAACTGTGGGATGACTTTAAAGAGCAAGATTTCATTCCGTCAACTCCATTGCTTCCAGAACTAACAGAAGATCTTGATGACGATTACGACATCTTTGCTCGGAATCTTCAGAATTTTCCACAGCCACAAAGCAAAGATGACTTCGAAGAATACATATCAGAGCCTGCAATTCCAATCGACAAATCACCACTCACTTGGTGGTTAGATACACAGCAGCGGAAACGGTGGCCTCAGCTTTCACAATTCGCAATCAATATGCTATCAATTCCAGCAATGAGTGCAGAGCCTGAACGAGTTTTTTCAGGGACTCGTCGTACAATATCTTGGGAGCGGATGAGATTGGGCGAGACTACTGTTGAGATACTTGAGTGTTTGAAGCATTGGAGAAGGTCAAGGTTGATTGAACAGATTCGGATTGAGGAGGATACTGATCGGCAATAAGCGAGATTAAATATTTCAAATATTTCCAATCGAATATTCGATTGCTTAGTCATATTTATTCGATTCGAAATCGAATATTTTTTGCCCACCCTGGCTTGGACATTGGGGTGGAAGCACTGGTGCATTGGCTTGGACGTTGGTGGTGATGTAGGGTTGGATTTGGTCGTTTTCGATGAGGACTTGAAGCCATTCGCGTCTGAGGTCGACATGATTAAGCTAGCACTGTCAGCACCACGCTCCTCTTAGCTCGCGATGGCACATACCTGGTTTGTGGAGGGCATGTTGCTGGTAGTGTCCCTTGCCACGGTGAGCTGTGGGTGGTCCTTCGTTGCTTGACGAGCATGCCCCCAGTCTCACAAATGTCCCGAGCCATGACTGCGGCGAGGCCGTATTTGTGCTGCTCGTCGATGTCGTCTCCCGTCATGTCGATTGTCTCGAGTGGTTCGAGTGGCTCGGTCTTGTTGCAGGATGCATTACGCCTGGTGAAGAGGCACGAGGACTCGCTTGCGACGTTTCGTGGCCGCAGCCCATAGGTCGCCCGTAAGTACAAAAAGCAGTTCTCGCCGAACTGCCTCGATGTGGACCTCAATGTCGGAGGCGTTCCTGGGATTATTCCAGGTCAATGCGACGAAGAAGCCAGATATGGTTGCGAGTCGACAGAACCCCTGACTCTCCATCAGATATTCTAGCTACGTAGGGTCGAAGAGATCTATAAATAGAGGCGTCCGATTCTCGGAGCTCATTGCGAGCTGGGCCCGTTCTTGAGGAGGACGGCTTGAAGAGGGCGACTTGAGGAGGGCGAACTGAGAACGGCAGGCTGAAGACGGGGAACTGAAGATGGGGAGCTGAAGGCGGCGGCCTGAGAACGGCGAAGGCGGCTTGCTCGAGATGAAAGGGAGCCGGTGGAATGGACGGACGGTGGACGTCTTATACGCCCCGGACGTCAGGCAACCGTCCCTTCACTGCTCGTTTGCGCAGACAGACGTCTTGTTTCATGCCTCGCTTCGCCATCGCTGTCTCTGTCCCCTTCTCGAGGCGTCGAGATCATAGAGCAGCTTCATCTCGGCGAGGGCATAGAGAATCGTGATCTCCAAGCTGTGGCTGCTCGAGGAAGACCTCGGAAGCCTCGTTGTATGCCCGGACCTCGCCCGTTTACCCCAACTCCAACATGCTCGACGCAACCGATGGTGTGGTAGGAGCTGGTGAGGAATCCGTCGACATATCGAACGTACGGAGAAGTGTCTGGAGGTAGCGAACCGCCTGCCGTAAGATTGCGGACGAGCATCTTGGCACCTATATCGTGAGCAAGCGCGGGCAAGTCGAGAAGCTCGCCGCTTGGCCCAGGCTGCCTCCTGACATTGCCGCCTCCGCCTCTTGACTGAGCCTAGGATTCGTGCATTGAAGCCGGGATCAGAACCTCATCAGCATCCCTGCCTCCTTGCTGCCTCCACCTGATGACAGTTTACTTCTTGCCGTCTGCGCCATGCACACTTACGCCATCCCACTCCCGGAGGTCATGCCCACCTGCCTCCCTCCTCTCCTTGCGAATCGGCCCGTTGAGTCCACCTGGTGACCCGACCATCGACACTCACGCCCCCCCTTTCAAACTGGCGATGCTCTGCAGGACGTGTCCTCAGCGACCCCTTGCTCCGGATCCTGGAAGCTTCCACTTGTCGACTTGGACTAACTGCCATCTCCCCAACTCACTATTCCGACCCTCCGTAACGCCTGAAAGCCCTTCGTCCGTCCATAGACTTCACTCACCCATGCGCGGGCATTCTGTTGGTTCATCCTTAAGACCGTTCCTGGACTTGCCGCCTGGTCTGTTGGTGGATTCATGCCCCTCCAACTCCTGAACCCCTTCACTGCCGCTGCCATTCCTGACGTCTGCCCTCCAGGAATAGTAGATGCGCATGCGGAACCAACCAATGCCCTTGGTACTCTCCGGCGGCTACGCCAATAAGACTGAATCCACCCGCGACGCAAAATGATCATCTAGACCCGACCGGCCTTGCGAATGGAAGGCTTGTCTGAGAAAACAGACGTTAGGCTTGCCTTCATGTTCTCCGCCCTGGCTGCCTGATGGATAAGTCCTACATCAAACGCTGCGGGTCTTCCGGTTTCGAGGGCACTTGATCACGACAGTGCCCGTTTTTGGGAACCGCCCAACCATCTCGACTTCGGTGTAGCTATCCAGAAAATACGTGTACATGTACAGCGTGTGTCTGGGGTCCTTATGGATGCCGCACGCCAAGAAAATGTCACTCCTTCAATTCATGCCATGTTGCAGCTCGTGGGCAGCGGGAAGACGACAAGGGAGGAATTCATTGCTATGTGTTGATACAGCATGTTGCAGCTCGTGGGCAGCGGGAAGACGACAAGGGAGGAATTCATTGCTATGTGTTGATACAGCCCGGCTACCCAATATTTCCAGATAGCGGCCCTGCGACCTCAGATATGAACTATGGCATATAGAGCGAGCGTCCCCGGCCTCAACAATTCTCTGAATGAAGAAGACCTAGAGCAAAGCCGAAATATATTCAGTTTCCGGTCTCCGATATCAGTCCAGCAGTAACTAACTCACACAGTTATAACGGGCTCCCGGACGATTCAAGACAACCCGAAATCTTCGAGGCACACATACGTGATCTTGCCGCACTCTTCGTTCGAAATCACGCTCAGGGAATCTTTGGAATCCACTTAGCTCATGCCCACTTCGCCATCCCTAAGAACACTATCTTACTCGGAGCCAACCACGATATACCTCGCTGCCGCTGGGAAAAGGTCGCTAAGGTTTAGACGATGGGTCTTTAGCAACGTGTACGGGCATATATTCGTTCTGACCGACCATGATTTTCACTCATACGAGTATCAAGTAGGCCCTGTACCCGACTTGTCTCGAGTTGACAGCTCCTTCCTCCCAGAGCTCGCCCAGTTTCTCAATACCAATGACGGGTAATGCCTGTTAGACTTCAAGCCATCGACTCATACTTCTTGCAAATGTTAGAGCTCGTCCTCCCTCACGGAGCCATCATGTTTCATGTGGGATACTTCGGATTTGAACGGGTGCGTCTCAACTAGGCAAATTGGTTGGAAGTTTGAGACGCAGCACGGCGAGCCACGCGTATATCAGGCCAATGAGTCGCACGGTCAGACGCGTATAGGGCATGAGATTTGTAATAAAGGGGAAGCTCATCCAAAGCTAGAGACTTTTCAGCACCTCAAGTATGCACTTGCAGAGGCTGGCATTCTATAGCTTAGCACCAACAAATGCTCTTGTGGAGGACACGCGTTGGTTATAATTGAACGATATCTGATGAGAACGCCGATGTCTGCCAGCGCATCGGAGATGAGATTAGTAATTTATCACTTGGCCCGTTTGCTTAACAACTCGCCTAGGTCTTTCGAAAGCCGAGCCGTGAGGAATGAGGGCTTTCTTCCGAGCTGGTTTGTAGGCCAAGGATTCGTGAGGAATATCTCGACGTGGTGCTCGAACCCCCGCTTTGTTATCACCCGAGTTAGAAACACAGACTCGGTTACATTCGCCCCAACACAAGCATCTTCGCGATTTAAAGGCTGTATTCTTGCACAGGGTACTGAATGAAGACGTTATATTCCAAGTCTGCCTTTAAGAGTTATTCTACAGAGACCTCAGAGGTAGTATCCTTCCAGAGCTTCGCGAAAAGGATAGTAATTCCAACTCGATCCTCTGGTCTAAAACGATCTGAGCTAAAATTGAGAGCGCCTCTGACTACAGAGAGATCGCGGTGCGTTTCAAGGCAATATATTGCATGCTCACCGAAACTACTCTTGACTCAAGAGCGACTTTCTTGGAATTTCTGTGCCGCCGTCGTGTGTTGGGGTGGGCTATGCCGATTCTGACTGGCTGCTAATCCTAGACTTGTCTCCAAACCATTGCGCCGTAATCCTCTAGGTCCGGAACGCTAAACACAAAGTCTGCCTCCCCAGGGCCCGGATCCTGAATTAAGAGAAGCCTGAACGATGGTATTAATGCACCTCTAGTGACATTGTACGAAACGGGGTTGGTAGTGGTATTTTGAGCGATGGCAATACTTTGCTGGAGTATAGGCTGAAGAGCAGCGGTTTGTTGAATGGTGCCGTCTGTTGAATGGTGCGTGTCGTAGTAGCTCCTAGACGAGTTTGTGCTTCTCCCTCCCACATTTCCAAAATGATGACGGAGCGAGTATGGTCATATTCGGCAAGAAGAACAATCTTGACCTGGTGGTCTGACGTAGAAAACCACCACCTGTCACGTTCAGCGACGTCAAAAAGAGGGTAGAATGTGATGTATTGTCCAGGGAAGAAAGAAGGGCGGAATTCCCTACTTATGACAGTTTAATGCCTACTTTCTAGCATGTAAGCACTAGGCCGTTGTCGGCGTAGATCAACATACGTAAACGCGCCATTCCAAAGTGGCCCTGTTACGTAACACCACCTCATATCGTAATGCAACTCGCCCAATGACTCGGAGTGTCCCGCCTCGATGACAAGTGTTGGCCAAGCCCCTTTATTACCACGTTCGGGGTGGGGACCACCGGTAGGGTCACCCTCTCCGCCGTCTCCTCCAGGATGACCTTGTTCAACTCGACGTGTAGCCAGCCCAATTGATCTCCAGCTTCTCTCCCTACCGCTTCTGACGAGCTGGTCACAAGACGTTGTAAAAATCCAGGCATGGAGTTCTTCATATAGGTCGGCTAAGATGGTAATGAAAAGGATCTGGCAAGTGCTATTGTAGCGGCGAACACGGAACTTGCGGCGTCGTTTCTCTCGCTCACACGCGGATTCGGTGAAATGCCTAGAGAGACCTCTAAATAATTAGTATACTATATAGAAATAGAAGAGTAATACCATACCTGTGACGGCAAGGAAATCCCCAGTAGTGGAATTAATGGCGTCGAAGAGATCTTGCATATTGGTGAATCGCACGGTCTAGGGATCGTTATCTACCCAAGTAGGCATAGTAGACACCGAAGTAGGCATATTAGACGCTGATAAGGAGCCGCATCGCATCTGAGCCACAAGTGGGCGTAGGTGGCGCACATGCTAGACCAAAGGGGTGAACTTTCCGCATTTGGACACTTTAATTATCTAAGGCACTCCAGCTCCAGCACTCAGCTGACATCTCCAGCGGGACGATTCAGCGCCGCAGCGATGACGTCTCGCAAAATGAAGAGTCCATCTAATTACGTTCACGGCCGCGTGGCCGGAGTTGTCCAGTTTCGAGCTGCCTCTCAATACAGAGTACCATTTGCGTCACACCAATTTCACTGTCTGATGCTGCGCTTCCGCCCAGAGATGCGCGTCATCGCAAGACTCGAAGAACCCGATTCGGCGAAAAGTATCACCCGTTTCCAGCTGCCGCACCACAATCAGGCCCTCGGAGAACCCGTTAATATGCACACCTAGCTGCAAGAGACTCAATGCCCTTCCACGCACCTCGTCTCTCGCGCCTTCCTTCCCAAGATCCATATGAACCACCACCCGCTGCTGGCCGCCTCCGTCCTTTGGACGCAGCACGTCAGCAAGAGCCAGACCACTAGTAGAACTTGCAGCCATTTCTACCGGCGCAGGCGTGCCGCCCAACACCCCCACCGGCGCAGCGATCAACTTGGCCCTCACAAGCACCACCGCGCCCTCGTCACCAACCACCTCCACCAGAGCCGCCGTCGGCGCCCTGACGTCCTGATCGCGCTGCTGGACCTGACAATCCAGCGACATCCACGACCACGACGGCGCGCGTGCTGACCGTATATCGCCCGGCCTGGGCCTGGCACGCCACCACGCGCCCAGGACAAAGCTGCTCGTCCACAGGCCCCACAGGCACCTATCGCCCCACACGGCGGCAAACACATTGACCACGCCCATGAGCGCACGCACGCGGTCGTCGGCCACGGTCAGGTCGCGCCCCGTGAAGTCGCTGATCACGTCAGCCCAGTGGCTGGCGCGGCGGGCGGCGTCGAGTGCGCGCAGCGCCGCCAGCGTGGTGCACGTGAGCGACGGGAATGGCGCCGTGTACAGCACGCTCGCCACCAGCGGCCGGTGCCGGTGCTTTCCGCACATCCACACCGCCTCGTTCCCAAAGGCCAGCACGCGGCCCGAGAGCAGGCGCTCCTGCAGCGCCCAGCCGCGCTTGTTGAGCGGCAGTGCCTCGACTTGGTCGTATACCTTCTTGGTCAGGTAGAGGCGGCCGGTCTTGCCGTTGGCAAGGGAGAGGTCAATCGGGGCGGTGCTGATGGTGCTGGTGGCGGGGCTGGAGTCTGGGAGGGCGGTAGGTGAGAAGCCCTGGTTGACGGATGTGGCGCGCGAGGCGGCAAGTGTGAGGACCGAGTTCCGGTACACCTCGCCCATGTTCTCAATCTCGAAACCCTTGTCTTCCTCGCTGTCTTGGATAATGCACAGTGCGTCGACCCAGAGGTATTGAAGCCCGAGCGCTCGCGTGGCAGCAACGGCATCGCGGATGGTCAGCGGTAGGCGGTCCGTGTCGATGCCCTCGACGAATGTGTCGAGCGTATCATGAAGCAGGATCAGAGGCTGTGGGCCACCCCAGCAGTAGCTCAATGTGACGTACTCGGCATGCTCATCCGGGCGAGCAAGGTGGAGCCGAACTTGACCACCAGCCACATTGAGGACACGGGTAGGAAGGGGAGTTGGCTGGCGCGGCTGACACTCTGAATGGCCGTTTCGGCACTCGTCTATGATTCCTGTTGCTATCGAAATCACTGTTTGTGATGTGAAGTCGGAGTGGACTGGCCGTCTGGGAACAAACGCGGCACAAGGATCGTCTATCAGAGTTAGCCCGGCCGCATCGTTTCGGAAATCTGCGGATGCCCAGCTGCACAACGAACAGGTGGATGGCGCGGTACCTTTGTGAGCGTAGAAGCTCAGCGGCGAGACCCTGCTTCTGTACCGACGCCTTTCGTCAGTAATCCAGGATAGCTCGAGGCGACTGATGACGAGTCCACCATTCGGCTTGACATATTTCGAGTCGTTTTCCAGGCGGACCCAGATATGTCGGTCCCGGGCGGCGAGGCCATTCAAGGCAGCGCCCCAGTTCTCGGGTTCCAGAAGAAGCCTGCAGACGGCGCAACCCGAATCGGAGTTCTGGCGGAGGCCGGATATTTGCAAGTGTCGAAGGCCGTCTTGGGTCATGAGTTGGGAGATTCCTTCTCTCGTGAACATAGCCCTGCAGGCTGCACAAAAGCTCGCGTTCAGAACCTCATCGCCAAGAATGGCCAACCCGTTCGAGTCACTGGACGGGGTCGACATTGGCAAGCACGCCAGCTCGATATGGGGATCGCCCAGTTTAATGCCTTTCGATGGCGGCGTGAGGAAAAAGGCGGGGTTCCATCCCAATGCGTCCTTGAGGACATGGGGCCCGCTCAGCTCCAGATAGCTGTACCGACAGCTCAAATGAGGAGAAAACGCCAATGGTGTGGTGGCAAGTTAGCGTAGCGCACTGGCCATCTCCAGGCAGATGCACCCACTATTGAGGCAGAAGGGCCTCTGTCGTGACGGCCAGCGCTTAAACCAGCCGAGGGCAGAACCACATGAATCTCATGCGCTTCTACGAGCTACAGTCATCCACAAGGAGGTGTGGATAATTTACAGGCACCTACCTACCTTTGCTAGCCACCTGAATGCACCCTGCAAAGCAAGGAAACATGCAGGGATTAAGTTGGTGTGTGCCACAGCAGCGTTCATTGCCTGACAATGCAACTGTATTAATGAGCGATAAACCAACCACGCGTTAGCTTCTAGTTGGTCACCGTTTAATTATTTTCAGCACGGCCCACCGCCCCTCACAGACTACTCTTATATGGGGAGCACATCCCTACTCCGCTAATAATTCGGTTTCTGCGTCTTGGCTCAATGTTTCTCCGACGACGATTGTGCGCGACGAGCAGGAGTCTGGCTGCCGCCAACAAAAACGGCAACCGTTGTATCGTCAGATGGATCCCGTCAGTGCCCTTGCGGTAGCATGTAATGTGCTGGACATTTTCGACCGCGCTGTCAAATATGGGAGAGGCATCGAGGAGATTTACGACTCGGCTGGCGGCCTCACAGCGCAGGCCGAGAGCCTGGACAATGCCGTCCAATCCATGACCGCCTGTTGGAATAACATACTGGAATGACGCGCTGATCCAAGGAATGCGGCTCCGCATTCCTGGCCACAGCAACGTCTGTGGAGGAGCGGGCCTGACAGATGCATATATATTGGCCTACGCCCACCTGTTCAGATAGATAAGAAGACAGACAGACACAAACGAATCCATCACTTGAACCACCACCTTACGGCGCGCAGCGCGCCATGCTGTTTCCAGTACCGGTACCCTGGTAATTCCTACACCGCCATCACCACCGACCTCTAAAAGCTCGAGAAGGAGATCCTCGAAACCGAAACCGACACCGACACACGTATGCGCGAGGTCGCCAAGCAGTGTAGCGACGTCTGCCAGGCCATCCAAGAGCTTCTGGCCAAATGCAGGCCCGGCCAAATGCAAGCCCAAGGACGGTTCGACTCTCTCGGCCGTCGTCGCACGGGTCCGCGTCACGCTGAAAAAGTCGGATTTGGATGCGTTTCAGGCCAAGCTGGACGAGTCAGCCTGGTCGCTCCACGCCCTTGTCGTGCAAAAGGCTCTGTATGCCTAGCTCCGTGTAGCACTTTAACAAGTGCGCAGGCTTGTGTGCTAATTGGCCAAGTGCAGGGTAGGTCAACCGGTTCTGCAGAGTAGACTGTAGGGAACTGTGCCCTACGGTACAGTACAACAGTGCTCTGTGTATGGCACTAAGGGAAGCAAGCTGACTGCCACAGGTCTGTAGAACTCTGCTACAGGCCTGCCACTTGGACTATGAGGACTCTTCTCAGTAGTCTACCTCGTAGGCTGTAAGGGACTCTATATGTAGAAGAATGAGGTTGCGAGTTGACGAAGAACATTTGCTATAGTCAAGGACTTCGAGGGAAGGTTGTGTGTTAGTTCCCCTGTTGGTCGTATGGGACAGATTACCAGCGCCGTAGCAGCTAAACCTGTAGGAAAGCAGTCGGCCGGAGGTAGTAGAGCGCGCGTAGATCGACGGCTTCACTGTTCCGATTCGCGGGCGGTATTCTAGGCCACAGCGCGTCGGGATGACCAAGACAGATCAGAAATTAGTTAGGGCTACGGCGAGCATGAAGATGGGGTGTTGTGGATGTCCGAATCAGCGAAAGACCACACCATTGGCGGTGTCCGGGACATGAAGGGCAAGGCCATGCAAAAGGTGTGGGAGTGGGTGGTGGGCACCGCCACCCCTCTCACCACCGCCCAAGCCGTTCTAAGCAACCTCTGGAGACGCCGGAGGTTGCTTAGAACGACCGAAAAAAGGAAGTCTTTCTCGGTTTGGCCGGTCTATTCGGCGAAGACGTTCTTTATATGCCGCTCGAACTAGAAGACGCATATTATTTTGCCTGCTTTCCGTTCCTCGAGGAACCTGGAGAAAAGCTCGGCTTCCAACTCTGGCCACTTCGGTCGGAAAGCATGTTCTTTACCGTATACGATCTTTTCCTTGTTGGCCCACCACCGTGTAATTGTATTGCGGGGAATGAGAAAATGATCAGCGGCTTCTTGACAAGTGGGACGTCGAAAGCCAGGCTGGTACAGAGGAATGTCGTCAGGGTCGAAGGAATCGCTAGGACTGTTGGACCGTTATCGAGGGGCCCTATGGTGCTGGTCGGAAGGAAGATCAGGCTGTACATCGCGGACTTCGTGGAAGCAAAGGTAATCAAGAACCTCTAGCTTCGTCCTCCAGGACCGTTGACTGACGGGCTTTTTGAGCGCGGGCGGAGGTGTGTAAGGCTTCTTGTCGTACCGCGAAGAGAGCTTTTTTGGTCGGGGCCTTGCTTTTGCTTGGTGGTGATACCCTCATGAAATTCGCGGGGCTTCGGAGGCGACGGTGGTAGATGTGGTTGTTGAGAAAAGAAGGCATTCGGAGTCATCTCAGTCATGATCTGTGTTGATGAGACAGAGAGTTATTTTTTGCAGCGGCCGTATTGACAATGGTGGAAGGACTCTGATGGGCCTCCAAAGAAGGATGGGAGTGGTGGTGGAATGGCCCTAGCGTCAGGTTTGCGTTGCGACTTGTTGACTGCTTGTGAGAGGACATGAAGAGCCGCTGGCAGCCACGTGTATATATATCTCTGGGGCGGGACCCTCAACTGTTTTCTGGAGGAGTTATCATCCACCCCAGCCAGCAATTAAGAAGGGTCAGATAACGCTCGACCGTACTGCTTCCATACCAAACCGCCTTTCTGCAGACCCCAACAACCATGATGGCCGCCATCCAGCTCGCCGGTCTTGAAGCTTACAACGAGGGTACTTGGACTCGCCTCGCGGAGGACCGCCTCGCCTTCGCCCAGAGCAGGGGGAACCCCCTGTCGGAGAGCGTCTGGTCGGAGACCGGGTCAGCAATAATTCCATCCCCAAGCTAGCCTAGCCAGTCGTACGACCCTAACATCCGTGACCATCATCTAGCCAAATCTTTGTCAAGAACGGTGTCCATGACCGCCTCAGCCTGTATGTTGCCCATCGTCACTTCGCCCTGAACCTAGGCGAGGCAGTTGTCGAGTCTGGCAACGTCGCGACGCCCTGGCCGCTGCAGCCCGCCTCAGAAGCCGTCCGTACCACTGTGGCTGCCAAGTCGTGGATGTTCGTCGATGGCAAGCTTGATGCCTCTCATATTCTTGATGCCCTGGCCACGCCTGACAGCCGTGGAACTCGATCAGGTAGACATTGTCGCTCAAAGATTGCTGGGCGTGGGGCCAAGAAATCAAAGTTGAATCTCAGTTGCTCGAGTGCAAGACTCAAAGCATCCGCCACTGGTGACGCGCTAGTTAGTCGTCTTGCATTTATCGATGTCCGAGTCGACCAAGTTGAGGATCTGAGCCCAGGCTGAAGCTGCCCTGGCCAAGACCTTGCGAGAACTGCAAATGGAATTTTGCGCAAAAGGGCGAGCTCCTCGTTATATACGTGAGAATCGGCAGACAGTCCGGGGGCCCGCCTGTTGCGTGTGCCATCTCGACCGTGGGCGTGCTCCCCGTTTCTGGCACCTCGAGACCCTGATCAATTAAGAAAAAGATTACCTACTTCGCTATTAGCGATTCCCTTTTATACGAGGACTAGACTTGATGCACAGCCTCTTAACGATCCAGCTATCTAGTGATCTGGTATATATACACTGGATGGAACGAGCTGTTCGATGCTGAAAAACTCCGAGTTGTGCAGATGCAGCCTGCGTATTCTAGTGGCTCCGAACTTCTTCTGGTAAAACAGCTGGCAATCCCACTCTTCAAGCGTCTGTTTGGCCTGGAGCCGTTCCCATTGCAGAGAGATGGGTTGAATGAGACAGTTTGCCTTCCAAGAGTGGGGATCTAGGCTTGGACGATATTATCTCGACGAGATGGCAGATTGGGAAGCTCGAAAAAGTAAGACTGGGTCGGGTTTTGGCGGTCGAAGCTCACATTATCCAACACTGCAGTACTCGGGCCGAAGACGATACTCGCTACAAATAGTTGGCCCACGCATTAGGGGAAGGCAGTCCATTTATGGTGAGCAGGCAGGGTGAGCAGTCACGGCGTCTAGCTTTGACCTACGCATATCCTTTTCAAGGACCTCGAAGCCCCAGGGCTGCACGGTCTGGCCGTCAGATTGACTTGCTGGGTCAGACGAACCACGAATTCCTAGCATTGGGAATAGGGGTTATGCGGTATCTATTTCCAGCGTCGGATTGGATGTAGCACTGGCAGCGGTTCGCGTCAGCTATTTGTTTACCCCGTCTCGATGCCAATCTCCCGCCTTGAGCCATACTGGCTGGGTATCTTGCCTACATTTGCTTGACCATGAGCACTTCTCCCACCCTGCGGCAGCCCTGGAAGGAGCTGCGCAATCAAATCAAGGTCTCCGACGAAGCTGCTAAGCTTGCCTATGATGGAGACGGCTCGATTCGAAAAAGGCCATTTTGCGTCGCCGATGCGGACGTCAATCCCTACCCTGCGCCCCCACCCATGCGGAGGACTAGCGGCTGGACTGCCCCCCCGGCTCCCCGACTGACGCCTACAGGGCCCGCGCAAGGTCTCATGGCACACCTAAGAAAATCTGGAAGCGAAGACCCCAACGCGGAGACCACGAGGCCTACGACAACATGGGTTGTGTTGGATTCAGCACTTCAACTTTTTTCATTGATCTCCCTGCTTCTTCTTTTTGGTCCTGCCAGAGGGCCTCTATTATAGTTGTAAATGGTGGCAATGGTGGTGGCAAAAGTAGCCACACCAGCTGAACTGGCCACTTCATTTCAGCTCCCCTGAGCCTCTTTTCACCTCGGATGACCACACCAGAGCTCAGCTGGGATGAGCTCTATTCCACATGCAACCCTTGTCCATCTGACAATAGCCAATCCAACAGGTTGAGTCTGGTGCCAGTCCAACCGTGGCAACTCCAACCGCTATGAAGGTACAGCTCCCCATAGGGAGTAGCATATCCTTCTGGGGAGACTCGATGCCAAACTGTTGCTGGATACATCTGTCAATTGCTCCAACTATGAACAGATTTGGTGTAAGAGTGACGCAGCCACGCGTGGAGTACAGTAAATTTGCCTGTTTAACGAGTCAGCTTCCGTTAGCCCCGGGTTTCTCCTTCCTTGACGTTAACACTCCTACCGTGCTGTATTTCCATCCGAATTTCTTGGACACGTATTGCAGAAGCAATGCCCACGCGTGCGCTCCGCAGAAAGCGACAAGAAACGCACCAAGACACAGCCGTAACGCTGATGACTTAAGGAAGCTTGCTGATGTTTTGAAAGAGCCTACCATGGGCTCTTGGACTATTTGAGGATAAGATTTGTCCAGCCGAGCTCCTTCACTACGGCTGGGGGCAGATACCAGTCGCTGATGCTCATTAGGGCTGACACCAAAGGGCCACCAGAAATAAGCACGATCATTTCCATAGCAGCTAATTTCAGGGAGGCATCGACAAGGTCCACTGCCAACTTCCCACAAAACAAATGCATCTGTACTCGTGAATTACTGGCACAACCCCGGGTGCTTGAACAGTTGGAGCATTTCGAGATCATCATCCTCGTGGATGTCTTGAATGCCAAGGAAGGAGCGTAACTGCTGTCTCGGCTGGGGACATGGAGTCGAAAATGCGCGGAACGGCTGGCATTGTAGGGATTTCGGTGTCGCTAGAGACGGACAGCGGGACCGCCAGGGCGGGAATTGACGCGCTCTCGTTGTTTCTGTCAATGGCGGTAACCAAGCCATCACGCAGCATTCGATAATTTGAAAATATTACGGGATCTCTCCCGCCCCGCACCCTTGATTCATTCTTGCCCTCCCCCCTACGTTTCTATCTTTTTCCCTTGGAGAGGAGGCCAGCAGATATTAGCCAGTCGCCAGAGCCACATACTAAAGGAAGACCTCCTCGAAGCACATCTCAGGTCGAGGGGGCACGAGCCACCCGCGGTCCATCCCATTATCACGTAGGGCATGGGTGGAGAAGCTTGGAGGGAGCATTGGCCTCCCGTGGCCAAGACTTCGCAAGATGAAATTGATAAGCCGCGGATTGGTTGGCAGCCCGATCCCAACCAGCCTAGGGAGAAGCCGTTGTCTAGGTGAGTCGCTTTGACAGGTAGCTAGGTGGTATGTGGGTGGCTAAACAAAGGTTCATGAAGACAGATAAGTGAGGTGGGCGTCTGGGTGTTTTGGTGTACCAATAGAGGCCCAAGACTCGATCTTAGGTCGTCTCGGGAATTCCAGATATACTAGCTTCCACTGAGCCACGATCCCAAACCATTACACACGCACAAATACACGTCTACACGTGCGCACGCCCCCACCACCACCACCAAGCAGAATGAACAGCCTCTCAGTCCCTTTTGAGCCTTTCCGAGCGCCCCTCCAAGGACGGCGCGCCGCATGCTCTTGTTCTGGGCGCCGGAGTGATTGGCCTGACGACCGCGTGGAGCCTCTCTTGATCGTGGCTTCAAGGTGACGGTCGTGGTTAGCAACTGGGGGCTCCGAGGGAGAAGAAGGCCAAGCTGCGGCGCGAGTACGGCGCCGGCCTCATTACTCCTAGCCTCTGATTATAAGGATGCTTGATCAAGTGAACTTGTACGATCACCTGCGAAATTCTTGCAAGGCTTGCCGTCAACTGTGGAAGGTGTGATACTGGCTGACGAGGCATCAAACCGGCTCAACATATCCTTGGTGGGGACTTGGTTCATAGCGAGTGTTAGGATAAATGCTGGTTTTGGTTTATGTGGCAACGCACGTGCGGAGCACGTACCTGCCAGCCACGTATCGCTGTATTAGAGCTCCGGACTCTTTGGGTGTCGTAGTTTGTCGTGTCATGGCTACCTTGGTTTTATGCCTTGGTGTTGTGTCTTGGTGTTGTGTCTTGATGTTGAGTCTTGGTGTTTTACCTTTGACGTTCTTCGGGTGAGTTCCCCCAATCAGCCCCCCCTATCTGAATTTAACTGACCGACTCGCATCGTAGGCATTCTCAAGCGATGCAACAACGTCCAGATCGATGCAGCGCCCCATTCAATTAATGCATACAAGGACAAGCGATTGGCGCAGGTCGTGGTGTTTGTTTGCCTTGGCGATGGAGCTGTGGCGAGATGAGTGATAGCTCCCTGATCCCCAGTGCATCAAGCGGCAACCCAATTTAGTTCAACGATATTTCGATGTGGTGTGGATGACGGTGCGCTCTGATTGGTTGGTGTGCGAAGCGGGGGGGCCTGCTGCGGCTGCAGCTTCGGTGGTACTAAACGTCTGTGGTTATAACTGGCTCATTTGGATGCGAGTGGAGGTAGGTAAAAAATGGAGCCCGAGTCTTTGCGTATTGAAAACGCCTTTCCCAAACCACCAACATTACAAAGGATTCGACCCAACCCACTCAGTTACCAGTGTTTGCTATCTGTGACAGAGCCCTCATACGGTCGCTGGGCAATTTCGCACCCAAGCGATGCATGAAATTTAGGCAAGGAAGTAAGCTGTTCCAACTACACTACATTAGTTTCGGTAAGAACTGGAGCCATTGCACCTCTTGGAACGCTGTTGCGGGCATCTGCGGTAAGCTAACCACGCTCTCGACAATAAGGCAAAGCCTGGACACAAAATACGCAGTCCCCAAAACGAGAAACACGAAGCACCATGGGGTGCGCTTTTTGTACCCGCCAAACAGGTCCATACTCGCCTCTGTGTACCGCGTCCGCCAGAAGCCCATCATTTCCGAGAGACCGTACACAGTCAGTGATCCGCCCATGATAATGCAGTTCACCTGCCATATATGCACTTCGGCCTTTGTCGGAAACGAGAGGCTCCAGCCGCAAAGGTGAATGCCACCAAAAACAGATACAGCCACCCCCAGCATAAGATTCTCTTGGAAACTGCATGGTTTGAAGTCACGGTCGTTAGGGATACCTTTTCTGCAGATTATTACCAGCTCTTCCACGGCCAGCTGCTCGCGAAGGTAAGGAAAAGGGGGGGAGGCCAGGAGGAGAGGTACATACGTTCAAGGGGCCGCCGGACCTGCCACCACCTCTTGGGTAGTAGCAATCGCTGCATCATTCCCCCGTGGTTCCATTTGCTGCACCAGTAAATATCTGGCTCTATAAAGTCAAGTGGTGTGTCTCTGAACGGGTCTTTGGCAGCATCACCAGCTTGTACCAAGAGCGTCGAGATATTGCACTTCGCCTTGAGTATCGTGGGGGTTTTCAGGTTGAGGGGCTTGTGCCACCATAGACAGAGAGTGATGCTGGAGCAGAAGAGAATTGCTGAAGACATCAGCTCCAAGGGGGTGATGTGCAAACCAGAGGCAGCGCGAGCGACGATATTGATAATGAATCGGCCGGACTGGAAGAAGGTCAGGCATTTCGCGACAACATCAGCCTTGCTCTTATCATCGATCTCGACCTTTTCGATCCTTGGAGCGTCAACGTACTGGTGGCTGACTAGGTAGAATAGCTGTTTGGCCGTAATGGGAAAGGGGTGAGCACCAGGGATGTCGAGCACAAAACCTCCGCTATCGGCATAGAAACCGTGGGTTATGGTCCAGTCAGCCACGGCAAGGGCCTTCATATCCTTTCTCGACCGCCTCGCCGACGCTAGCTGGGCAAAGGCAAAAAGCATTGGTAATTCCGGGCATAAGCTACCGAGAAGGAACCACCGCAGCTTGCGCCAGAAGCCTGTCATGACTCCATCGCCGGACGCGGGGACGTTGAGGTGCAGCATGGAGAAAAGGAGGAGTCCCAATGTGGAGACACATGGCCAGATGATATCCATGGTTCCTCTCGTAACCGGGCCCCGGACCCAACCACGGTAATCCCCCGTCCCGGACGTAGAATTGGACGTAGAATTGGACGTAGAATTGTTTCGAAAGCTGCTGCCATGATACGATGTTGATGTTGCTGTCGCCATATAGGCTGAAGGCCCAGTCAGGCAGTATTTTACCATCTATTAATATAATCCCAGCCCTTCGAGAGGCTGTGCCCCTTGTCGATTGCTGAATTGCCCAAGGCAGGCTTTCGGTGAGCAAATGGGTGGAACTCGGTGTGACTTGAGCATCACCTCGGTGGCTGAAAGTACGTGGCGTGGGACGTGTATGACGTTGCGGGACCAGTGGGGAAGGGCACCTTCCAAACGGGAAGAATTCGTCAAACCGCCTGAGGCCTCTGCCCCACTTCTTCGTGCCTCAAACTATTGAGAGCCACATCACTCCGTCACTCCGTCACGATTCCACCCTCAATACGGGATACGAAAAAGAAAAGGAAAACTCGGCACCCCATTTCCCAACGCTGTAACTGGGCCGTATCGCTCCGTCCCGTGGCCTGCCCTACCTTAGCACAGGACGACGAGGAAGCCTTGGTGCTTCATTCCCACTACTGCGCCGAAGTACTTCGTTACGGTTCCACCCCCCTCAATACGGGATACGAAAAGGAAAGTTCGGCATTTCATTTCCTAGCACTGTAACTGAGCCGCATCGCTCCGTCCCTGCCCTACCCTGCCTCAGCACAGGACGACAAGGAAGCCTTGGTGCTTCATCCACCACACTCCGCCGCATCACTTCGTTCCCTCCTCAATACGACTGACGTGGCACGGGCGCACTTCTTCCGAGTCATCATGGCTTTTTTCATCGATGGCTACACTGTGTCTGCCTTGGTGGCATACGTTGCGCTCTGTGCCCTTTTGCGATACCGTCAGAAGCATGCGATCGAGGCGAAGTTCCGAATGTCGCTGGGGGACATGACCCTCTTGCAGGCATACGAAATTCAGAAATGGCTCGGCGAGCAAGAATTCCCTGCTACCTTTTCTGCCTCGATCTTCTTTGCCCTGTTCAAGGTATGAAGGTAGCCTTTCTCTTCCACCACCCAGAGGAAGCTAACCACCTACGACGTAGACGTATGGTGTCCCTTCCATCTCCCGGCTCCTTGTAGCGACTGGCCAGATCGCCGACCGCAATGACACCCACGATCTGGAGAGGACTTCGAAGCGTACGGCCGACACAAGTGTGTTGATCACCAACATGGTCATCGGTCGGCCCGGCTCCCGGCGAGCCATCGAAGCCGTCGCACGTACTCGATTTCTCCACGCCGGTTACCGGGAAAGCAGAAAGATTTCCGACGATGATATGCTCTACACCCTGAGCCTTTTCGTCCTGGAGCCTATCCGATGGGTTGCTCAATACGAATGGCGCTGCCTGACACGTCTGGAGCGCTGTGCCATGGCAACATGCTGGAAGGCCCTCGGCGAAGACCTCAACATCCCATATGATAGGCTGCCATCCTCGCAAAAAGAAAGGGGATGGACCGACGCCCTGCATTGGCTACGTGAGCTGGACGAATGGAGCCGCGCATACGCCCATCAGAATGTGAGATTGCACAAGAGCAATACCATTCTCGCCAGCGCCACTATGGATATGGTGGTGTTTAAATTGCCCAAGATAGCTAAACCGGCTGGCCAATACATTGTCTCCATCATCTTGGGGCCGGATCTTCGCAATGCGATGGGGTAATGGTTTTCCAAGGTCTCCCCCTTCTCACATATACAAGTACCGAGGGCTAACGTGAGAGTGCCTGATCGGCCAGGCTTCCCTGCCCGTCTCCCTACCATGGGGCTGCGTTCCACGGCATGATTGCAATACGCAAGTTCATCGTCCGCCATCTCTGCCTCCCGCGCCCGTACCTTCTACGACGTCGGCACCTGCTTGACCACCCCGACCCGCAGACGGGTCGCTACAACGTGGCCCGCTGGAGGGTGCACCCGTGGTATGCTCGACCTTCCTCCTCCTTCAAGAGCCTCTGGGGTATTGGCAACTGGCTTCGCTGGATGCGCGGCGGCCCGCTTTCACCACCACCGCCCAGCGAGAACAGGTTCTTGCCCGAAGGATACAAGATCCGCGAGGTGGGACCACCGCAATTCATAGGAAAGGGGGGCAAAGAGATGGACAAGATTGAGGAGACCTTGAGGGGAAGAAATTTGGACGCGTGTCCGTTCGCATCCCTCTAGGAAGGAGGGAGAGTGGTAAAAAAAAATCCCTGACAAGTGAATTCTTGATAGAGTGTGCGAGAAGATGGAAAACCACACTATGCACCGTCACCTCTGGGCGTAGCCCATGACGACGAGGTACGCCAAGTCATGGATGATAATATTGACAAGTTCATTCGATAACGTATTTGATAAGCGAGTTAGCCATGATAAGCAAGTTAGCCACCTTAACGAGACCGGGTAGTGTGCGCAGCCAAATGCGATAAGAAATTGATAAGATCACTAACAATTTACTAACATCTTTTTGCTTGTGCCCCACCAAATCTCGTTAAGGTGGCCAACTCGCTTATCATGGCTAACTCGCATATCATGAACGTTAAGGTTGATGAATGATGAGATCAACTATCGGTAGTAGGCTCTTGGGGTGGTTAACGAGGTTTGGACGCGCGCTGCTCGCTCGGTTTTCGGAGGGCTAGGAAAGCTCTGGAGAGTTAGTGCAAATAGGGCAAGATGCGGTGTATTTATCAAGACCTGGTGACTTTCTCAATTGAAGTAATCGGTACCCAGGCTCGTCAGTTGAGGTACACCTCCGTCGGGGTTTGAAATCTTGGTGCGTTGACTTACCGGGGGTTTGACAGGGGCCTGGGCAGGGGGCTTTCAGCTTTGCCAGCGCCACAATACCATTTCTAGTACTTTCTAGTACATTGGTTCCTCAATTTAAAAACCCCGAAATATTTCAGAAAACAGAATTGTTCTGAGGCGAAACGATGACTCATCAGAATAAAATCCCCAGCAAGTTCCTGGGCCCGGATTTCTGGGAGAAAGACTACACCCTTATCATTATTATTATAAAGGCTACCCTACGCGCAGAAACAAATAAAACAAATGCAGGGTGGGTGCAGAGTGACTGCAACTGAAGGCTGCCCCTGTGCACAGAAAGAAATGCGGGGGGGGTTCAGAGTGGCTGCAACTAAAGGCTGCCCCTACGCGCAGAAAGAAATGCGGGATAGATGCAAATTGACTGCAACTACGGATTAAAGGCTGCCCCTGCGCGCAGAAGAAATGCGGGGGGCGTTCAGAGTGACTGCAAGCCCTTAGCGTAGAAAGAAATGCGAGGGGGGGTTCAGAGCGACTGCAACTAAAGGCTACTCTACGCGTAGAAATAAATAAAACAAATGCGGGGTCGCATCTTATCGAGAGTATGTGTTGGAAAGCTGGCCCCAAAGTAGGTCCAAAATCGGTTCAATGTAACAGTCTTATTGTGTATAAAGTCTTGGGGTAAGTCCTGGTGACCGGTGCCTTGCGTGGAGCGGATTATAAGCGCCGCGTTGGCGCCAGGGAGTTCTTAGTTCGGGGCCAAATGCTAGCCTGGATGGCTAAAATCGACTGCCTCAATACCATGCCATTTATTGGCACGTGTTACTTCGAGCGAAGCGAGGACAGCCCGCGACAGGCACCCCCGGAGGGCCGCCCGACGCCTTTCTTACTCGCTAGGTGACGTATTCCATCCCAAGTCCGGAACTCAGCAAGCCTAATGGCAAGAGTTCGGAACTCGGCAAGTCTAATGGCAAGAGTTGACTTGGTAGGCTTGGTACTACCACCGCGCTGAGGGCGCCATGGCTTGAGATGTGGCGTTCCCTAAGTCTAGACCTCGGAAGCCCGGAAGTCTAATGGCAAGAGGAGGAAGCCATAAGTAGAGGCCTTCCCTCCCCGGTCTCCTACGCTTCGTCATGCTTGTACATCGAAACTCGAAAGATCCCACAGGCCAGCCTTGCTACGTCAAAACTCGAAAGATCCCACAGGCCAGTCTCAGCTGCCGCAAGTCAATCTCCATCCCCATGCCCCTCTCCAGTTGCCTCTCCAGTGCCTCTGCAGTTGAGCAGCGACGCTAACACGCAGTCCTACAGCAATTCCTACCCACGATGAGCAGCCCTTCAGGATCTCGACCCCTTCAAGCGGGGCAAAAGCGCGAACACAGTGGGGAAGAGGCGGATAGGGCCAAGAAGGCCCGGCTTGGGGAAGCGTACGCGGAAAAGGAGGGGCTGAGGAGCAGGAGGCCGACGAGGAGGAGGCCGACGTGGAGGAGGCCGACGAGGAGGTGAGCAGAGATTGGGGGCGGGGGGCCGTTGGCGGGCTCGGCGCCTCTGATCTACTCGACGACGGTTTTCTACATGGCGTCTCACCGTTCGGAGTCCCAATTGGAGGGGGCTACTTCGTCATCCCCGACGACCCCGTCGACTTTCCGGCAGGGATGGACTTCAACCTCGACTTCCTAGTAGGGATAGACTCCGCCAACCCCGTCGACTCTCTGGCAGGGATGGACTCCGCCAACCCCGACGACCCCGACAACTTTCAGGCAGGGATCGACCTTCTGGCAGGGATGGACTTCGCCAACCCAGTCGACTTCGCCAACCCCAACGACCCCGACGACTTCCTGGCAGGGATCGACAGCCGTGCTGTCGGAGAGCAGCAGGGGGCGGCGGCCGGCGCGCTCGTCGCCTCCGCCCCGCCCGTTGAGGGCGTCGTTGAGGTCGTCAGCCCTGTCTTCGCCACTGCTCCGCCCGTTGAGGGCGTCAATCCTATCCTCGAAATGCCCAGCACGCTCTAGAACGTCGTCAGCAGGGTCGCCCCGCCTAAAGATGTCAGCAAAGGGCTCGAAGAAGACGCGGGAGGGGTGAAAAATCTGGTGCGCACTCACCAGGACCGGGACTAGCGCGTCTCGACGCTCGACCGGAACGCGGACGTCCTCGCCCGCACCGGCCAGGTCATGTACAAGCCATCGCCGCGACTGGATACCTGGTCAGCAGACCTGAGCCGGTGCTCTCCTCCCCTCTCTCCCGAGGGCCGCTTTGGAATGGCGCGTTTACGGGTGTTGATCTAGTGCTTACATGCTAGAAAGTAGGCATTTAACTATCATAAGCAGGAATTCCGCCCTTCTTCCCTCAACAATGTATCATATTCTACCCGCTTGCCGGACGTGATAATTACCGCGTCTCAGGAGCAGCCGGCGTCCGAAGGTCAGCGCGCGTCCAAGCGCAGCCAGCTCGGGGAGACGGCCACGGCGCCACGCTGGAGCGCTACGAGAACGGCATCGAGGCCGCCAAGAGCGGGTGCGACGAGCTAAAGTCGCGCTTCAAGGCGCTCAGCGCTAGCTGTAACAGCCCGAGTTGCACTGCCGAGCTACTATCCTCCTCCCTCTTTGCACAACAACAGCGCAGCTAACTGTGAAGCTATTCGCAGCAGACGATGGAGCGAGTTGCATTGACGCAGACGATGGGCCGGGTTGCATTGCCGAGGTACCATCCCCCTTCTTTTTGCACCAAAATACTCCCTGGTCCGCCGACTAACTCGCCCAGCCGCGCAAGCCCGTTCTTGTCGCCCTTGACAAACTTCCACAATCCCCTTGACAAACTTCCACAATCCCCTTGACAAACTTCCACAATCCCCTCGACAAACTTCCACAATCCCCTCGACAAACTTCCACAAACCCCTCGACAAACTTCCACAATCCCCTCGACAAACTTCCACAAACCCCTCGACAAACTTCCACAAACCCCTCGACAAACTTCCACAATCCCCTCGACAAACTTCCACAAACCCCTCGACAAACTTCCACAAACCACTCGACAAACCCTTCCACAAATCCCAGGATCCCTAACTTACTTACCTAGGTACAGGTCTCTTCTCTTTCCTCCTTTCGGCACCATGCTCAACTTCCTGGACCATTGCGGCATGTAACCCACCTTCCTCTCTTGATGATATCTGAAAACATTTGATAACACTTTACATGCTCACCTGGCGGGGGAACCGTGTTTCCCCCCAGCGTGAGCTTGCGGGTTTCGAGGGATCGGTTACTTCTGAGGGATCTTGTGGGTTTCGAGGGCATTGAGGGTTTCCGAGGGCATTGAGGGTTTCTGAGGGTATTGAGAGTTTTCGAGGGTATTGAGGGTTTCCGAGAGCATTGGGGGTTTCCGAGGGCTTTTGAGGGTTTCCAAGGGCATTGGGGGTTTCCGAGAGTATTGAGGGTTTCCGAGGGCATTGAGGGTTTCCGAGGGCTTTTGAGGATTTCCGAGGGTTTTGTTATCCTCTCAAAGAGCAGGCATAAAGTGCCATGGAGAAAGGCATAAAGTGCCATGGAGAAAGGCATAAAGTGCCATGGAGAAAGGCATAAAGTGCCATGGAGAAAGGCATAAAGTGCCATAGAGAAAGGCATAAAATGCCACAGAGAGAGTCACAAGCTTGACGGGTTTTCTTTTCTTTTCATTTCATTTTCCCCCGCACAAAGGCACAACGTGCCAGGGAGAGTCATGAATTTGACGGGTTTCCATGTATTTCCTATTCTTTTGTGTTCGCGGGCGTCAAGCTTAGGTGGTGGTGAGAACTGTCTTTCCAGTCAAGAGCTTAACGGGTTTTCATGTCTTTCCTATTCTTTTGTATTCGCGGGCATCAAGCTCGGGTGGTAGTGGGGACAGTCAAGAGCTTAACGGGTTTTCATGTCTTTCCTCTTCTTTATTCGTGGATATCATACTCGGGTGGTGGCGGGGACTGTATTTTGAGTCACGAGTCTGACTGTCATGATTATTTTTATTTCTCTCGTGGAGGCATCTTCTTTTCATCATTTCGTGGACAGGATAGACCCGACATTCGACGGCATGGCGGCGCTTGTCTGCGCTGCTAGTCTCTCGCAGCCGGACAGTCACGCACTCACACTCCCTGCTGGTCAGAGGAATTCCCTGGTGAGACACTCGAACCATGCGGTCTGGCGACTCATGGCACGTTGGCGAAGTCGCATTTCCATCCACCTCACAATGGAAGCCGGGGAGAGGAAACAGGCATGTGTCGATGTCTGCTGAAGTCAACTAGGGCTATACAGTCTCTTCCTCTCAAGGCAAACCCGACACCGTGGTGCTCTCCGCCCAGGACGACTCCAGACACACGCCTGTGTCGATGTCTGCTGAAGTCAACCAGGGCCATACGGTTCCTTCCTATCAAGTCGAACCTAGCACTATGGCCTTGTCCGCTCAAGACGACCCCAGCCATACGCCCCTCTCGGTCTCTCCAGTCAGTCAGGGCCACGAGGCTCTCTCCTCCCAAGTCATGACTGACCCTGTACCCCACGCGTCTCATGTCGACGTTGGCTCTCAGGGCTCCCCTCCGGACGAGGGCTCCGCCCGAGACCCAAACACGCCCAGTGCCCCCCAGCCAGTCTCCCAAAGGTTAGGCGCAGACAACCATAGCACGACAGATGGCAGCAAGGCGATCTCGGTCAAGCCCCAACTGGAGACGGCACCCATGAGCTGCGGCGTACAAGGCACCGCCCAACCCACTGCTGTCGAACTAGCCTTTGCTGCCGCAGTAGCTGCGTCTAACCTAACGCTCCGGCACTGGAGACAGAGCCGAGTCAGACTATGGGAGAGCCTGCACAAACTCTCACTGCCGGCTGTTTCGGACTTCCCCTCACAGTTCTAGCAGAACTGATACCCCGGCCGACGAAGATGCTGCCTACACCCAGAACAACATTCCACCTCGTTCGGACGTCCCTAGCCTTCGGGAGTCGGCACTTCCAACTCACAGTGCATCTGCGTCAAATCAGCCTACCGGGGCAACGGAAAGTGACAAGGTAGTCGACATTGACGGCTTCGACGGTGATGACTCGAATTCCTTCGAGTTTGGCGGCTTTATCTGCTGATATTCTCGTGATCCAGGCTCAACGCCTGGAGGAGGAGGGCTCATGACAGAGCGTGAGTAGCCTGCCACCCGCCCAAGCGTCAGGATCCCTGTTCACCAGGGCGTGAAGCATCACTAACTGGGAACAATCTCAGTCAGCGTTTCATCACGAAGAGCTTCCCCGGGATGTCGCCAAGTTGACGTGGAAACTACTCACACATGATGTAAAGAAAGTAACACATTTAAATACAAGTAATGTTGGTAGGTAAGGTAAGGTGAGGGGGTGGTGGTTAGTTAAAGTTTCTCGGTGAGGCATCGCGCGGGTGGTGGCAATCTTTTCGACCTTCGTCTGTCTCTACCAGCAGATCTCGACTACCGCGAAAAGAAGAGGAAGAGCAAGAGACCCTTCACCGAGGACATGGGCGACCGCAAGACAATCATCATGAGGAATTCTACAAGCGACTTTCAGTCCGCAGGGACCCAAAAAACGGGCAAGCCAGCTCTCGCTGCTCGGCAATCGGAGCCCGGACACGGAAGCCAACGAACGACGGACGACGCTTAGGACTCTCAATGGCGGCAGCCGCGCCTCGAGCATGCACGACGACTCGTCGCCTTGCACGGACCACACTCCCTTCTCTCCGAACCAGCTCGCACCCGACTCGGACGAAGGCCCGGATGGGAGTGAAGAAAGCTCTGAGGAAGGGGACCTGGCATACGACGGACCTCGGACAACACTGCTCGCAGAGCTGCAGCGGAAACAGCGCAACAAGATATGAGAACCCTTCCGACTGTCCAGGCCTGTCCGGACGGAATGCACAGCACCCTGCTCGAGCTCGATACGGTCGCCGAGGTGGAGCGCAAGGCCAGAGGGGCCAAGCGTGCCAACCTCGCTTGGGAAGACCCGAATACGAATCTCAACCACCTCGAGGACCTGCAACAGCCAGAAGACAATCTCCCTGCCGACCCCCTCGAGCTACCCGTGCCGGTAGAGGACCAAGACGCGGCCCTCGGACGGCCTGCATGAGCAGAGCACCAGGCAGCGCCGCCAGCGCATCTGCCCGCGCCAGCAGCAGAGAACCTGGTTGAGTGGTAGGTGCTGGACCCAACAGTCGACCATATATCAGTCACCTGACCAATTTCTTTAGTATCTCGTGTTCGTTCTTCAAACCCGAATTATTCCAGCTGTTCCAAGACAGGGAACAGAAGAACGAACTCGCTCCGGTCCTCAAGTCTATTCCCGACATGGAGTAGTGCCCGCCTTGCGAAGAGATGTTCAACCACGCTCTAACACGAGTAGCGACGAGCGAGTGCAGCCAAGCCGTGACACTAGTGCGGCCAGCGGAGTGTCCTCAGTTCCCCGCTCACAGTCAAGAGCAGTTCCGGGATAGCCTCACGGCTTCAAACCCTCGTCATGCAACTATTTGACCATTCCTCGCACTGCCTTCTTCAGTCAAGTACCTTCAACGCTGATACCGTGATTCATTCTCGTCCATCCATCGTTTGCACCATGGCCCGTCCTTGTCCAGCGCCCTACCTACTTTACAGGAAGGAGCCACAAAGCTGACAACAAAACATGGCTACATTATTCTTTCCCCAGTGCCGCCCCAGCACCATGGAGTTTCAGTCAGATTCGGAATTCGGCAACTGTTTATTAGCAATGGGCCGCGCCGGCGAGCGGGTATCTGGTATCCAGGAGTCGTTTGTCAACGAAGCAACCGCTACATGGCTCGAGTCCCTGGAGGGGTCTCTGGCCATGACGAAAGAGTACCAGGTTAGTGCCCACACACCTCCACAGTCACTTGGGCCCTCGATGATATATATGCCGCCGTCGCCAACAGCACTAGTGTAAAGTGTTTCGTCATCATTATTACGGCAAAAGGCTGCAAGCGCAGACAATTCGACTTCAAAACCGCATTCCTGAACTCGAAAGTGCCCGACGGAGTCACCATCTGCGACGGCAAGAACACCGACAGCCCCGACCACAAGAGCCACGCCGCCTACCCGACCTCAGGCACCTTGGACAACAACGGCCCGTGCCCCGCCACCCACCCCGTCCGCATCCAGGGTGGGCGGCGATATATTCGATACCCCTGTACAAATATTCGGCGAATATGGTGCACTAAAACTTAGCGAGATGAGGACTGCTGTTGCGGGCACCATAGGGGGCGAAGCTGGCAGCAAAACGTAAAGGGAAAATACTCGCTGTAGCTTAGCGCCAGCCCGCTAAGTTACAGTTTTCATCTCACTAAATTTTAGCGTTTACCCCACTAGAACTTCTGTCGATTTCAGCGTATCATATTCGCCAAATACTCGTACAGGGGTGTCGAATATATCGCCGCCCACCCTGTCCGCATCCCCCAGGTCATGTACGACGTCATGTGGCAGACCCAGGCCTTTAGCAACAAAAGCCTCTAGCCCGCCGACGGCTCGCAGCCCTTTGTCTGGAGCACCACCGACAAGTTAGTTCCCTCTCCCCCTTCACGTTGAGCAAGCTCCCGGTATCCCTAGACGTGGTGACCCAATAAGGAAATCGCCCCATAGCGAAATCTCTGCCCCTGTCATCTAATTTCCCAACCCTACAACTCCGAAACACCACAACTTCAAATCAAGCCCAAATTGTTTCAAAATAGGCCATGTCAGACCGTCGCGAGGAGTTCTTTGAAGCTGCAGGGCGTGCGCCTAGCCGTCCTCAGGTCCAGAGATTCGCTCAAGCTATACTCAACGAGGCTAGCACAAAAAAGATCGTGGGCGAGCGATATGTAGATCGCTTCCTACGCCACAACCCGGCGCTAAAAATGAAGAATTCAGCCTTGTTAGAATCCTCTCGCGTCAGAGACTCTACTCGTAAGGCTTACGAAGACTTCTACAAGCGCCTGGCCTTCCAGATCAAGGATAAGAAGGTCAAACCGGCCAACATGGCCAACATGGACGAGCACGGCATGCAGGAGTTTGAGACCCGGGCCGGAAAGGTCATCGGAAGCTCCCTAACGAACCGAACCTACCTTCAAGCTCTGATGCAAGTACCTGGGTCACAGTTATCGAATGCGGCACTGCAGGGGGCATTCGTTTAAAGCCCGTAATCATGTTTACCGGGGCCAGTCTTCAAGGGTAATACTTTCCCGATCACTTCAGCCTGGAAGCCGAATTCCCGGATTGGAAGTATGACTACTTAATAACAGGCTGGAGCAACGCCAAAATCGCTTTAAAATAGCTCAAGGAGGTCTGCCTAATCCAAATAATGCCCAAAACGCCGAGCGAATGGCGTACATTGATCCTTGACGAACATTCGAGCCATATAGACGAAGAATTCATATTGACGGCATAGAGAAACAAGGTCCAGTTTGTCTTTTTACCCTCACATATATCGCAGAAGTTCCAGCCTCTCGATCGCTCAGTCTTTTCACTTTTGAAGAACTATTTCAGGCAAAACACCAAGGCCCTCGCGGGCTTCACTGCGTCGGCGCCTATCAACAAGCAACGGTTCCTTTTTTACTATAGAGATACCTCGGCTCGGGGCATGAACGCCCGCAATATCATCTCGGGCTTTAGGAATACGGGGATCTAGCCGTACAACCCGGCCCGTATACTGGATGACCCCGAGGCGTTCGTCAACGAAGATGCCCTCCCGGCCAGGCCTTCCCGGGACCGAGATGGCTGCAGACGGCCTCACAAAGCCGCTCAGTGCAGAAAAACATACCAAATTCGTCAGAGTGTTGGGAATGGAGGCAAATAAGGTGCCCTGACTGGCCCAGATAGCTAGACTTCCGGTAAGGAATCTAGCTATTCCCTTTCTGCCCACACCTCTTCTTTCTCTTCCTCCTCCTTTTTCATCTTCTTCTCTTCCTCCTCCTCCTCTTTCTTCCTCTCCTCCTCCTCCACGTCCTCGTCCTCCCAATCGTCGTCGTCGTCGCGATTCATCGCCGTCAATAGGGGTATTCCTTCATGCTGATTCGCGGGAGCTTGCTAATGTTCTCCTAGGTCAGCTTCACGGGGTCAGTGTCCTCGAGTTCCGACCCCGACTGCTCTTCCTCCTCCTCCTCTTGGTTCGTGGCCTCGTCCTGGGGCCCGCACCGCGCCCGCTCTTCGAGACGGTGCTTTTCCTCGCGTTCCGCTCTTGCAGCTGACACAACATGACCAAGGGCGACGTGGTGGCCGTGGTCAAGAACTACGTCAAGCTGGTGCCGCTGGTCAAGAACCAGAAGGAGCTCGGTCTAATAAGAAGCGACTACGGACCCCACGCACGCGATGGCTTCAACGCAGACGGCTTTCGTGGCCACACGAAACCCACCGATGTGGCAGGATCTGGGCCCCAGACAGCACCGGACCTGTCCGTCCGGTGTGTCAGCGCGCTGGACGCTGCGCGAGATGGCGACGACAACGCCTTGGTGTCGACATGCGATCAACTCCAGCAAGTCCACGACTTTCGCAAGCTCCTTGATAGCACCACAGCCGGGCAGAACTCTACCACACCGTCATAGCCAAGCAGCTGACGACGCTAGCCGAGGTGATGCGCGAGGCCGGCGTCGACCCGGAGAGTGTCGGGTGCGAGGCGTGCAAGCCGACGGTGGGCAGCATCCTGGCCAGCCCGTGGAACCGGCACGTCATTGACCGCACGACGCACGGCCTGCAGGACACCAACGACAAGTTCCTGGGCAACATGCAGCGCAACGGCACGTACAGCGTGGTGCCCAGAACTTTGCCCCTGAGCCCAAGAGGCGCTTCCTGCCCTGCAAGAATGAAGCCACGCAAGTCATGAAGCTGGTTCGCGCGATTAGGGAAGGCAGGATTCTGCCCTCCGAGCCGCCTGAGGAACACTTGCCGTGGGTCAGATCTGGGATCTGTTTGCTGTCTCGGGGCTGTCTCGGGGCTGTCTCGGGGCATTTACTGACTTGCGCCATTGCAGTACCAAAGAGAGAAGAATGGGAGAGGCTCGATCCAGAGGAACGGGAGAAGGAGTATCTGCCACAGAAGTACCGTGCCTTGAGGAAGGTGCCTGCTTGGAGCGAGATGGTCAAGGAAAAATTTGAGAGGCATGGTAGGTAAAGTAAGATTGACGACCACTCCCCAGGACTGACTTTTGATGTGAACAGCATCTGTACCTAGCCCCTCGGATAAGGAAAAACCGGCTCAACATCGACCCAAATTCGCCCCTTCCTAAACTTCTATCACCCTCTGAGCTGAAGCCTTTCCCGACTGTCTGTTAGACAATTTTCCGAGGATACGAGGGTCGAGTGCGAAGTGTTTCCGTCGATCCTGCAAGTCTTCAAAAGCTAGTTTTACCTAGCCTGAACATGTGGCGTCTACTCAATACATCGGATTGAATCCGGTTGTGTGGGAATTGCTTGCTAGCACTTTCATCAGGCTGTACGGCCTTGGCAACAGGAGGAGACGACGGGGCTGTCCGGGTCTGGGAGTTGCTTACTGGCCGGCAAGTCTGGTCGGTCAAGCTCGGCAATGACGAGGCTACCAACACAGTTCGTTGGAGACGCAGCAAGGACTCGTTCATTCTTGCTGCTGCTGCCGGCGAGGACATACTCCTAATGGTCCCGAGCCACGCCACTGTCACGACAAGCCTCGAGAGCTGCGTCGGCACCACGCGGTGCCGCTACGGCATCGGCGACAGCGTCGGCACGGCCGTGCGCCTCCTCACGGCGAGATGGTGCCCCGGGATGTCCGCGGTCGGCAGCAACACCGTACACACCCAGCTTCTCTTCCCTGTCGAGAGACGAGCGCGTGGCGGGGAAGAACTCGGGCCACGACAGCATCTCCCTGTCGACACGGCCCCGGCATTCGGCATCGCGGAGTGTTAATGTTAGTGTTAACTCGCCCACAAAAGGCCGTGGGCGTATGCGGCTGGCTTCGTCCCCCCACATTGCCAGGCGGTTCAAAGGAGCAAACAAGTGATTAGTTTTTTACCTGGTCGGAATCGCGGATTCGGTGGTGCGCGGCGTATTCGACCAGGCGCGGGTAGTAGTAGAGCGCGAACTCGTCGAGGTACTCAGTCTCCGAGGAAGCGATACTACCCCCCACATCCCGCGCCCGATCTCTCTCGTCTCTTCTTGACTAACAGACGGGTTGCAGCGCCGAGCTCGCGATTCTTCTCTGCCAGCTCCTTGAAGTAGCCTCCTTAGCCAGAGATAAAGAGAAGCTGCTAGTGGCGGTGTGGGCTCCCAACTAGGCGACAAGCGCAGAATTCATCCACGTGCTCCTGGTCTTCCTGCGCTCGCTCGAAACGTGGCCCGAGCAGAAGGAACGCTTCGGGTGGGCACTCGACGTACGCCGTTTGACACCCTTCCTCACCTTGCTCGTAACATTAACACCAACACTAACACTGACACATCCCGCCCGTGCTGACTCGGAGGGGTGCGGAGGCCTACCTACGTACCTACACGTCGCAGTTGAAGCCATCTTGGTATACCAATGCTACCGCACGCGCTGCCGTGACGCCATTGGCCGCCTCCCTTCTACGGCTAGTGGTGAGGGCTTCTGCGCCCGGCCCGAGTGTGAAAAAGGGTTTACGGCCCGGCTGCCCCTCCGCGACTCTTCTGCGTTTCAGTTCTGTCGAGCCATCTGCGAAGTGACCAGAGTCGTCGAGCATGCCCTCCGTGTGAACAATCCCGACTTCTTGGAGACCTGCCGATGCTGCGCATGTTCCACCTGGCCAGGGGCCTCTGCAACGGGGAGCCTACCGACAAGGTCGCCGAAGAGTGGTTCCAGTCGTTGTCCGAGTCCGTTTGGGACGAGAAAGATGCGAACTCGTACTTTGTGTTGGCCCCAAGTATACGTCACCAGCCACGACGACCCTGGCGCCATTCCTGCTGTATGTCGAGGCTGAATTCTTGACCAACCGGGCGTCGCAGATGAACTGCTACCTGCTCACGGCTGTGTGCATCCGAATGATGCTGCGCATGGGCCTGCACCGTGACCCGAGCAATCTGGCCCACATACCTCCCCTCGACAGAGAGATGCGCCGGCGCCTGTGGCATCTGGCTACAAAGCTCGAGCTCATGCTGTCGTTCCACCTGGGCTTGCCAGTATGATCCCCAGCATAGAGAGCGACACCGCGCTGCCGCGGAACCTCGTCGACGAGGACATCTCTGTGCGTGTCGTATTGCACCGCCGCTACATTATAGAGGCTATCCCCAGGCCCGAGCACGCCTACTCGCGGCGCGTCTGTCTCGAAGCTGTAATGGCGCTGCTCGACCATCAAAATGTTATCCACGTAGCTGCGTTGCCGGGCAGAATTTTGCGCATGAACGGCTGGTTTGTTATATCGTCGGCTATCCACGACTTTTTACTAGCCGCCATGGTCATCTACCTCGTACTGCAGAACGAGACGTACGACATGCTTGCCGGCGAATGGACCGAGAAAACCGCTCCGCTTTCGGGCCGCCATCACCTGTATAACCTACTCGCGCGATCCCACAGGATATGGATAGCCGTGTTCCAGGACGCGCCCGTTTTCAAGAAGATAGCCGACATCCTCAAGACAATATTGCGGAAGCTCAACGGCACAACAATTCCCCGCAGGTCGAGCTCGAATGGCCCGCAGACAGTCGTATCGTGGCGGCAGACTTCAACAGGACTAGAAGCCGTGTCTGTAGGCGGCCTCTCGATTGATGGTAGGTCTCCAATCTTTCCTATTTCGTGACTCCTTGCCATCGTTACCCAAAGTGAAACAAACTGACTTGGGTTCTCTCTGGAATCCGTAGAAAACGAGCCCTGGTATTCGGGTTCTTCGTCGCCCGTCACCCCTGAGCAGCAGCAGGAACTATCGCCCGTCGGCTTGCTTCCACAAAATTCGACCGCCCCGGTGAACGGTCTTGACGCCGGGACGTGGCTAGGGATAAGCCTGCATGGTATGGACTTGGGTAAGTGATAAATCTCGAAACGAAGCAAAACACCTACCCGTAATCGATATGGCCATATCCGAGACACTGGTGGCTTTATCCAGAGGGTCAAACGAGTGCAAGACGACGAACCCAAAGAGCACCGTACGAAAAGGCTGCAATTTGTGGAATGCGCATCGGGAAAAGATACGGCTCTGGACATGCCACCCAATGATTTCACGAAGCAATTGCTACACTGCTTCCTCCCTCGCATGGGCCTCCTGCACTGCGTGTATAAGAGTTACACGAATCTCGACGAAGACACAGACCAGCCTGCAGAGGGGGATCAGCCCGTAGAGGGGCCCTGAAGAAGTTTGAGCTCAAGCCCCTGGCCTTTGGCAACAAACGGAAGACTTGATACCGCCCCGTGACACTAGACCAGCTCCTCGAGATCCTCTCTCACGATGCCGTCGAGAAGTATGGAGAAGCTCGAGGACAGATATTCAGCGCAATCCACAAGCAGCTCAAGTACTTTGCAGGCCGGCAAATCCGAAATGTTGGCACTCCGGTAGGAAATCTCGTTACAGCTTCTCCCATCTCCGACTTGAATCCCGTCCTCATGGCTGCCGATACCATTATCGCCTCCATTCGCATTCCTTATGCGCAGGAAAAGAACGAGTTCTTCCGCGCCTATAAGTAGGCCAAGAGGAAAGATGACGATATCGCCATAGTCACAGCGGCTCTAAAGTCCGCCTGGATGATGACGGCGTTGTCGAGGCAGCCAACCTCGTCTGCGGAGGCATGGCGCCCTTCACGGTGGCTGCAAAGAAGACAAACGCTGGGGCGCCCCCCACTTCGAGGAGATGTTCTTCGCCGAGGACACCATTTGTACACTGCAGGGCAGCCCATCGGACTGATCTTGGCCACATCGGCAGGGCGCGCTGCCGAAGGGGCCCGGGCCGTCAAGGTCGAGTACTACGGGCTACCTGCCATCTTCACCATGGAGGAGGCCATTGAGAAGGAGAGCTTCTTCAGCTTCTTCAAAGAGATCAAGAAGGGCGACCCTGAGGAGGGCTTCAAGAACTGCGACCACGCTTTCACAGGTGTGGCCAGGATCGGCGGATAGGAGCATTTCAATCTCGAGACAAACGTCACCCTAGCCGTGACCAAGCCTGAAGATGGGGCAGATGGCTGGAAAGCGATAAATCGAGCGTGAGATTGATTGAGGTGTGTTGCGACGTTGCAGGAAGAAAGTAACTGCGGAACTCGGCCCGGCTGAACTTGGGGATAACAGATTTACAGCCATTCTCTCCCTAAACACCAAAACAATTCTCGTGATAATTAATAATACGACGACCCGTCCCGCAGCACCACCCCAACACGACCAAACCCGGCCCAAACCAACCTCGACGCCTCCGGGCAGGCAAACGTCGTCGCCGTGTGGTTGGCGCCGTCCCCGTGATGGTCCCCGCAACCCATTACCACATGGCGGCCGCGTCGTCGGCGGCGGCAGCCTCCAACTCGGCGCAGCGAGCCCTGAGGGCGTCGCGCTCGGCGGCGACGGCGGCGATGGTGCCGGCCTGCTCCTCGGCGTAGAGCCGCAGGACCATGACGAGGCCCCGGAGCCTCTCGGCGACGGCCTCGTGGTCGTCGACCTCGTTGACCAGGTCGTCAATCTCGAGCTCGCGGTCCCGTACCATGCGCCGCAGGGCCGTTACCATGATGCGCGCGGTGCGCTCGAGCTGGGTGTACTCCCAGACTCGGTCTCGCAGCGCGGCGGCGGCGCCTTGCTCTCCGGCGGCGGCATCCCCACGCAGGGCGAACCTGGCAAGGGTATACCAGCCGGGGACGGGGCCCTGGTGCCCGGATGCCGCGCCGTCCGTGGCCCCGGCGGCTGCTTGCACCGCGCCGGGCTGCTCGAGGACCGCTTCCGCAGCGGTTTCGTCTTCGTTGGCGCCGTTTTGGCGCTCTGCCCCCATGTGCTGCTGGTTGGTGGTGGTATTGGGAGTGTTCATTATGGTACGTGATTACTGTAGGACTAGGTGTTAGGGTCGCTGCTTGGTTGGAGAGGCAACCGGAGAGGCAAGTGGGATGGGGATGCAGATTGACTTGCGGTAGTTGAGATTAGTGTGGATTTTAACTCTGCAAATGACTGGCTGCTCGAGTTTTGATGCACGAGGAAGACAGAAGCGCAGGAGAAGGGGGAGGGAAGGTTCTTACTTATGACTCCGAGTCTCTTGCCATTTTACTTTCGGGGAATGCCACATCTCGAATCTATCGTGCCCTCTACTCTACTGATGGTAGATGATCATTTACGCGCGGGTTGGGCCTCCGGAGTACCTCACCTTGGCAAGTCAACTCTTGCCATTTTGCCTTTAGGGAATGCCACATCTCGAGTCTATGGTGCCTCTTCCCTGTCGGTCTATATGGTCCTCTGCTCGCGGGTGGGTGCCTCTCGAGCACCTCACCTAGGTAAGTCACCTCGGTAAGTTAACTTTTGCCATGTGACTTTCAGGGAAGCCACATCGAGTCTATGGTCTACCCCACTGTCGGTCCTCGGTAAGTCAACCCTTGCTATTTGACTTTCCACATGTGGAGCGCCTCGTCTGCGAGCACGGCAACGACCGTGATAGTCGCCCACACGAAGCCCACACCAGCCCGACCTGGAACTCGGCCGCCGACGCACGGCCTGCTCTCGTTGTGCCAGCGTCGTTGCCTCTTGACACGGACCCGAGCTCTCTCATCCAAACCCAGACTACGATCCGAGCCGGCGACCTCGCCCACGTTCCGAGTCTCGCTCGACAAGACCTACTCACAGCCATCGTTCTCGCTCCACCCTGTAATGTCCTTGTCGGGGTCCGATAATAAGAGGCCATGGAGCAGACGGCAGATGTACTCGGCCTTCTTCTCCTCTAGTGCCGTCGCCGTGTGGTTGAAACACACACGACCACACGTGCCTCGTGACTGAGCAGAAAACCGGCGTCTAGGCCACAAGTTGGTGACGAAGGGTGATGACGTCTCCGTACGAATGATGGAAGCTTCTGGCTTTCTACACGACGCCGCCTAAAATATACTACATACCTCGCACTTTCACCAAATGGAGGAAGCGGCTACGGCTTCGCCTGTCCAATACCATTACAATCTCCACAGGGCCGGCCGATCGCGCTGCTTACTGCCGCGATGACGGCGGTCCTGTAGGAGACGTCGGTGCTACGTCGTTGAAGTTTGTCTCGGAGAAGTCCCGGCGAGCTCTGGTTATTTGTCTTCATCGTCGTGGTCTTTGGCGAGCTGCTCGTCGATGAAGTCGCAGATCTGCGGCAGCTAGTCGAGGAGGTTCTCCGTCACTGTGTCCTTGCAGTCGACGAAGAGCTGGCGGTCCGAGGGGATGAAGCCGGGCAGCAAGCATTACCATGACTGCTGTGACCATCATCTTCAAAGGCGTCACTGTGCGGAAAACGAGGCTGGGTGAACGAAGCTGGGTGGCTGGGGGAAATGTGGATGCAGAGAGAGACATTGATTGACTCTCGGTGGAAAAGAAAACTATGGATGCAGAGACCTCGACTGACTCTCGGTGGAAAAGGAACGGGGAGAGTCTCAAATACCTAGCCCCCAATCGAAGAATGGCAATCACAGATAACGCAGGCGACCGCGGCGAATCACCGCCGAAGAAGCTGAGGGAAATGTGATTGTTTCCAACCCCGGCCCCGGCCCCGGCCCCGGTCCCGAGCCCCGGAACTTGGCGTCGAGGCGTGCTTCGCTTCGTTGCCGTAGCTTCTTCAATGCGAGGCTCGGCTTGAGGCTCGACTAGGGGTGGTAACCTGCTCACGCCAGGACTCAAGAGAGACCCCACCGTCTAGCCAGAGAGGGGGAGAGAGGGGGGAAAGAGAGCGAGGTGGTCGATCCGTACTTGACTTTTGATCTATTTCCTGGTCACAAATTCCGATGAAGCAATTTCCCAAGGTTTCAGACGCCGCTGCCTCAAGTATTGGTGGCACATCCGGAATCTCCTGCATCAAGTTTGCAAAGTGCTCTGCCGGAGGCTCCACGTTAGAAGCAGCCTCTTTGCGTCCATGTCTGTGAGTCGGGTCGTCTGGGCCTGGATTCAAGGCTTCGGAAGGCACTTTCATACCAAAGCGCGAGCCTGCGTCCGAGGTTTTTCAGACAGGGCGATCAACGGGGGACCGGCTGTGCCTTTTAGACACTCAAGACCTCACGTGTGATAGTGAGATGCGCAGCTAGTGTGCGTGACTATTACAGTGGCCGTCACGGCCGCCGATACGTCCTCCCCCGCCTGCAACGCTACACATCGGTCCTTTTTTTCTCTTCGTTATTTCTTTTATTTTTTTTAATTTACTTTTTCGTCATTGTTCCTTTGGCCGGCCAGTCCATTTGAGCCCGAGATCTAGCCACTAAAAGCCCTCCGCTTCCTCCTGTCATGCTGTGAGGGGATAGCCTGACGTGGTAGGATGACAAGAAAATTAAAGGTCCAGGCCACGTCGAAAAGATCGAGACTGGAGGGGCGGCACAAGCAAGTGCAGCAAGCCGCAATGAAAAACACCGTTGCAGGGAAGAAACCGCCTGGGAGACGGGTGTCGGTGCAGGATCGGAGAAGCCAGGCAGTTCAAAGCTGGGACATGGCTCGTGGGAGAAATGGTCCTAATTTATGCCAGAAGAAGGACTACCAGTAACCAAAGACTGGTAGTAACCATAGCCTCCTGCTACCAGACGGACTGTGGACAGTAAGGTCGAGAAGCCCGGCGAGTTTCCAAATTTCAAGCTCGTATCGCGGCCCGTCGAGAAGTCGGAGCGTGGGAATTTACTCGGATAGTAGACGCCTCTGTCCGCTCTAGCCGCCCGACAATAGTGGCGGCAGACATGAGCTTTCCCCGGGGCGGAAAGCGAGGCAAGTTCTCGGCCTCGACAGCCGAGTCGTCACGATTGTTGCGCCGAGGGTCGAGCTCCGCTGCCCTCGCCTACTCTCCCCACCTGAGAACTAGCCTAGACATACTCTGCCAGAGAGCGTCCAGTATGTACCGGAAGTGGAGTTGCAGATGCTCTACGGAGCGCCAATCGAAGCCCTAGTACTTCGGTTGGAACTGCTCGAGCACCTCGGGCCACTGTCGCAGCTTGCCGCAGCCCGACTCCAGCTCACAGCCCATGCGTACGAGGTCGCCCTCGGCCATCGCGGTGAAATCATGCCGCTGGTCATACCACCCCTGCACGACGCGCAGCCTCTTGTGGGGAGAGTTGCAATTGGACACGACGCGCGACAGGCCCGGCGCCACCTCCCGCGGCTCGTAGTTCAGCTCGAGAAAGCCACCGACGAAAGGAAAACGAGACCTATACGGGCGCACCAGGCGTCTCAGTAGGTGGGTGTTGGTCCGTAGCCTGAGCCCACGGCTCGCAGCCCTTACAGGGTCTACTCTCGCGGGCAGATCGCCTCATGGGATTCTGTTGCTGCAAGGAACTTGTCAAAGTCGGTCGGGCCGCTTATCCCGTCTTCCAAGTAGGCAACTTTTCGTCCCTGGTGGAAAGGTTCGCCGCGGTCGGTGGTGGGCTGGAAGAAAAGGCGCCCGCCTTTGATACAGTCAGCCGTTTGGAATGAAATGAGGGCATTCCGAGGCTGAGATTGAAGGGAGTACAGTGGCATGTTAACCAAGCCTAGAAAATGTGGTTCAATTCCTTGAAAAGTAAGTCAATTCCAGCGCGATATTATTATTACCGTGTCCACCAGCGTGCGTGTTGCCTTGACGCAGCCGACAATCTTCTTCCCTGCCTCCAATCTTTTTCTTGGAGGAAGGAAGGAATTTGGAAAAGAATTGAACAAGTCGTGCGCATTCAGCGGCATGACCTAGGTATCCCGTGCTAGAGTGTCCCGCAGCTAGGGTGTTCCGCAGCTAGGGCGCTCTGCGCCAGGGCCCCCACTACAGCTGGGCACTGGCCCAGGGTATTCAGGGTGTTCTGCAGCTAGGGTATTCTGCAGCTAGGGTGTTCCGCAGCCAGCATGCCCCAACCCATTCTAGAAGCTTTGTCGCACCGTCACCATTCCATAAAAAAACCTCGGGACAGGGCATTTCGAACAAAGCCTACAAGTCCTTAGACGAGTCTCCCAAGTGATAATTTTAGTTTCCGAGTCTTTAGTCCCACATTTCCACCAAGACTAGTAAAAACCAACTTTTTCCTCGGAAAGCTTCAGGGCCCAAAGGGGTCCTGAAAACGCCCTGAATTTGCCTACATGTGATGAAATTGAGGGGTTTTGGTCATTGCACACAACACTAAAGGCTTCAACTGCTGTACGTAGTGGTACAAAGACTGCCCTGCTTGTTGACATCACGATGCCTCGCAACGCCCTTGCAAAGTCCTCGCTGTCCCTCGAGGTCCCCACTAGCCAGTCAATCTTAATGCCTTAAAGGGACAGCTCGCTACGAATGAGCTATTGTACGGCCTTGTAGGTCGGTATCCAGCCACATTCGTATGCGCGCAACGACCTTCTTCGCTTTGGTTGCTTGGTTAAAGCACAACACCGAGTTGAGGGCATCACGGCACCTGACCCTCGAAGAAAAGGTGCCAACAGGAGGGCACAGCACTAATAATTATATTACGGCTGATAGGGGCGTTTGCAGTGCAAATTTGCACCAAAAACCGCCCCTTGCAATACTGAAAACACTGCAGGGTTGATGCCCCGCGCCAAGGAAGAAAAATGCGGCCCGGATCAACCTTCGTTTTCCAGGCTTTGGGAAAAAAGACCAATTGTCTTCCTGGGCAAACTGACTAATCTCGAATTCAGGGTAGAGTTTGCCGTACGGGAGGGTCTGTGCTGTTCTCTGTAAAAGCATTCCCGAAAGTGGCTTTCCGCGTGCCGTTCCCGAGAAAAAGATCGCCCTCTAATTATTAGCCACATGCAGTCGCACCACAGTTGTGTCACATACAACGCTGCATCAATTGAGGGCAAAAAGTGCTTGTATTCGGAAGGTTCAGAAAGGTGGGCATAACCTGAATACCATAGTTATGCGGCATTCGGCTGACACAGTCTAGGCTGTAAACGGTCTAGCATGTGCGCCACCTGCGCCTATATGTAGCTTAGATGCGGCTCCTTCCGACAAATTGCACCTCAATTGCGCCGCCAACGTCAGCATAACTTCCCAATGCGGCAACTGCCGGGTGGGGCCGTAGAATCCGCTCAAATCGTTCATTTCTGCAATAAAATCCGCAGCTGCAGCCAGAGCCCTCGTAGTGCGACGGGCTGTTGCACGCTCCGCATGTGGAAGCCCTGCGTGCCGTGGGCGTTGAGGTCTGCGCACTAGACAAGCCTGAGTACGTGACGCCCCTGGCGATGCCCGTGGTGTTGATGCTGCCTTTGCAACACGGCAGCCACCGCGAGCAGTCGGGGAGGGGGGGATGGGGGGTCCGGGCGCCGGGTGCAGTTGAGCCTGCATCAATCTGTTGCATTCTGGCGGGCAAAACAGGGATTCGGCTGGCGGGGATTTCAATGTGCTTTTTTGCTGATCACGGTCCTGCTGACAGAGCTTGGCAATCGCGGGAGCCAAACGTCCATATGGTGGTAGTGGGCAGGTTCGAGCACTCCAGTGTCTCGTGTCTGCGCGGGAATGTGTGTCTTGTGTGCCATGTTGGGCAATGGTTGAGGATGCTGAGGGTGTGGAGGAGCGAGGGAATGGAGGTAGCAGAGAGAACGAAGACATCGAATATGCACCGCCGAGGACCAAGGATGCCGCATACCAAACTGACATCTTCCCCGACCGTGTTCACACAGGGTTGATGATGGCTTTTATGCGTGGCATCCTTTACTACGACCACTTGGAGGCTAGATGATGTTTTTCAAGGGAGTGCCTGCAGGGTTGCATAGATACGAAGCCCGAGATGAAAGGGGCTTGTATCCGGTTGGCTCGAGCCGCGGCGTCACCGGCTCAGCTAGACGTCCAAATCTTCTGATGCGGAATAGAGTTCCAGAGATTACGACCAAGGAAGAGAATCCGGCTGTCTCGGATAAGAATTGGTAAAACCTAGTTGTGTGTCGGCAAGCACGGCTTTTGATCCCTAGGAACACGATTAAAAGTGCAGAAGGAGAGGCGGAGCGATAAAGTCTTGTATTCGAAGCTATTCGACCGCCGTGCGGTGGATGGTAGACATCCCTCAGAGTGGGGTGACTTTTAATAAAGCCGAGAGTTAGTAGTTCGTCTTAGATCTTAGAGAGTGCTGCCTCATGCCTCGCGACTGAGAGGGTGGGCTGGGTTATGCGTTGTGCGTTCCGCCGCGAGGCATTGGCGACGAGTCACTATAGCTGGCCAGTAGTTAGCAATCCTTGCACATGTTATTGGATGACTTGTAGTAGAGGGACAGAGCATTAAGCGTGCACAGCACAGTTGCTTACGGATAGGAGAAGCATCAAGCGACGTTGAGAACGGCGGGATATGAATGGTTGTTTGACGAGGTTAGCACATCGTTTAGGAGGCAGCCAAGGGGGAGAGCACAAATCTAATCCTAGCCAGGACGACCCTTTCCTCCACCAAGATACGAAAGGGGAAAGGGAGAGGGAAAATAGGTAAGTAGGTTAACGGGACTCGCGAAACCAAGGCAGAGGGCATAATGCAAATATACCAACCAAAAAGCGCAAGCGACATTCCAGCCCAGCGATTCTCTACAATCTAAAGAATGAGGCCCAGTTTCGCTTTGAAGAAGAGAAGGCTACGGAGAGAGCAGCTATAGACGACGGCGATTTCCAGGCGCCTATAAGGAAGAGAGGGGGCCAAGTAGAGAGAGACCATGAATAGCTACCTCAAGGGAATATTATGAGGGGATAGGGAAGCATTCTGCCTGACTGAGGCACCTTCGACAAGGGAAGGCTTACGACCAGGGCCTCTTGGTCAGGGAGATACACAGCCTCGCACGCGCCGTTGCCGTATTGTTCAGCGTTCTACTGGCGAGTTGTATTATCCCGGATCAATGTTGCTATCGCTAGTTCTCGCTCACCCCTTGTGGTTCTCGTCCTCAGCACTAGGTTACAAAAGTCTTGTAGTTCTGTTTATACGCTATGCCTGCCTCGGTTAGATGCAGGTCCGTTGGAGCGCCTACTATTTAATTTGTCTATCTAAGTCTGAGCTTTGCGTACGTCGCTCCTGCCGTTTTCTTTGGTGCCTTTGGCTCCGGAAGCGACAAGGAGTCGTCTTGGCTTGAAAACACGAATAAAAAAGGCCAACCTCGTCAAACGGCTGCATAAGGGAGTAAATTTTCCGTGGTGAGGCACTAGAAGTCCTACACCAATACCAGTTATTGCTCACTCTATTCCTTACCTACATCGTGACCACCTTGATCAGGCGTACCTGCCTTCAGTTACACCCGAGTACTTAACCTCGGGAAGTCAACTCTAGCTATTTACTTTCGGGGAATGCCATACCTCGAGTCGAGTCCATAATACTCTCTACTCCACTGACGGTCTAGATAATCCTTTACGCGCGGGTTGGGAAAATATGGCGTTTTTTTCCGGAACATGCCCAGTCGGGAGGCTGTGTCGAACCTTGGCGGCTCCGGGCCGTTCAAAGTTCGGGTGTATGGAGCGGAGCAGCCGGCATGTGATGCGCTAGTTGTGGCCGGATCCGAGAATTTTTCTTATTGGACTTGTGCTTCGTGCTTCCGCCGGGTATTGACTTTTTTTCGTGATCAATCTGAATTCATGTATCGCATCCCCAGTCAGGGCGGGAGGGCTGATAGTGGGGTTTTCTCCCTAACCTGCAGTTAAAGACTGCCCCTGCCCCTCGCGGGCAGGAAGAAATGCGAGGTGAGTGCAGAGGTTTCGCTTCAACGGCTTCCAGTTGCAGGGAGATGTGGTGAAATACATGGTAAGTTACGCCTTAATATGCGCTAGGAGCGGGAGCGGGATTTGAAGAAAGCACTCCACCCTGAAATGGCACCGCCCTTTATGCCGTATTAGACTGCCTTTAACGGCCCGAATAAACAGGGACCGTATATGTGGGCTTGAACCTTTTTCTGAACTCGGCACTTTGGAAGAAGCATGCATATATACACTCCTTTGGATTTCTATTCGAATTATATTTGCGAGGCCCTTCTATGGCAATCTGAGGGCGTCTAATCTACTTGACGCTAACAAAACAAGACAAAATACGAATCAGTAACCAAAAGAATAACTACCTCCTCCTTGCCATCCCGAGCCCTGTGCCGCCCAGCCTGGAGACAAGTCGTACAGCGAATGGTCCCCCGTGCCCTCCAAACAAGGGACCTTGCTCTCCCTTTGGTTGTCACGGCCGTCGTCCGGCGCGGCTCGCTTGTTTGGGACAAGGTCGCCGCCTGTAGGCGGCTGTGTGACGTGTGGCGGCGGGTTGACGTATGACGGGTCGATGGGGTGCGATTGGAAGAGAAGGCGCCTGAAGCCTGGGCTCGCCGTCCACGGCGAACGCCGTGGGGTCGGCAACGGCCCGGGGTGTTCGTCCACCTCCAGCCGGAGTTCTAGCATCTGAAACGCTAAGTAATCCCTGAGATAGCACTGGTATATCGACGGAATTGTTTGGCGTGGAATTGGGCGTGGGAGTACCAGAGATGGTGCCGTCCACCCCCACTGTGGCAAGCTCAAGTCATCATCCGTGCTACCCCACTGGTGTATTGATGGAAGTCTTGGAGGATGCCGGAATGCCTGTCCTGGCAACCGGCGGCTTGTGTTGTCAAGAGCCAGCTGGGCTGCAGGCGAAAGCCGTAGTCTTGTAGAAGGTCGTCGTGCTGCAGTGCGAACCATGTTGCTGACTGTGTAGAAGGATGACGAAAGGGAGAGAGAGACTTGAGGGAGAGAGATTTGAGAGAGACAGAGACTTGGTTGTCCTTTGGGTATGCCAGCATGAGAAGAGATGAAGAGAAAGATGAGGTGAAAGGGAGAGAGAGAGGGAAGGGGCGGGCTCTTCTGATACACACTGTCACATATACATATTGAGGGGGTTTCGCTTTGTTTACAGTACACAGACATGATCGAGTCATCTTCGATTAGCTTCATCTAGCATCGCCCGGACGTTCAACTAACTCACTCACTCACACCGTCATAGGCATCGCGGTCTACACCGACGCTAGCAACTGCCAAGAGGACAGGGCACCATGTCATGTCCATGTCATGTCATGTCCATGGCCGGCCCAGGCCCACCGCGGCGGGACCGACGCTAGCAACTATGCACCAGTGCGGCGGGAATCGCATTATCGGGAGCAACGGTTCGCCGCGCACGCCAGCCAGCTCGAGTTTGTTGGCCAAGAGGACGGACGGTGCGTGCACTAGCAACAACCGAGAGGATGGCTAGACTAAACGAAATAGTCTGGCAAACAGTCTGGCAAACCTTGGCAACGTGCGCGCCGGCGAAAGCCTAAATTCTGTCAGCCCTCGCAAAAATCGAGACGACTCAACCAAGGAGAGGAAAACGTCTAAACTCTATCCCCCGCCACCGCCGACGACCCCACAAGGCAGCACGTTGGTGCTACGGGCTACCGAGGTCAAGGCTTACCAAGCTTGTTTCTTCCGTACCAGTACGATGGTAGTGCACGCGCTATCCTCTTGGCCTTGTCCCTACGTCGCGTCGGTCTTGCCGCGGTGGGCCTGGGCCGGTAGTGGCCATGGACATGACATGATGGACATGAAATGATGCCCTGTCCATCCTTTTGGCAGTTGCTGGCGTGGGTATCTCTCTCTCTCAACATCAGCCGACTAATCTCTCTTGAATCAGAAATGGAGCACTGGAACCCTTAACGGCAGCCTCCCAGTCGTCAAGCGACCTCGATAGCGACCTCGACGAGGAGCAAACACGCCGTTTCCCGAGGCTTCAACAGCAGGGGCCGCAAATGTACCGGCCGATACGGATGCGGCGGCGGCCGGAGCAGCTGCAGCAGCAGCCGCAACAGCCGTAACAGCAGTAGGAATAACATAAAGATGGGTCCCTAGGGGCGGCAGCAGCTGCAGTAGGAATAACACATGATGGGATAAGGGGCAAGGCAGTACTTTTGTACTTGTTGTGGGAGGTGGTCGTGTTCCTTACATAGGTTGCGGCATTACCTGCCCTGCCCTCTCAATTCCTCGTTAATCTTGCTCACCAGGGGCCTCCATTTTTAGGTGAATTGTTTTCTTCTTCAGGCATCACGTTGGTGCTACGGACCAACAAGGTCAAGGTTTGCCAAAAACTTGTTTGGTCCCGCAGGGCACAAGAAACAGCGGGCCTCAGAACTCGAGTAGAGGCAGACGGCCACCTCAAAATACGCGCTTAGCACTGACCGACGTCTCAAAATGCGGGCTTGGCACTGACCTCTGACAGGAAGTCTGCGCCGATAGAAGCCTAATTCGTCAGCCCCGATGTTGCGTGGACGGATACTAGCGCATCGCAACACTAGACCATATCGCAAGCATGGCCCACTCAGGCCCCCCCCCCCCTTGGCGTAAACCCTACCGCTACTTACGTCCTTAACTACGCCCGGGCAACGACGTGGCGTCTAGAGCCGCGTTGGTCCAACCGTTCGGATCGGCGGCGGCAGCACGTTAGTGGTAAGGTCAGGGTTTGCCAAGTTTCGTCTGTACAGCAATCCTCAATCGCCGCCAAGCTTTCCCTTCATCTTCGCCTCTGTTTCTGAAGCACGAAAATTCTACACCGGAGCTTCGGCGGCCTTAGAGAAGGGTGGAGCGGGGTACCTCGACTAAGTCGTTCGGGAGTTCAATAAAAACATAGGAGGAGACGGCATAAATGAGCCGAGGCAGCTGATCTGGTAGCGCTATGTTCGGACAGTGGGCAGGAGCGCCGCCATAAGTCCACCTGCCGGGCTGCTGGTGACATGACATGTACCCAGGCCGTCAAGCACGCGAGCGGGACGTCCCGTTAGACCCACGGCCTTGTCCAGCAGCGGCTTCTTGGACAGCCCATTGGGATTCTCGCCCACCCCACGGTTCAGGCCCTGCCAGCATGTCTTCCCGGCGGCGTGCCCGCCAACAGCTGCGCCTGTCCCGGTTTCTCCGAATTCCAAGTCGCGGGAAGTGTTTCAGGGCCTGGGCGAGGGGCGTCCCCGACGTTGGCATTGTCGGTTGTCGTCTGTATTTTCTCTTTCAAAATGTCAGAAAGCGTAAGAGGAAAAAATAGATTAAAACGAATCGTCCTCTCTCTCGTTTTCCCGGCACACATCTTTATTCAGAGTAGGGATTATTGGATCGCGGGCCAGAGTGAAATTTCTCGTAGAAAGCCCCCACCAGCCTTGCTTGGTCCCAGCCTGGTAGACAGACCAGGAAGGGAAAGCTCTGCAGCTCGCTGCATGAAATTCCTGCCCGTCCACCGAACAGGCAGCCAGACCAATGAGCCAGACTAGTCGCATGACTCTCCTCCCTCAAATACCGTAGTCGAAAACCTCGCGTGGGCATCGCGCAGAGCCGCATGCGGCTCTCTCGGCCCGGTATCAGTCTTCAATCCCGGAAAAGTTGGTGCGTCGTAGACTGGCTGTGGACCGGACAAGAGGACGCTCGACCCTCAGAGACGGCGAGTCTACCTAAAGGCTGGATTGGAAAAATTGATGGCAAACGTCAATAATTTCCTCAAGCAAGAGCCATAGTAAAAGAAACAGAGTATTCCCCATCACCGTGGGTATTCCTTTAACAGACCCAGCGACCCCGTGGCCGCACTTTGCTCGGCGACGCTTCTTGCTCGCACACTGCTGCTGCTCGCACGTCGCTGCTTGCAAGGCTGCATCACCGGCCGATGCTGGTGTCGTTGCTTATTCGTCGCTGCTCACTAGACTGCATCGCTGGCCGATGTCGGCGTCGCTGCTCGCACGCCGCCGCTCGCAAGGCTGCATCGCTGGCCGTTGCTCGCACGTCGTTGCTCGCACACTGCTGCCTTTCAACTACGCACCTGCGTACATGTGAGCGGGACGGCCCTTACCGCCTGCATGGCGCGGCGCCGCTCGAAGCCTGCTCTGCTGCTCGTTGGCTGCTGCTTGAGGATTGCGTTGTTGCCCTACGCACGGATGCGCTCAGCCCAAGCTGTGCATTTGCATTTGCCGGCCATTTGAGGGTAAGACCAAACCGCGCACCGTTCCTCCCCAAATATTAAGCCGATCGCGCCCCTCGTGATGAGCCGGCCGGAAGAGAACTTGTCAAAAAAAAAATCCAGGGCGTTCCGTCGTCCACCCGTTGTCGGTAATGAATGAGAACTTGTGAAAATAAAAAAGGGGCATTCCTCGCAACTAGGCATTCCATCGTCCACCCATTATGATGAGCACACTGCCCGGCCGCGAAAGAAGTTGTGAACCGCAAGAGAACTCGTGAAAAAAAAATAGGGCGTTCCGTCGTCCGCCCGTTGTCGGTAATGAATGAGAGAAGTTATGAAATTAAAAAAGGGGCATTCCGTCGTCCACCCATCGTGATGAGCATGGCTCCCGGCCGCAGGAGAAGTTCTGAACCGCAAGAGAAGTCGTGAAAGTAAAAACAGGGCATTACGTCGTCCACCCATTGTGATGAGCAAGGGAACTCGTCACTTAAAGAACCAGGGCGTTCCGTCATCGCCCGCAGAGGCCATTAAATGAAGGCATTTCGTCGTCGTCCGAAAAGGCATCAAATCATAGTCGCCGCTCGAAAAGACATCAACACATTCCGTCGTCGCCCCGAAGAGCATATCCGCGCAATCAGATAAAAAGGAAGGTGCTCGACATGTCCACCCCTCAGTTGGTGTCGGCCGGACCCTCTTCGGCGATGGCGGCCAGAGCCGGGCGCCACGGTTGTGGGGGTGGTTGTGGGGGTAGCGCTCGTCTGGGACTCGGCCGATAGTCACCGCTGGGTTGCGGATGTTGTCCAGGATGGCCGGCATCCGCATGAACGGCGTCTTTCTAGAGTCCTTCACCACGTGCAGCGGGCGGTTGCCGATCTCGCCAATCGACCGGTGCTCCATATCCATGACCTGGGCTAGTACGTGCACCGTCCGCCGCTGGAAGGGGGTCATGGTGCTCGGGAAGACCAAGACCTCACGCTGTTCAAGATTCGGGGAGCAAAAGAGAAGAGACAGCGTGCGAGAGACAGCTTGTAGGCTTGTCCTCCCGAAAACTCGGGGCGTGCCCCTGGTTTCCTCGTAGGTGTATGGTAATGCGTCGCCGGGAGGGTACCTCCTACTAGCTAGGGGGAAAACCCTCTAGGTCCTGCAACCTTAGCTTATAGCGAGCGAGGCGGTTCCCGAAGGCCCCCGCTCGTCGCTACCCGTACAGACCTGCCTGGAAAAAGGACCTTATGAATCCCCCCCAGCGACTCAGCTGGCTGAGGCGGCATGCCCTGATTGGACGCACCAGATTTAAGCTGTGGTCGGTGCTGAGCCCAAATACGTGACCCCACCTTGTTCTTTTTTTCCCTGGCTCTGGATTCTCGAATGCAGCGACCACAATGCAGCCCCGACTCATCTGGTTGACTGTGCGGCGACAGGTGCGCATATGGCGGGCTGTTGAGTCCTGACGCCCCACTAGATTCTTGGACAGACAAGTTTCGACGGGCAAACAAGTCTCTATATAAGTCATGCTCGGACTTGGCTGGCAGAATATTGTCCAAGTTGCTTTGCTGTTGGGACTCTTGGACTTGCATTTAACTTGCACCAGTCTGCCACTTTGGCGTCGCCGAAATAAGGTTTTGCGCTGTCCCTACCCCCCTGCCTCTACCCCTGGCGGGTGGAAAGAAATGAGGGGTGCAGAGTGTAATTGAGACGGGCTACCCCTGCCTTGCCCCTCGCGGGAAGAAAGAAATGCGGGGTGTAGAGTGTGATGCACGACCAGACCACCACCACGACCACGGCCAGTCGTCACCACGGCCGTCTTAAGCGTCGGCGTATCGAGGTCCTGTCTCTCAAGGGGCTGAGCGATATCCCTGTCGACGTAGTTGCCGGCGCCGTCGCGGCCACGGCCTCGACTCTGACCACCCCCGACCACACCCCACCAACACCCCGGCTACAACCCCACCCCGACAACCCTTTCGCCCACCGACCACAACAACACCCTGGCAACCCTTTCACCTCCCGACCACAACAACACCCTGACAACCCTTTCGCCCCCCGACCATAACAACACCCCGACCACACATAGACCACACCCCACCAACACCCCGGCCACAACAACACCCCGACAACTCACACGCGTACCGAGCGGGCCAAGACCTCACTCCTTTGTCATGGCCCGCCCTGCACTCTGTCATGTATATAAGCAAGCAGTGGCCCTCGCCCCCCTTCCTTTGCGAGGGCCAGGTTGAAGTTTCTTACCAATACCAGTCATTGCTCGCTCTCTTCAGTACCTTCATTGTGACCACCTTGATTAGGCGTACCTGCCTTCACTTACACACCGGCACGGCAGCAACGGGCGGAGTGGGCGCCTGGTATGGAGCCGACACGACCGGGGACTACTATGGAGGACGCGTATACGACTGTGGTACTAGGGGGACGTAGTGCTGTATCGAGGGCGGTGAACGGTTGTAGGCGACCAGCAGGTAGGCGGCCTACATATAGGCGGCGGGCATGGCGGCGGGCATGGCGGCGGGCATGGCGCCGTTCTGATAGTTTGGCGGCGCGTAGTATAGAGCTCCAGCGTAGGGACCTATATAGCCAGCGGGATATATTGGCTGCTGCTAGTTGACGTGCTGCGGCGGCTGTTGCTGCTGCTCCTGCTGCTGCTGCTGCTGCTGATGATGATGGTAATGGTGGGTAGCGCCGTAATGCTGAGGTCGACGGCCGCGGCGAGGACCTCGGCCGCCGGGACCGGGGCCCATGTCGGCACCTCCCTACATAGGCTGGAGTAAGCAGGCTATCCGCGTTAACTCCATCTGCGTGGCGAGCTTCAACATCGTGACAGACGTCATCTTCGCCCTGGCGCCGATGATGTTCCTGCGGCGCGTGCAGATCTCGTTGCGTGGGCGCGTCGTTATCGGTGTGTTGATAGCGCTCGGCATCTTTGCCGCGGCCGCGTACGTCGTGAAGGCCGTTATCGCGGCAGACTTTGGCAAAACCGACGACTCCAACCTCGAGGGCATCTCCGAGGGCATCTCCATAGGCACGTAGTCGCTGGTCGAGGAGCAGATCGCCTTCACCGCGTGCGTCCCGTGCCTGCGCCGGCCGTTACAGCAGGTGCTACGCCGCTTCGGCCTGGCTACAACGAGGTAGGCGCAGACCTGCGCGTAGAAAGAAATGCGGGGTGCGTTCAGAGTGACTGCAATTACGTGCAGGAAGAATTGCCGGGTGGGTGCAGAGTGACTATAACTGGCCTACGCGTAGGATGAAATGCCAGGTGGGTGCAGAGTGACGCCCCTACGCGCAGAAAGAAATGCGGGGTGGGTGCAAAGTGACTGCAACTAAAGGCTGCCCCTAGCGCAGAAATACATAAAACAAATGCCGGGTGGGTGCAGAGTGACTGCAACTAAAGGCTGCCCCTGCTTCTGCTTCTGCTTCTCACTAGTGCGCTATTCCGCGCCCCCTCCGCATTACAGAATCGCAATTACATATGCGCCATCTACTCATTCTTATGTAGCTGTCCCGCTTGTAAGGCTTCGCCAAGCGCTTGAGCAGTCGAGAGGCATTAGTTTAAGAGCAACCGAGGTACCCGAGTTAGAGTGAGCGTTTTAACATCTTCACAAGGGCCTATGTAAAGGAAACAAACAAATGGAAATACGGAAAACCATTTCGAGTATCAACCAGGATGACACAGATTCATATAGAGAAGGTACATTAATGATGGAGAACAAGACGGTTGGCTTCGATCTAATTGAGACCACTGCCTAACCCGAACCCCCACGGGCAAGCGGTTGCACCTTTAGAAAGCCTCAGGGCTACGGTCACGCTCGAAACCACCACTCCATTACCTTCTTGGGCGGTTTCGGAGAGTGCCGTGGCTGCGACGCGAGCAGGCCGTTTCCCGCGTGGGCGGGCTATGGGGGTGTAGTCATAGCCCCCCTCCACCCCGCTTGTCTTTAAATCGCTAGAGATCGTACAGTAGGGAGCTACTCTGCCAGGCTGTGTCTCCGCTTCTCCATGACTGGACCGGCTGGCTTTTATTGCGAATCCCCACGTCGGACACTTGACAGTGCCCCTCCCCCCGTTAATTGGGCGAGCTTAAGTGAGTTGGCTCCATTGAGTTGCGTCTTTTAGTCTCGACTTTTTGCCCCGCGAGCGGCAATCATGAATTTAGGGATCCAGTGGCAGCCAGTGTCTAGGCCCAGCCAAAACTCTGTCCGTCTTTAAAACCTGGCCCCGCGTTGGTTTACCTTCTAAGTCAGGTGGGGGACTTTTGGAACACCCCTGCCTATGGAACAGCCCCTGAATCGGACCCCGCACAACACCACAAACTTCAATTGCCAACAACTTCGTCAATTAATTAGCTACAATGATGAACTCTTCAGTATCGGATTCTCCTGATTCTTCTCTTTCAGAATAACTAAGGTCCTCTCTGCCAGCCTCTCTCTGTGAGGCACGAACCTCCTCAATTCCAGCGAACTGCGTATTAGGGTCGACTTGGACCTTCCTTCTCTTTCGGCCTCTTGTGCGTTCTAGGCTTTTTTCTGCAGCCTCCAATTGATGCGCCGTATTGGCTAGTTGGAAAACCACGTAATCGAAGGCTTTTGCGGCCTTGCGTATGAAAAGTCGGTCGTTGGCAGTCCGTTTCTGGCCGGCTAGAAAAACCTGCCCCTGAATACGGAAATCCTTCGGCTTTTTAGGGGTAAACCATATAGGCCGGCCCTCCGAATTCTTATTTAGAATGGGGTTATGGACCTCTTGAAGGTCTATAGAAACCGTAGAGGTCAGTTGACCAACGTCGCCGTTAGAATTCTTAATAACAAGGCCGTTGCTTAGGGGCTTCCTGAGGCTGACCGGCCAGAGGCCTGTAGCTTTCCAGCCGGCTTTGATATTAGATTCAGTCATTCCATAGACCCTGGCTTGCCGGTAGCATTCTAGGAAGGCCCTCTTTTCAGCAACAGTGCCTTCGTCGAAGCCGGAAACAACCTCATTATGCTTGGCTCTGTACCGGGCTTTTAGAGGGCCGAAAACCGATAAATCCAGGGGCTGGAGAACGTGGGAGGTGTGGGCTGGTAGAAATAACAATTGTACGTTATTAGAAAAGGCTAGCCACATGAATTTTTCGGTGGTATGACTACCGTGGCCATCTAAAATAAGGAGGCGCTTCTCCGAGGGGGTAGCTGGCCGAGTCTCTGGAAGAAAGATATTGCGGAGCCATGCGACGGCAGTATCATCGTCAGACCAGCCGTTTTCAGTGGGTTTCCACTTCCAGCCCTTAAATGGCTGTAAATCGCGTGGATACCATTGTTGTTGAAGGCTTCCACCTTTGAAAATGACGACTGGGTTCAAATACCGGCCGTCAGCGGAAATACATTCGATAATCGAGGTCCAAATTCGGTCTCCTTTCTTCTTTTTCTGGAATTTCTTTCTTTCCTTAGATCCAACAACCAGGCCGTTATCTCCAATGCCAGAAGCAATGCCAGTTTCATCCATATTATACCTATGCTTGGCTGGAATAGCCTCCACGCCTGGAGGCTTCAAATAGTCAAACTGTAAGGAAAAGGACACCCCAAACACCAACTGCGCGCACAGGGTGCGCGCCCACCACTTGTCACCAACTGGCTAGAACACTGCCAGCTGGCATACGCTACGCCGTGGCGCCACGACCGCAGACTGATGCCCGGGCCGAACCCCTGAGCAGGTATATAAACAATGGCCCTCGCCCATCTTCCTTTGCGAGGGCCAGGTTGAAGTCTTACACCAATACAAGTCATTGCTCCCCTACCTTCTTGCCTGCATTGTGACCACCTTGATCAGGCGTACCTACCTTCTCTTACACAAACCAAGGCCGGATAACGGCCTCACAGGCTCGATCAGCACGGTTTGCATGGCTTCTCCGAGGCCTAATCGTAGAAATAGATGGATTTCTAGCCAAAAACCGGCTAGTCCAGCGTTTTCCGAGGGTCTCGTTATCTTCGAGCATTCTTCTAGCTAGTTTCCGAATTTGGGCGTGGGTTGGAGGGTGACCGAGCGACCCTTGGAATAGAATCCATTCGGTTAAGCGTTCTTCCATAGCCGGAGAAAGCTTTTGATTAAGAATTTGGGCCTTGGAGGCTGGCTCGGAACCACGAACCCGATTAAAGAGAGTAGTAGGGGGGATGCCGTGATTTTCAGCAGAGCTACGGAGTAAGCCGGTTTCTGCATACTCTGCCAGCGCATTCTGCAAATCCAACTGAGTATATCGCTTCATCTTTCATTTCTCAATTGAATGGAGAAAAGAAGATAAGTATTGAAGCAGAATTGGTCGAGTTGCAAGCGATTGAAATAGGTGAGTTGGGTGGCGAGCGGCAAGTCCTTGATGACAAACCTTGTTCCAAATCCAGGGGTGTTCCATAAGCAGACCACCTGACTTACCGTATACGCACCACATTTAACATCACTCGTATGTAGGGTAGGCCGCGTAGGCTGTGTATCCTAAAGAGCGCCGCTTTCTTGAGTTTCGAAGCTATAGCCAAGGCCATGGTAGGGCGACGGGTTCCCGTACGTACCACGTGTGGAAGCCTCTGTAATGCCTCCTCCGGCCCTGCGCGCCGTGGGCGTTGAAGGCCGCGCCCAGGATGAAGCCCGAGAAGTACATATATAGACGGTAGTATAGTTGAAGTTGGAAGGTTTTAGTAGATTTGGCGGTAGCTTCAATTACGGGCTCAGTGCAGGGCAGACTATCTGAAGAAGCGTGCCATCTATTACAATTGGACTTTTTAGGTGGAAAAATTCGATTTTGGTTGGGCTTGTCGCTTGGCGCCTTAGTGCAAAGTCACTTTCTGTACACTACTGTCAGAAAAGACGGTTGTTCCTATCCGAATAAACTGCCTCTTTTTTTAAGCCGGTTTCACAATGCAGGTCTCTCAGAAGTATTGCAGTTCTAATGATAAAGATGATTGGGTTCAAGATCTTGTTCAATTCTGTCCTCTCTGGCTGATCTAGGGTGCCTATAATATAGTATAGTGGGTGGCGATAACGGTGGCGATAATAGGTAAGTGTTGGAACAACGCGCTAGTCAGCCATAGATGTGGCGGTGGAGGGGCAAGTAGCTATATGTGGCTGTGGAGGGGCAGGGGGCAGGGCCACCGAACCTAAATAAGTGGCCTACGGCCACTTCCACCTTCCTTCTCAGAGACACACATAGACAACGAAATCCAACACTCGAACCACCAGTATACGGCGCGCAGCGCGCCCTGTTGATTCCAGTACCGGTACCTGGTGATTCCAACAGTAAGCATGCTGACAAAATCCAATCTAGTTCTTTCTACCCCTTTCCATCTGACAAGGTCCATACATTAGCGCCCCGTGATGGAATCCTCTTTCCTCGACCTCGGCCTGTTCACTCAGTCCTGGTCAGCCCGCTCCGGCGCCTACTGGTCCCGGATTCTTTGACGCGCTCACTCTCTAGCCTCGTCGTGGCCTCGGGGGCCTCCCATCCTGTGCTAAACCCGGCGCGCAGATGGCGCACCGATGGGCTGCAGCATGGCGGGCAAAGGGGAGCCCTGCCTCTGTGGCTTGGGTGGCGATTCCGTGCTGCGCAGGGCAGGCCGCGCACCCCCAGTGGAATTTCCACACGCGGCAGACCCAGAAGGCAGACCGCACAGCAAACGGGTCACCGGCGCTACTGCAGGCGGCTTTCGGTCCCAACGAGGCACAAAGCCCAACACCTCATTGGGCCGACAACCCTCCGCCTCGTGAAGCGCAAAATTACAACTGCACTCTGGCTAAGGACAACAGGAGCGCCAAAATCGCCTGGACGCCTTAAGACCGCCGCGCTACTGCAGGCGGTTTTAGGCCCCAACGAGGGACAAAGCCCAGCACCTCATTGGGCCCACAGCCCCCCGCCTCGTGAAGCGCAAAATTACAACTGCACTCTGAGCCAAGGACAAATGCACTCGAGCCAAGGACAACAGTAGCGTCAAAACCGCCTGGACCCTCGGGCGACCCAGCAAACGGGTCACCGCTGCGCTACTGCAGGCGGTTTTCGCCCCCCCAACGAGGGACAAAGCCTAGCACCTCATTGGGCCTACAGCCCTCCGCCTCGCAAGTGGAAAATTGCAACTGCAATCCGCAATGCTTCAATGGCCTGTGCGCACGTACGAGCAGAGCCGGCAGCGAGGACGGGGAATCTTGGAACAGCAGTAGGACGAGAAGCAGCGCATTGAAGTTGGCCGAGGCCCTATTCCATGCGTCTTGGGAATCTTCCGGCCCCGGACAGTCTGCTCTGGGTCGCCGCAGGCGTCCAGGCGACGTTGGCGCTACAGTTGTCCTTGGCTCAGAGCCCAATTTCCCCTTTCCCTCTGCGGCTGGCATGAACCCACCCCCATCTCTGCGCCGCTGTAACGTGCTGCGTCCTCCCTACTACCCAAAGATGTTCAATTTCTTCATTGACCTTGTAGATATGCACCCGTTGGTAGCCGAGTCTCGACGGGCCGATTAGGACCCCGTCTCCTCCCCTTTTGCGTGGCCCGCAGCAGATCCTGGAGGACTCGAGCCATTCCCTTCCCTCTCTCCCTTCCTCTATTCACACCGCTTCGCAGGACCCCGGCAACATCTAATGCCACGGCTAGACGTCGCATATGCATGTTATCTATCGCATTGCTGACGCCCTGAAGAGGAGAGGATTGCTCAAGCCGTACTTGCGGCGCTCCAGCATCTTAGCATAGCCCCTTCTCTCGGGTGGGTGGTAGTGACGGCGGGGCTCGTGCGCGGGCTGCAGCGGCGCAACGGCGCAGCGCCCCAGCGAGAGTCATCTCCGGGGGCCCGCGACTAGGTGGCTACTACCATCTGCCAAGTACAGGCGTGGCTTGTCCGTTTTGACGCGTCGCAGTATGCGCTTTTAAATTCCAGTACACCTGCTAGCCGCTACCCGTCGTCTCGGTCTTGTAGCCCATAAGTCATTCGGCTTCTCAAATTTTTCCTTTGCCCCCACGTCCTCCTCAACCGCCCCGACGCAGTATCCCCCAATGATTATCGGAAGAAGCTGCGTCACGCGATCCGGCTGACCATTTCCGGCCACTCAAGGACAAAGACCTCTTTTTCCTTATATAGTATGCCCCCCGCCCTTTTCTTTCTTCTTTTTCTTCCTCATACAAGCACTCTTCTGCCTTCAAGCACTGCAGTGATGTATGTGACAATAAACAGTCTGACAGGCGCAACGCAATCGGATCGCACCTTCGATCTCTACAATGCTTGCAACGAAAGTGAAGCTATACGCAACAACATCACGATGTCACCAGACTCGTCGTTCGCCGGGCCCAGAGACTAGCCAGACTGGTCCGCTTCATACCGGTCCAAGGCCAGGGCCCTAATAATCCAGGAATACGTCGATCCCGCTCAAGATCCCCCGGTGCCGCTACCTTCGAAGCTCGCGTCCCCGATCGTCACGGATTACTCTGATGCCGTACCCCCTATTCAACATACACGCCAGCTCATGGTAGCGATACTTGCTGTATACAGCGACGATTACCGCCGCTACGAGGTTAACCTCAAGCCCTAGAAAGAATACATCTACGGTATAAGGACGCTGGAGACGTGGCCAGGGACTACGTTATACAATAATATAGGGAGGTGAACTGTTCAGGAAGAACAGATAATACAATAGTGGTATAACAACCTGAAGAGCATCAGTGCCCCGGCCGTACAGCTCCTAGGCCGAGGCTATAAAGATCGCTCAGGAACTATTACAATATGATCACCAAATGGAACAAGAAGCTGGTGTAGTGGGTGGATGAATGGAATTATCTAATAACAAAGGCTCGCGCGCACAACATGCCCGAGGCCCTCGTACCGCGGCAGAGGCAACCGAGGGCGTGACAGCGCCCTCAGCCAGGGCCGGAAAAACAACAGCACCGAGGAAAGAAGCACATCAACCGGCAGGGCAAAAGACAACGCAGTACGGACAACGCCCTTGAGGGCCGCTGCAGGGCCTGTGGCTTCACCGTCCGCAATGTGGCTACATGTTTTTGCGTCTTCCCGGAGCAGGCCAGCAACTTCTTCAGGGCCAGCCCCCTCGCTCAAGGCCTTGTTGATGCGAGCCTGAAGAATGATGGGGGCGTTATGAAGACGGGAGAGGAACTCAGGAAAGGGTCGAACAACAATCGAGTGTTAAGCTGACTAGCCGCCTTAGCGAAAAAGGTCACCAACGCGTCGTTCCTAATCACGAGGGTAGGCCTGCAGAAGGGCGCCTTTTCAACAGGAACATTCCTCCACCACGACTTGGCAATTCTCGACTCGGGCACTACAATCCACATTTTCAACAACCTAGCTCGCTTCCACAACCACCGGCCCGCGAGGACGAGGCTTCTTCCGACACACCCTCTCAGGCCCGACCCCAGTCAGGCCTGAACCCATTCGCAAGCACTCTTTTGCCTTCAAGCACTGCAGTGTTGTATGTGACAATGATTGCCGATGTCGATTCCAGTTCCGATGCCGATTCTCGATTCCGGTTCCGATCCCCGTTCGAGTTCTATATGTTTTATTAGTTTTAATGCCGTCGTTAAAGCTCTACTTTGTCCCGACACCCCAGATCACTCCGCTCACTGTCTCAAATCACTCGAAGTGGACTGGTCTCATCATCGCTGGAAACTCTCTGCCGTACCTTCAAGTCCTTCCTACATATGGGCGGTTGTCTTGGGCCTCGGGGCCTCGTTCACGTTATGGGGTACTACGAGTGTGTGGCAAAGACGGCCGACCCATCGGCGAGGGCCAAATCTTGGGCTTCTCTCTTCGTGGCCCTCGGTCACGCCCAGGGAGATGAATCCGCGCTCTGCGAGACCAGGTGCCTCGTGAGGAGTCACATCCCGCCCGGCGGGGGTCGCATGCCAACGTGGCTCAAGCAATACATCCTCAGTTGGGTCTGTCTCTGGGTAGTCTTGGAGCTATGCTATCCCGGAAACGAACTCAGACTTGCATTCCCACCACCACGCCTTAGCGAATTTGCCGACATGACAGAACAGGCCCTCCGACAGGAACTGACCAGTGCCGACGCCGCCATGTCTCTAACTATAACATATTTTGCGCAGCTGGCTGGCGAGGCCGCAGATGTCGTACTCCATCTGCATCGACGGATTGCACGAATGGAAGCGCGGAAATGGCAATAGAAGAATTGGACAGATACATCATGGCCCTTGTGGTCAGAAGTTGGATGCAGCTCTGGAAAAAATGGGCGGCGATCACGGCGCAAGCCATCATCCACGCCCGCCCAGACACCCAACCGAAGTAGCGCCAGCAGGGCTGGCGGTGGATATAACTATGGAATCCTGGACCAATGTTGCGGGCATGATGCAAGCTATCCCGACCGCTGCCTTTCCGCTCCCGCCGGCCACCGTTGGCCCTAACGCGCCCCCGCCTCCCGGCGGCAGCTGGCCCAAGCTCTCGCTCAACATCGGCTTTGCGGTCCTTGATCAGTGAACCAAGATACAGTTTAGTTAACTTGCCAAAGCCAGGCAGGTAGACGACAGGTCTGCTCACCCTACAACGACGGTAATCCCTATCAAATCGCGAAAGGAGTCGTCGAACGCGCAACACACTGTTCCCCAATCCGTACCCGTGGCGCTGCACCGCCAGAGGCTGCAAGACGAATCCTCGACGCTCAAGCCCGTGTTGAGGGGCATGCCATGGGGGGCGGCCTGGGCCTGGCGAGCGAGTCGTTGCCGATGGCAACGCCGCCGCCTTGACGGGCGCCTCCTTTTACTTACCCTTGACCTTGGCCGACGGGCTATTCCAGTAGCAGGCCATCTGCAGCGCGATGACCAGTTTCAGCGCGAGACACGAAAATGGGAGCTGGAGTAAAACGGGCGCGTTCAAGCTCTTGCTCGTAGCTCCTGTGAGCTAGCCTGTCGTTTGCATGCTCTTTCAAGCATTGTACACACCACAGACCAGAACATCAAGCTCAACAAGGCACATCTCGTTTCGTGCACAAACTCGCGCGCGTCTGACATGGCGGCCGCTGCAAGCGCGACTCGCCCGTTTCGCGAGCCCACCACCGCCAAGTTCAATTCGGGCACGTGCTGCACCATGCACACCAAGTGAGCGGTGGCGCTGGCGGTGGTGGACCAAGAAGTAACGGCAGGGGAGTAACGGGCGTTTCGAGCCAGCAAGGATGTCAGCTTGACGCGGATCCCCGTCCCGGGACGCCGTCCTCGCGCACACAAAACATCGAAGCTCGGCGAGAGACCAGTGAAGACAGACACACTCGACACTACGCTTAGGAGGTGTAAGTCAGAAACCGCGGCGGTAGACCGCAGTTGACTGAGCGCAGTCCGTGATGCGTTCCCGCGCCTGTAGTTTGTATATTAGGGAGGATGGGGGGTTTCGGGGTCTTCGCTTCTTCTTGTTGAATCTCTGGGTGGCTTGGGGCTTTTTGCCTACTGATAGGCTAGTTTCTTGTTGTTCGGAATGGCGACCATAGACGTGGTGACGCAGTAAGGAGATCGCCCCACAGCGAAATCTCTGCCCCCGTCATCTTATTTCTGCTTCGTGAACTTCAAAACACCACAACTCCATCAATCCAGGGCCGATTCGGATAGAAACTAGCTGTGGAGACGCATCGCAAGCAGCTCTTTTAATCTACAACGCTTGCAGCCGAACAGGGCGCATCGCAAAAGGAAGCTACGCAGTTATTTGGCATCCCTACTTCCACCCTCTGCAAACGCATCCGCGGCGCAGATAGAAAATCGAGCAAAAAGCAAACAGACAAAAAGAAACCTTTCCGACGCACAGCAAAGTTTCCTAGCCGACTGGTGCCTCGGCGAGGAAGCTGCAGGGCGTGCGTCTGGCCGTCGTCAGGTCCAGAGGTTTCCCCAAGCTATACTCGATGAGGCCGGCACGAAAAAGAGCGCGGGCGCGCGATATGTGGATCGCTTCCTGCGCCCCCCAAGCAAAAAAGACCGGCCCGGGCACCAAATCAGCCACCTGCAGTCCGAGAAGCCCGGAAAATAATTGACCGCGGGCTTAAGCGATATGGAGAGGCTGGAAAAGAGGATTGAGTGCTATTTTGCTAGTTATTTTGTTGTATAGAAATGGTTAATTTACGCCGGGTCGGCTCTTCTAGTAACGAATCAAGTTAATCTTGTCCAGAGGTGCTGCGTCGGTTAGAATAGCAAACTTGGCCAGCTCACGTTTATAGAGAGTCTTGACCGCATTGAGAGGGTCGTTGTCAAGCGGCTGCAAGCCGTGAGAGGTATGGGCCGGCAGGAAGCAAAGATGTATTTGTTCAGGAAGCATATCGTCGTAAAGTTGTCCTATATAGCAAATGCAAGAATACCAGACGAATAAACGTGCGGGACTTGTCTCGTATAGTTGTGTGACTACCATGGCCGTCAAGAATAAGTAGCTGGGCCTCGCCGTGGCCAAGTAACGGGTCGGTTTGTGGAATAAAAACATGCTTAAGCCAGCTGATTGCGATCTAGGCATCAGTGCACCTACTTTCTAAAGTAACGAAGCGCCAGCGGCAGATTTTGCGCATCTCCTGTTCAAACCACGGGGTTTGCAGCTCTTTTCCTTCAAAAACAATGCCAGCCTTGGGGGTGAAGCCGTTCAAGCGAGAGGCTTCCATTCTCTTGCCTGAATGGCGGGATTCCGGGCTTTGAAGCCTGCAGTCTAGTTTTTCCCTGTAGGCTCGAAATGCCCTATTTCCTTGCACAGCTTTATTCGGCTGGACGGAGCCACCGTAGAGGCTGTCTCTTCTGCTTTACCGTGAGTGTGCCGAATGTTTCTCGAATGGGGATTGGCCACTCTACGTCCGCGTCGAAAGGACCGCTGAGCCGTGAATGCCGCTTTGCTGTATCGTGGTTGTGTCGGCAAGGAGCAATTTCCCAGTTGGTAGATATGGCGCGCAAGCTGCATGAAGGGAAGCGCCGCAGGCCAAAAGCGCCGCGGGCACTGGGGGTCTAGAAATCCAATAATTAGACTATGAACTTAGAATTACTACGAGAATTCGTTTTAGTGCTGAGGGGCACGCGCCCGACAAAAAAAAGGCACAGCAAAAGCAGGATTTTAGTAACAGCCCACTCACACCATACATGCGGCCACCAATGCTATTATTTCACAACCAACGCTATGCTTCTAACGACGATTTCTCTCCCGAGATGCAGCCGAAATGAGTCGCTAAATGCATTTCTCGACGCCAAAGAAGGCCCGTATTTGTGACCTAGCTACAATCGAGCGCTTTATCGAGGGCAACGGCGTTGACGGACGTACAATTCCTTGGGCAGGACTTCTAGCGGCTGCTGGGCTCGATGTCGACGCCAGCGCGGATATAGTTCGTCGGCCTGCAGGGACTCTGGATTACCGCTTTTGTTTGGCTTGCGAAAAGAGCCATGCCTCGCCACGGCTTGAGGAAAGAAGGCTCGAGTTCGCGCGCGTGGTGCTGGAAAAACACCCCCAAGGAAGGGACTGGCATAGGGTGCGCTTTTGCAACGAGTGCCACTCTGGCTGGGGACCCCACGAAAAGGTTCACGTCCTTAGAAAACCAGGGTAACGTTATTGCCCTGATTGCATTGTTGAGAGGGTCCAGCTAATATCATCGCTTTTCTTGGCAGTATCGGCAGCGGTCATGCACTTCATTTGTTTTCTTCTGTGTACGTGTCTGACACACGGCGGCATGTTCGACTCGGAGCATCCTTTCTTTCCTCCTTCTCCTTCGAACCGCATCCTCTGGTGGAAGACTCTCTCAGAATCGCATCTTTGGGTGAGGGAGGATGAGGGAAGGGCTTTGGATTTCTCAGCTGGGCGACAGCTGGAGCATTCGCCGAAATCTCAACCGGAACAGCCCGAGCCGAGGTCCAAGGGCCCGCCCAAGGAAACGAGGCAAAAAAACCCCGCATCCGCGAAATGAAAAGAAGCCACGCCTCGTCGCGGCACGTGTCTGGGTCGTCAAGGAACTGCTCGACAAGAGCTGCGTATCATGTAGACTTTGCGTTTATGAGACGAGCCGGGGGAAGGGCCTCACGATTCCATCTTTCAGCATTGGACGACATCGAATGGTTGCCTTGGAGCTCGGCTCGACTCGGCCCCGCTGTTGCGTCAGGCACGCACACAGAACAGAACGAATGAGGCGGCGGCGGCGCGAGTTTCCCTTGGGTTGGGTTTTGTTCCTTTCTTCTGCTTCTTCTTCGTCTCTCATTCAGTTCCGTCATTCATTCCTGCGCCTAATTACCGCCGTGCTGGTGCTCTCTCTCTGCGTGTGTGTGTGTGTGTGCCATTTTGACTTGCCTTTGTCTTTACTATATATGTGTGCGTATATGTGCTGCTTCTGCTGGTGCTGCTGACTCTGCGGAGGGACCAGTCGGAGCACCCATAGGCCGTCTTTGTTGGTAGTTGCCACTTTGCTGCTGCTGAAGACTCTGTAGAGAAGAGAGGGCAAGAGAAGAGAGGGCAAGAGAAGAGAAGAGAAGACGTGTCGTCGTTGTGGTCTCCACGGCGCTGTCCGAATTTCACCCAACCGCGCCAGTTGCGTCTGTACGGTTGGCGGGCTCTCTCGTGCCCAGGTTGGCGAAAGTCCTAGTTACCAGTGCACTGTTCTGGGTCGCCAGTTTGATTGGTTGCGATTGATCCAGCTGCCACGACTGGAGCCGCCACGGCTCCAATCGCCGCGGGCCCGAGCGGGCTGGTTTCCTCGGCTGGCCCCAGTTGCCATTACCATTCCCGCTTCCACTGCCGCCCCGCGAGGGTCTGTCACCCCGATTGTCTCGACGGTTGTCGTTGCGCTGGAGCCTACCGCGCCGTGGGCGGTTCTCATCGCTCCACGGTTTTGCTTGATTGCCATCGGTGTCGTGGCCGATATGTACCTCTTCCTCAGAAGCCAGGTTGGCTTCGATTAGAGGGGAAGATGTGGTCGAGTGAACGATTATGAATCTGGCTCAGAATCTAGAATGAAACTCGAGCGGGAAAAAGTGCGAGTGGGTTTGGTCAAAAGCTGACGTGGCCTTGGAACCACGGTCAGAAACGGATGGTTCGCTCTGTACCCACATCCCAACTTTGCGCCAAAGGCTGGGTTGGTGGGAGTCGAGCTCTCGGCACTGGTGTTGCAGTCAGTGGATCAGCGCAAGGTGACGACGAAGATGCTTGGATGACGGATTCCAGCTGTTGCTGGTGTTTGACGAATGTCCACGAGGGTGGGTAAGCTTGCAAGCCTTTGCTCGACGTGCGGCTTTGCCGTGATGTGGTTGATACTTTGGACGTCTTGGTGGCTGAAGTATGGGGAATCCGTCCAGGGTTTTGAAGTCCTCGCTCTGCATATCCTCAGCAGTCATATCCGTGGGTTCGGTCGCGGCGTAGTATGTGGTCGCTGGATCCATTGTCTCACTGAGCCAAGGTAAGCGGCGATGATAACGACGTGTTTTTGGACGGGTATAACAGGTTAATGCCTGTTTCTGGGCACCATTGTTGCGGTACACGAAGTGCGTTGGAAAATAGCTTGACTGCTACTTCTAAAATATTCCTCTTCCATTTCCCCGTGTTGCATTGCCGGCCTCCATCTTCCCTCTTCGCTATTGTCTTTATCAGAGTCGTCGTTGTTTTGGCAAGGCTAGCCCTAGCGGATGCAGCAGCCATCGAGAGACCTCTGACTGATGCGCTCGTCAGGCTACCCGAAGCGCCAGCCGTGGCGCGCTCTGGACCGGCAAACCCGCTCGCCCCTTCCCTTTCTGTGCCCTCGCCCGCTCGACACAATGCCAGCCGAGCGCCCAGGGCTCTAAAGACGAGAGACTGGGTCCCGCGCACCTTGCGGTCTTGGCGCGAGAAAAATGCATTCTTCCTGTCCAAGCTAAGGCGGACCCACTCAGTTAGTGGTATTGTCGCCACCTGAGGTCCGCCTTAGCAAGTCCCATTAACTCGCGCCTTTATCTAATCGTTCGGTAGGTGCCAGTCTCGGCTAATCTCGTTTTTGCCTTGGTACGATAGCGTGCTTCAGCCCATGAACCCTCGGCTTGCTTGAACGTCGGCCTCGGCCCGCCTAACCCGCTCTCTTGACCGACATTTACTCACGGTTTCTACTTTTCGCCCCTAGAGTACCAAGACGATGCACTGTCGTTGCCTGGCTGCCTCCGGTTGCCTGGCTACCGCTGGCTGCCTTCTTAATCTCGTGGCTGGCTCGTGCCACTATACGCGGCAGGGTGCGAAGAGGTCCACCCGCAGTCCACGCACGTACGTCCAACACGATAGATAAAGAGACGCGTTGCAGCGATTGAAGGCGCGATTCGATTGCGTTCCGCGTGTCAGACTGTTAATTGTCACATGCAACACTGCAGTACTTGAAGGCAACAGAGTGCTTGTCAGACGGATCACGTAACGCGGCTTTTTCCGACAATTATTACGGGATACCAGCGTCGGGCCCGTTGAGGAGGACTTATTGAGTTTGACCTCCAGATCCTCCATCTTCTGTTCGAGTGTGCCAATGCGCTCGTCCTCGTCACCCAACTGCTCCTTGACCATCTTCTTCTTCGTCATGGGTGGTTTGACCATCTCCATGTCGGAATTAGATGAGCCAAGTTCGAACGCTGCCTTTCCCCTCTTCGGGGTATAGAATATTGCATCGAAGTTCGAGTCTGCTGGCGATGGTTAAGTGTATGCGCGAGCTTGGAGAATGCATCGTTCTTGGGAATGCAACCAATCTACCATTTATTATACGCGCTATAACCATCGCCTTTAATCATACCCTTGAGCTTCGTAACCTTAGGTGCCTCTATATATGTATCGCGACGCTTTCCTTTGTACAGGACGTAGACTGCTTTGACGTACGTAGACTGCTTTGACGTACGTAGACTGCTTTGACGTACGTAGACTGCTCTGACGTGCTCAATTTGCGGTCAAATAGTGTCGGCTGCGGCGTCGACCGCTGCCTTGCAGTTTAGATAGGCTTGAAAGGTTTTAACAAGCTCGCCGAGATGCTGTTTGCTGATACGCCATGCTTTACGGGAGCTGGGTTGGTTTGTCTTTGCATCATTTCGCTTCAAGGCCGCAACTACGAGCCCACACTCGCGCCCACTCCAGTCCTCACGCATGTATTTGTCGCATTGCTTGGACCCATCTACGTAGGCGGCGATAGGAAACATTTGAGAAGCCGAATGACTCATGGGCTACAAGACCGAGATGACAGGATGGGAGACAGTAATGGAGGGGGAGGTAGGCAGCGGCTAGTAGGTTACTAGAATTTAAAAGTAGCATACTACGACGCGTCAAAACGGATAAGGTACGCCTGGACTTGGTAGATAAAGATAATGATATTCTAAATAAAAAGGTAGGAAAATATTCCCTTATTATACCAGGGCCTCCATGTCTTCCCAACCCAATGATATGGTCGTACTCAAAGTGCCCGGAGCTAAAGCCGGGCAATTGGCGATTGTGGCTCCCAAAAAACGTGCGTTCGCGATTATTAAACCACTATAGACCTCGCTAACAATATCGTCTTCAGGGCCCTCACTCAGATGACAGTACCCCAAAGCTCAAAAAATTTAGCAGATGCCCGCACGCGTGTGTTAGTTGCAAAAGCAAGAAGGGCAAGTGTTCAGGAGGGTTTCCATGCAAGACGTGTACACTCGAAAATACAGCTAAGAGTTGCAACCCTGCACCGATTAGACGCAGTGCAATTCAAGGAGCCCAGTGTCATTGTAGTGAGAAGGCCAGTCCCGTAGAAGTGCCTCGCCTGCACCAGGATTCACCAATAGGACGGAATTGGCGCTATTTACGTTCCCACATGTCTGGCGTTGTAAATCTGGGCCTCGGGTCAGGCCTCTCGTCAGGGCAGTGGGATCTGGTTCAGGGGTTAGCCCGACGCTGGGCAGCATCAGGCCTTGTGCGACAATTTGGGCGAGGAAAGGGGCGGGAGACGGCAGATACCAGGGGAAAGGCCAATCCAGCCAATCTGATGTCTTCCTAGCCCCTCCCTCCGGCTCCATCAATCTAAAGGATGCTTCATGCATACTCTTTATTCATTTCAGATCCCTGCAATCTGGGTCGCCAGCAAAAACTCTCATCAGTTCCTCATCGGTCCTTTCACCACTCTCTCGTTAGACCTCGCTCTTAGGAGCCAGTCTCTCACCACTCTCTCGATAAACCTCACTCTCCACATTCTCTTGCCAGTTCTACGTGGTGCGCGCACAGTTCTGCGTGGTGCGCGCAAAAAACCATTACCCAGCCTCCCCCTGCCATTTTTAGGTTTAGGTTCTTTGTCTCACTTTACCCTGTCCCAACGCGAGATTCGCAACCCAGGCATCGTTTCCATCCGCCTGCTCGCTATTGTTCTAGACGTAAACACACCCACCAAGATGGGTGGCGGCGGTTCTACGCTACGAAGCTTCTCCACTCAGTCAAACAATCTCACTGTGGATTAGACCTATAAAATCATATTGGTAAGTTGTTTCGTTTGATTATTTTAACATCGCTAGCCTTAGCTAACCAGCGTTAAAGAAGGTCACTTTGACGCTGCCCACTCACGCTTCAAAGATATCGACGTAAGCGAACTTGACCTACAAACTATGATCGACTAAAATGCCTAGATATTTAACGTCCACTTTAAGATAGAGTACAATAAGTCCGACGTAATCATAACCGTATTTACGCCTAATAAGACAGAAGCAAATAGCGCGCTCAATATCCTTCGAAATATATTAGTATATAAATCGGGCGAGAAGAATGTTTGGCATCTATTTACTCTAATCAGACCGCCAAGAAGCGACAAGGAAAATATGAAAATTGTCCTTTCGACTATAGAGGGCAAAAAAGGCTCTCGACCTATAGCGAAAAATGCCCGAGGGCCTAAGTCAAGCGACGTCGATACTTGTAAGGAAACCACCCTCGTAACCACCATGGCCACCGCCACCAGGGCCACCCTCGCCACCGTCGCCACTATCGCCACCGCTAACAGGGCCACGCACTATTGCCACTACCACCCTGGCTACGCAAGGATGACTCGTAACCCCTTTCACGTGTATATAGACCATGGCCTTCGCACACCTCTTTAGCTCAGGCCAGGTTGAAGTCTTACGCCAATACCAGTCATTGCTCGCCCTGCTTGTTGCTCCTATTGTGACCACCTTGATCAGGCGTACCTGCCTTCTCTTACAATACTTGTTACGATCCTGGTTCAAAGGTGCAGAGGGCGTTGCCCGCCCGCTGCGGATTGGCTGGAACGGCACTTAGGGTGGGGCTCTCGCTAAGAGAAGGTGCATCCAATTAGGGAGTGCTCAGCGGGGCCATTGCCAAGGTGCACTGAGCATGGCTGAGCTCAGTAAGATATTACAAACCACTCGACTGTTAGGGTCGTCTGTCTGTAAGGGAGCACGGGCTCCACAGGATGCTGGGATTGGTAATTATGAAGATAGAACAAAGGGCAAGCTCCTATCGCTCGGGTAATTGTCACGGCAGGTGCAGACAGCTGACCAGATTTGGGTAGTGGTCCGCGCACACCATAACCACGTGACCCACATCACAACCCACTTCCCCTGCGCCCCGCCTAGGCCTTGGAAGCTTTCTTTCCTTTTTCCTTCTTTAGCTTTAGATTCTACGAATACAGCAACCACATTGCAGCCCTGCCTCTCTACATTTGACTGTGCGGTGACAGTAATACAGTCAAATCGGAATGCCACTCAAAGTGTATGAGTGCAGTATTACAAACCACTCGACTGTCAGGGTCGTCTGTCTGTAAGGGAGCACGGGCTCCACAGAATGCTGGGTTGGTAATTATGAAGATAGAACAAAGGGCAAGCTCCTATCGCACGGGTAATACAGTCAAATCGGAATGCCACTCAAAGTGTATGAGTGCAGTGAATGTGTATTGCTTGCTTGAAGAACCAAGCAAGAACTATCTGAGACCGTGGCTACGGTCGTCGTATATATCTATCTAAGGCGGACCAATCAGAGCGTTGGTCCTAGGTGATCAGTGAGCTCAGTGCGGTCAGTGTGCTCAGTGCGATCAGTTCCCTCACTGATCGCCCTGATCATGCTGATCATACTGACCGCCCCGTTTATTGGCTGCACTTGAGCGAAGCGGGGAACTACCCCACTTCCTTGCGTCAGCCAATAGTGGGAGGCTCCGTGCAGCCTCCTGCGCGCCTGAACCAGGATCGTAACATGCAGTGAATGTGTATTGCTTGCTTGAAGAACCCAGCAAGAACTATCTAAGACCGTGGCTACGGTCGTCGTATATATCTATCTAAGGCGGACCAATCAGAGCGTTGGTCCTAGGTGATTAGTGCGGTCAGTGTGCTCAGTGCGATCAGTTCCCTCACTGATCGCCCTGACCATGCTGATCGTACTGACCGCCCCGTTATTGGCTGCACTTGAGCGAAGCGGGGAACTACTCCACTTCCTTGCGTCAGCCAATAGCAGGAGGCTCCGTGCAGCCTCCTGCGCGCCTGAACCAGGATCGTAACATAGGATCAGTGCCGAGACCCACTGAGCGCACTGAGCAGAGAGCTCAGTGGGGATCAGTGCGTCTAGGACTGAGCACGACTGAGCATGTAAGGCAGGAACTCTGATTGGTTGCTCATAGTTCTATATAGGAGCTGGCAGCACGCTCTCTCTGGAGAACGGTTCTGCAGCTATCAATGCATCTGGTTAAGCATACATTGGTTGTGTGTTGAAAGCCTGTCTTTCGCAATCTGTGCACGATACTCCTTGTCTCCTGTCATCTCCTACCTGCCGTCCAGACCCCCACAATCCTAGGCCGGGCCTAGCTCCGTGGACCTGTTGTCCAGATTGTAACATGCCGTCCAGACCCCCACAATCCTAGGCCGGGCCTAGCTCCGTGGACCTGTTGTCCAGATTGTAACAATACTATAGATAAGACCCAAGAGGAAGAGTATAAGGAGGAACTCAAGAAGGTACTTACTTTTATAGTTTAGAACTTGAAATACGTCCCGAATAAGATACGCATAAGAGTATACTTTGGGACGTTCCGGCTAAACGAGTAGAAGAAAGACCAGACCGAGTGTAAGGAAAAGGACACCCCAAACACCAACTGCGCGCACAGGGTGCGCGCCCACCACTTGTCACCAACTGGCTAGAACACTGCCAGCTGGCATACGCTACGCCGTGGCGCCACGACCGCAGACTGATGCCTGGGCCGAACCCCTGAGCAGGTATATAAACAATGGCCCTCGCCCATCTTCCTTTGCGAGGGCCAGGTTGAAGTCTTACACCAATACAAGTCATTGCTCCCCTACCTTCTTGCCTGCATTGTGACCACCTTGATCAGGCGTACCTACCTTCTCTTACACCGAGTTATTACAAACCACTCGACTGTTAGGGTCGTCTGTCTGTAAGGGAGCACGGTATTACAAACCACTCGACTGTTAGGGTCGTCTGTCTGTAAGGGAGCACGGGCTCCACAGAATGCTGGGGTTGGTAATTATGAAGATAGAACAAAGGGCAAGCTCCTATCGCACGGGTAATACAGTCAAATCGGAATGCCACTCAAAGTGTATGAGTGCAGTGAATGTGTATTGCTTGCTTGGAGAACCAAGCAAGAACTATCTAAGACCGTGGCTACGGTCGTCGTATATATCTATCTAAGGCGGACCAATCAGAGCGTTGGTCCTAGGTGATCAGTGCGGTCAGTGTGCTCAGTGCGATCAGTTCCCACTGATCGCCCTGATCATACTGATCGCGCTGACCGCCTCGCTATTGGCTGCACTCCCGTGGAGCGGGGAACTGCCCCGCTTCCTTGCGCCAGCCAATAGCGGGAGGCTCCGTGCAGCCTGAACCAGGATCGTAACACACGGGCTGCACAGGATGCTGGGGTTGGTAATTGTGAAGATAGAACAAAGGCCAAGCTCCTATCGCACGGGTAATACAGTCAAATTGGAATGCCACTTGTGACGGCCCGCCTTACGCAGTAGGGATGTCAATGGTTGAAGGCAGCAACGAATGTGGATTTAAGCTAAGGAAGAGAAAGGAATCTATCGCGGGGTCCGTGCAGGGCGCGGAGAAATAGGTAGTGGTGCTCAGTGCGCACAGGCCACGCACAATGCAGCCAATAGAATCAATCCTGTCACGAGCCCTGTGGCGACCGTGACACCACTCAAAGTGTATGAGTTGTCACGGCAGGTGCCAGACAGGTGGTAAGAGCTGGCACACCCCGACCAGACATCCTAGTTTAGGATGTGGTCAGTGCATAACCTCACCAACTCAACCTATTTCTCTGCGCCCCGCGCAGCCTTTGGAACTTTCTTTTCTTTTTCTTTCCTTAGCTTTAGATTCTACGAATACAACGACCATATTGCAGCCCTGTCTCAAATTAGTTGACTGTGCGGTAACAATCTAAAGCTCAATCTCACTACTCGCCTGGGAAGGCAATTGCAAAGAATATCCCCCGGAAAAGAACAGAACCCCGCGGTCGCTACACAGGTGTACGATCGCCGACCGAAAGAAAGCACCCAGGCGGAGTGCTAGAAAGAGAGGCGACCGGTAAGATGCCTACCGCCGACGATACCGCCATGCAGGCAGTCTTGCAGACGGCTGTCGACGAAGTGAAGTTCGATCGCGAGAGCTTCATGAGAACCCACCCTCGCAAGAAGTCAGAGACCACCTTAGCTATGCTAGCCAAGTAATCAGAAGTGACCGCCAAAGCCACCCAGGTCCCAGCGAACCCCACTAATGACCGAGTGGACATCTACGACTTTACGAACCGCGTCCTGCGCGATGTCGACGGCGCGAAGTTCACGCTCTCTGTCGATGAGATCGATAAGGGCCTTCAGGAGAAGATGTCCGACATGGCAGCCGCAATCGTCAAGCGGAACAGGAATGGACCCGCCTTACCCTTTAGCACGTGGTTACATCCAGATCTCGTCGCTTTTGAGGGACCTATGGATATCAAGGACTTTGAGCGAGCATCGACTGAGCATCCTGACGAGCATTACCAGAGGTTCAAGGTCCGCACGTTGACATGAGTGCAGTGAATGTGTATTGCTTGCTTGAAGAACCAAGAACTATCTAAGACCGTGGGTATGGTCATCGTATATATCTAACTGTGTAACCAATGAGAGAACTGCTCTGTTGCTCTCATCGCAGAGCAATAGAGCACATTGCTCTGTGCTCCACCTTACAGAGCAACTGTGGGGCACGTCTGCTCTGTGCTCCACCTTGCAGAGCAACTGTGGGGCCATGCCCCTCCTTCAATGGGATTGGCTGGGGCGGCCCTGCCGCCCCTGGCCTGCCGCTGAGCCAGTACGAAAAGGGATTCGTAACAGCTGCCTATTTATCCTTTCCGTCGAGCGCAGTAAAGTCGAAAGTATAGATCGGATAACGGTGGTGATTCACCTCCTGCAAATACGAAAGCACTGCGTTCTATATATAAGCAACAGATACGGATAAGCGACTGACTCCCTCTACCGCCTCCTACAACAAACACGAATGAGCGACCAGTGACTCCTCTGCCAACTGCTTCAACAAACCCAAAAGCATCATCTCTCGTCATGGAGACCTCCCTACCTACTTTCCTAGGCATCAAGGTTTCTATATTAGGTAGCCCCGCTGTAGACGGACTGCCCAAGGATCATCACGGGCCCTGCCGAAACCTCTGGCGCAGGCCTCCCGCAACTAGAGCCCAGTTGACTACTTGCCTCAGGCCCCGGGAAGCTAGAGCCCAGTTGCCTACTTGCCTGGTAGGTGGAGAGCGATTGGCCAAGTAAGCAAACGGCCTGAGTCATCCAGTACTGCCCACTGCAGTACCACTCTTATGCAGTGCAGTCAGTCTCTGTCCGTCAAGCGCCGTCTGGAATCCCGTCAATGTCGTGTTGAGCCCTCGCAGTATCGGAAGAAAGACGGTTGCATTTGCTACGAAAAGAGAAACGACCCCTCCCCTCCCTCCGCTCCGTAGACTCGTCAGCAGCAGCAGCAGCAGCAGCGACACGAAGAAACGAGAGAGAGGATTGCAACAGTGCGGCAAGAGTAGAGAGACACACAAACACCTTTGCTCGAGGCCCAGAATGACGTCCCTCCTCTGCCGAGTCAGCAGTAGCGGCGGCGGCAGCGGCAGCACGAAGAAACGAGAGAGGATTGCAACATTGCGGTAGGGGAGGGGCGGCACACAAACACCTTCGCCCGAACCCAAGAACGGCGTCACACAAGCCCTTGGGCTGTCTGATATGGCAAGGAGAATATCGTGGGCACTGGGGATCGGTCGAGCAGTCGAGTGCTGGACGATGCAACGCCCTCAGTGGGGACCTAACACGTCTTCTGTGCGTGGCACCACATGCCGTCGTCAGGAGCGTCAGGGTGCCCGCCATGACCCCAGGTGCCAATGGCGCCCTGGATGCTCAGCACTATGCGGTATGCCCGAAACCGATGGCTGACGCCATACTCGAAAGTTTCCTCGACTCTGCTCCCCCACAACCACCATCAGGAGAGCGCAACGAGATGAGCGGAGCAGGGCCCGGTTTTCTAATCCTTTCACGTGGTTGAACTTGAATTGGCCATCCATGCATTTCGTCATGCTGTCCAAAATAAGTATACTTCCGCTCCAGGGTGGCCGCTTTTTGGAACAGCGCTCTCAACGGTTGATTTGTGTAATTGATTTGATTTGCGTTGACACTGAAGAATATTAACCAGCTGGTTACCTTTCTTGTTGACCTGTGCCGGAACGCCGGAAGCCAGTGGTGCCCAAGACCATGCTTCAAAAGACCGAACTCCGCAGCCAATTCAACAAGCAGAGCAGCTTGTTGATGGTATCGCTATGAATTCCATGTCTTTGAAGCCCAATTACCAATTTGGCCACACCGAATAGCCTCTCTCGCAGTCGGCTGACGTGGCCGGGATCGAGAGCATGTCAAAAGCCAGACAGCGTGTCGAGATGTACCGCCTTGAGGGTAACAGGCTGGCTCGCGAGCGTCAGTACAGGCTCATTCCCGGGAGGCGGCGGCGATGCCAAAAGGAGGAAAGACCGGGGCGGCATTCGATCGAGCCTGGCGAGAGCCTCCCAGGAAAATGCAGCCTTTCGGCCCTGGAAATCCAGATTTTCATGGCGACGGAACTTGCCGGCCATGCCGAACGGATGGTACAAGCGACCAAGAGACCTCATCTCGAGGAGCTGGGACAAGCCCTTCAGTCGCGCGACGGATTCGTTGCTTGGCTCTCGCGGTTCCAGTCCAACATGCCCAAGGAGATGGGCCCTCGATACATGTGTTTCGGGGAGCGGCTAGGGACGCCAGCCCCATCGCAGCATGCTCTAGTGCTGCATCGCAGCATGCTCTAGTGCTGTCGCGCCCAAGTGGCAGTGGCAGAGACGAGGTTGGTTGGGCTGATGTTCTGGTCGTTGGAGAGTTTTGCCCTGATGGACTGCCATATCGAACCAGGTTTCTAGAACTTTGCGGCCACGCCAGAGCCGTGTTTTCCTACCAACCTGCTCGTCTGTTTCTTCACAGCTTCCATCTCTGCGGAGGGAAGATGGAGCTGTGGGTGTTTGACCGATCTGGCATCTACAGCTGCGAGGCTTTCGACATGGCCCAGGCCCTTGGCCGCTTCGCCACAGTCCCGCTTGGCTATATGTTGATGGACAACGTCGAGCTGGGGGTGGGCGGCCTGATCAAGGAGGACGGCTAAGGCAAGTACATGATCCCACGTGGAGATGATAAGGCCGAAGTGGAGCGATTTGACTTGGGAGAGCCGCCCATCTTCGAACGAACTGATAAGAACATCGTAAGCGACGGGCTCATTTGCTACCGCGCAAGGCTATCGGATTCTGAGCGCTGGGAATATGCAGTCAAGCTGAAATGGTCAGCGGCTGGCGAAAAGCCCGAGGCCAAGATGCTGGGGCTTGTCAAGGAGAGAAACATCTGGGGAGTGGTCCAGCCCGTCCACCACCGGGCCGTCTGCAACACGGATGCTTTACACCAAGGCCTGGTGCTTGGCACGCCACGAGAGTTTCGGCGCGATGCGGCAGTCGCTTCGGGTCGTGGAAACGCCGGGTCCGTTCTCGACCATACGGTCGAGACACTAGGGGCGGGTGACGCCAAGTACGGTGGGCTCGTTGGCAGCAACATGGTCGACTGCACGGTGGTTCCGCTTCGGGCGCCACATCGCTCGCAGAGCCTAAAGATTCAGCGTCTTTGGTCGTCCCCTCCTCCACGGCATTTAGATGTTGGGTACGGATGTATCATCCCAACGCCTTGAGAACTAGGTGACCGAGGAAAAGCAGCCGTCTCTTGTGCGACGTGGTGCAATGCCAAGTCGAGGAATGATAATCAAGGCAATCAGAACAGCCGGCAGCCGGCAGCCGTATCATATTGGCGGCCCGCTTACTACTAGCCTTGGCTTGTATCTTCTGACTACAACCGGCCTCTCCTAGTCCTAAAAACCAAGGGCAGCCTGTTCCGTCTCCGTCCCCGTGAAGATCTTGCCATCACGTACAGGAAAACCGAGCCCGTACAGCTTCTGGGCCAGGTTCCGGAGAGGAGCAAAGTCGGGTGAAAACTCGTCCAGGATCCCCAAAAAGCCCTCGGGGCTAATACCAACAGTCTTCGCCTGCCCGACAGCGTAGAAATCCATCGAGCACCATTTCTAGAGCCGAGATGTCTTGGGCAAGCCCTCCAAGATGTCATAAGCACCGTCGTGTTCGCGGTCATTCCCAATGGCAAGCCACAGAAACACGTAGAACAGGGACTCAAGGTTGTGCCTATACGTGTGCGGCCCCCACGAGAATATGCCGATGGCCATGAACCCATCCGACCCAACTAGCGGCTCGACGTCACGGCGGTTGTCGAGATGCAGCGCCTGGTCAAAATCAATCAGCACGCCCTTGGGGTTACCGTCGCCGTATTGCGAGTTGATGACCAAGTTCTTGATGGCGATGTGGCGATGGATCATCCCTCCGTCTAGATGCAGAGATCGGAGAGCCTTGACGAAGTCGCGCAAGACCTCCAACAGCTCGCATATCGAAGCGAACTTTCAGATCGGGCGGCCCAGAGGTGCGGTTACGACGCACGACAAGGTCTGGTCGATAAACAGCCACGGAAACTGTAGCCCTTGTCGGAGTCTAGCAATGCTCCCCAGATCTCGATGACCTAGGAGCCGGATAACGCCCCAGACGTTGCGCTCGCCCGCTCGCTTCAACGCTCGGAGCTCGGTGGGTATCTCGTCCACTCCCCAGGAAAACTTGACGACAATATCTGGTTCCCGACAGCCGATGCCGAGGCAGCATAGCAGGTTGTTTCAAGCCCCACGAGGTAGTCGGGTGCCGCGATCGCGTCGGGTCCGAGACGGAGCTTGCCGCCCAGGTCCAGCGCGACGTGGCCGTCCGGTTTAGATCCAAGGCGCTTCACAAACGTATTAATGCCGCATTCCTCGTCGCTCATCATGGCGTAGCCAGCTAGAGCCTGCACGAACAGGTGGGGGCTCTGCGCCAGGTCAAGATGCCCGCTGCTGTAGGCCCCCGAGCGATTAAAGACCCAGAGCTCCAGCGTGGCACCGCGGACGAGGAACGCGTGCAGGAAGAGCCGAGCCGGCTGGGTCTTGAACACGTGCTGCGCAAGCAGACAGAAGCGGTGGAAATCGCCTTGGCCATGGTCCTCGGCCGCGGCCGGGGCGCTGCCGTGGCGGTATTCGCCGAAGACGCGGGTGCTGCCCGCAACGGCTTGGCCACCGCGTGTCTCGAGGTGGATGCTAGCCCTGAAGGGAGAATCCGCTGTGGCGGCGGTCGACTGGCTGCGGAAGTGGAGGCCGGGCGCACCGAAGACGGCCTGGAATGTCGCGAGCCATTCCGTCAGAGCGTCCAGGTGGGCGAGGTCGAGGACATCTGCGGCCATCTTGCCGACGACGTGGGCTGACTCGCTGTCCTGCATCTCGTTCTGGGCAGCAGCCGCGGACCAGGGCCAGGGCCAGGGTCATGGCTTGTCCATTAAATACTTGGCCCAGAATCCACTGACGCCCAGAAACACATTATCTTCCAAATTCTTCACGACTGACTGAAGAGCAGCCTCGGACGGCATGCTGGGAGGGGGGGTCGACGACATGGTACCTGGCGTGCAGAGGGGACTGTAATAAACGGTCAGTCAGCCTTGCTGGACCCTAGAGCGGGGCGAACGAACCGTTAGCAATGCGGGCCCAGGCTCAAGTACCAATGCTTCTTGCATGTAGTAGGCAAATGACAATGCGGGCGGCTCGGGTGCCAATGCGGCGGCGCAGGTACCAATGCGGCGGAGGAAATACTTAGGGGGGCGGGGGGTTATAGTGGATGGTTCAATAGAAAGAAGAAGCGTGGAGCCGAAATGGCCTGACAAGGGGTGTGGATTATGTGACGGATTAGTCTGGAAGGCCTCGAGAATTATTCGGCTGGCTGTTACCGACTGCATTGGCCTGCGCAAAAGGACGCCAAAATAAGGTTTGGCCCTGCCTCTGGCCCTGCCCCTGCTCCTGCGGAAAGAAATGCCGGGGTGTAGAGTGACTGGAACTGGCCTGCAGCGGAAGGTTGCCTCTGCCCTTGCCCCTGCCCGTCATGGGCAGAAGGAAATGCGGGGTGGGTGTAGGGTTTTCGCCCCACCTTGGCTGCGACTGCATTCCCTGGTAACAAACCCCACCCATCTAGCTCCCAAAGCTACAACGACAATGTCGCCTAGATTTAAGCCACTTTGAGTCACGTCCGAGCCACATCCGAGTTGAACCTTAAACAGGCCCTCTATGACGCTCACTTCCTAGTACTACTAGATTTCCTTTATTTACTTTTTGGGTATAAAAGGGTCTTCTTTTTCTGTATTACTAGACCCGATTTAACTAGACAACTCAATGCGCTGTCGACTACGATCACGTGCAACAGTCAATGAACACGTACTCAACCGGCCACAACGACGCCGGCCCGCATAATTAAGGCGATGATGAGGTGCTTGATTCCTCCCGCCTGCCACGGCCAGCACCGCCAGCAGTGCGACCCCTCTTTGGAGCTGACCCGCACTAGTCCCAATCGGGCTGAGGGCTTGGCACCTGCAAGCCCTGTGGGCCCGTGCGCTCTCCAGCTCCCACCTAACCTCGGCACACTAAACAGCACTTTTATAGATTTTCCTTTCTTTCTTCTTCACCTTGAAATCCTTAGACAATGGTATAGCTACACTAGCGATCTTTTTCCTTGTTGCTATTGACCGCCGTCACACCGCCCAGCTCACAGCTCCGGTGGGCAGCTGTCAGGCGATGCATTCGTCGATACCCCAAGTATCACTCCCTGGGACGCTCCCGTGAATTATGGATCCAGCTCGGACCGGGACAATGCAGCCGCGTGGCATCTTGCTTGCAATTGCACGAGTGCGGAACCCCCCGCGTCGTGGCCCATCTTCTCGGCTGTAGAAGCTGGGAGAGATTTCGTCAGGGCCACGACCTCATGTAACATTCGGTCCCGGTCACCATCAACCGGCCCCGAACCCTCTGAATGACTCTCGTATTCCAAGCCCCTCGACCCACTCGACCGCACCATTGGAGCCAGCAAATCACCTCGCCGCTCCGACTCGGCCGCCTACAGAATGCGTCTCACAGAACTGGCAGCAGGTGCAGTTGCCCGTCCAGTATACCGACCAAGCTACTAGTACTTTTTTGGGAGCTTATTGCTACTACCCTCGGCCCCGTCCGTCGAGGGCGAAGCCTCGCAGCAAGGAACGCAAGATGCCAAATCGTGACGAGCGGCGTTCCACCAGGAATGCGCGTCTCATCGGGGCATGCGCTACGTGTCGGGTCTTCTGACGGTGGGATGTAATGCAGACGGGACAAGGGTGTGGACAAGGTTGGGTGCACACCACTTAGTCTGCAGAGGACGCTCCCGCATTGGTATATCCACACATCTACACACCTCCATAGTCTCTTCCAATAGCCATGGCTCTTCTCGAAGGCTTCGCCTCACCAGCCACCTACAATGGTCTTGCATACATGAGCGAAGTCTCTCGTATTCCGGTCCAGAACTTCAGCCATCTTCAGGAGCTCCGCGCCCTTCTTGGCAAGCAGGCGAATACGAGTTCACCGTAGAGACGGAATTCCACGCAGACCCCAGGGATGACGACGAAGGCTGTAGCCACACAAGCACGAAGAACTGTACACATTGCACCCATTCAACCAAAAATGGAGGAGAGCTATGTGTTAGTAGGCGGATGGTCGAGCCAGGCACTCCATTCCACAGTCTCTTCAATGCGGTCGTGCAAGTTTGGTAATCGTTCTCTCCCAACTCCAGTGCATCTGATCTAGTGCCCTGGTAGCTTGGGGTACTCTTGATTTCCACCTCTTGTTTTCTGTATCGCCATAAGAGCAGATTACTTGTGCCAAGCGTGTCACCGACCGTCATTTGTGACAAATCACGGGGCCTACAGAAATGTGCCTCCGCTGGCGGGCTTGGACGCAGAGTCCGTTGTCGGGCGTGCACCGGATCTTCTTGCCCGAACTTTGCCACACAAAAACCGGCCAAGCCGAGATTTCTTGTCCATCTCCCTCAGGTCCTACCTCCTCGTCACCCCCCCCACACCCATCAAGCTGAACTTGAATCTCATTGAAATTACGTGACACTTGGCTTGGCGCATGCATTACATTAAAACTACCACTTGCACGGAGAAGGGCACATCCTGAATCCCAAAAGTCCCAAGTAAGGAGGTGCTTAGGCCGCCACAGGTAGGGAGGGCATGAGCATGTGCGTGGCTACACATTCCACCTTGCTAGTACACGCCGACCCCAGAACAGAGAAAGAGCCCGCAGTGCTGCTCATGTGCCTGCATGATGGGCACCACGACGGTCTATGAAGCTACGCATCGGACGTCGGTATCAGACCTCATAGGCGGATAGCTCTCGGAGAAGATTGTTCCTCATACTCCTCCCTGGGGCATGCGGCACACCAACATGACGAGGGCGCTGGTGAGAATGCTGATGGAATGTCGAGACGGAGTGAACTAGAGGCACATGGCAACAAGATGTCCACGGTAGTAAACAAACCAAGGGAGGAAAAGAGGTGCATAAAGAGGCAGCCCAGCTACCTTCCAGCCTCCTCCCCTTCTTATGCTCTGGCTCGGAAATAAACAGCATCTGACCCTCGGCTTCTGTCCTCGTATTTGAGGGCTTTGCACTCTTGGCGGGCCACCTAGGCTGACATGTGCGAATATTTCTTGCGAGACGTGCTTATATGCAGATCACGAACTGCGGCTTGCGGCAATGACCCTGGCCCTCCACTCATGACCTTGCATTCTAGAATCTCGTGGTCGGAGATGGAATAGGTGGTGTGGTTGCTATCCCTAGACTTACCAGAGACAGAAGGTGTTGGATATGGTAACCAACCCTAATCCTAACAGCCCCTGTAAGAGAAAAGGAGCCAGTGGCCGCCGAGGCCCAGGAAGGCCCCCGCGAGCAGGGTTTCCTCAACAACACACAGACACAGTGACGTAGCCTAAAATCCCGCATTTGCTTCTCTGGTCTGATCCCAGGCCATGATGCACACAAGAGAGAGAGCTCTACCGTTTCTCTTTACCGCTCGCCGCCGCCGTCTGCTTTTGGAAAGATGCATATCTTCACACGTGAATTGATGTCAATGAACAGGCTTGGGGCTCTTGTGTCTTTTAAATTTCACGTCTACAGTTTCTTGAGGGATTTTTCGGCTGGGACAAGTATCGTCTCATACCAAGGGCATTGTTTAGGCCTTCCTCACCATTATGATCTGTCTTTGTGGCTGCACACCGGATCTCTAGCAAGCTTCTTCCGACTGCAAGCAGGCTCAAGCATTCCTCGGTCCTTTTGCCACTTACGGACAGTCGGTCAGTACCCTAGCCAGCATGACAACCGCTAGCTGCGCCAATAGCTGATAATCCTCGTGTACTGATCCATCAAGTGGAAGGTGTGGTAGAGATGCGCCTGTGAGATGAAGAAGACGGGCAATGTCACCTCGTCAGAGGGACTTTTAGTGGGGGAAATAGCACTGCTAGAAGACTAATCATGGGTCCCATGGCGAGAAGCTCTTTGCGTCTGTTAGGTTGCGACATTGTTGCATGTAGGTTCTGTCTATGCAGTAGAGGCAGCGTCGGGACGCCTAGAGAGTCGGAGGATATGGAAGGGCGTCCCGTATTAGTCCGTATAGGAGAGAAGTTCGATAGCTGTGGCAGCGGCGTAGACTTGGTGGCAACCCACTGCCCTGGTCTTGACACACAATTTATTTCCCTTAGACTTGGCCCGCTCGTACAGCTCGCCGTCTTCTTCATTTAATTTTCTTTTCTTTCTTTCTTGTTCTTTTTAAAGAAGCCCGAATGGAAACTTCAAAACCGCAAGATGCCTCGAGTTCCACTGACCACGGGAAAGTTCTCAAACGCAAGTGGGAAGAAGCGCAATGCCAGCTGGAAGCAGAGAAGATGGAAGCAGAAGATGCAGGACACATTAATTTCCTACACGAAAACCAGAATCTCCCAAGTCTCATGGCGAGTATGGAGAGTGTCAAATCGGTCAATAAACATGTTCAGAGATATATCACTGTCATCCATCAAGATTTCCCAGTCTTTGGACTCGGGGGCGGAGTCACCTCTAGACACGCACTACAAGAGCACCATATCCCAGGATTCCGATGCTGCCATTTCTCTTTGGTCAATTCGGGATAGCTAGGGGAGGTTAAAATAGTAAATAAAATAGTACTCCTTATTACCTGGCCCCTGAACCCCTGACTAGTACAGCTTTGTCGACGGTAAGGGGGAGTCGAGAAGGGTAGGTAGAAAGCTGCAAAGAGACAAAAACCGAGAAAAGGAAGGCTCGGGAGAGAAGGCGGATGGTGACGGAGGGAGGTTTTTATATAGACGTCGTCATTCCACTTCGACTCCTTGGCCTGGGCAGGAGTCTCCATTTTTGCTGTGGTGAGATATGCGAGAAATGTGTGGATTTTCGCCGGGTTTGAGTCGTACTCTTGCATGGCCATGTTCCTGTTCAAGATGGATTCCGCCGCCTCTCTACCGAATGCTCCCGACTCCACCACCGTCGCCCTCGTACTTCTTCTCTCTTAGTGTCTAGGAAAGTAGGAAGGCGGTGTAGGGTAAAAGCGGCAACTTCCGGGGCCAGGGAAAAGTGTATTCCTCACCATGTCAAGGCTTTCCGACAGTCCTCCCGGCTTCCCGGCCTCCACGGCGTCGAACTCGGCTGCGAGCTTCTCTCCTTTCGACCTCGCTGCTTTCTTCGTCAGTCAGGCTACCGCTACCCGCGCGAGCTAACTCGAAGCCCGCATTACTAAGACCCAACGTTATATGGGATCCTTTTTAATTCTATCGCAACGTCTTCGGCTTCTGGTCATCTCGGTATTTGCGGCGTACATAGCCTTTTGACATCCTTTCTATCCCGGCGACATTAGCTGGCCGCGAGAGGCTACTCAGCATCGCCAAACTGCTCATTGGGCTTCAAAGACACGGGCTTCATAGCGATACCATTCACAAGCTTCTGTGCCTTATTGATTGGCTGCGAAAGGGCCTCTTTTGAAGCCGCGTGTCGGGCATAGCTGGGTTCCGGCGTCCCGGGATGTAGAATTTCAAGTGGCCCGAGCCGGATTGGTTTTATTCAGATCTGGTTCAAATCAATCCAAGCATACAGATCAATGCAAACATGGTTCTTTCAACTTTAAACACGACCTAGCTGGGTTCAAATAAAGCAAATATAGGGTCCCGATTTAATTTGTCTGCATTGTTATTCCCCCCCGCGCCACGCGCTCAGCTCGCTTCCTTCTCGACCTAGCCCGCGGGGTCACGTATCTTCCTATATAAGTCTCGGGCGACATTAGGTGGCGTGAGCCTGCGTCGTGACGTGAGCCTGTATCGTGACGTGAGCCTGTATCGTGGCGTGAGCCTGTATTGTGGCGTGAGCCTGCATCGTGACGTGAGCCTGCATCTTTACGTGAGCCTACATCGTGACGTGAGCCTGCATCGTGACGTGAGCCTGCATCGTTACGTGAGCCTGCGTAGTTACGTGAGCCTACATCGTTACATGACGATGCATTGTGACATGAGCCTGCATTGTGACATGAGCCTGTATCGTTACGTGGCGATGCAGGCTCTACGGCGGACCCTCCTCCTCTGGTGCCGCTCGCCGTCGTCGCTGCTCGGGGCGGCACGCTTCCTTGTCGTTTGGGCCGTCTCCTACATGCATGTAAAAAAATTAACCAACCAAACCGCCCAGCCGGCGGCCAAAACCGCCTCTGATAGGAAAGAAAACGAATGCTTACGTTGCGACCTCCATACCAGGCAGCCCCCGCCGGCGCCGCGGATGCAGCCGAGAAAGGCGCGTGTCCGAGCGGGTGGCCTGTCGCGCCTTGGGTCGGCTGTGTCGGCTGGCTCGGCTGGCTCGGCTGGCTCGGCTGCCACAACAGCCCGTGGGGAGGGGAAAACGCGCTTGGGGGCGGCAGCGCGGCCGGGGGGAGAGGGGAGCGGCTGTCCCAGGTGCCAGCTGGATCCGCCGCGCGGGAGAAGTCGGACGGCCCGGTCGGGGTAAACGCCGGGTCCCTGTTCCCCGCGTCCAGACGCTGGGTGTAGGCGTCCCTGGTCGCCCACCCGGCCTGCGCCGTCTTCCCGTGCGGAGGGGGCTCCTGCCCGCGCAGAAGAGGGGGAGTGCTGGTGCGCAGAAGGGCGGAAGTGCTGGGGTCCGGCCATGACGGGAAATACCCGGGCACGCGGCGGTCAAATACGTACGCCGGATCCGCCGCGCTCGAGAAAGGGGAGCACGGCCTAGGCGAGCCGCAGAATGTGGTCGCGTCGTCGTCCGACCACACGGTGGAGGCCGGCGAGGGTGGCGGGGCGGCAGTTCCCTCGAGGGGCGGCGTGGGTGTCTGGCAGGACATGATTGCAATATGGAAATGTGGCCTGGTATAGGATTAGAACGATGCACGGTTATGTGGGGGACGTTTAGGGGTGAACGGAGGTGTTTGAGACGTTTGTACCGGGGCGGGGAGGTATCATATGTATTGAGTCAAACTTTATTAAAGCCGGCCAATATGTGGCTGACCCGGCTAGGAAACTGCCTGTTCTGGCGCCTCCTTTTCTTCAAAATTACTTTCTTCTTCAAGCATCGTGGCGTTTGGACCGGGACAGGGAGGCATCACATGTATCGAGTTAACCTTTATCGTAGCCGGCCAATATATGGCGGGCCCGGCTGGGAATCTACCCTTCTGGCGCCATTTCAGGGTGGATTGCTTATCGAATTCACCGCCAAGTTGAAACGCCTCGGGCTGGGCACCGAAAGACAAGCCACCCAAAACAAGTTCCACTCCCCGCCCCACTTCAAGAAGCCCATTTTCCGGCGCTGGTGGTTTTGATGCATCTTGTTGTCGAGGCGCGAGAGACGGACTGGTGGGGGTTGCCGTGTCCGACCATTCACACCCGAAGCCGGCTCCTGCTCGAGCCACGCCCCTTTCGACTTGGTAGTGGATTCAGTTGATCCTTACCTATGACAGACCATGATGGGCCTCAGCTTTATATCTTCTTATACAGCGTCCCCGCCAAAGGGTCTTCCTCTTCCACCCAATCACACACGGCATCACTGTTCCAACCGCCATGGTCCAGCCCATATCCCCCGCCGAACACCAGCGCTTGCACCCCGGAAACTGCAGCCATGGACCCGTCTCGCCCACCCTCGCCTTCGCCGTCTCCCCGGAACGCGCTATACATCATCCAGCCGGCCCAAGGAACTACAGCCCAAGCGTCCGTAGACCCGCATCGCCCATCTTCGCCCCCGCTGTCTCCCCGGAACATGATGCAGCCTCCGCAGGCTCCCACGCCCGCGCCCTACCCGGCTGTGTCCCCGGCCGAGGCTGCCTGGCAGGGATGCTACAGCGTGAGTGTGCATTTTCTTTCCCGTCAGGGGGTTTTGGCGGCCAGGTAGTTAGCTGGTTGACGCTTTTGCACGCACGCACGCAGGAGGACGCCCAGACGGACCCCTTCGGGCCCGTGCCGTACACTCCACAGGCTTCCACGCCCGCGCCTTACCCGGCCGTGTCCCCCCTGGCCGAGGCTGCCCGGCAGAGACGCTGCAGTGTGAGTGTGCAATTTTCTTTCCCCGTCCCGTTAGAGGGGGTCGGGCGGCTAGGGCAGTCAGCTGACCCTTTTTCGCACACGCATGCAGGAGGAGGAGGACCCCTTCGGGCCCGCGCCCGACTCGGCCGTATCCCCGGCCGAGGCCTGGCACGAACGCGTCAGGGCCTGGCGTGAACGCCTCCGGACCTGGCACGAACGCCACAGTGTAAGCGTGAATTTCTCTTCCCCGTCAGAGGGGTTTGGCAGCCAGTAGTTGGTTGACGCATGCAGGAAGCCACCATCAACGCACGGGGCGGCGGCGCGGCCACAACGAGGCGGGGCCTAGCGGCTGATCGCCCGTCACCCACTCGAGCGCTTCGGGCTCTGTACAAGCGTGTCCGTGGTCGTGCACCAAGGGTGGGTACCGCCCCGGAGGCTGTTCGCCCGTCGGGTGGTGGCTCGGCGGCTGAGGATCTACGCGAGCATGTTCTTAGTTTAGCAAGGAAACGTGCCGCCCCGGGCGACGGCGATGGCGGCGGCGGTTATGACGGCGACGGCGGCGAGCGGGACCGGAGGAAGAAGGTCCCCCAGAGGGAGCCCGAGCCCGTGTGACCACTGATGTACCGGAGACAGCCGACACTAGCGCCTAACCGCATTCTCCAGGCTGCTCATAGACACACACCAGGCCCTTCTAGCTCAATTTAGTAGTAGGTGGACAATTTGTGCCTTGAGGCCTGGAATCTGACTACTGCTCTCCATGTCGTCGTTCCAAATCCAAGTCTCGAATATGCACACCCCTTCAGTCTGGCACACAACGACTACGAGACGTCAAAATTAAATATCATTTCACTAATACTAAATAAAGGTAGTGGATAAAAAAATATGGGAAAAAAATAGAAACCCGAACAGCTCACGTAGGCGAGATATTCAACCACGACAGCCCGTCACAAGAAACTACGAGATATACTAGTATAAAGTAGCAGCCAACAGCGCAGGCCCTCATCTTTATCACCCACTCATCAGCTTCCTCATTCACACAGATCTTCATCCTCGACGCGCTATCAGACGTAAGCCAAACCGGAGTGAAGGAGATAGAGACTCGAGTTCCTTTCGTCACACAAATACTCCCCTTCACCCTGGCGCCTAGAGAGGCCCCCCCTCACCGGCCTCGCGAAACTTGTTTTACTAGCCCGACTCGGGCGCGAACGAAGCTGCACCCACACTACATCTTAACCCGCAACTAGTATCTAAGCTACAAGTTGGCGATAAAGGTTTAGTGAGGTCTCCATATGAATGACGCCTTGGGTTTCTACATTACGCCTTCTAAGAGCCGCAGCCGGGTCTTTTTGTATTTTGCTTTGCTCCCCGTCGCCGACTTCAAGTAGGCCACCTAGGCGACCAGCTTCTTGCACACTTGAACCTTATTCCGTAAAAGGACAAGGCAATCGCAGTCTTCAGCAGGGTATCCGAAAAAAACGTCATGTTTGCCACTTGATAACATTCCCAACTAGGGTTGTCCCAAAAAAACGCCATAAGCCATATTTTCTACTTTGACGGGGGGATACTCCGAAAAAAACGTCATGTTTGCCACTTGACAGCATTCCCAACTAGGGATGTCTGACAAAACGCCATATTTTCCACTTTAACGGCAGAAGTCGGGATGTAAAATGGCTAGAGTTGACCTACCGAGGTAGTCAAGCAGGGGCTTCTTTCTTCAGTTAAGCAGGAGCGCCGCCAACCCGCGAGTGAAAGGCCTATAAGTAAGGACCTTCCCTCACCCTTCTTCTACGCTTCCCACGCTTCTTTCTTCTTTCTACATCGAAGTATCTGTTAGAACAACGCGCATTCCAGCCACATAGAGGTGGCTGTAGCAACGCATTCATCAGCCACACAGGCGGCAGTGGAGGCGTAGGGGTCCCAGATTCCATATAAGTGGCCTACGGCCACCTCTTTCTTCTAGATAGACATAGAAAACAATGACCATCACTTGAACCACCAGCTTTCGGCGTGCAGCGCGCCCTGTTGTTTCCAGTACCGGTACCTGGTGGTTCCAACAGTATCCCTTGGCCACTCTCCATCTCTAGTTGCCTCTCCAGTTGCCTCTTTAATGGAGCAGCGACCCTAACACCCAGTCCTACAGCAGTTCTCAGCAGCAAGATGGGCGCCTCATGTCGGAAGGAGCCGCATCTAAGCCACATATGGGCGCAGGTGGCACACATGCTAGACCGTTTACAGCCTAGACTGTGTCAGCCGAATGCCGCATAACTATGGTATTCAGGTTATGCCCACCTTTCTGAACCTTCCGAATACAAGCACTTTTTTGCCCTCAATTGATGCAGCGCTGTATGTGACACCTCATGGTCCCCTGGGACCGGAGGACCCCCTCTTTAGATCCTCCCCGCCACCACAGTCTTCCCTGGGCAGATGCTGTCCAGCAGCAATAGCCCGTTTTGCGAAAGTTATCACCCTTTCCGCAACCAGTCACTCCACTTCGGCCTATACAGTCATTCAACCGGACGCCATTTTCTCCCGCAGCATACGTCTCGCAATATCTGCGTGGCGGCGGCGAGACGGGACCAGTGGGTTTGAATGGAAGCGGCCCCAAGAAGCAGCAGAGACGACACGGAAACTTGCCCAAGGAAGCGACGGACAAGCTGGGGGCTTGGTGCTTAGCCCACCTGCACCACCCGTACCTAGGGAGGAGAAAAAACGAGAACTGGCACGTCAGACGAGGCTGCGGAGGAATAAGTTCTTCGCCCTTCTGCGACCCCGCCCTTGCGCCCCACGATCAGCGACCCCGCCCTCACCGACCCCGCGATCAGCGACTAGGCTGCGTCCACCAGCTTTGTGTGCATTGTGCCTGAGGATTGTTATAGCCTGAGCCAGAGGCAACATGTTACGCCCCGGTTATTCACGTCGGGCGGCTTTCGCTAGCCAAACATCATATTCTCAATGAAGCCTGGGAAACCAGGCTGTGCTCAGACGCCCAAAGAAAATGCCACATTAATAACAGCCAGAACAGGCCAGGACCACGACTTTAGTCTTGCCTAGCTTGGCGAAGAGCGACGGTCGTAACGGATACTCGAGCGAGAGGGTGAAAGCAAACCGAAACGGGGCGCGACGGGTATCGTAGAGCAACGAACAAACAAACAAAAGAGAAAAATGCGCCGGTCCCGTCCTCTTCAGGCTCCCTGTCGTCGCCCATGCCGCCTTGGCGCGAGATGCCGGGGCCGCCGGGCTGCTGCTGCTGCTGCTGCGGGTCCTGGACTGCCGCCATTTCCTCGTACTCGACAATCTGCAGGGCCAGCTGCTTCGCCGTGATGTCGATCAGGATCAGCTGTCTCGTGGCCTTGTCGGCCCCGCGCAGGTCGTCATGGCGCGGATCACGATCTGCTGCTTCAGTAGCTGCACCTAATCGATTCGCCGAAAACAGGCAGAAAAACAAGGCGACAAACTAGGCCTCGGTGAGAGAAGCCAGACATTGAGTCATGGCCTTGAAATGCAGTCTGAATTCACCTGTCTAGGCTTCAATTCTCTACGGCCCAGCTCGAAAAAAAAAACACTCCCCGACACGCCAGAACTTACTTCATCCCTCAGGGAGCCCTCTATCTATCCTTACTTGAGCGTCTCTACCCGAACCTTTCTCCCACCTCTCGATAACCAACCTATTCTCCCAACATGGCAGACCAAGCGACAGACATTGTCTTCGGAGACAATAGTCATGAACCGATAGAAGAGAATGACGATTTTACCGCTTTCATGATGCTGACTCCCCCCGTCCGAGGAGGATGAGAACTCGTCCCCCGCGTCGTCCAAGCTTATAAATTAAAAAGCGTCAGCGCGATGCGACAAAGAACTTGAACGGGCACGTTAGAATGCACCTAGCAAGGTTGCGCTGCGGATGTGAAAGAGTTTACGCGCAAATACGAGTGGGAGTATATTTGGACCCTGAAGACGAGAGACAAACAAAAGCTAACCTAACACAGTAAGTACATGGACAAACACGAGCGCCCGTGCAGGTTCGAGGAGAATAGATGCGAGCATCTTCCCGGCTTCGTATACTCTGGCGGGTTGTAGCGTCACGGACGCCAAGTTTCACCACTCGGTTCCCCCGTTATTGCCATTACCCCCCCCGTAACACGTGCAAGCGGGGTAAGCGGTCGGCGGGGTAAGCGGTCGGCGGGGTAGACGCTATTTAGGGCTGTGCCTGGGGTGTGTGGGGCGGTGTGTGGCAGTATGTGGTGCCGTGGTCGAGCCAGCTAGTGTACATGCAACGGTGTGCAAAAATGAGGGCAAAAGAGTGCCTGTATTCGGAAGAAAAAGGAAAGGTGGGCATCGCCTAGATACTGTAGTTATGCGGCATTCGGCTTACATAGCCTAGGCCGAGGCGGTCTAGCATGTACGCCATCTGCGCCCACATGTGGCTCAAATGCCGCTTCTTCCGACAGCTAGTGCCGTGGCCGACGCTGAGCTGGTGCCGTGGTCGTGATTCCGGTTCTCGTGCAACCTGCACTGTCGCGTGCGTCCCTTGCTCGTAACTAGACGTGCTAATGGATAAGGATAGATAGACGTACTATCAGTTTGACGGCAACTTTTACCGGCAATTTTTGACGGCAATTTTTGGCGACTACCTAGTGCCCGCCCACACTTCAAGTTTTGCTTGCACTCCCCATCTGCTGCCTCTGCCACACCCACATGCTCTTGATATGCTACAGCATGTACGGCCTTGCATGTAGACGCACGTCCTTGCCAGACTAGACACACGTCCCTTGCCAGACACACGTCCCTTGCCAGGCACGCGTCCTTACCAGACACGCAGGTCATATCATGCGTGCCTCGCGGGTTGGCGGCGGTAATTCCTGCTTAACTAAAATAACTCGGGAGCCACCAACTGACGGCGATGAATGCGGGCCAAAGAACTTCAGATCAATCAACCACGTGCAGAGCAGGCCGCGCGCAGGCTGCAGGCTAAATCCACCACTCCCTGCACTGATTCCTAGGACACCAGAACTAAGACTTTTCACATGCAGGGCAGGCCGCGCAGGCTGCAGGCCAAATCCACCACTCCCTGCACTGATTCCTAGGACACCACAACTAACACTCTTCACATGCAGGGCAGGCCGCGCAGGCTGCAGGCCAAATCCACCACTCCCTGCACTAATTCCTAGGACACTAGTCTTCACAAGCTGCAGGCTAAATTCACCACTCCCTGCACTAATTCTTCGGACACCACAATTAACACTCTTCACATGCAGGGCAGGCCGCGCAGGCTGCAGGTCAAGTCCACCACTTCTTGCAACAGAACGAAGCCAAACGCATTGCAACTTCAGATCACGTATGCGTCCACATCTCGAGTCTGTTTCTGTTGCTTCTGCCAAACAGAACTGAGATGGAGATAGCCTTTGATCCTTTAGATGGCCTTTGGCCAAGTCCAGATGACACCAACACCCTCCACTGATGGTCCAGATGACCCTTCGCTCGCGGGTTGGCGGCGCCGAATTCAGCCAAGAGGCAGCCGGACTCGCCCCCATCTCTATCCCATTGGCAATTAAAATGCGCATTTCCTCCACACAAAGATGGCACCATTATTGACGACATCTTCGGCCCGCAGGACCTCACAGCCTTATTGCCGCATCGCCACAGAGCAGCAAAGAAGTATAGACCCTCAAAACCCACCCGCAGGTAGCTTCCTGCTTTATTGCCTGGGTAGGTTTCCTCGACTCAGATACCCACGTGCATTGTATTCCCGAGTCTCTGAGAGCCCGCGCAAACCGCTGACGCTGGCCTAGTTAAGAATGAATGAAGCCAAGTTGTTTGGATCTATCAGCTGGCCGAAGGGTCACCACTTCCTGCACTAATTCTTAGGGCGAAGCCAAACGCATTTCCAAATTCAGATCAACCAAGACAAGGCCCCCTAGCTACATACAACAAGGTCCAATTATGTGTCTGACGAGCCATCATTGTCCCCTTCGGTTGGTCCATCTACCAACGCCTCTGAGGCCACGCTGAGGAGATTCGGATCGGCACGGCCGTAGTTAAATCCTCATCTCCAAGTCTGAGATTAGATGAATAACCTCGCGCTTCTTGTTGGTAGGCTCGTCAAATCGCCCTTGTCCCGGGGGGGCGGGGGGCGCTGCCCTGGCTGCTGGTCTCTGGCTGCTGGGCGGGTAGGATGTGACTGCCCTGCCTGTCCACGGACTCATGATTGCCCGTGGCCCGTATGCTTGACTCTGCCCTGGGGACGGTGGTGCTGCGCTCATTGTAATTGCTTGCTGCAGGACAGGATTGGGTGTTAGATCGCTGCTCGATTGAAATTGGAGATGACTTGAGGGATCTGCGGGGCTTGATCTGGTTGACTAGTAGGTAGCGACGGTCGGGCTCGTGTGTCTGCCCAAGTTTTCGATGGAGAGTGGTTAGGGGGTACTGCTGGTGAGCACTCCGGGGACGAGGGAAAGTCCTTATTTAAGGACCCTTCACTCGCGGGTTGGCGACGGCAATTCTTGCTTGACTGCCTCGGCAATTTCGTCAACTATCTTTCTCGTTTTCCCTCTCTACGCTAAATTCCGATAAGGATGCCGTCAAAGTGGAAAATGTGGCCTTTTCCCCTTTCCGGTCCGCCCCCCTTACTCTTACTAGTGACATATGTATCCACCTCCTAGTTAGGAAGCCTCTTCTTGTACTGCTCATACCCTCGCCGCCGCTCAGTACCTAATACTCCTCAACAATCCACAAATGTGTTAAGACTTTGCCCTGCATGTGAAGAGTGTTAATTGTGGTGGATCTGGCCTGCAACCTGCCATTGAAGGCCCCAACTACCGTGAATCTGCTCTTGAAGGGCCCGTCCAGTCTTCCAGGAACACACAGTGCCAGAGCCAACTCCAAATCCTGCCATCAAGGCACTTCTCGTCGTGATGGAGTTCCCTTTGAGCAGGAGAAAGAGGGAAGAAGAAGAAAAGGTGCCGTTTGGAGGGAGTCGGAGTCGAACCAGTTTGATTCGCTGTCAGACAGACAGATGTGGGTTTGTGGTGGCGCCGGGGTGTGGAGCCGAGCGGTGTTTTTTCCTCTCTGCACAAAACTCAACTATGTTTCTAATTTTTCCTCCTTCTACCACATCCAACTTCCTTCTTTCTCCACCATCACCAGCAAAAGCTTAGAAATCACTGGCAAAAGCTTAGATACCATGGCGACCCAATACGCAGGTCCCGAAAATGAGGACGAAAAATTCCATACCTTTTCACTACCTTCCTGGGCAAGACTGTCAACCGACCATTTGCGCGCGATCACCTCCGGCGCGTTCTTGAAGGCCTCCCCAGCAACGTTCGGAGTGCCTCCTCGCTCCTGCCAATAGATGATATAGAACTTCGCATCGAATACATCAATCGGCTCGAGGAATTTGGCGCCTCAGTTTCGAAAAGTTGACTATGAAGAGTAGCGCCAAATTTAAGCGCTTCTATGATGTCCAGTTCGCTGCCCTTTACCTCATGGATTTCCAACAGCTCACGAGGTACGCCATAGAGGCCGATGAGTACGACGTCTACGCCTTCCTATAACGCTGAGAGGTTGTACCCGCCATGGTCAAACTAAGTAAGTCTTCCTGCCATTCTAATGGGAACGTTATTTACTAACCAATCTATAGTGGCCGGAAAGAAGATATACGACGAAGAGGCTGAGATGACTGAGAGGGCGACATACGTCCCCGATCCAATCTTTTTGCCTCCCTCTCAAGATCTTGCGCCTTTACGTCGACTTTCGCAACAAAGCAACCCGCCGAGATTCGAGTCCCAAACCGGAAGGGCCAGGCGAAACGAGGCAGAAGCTGATGCACGGAAGATGCTCGACGACCACCGATGCATCCTTACTAAGCAGAGCTTCCCGCACGCCTGTCATATTGTTGGCTACGTAGTTAATAATACGGAAGATAACAGAGTAAACATCGACCAATGGCTCCGTATGGCCGCCCCTTTTTTCTTTTCCGGAACATTGCGCCAGATTTCCTCTGATATAAACCATGTCTTCTCGTCCAGCGTTGGAGCGAGCGATCGGAAGTAGAATATGCTCTCGCTCAACCCAACACTACATGACTGGTGGTCGCGGGGTTGCTTCGGCCTCAAGTGGATTGGGCTGGCTGCTCCTCCTCGTTCCGCCGACCCAGAGGAAATCCAGACCGTCCTTCTTCCGTTCGAGTGGTTGATGTGGAGAGCAAGACTCGTCGGTGAAAGAAAGCCGTCGGTGAAAGAAAGCCAGCAGGGCAGCTAGGGCGAACAGCCGAGATTAAAGCGGCGTTTCCCGATTATTTGGCCCCCGAGATGATGCGCATTTGCGGCAACCCAGCCCTACCCGACCCGTATACCTTACTCGCCAGGTGCCGGCCCGCCACCGGGTGGAATATCGAACATGGCGAGGTCTTTGAAGCGAGAATCTAGCAGAAGTACGTCATGAATATGAAGCTTTGCGTGGATATACAACAGGCGATCAATCGCCTCATTGCCATGGCTGGAGGGGCCGAAGCGCTCGACGACCTGCCGGACAAACCCGAATTCCTTGACGAAGACGGACGCTTCCTGGGCTTGGTACAAGACTTTCCACATGCTTATGAGCAGACCACTTTAGCAATGCGCGGTGAAGATGAAGATACTGGGAAGGCTAACTCTGAAGACGACAATGTTAGTGATGACGGTATCACTCGTGCGGTGTAGGAAGAGGATTCAGGACCCGGTGATCACCTCGGCGGCAAGGGTAAGGGTCTAGCTCAATCTCCTTTCTCCGACAAGCTTGCCAAGAGTACTACGGGCGATCCCAAGGAAGAAGAGTCTGGAGATTTGTATGCTATTCTCAAGAGGCAGTTGCCTAGCGGTCCCATAACTGGCCAGGGCGAAGAGAGCGGGGAGATTCTAGATCTTGGGAAGAAGGCGTCAAAGCTGAGCCTTATATCGACAAAGGTCGAGAATTAGGGAAAGAAGTCAATCAAGGGAACAGCCTCGATTGCCAAGAAGGGTGGCGAGAAGGTGGGCCGTATTACCTGGAAGGCGTTCATGGCCGTCCTCTTCAGACCCCCACAAAGGCAGTCAGAGGTACTTTCTCCAAACCATTAATATGCTCCCATATAACTTCTGCGAGAAACAGACGGCTAGACTCCTGCCTGCAAAAGATTAGAGACGGGAAGATGTAAATAAGGGAACCTACTAGAAGAGCAATCAGTTTGTTCTGGAGTTCAGAGAGTTGAGGCTAGTAATCAACTAGTGATTGGAACTATTGGTAAAAAAGGAAGGGTAATAGCTTCTTGTCTTGGACATTGATCTATCTTATACCCAAAATATTACCATACATGACTGAGCGTTCAAGTGGAACTATATCGCGGACAGTGATAGCAGATCATCTGCAAAAGAACCAACATACCGCTGTGCGCTATGTCGCGGCGTGTCACTGCATGTCGCTGCTTGTTGCAGGCGAGACGGGGGGCCTTATACCACGCCATTGGCTAGCCTGCACACGTGAGAACTCCCATGTTGGAATCGTTTCGAGACGCTCCATGGGGAGAGGTTTCCCAGTCTGGACTCGTACCCTAGGTAGGTACTGCTGCTGATCAATCCAACAAAGGTTACGATTCTGCCACGCATGACAATGTCGCAAAGGGTATATATGGGATTTAGCCAGTGCACGTACTAATTAGCAGCTGCTTTGGCACTTTTTGACAGATGAATTTTATACGCCTCATCTATCTTGTCGCTATCCGTTGCTGTAGTGAGGTAACGAGTGGAGCGGTTTCAGCCAACATGTAAGAGATAAGGAACCAAATAACAGTTGCTCTGCAAGGAAAGTACCATGATTGAAATTAATGACCTCCTCATCTGTCCCAGCAGACCTAGTTCGACTGCCTGAGTATTCCCTCCTTTCGTAACCCTAAGTGCAGTAGCAGTCAATCTGAAAGTGGCCTTACAGTCCTGCTCTTTCCCACCCACAGTTACTTTCTTATTGCCACCGCATCTTGGCGGTACCTCGGACGTTCCATTGGTCTCAGACATAGTTGTGAGACGGCTAGTCTTCTATTTACAAATGGTTAGTCACGAGACATGGAGGCGAGAATACAACAAAAAAACCTACCACAAGAGCACGTAGCGTATATTAGAGTTCAAGGACTTGAGGTCGGATATGGACTGGTGATTTGAACTGATGGTGAACAAAGGAGGTATGCATTCTTCTCCCCCGCTATTGGTCTCCTTCAAACCCAAAATATGCTGCGTTACTGCCCAAGTCGGACCGTCTTAAGGGCATGAGTCGGCACTCAAGCACCCTGTTTCAACACTAGACTGATGGGGGTGGGATACGCTGCAGCTGCTATCAGGATCAGCACTGAAAGAGAGTGAGCGGCTGGGGAAGTATGCAAGCAATGTAGCAGATTTGGACTTGTCATCTATGGGAGGCTGCTATTAACAGCATTTGAGAGAATTCGAGTAGATTTACTCCATAATACAAATGATTGCTTGTGATGCTAGAGAGACAAAAGTCGAGTTAGCGACGGAGGACTAAAGAGGCTGGGCTAGAATGAGATGACAAAGATTAATCGAAAAGAGACAAAGCCCCACCATTGTAGATTCAACCAAGAGCCCACTTCCAAAACCCATCCACAGCTGGGAGAACATAAACCTCACTTGAACTTCCAATTCTTATTTTCCTTCAAAAGCCTCTCAGCCTGGTTCTGGAGCTCCCATCCTATCTTTTGTACATGTCGGAGCTCCAATTCCACAGTAGGTTGCACCTCAGTCAAAAATATCAATTCCCCGTCGCTGGAGACATCGATCTCGATAAACTCGGAGATTGGCATCTCTTCTGGGTCCAAGTGGCTAGGGAATTGTGAAACTTGCTCCACTTCTTTCTTTCCCCCTTTATCAACAAATCTGTCCCAGTGAGGGTAGCTATTCAGAAAAGATTGGCATTGCCGAGCTCTATAGAGGTATTGGACTTGGGCTGGGCAATCAGCCTCCTAGACTTCGCGGACGGACAGACCGTGTTAATACTGGATGACGAGCGCACTGTACTGTCGCTTTCGTTTCCGTCGTTGTCTCCGTCATCTCCGTCGTTCTTGTCCTGTACACGCACGTGTTTGGCCGAGACAGATCTTTTACTAGCAGCCATGATTCGTTTATTCAGCTGTTCAGTCCTATCGTGGGCCTCAAAGTGTCTTTTCAAGATAAGTGCCTGATGTGGAGCAACTTGCGCACCTCTTTGGCTGTGGAACATGCTACCAGAAGATTGTCTTCGAGAATCTGGTATTGACTTGTTCAAGGAACAATACTCGCCTGTACTCAAACAGTTTCTGGACACGAGACGTGAAGAACAGGAGGCCGAGACTAGGTTCGGGAAGAACTCGCTGTCCGATGGTATGCTCCGCTCCTGGACTACTGGCCGCGTCTGGAAGAATTTTGTGTCTATCCGCCCCGACGTCTTTGTCTCTGCCATACTCTTCAAGTATCACCGGGGGGGACTTCACCTCAACTGCTCCGGGAAATTGTGGACACTCCACAGAGGGATTCAATCAGCATACCTACGAAACTCAAGCTTGCAGCATATGAGAACGCATGAATCATACAAGCCGCCCACGCCCGACGACGCAGCAGCTGCGGAATCGGTCTTGACCAAGCTTCCCAAATCCAAGGTCCATCTCATCGTCCGTCCAAGTCAGCAACAAGCGGGGTCGGAACAGGATCACCGTAGTGCCTCTGGGTGCTCTACGCTCGAGAGGTCTCGAAATATTTCAGGTTCCACGTTGATTGCTGAACCCCAGCCCGGTTTGTACAACCAAGTACCTGTTCCTCCTTACTGCTGGACCTCACGTCTGTCGGATCATAACCTACCCCGTATTGCCGCGGCCCTTGTGGGCTATGACATGCTGGCTCCCTTTTGGTCATTGTTTGGCTGCTTCGGTCTGGGCACGCAACAACCCGCCGGAGGCGGAATATCAACCCGTTACTGGCCGGGAAGAACCCGTTGCTAGCCGGGAAGCACTGTGATTCTCGGAAACTCTCAGCTCAGAACACCACAAGAACATCGATATCGCCGACGACCCAACCAGCCCCTCTCAACGAACAAGAACCAAACCGTCGTCCACTATCGAGGCAAGGGTGTCGTGGAGCTCCGCAGGAAGATAGCCGCGATCCAGCATCTAGATGTTTAGTGGCCCCTGCAGCCGGTTTTGCCTCGCCGCCCTCTTCACAAAGCGACTTGCGTGTGCGAGCGAAGGCTTCACGTTCCAGTCATGATGGGATGTGGCCCTGGAGAGGCGCTGGAGCCTGCGTTACAAGGCTTTGCCACCCCCCCCCTTCCAGGGTCTCTGAGAAACTCTTTGCTCTCTACAACGGTAGCCTAATACGACACCCTGGCCGAGTTGATTGCCGGGCCCTGGCCCTGCACCTCGTGGGTTGGGGGCAGTCCGATCTTTCGTGCTTCCCACTCCGCGCGAGCGCGAGACTCGGTCTGTGCAACCGCGACTCTTCGTTGCGGTGCACAGAGCCGCTGCTACTCAATATGCGAAGGGCCTCGGATAAATGACGTCTCCCATCGGGGCGGGTGGATGGGGGTAACAATGTCGGTTATATTTTGTCTCTCGGCAAAAGGCATCAAGAAGGTGATGGTGCACTCACTCAGCTTCTTCAATTTCTCCTCCTCGCCGCAAATGGTGGTCCGTTGCCTGTACATGCACATCGCCCATCCCGTGTTGAGTCTTGCCTATTGCTTCCCCAAACTGGCGCAGTGCCCGCCGGTGGTACTCAAGGCTTTCGTCTAGCTCGCCTTGGGATTCCCTGACGTTGCCTATGGCATACAAAATCCACTAGTTTTATTCACCGGGCTTAGCTCTTTGTTTTCGCTACAGCCCTTCTTGTGGTCGGGTGGCATCCATGCCCCGGGGAAGGGGTCAAGGTTTTTATGTGGACGTACGAATGCGTATCGTGTTCGGGACCCTCCAATTTCGAAGCGGAACATGTCCAAACACTCGCGACGCAACACATTTTCCTGAACAATACCCAACATTACCCAACACCACCATCAATTGCCCACGACCTGGCCAGCCGCTGTAGTCGCAATACCCCTTGAATGTAGATATAAAGGAGGCCTGGCTGGAAGACCTCATCCAGCAATACGCGTGCAGTAACGACGTACCGACGAGCAACGACCTTCACAGTGAACAAGACACGGCCATAAGTAACACTAACACTAATCTCGCTCCGGGTCGAAGGCGCAAGCCCATTTGTGAAACGCCAAACAGGATGAAAATGTACCCGCCGGGCGCTTTTCTCGACCGTTGCGTCCTTCTTCCGCCACCGACCCACTCACGCTGCAATCACAACCACGACCGTCGGTCGATAACCAACCACCCGCTGCGCCATCATCACGATCAGGCTGGAATCTGCTATCTTCGACTTCGACTCGAGCCGGTGAACCCGTATCACAACTCATAGCACTGGCGGCGGAGGAGAAGGAGGAGGAGGAGGAAGATGGACAAGTTCCGCCAAGTCACCTCACCGCTTGATCTCCGATTTTCGACCAAGTCTATTGCGCTGCGAGGCTGCCCTCCCTACTGTCTGCTCTGCTTCTGCTTCTACTTCTGCACTCTCTGATATAGACAAGACGTTGATTCGCGACATCGAAAAGATTGCGTGCGATAGGTCACAGAGAATGCTCCCTCGATCCATGCAGAGGATGAGGGTAGAGGAGGCGGTGGGACCAAGTCCCAGATCCTGGATACGAAGCGACGATGACGACGGCGACGACGACGACGATGACGACGACGGCGACGACGACGAAGACGACGACGATAACGACAACGACGACGACACCGTCCTACCATGCCATGCCGAGATGCCACCGTGCTGCGGCGTCAGTTGGAAGACGGTAAGGGCCTGTTTTGCGCGTTTCATCGAGTGCGATGTGATGGACGCGTCTGAGACGGCCTGGAATGCCGACGTCCACACGGCCCTGTAGTTCGTGTCACTTCATAGTACCTTGTTCACGAACTCGACCGGGGCTGGACGTGTACTAAAAATCGCTTGCCTGGATGCGGGCCGGCTGCGGAGCAACCCGTGGTCGTCATCGCGTTCTGCTCACGGGGGCAGGAGCGCCATTGCTTGCGATCAGCTTCCCTCACAGATTCAGTCGGTCAGGCCAGGGTGAGCAAACAGTCTTGTACTTCACGGCCATGTTCCACGGCCTCGAAAAGGTCCCTGAGGAGGGGAATAACTAACTACACGCAGGCATCACGGCTTCCGAACCCAGCCATTCTTTCATCCTCCGACCTCACTCCTTCCAAGGCCCCCCATGTACCCCCCAGCAGGCTTTCAATCCAACATCAGCACCCCTTCTTCCCCTCCCCCTCCCCCTCCCCCTCCCCATTCACCTTAATCCCGCTCAACGCTTCAAAATAGTCGCGCAGGAAGCGTAATTCTCGTATCACAGGACGGTTCTCGTAATTCTCCCTCACTTTGGCACGCATTTGGTTCATGATCATCTTTTTGCCGTTGAAGACTCTCGTCACCTTGTCTCCCATTTCCTCGTACCACTTGTCGACTTTCTCCTGCGATGGTGGTGGCGATCCAGTTTCGATTTCGGGCCCTTCACCAAAGTCAAATCTCGACAACGGCAAGTCATGATCCTGACGGCCCATCTCGGCGACCTGCACACTCTCTTCTGTTAGCGGGTGTGTATCCTGTGGGGGGCTGGGCTGCGGAGATTGTGTTTTGCTCCTTACCGCGAGGAGCGTGGGGTGCGTGTGCCTCCCTATCATGAGCAAATCGTGCTCCATGTTCTCGAGGAGCTCGAATATGCGTGGGTTAGACGGCAGGTAGTACACACTACGGCGCCGCCGTCCGTCAACTCGAGCCGTCTCGGTGACCCACACTTGGTCGAAGGGTGGTCTCCCAACCACGACGACACGCCCGGCGCGATCAACGGCAATACTGGGGATAGGGTACGCCACCATGTCGGCTATATGACGGTCCAGCTGCCGGAGCGCCGGGAGGGTCTGCTCATGTAATACACGATAGGCCTCGCCAAGGCGCTCGGTCAAGGGCAAGAGCGCCGTTTGGTCGATATGGAGCAGGCCGCGCGGGATATTAATCATGCGATTGGCATCTCGCGTTTCGCTGGCAAATTTCTTCTTGGCCTTGTCGTCAGCCCATCTCTCTAAATCACGCGGAAAGGGGTTTCCGAGGGAAAGGAGGGTCTCGGCAAGCGGGTTAATAGCAAGGATGGTGGAGTGTATGGTATCGAGGTTCACAAGTAGGTCTCGTAGTCTCCCTTCGGTCTTCTCACACCAGTCAAGAGCCAGAAAGGTGCGTGCGGGCAAGGCGAGGTGTCCGAGAGCTGTGCGGCAGCATTCCTGGTAGCTGGCTGGTGTTGTCGTGCCGTTGACGTCGCGACAGTCGTATCCGTAGGTGTATGGCATCAACTTGAAGCAGCTGATAACCTCCCTGACGTATTCCCATCCTGCTCTGAGCCAACGAGACGACAGCACCTCGTCACCGAGGTTGAGAGAATGGAAGGTCAAGGCATTTCTATGGAGGCGATCGAGACACTCTTTCAAGGTGGCGCAGTGGATCGTGAGCTCCATAGCAACCGGACTGAGTACTTTGGTGTTGTTGCCAGCCCACTGACTTGTCCAGAAAATGTGGCTGGGTAGGCGCCCAAACATTATGGATTTCGGGTCATCCCCAATCCCCAACGTCACGTTGACGTAGAACATGGAGGCTGTCGGGATGGACGCGTGCTGGACTAGGACCTGGTGTAATGTATCGAAGAAGGGGGACGGGATGGCGTCGTATTGGGGGGGTTTCGGAAGGAAAACGATGACGACGGCCACAAAGATGGCCTAGGCGATGGTAGGGTAGGCATTCCATGCATCTCGGCACGAAGCAATGAGGAGGAGGAGGAGGTGGCGGCCTCGCTGCAAAAGGTGTAGCCGTCGCCGCGCATACCTCAACACGGTCGACCCGACCAGAGCGAGAAGGCGGCCATCTCGCCGCGCTTGGCGGACGCGGAACTGGGCGCGTCGAAGTCGGCGTCAAAGCTGGCGTCGAAGCCGGCGGACCCGGAAGCGCAAGCCAGAAAGAGAAAGATAACCCGGCGCGGCCTTTTCTAGGCGGCCAGCGCGGTTGCGGTGGCGCTGGTCATGGCTGCTGCTCTCGCTCTCCGGGGCCGGCGCATTCCCTGCTACAGGTAGCGGCTTGGCGCCACAAAGACGTGCGAGGAACGCCACGGGCTGCATTTCCATTGCCGGGCAGGAAGGACATGGAACAGCACAGCAAACGAATTGGGCCCATGCCATGCCATGCACAGCGTTGATCGGGGGGGGGACAATGGGAGAAGTGTCAAGTAGCAGCTACCAAACTACTACAGGAGCCCATCGCAAATCCCAGACAGGGCAGCCCATCTGCCGCGCGCATTGGCAATCCCGACGTCCAAGTTCTTGCGGGCCAGGACAGGCATAAACACAACTATGTACTCATTCCTCGCAGCGTCATCTAGAAGAATGCCTGCCACTGAATTGACCAAGACCGCCCTTTCACCGGTAGCCCAGCTCGCGGCGCCGGGCCTGCCGGCTGCCGAGCGCGCCTCCTGGAGCCGGGCGAGAGCAGCATCTCGGATGGCCTTGACAGCCTCCTCGTGGTAGGGGTGGTGGGGCGAGGCGCACGCGTTTGGCGGCGAGATCGGCTTGCGGCGGGCGTCCAGGCCGAGGAACTCGAACAACGTCGGGAACTCCACCTGAGGGCTGCTCGGAAGCAGCGGGCCTGCAGGTGGCACAGACGGCGGGGGACCTGGAGCATCAGCCCCTCTGCCCCGGCGCGAGAAGAGGAGGAGGAGGAGGGGGGGAGCCCTGGGGCAGAAACAAGTTGGCCCCGACCCAGAACACGAAGCTTGCACCCATATACGGGACAGCGAGGGGCGGGGAGATGACGGCCACAGAGTCAGTCGCTAGCGCCTCGGTTACCAGGACCATGATGGCTCCGACGCGGTCCTCGGTAAGCGATGGCACACACATGCTCTGGTCGTGCACCTTACGCCAGAAGGTTGAATTCGTTGACTGCACAACTGTGTTGGGCGTGCATCGGCCGTTGCCATGCAAAAACCTTGGACCCCACCGCGATGGCGGGGAGAGCCCTGCGGAGCGAGGCACCTGTCAGGTTGTCGAGCTGGGAGATGAGAAAGTCGGAAAAGGCTCCCGCGACGCAAGCGGGAGCGCACGCCGCCAATAGCATCCAAGACCGCATGTTGCTGCTGTTGGAGGTGTTAGGCAGAGCAGAGCAGAGCAGAGAAGAGCAGAGAAGAGCAGAGAAGAGTAGAGTAGAGTAGCGAGGAAGAGGGAGATGGAGATGAAGATGACAGCGCGAAGTTGTTGATGGTTGGCGGTTGGCGTTGCAGTTGCAGTTGGCGTTGCAGTTGCACGTCAGCTGCGTGTCGTGTCGTGTCGAGACGAAGGAAGATGGAGGCGAGACTAGCCAAGTTGGTCATGAGAGAAGAGGGACGAGGGACGGGGGAAGAGGGAAGAGGGAGGAGGAAGGAGGAGGGGGTCGACAGGGGACATCTCTAGGCTGCATTTTTCAGCAGGAGCTGCCCAGTCGTTTGTCACAAAGCAAAACTACGGTCAAGAGTGCCTTCCACTGTTAGATGTCTTTATCCGCTCGCATTTTGGGTAGGCAGGTCAGGGACGCCCTCAAACCCCACTTTCCGTTCTTCGTTGGTGTCCGATCCACTTTCCTTTTTTTGCTGGTGATTGATTTCCACCAATGACACGGCCCTATCCCATTGTGGAAGCAACTCGAATCGATGCTTGCGCATTTCAGTCTTGCATCGTCATATTCAGCTGAAATGACAAGTTTCAGCTTGAAACTCCCCCAAGAGATGAGGTCGACTCCAGTGGCCGTTCTACCTTTACGGCCTCTTGGCAAGTCAGAGAGTGTGCGTGCCACCATCAAATTTCTTTGTCCGCTACACTGTGTCACGTGCCGGACTCCGTCTCCCTTTCATGGCAAAGCAAAGCCGGCCACTCCCCTCTGTTATCCCTCATCACTTTAGTGGCTTGATCCCGTTTGTACAGTCGGTCCCCCCCCCAGCTCCACCCTGCATGAAACTCTTGGTTCTGCCTTGTCACTCATCAGAGGCGACCGGCTTCCGCCGCTTCCAAATGTGGCAGCAAACGTCAGATCTGATGTCTATTTCAGCCGATGCTCTGCTACCTGGCTCTGGGGGGGAGGGAACAAACAGGACAGAGCACGCCGTGCACTTACCTTGCTTCCTTCTGGACGTGCGCGCGCTGGCCATGATGAGTGCCCTTCAAAAGGCGGCCTCGACCCAACACTTCAGCTCCCCAGCAACACAACACCCACAATCACCACAACCACAACTACAGCAACCACCGCAACTACCACAACCACAACAACTACAATACTACTACAGTCACTACAACCACAACCACTACAACCACTACAGCCACCACAACCACAACCACAACTACGACCACAACTACAACCACAGTAACCACAACAACCACCACAACTACAACTACAGCAACCACAGCAACCACAACAACCACCACAGCAACCACAACCACAACCACAACCACAACAACTACAATACTACTACAGTCACTACAACCACAACCACTACAACCACTACAGCCACCACAACCACAACCACAAATACAACCACAGCAACCAGAACAACCACAACCACAACTACAACTACAACTACAACCACAGCAACCACAACAACCACAACCACAGCAATCACCACAACCACAACCACAACCACCACAGTCACCACAACCACAACTACAGCAACCACAGCAACCACAACAACCACAGCAACCACAACCACCACAACCACCACAACCACAACTAAAACCACAACTACAACCACCGTAATCACAACAACCACCACAACTACAACTACAGCAACTACAACACCTACGTCAACTACCACAGCCACCACAACCACAACCACCGCAACCAAAACAACCACAGCAACCACAGCAACAACCTAGAAGCTGTGTGCGCGACATCACCCGTTCTGCATTCCCTCATCACCATGAGTTCCTCGTACACAGCCGGGCAGCTATACCGGCGCAGGTTCCCAAATGGCCACCAGTGCGCATCGGCTGACGTCGAGTCACACCACGTGGACGGCGCAGCAGACGACATGCGGCTCCGTCTCGTCCGCTCTCTCTTTACCGCCATCACCAGCACAGACAGTTCCGACCCGCGCCATCGGCGGGTCTTGGACAGTCGATTGGAATCGGCTGTCCAAGGCATGCGTGACAGCAACCACGTCCTCAGACACGTGCTGAGAGGCTGTCCGACAACTTCCAAAAGTGCCGCAGTCCACTACATCGCCAATGCGATTGCCGACCACCTCAGCCACCCTGTGCGCTCCGAGCCCGGGATCGAGCTGGTCGGCATTTTCATCTCCGAGCCGCCCCAGGACGGCGACCGGCGTGGCCAGCCCTTCTCGGTCAAGTTTCTCCGGGGCCGCGCTGGGCGGTGGCGCCGCGGCGGCGCACACGCCGTCTTCATCGAGGTGTGTCCGTGGTCTCAGCCCGAGTTCCGCGGGGTTCGACAAGCAAGTGTTGGCCCTCCTGACAGGAGCGGCACGGCCCGGCCTGCCACGGGGCCGGGCGAGGCGTGGTGGTGGGCGCCCAGCAGCAGCAGCAGCCCATCCAATGCGGCGGAACCGGTGCAGGCAGGAAGACAACAGCGCCAGAACCGAGAGACAACTGTCGCTGCCGCTAGGGGCAACGACGTGCAGGAAGCGTTGCCTTTTCCGGTGAGGGAAGAGCGGGCTGACTGGGCTGGCATCATCAAGTGGATCTGTGCTGCTGTCATCGCCATAGATGTTGTCGGCGCCGTCGTTTTCATCGGCATGCTGGGTTTGAAGCTATTCACTGGCCTTTCCAACGCCGTAGTAGGGTGGGCTCGTTAGGTTCGAGCTTATTCACTGGCCTTTCCAACGCCGCGGTGGGGGTGGGCTCGCTGGGAACGCAGCTTATAGCCTTCTTAGGGCAGGCGCTCTCGACGAGAACTCATCGCGTCTCTCGTCCGATCCGGCCGTACAAGGTGCCGCTAGTGAAGCGACGGGCAATCGACCCGGTAGTCCACATCCTTAAGGAAAATTTTCAGTAGAATTCGGTGCAGCTGAAAGAGCGACGACTGGCGTATACGGCATTACTCACCGACATGGTCTACGACTAGACGCTGGGCGAGCTGGTCTCGATGCTGGGCAAGCTGGCCTCGACGACGGGGAGGGTAGCTCGGAAGCTGACTGAAATGGAGCGGCTGCGGCCTGTCACCAGCGCTCGACCGTGAATGCGACAAGGTAGTTAGGATTCTCAAGTCGTTCTGTTGCATGTAATGGGGCACGAGGTGCAAAGGTTTGGAGTCTTCGAGACATCCATGTTAACACTATGAGTGGTGGCTCTCCTAGAGGCTAATACCGCTATCAAATGGATACTTTGACCATGGTCTGACGGTCTTCCGCGCCCCTGAGCAGCGCCAGGCACTCGGCACACCAGTTGACGTTGCAGTACACCTCGCACACGTGCAGCTCCGAGACCTCGCCGATGCTCCTCTTGCAGTTGCTAAACCGAGGCTACCTCTGAGACTCTGGCATGAACTTGCCGTGTGTATGCTGATGGTTTGGTAGTGGATACTGTAAAGTAGGGCGGAAGGCAATGGCGAACTGTCGTAGTTGTAGAGAAGTTATGAGAGAGATAGCCCAAGAAAGGCTCGAATAGGATTGATCACAAGCGATGAGTTGTCTAGCTATAGGCCCACTGCTGATTCTTGTTACAGAAAGGATGTTTTACAAGGCAAGCCCATCACCGGGGCCTGGTCAGACGAGATACGCATTCCCACGAAGCCAGGATTTCGAACGTATCCAATATATCAACTGCTGAATACCTAGAAGCAGCAAGCTTTTTCTGCTTTTGATAATTGCCGAAGTTACCTTACACGTATGCTATTCGGGGGCCGTTTCGTTCGGTGGAGTGGGCGGATTGCCGGCGTTGGTTGTACGTTTTTTTCACTTTTTCTTGGTGTTGGGCGCATTATGTTGGTCAAGCCAAGGTAAACTTGGCCTAGGGCTGACGGTCGCAATGCAACACCGGGCTAGGCGCTTTCTAATACCTATGGTCCTCTTTCCTAATCTAGACGAGAAGTCCAGGTTGAGGTGGAGCAATTGTCATGATGTCGCCCACATTTTCCTCACCACTTCCCCCCCGTTTCCCTTCGTGGCTTCGGCTAGGATCTACGTTGCTCATCTTCGCCGGGGATTTCCACGTTGGTAGTCCCGCATCGACGACATCGTCGGGATACAACACCGGGATCCTGGGCAGCACGGCATCGGCAGCTCGCGCCGCCGCAGCTCTGACAAATCTTCTCGCCGACAGCAAATTTAGCTCCTATCCTATTCTAGTGCCGACGCAGGGCTCGCGCAGGCGGTTCTTGGGCAGCATGCCGCTGACGGCCTTGCGCAGGACCTCGGCGCCGCCGTGCTTCTCCATCAGCACGTCCATAGTGATGGCCTGCAGGGAGCCCGGGCGCGTGTTGTGGCGGTAGTACGTCTTGCGCCACTTCTTGAGCCTCGTCGTGTACAGAGCCGTTTTCCCCCTCAGCCGTTATTAGCACGCTCTCCCAGACCCAGACACTTATTCTAGTCCCCCCAACCGTGACGGCTCCATGCACTGGCGGAACAAGAACGTGTACGTGTGCGTGTGTTTTGCGTTCCGTGTTTGCCGAGGACGGCGGCGTCGAGGACGGCCTGATTGGTGGCATCCTCGGCGGGCTTAAACCGAAAACCGGGGCGGCAGCCCTTCTTGCTCAGACTGGCAACACCACGCATGAACCGCTCTACTTTTTCGTTGCACCGCGGCAGGAGGATTTCCCCCCGATAAGCGACCAGAGATGGAGGAACCTTGGGATACCTAGTTGAGCCCCCCTTTCTCTAGGGAGAACGCACACTACGCTATAAGATACCCCCCCCCCCCCCTGACGGTCGTCAGCAGCAGCAGCAGCACGGACAAGATACAAACACGAGATAAGATTGCCACGACGGTAGCAGCACTAGGGAGAACGCACACCACGCTGCACACCACGCCCCCTCCCTGACACTCATCGCCTTTTTTAGCGTCGGAATGCGTAGGCAATGGCCCAACTCGGTTGTACAACAGCCGAGCTAAGGTTAGAGTTACTATATGTCACCGAAATCATCTGTTTATTTTGCCTTAGGTTCTTGCCGGCATCGTTTCGCAGCTCAAACTCTGGCGCATCATCAAGGAACACCGAGAGACAAGCGCAATGCCAAGATTGCCGAGGAATAGCGCACCAGGTACTCGGCCGGCGGCGTCTTGGCCAGCACTGGTTCTGGAGAGCGAGACAAGAGCAAGCCAGCTAACCGCTCAACTCCTCGGGCCAAGTATCGTCTTGTCGAGAACGGATCGAGGCTTTTCCGTACGTCGGACGACTAGAGGTTGCAGCTATTTCGGCAAGTCAGGTAACAGGAAGCGAATCCTGGCGCATGTGCGTGAGATGACGTTTTCCCACGCCCCTGGGCCAGAAAAGCCAGCCCAGCAGCACAGTGACGGTCAGCCGCACCGTCTCCGTTGCTGGAATTACCCGAATCGTTCGCGCGCAAAGCGGCGCTGGCGGCGGCGATGAATCCGCGGTTTGTGGGAAATGGCTGAAAACTCGAAGCAGAACAACAGCTCTCAAGCCCCGCAGAGCCTTCCAAGAAGAAGGGCCTGTGCATGCATGCAACAGCGCGTAGCGGCACCGAGCCGGTCAGTCAAAAGTGGATGGATGGGAACGGGAAATGTCCTCGCCTCGTTACCGCATGTAAAGCCACTGTGACGGCGGTCAATACCAAGAAGGAAAAGGATCGCTAATGTAGCTATACCATTGTCTAAGGATTCTAAGGTGAAGAAGAAAGAAAGGAAAATCTACAAAGGTGCTGTTCAGTGTGCTGAGGTTAGGTGGGAGCTGTAGAGCGCACGGGCCCACGGCCCACAGGGCTTTCAGATGCCAAGCCCCCAGCCCGATTGGGACTAGTGCGGGGTCGGCTCCAAAGAGGGGTCGCACTGTTGGCGGTTCTGGCCGTGACAGCCACCGATAAGCGTCAAGTGGTAGATGCCAATAATTGGGCACCGAGGAACCGATGCAACGTGGCCGTGCCCAGAATAAAGACCCCTAACTCTTTTGGCTAGTTCTTCGCGGCGAGCTCAGTGACGCGCGCCCGCTGCAGGCCCCATCTCAAAATTCTGCCAACGCTGACGAGGCGGTCAAAGAACCACACAGCCGCTACAACATTCGGAGCGACAAACGTTTTCCCGCTCATGGCCATCTGGATCCCCGATCCTGCTGCTGGGGCGCCGTCGACACCACCATAGCAGCACCGCCGAGCTTCTACAGCGCCGCCGATATGTGGATCAGCGAGGGCCATGGAGCATGAGAAACCTGAGGAGCCATGTGCCGTGGTCCAGGATGGCCCGATACTGCGATTCGTCTGGGGCGGGGCTAATAACGAACCGCTGGCCTGGCGGCGTTCGCGAAGCATACCACAACACTGGAAGCAACAGTTACGGATGACGTATATCGAGGCATATATATAACACATCAGACCGTGGTCGAGTGTGGCGGATGTTTACTTACTGGACGAAAAATGGTACCGGGCTCGTCACCAGGCAGCTTCTCAGATGTCCCTCTCTCTTTGAGTAGCTTTTCACTTTGCAAGCTGCTTGTTGTGCTTCTCCTTCATTTTCTCGATTTCTTCTTTGACTGGCTAGTCGTCGCTGCTGCTCTTGCTCCTGCATGAGTAGCGCCGTGTCGTGCCGCTCCGTCTTGCTGCCGGCGACGGCGCCGATCCAGTTGGTCGCGTTGATCCCGCCGCCGCCACCGTCGCTGGCGGCGCATCTAAACCATGATTCGCTGCCTTCCCCTAGATCCGGAGTTACAGCGTCACAACTCGAGCCGGCGGTTTTGCAATTCGCTTCCCTTTCGCCTTTCCCGCCAAGCGAATGTTATCCAGGAGCACTACTTCGCAGACGCTATTACGACCAATCGAGAACCGTTTGCCTCACTCGTTCGTTCGCTCACTCGCTCGTTCGTTGTGCCGCGCGGTTAAGCTTGCAGTCTGTCTGTCAGTCTGTCAGTCAGTCAGTCAGTCAGTCAGTCTGTCTTGGACGAAACTGCTGGGTACGACCGCTGCCACTTGGCTATCTATCTATCCGTCTATCGGGCGGTGAGGTTGCCTTGGGCCTCCTCATGGGCCGCGAGGATAGATGCGAGCCTGAACTCGGACTCGGTCGGCTCCCGCATGCCGCAGCGAGAGGCCAAGTGTGTTCCTGATAAGGGGGAGATATGCGGCATAACTGTTTGCGCGGCGGATCTTGTCTGCTGCGACCCGTCTTGTATCTGCACGACAGTCGGGTACCGCGGCAGCCATGATGGTATATCGGCGACGGGAGGTCTGCTGGAGCCGCCCCAGGATTCGCTTTTGAGATTTTTGGCGCCTTTTGCCTTTCCATCGCCCGTTGCCTTGCCATTACCACAAGAGCCAGCGGCAGCTGCGCTCGGGCCGTGCAGTATCGTAAGACAAGCTCAAAGATGTGCTGGCGAAGTGGGAGCAGGAGCAACACCGCACCCAGATGACAGCACCAGGGAGAACGCACACCACGCTGCACACCACCCCCCCTCCCTGACAATCGTCAGCGGCAGCACGAACAAGAAGGCAAAGGAGAGAGGGAGATGGATATGGTGGCATCACCAGCCACAGCAGCCAGGTACATAAGTCTACGACGATACGGCTCTGCTCTGATATCGCGGCCTTCAGCGTTTACCCCTGACTGGAAGCGTCAGTTAGCAAAGTTTGCAGAAGAAAGGCAGGGGAAGGAAGGAACGGAACGGAACGGAGCAGGTGAAATCTGGTCGTCAAGATGGCGCCAGTACGACGAAAAAGGAGGCGTCTATCAAATTGAGACCGGCGCACCGTCTTCGTGATTGAGTACGCCGGCCCGCTGCTCTTCCACGCCCTCCCTCTTCGCGTACCTGCGGCCGTACATCTACGCGCCCGTCTATTCCAAGGCGGCCGTCGAGGCGCCGCCGAGTGCCGCTTTATGTTGCATGTCTTCATGACGCCCAAGCCGCTCCCATGCAATCTCCCAACAATCCCCCTCTCCCAGCTCGCTCGCCACACTGGCCACCGCCCGGGCAGCCGTAAGTTGGGTCCATCAAGATTGAGGTAAGACCTAGGGCCATGATACCTTTACGAGCCGTCTCGGCACTCGATAGCATTCCGACGGGCCTAGAGAAATTCTTCACGCTGATTCTGTCCTCAGCTGCGACGGGGGATGTGGTTTCTGAGCGATGCTTCATAGCCTCGGCTGAGTAGCTGTACGGCCGGGGCACTGACACTGATGCTCTTCAGGTTGTTATACCACTTCCCAGGCGCGAGGAAACTGTGGGAGCGTCGAGCTGTGGTTGCTGCGCTGGAGACCCAGATTACCTGGGCATCGCCTTGAGCCTCGCAAGATTAAGGGCTGCTGCGCAACTTTGCGCGTTCCTTCTGCTATGGAAGGGACTCGCCGTCTCGATGCCCGTAAAGTGCAGGATGAAGAAGCCGGGCCACAGGAACAGCACGTTGAAGAGGCCGACGAGACGGAAAAAACACGGACGGGGATTTCTCCCTTCCCTCCCCACCTCCCTCTACCATGCACAGGATGACCGACGGAGAGACGGACAGAAAAGGCCGCCTACCTACCCCCGTCCATCCGTCCGTCCCCCGCCGTTATACTATCTGTGCAGGTGTCTGCCGCTCTAGTCAAACACGGCCACGATGCTCTGCCGCACGTTTCTCGCTTCGGCATCCGGCCAGGAGTCTCCAAACTCGGTCTTCTCGGTTAGATACTCATGCTCACCGTCTGGTAGCTTGAACGGCGCTGGAAGCTCCGAAGAAGAAGAGCTGGAGGCTTTGCTCTTGGTCGCCGACTGCTTGGGCGTTGTTGAGGCGGGACGCGGTGCTCTGCGAGTGCTTGCAGCTTTCCATTGGGCCCGCATGCTGCACGCTGGCACTGCATGATTCCGCCACGATACCCGAACGAGCGTCGGCGGTCAGAGCCTGGTACATCTTGGAGCCGGAAACCAAAGGCGTCGCGGTCGCCGGCGCTGCTGTGGCGGTCGGGCGAGACCATGGACTTGATGCGCAGCACGACCTGGCCGAGGGCGTGGCGGATGTCGCCAAACCGCATCCACGCGCGGCGGCGGCACGGGTGCATCCTGCTGCCCGAGATCCGCCGGCGGCTGTGGCCGAGGACGACGCCCGCCAGCTCAGTGAAGGTGCACGTCGTGCACGTCGCTTCCGCCGACATTTTCAGCTCATCTCGAGACAAGCACGGTTCGAGAGGTGAGACCCCATTTACACATTTTCAAGTTCGACTGGGCTGACTGTGAGTCTGGCGGTCTCTTTTTTCTCGCTTCTATTCTTTGTACCGTGGTTTTTGTCTTGGAGCCCAAAAACGCCCATTTTTTTACGTCTCAACCGAATCTGTTCTGTGCCGTCGCGACGACGTATTGCTGGATCTGGTCATGGACGGTTCGCAGCCGCACTTCGAGGACGCCAAACATTTGATGCAGGGTCGAGTCAGCGCCTTGGCTGGCGCGTGCCATGCTCAAGTTGAGCACGTCGCCCGTGTAGTTCATGGCCGTGACCAGCACGCCGCCAGACCCGGCCGTCGAGCTGCTGGGCTCTCGGACATATATATACGTGAGATCTCCACGTCCCCGCGGATTCCGACGCACACGACAGAGGCGAGAAGCCATCACGTGGCGCGCCTATAAGACGGACAAGGACAAGCAGAGCGTTGTTAGGCAGGTGCAACTGGCAGTCGTAAGAAAGCAGCATGCCTCATCACGGTCTGTTCTGTGGGTCAACTTGCTCGCGCAGAAAAAAAGGGGCACCGCGATCTGGGCGGCAAAGAAACGATGCTGAGCCGCTGCGCCTGGCCGCCCGGGACAGCTTGCCCGACCTCGCCCACGGCCGTGTCGTAGCCCGCCGGCAGCGATGCGATGAAGTCGTGGATGCCGGCCTGGCGCGCGGCGTGCGCGGGAAACAGGCCACTGCAATCACGACCAGTGCGTGTTCGCGGAAGCTTTAACGGACGCGAACTGGCGATTTAGCTGTTCATTCCGGAGTGGCATCAGCTTCCGAGGCGCCTCGGAGAAAAATGCGTCTAGAAAACACAAAGTATGCTGCACCAACTTTTGCTTCAACCGAGCCCAAGTTTGTTCCAACCCTAGCTGCCTCTCCAGCCGTGTCGCCATTGGACGAGATCTAGATCCTCCTCGACCCTGCCGATCACGAAGCCGAGATTCCGATCATGTTCGCGATGGCCGAGTTCCCGGCGAACGGTCCCTGTCCGGATGCGCCCGAGAAAATGCTGTCGCCGCCGCGGTTGCTGTTGGGCAGATAGACGAGTGACAGCCACGTGCCTTGTGCGTCTTGTTACGATGCCCATGTGTTCAGCCAACTCAGCGTACCTGTCCGGCAATACCATGTGAGATGTGTGACCTCCAGCACCCCCCGTATAGGCGACAGTCAGCCAACCTGGCAAGAAATCCATGGGCGTGGCGTTCCAGAAGACTCGGCCGAGGGTGAGAATACTTAGACACGGCCATCAGGCACGTATAGTCGAGGAAGGCTGGCTGGAGCCCGCAGTGGTTTGATGTTGAGCTTGAGTTTGAGCTTGAGCTTGGGAGGGGACTAGTGGTGGTTGGTTGAACTGTGACCAAATGACGAGGGGGTGTGTTGGTGGCTGCCGAAGTCGCCTCTGTTGTTGTGGTGTTAGTCCTGCGCCACCTGGGTTTTGCGTGTTAGCCGTTGATCATGTCTTTTTGGACCATCTGCCCGTCCCTTGCCCCCCCCCAATCCGAGTCTTCTGTGTGGTTGTTGGACATTATATGGCGCCCCTCATCTGCACTGACCTCGCCGTTTGACCGCGTCGGTAAAGGAATCTAGGGCTGTGTTTGGTGCCTCGGAGAAGCACCCATAGAGATGGGCCGCTGCATCAGACCTGTTTGATATATTTACGCAACGAACCCAGCCAGCCAGCCGGAACTCCAACAGGATTTTATATCCTCACAATGTCCATAACACGGGGGAATGGCATACATACCTGCGCGACACGCCGCCAGCCCGTCCCGCACACGCAGCGGTTAGCCGCATATTCCTCCTACAGATTCGAAGCTTCGAGTCTCGGGTCTCGGGTCTCGGGCAACATTTTCCAAGAAGCCACCCGCTTGACTTCAGTCCACGCCTACGACAAAGAAGCTTGAGAATTATGACGTCCGAGCATGAACAGGGTCGGGTACGTCCTTCCGGCAACCCAGCTTGAGCGCGTAAAGGAGAAGGTAGGCGACGGGGGGTGCTCTGTCCCTGTGCTGTGGCGTCCAGGGCAGCCCGGCAAAAGGGTGGATGGACCGAGAGGCTCGTCTTGCCTAGGACCAAGGCCAAGTTGGCCGTCTCGGCTAGGTTTCTCTGCGCTCGTAGAAGAGCGAGGGCAGGGCTACGTCGTGGAAAAACACAATGTCGGGCTTGACCAGGCTGAGAGCGCTGCATAACTCAACCAGCAGGCGACGAAACACGCTGCGCAACTGTCGTGTTTGTATCTACGTCCCTCACAAGACCCTTAAACTCCCCTCATCCCCATCTCATCCCCGTCTCAAGAGCCGTGTCCGCCAGCCGACTATCCCGGGTCTCGCATATTGGTGACTGAAGCACGGCAAATGCTTTCATAAAAAGTAAGCGTCCTGCTAAGAGCAAAGGAGATGGGGAGGCCGGATAATCTTTCGACTTCATCCGATCAGCTTTATCTTGATACGTTTATTACACATTTCTGCCCGCGTTTTTGTTCCCCGCGATTCGATAGGTCCGTCGCCTAGGAATCGAAAACCTGGCCCTATCTACCTGAAAACTCTAATTTGGGTGTGTGTGTGTATGTATGTGTGTTGTGTGTGTATACGTGTGAGCCAGAACGAGGATATATATATATATGCGTGTGCGTGTGTGTACGCGCACGAGCGGGAACAAGAAGATATGCGTGTTAGGCAGAGGTAGAATGAGCATCCATGCGTGCGAGGCAGAGGCAAAATGAGAATCTATGCGTGCGAGGCCGCCCACCTCGGCGCCCTACAGCGCCGCAAGATCACGTCGGTGGTGACGTCGCTCGACCTCGACAAAACACGCCTCGATGCCAAGTTCCGGAGCCTTACCTCCTCCGAGCGCCACAAGACCACGTCGGTGGTGACGTTGCTTGACCTCGACAAAGCACGCCTCGACGCCAAGTTCCGGAGCCTTATCCCTCCGAGCGCCACCTCTCCGTCGACTGCAAGGACACAGCGACGGAGAACCTTGTCGCCCAGCTGCCGCGGATCTGCAACTTCATCGATGAGCAGCTCGCCACCTCCCCGTCGACTGCGAGGACACAACAACGGAGAACCTCCTCACCCAGCTGCCGCGGATCTGCAACTTTATCGACGAGCAGCTCGCCAAGTTCCTTGGGGCTCCTCACCCCCGAGAACTACCTAAAGGGGCTGGCTTGGTTTGGCATCGCTTTAACGTCGCCGCCTATTCTTCGCCCGGATATGCTGGAGAGTGTATACAGACAGAATATTTAGTTGGGGATATAGAGTACGATGAGCCGAGGCATGAGGGCTTACCCGTCGACTTTGGAATATTATACGCGCTCTAAATCCGTATCAGCAGATGTCAGATGTAAAGGGATACGTCGCCGCTAATGTTGTCGCTGTAAGTAGACGAGGACTCCGCAACCGTTACCCGAATACTCTCTCTAGTCCCCGGCCGTCTGGGCCGCCTGGCAGCTGTTCAGCACGCTCCTGTGCGTGGTCGGCGGGCAGTAGAAGACGGCGTAAGTCTGGCGTGGGAAGAAGAAGCGTGACTATGTCAGGGTGTGGAGGTTTTTGGAGTAAGCGGACAGAAGCGAGGTGGTGGACGTTGGAAGACGGGAGAAAGGAAAGAGGAAAGAACCCGGGTCTTGAGGACGAAGTGAGGAAGTGCACCTTCCTTCGGCCAGCGAAACCACGCAGCAGTCAAATGTAGTCTGTAAACCACTCCGGAGACAACCAGTACCGACTGCAACAAATTACATACGCCTGTACCCCCATACACTCCTACTGCCTATTCGAGAGCTCGAGCGTGATTGGGCAACCTGGCCCTAGGCGGTCTTTGCCAGAGAGTGCGCCACCACCCAGCGCGCCAGCATCGTCAGCATAGTCAAGTGTTGAAACGAATGCGCCATACTGACCTCTGACCTCTGTGGCGGACCGCAGCCGTGCCCGCCTCGCCGTTGCCTTGTCCTTCGGCGTGCTGATCCTCCATCTCCTCCTCGCCCCGTGGTGGCGCTGCTGCCTCTCGGGTTACATGGGCAACTTCCTCAGGGGCTTTTGTGGAACAAAATATACTGTGAAGATAGATAGTTACCTGGTATCCATGTCGTACTCCGGCAAGATATCGTGAAAAAGAAGCGAAATTACTACCTCAGAGCTCGAGATCTTTGAAAGAAGAGAAGTATTATAGAGGGAAAAAAGAAATAACGAAGAGGGAGAGAAATATAACCTTCCTAAGCGGAAAATGGTAATCCGAGGCGGCCAACAAGCAGTGGCAACAGCCCCCGTGATGAAGACGATGACAGGGGTCAAAGGGCAGACGCTGCTGCTGCTGCTGCTGCCGCAGGCATGGCATCTTCAAGCGGTTCGTCGACGAGGAGCTCCAGGTGAAGCGTGCGGGGGATCCAAAACTTGACACCAAAATGCCAAGCTCTTGATTTTGCTCCTAACCACGTCATCGCCCGAGATTCCGGAATCTCTGCCACCTGAAATCTTTTCGCCGAGGAATTTGCAAAATTCGGCTTTGAGCGTTGCTCCTCTTCCTTGGTTTCGGTTCCATCCAGCCTTGCGGGACTTTGACGGTGGTGCTACGTAACGTGCCGAGCGTTTCTCGTCGAGAGAGTCAAGGATGGCCTGCGTCTTGACCGCGTCGCGAAGCGTCGGTCCCAAGACTTGGGAGGAATCCGGCGTCGTATGGCTGGTCGATAGACCAGAAGCCAAACTGTTGGAATCACCAGGTACCGGTACTGGAAGCAACAGGGCGTAGCTGTACGCCGAAAACTGGTGGTTCAAGTGTTGGTTGTTGATGTCTATGTGTGTCTCTAAGAAGGAAGGCGGAAGTGGCCGTAGGCCACTTATTTAGGTTCGGTGGCCCTGCGCCCCTGCGCCTCCACTGCCACATGTGGCTTCTTGCGCCTCCACTGCCACATCTGTGGCTGACTAGCGCGTTGTTCCAACACAAACCAACCCCTCAGACAGGTAAGTCCATCACACAGCCAAGAATATCCCCAAGACCATTCGGGGCAAATACACGGCATCAGACTTTGAGCAGGCTATCAAGCCAAGTAGATATGGTCGAGTTCGGGGACTATATGCTTCGACTTGCGGGGATTTAAATTGACGATGAGGACGACGAGGACGATGGACGTGTATTCCCTTTTACCCGTACTATCTTTCAAGCCCGTGCGCCGCATCTTACGTCGAATACGCGCCCGTGTCAAACGAGCCCATTTTCCAGCGTGTCATAGTGAAGTTACAGCACGCCTTTCTACGACAACAAAATGTCACACGGCGCCGTGCCCAACGAGCTGGGATCGAGCTGGTCGTGCTGCTCGAGGTTGTCGGGCGCGGCCGGCGCCAGTCAACTCGTCTTGGGCATGCTGGCAACGAGTTCATCCGGCCGCGTCGTTTCGAGCGGACGCCAACAATCCAGATTTTGCAGCTGCCTGCAGCGTGAATCCAGGAGTGAAAAGTCATTGCTGGTTCAAGAAAACAAAAAGCCAAAAAAAATATCACCCAACAAGACAATAGCCAGCCTCAATGCTCCCTTCTACTCGGCAGTGCGCGTGCGCAGGTTGAAGTAGGGTCCGAGGCGCGGGTTCGACTGGAGCTGCGTCGCGTTTTCCGAGAGGTACTCGTCAAGCTGCAGCTCGAGGTCGTTCTTCGCATCGCAGCTCGGAAAGCTAGAGGGGAAAGAGTACAGGTCATCGTCATCTGTCCAGGTCAGTTTCAGGCTTTCAGCGGATGCGACAGGCGCAATGAATGGCCAGGTCCGGACGAAGGATGGTGGGAATGCGATTGGCATTGATGCGACCTGTCTCCAATGTGAGGAATATCACCCGCGCGTTACCGAGTAAAAGCGGCAGCGTTCGGATGAGGGCTGTTGCGTTTTTCTCGGCCAGTAAGAAATAAGAGGGTGTTGGTGTTGGTTGAGATGAACCCTCGGGTTGAAGTGCATGGGATCATTTTGTGCTGCAGAAAACGCCCCGCCAGAAAAAACTTAGCCTTCGTCGAGAGGACGGCAGTCTTCTCCTGCCCAACTAATTGCTGAACCATGGCAATGACGTGACGGTGGGTATAGGCAATAAGCGGTTTATGGAGCTCGCAACTATACTATTAGGCAGTGAGGTTCCCGCAGAGCCGCAAGTTGAGCCTCAAGCATCTTCAAGCGAAACCCAGAATACCAATAATCGACTTCTATAGAGAAGCTGCTCGTCCGGGTCCTGGCGGGCAAGGACCCCTTGCAGGTTCCTACGATCCGCGACGCGTACTCGCAGCTGCACGGCCGTAATCTCGAGGCGGACATCAAAAAGAAAAAAAGAAAAGAATACAACATTTTGCCTGCCTCTACTTCTATCTGGTTCTGTAATTCCTATATTTGTGATCCTAGGCCTCCTGATCCCATCCCCGTCATGGAAAACAGCGACCTCGTGTGTTTGTGTTTCATGTCGGGCCTATTAAATCGGTTGCCTGATCGATGCGCTGAACATTGTCAGTCCACAACAGACACAGCGTCTGGAACAACGGGGGTACAACAGTTTTGGCGCCAAAGCTATGAGTCCGTTGTGTGTGGTAGCTGTTACGTAACTAGGCCTAATTAGGACACATGATTTTCTAAGCGAGGATCTAAGCCTACACAGGCCTAGTACTTACATGTTAGAAAGGAGCATTTTTCCCACAGTGAGCAGGGCTTTTCGCACTGCTTCCCTCCTTCAACAGTTTATCGATTAAATGGGCCTACTTTGACTGCTTGTGTGCATCAGTAGCTTCCGTACTTCGCCGAGGTGTCACCCTTTTTGTTCTTTGAGCTGTGAATATCCCAGGTCTGGGAGAACTCGCTGCCGCGTTTCCCGCTGCGCAGGCCCCACCCCAGAGCTCTGAGGTGCTCAACCTCTCTAAACGCTTCCCCAAAGCCACAAAAGTTGCTGACGATCGGCCAGCTTGGTTTGCTGCTCGCTGCTGCTATGGGCGACGCCGCCAAGCAATCGGCCTGCACGGTCGTGAAGGTGCGAACAGAAGTCTCGGCAGTCTTAAATCAAGTTTTCTGAGCCCGACGCTCCAGACAACCACGTCGTTGTTGAGATAGAGAATTGCTACCAAAGTCTGTGGCACATCCCGAAGTCAGCTCCTCCCAATCCTTATACATAGACGAAGCATAATGGCGTTGTGAATGACATTGCGTCGTCTATTGTATTGCGGCGATAGAAGCGAAGGGGATAAGATTATTCATGAATTGCCGGACTGGGAAGGTCCGGGCCAGCGCATCCACAAGCATCTCCAACTGCTTAGCAGACCGCGGCCGAGCCCGCCGCCGCCGCCTCGCAACACGCCGGCAGACGATATATTGAGGCCGAGGCCGTTCATCACTCCGGCGCGCGGCAAGTTGCAACGACCATGTATCCAGTACGCGGTGACCGAGCGATCCCACCCACCTTTCCACCTCCTTCTCCGTTTCAACCGGCGGCAGTTCCATGTCACAAGAACATCGTTTGGCATCGTGACAGCTGCTGGTTGTACCACGGCGGACTTGTTGGTTCCAACGCAGCAAAAAGAGTTCCGGACTAACCATGTGCCTCTGGGCGAACTTGTTGGTCACTAATAAAGCGAGTCTTTCTGCCTTGGTTCGGCATGGACGTTGAGTGGAAGGAGTACCCGACCTCGCCCATCTCGCCCAGGATCTCGACATGTCCTCCGTGAAGGCTATGGCTTTTTGTAGTTGCGTCAAGGCGACCTCGTCTCGAAAGAATTTGACATGGCCAAGGTCAAAGTTGGCGGCGTCGATCAAGGACTTGATCGGACCGTCGTGTTTTACAGGTGCGCCTCGGCTGTGCAGGACGTGGTGCAGAACTGGTGTATGGGCGGGAACGACTCGGCGTCGAGGGTACTAGCGGCGCCGAAGCAGAACAGAGAGATTCTAGGCGACTTTGGGAACGACAGCGTCTGGAACCTCTTCAACCAGAGCGCTATCGCTCGCTTCCGTTCCGCAACAGGAGACCATAGACACCATGGACACTACAATCGGTGGTGACAATCTAGGCTTTTAAATCCACATGGAGGTGCGTCGTGCCATGCCCTTTTGCGAACCACCGCGCCGGCTTGGTCGGCGAGATGGGCTCCGTGTTGGGCAAGGGCATCGACTAGGTGCATCTCCGCAACGTGTCTGGCCTCTTCGGGGATGGGCCAGGCGTGCCTACTTGGATGGCCTGTTCCCCGACGAAGAGAGTCAAAAGGCTCTCGGGAAGATGCGATTTGGAGCCTTTCGGTTTATTCGACCTTCGGGGGTTTTCTTTTGTTCATCAGCAGAGACAACCGCGTATGTGATCAAGTGTGATACCTTTTTGACCTATTCTTTTTTTTCTTCCTTGATCTTTCTAGGGTCGGACACCTGAAGCTACGGAGCCCATGATGCTGCTATCGACAATGGGCCCCGCGCGGCGCGAGCCCTCCAGCTCAGGCATGGGCGGCATAATACCAAGCAGCAAGAGCATCCACACACGAGTCGACGTCGCAGCGTTCAAGATTCAATCTTGCTTTATATTGTACCGACGCCGCCAAATACTTGGACCGTGTTAAAGAGAAAAGAAGTTGGAGAACATGAGCAATCAGACGCAATCGAGTCCTATAGTAGCTGCACGCGGCGCTCATCCTAGTCCTGGGGCCTGACTAGAGCGTAGCAATTGTGGCGTAGTCGGCGTCGCAAGTGAAGCGATGACGACAAAACAAAGACGGACCACCGCCAAGAGGAAGCATACGGAACTAGAACTCGGAGCTGTTGCTGTCCTCCAGAATTTTCACTCGGCCTCTTCGCAGCGCCATGCTTGACTACCGCGCCTTAACGGCAGCACTCCTGCAACAGCGCTCGCGTTCGCAATCACCAGCGGGAGATGAGTCTTTGTTCTTCTGGTAGAGTATTGTTGTGCAGCGGCGTCATCTACGAGATGTAGCCGGCGCTGCGGCGCCGAACATCAGTTCCAAAGTCCCGCGCCTCAGGTACTAAAATAATTCTGGAACATGCCACGCATAAGACGGGGACGCCCGCTTCGCCGTTGAAGTCCTCCGGCCCATGGACTGCACTGTGGAGCAGACCGATTTCTCAACAACCGTCAGCTGGACCTTTACGTATATCTGCAAAGACTCGTGGGAAGAGGCCTGCTGGCAGGTTACCCTACAGTCCGTGCCACCGGCCAGCGAGACTTGCTGGCCGGCGCTGAAGCTGCAGGAGGCCGGCGGCATCAAGATGGGCAAGATTAACCAGCACGAGGCGAAGGATGTCGAGTATATCGACTTCAACTCCTGCGTCACCTGCTTGCACAAGTCCAGCAGCACTCGTCGAGGCCGCAGCAACTAATCCGCCCTTTTTCGCAGAATCGGGGCCCAGAATGCCGGCCCCAGAATTAGTTTTCTGGAGCCGACTTGGTGCACGTTGTCCTTGGTACCGGCCAGAAACAGCGACCTTTTCTACCCGATGGCAGCGCCTCGGCCTTGTCAGATGCCTTGTCGCGCACGATGTACGACTCGAGGAGCGATTCGTGTTGGTGGGGTGCAATACTGGCTCAACAAAGTATTGCCCCTGTGTGACGACTGAACGCCTCGCTTGAGCTCCAGGACCTCAAATTTCCGTCGGGTATCATTCTTGAGCCCGAATCTCCTGGCATCGAGACACTGTTCTCGCTGTCGTGACGCCGGACAAGGTAGTAATATTCTACCTGCACTACAAGCTCGACGTCGAGGCGTCGGGTTTCTTTGCACTCCTGAACCACATTTACTTTTTTAACCAAACTTTACGACTGTCGAAAAGGAGGAGGGCGAAGCAACTGTCGCAAGCGAGGTTTGCATTTCATGTTAGCGGCAGGACGGGAGACAGACGGAAAAAGAGAGAAAGAGAGAGCGCATGCACCTTCGCCTGCAGGAATATGGCGCGTTCTAGCGAGTATCAACTTTTGTTTCTCTCGATGCGACCGATGACTACCCAGCCAAGGAGACATACAACAGCAACCTATCTCCGGACGGCGCCAACAGTCAACACAGGCACGGCCTGCTCCGCTAGATCTCCTTCGCCAAGTTCATCTACTGCGTCGTCAGCTTCCCGGCCGCAAGGCGTCTTGGCCGCCTCCTCCTCATCCTGTTGTTGTTGCTGTTGCCGGGACGGCCCTTGTTTCAGCGGGCTCGAGAATGTTCCCAGCCTGCAATCAAGCACATATTTCACCTTTGCCTTGTGGAACGAAGAGACGAAAGGGTCGAACCAGATTGCTCGTGTTTACCTAAAAAGGCTGTTTTCGGTTGTCGTATTTGTCCTCATGCCGGATTCGCCTATGGAAGCGAAGTAGCCCTTCCCACCATTTCTGCAGGATTAGCCGAGAGAGAAGAGGTGCCGTCACTTTCTCTATCCGATCCTTATTGGCCGTCCTCGCGGTTACGGTACTCATTCAGCAGCATCCCACTCATCCTCCTCGACCTTGTCAACCGCTTCAGTCTCGCAGCTGCGACGTGGGAGGCGTCTGTTTTCCGTGGATAGACTATATCCATGACCAGGCCGCGCGAAGAATGGCTGGCGTACAGTCATCTCTACGAATCTGTTCCTGCTGCTCGTCGGCGTCGTCTCCAGCATCGAGATGCAGCAGCTCATCACCTACGTCGTTCTCGATGCCCAGCCCCGGCCGGTCGTCCTGCGTGGTCAGGCGCAGCGACGAGTTGGTCCGAAGAGTCCCGACCTAGCGGAGCAGGATCATTTGACGGGGATCTGGCTGGCCAGTGACTTGCGGTTGCTGCCGTGAGCAGGATTACGGGAGAGAATGCGGTGGTCATCATCACGGTAAGCTACGAAGGCGAACCTAAAATGCTCCGCTTCAACTTCCCGTCATCTATCGCAAAGGTCGGCTCGGTGGCCCTGCAGTTCGAGAAGACGGTGGTTGGGTGTTAACAGGCCGGGAACTTTCTATAACGTTATTAGTTATAATATATGGAATCTTTTGAAATTCTCCGGCGCCGAAGAAAAACGCAGGCTTGCCAACCACACGGGAACTTTAATACCCACGCCGCAAGGTACCCAGGTTATATTTTCTTTCTTAAATTAATAAATAAATAAAATAAATACGACACGTGAATTTTCATCTACGGGCACACTTTGCTTTCTGCCAAGTTGCCGGGATCGGGATGGATGGCACTGGGTTATCGTCATGGTGGCCCAGATTCTCCTTGTCATCTCCTGGTCGAAGGGGGAGAGGCCGCGGGTGACCTGACCAGCACGGGCCGGCCGCGGCTGTTTTTTTTCTTTCTCTCTTCTTTTGTCGCCTCGCGCGCGGGGACGCTCTCAATTACCTTTATATCAGCTCGACCACCTGATCGCCAAGCTGTCCGACGCGGCGGGTGGGCACATACGAGGGCATCTAGCGGTAGGTCGGGAAGCCGTACTTCTCGAGCGTGACACAATTTGTATCGCAATACTTACTTTGTAATTCGACATTCGGGTTTCAGAAAGCTTGCTGAAGGATTACACTCGTGTTTTGTGGAGACTCCAGATTCGGATTGGCGTGACACATTTCCTTCGCGAGAGTGCAAACTGGTTGCGGCCTAAGAACCCAGCCGAGCTTCAGAGCATCGAGCCATGCTCGCGGGCAGCTCAAAGCGCGGGCTTCTCTTGAGCCAGGTCTTTCCTACTGTACTACCTAGCTTTACATTTGGACGAGCGCACGAGGTGCGGCATCCCATGGATTGAGACAAACCCAACAGTCAGAAATAAAAAGGGCCTGGTCAAGTCCCCAACTCGGCCGTCTCTGTCCAAAAATCTAGTGAACACCAGGACTTGAAGCCGCTAGCGATGCGACCTGGACACAACTTGAGACGACCCAGTTTCCGTTCTCGGCTTCCACGACGCGTTGCATCACCGAGGCACTGGGCCCCGAGCCGGCCGATCAGCAGGGCCTGGAGAGCGCAGTCTTGCTGGATTTGGACCTTGCCAAACTTTAGTCCTTCTGTTTCTTTTTGGGGCTTTCTTTCTCTGCCCCCCCCAGCCCGGACGAAGCGGACGAAGCCGGATCGCTTGCTCGGTAGTAGTGGTACGCGTCAAGAACCAGATCGCGACGCGCAACCTCGTCGTCAATCAAGCGATTGGTAATTGGTTCGAACCAAACTCATTCGGTTCCCAGCTGTCGGCACTGTTCTCCTCGCCCCAGGCGTTCCCGCTTCACCTCGACATACTGCTGCGCCGTTCTCATCTTGGCCTGTCTGAGAAGCCTGGCGAGACGGGGGCTACAGGCGCGGCGCGATAACTTCGGAGGACCTGGCAAACCCCAGAAAAACCCCGTCGCGTGGCTCTGGACGACAAGGGCAACGCCATCGGCGAACCCGTTCTCCAAGAAGAACTAGCCACTCGCATTCACCGATAAACCAATGAGATGACCCAGGAACACGATACACGTGAACCTGGGATTGCCGTAAATTGGGACGTGAGCCGAAGTCATTGTTGTCGGCATCAAACGCCAGGCCATCCGCAGGAGTGGCAGCAGCCGAAGGAGGCTGCGTCAGCCACAGCAAGACATACGTGGGCACGGCCAAATATCAGCACGGCGTCCTGTGTCTTTATCTAGCCGAAAGGCGGCCTACTCCATTTATCTATCCGCTTAGCGAGTTTAAGTCTAAATTTTCATCAAAGTATTAGACTGCAAGGGGTAGAGAGACAAATACCCGCGTCCGGCGGTAGTGCGGCGGACTGAGAAAAACAGCCATGAAAATGCCATACGCAACAAATGAAAAATGTTGATTGAGAGCGGAGCAGACGTCAACGCGCGAGACGCAAACGGCGAAACCCCGCTTGAGATAGAGCTAAAAATGTTTTTTTTTTTAAAAAAAAAAAAAAAAAAAAAAAAAAGTCTTTCTCGGGAATGCTTTTCGGGAGTTCGGTGAAAACTTGCCCCATCTTTCGAACGACTGTCAGGCCCGGGGCGGATCGGCGAAGGCGTCAGGGACCAGTTGTCGGAAGGAGCTGCATCTAAGCCACATATAGGCGCAGGTGGCGCACATGCTAGACCGTTTACAGCCTAGACTGTGTCAGCCGAATGCCGCATAACTATGGTATTCAGGTTATGCCCACCTTTTTGAACCCTCCGAATACAAGCACTTTTTTGCCCCCAATTGATGCAGCGCTGTATGTGACACCAGTCGGTTGATGGGATTGAAGCCGGCTTCGTCTCCGTCGCGCTGGCGGCTTGGCAGGGCCTCAGCGTCACGCAGCATCAAGGCAAAGTCGGCGTCAGGAGACCACATGGCATACACACACATGGTGGCCCGAAGCAGTAGGTCCAGCCCAAGGAAACTACTGGTGGCGTGCCACGCCTTTCCCATGTCTTCTCCGCTGCTTGGGCCACTTCTACGCGGGGAAGGGGATGTCTGAGGAGACTAACTTCACGTAAGTGAAAAAAAGTCGTTAAATTGCGGCTCCAAAGCTAGGAACTATCGAGGCTCGCTGCTACGGTGCGCCGCGCTGGCACTTCGGTCATCACGTCCTTGTGCAGATGCTGGGCGGCGCGCTCTTTGTGTCGATTGCGCAAAACAATTTTTTTTCCGGTGTGAAGGAATGAATGGGTGAATGACCTTTCTCCAGATTAGCAACCACCAATGACAAAAGCCGAGCACCTGACAGCCCATGGAAAGCCGATCTGGGGGATCAGGTACTGCACGACAGCAGGGAACACGACGCTGCCGATGCCCGTGCCGGTTGCCGCAATGGTAAGCGCAAACGACGGCTTCGCCTTGAAGTACGAAGTCGCGCAAGTACGCCGAGGCGGCCGAAGGCGCCGACCCGTCCTTACGTCGGATGACAAGAAGCACGCCCCTGACTGCTATTGCATTATTGTCTTAGCGGCCCCCATGATTCACCGTCGCGCCAGTGCAACGTCTTCGACTAGAACTGCCAACTGTCTGGTTTAACCGTGGTTCTTATGTGGCCTGAAACCTCTCGACGACGCAAATAGGGTGGTGCTTGCGCAGGAAGGCGTGCTCGACATGCGCACCGAGCTCGGCTGGCTGCTGGTGGCTCGTCTTGCATCCTCGTCTCTCTTGGCCTCGCTTCTCGCCAAGAAGTCTTGGCGCGCCGCAAAAGAGTCCTTAGATTTGCCCCGGATGTTGTTGATGTGTTGTTGGTTGGGCCCTGAGCAAGGACAAGGACGACATCACCACCAAGGAGTTCCTCGACCTCAAGAGGTTCTTGAAACCGCGAGACCGCTGTCGGCAAGAAGTGGTTCCCCCCAAAGGAGCGTGCATCAGGTGTTAGCCTCGACCCCGACGAGGTTGAAGTTGTCAAGAGGAGTTCCCATTCGCAAACCAAAAGCACAAGAGGAAATCGAACGTCGCCGAGATAGCCTATGCGATGGAGACACGCTCGAGGGTAAAACTAGAGGGAGGGGCTGCTTGGCTGCTTACTGGTTTTGCCAAATGTCCAAGTTTGTCCTTTCTCAGCATCAGACTCGAGAAGCTCAGCGGGTCTGACGCCTTCGCGCTGGCTACGCGGGCCACGGAGACAGAGCATGGCTTCCGCATCAGCGGCAGCAACATGTGGATTGAGGGCCCGAGTTGCTGTTAGGTCTCTTTCCTGGGACGGGTGGCCGAATTTTCAGTTGAGCTTTCTGCAGGCTCTCACAACTTACTCTAGGTTTCGGCCTCTCTTGAGGGCGTTGGCGGACCATCCCTCCTTCCAGATTGCGCGATCAGCACCAGGGATGATAGAAAAGCCCGCTGCCTTCGTCAGGCGCCGGGAATGTTAGGGCGGAGACGGCAGTCAACGGCTACTTGGGATTTGCCGAAATTTTGCCCAGCAAAAAGGATGTCGCAGAGCATAGCGGATCCGGCGAAGATGATGACGACTTTGACGCCTAAGGCCACGTTGAAGCATGAGGAGACCAAGATCGATCGAAGAGGCGGTGGCCGGAACCGTATTTAACTGGATGGTCTCGACATGTTCAAAAGCAATCAATCCATTGTCTGTCACTCTTCCCAGTATCCATATTGCAAGGAATGAGATAACTCTGGAGAACGACGGGTGTCAAAGCCATGCTCCTCCTAGAGATTAATATTTGGATACGGCATAATTTATTCAAACGCTAAGATATGCGATTGCGGGTTCTGAGTACGACCGACGAAGACAACGGGTGGTCCTTCATGCAGCCCGGCCTGCGCTACTGCATGACGGGTGGCGACGGCTTGGTGTAGGGCGACGAGGCTGGTCTTCGTGTCCCCTCACTCGATGCGCTTGCTGGTGCAGCCTGGCGGATCCCTGCGGCTCGAAGCGCACTAAGGCGGTCGTCCCGCTTCTTATTTGGCTCGACGGACAACTGCCTTCGTCCTTGCAGCAAACCTTTCCTATTGTCGTCCCAGACTTGATCAGAACCATGGACATGTTTTGTATTCCGGCCATATACTAACACATGGCCAGAAGTTTCCAAACACACACACGTGCATGTCGTCGGGGGGGTTTTTTTTGGTCCTGGGAGCGGAGGCGTGCGGTAGCTGTTCCAGCCGCACCCGCGCAGGCAGCAGCGGTCCGCTACGATGCGGCGGTGAAGAAGGCACCTGAGGGCCGTCTTAAGTTATAAGCTACCTGACGAGTCAGGGAGGGGTCAGCTGAACGGATAAAACTAAAACCCGTTTCCGTTAATTCCTCAAGTGCTTCTGGACTCGCAGCACAGCCTTCTGGCCGCCAAAGTCGGGACTATTTATTGACTGTCTCGGGGGCCGATATATTGTCGTCTCCCACGTCTTGGTGCTTGCTTCAATCTCTGACAGTATCGGTGGGAAGAGCCTAAATTGCGACCACTCAACCACTCGACCACTCAACCAAGGGCAACATTACAAGGAAACACAGATACGCAACACAGAAAGTTTAGCAATAATAAGGGAATTAAAAGCACCTTGAACATCTTTGCCGTCAGCGACCCAAGGCCCCTAAAGCAGTCTGGGATGCACTGGCCACGAGCTGCTACTTTTATTTATGTGGCTTCTTATTACGCAACGCGACATTACTGGGGCTCACGGACCCGAAGAAGCCCTCCCACGCGTCAATTCGCACATTCCGAGTCCGGCAGCACCGCACGGACCAGGCGCGCGGGGCCAAAAATGGGGTGGACAAGCGCGACTCAAGCGCCAAGGCGCGAAGAGAAAAACGAAAAAAAGAAAAAAAAAAGAGGGATGCTGGCGACAGAATTCAGCCCCAAGCGCCCCTGCCACGCCTCTCCAGCCGAGCTCGCTTGCCAAGCTCTCCGATGCGATCCAGGCCGTGAATCCAGGTCTGCAACTTCTTGTAGAGATGCTCGCCGAGTAGATGAGCTGTTCATAACATCAGCAACGAACGTGGCTGGCGTTCTAGTTGCACCACGCCATGATCAACGGCGTGTGAAACATAGACAATTCAAGTGCAGGGATGCCCAGAAGTTAAAGGGGGAACAGGCGGGGGCCGGGCATCATATACACTAAAGCTTTGAAGTGAGAGTCGCACACTAGCCATGATGTAGGGGGGGGGGAGCTATCGTCGAGCCGACTGACGGTGAGGGCTCCGTCAAGTGACTGCTGAGACGGGTCGCCAACTGTTCCAGGCACGCTGCTGCTCTAGACGTGGCGACCCAACAAAGAAATCGCCCCACAACGAAATCTCTGCTGCTCCTGTCATCTAATTTCCCGCCCTCCAACTTCAAAACACCACAACTTCATTAATTCAAGCCCGAATTGCTTCAAAATAAGCCATATCGAACCGCCGTGAGCAGCTCATTCAAGCTGCAATACTTGCTGTTGAGCAGGGCGCCTCGCAGAAAGACGCCGCTAAGTTGCATGGCATCCCTGCCTCCACCCTCTGCAAACGCATCCATGGGGCAGAAAATCGTGCCAAAAGTAAACAAGCCGAAAGAAACCTCTCCGATGCGCAGGAAAGCTTCCTAGCCAACTGGTACCTCAATGAGGAAGCTGCAGGGCGCGCTCCTAGCCGTCATCAGGTGCAGAGATTCGCTCAAGCTATACTCAATGAGGCCGGCACGAAAAAGACCGTTGGCGAGCGATATGTGGATCGCTTCCTACGCCGCAACCCTGCGGTAAAGATGAAGAATTCGGCCTTGTTGGAATCGTCTCGCGTTAAGGGCTCTACTCGTGAGGCTTACGAAGATTTCTACAAGCGCCTGGCCTTCCAGATCAAGGATAAAAGGGCTATTGCTGCCAACATCGCCAACATGGATGAGGACGGCATGCAGGAGCTTGAGACCCAGGCCGGAGAGGTCATCGGAAGCTCCCTGACAAAGCGGACCTACGTAAAAAGCTTTGATGCAACTACCTGGGTCTCAATTATCGAATGCGGCACTGCAGAGGGCGTTCGTTTGAAGCCCGTGGTCATATTTACCGAGGCCAGTCTACAAGGACAACACTTTCCGGATAACTTCAAGCTAGAGGACAAATTCCCGGAATGGAAGTATGATTACTCAACTACAGGCTGGAGCAACGCCCAAATCGCCTCGCGGTGGCTCAGAGAGGTCTACCTGATCCAAACCGAGCCTAAACCGCCGGGCGAATGGCGTATATTGATCTTTAACGAACATTCCAGCCACATGAACGAAGAATTCATGTTGACGGCATGGAAAAACAAGGTTCAGCTTGTCTTTTTACCCTCACATACATCGCACAAGACGCAGCCTCTCGATCGCTCTGTCTTTTCACCTTTGAAGAACTACTTCAGGCAAAACATCAAGGCTCTAGCGGGCTTCACATCGTCGGCACCTATCAACAAGCAACGTTTCCTTTTTTGCTACAGAGATGCCTCGGCCCAGGGTATGAGTGCCCGCAATATACTCTCCGGCTTCCGGAATACGGGCATTTGGCCGTACAACCCGGCCCGCGTACTGGATGACCCGGAGGCAGTCATCCAGGAAGATGCCCTCCCTGCCCGGCCTTCCACACCACCATAGGAGGACCTGCATGACGAAGACAGGGCATTCAAAACACCAAAAGGAAGTCAGGATATTCGGAAATACCAGGACAGCATTCGGAATGCCCTCAGTCCAGCTCACAGGCGTGTGAGGGTATTGTTTACTAAGGTCGGGAGGTCCCTGGATCTGAAGAATACCGAGATCGCTTCTTTGAAGGCACAAATTACGCATCTAACGACCGAATTAGAGGCTTCAAAGCCTCGCACGCGTAAGAGGGTATACGAAGATGGAAATGACAAATTTGCACGCATTGAGGAAATTGACAAGGCCCAAAAAGCTAGTCAAATGCCCCACAAGCGAAGAAGAGCGGCCCGGGCACCTGCGCAGCCACATGCAGTCGAAGAGGCCCGGGAAATAATCGCCCGTGGCCTTGAGCAATATAGAGAGGCTGAAGAAGAGGATTGAGTATTTTTTTTGCTAGTTATTTTGTGTAGAAATGGATAATTTGCGCCCGTAGGGTGGGTGTGGGCATGGTGTGGGTCAATTTCGTTGATGGGCGATTTCGTTGTTGGGTCGGCTTTTCTAGGCCTATTTTGATGGGACACATAAAACTAAACCGCACGTCTCCAGAAATATCCTCGGTTTTGACGATTAAACAGACCAATCATCTCCCCTTTTAAGCACGTTGCATGCCGGCGTCGAGTTTGGCAAACCAGTACCCGTGGCCGCGCGGGTCTTGCGGCGGGCCTTGCGGCTTGTGCAGCTTGTTACGCTGGTCTTTGTCCGCCTCCCACTCTTTGCCTTCGTGGTAGACGTCGCCAAACCGCGTCAGCTCTTACCAATACCAGTCATTGAGAGAATTTTCTGCTCGGCTGAGAATCGTCTCGGAACATTCCTAGACAGGTGTCCCAGGGTCCCGAACCTTGGGAGCGCGGGACGCCGGGACCTGGCCCAGGGAGCCGTACCGCGGGACAACGGACACAGTTGATTGGTCCACCTACAAAGATATATACGACGACCGTGACCACGGTCCTAGATGGAACTTGGTTGGTTCCCAAGCAAGCAATTACACATTCACTGCACTCATATACCCTGAGTGGCATTCCAATCCGACTATGTTCACCGTGCGATAAGTAGCTTGCCCCTTTGTTCAGTCTTCATTATTACCAGCCCCCGCAACCCTCTCCTTGGAGCCCCTGCTCTCTTACAGACAGGCGAACCTGACAGCCGAGTGGTTTGTAATAGAGCCTTTTTAGGGTGTAGAAATGCACAGCCGTCTTCCGAAGACCTTCTCAACTTATAGTATTTACAGAATATAGCTTTGAACCCTACTTTCTGTGACGGCGGTCAACAGCATCTAGGAAGAAGAGTCGCTAGTATGGCTATACCATTGTCTTAGGATTCTAAAAGTAAAGAAAGAAAGAAAGAAAGTCTACAAAGGTACGATCGAGGGTGCGGGGGTATAGTGGGGTGCCGAGAGCGCACGGGCCATTATGGTTTGCCCTGCCAAGGCTCGTGACACTTTCTAAGGCTTTTTTTTTCCCTTTAGATGGCTTTTTGTTAAAGTCTTTCTTATACCCAACGTTGTTTATAGACTTCGTTCCTCCTATATTTTGAGCTTCTAGCCTTCGGGCTTCATCCAGCAGACTGCTAGTCAAAGAGTCCCAGTTGAAAGCCTTGGGGTTATTTCCAAGAGTCTGAGCAACCGTTGCAACGAAGGTCTTGAAATCAGGCTCCAAGTCTTGCAGTAGCCAGGCTGTAGTTATTATTTCAGGCATATCCAGCTTCTGAATCTTCAGATCATCAAGTATATGTAAGGAAAGAACCCTAACCCACATACACACGACCAACTTGCACGCGTACCCAGCGGGCCAAGACCTCAACTCACTCCTTTGTCATAAGTTAGGTGGGGGAGTAAGCGAACGCCACTGATCCAGAACATTCTAGATAAGCGAGGAACACAACCAACCCTCTTATATAAAAAGCCCATAACTCAACCAATTCTTTTCCAATTCTCTTCATCTTTAATTCGTTTTGTTCTTCTCTTGACAATGGTTTCATATACAGAAGAAGACCTCCGCAAGGCTTGCGAGGAAGCCGTCAGAACACATCAATTACGCAAAGTCGCGCGAAAATGGAACGTTCCACCCTCCACCCTTTATGGCCGTTTACATGGCTCCCTACCTCGAAATGTTGCTCATCAAGATGAGCAAAGGCTTACACAGACCCAAGAGGATCGTTTAGTCGAATGGATTCTT